GTGCCCTTCGTCCCTTGCGAACATATCTGTACATTTACTGTACAGAATAGGCCGCTGCTGCCATGCTGACACTTTGAGGCAGTCAGACTAGTTCTGTAGTCGGCCTGGTTTAATTGTGCGGAGGCCAGAGTGGCCATGATGCTTGTGAGCAGGGTGAAAGTGGGTGACTGCATTATTGTTCGTGTGTATACGTGAATAAGACAAACAGGGATGTTTTTTTGGCGCTGTTGATTGGGGTATAAGAAACAGACGACGTGTTGAAGTGATACTTAATGTCGAAAAGAACTGTTCCTCCTCAATATCTCCCTATACCCTTTATACATAACTGTTCGCCTTCTTCAGCACATCATAACCAATAAGTTCCCATTCTGGAGCATCACCATATCATTAAGACTCACTGACTGGGACATATGTTTAGCTTGCTTTCAGAAGCTATTCCGCGTGAGCCATAGAGTGGCTGCGGGGTGTCACATAACTCGCTTAGATGCGACGTACAGGTACAGGCGTTGGTTTCAGCGCTCTACCTGTATTAACTCAACTTACTGATATCTCATATCTATTCCATTTTAATTATATAACAAAAACCATTGATCCTTCGTTAAGACGTAAGCGGCAATCTGACATAGCAAGAAACCAGAAGTAGATGCGTTCCTTCTGTGTTGCTACCTGCGCTGATGTATCATGCCTCAGTTGTCTTTGTCTTTCAGGGCTAGTTAATGTGTTGCTGCATGACCTAAGGCCGCAGATTCTCCAGTCGATTTTACGTATGTAATCTGCGTGTGGCTAAGAGCAGACTAATACGGGCAATCTTATGAGGCTGCATCTCTGATGTCAGTGTACAGAAGCTAAGTATAGTTACCCAACAGAACTTGTCATTGACTTTATTTCTCTGTTCTAAGATGGGACTCTGAAGCAAAAAGATTTCGAGTTAAGACTGATAGGAGTTATTTTAAGAGTAAGTCTATTTCATTTATTATCATTGGGCGAAAACTCTAATTCTTGGCATTAATGGCTTTCATGGACATCTATCTGAAAGTGCTGCCATCACCCTCGTGTTCGAGTAACCTAGTTGAAACTGTTCCGAATTGTCGGGCTTCTATAGCTCACTGCGAGATCGTTGTGACGAGTCGCATCTCAACGCTTAACTAAGACAATCGTTCTGACGGCTGCCATCCGGCAACAACCACAAACCTTAAAACCCCTCAGATAAGATGAACGCTCTCAGCGCGCGGTAAGACAGATTCGTACGTTGCGTGTAGATTACAGTGACGTTTCAGATGCCAGCGCGCGTCCCAGACTATACTGATGATGACAGTGATTGCTCAATGAGAAAGGTTCTCTCAATGCACAAGAAGGAAAAAGCTCGCTGCATTCAAAATATTATCGTACTCAAAGTTTGGATTCCACAGTTGCTCAACTGTTACAACGAAGCAAATGCTCAAAATACTGTATCATCAAGTACTAATAGCAAATGGGGGAAAGGAAAACAAAAGACTTATTATGGATATTTTCAAGCCTCACATACTCGAAAACAAGTTTCTTAAACTACTTCTGACTTCTATTTTTAAGCTACAGATCTTTTAGGATTTTCCACAAACTTTAGTTCTATGGGTCGGAGATACTTTTCTAGCCATCTCTATTGCAATGGTTGAAACTTATGCCCCCCTAGATCTAAGTCGAGCTTAAAGTGTTGAATGGATTCTCTCTTAAGAGAACCCGGATGTACGATCGTACTCTGATTAAACTTAGGGGTGAACCAATAATATATTCCGTGATTATCTTTCTAACTACAAGACTTGGCTTTCGTACACGAGATATGTGATCTCGTACGTCCCTGAGTTAGCTCGGCATGAACATACTTTGGTCCCCTCAATGGATAACCGAGGGCCGAGTATCCAGTCTGTGCCCTCTGACATCGTTCCTGTCCTTGAGTCGTGCGTGTCGTACAACCAGCTGATGCTGTTATTCCAACATAAAGAGATATAAACGCAGCATTGCCTAAAGGTCCTCACTTTTAACACTGTTGTGTCACGAGCAGGTCAGGAAAACCAAACGCGCCGCAAAGCAAAAGCTTCAGTAATAATAACGAACCAGTCAATTCCTCGCTCAAGTGGCTTTCACCTTTGCCATAAAACCTTATCACTTTGAATAGTCAATGTCAAGTTAACGCGAACAATGCATGTCGCGAAGAGCAGGCTACAAGGAAAAAGATACCTTTGCAAATCCTTCGAAAAGGAGACAAGCTACACATCAGCCCCTATGTGGGCCCGTTGGAGGGCGTGTCTCTATGTCAAAACCGGGCGGGCAAGTTTTGCGGTGTAGCTTGATCCGCCTATCGCTGGTTACTGAGCAAGCCAACCGGGCTGTGGAGATGCCAAAGGCCATACGGAACTTCGCAAGTCTCGATCTTCTCGATATAACATGAACACCCCCACGGCCAGTCTCATGGTCCGTCGAACCGACAAACTATGTTGATAGGCTCAGAAAACCTGTTGTAGCAACTTTGAGTTCCAATTTTTGTCCTATATTTAGAATGCGGCAGAGTGGGCAAGGTTTGAGATATGACACCTGAGTAAAATAAATACATTGACGTCGATGTAGCCCAGCAGGTGTTATCGACTTAGTGAAGGGTCCTACACGTTTTTCATCCTCGGCTGGGAAATTTCCATACGTCAGACCCCGTAGAACGTCTTCCCATAACGAGGAAAGGTTTGAGTTCAAAAGATGCCGTTTATAGATGTGCGTGTGTTCAAGGTATACAGAAAATGACACTTTCTTCGGAACCTATGCGCCAGCAATATTGTGTCAACGGTTTTCGCCACAGCCCCGCCATGTGTCCAGGCAGGAATGGACCAGAATCTCGTTGGGAGGCAGTTTAACCTCAGTGGAAAATACTGTTCGGCTGGATGTTTGATGTGTGATTCCTGACCTTCCAAACTGATCAGCATGTGGATGAAGCTTGGCATCCTCCTGGTAAGCCACCGGAATGGTGGGGGAAAACGTAACCTTCTCCTCAACCGCAAATCGGATGATAAGAGTTTGTTGGCGCGTTTTAGATCCTTGCTGCAGGATCAGGTTGTATTAAACGTGGACTGAGAGGCTGTGGTGTATTTATGACAGCGGGTCTTAGCATGATTGCCAGAGAAGGGGTTTCCTGTTGTTGCCCATGATTTCTCAACGTAAGCCTTTGCACCACCGCTATTCTCTTTAGGGTTAGTGATTTCATGGTCGACTGAAGGCCTTGTATTCCGTTCAGCTACCTGAACTTTGTTTCCTCAAAGTTCCCTGTCGCCAGTACTAACCCCGCAAACACGGCTCTCCCGTGGTGCTGGAAGATCCGGGGTAAGCGGGAAGTTAGGGAGATTGGGTGCAGAAATCGTTATCAGTCAAAACTACATTCAAACCACAGAGAATTTGTTTGAGACTGTTCTCCGCGGGTTGCCAAATGCTTTGTCAGAGTAATTGTCTTACTGGTCACATTTGACTCATTTGTGATATCAGAACCTGGAAGCCGCAGGGGAAACCCGCATTTTATGCCTGCGTGTGGATTTTTCACATGCAACAGAAGATCTTCCTTGAAACAGCTATCGCCTTGAAAACAGCTTGATGTCCAGGACGAGCTGTGAGGGTTGTCACCTTGTCCGACCAGGATGCCAGCCTCCTTGCGAGGTTGATCTCGGCCCCCCCACCTCTCTTTGCTGGTGCAGCGGGGCCGGCCCTAACCTAATTAGGTCGACATTATCGAGAGCCCAGCTTTTCTCATTGGTCATGCAGGCTGCATGCACAAGCGGCAGGCCTGCAACAACTTGCTCGGCCTACCTACCTACTGGACCAATGGGTTTTGTGTCGTTTGAAGACTGTACGCCAGCAACTGTTTTAGTGGTGATGCCTTGAAGCCGGTGGGCGCCGGCATATATAAGACACCAGAACTTGGGTGGCGCAGGTCAGCCATGTAGACTACGTCCACTTACGATGCTTGACAGTCTATGTAGTTCTTGAAGTGGTGCATCTGTGAATCTTCTTTGAATACCTTCTTCAACCGGTTCAAGTCACCAGCATTCCCGCCATAATTTGCCGGCGCCTAGTTCCCCCACCTCGGAACACCCCCGTCCCCCGCTTCGGGAAGTACTAGCGTTCAAGCCGCACTGGCCGTGACCGAGGTGGATATCCTGGGGAATCTGGGGTAGCGCCAATGCAACACTAATCGGCCCAGTACAGCATGTGTTGCAAAGACCAAGTTCATAAGGACGACGCAGAAGCGAGATATTAGAACCATTCGAACATCAGACCACTGCAGTTCCAGCCGACTGCTACTGATATTTTCTAGCAACATTGCTGTTGTCACTCGGCAGATTTACCTCCTTGAACTGGCCAAAGTCTACGCGATGTCGGGCTGGAAGTATGCACTTGCTTTAAGCAAGCAAGAAGTCTCGGCCGCTACACCGTCGGGCACAGCGAGGTTGCTAGGTATGTTATCTAGCACACTACATCGACATACTCCGGTATTTGTCTGAAGTGGCTTCAAGTGATCATGATCTGCTCTTCCTCTATTGGTTTGGGCTTACGTGCTGACGGAACATCTCCTTGTAAATAGTCGAAGACGAATCTACTAGCAGGTCACAGTATTCCAATTCTCTTATTCGATATCCACAGCCATCCGACGACCCAGCAGATCCTCTCAACTGGGCACAGTGGCGCAAATTCGCGCTGTTGTTGGTTGTCTCGCTTTATTCTTTTTGCGGTAACTTTTTGAGTTCAAGCATTGCACCGTCACTCCAATTGTGGTTCAAGACGTACCCTACCGAAGTACGGCCATATAGTGACCTGACATATTTTATTGCCGTAAGTTGCCCTAGGTTTCCTCCGGCAGAAGTTTTGATGGTTAATGTGTTGCTCTCCTGCAGGTCAACATCTTACTCCTTGGGGCGTCCAACATCTGGTGGGTCCCATGCTCAAACATTTTTGGCCGGAGGCCAGTGTTGCTGGTTGCGACACTCTTGATGACCGTCTGTACCATCTGGTGTGCTGTTTCTACCTCGTACAACTCGGTACTGGTTGCAAGGTTGTTTCAAGGTATGGGAGCCGGTGCCTCCGAGTCCGTAGCGCCGGCCTTGGTTGGCGAGGTTTTCTTTGTTGATGAGCGTGGACGTGCAATGGTGAGTAAAGCTTGAATACGTTGTGAGTAATGATTCAGCACTCTGACTCGCCACGAAAGGCTATCTACACAGTCTTCCTGTCTGCGGGCTCGCTTGTCGGAGGCATCGCTGGCGGTTACATTGGCTTTCAGCTAGGCTGGACCTACATCTTCTGGATCGGAGTCGGAATTTCTGCCGCTTGCTTTGTCGGTACTCTTTTTCTTGTACCGGAGACACTGTACAATCGAGTTGCCCCGCCCATAGGATCCCAGGCCGGCTCCACAATCGACGACAAGGGGATGGAAACTCACGTTGAGGATTCCAGAAGCCAAATCTTAGACTATCGCCCATTTACCTATGGAAGGTCCCTTGGCTTCACCCACTATCGCGGCAATGTGGTTGGCAACTTCCTGGCACCATGGAAGACGCTCAGACTTCCTGGTACTTGGGTTGTGATGTTCCACTACGCTGGCCTCGTCGGTGGAATCGTCACAATGAGCACCGTTGGCCCTCAACTGGTCGCCGCACCCCCATACCTCTGGGGATCTAACGTCGGACTGATCAATGTCGGAGGAATGATCGGCACCATTGTGGGGGCCTTGTACACCTATCTTCTCTCCGACTCCCAGCTCAAGAAGAAAGTCAAGACTTCTGGCAACGGTCTTGCGGAAGCAGAAAGCAGGCTTCCGACCATGTTTCTATCTCTATTCATTGCAACCGGTGGTTTCTTCGTCTTTGGATTTTCTGGCCAATACCCATCTAAGAACGGCTGGGTGGGTCTCTCTTTCGGCTATGGTATGGTTTCCTTTGGGCTGATGCAGCTACCCTCCGTCGGATTCAACTACGTAAGTTCAAAAATACATTCTGTCATTGAGAAGTGTTGCTAACCAAGTTGAGCACAGCTTATCGACTCCTATAAACAACACGCAGGCGATTGCTTCGTCATGGTAACTATCATGCGAGCCATCATTGCGTTTGCCTGGACCTTTTTTGTTGCCGACTGGGTCGAGAAGACGGGGACAGCGGAGCCGTTTGGCATATTCGGAATGCTCATGGGAATCTTCGCTCTCCTAACCATTCCCCTGTGGTTGTTTGGTAAGAGGATGAGGATTGCGACGAGAAAGTATATCGAGGAATAGTTAGTGCGACCGATGCGTATAGCAGTTTGTTAAACCGAGGAATGTTGCGCTTCACGTCGCACGCAAGCGTCACCCTGCTCATCTCTGTTTTGGGGACTTAAGACCATTTCGAAGGCAACCAACTGTTACTCAGTATGGTACATTAGTCGCGTAAAGATCTTTAGACACTTTGAAAACTCGCCCAGATGACTGTATGATAGTACTGGTTGACGGCAAAAGAACCGAGACTAAGCGTCACATCCGCGAAAATACGGGGAGAACCTTTCGAAACGAAATATAAAACTACCGTGATCCTGCTGGCCACTGAATTTTGGTACTAGTTCGACACCGAATAATCCCGACGTCTGGAAGGAGAAGCCCGTCAAGGGCCGCGAGAATTGGTTCATGAATGTTCAATTTGCCAAACTTATCTAGGGATTGGGAATAGGTTGTGTGTCGGAAATCATGTTTTGGATGGAGAGGCAGTTGTGATGATGCTGGTTGATTTCCTAACCACCTTTCATCGACGTCTTTATCAAATTGGTACCCATGAGCTGTTGGCGGGCAGCTATATTGATTTATTCGTGAAATAATCTAGCAAGGTTGCTTCTATTGTCATATCTGTTTGTCATCCAGCAGATGAAAGAGCATGGTTTGTGGTCGGACTTCCAAAAGCAAAGAAAGACGCGTTGTTCGCCTGACTGTCCTTCTAATAGAACAAGTAGACTAAGCCAAGAGCAACAATGGGCACATTCGTAATCAAATGCGCCTTCGCCTTTGCCTTCCCAACCTCGGCAACCTCTGGCGATGCGTCCGGGCTCTTCAGATATTCCATGACCACAGCAGCGCCGCTGAACCCCACGCCTGCGCCCAGCGTCAGTACGATCCCGACACAACGCCGCACCGCTATGGCAGCCATCGGCGACACACGGCAGACGTCCGAGAAATGACCGTAAAGGACCAGAGCCAGGATGCACGAGGACATGTGCAAGTTCCGAGCCCCCTTGACCTTGATCAGCGCGTGGTGGAAAGCGTCGAACTGAGCGGGTGTCAGTGAGTCCCGGCGCGGTGGGACGAGGCCGAACGTCGCGGCCCCGCTTTCGGGCTTGGCGAGGTTGAAGACCCCGTCGGCGGCGCCGAGGAGAGCCAGAAGGCCTGTGAAGAGTGGCAGGGCCGCGGGCCTCCAGAAAGCTGGGTAGGAGTTGAGAGTGGCCATTGGTGACGGGCTCTAATGGAGTGATTGTGATTTGTTTGCTGACGTAAAGTGCGCCAGTAATATGGATTTAAAGAAGGAATTGAACGTTTAAACACCGAGTCTCTGACCGTGTCTGATGGCATTTAATTCGGGTTTCTCTACCTCCGGTTTAGTGGTCGTTGGGCACCTGGTGGTTTTCTAGGCAACAGCGGACATGTAATCACGTGGCTGTCAGACACGTTCGCTCCATGCTACCTAACTGGTCCTGACAATTTGGAGATGCCTCTAAGCTACTTTGGGCCAGTAGGCTCTACCGATAGCCAAACCGACCTGTTGGAATTCACTGTTTTCACCTCTGGAGACCTACCATAGCATGTAATTCCCTCTTTGGACGGGAGGAATTTTTTGAAGACGAAGATTCATTTCGGTGGTCAACGGACGAGGTTGACTACGCCGAGACAAACAAACCAAATTTGATCTCGCACGATCGAAACTAGACCTATTGACCGGTCCAAAGCGACGTTAAGAACATGCACATTGAAGTGTTGACTCAGCCTATACTTTAGAAGGGCATCCACTGTCAGAGCAGAGGGAAAGAGTCAAACTCCAAATGTAACATGAGTATGCAGTGCAGAACATGTAAGTCAGTTACTTAGATTGGCTCCCCAATGGCTGGTTCATAGCTGCCCTCGGATGGTGATGAGTTCTTTTTCAATGTCCCGTACTCATCCCGGCCCCGTTCTTTGACGACTCGACGACGCTATGAACGTTATCTTCCTCTGTAGATATCAACAGAGCTGAAGAGTAGTAATAGCCCCGAGCTTCGAGTCAGCAAGTGGGCATCTTGGTTGCGTGCTGGTGTCTGCAAGCTGAAGCAAATCGAACCGAAAACCTCTCCTAATTGCGGTCGTGTGAGGTTTCTCGGGGGACGGGGGTGCACTCTTGCAGCCGGGTGGCAGCGTCATGCATAACGAGATTTGGACGGCGCGAACAGAGAGAAACATGACGCGGCATGCAAATGAAATTAAAAATAACCTGCATCTCGGGCAAGCCGATGAAACCGCCAAAATTTGCAACGAAGTCACAGCACAGCATTCAATCAACCCAGGGTAGCACGGCATTACTTGAGCAAGGCACCGCCAAGATGGATAGATTGCCAGGCACCCAACGTGCATATAACTTTCGCATCACAAACCGGCATTGATCAACCGCCATCATGATCTACCAACAACATCAGACACGGTCTGTTGAGCTAAGCGAAAGGGCTGACAATCCGAGTGGCCGGATGAAGCTGGCTAAATGCGTGTTCCGCGGTCTTCGGGTCTTGGCGTCGGCGAGGGAGAGATTGACTGTACCCACTTTCTCCGGATGTTGCTTCCGACGCCGACCGAATCTGGGCCGGCGGGACGTATTGACTGCGAGGGCATGTTGATGGGAGATGAGATTTGCGATGGAAATTGCAGATCCGAGTAGATTGACAAGCTGGAAGATGAGCATCCGAGATGTTGGACGATAGGAACCCGGCCTGGACACCTGCAGAAAAGAGATAAATGCAGACGTCGCTGCTGTCATCGTCTAGACATCATTGCTAGCAAGCTGCTCATTTACTTACTTTTGAGAAGGTGATTCTGTCAAAAAAACGCCATGAAGACATCCGCGACACTTGCAGTCCTCAGCGCAGCTGGCGAAGCCTTGGGCCACGCAACGTTCCAGCAGCTCTGGATTGGCAGCCAAGACCAGAAGAGCGTCTGCGCCAGACTTCCGGTAGGCCGAATATCGCCGGGTCCAACTTTTCACCTGACTAACCGCCACATAGCCCAGCAACAGCCCGGTCACGGACGTCACGTCCAACGACCTGCGCTGCAATGTTGGCGGGGCTACGGGCGTGTCCGGCGTCTGCAAAATCCCAGGCAAGTTACTTCTTCACCTGTTCACCTTCAAGCCCTCCATCGACGCAAGCGTGCAGCTCGCTAAACTCGCCGACACATAGCCGGCAGTAAGGTGTCGGTGGAGATGCATCAGCAGGCGAACGATCGATCGTGCGACAAGGAAGCCATCGGTGGGAACCACTACGGCCCTGTCATGGTGTACCTGAGCAAGGTGGCAGACGCGACGACGGCCGAAGGGTCGTCTGGATTCTTCAAGATCGGCGAGTATGGCTATACGCCCGAGGACAATGTGTGGGGCACCGACTTGCTCAACGAGAACTGCGGGAAGTTCGAGGTAACGATTCCGGCCAGTCTCTCGCCCGGAGACTACCTGCTCCGGGCCGAGGCCATTGCTCTACACGCGGCGTCGCAGCCCAACGGGGCTCAATTTTACATGACGTGCTACGTGAGTGGTTTTGTCCCGTCTCCGTCTTGTTCTTTCTATGTCGGTCCGAGCAGCATTATTGACGGTTGTGGGTGCTATTAGCAAATCCGTGTCACGGGCGGAGGCAGCGCATTGCCGGCCGGCGTCAAGTTTCCTGGCACCTACAGCGCGGCGGACCCCGGCATCCAGGTCGACATCTGGGGCAACGGGTTCAGCCAATACACCATTCCGGGACCTGTTATCGCGTCTTTGTAATGAACCAACGGTTGATAATGTGACGCAGGGTGCTTCGACAGAGGCTTCGAGACGGATGCTGATAATGCATGTGACTCTGTGGGTAAGATGAGGGCATGTCAAATATGACGACAGGGATTTGCTAGGCAAATTTGCTTCGTCCGTTGCTTTCTGGTACGAGCCGCAGTGGAAGTAGTACGATGATAAGAAGAAAACAAGCACCTACATTTTGGGCGTTCTCCTGCATATAAGTAACGCAGTGTTGAATCGTCGGGTCGTATGGGTTCTGACTGGATCAGGCCTGGACCCGCGCTACGACGGCGCTGTGGGTAACAGTGTGTCATGCCACAAGTGTTAGCATCGCAACGGGCCGGACAGGGAACGTCAGGAACGGGTGCGACGGGAAGCAGGGATGCGAGCGAATGGGCCCAAGTCCAAGAAGTATGTTAATGAATTTTCGCTCAAAACTCGGAGAGAAAACGAAACAAGCGAATGGATTGACAGGGTTGCAAGGCCGAGAAGGCTGGATCAAAACTGCGAAGCTAGGAAGAATGCCGAGATTGAGGCTCCCACCGCATGTTTGTTCGGTCGGATAGGAGTGGATTCTGACTCGGGCAGGCTTGTTGCTCGTAAGATGATTGAGATGGGGTGATGATGTTGTCAGGAGTGGTCGGACCAAGCCGGCAGGCAACGGTCGATACCGGAACGCAGTGTTTGGAAGAGGCCTGCCAGGACTTCCGAGCTCGGATGCACGCGTTTCGTTGACTTGCCTGTGAATGTTGAAGGGGTTTGTAAGAAGGGCGATCCCAAATGATGATGATGGTGGCGCTGGTGGTTGTAGGTTGTATTCGTGTGAAGCAACGGGAAACGCGCCATGAGAGAGGGTGTGTTGCTTGCAGCATCGTGCTGCCCGAAATACGGGCAGAAGCGAAGGATTATAGATCTTACCATGTCATCTTGGCTTAGAAGACGCGATTGACTGGCTTAGGTGCCGCACGCGCTGGCTGCCTTAGTCAGATGGCAATAGTTGCACGGGTGAGAGCAAATCGGAAGGTGCTTTTCGTTCCTGTCAGCCACTCCATTCTACGAGGTGAGACCACCTCACCTGTACTGACCGACACCAGCCACGCAGGGTGAATGGCCGGATATTGTGACGGAAATAATCAGGCCCGGTGCGGCCCCGCCTTGATTCCACTCACAGCCGTCTGCTTCCCTGCTCAGCTTAGCTTAACGGGCCCTGGCACTGAATCATCCAACTTGCGGCCGACATGTCACCGCATCCACTTCGTTTTCAACTCTCCCGTGTCCATCAACCTCGCACCAGCCAACTTTGGAGGCGGCCGATTTGTACCAAAGCACGAGTTTCGCATCAGCTAACTCGCGCCACCGCAGGGGCCAAACAGCAGACACACCTCATTATAGTAGCCCATCTACACGAACAAGATCTTCGCACCTGCAGGGACCCCCCAACATTGGCCATCTGGCATTCGGCATCTCCATCTTATTGCTTGTAGTCGTGGCCCACGGATACACCACAACATCATCTCCTGTTTCTCGATTCCGATTTGTCTCCGTCCACACCTTGCATCCCAATGCGCACTCCCCTATCGATATTCCTTTGGGGTCATCGCCAGACAATTTAAATATGACCATCCGCGACATGCTCTCGAGGACCATTTCCGGTCCTTCCTAACCGGCATGAGCCATTGCTCTACCAATATCTTTACCAATACCATAACAGTTACACAGCCAATATGTCTGCCATCAGATCACCAATAGATTCGTTACCCAATGAGGTAAGCCATTTCCTCTTCCACCCGCGATGCCTCCCACCTTGGTCCATACGTTCTTACTGACCACTGTTCGCCCAATCTAGCTCCTTATCGCCATCCTGGCTAACTTCAAGTCTCGCGAACTGCTTCCGTTGACTCTCGTCGACCGCCGATTCAATGCCACCTCGACAATCATCCTACAGCACCGCCTCCTCCACACTGCCAAGATGGACGGACACGAGATGATGCTAGAGAGCTACCACCCTGCTGCTAAGCAGTTGACGCCGTCCATGACATGTCGGTTCCAGGGGCTTGGCTTCTTGGATCACACGTGGACCGGTGATCATGACCTGGACTTACGGGACCTCTCTCAGCTATACTCTCACTTCCTCCCGGTGGTTTCAGAAGAGACGCGGCGCTTGCGGAGGGTATTCGGTCGACGCTTGCCAGGTGCGCCCCTCGAACAGGAAGTTGGTGACGAGCCAGTCACCCAGGAACTCATTTTGGACGATGGCGAGCTGTTCTCCCAGCTTTGCACGTCAACGAGCTTGAACAACTCTGGTCACGTCCCCGGTCTCCTTGCTAGCCACAGTAATGTTACCAATGGCGTCGTGCGCGTGTGGAGGCATTGGCTGGCAAAAGCAGCTGCCAGCAGCGCCATCTGCCCGGCCGGCGACTATACCGATGATAGCACAACCTTGTGGATCGATACCGCCAAGAATGTGGGACTTCGGTTCCGCGTCACCGAGGTCACCCAGGAGCGTTTGCCTCCCTACCGAGGTTTTGACGAGGACCCGCCTGTTGCTTACTCTCTTTACTACAAAGGTAAGATAGACGCGACTCTCTTCGTTGCATTTCTTGGAATAAAGCAGCTAAAAGAGACATTAGAGTTGCTGGTTCGCACAAGCCATGTTCTGCTGGCTATGGAGAAGTCAGTAGTCCAAGAAGTTGTCGACTCAGGTAAAGCAACCATCTTACCTTTTTATTGAGTGCGTTTTGTTCGGCTGGCCGATATATGGCCGGGCCTACACAAATGTTGCTCATATATACCGGGCGACCCAGGCTACCAACAGCCTTCACTGGCGCAACTCCGACCGAAATGTGTCAAAGAAACGGTGAAAGGTCTTGATGAAGCAGGGTCCAGGTCGCGTTGGCCGGTTCAGCTCAGGTCGCGGCCGACTAGTCCCAAAGGGCTGGAACGGTTCTCACAGTCTGACCTCTTAGTGGCGGCCACCTTTGTGTCGATCATTAAGCCTTGACAGCAATCGCAACACCAGCTCAAACAGTCTCAAGGCCACATTACTTACTTTCTTCCCACTTCTAGGTTTCGTTATTCAGCTCGACGCAAAGAGTGCCCACACGGTTGAGACCGTGTGGATGGCACCTGCGCTGAGCCCTTTCCTTCCCCAACTTGTGGCTGTCAGGTGAATGGCAGGACCCTTTGAGGAACTCGGAAACCTCCATAAAGACCCCAGATCATGGCCCATGGACTCTGAATCGAACCCGATGACCGAGCCAGAATGGGTTACCCGGGGGTATCAGCGAACGAAACACCTCGCATGGTGCTTGTGTTGAGGCAGCGAGGCCGGCCATGCCATGCAATAGATACAGTATGTCGGCGTTTCAGTGTTTTGACGATACAACCATGCGAATATCATGATGGATTAGAACTGGCGATATTGCTTGGACTCGGGATGTTCCGCGCACGAATACATACCACAGGGTTGGTGCTGGCGTTTGGCGAATCAGGATTGGGTCACAACCTGAGAGAATCGCTCGAGAGCCGACGGATGGACACCAGCAGTGGACAACGACACTTGCAGGACGACATACAAAGACGTCGACGATTTTTTTGGACTCGTGAGTGCCAAGCCCTACGAGAAAAGCGAATTAGATAAACTTTATCTCCCTCAAAGATTACTCCATACACTTCCGACCGCTCCATGTATGATCGCCGTTGCGGGGGCGCCTCCCTGCTTCAGCGAAGCCGTCGGAGACCGGGCGATGCGAGAAAGGCGAGAGAAAGTCGAAAAACTGCACACTCTCTCGTTCTTCTGTCTTTCGGCGCCGATTTATTGCTCAATTGTCTCCAAATCTTCGCCATGCCGCCATTTTGGATTGTCCACAGCTCATCAGCAACGGGCCTGTTCTGTGATGCATGCGACGTTGTTTGGCGGCAAACGCCTGAAATTCACCCTGTGGCACTCCACGACCGCAACCATAGCCATCCAGATGATATTGAAGTTGCTTGGGTTTAATTCGATTTGACTGGCAGTATATGTACGCTATTGGTGATGCGGGATTCGTCTGTTGTAGGAGCAGTCTGCAAATGTGCTTCTTCCAGATGTCATCTCGGAACTTATGGCAACAACCAAATCCGCTGTGGGAAATCCGCGCAAACCGGCGTGGGGTCTGGTATCGTTGGTTAGAGGGAAGGGGGGATTAGTTGCGAAACGTCCTGCAACGAAGGGGTTGCCCAACCCACAGCGGGCGGGACAGTTTACCGAGACTGATTCTCGGGACACCCAGAGAAATAAGCAGTATGGATCATTTTATTGTCTTGGTGACAGAAGAGACCCACGCGTCGTGGCAAACAAGAAGAGAACTCCTTGACGGGCTGCAACACGGGCGAGCCCCGTCTCCAGAGATGATGGAATGGCACAGAATCTTTCAAAGACGCATCATCGCCCGCCGCTGCAACGGCACCGCGTCAAGCGTGCGTCCATACGTTGCACCCGGACGGCCGCGCGTCAGCGGCTCTCCCTCCACACAAAGTTCAAATGATCGAAGGCCTCTGAGATACCGACATTCAATTGTCTCTTCTTGCGATGATCTTGTATCATATTAAATGTTGGCACCTGCGACCCAGCATTGGAAGGCCGGATTAGCTTTGCCCAACACAGGCCACATTATGCACAATGCCCGGCCGACAGCTATTCAAAGACGACACTTAAAAGACTCTTCCATTTTATGAGCCTCAAGACGCTGTTGGCGTGGTTTCCAGGATCTGTCATACCTAGTCGGCGCACCATAATTCAACATCCCCATGATGATAACCAAGAGACAGTCCTAGCATCAGGACTGTTTCAGCGTCTACTCCCCTAGGCCGGCGGTGGCCCAAGCACCCGTCATCCATCGGACGGGAAAGCCGTTTGACAGGGCGCATCATCCCTGCAAGCCATGTCTCGTCCAATGATGCCGCTGGGGACGGGGCCGAACTCGTGGCCATCGCCGCGTGCATGATGCCTGGTCTGTTGGGGGCCTCTCATGCCAGGGGCCGTGAGGTCACATCGGGTCGCTTTCAACCGGTGGGAATTGTGGCCCTGGTTGACCAGTCGTCTTTGTCGATGACGATCGCATGTCGATTACGGGTTTGTCTTCTTCATCACGGAGGTATTGGTGTGTCAGTAGAGGAGTGTATGAGTATGCCCCAAGTCGCCTAATACCTAACCCAATAACCATTCTCTCCTCTCTTAACCATCATTTGGTTCGATGTTCCTCATTCATTCTCCACCGACTGGTTTTACGTTTTACGTTGTCACGTTTCTCTTCTCTTCTTTTATCACTGCTGGTTCAGTTTACATCTATCGGAGCTGGGCTCCATTTGTGCGAATACCCAAAAATAAAACGTAAAATCCCGGGGTGGCGATTTGGTAATACGAACGAGATGGAGAGAGACATGGAAAGGGGAGAGGTCGAATTGGCCAGGCCCGACGAGAGCCACGTTGCACCAGAGAAAACGGCTAGGAGGCTGTCGTTCTCGAAACCGCCGCCGCCGCCGCCGAAGGACGATTTGCCGCGACCGATGACAAGCTCGACGAAGCGGTTTTCGTTCTCAACGACGTCGACCCAGCGGAAGATCAAGTATGGTACCGGGAAGCACTCTCAGACGGAACTGAGTCCTCAACCGACCGACGACCCCGACGATCCTTTGGTGGGTTACACCCAGCGGTATCTTGCCCGAATAGTGGCTAACCATTCACTACAGAACTGGCCGCAGTGGAAAAAAGAGCTCAACTTCATCGCGCTGATGATGACTGTTGGGCTAGTTGGAGGAATGAAGACAGCGTACTTGAGCGTCAACAGTGTCCTCACTGTGAGGTTCATGGCCTCGTACACGGCTGTAGCGTCTCTGACGGCCGTGCCGATTATCGTTTCGGCGTTCACGGGCCTCTTTGGGCTCATGGCCTCGAAAGTCTGGGGCAAGAGGCCGGTGTACCTTGTCTCAATGGTACTGATTTTCATTGGCGCAATGTGGAACATGCAAGCGGGCAACAGTTTTGGGGCGTGCATGGGAGCGCGCGTCTTCCAGGGCCTGGGCTGGGGCGCGTTCGACACTCTTGTTCTCGGCTCGATCCACGACACTTTTTTCGTACGTCTTCTGAATGGCCTCAGGTTAACGGTTCAATCGCTGACATCCTCTAGGAACATGAGCGCAACGTTCGCATCACCGCTTACAACGTCCTTTCTATCGCGACGACCTGGGGTGCGCCCCTGCTCGGCGGCCTCGCGTCTCGAAATGCCGGACGATTCACCGTTCAGTTTGAGATCATCAACGTCTTCCAGCTCATCGCCATCCCGCTGCTTCTTTTTGGCGCTCCGGAGACGGCATATGAACGGTGGTTTAGCAACAGCTTTGCGCAACCCCCGGCATCCTCTGTGTCATGGATGTCGAAGCCCCCAAAGCCCCTCGGCAAGCCGTCGGTAGAAGATGTCAAGGCTTACCTCCGGACTATGAAGCCTCTCTCTTTCTCCGGCACGATGGACGCGCGCACGCTTCTACAGGGGCCCCGCGCTTTTGTTGCGCCGACAACTCTGCTGCTTGTCTTGGTGACGTTTATGCCGTACTGCGCGCTGTGGGGTTTAGCCGAGTCGCTTTCCCTGCTCTTCTTCCCCATGCCGTGGATGCTCAACGAGTCCAGCATCGGCTCGCTCATGGCGGCGCCCTTCATCTTAGCCATACTTACCGTCACTGGGTTTGCTTCTTACCGGAAACGACACACCGACTACACGAATCTCGACACCGTCTGCATCCTGGGTGGCGGCACAGTCCTCGCCGCCGCAGGGGTCCTCGCTTTCGGCCTCAAGACCCACGATGTCATGTCCGAGGTATCTGAGACGAGCGCTTTCAAGACTGGCGGCGTCGGCACAAAGCTCTCGTTCCCGCTCCTTTCGTTTCTTCTCGGCCTCCTGGCGGCGGGCGTTGCCGTTCTCGACTCCGCGATCCGACCAATCATCTGGCGCTCAACGCAGTTCACCTCGTCCAACTTGAACGTCTGCCTGAGGAACGTGGCCGACATGGACGCCGGGGTGGTGTGCTGGAGAAATCTACTCGCCGGGGTGTTCGTCATGGCGGTGCCAAATGCTATTGTGGTGTGGACCGGGCTGAAATCAACCGTCCTCGGGCTCGGGGTGGCGCAGATTGTGGTTGGAGCAATCATGTGCGGTGCTTGGTGGGTGTACGACGACTATGTGAAGGGGCTGGATGGGCGCGTGATGGGACTGGTTGATTTGAGCATGTTGAAGCGGACGGGAAGCTTCTTTGATACGGACTGAGTGTGATTGATGATTCTATGTCGGGTAATGTGGGGTGTAGAGAGTGGGTGAGAGAAGTTATGGTAATGATCAAAACGGCCGAGGACTGATAGGAGAGACATCCTGAGAACTGGGACGGGCCCGGATACACAAGGGGCATCTGCCACAGCTTTCTTTTGTTCGAGATACCAGCAGTCAACGGACGCAATCCGAGGGGGCCGCAATGTAAACTGGAAGGATTGTATTGTTCCGATGAGAGAGACCGAGAGACTGAGACAACAACCAGGGCGCAAGAGCACAAGCTATATAATCTTTAGTTACTTGGCAACGCGAGTAATGGAAGAACCACGCTCATTCAATATTCCCGCTTTGATATTGGTTATGATTTGCAATTGTTGGAACGGGTCTCGAGCAGCGTCTTCCTGGCCCAGCAAACGACGGTTGGGACGCAGCGGGAGAGAATCCGGCGGCGGAGCGAAGACCTGGGATCTTGGTGTTTCAAGCAAGCTATGCCTTTTATGGTCGGCCACAAGCTGAAAGACGACCTGTACTTCGGAAGGAGTAATGAAACGCTTCCCGTCATGCTTGAAGGCGAGGCTCTTGTGTTGTGGTCAGCTGTTTGCAAGATTGGTAACAAGGATAATGACTGCGCATGCAGAATGCGGCTGCGGTCAACGAGGTATGGACGATGGGTTCTGGAAACACAGGCCCGTAAGAAGAATGCGTCTGATGTTTGTTTAGCAATGTTAAACTCCCGTCTGATGTCGTACGAGTCGTGATTGGATGCCGCAGGCCGAGTTTGATCGTCCAGATTTGTCAAGGGGGGTTGGGGGCCGTCATCCGATCTTTCGTGCGGGACCGATGAAGGCTTCGGATATGTTAAAACACCAATCAGAGTGATGTTGTCAGAGCTCCAATTTATGCTGATATCCTGGGTTCATTGGATTGTCTCTGTTGTTGAGTTTACTTTTAGTGATTAACTTCTAGTGTTATTTTACTTGTGAGGAGCTAGATTATATGTAAAATCAAGATTTACTTGTTTGAGTAGCTAAATCCATTCCAGCTACATGCCGGCCATTGCCGGCGAATGATCCCATTTCGGCTAGCAGATTTGTTCATTTTGCCTTCGCCTCCACAGGACTTGACCTGTTGTGGTTGGTAGTTAAGTTGAACTTTGATTCTTATTGAAGTTCATTTGGTGGTTTCTATTGTTTTTGGTATGTTCCGAGATCTGGGCTTAGGGGCTCGCACACTGGGCTATGGGATTCAGTACTAGTCATACTGGTGATCTTTGGTCCATTAGTAACATGGTGATTTTTCTGTAAGACCTGGAACTAGAGATTCACAATAAACCGATGAGGTTCTATGTGATTAGATACGTAACGGAGAAAAGCTTTCGAGTTACTCAAGCTACGGCTCCTGAATCAACAACAACCAGGTTAGCATCATGATTAAGTAAGGAAATGTACTTTACGTTCTTCAGAAGTAATGCCTTGGTAACCACCTCTCTACTCGAATCAGTAGTAGTAGTTGTTGTTGTTGTTGTATTTGACACTAGGACGTCAGCTAAGCTCGAGGATGTCTTTGGGAAAACAAGGTCGTGTGAATATCTATCAGGTAAGGAAAGTGATGAATGTAAAGTTCGTTGAGTAGAATAGCTACTCTCGTGTTTCTAGTGTAAGTTCTATTGCAGGTTATACAAAACAGAACATTTTCTGACTAATAATTATTACGCTTGACTATCCAGACATGAAAGAAAGGTCCGACCCCACCATAATGCGATGTTCGAGCTTTGTTTAAGCTTGAGCAACTCCCACCTCTTGTTAGTTTTCCATTCTCTACGTTGGGCACTCGAGACCCAGCTCAGCTAGCAAACAGATCCAGGATTTGATATCTGTACCAAGGGTTTCTTTTAATGAGTCCATTGTTCTCTGCTCGTACGCTCTGTCTTTCTCACCGGAGGCGCTAGCTCCTGCTCCTCAACAGACCCGGCTGAAACTATCTCCTCCGTAGCTCGTGGGGCTTTGCGATCGACAGAGGCGCCGCGGGTCGTGCCGGTACGGCGCATGAAGCGAAAATCGGTGTATGATATAACGGCGACATAAGCAGCGATGAGACTGTTGTGCGAAGCTCTAGTCAGCGTTGTGTATCTTATTGACAGGATTCGCAAGGTATCGGATCAGAGTTGAAAACGTACTTGAGGAAGATGGCAGCGCCGACAATCACCCAGCTCAGGGTGCAGCTAACGCCCACACATCGTTGGATGTTTCCCTGGATAGACAAGAAGGCGACAGCGCCCCAGAATAGGGGCTCGAGACAGTTGAGGATCATGTTTGTCTTCAGACTGGCAAACCTGCGAAACTTGGAAAAGTGCTGGGTGCTAAGTTCGTATACCAAGAAGACCATTGACTTGGCGGCCTAATGTTGCGTCGACTCGTTAGCGTATTGATGCTCTGAATATGGACTTTGAACCCTTTCAATTTCAAAATGTGCATTGCTTACAATAGCCAGAGACATAGTGTTGTTTCGGGTCACCGGTCCGCCTTTGGCTCGGAGGAATAGTCTGGCACCGGAAAGACCCATCACGATGTGAATGACGATGATCTGAAAGATTTGCACCTTGAGTAGATGGCGGTTGTCGAACAAGCGCATGTTCGCAAGTTTAGTGTCCATGGCAGGCATGACTTTAGTTCCAGCGTCGGATTTCGATGACGGTTTCGTAATAAGTTTTTGTTATCAAGGGTCGATGAGCGGAGAGTTGTGCGGTGTTGCGGTGGACTAGAGATGTTTTGATGAATTCAAAACCACGGGAGATCAAGGTAGCTATGCTGCCTTCTTTATCAACTTTGAACAATCTACTACAGACCCTTATACGCGTACATCCGCATGATTAAATCTGGATATCCATTTCATCCGCCGTGGAAGAACGCCCAACGCAAGCAAAACATGCGCTGGCGGCAGTCTCAACGCTAGGCAGTGCAATCAGCCCGTCGGTCTCGGTTTCCTGGTGTGGGTCACGCGTTGTCTGCCCGCCAACTACGAATAGACAGGCATGCGCCACCTAAATGAGGTCGGTCTCGGTTTCCCATAACCGGGCTCAATTAAGCGTTTAAGGTTTCCCGATAGCACCGCCTTGATCACCACTGGCCGTGCTGTCAAGGAGACCCTCCACATTTGGCGGTCTGCCACATGAATTTCTTGGTTTTCTGTGATTTGGTGATCACAATCAAGTTCCTGATGATGGATGGCATGTTTGTCGAACGAATACAACTTTGGGTGCCTGCACTTCATGGCAATTGAAGGTCGAGTGCCCTCCAGACCAGGATATCCGTCCGGGAGATGGACTGCGGAGTTCCTTCGAACACGACAACCTCTGCTCGTATGGATCATCATTATTTTACTGACAGTTATGTTCGTCCCTACCATACCTCAGACTTCGGCATTTAAGATTCGTCATTAAAATGAACTAGTATGGGGGTTTTGGCGATTAGCAACCCGGACAGCTCGGCAATCACGGCATACGCCGGCAGTGCAAACGCGAACCGCGCCACGTCGTGAAATTGCTTCTAGACTTTCGGGTTCTTGTTCAATCGCGCCGCCCAGCCGGACTTTCAAATGTAATAGCCTATGGTAATCACGGAGATCCTTACCCCTGTGAATGATTCTCCATTCATAGGCGCTCACACGCCGGGATTTTTGGACCGGGCATGCCGGAACGAAGGGCTACACTTTGGCAGAACTGGGCCGCACTTGGTGGACTGTTGGTTGCGCGAGTAACAGGAGTTGCACTCCACCCTTCTATAAAAATTGATAAACAGTTCATTAACACTAAAGTTCTAGACAGATGAGTTCCTCAACGAAGTCACAGACCACACACTGGGAGAACAAAACGCGTTAGGTTTGTATAAGGCCATTGGAGTGCAAGTCGCATTCCTTCAGTCCAATACTGAATCGAAGATTAAGCTTCAAGAGGAGTGTACTGTTGTTCCCTTCCGAACATTCAAACTGTTTTGACTTCTGTAGCCATGACGGAGCGAAAGATACAATAGGGCGACAGAGCCGAATATAAAGCTCTTGTTCAGTTTCGGCCAGAGTGTACGTTCAATTAAATGCTTCTAAGAAGTTCCTAGTGGCCTTTACTGATGTTCCAAATTTCAGGGATTACCCCAAAGAAGGCTGAACTGCTGACTTAGTGTCACAAAGTCCTCGATATCACAATTACAGAAGCTTGTCTAATTCCAAACTCTCAACTTCAAGTGGTCCTTCAAAGCGTGTTACAGAGGGGACGGCGGATATACTAACTTCGTCTTCGGTCACTCCATCTTTATCTCGGTAAGTATTTACAGAAGCACTGATACCGATAGAACGTTTCTGCCGCCCATGTCTCTGTGACACATCTGCCTCATAACCCATAGGATGTGGCCTGAGGGCGTATGGACCGCAAGAAGTGGGAGGAACTCCATCCTCAATATCTGCTGTGTGTTCCTGATCCCATTGGTTGCTGATCGATCGCAACACCTCAAAAGTGCTTTCCATGATACTAGTCCCGCGCATCGTTTTCGTCAGGGATGATTCATTTTGAGTGGGTAAGTAAACCCGTGGCCGAAGTTCTCTACTTTCACTACTGGCTACTTTCAAACCTACACCAACTCCAAAAATTGGATATGATACAGGCCTTTTCTTGCCTCTGATCCCTTGTTCCTGAGTTCCGAGTCTGTGATCTGTCTCTTTCCAGCGGACGAGGAGGACTGCAACAAAATCGTGTGTACCATAGCTTGTGATTGTTTTATGCACATGGTTTTAATGTTGGACGGATAACACTGATGATCCTGAAGGGTACAGTTCGAGGAAGATTCGACATTGAAGTTGACGGAGAAAATATGATTGAAGTCGGAGACAAGATTTTGACTTTGTTCCAAGGACAGATACTTGGGAATCTGATACGCGAGTCTGTCGACAATCCCGCCGCTGATGGGCTTCCGAAGGAGTCTTCACCGTTGACGGCAGACCTCATCGAGATCCGATACACCACCATGAAGAAGTATACTGCAGTTCCAGCTCGAAATCGTAACTAAGAGATGCTAATAAGAATCAAAACATCAAAGAAAATCCGAGATCGCGTGCGGAACTTCATGCTCAAATACCTACATACCGAGTTTCCTCAGTTCGAAAAGAAGTCGCAATGATTCATAATCGCTTCCTTTCTTGATCATGCTAAAGAGAGGATAAGACACAGCTTCCCCAACGAGATGTGAAGCGTCTCCGGTCAAGATGTAGGATCATTGGGACTTGCATGCATTCTTGGCTTTTGTCATTCCGGAATAATGAAATCAAGGTCAAAAGAATCCCTTAAATACCTTCTCGCCTCAGCAGAATGACTACACCAAGCGACAAAAAGATGGCTATGGCCTTGGCACGTTACACGCCAAAACTCAATCTTGAATCATTGGTTTTCTTTACAGCTCTAGATCACGATCCGAGAAACAATTGTAACTGTTGCTGGGAGGTTGCAGCCGGATCGCCCACCACCACAAGGTTGCGCGATCGGGGGCGAGTGGGGTGAGCAGGGTGAGTATGCTGCTTTGAGTCGGAAACAAATAGTGGACCGTGAAACTTGCTAGCAGTACAGGCTTCTGGTACGTAGGCTAATGACCTGTGTTGTCAGTGTGTATTGCCTTGGTGGACGTGCCTTGCTGAGGAAAAGTTGAGCGGTTGTCTGCTACCGGAGGAATGATTCGTGGAAACGGAGACTAGGGTGTTGCGGTGGCTATGGCGGCGAGGTTTGTCGCTGGTCGTAGTGGCGCTGTCTGTAACTGTGATGCCCCTCCCCCCTATTCCGCCTATCGCCCCTCAGCGCCGGATGCCCCGTTCCCGCGGGCACCCAGACCCTCTCCGTGAACACAAAGGCCGGCCCGAATGTTCCATCCTATAGACGCCCTGAGCTTCTTCATCGTGGCATAAACCATCTGCCTCACAACAAGCTCATTGAGTCATTCAGCAACTGCATGACTTCAACATCCCGACTCACTCATCTTGGCAATTCGACCGCACAATTCAGACACTTCCACGCCCTCTCTGAAAACTCTGGGTCTGTTGTTTGACATGCATTTCGGAAATTCTGAGGAGAGTGACCTAGTATTGGTGCAATGCTCTTATGTACCAGGCAGATGGTGTGAGGAGCGTATGTGTTTCGATGTTCATGGCATCATCATTACGCTGGAAGACAGCATGGTTTGACGTAGACGCTCGGGCATGGTATGGTATTCGTAGGAAACAAAGGGGTGAAGGAGCACGAAAATTAGGGGCGGCGGGGATTGATGCCGTACATATATCCATGGCGACCACGTGGAGGGGGTTCATCTTTTTGTTCATCATGGAAAGATGATATTTCCTATTTCGGGCTACAAGGGTACCTAGATATATGTTCATTCCTCTAGCTTTGATCTTTTGGTCTGCTTTTCGTCGTTTTACTGGAAGTGGGCCACCTTGTGATATACGAATGACATTTTCGTAATTGGTACGACGATGAACTACTTGCCATCTTCAGTGTTTTATTTGCTCACGGCGTTACGCTGCGATATTTAGATACTCGTCTTGCACGTTCAGAAGGGATCGGCTTCCGTATTCATTGCGGCGAATATGGAGCCGTGGGCCCATCATGGCATAACCTCGGCATTCCGAAAACCCGCCTTCAAGAAGACGGACACAAGTGCTGACATAGCGGTTAAGAAGGAAGCATGTCGATACTTGGCTGCGTGCGGGGCTTTTGACAAGGTTTTAATGCAGTTATCCGAGGATGAGGCTAGTCAGCGGTTCAAAGAAGAACCACGTGCAATGCGCCGACGCAGGGAGGCTTTGACTTGCACCTTCGGTAGGACTTCGGCGTCGATGGCTAATTACTCGCTGTCCCACACCCAATGAGATCATGGATTCTCGTGTCTGCTACTTGGGCTGCTTTACCGGGTAAGTGTATAGCCATATACTGTGTAGAGTGATTTTCAGCTAAGTTGACATTTGTACCAAACTTCGGAAGCTGTTTAGTCAAGTCCCTAACAGTGGCCATATTGTTGGGCTCGGTAGCGTTACCAACTTTTGTAATCCGAACATCAACTCGGTGTTCCGGCTAGAAACAGATGAACTGCAAAAACGCGGAAGCGCAAGCGCGGCACCGATTCAGGAGGGAAGGCCGTAACAGGCAATGCGCAAGATCCAGGGAAACCTGACAAAGTGACCAAAAGGTTTTGGAGAAACCCCGCATGCTTGGGATGGTCCTGACTCAATTTTGTCGGGTTGGCAGAGGGGAAGGGTCCGATCTTAATATCGGGACAATGAATCGGCAAATACCAACCAGTTGCATTCAATTGAAGTACAAATAGCGAGACTGTGCCACAGTTGAACAAAGAGTAAGTCTACATACGCCAAACGCAACCTAAGACTTAGTTAACTTTCAATATGATTCTTTCTTGGGTCCTCGCAACTGCGCTCGGTGCTTTTGCCGCCGTCGCGCAAGATACCCCAGAGCCGCAGGCCCCCAAATTGACTTATCTCTACACTCTCACCGCATTGCTCAACTCATCAATTGAGATTGGTACGGGAATGTATAGCGATCGCAAAGCGATTCCCATCATCGGCGGCAGTTTTGATGGTCCTCGGCTTAGCGGCAAGTCGTTCCAATGCGTTTTGCGTCTCGTCTTGAGTTCGTTCTAACTCGCAACGGCAGGTACTGTCCTCGATCTTGGTGCCGACTGGGGTCTCACAGATTCGAAGGGCGTCTTCCATCCTGACACACGGTACAATCTGAGGACGGATGATGGTGCAAATATTTTCATCCAGACGAGTGGATCGAAGCAAACGAATGGAAAGATTTACCTCAGACAGATTTTTGAGACGGGCAACGAGGATTACTATTGGCTCAACAATGTTGTCTCAGTGGGCGTGTTGACGTCAGGGAACGGTAGCGTAACCATCGAAGGGTGGGTGATGGACTTGTAATAACTCTGTAACCCCTACATGATAAAGAACAAACATGTATTTGGCTGCTTCAGACCCTATAGCCCTACACCTGTCATTATTGCGACTTGCCCTGTTTAACCAGACGGAATTCCCTCCAACTCTGGAAAGAGAAGTACTGTGACAGAAGTATTCGAAGCCGTCATTTCTAGGTCTCCAAGTCCCGGAAGCCTCAAATAATATTCACCGATTATATTACTACCTATTCCAGACTCAAGAGCCGCTTCAGCCACAAGGACAGGGAAACCCGATAAGCTCTAGAGTAAGTAGACGAAAAGTAAAACTTATGGGTTTCTCCCCAGCTCTCGTCGACTATTAAGTCGAAGATCTAATACACGAACAGAGGATGAAGCCAGTAACCAAACGACGTCTATTCAACCATATGGTACAATACATACTTTGTACTTGGCTAGTCATACAGAAACGTAGCAGAACATTCAGCTCCACTGTTCTCCACGGTATGACTATAAGCCAGCTATCTTACTGGTAAAGCTCAGGGTAGGCAGCCTTAATCATGTCTGAAGTCTTTTCGGCAATCATGTAGACAGCGTTCTGAATACGACAGTCAGGAATAACAGGAATAACCGAAGCGTCTACAACTCGGAGACTGTCAACACCGTGAACACGGAGCTTGTTGTCAACAACACCTTGCTCAATGTTTTGGGACATGCGAGTGGTACCACAAGGGTCTATCAGTTATGTAAGTGTCAGTGTTATGTGTGATCAGCAACAAGAGAGTTGTTTGCAAGTGAAGTCGAAGGAACTTACGGAAGCCTGTCTGCGAGCGCTCTAGGATCATCTTGATCATGGCTTCATCAGAGTTGCGGGGCATGGGCCAGGGGTAGTCGCTCTCAATAATGTCTTTCATACCCTCTCCATTCATGATGATGTCGTCGACGAATCGGACACCCTCGCGCATGGCAATAAGGTCAAGATCGCTGGAGAAGAAGTTAATGTTGATTTTGGCCTGCTCGAGGGGATTGGTCGAGTTAAGCGTCACCGTGCCATTCTGGGAAAGGGGGCGAAGCAGATCGACAATAACGGTGAAGTAGTCACCCTGCGGCGGGGTGGGAATATGCCACTGGAAGGCATCGCAGAACATAGGCTATATTCATAATGAGTTGGTATTAAGAGGAATTGTGTTGTAGGGGGTTTGGAACCTACAACAAAGTCGATCTCAAAATGGGGCTGGCCGCTGGGACCGAAGGGATCAACCCCGCCGTTGTTCTCGAGATACTCAGTATACTCCTGACAGTTCCTGAGTCGTTCATCGATGCGGGGCAGGCCAATCAGCTCAAGAAGGCCACTGCCCAGCGGTCCCTTGTGCTTCCAGCGGTAAGATGACACGGCGCCATCTTTCTCAGGACCAGCGCGCAGGAGGTGTTGGTCAAGGCCATAACCGTCTTTGAGCTTGAAGACGTGGGGCATGATGGGATGGTCAAGTAGATTCTGGCCAACGTGGGGTGAGTCGACAATTGTTTCGATGCCGAAAGACCTGAGATGCTCCTTTGGGCCAATTCCGGAGAGCATCAGGAGCTTAGGCGACTCATAGACACCAGAGGCAACGATAACCTCGTAATTGGCGCGAAATGAAAGGTTTCCGCCGTCTGGTCCAATAACTTCGACACCGACAGCCCGGTTGTTCTCAATGATAAGTCGTCTAGAGTTGGTCTGACCTAAAACGGTAACGTTCTTTTTGCCCTCAAGGAAAAGCCAACTGGAGGAACGGGTGCCCTTGTAGATGGAGCTCACCGCGGTTGCCAGTCCATGCATTTCACCATCGTAGATCTCATCGTTAAGCTTCTCGCCTTTGCTGACCCAAGCCGTCTTTAGAGCTTCACGGAAAGGAGCGGCTTCAGCAACTAGCTCTGCGGGAGAGACGTGGACAGGTCCTGATGTGCCAATGTGCTGCAAGTGTTTGGGGAAGAGGCCCTGGTCGTCGTGGAAAGTGGCAGGCTTGTCAAAATACTCCTTGCAACCGGCCCATGTCCATTCGCTGCCTCCAAACGCGGCCCAGTCGTCGAAGGTGGCTGCGCTTCCACGAATCCAGGTATAGTAGTTGAGGCAGCTGCTACCGCCTAGGACCTTGCCACGGGTATTGGGTTTTTCGATGCGAGTGTACTCGGGACGGTCGATCATGGTTGTCTTGTATCCCCAATCCCACTTGCTCCCCCTGAGCTCGAAAGCGCGAGCGGGCGTCGTTATGGCTTCATTATCCTTCGGATTGCTAACACCGGCCTCGATAACCAGAATTTTCACGCTGGGGTTCTCAGCTAAGCGTCCGGCCACAACGCAGCCGGCTGTGCCACCTAGATGATTGTTAGAGATATGGTTGGCTCAAAGGCGATGATCAGTTCTTGGCATACCACCAACGACAATGAAGTCAAAGTCTTTATTGCTGTTGATTAAAGTCATATCGAAATGAGGTTACTGACGTAAGATCAGTAAAAAGTAATATTGGAAAGATATGGAAAGGAGTTTGTGATGGTGGTTTATGATGTTGTTTTGGACTGAATTGTGTGCGTGTCTGGATGGTTTCTCTCATCCCTGAGGACTGAGCTCTTGATGCTATTTGTATTCAGAGCTTCATATTGGATCTGGGATAAATTCTCGAATATTTTGATGAACTCGCGAACGCCCTCTAAGTGCCGCTAACCCGGAGGTGACTGACGATGCCGATGATGCCGATGACGCAGTATTTCGAAGTGCCGTTCCATGGATACTTTTTGCAACTGTGCAGTACGTCAACCCGGGAAAGATCGTAATCTTAGTCACACAAGAGATTATTCGCAACCGAATAACGTCGCGGCCTTGGGTTGGCTTTCCAACTGGGTTGAACGGTCTAGGTTCCACCTCGGCAATAGCGCAGAACGCCACATGATGACAGGTTACGGCGGAATTCCGCACTCAGCCAATTACACGCTGAGGACTACTGATGACACGAACTCAGACTCAGCAATTCATTCTCCTGGTAAAATTTGGGACTGAAGCAACAAGCAAATACGAAAATTGCCGGCCATGCCCAAAACAGTCCACAGAGTGTTGTACAATGGGTCCGGCTTTCGGCCCCGACACGGACGGGTCCGTTCTCGGACAATTTTCGTTATCTCGGCATTGTTCAGCTGAAGCTCGGTGAGGCACCCAATCAGCTGATAATATACCACACCAATGCAGTTACCTCACTAGTCGGTATCCTAAAGTCCTGCTTTCACCTGGAGGAAATAACATGCCGAAAGCCGCCAGCCAAGGGTTGTTCACTTCAGCGGGTTTGCGGATCTTGCTGACTGCGCTGCAGCGCTCAACAGCAAGAAACTTTCACGGCCTAATTCAATGTGCTTTGCCAACTTATGGGTTTAGCCACGTAGGAAGCACCGTTTTCTCGGCATTGCAGCAGCTATGGGTGCTTACTGATGTTGAGTGGCCTAGCCGTATTTAGAATCCAAGTGACTGATCCAAAGGCCGCCGAACGTGACAGGGGAGAGATGGCTTCATCAAGATCACTCCGGATTGTTTGCATCGTTAAGATATATAACACAAGCCATCGTTCACTGAGAGAGAAACCAAGCACACTGATCCTTGAATTCCTTAAAGATAAGAATTAACCAGCTCGAAAAGTGTAGCAACGCTCCATTGTTGGCATTCATCCATAGCATTCGCGATTCTCTTGATTAGACAACCAACAACACAATGTCTACACCAACATACACTCTCGCCGAAGGTAGTAGAACAGCCTTTCCATACGGTTTTGTTGAAAATCTTCTAACTATTTCTAAGGCGTTCCGTATGCTGATCCAACAACCGCTCAACACTTTGGCGGTAATTCAATCAAGGGTCTTATGTTGCTGCAAGACACGCAACTCATCGAGACTCTGGCACACTTTAGCCGCGAGCGCATTCCGGAACGCGTTGTACACGCTCGAGCCGTGGGGGCTTTCGGCGAGTTCGAGGTTACCCACGATGTATCTCAGTACACCTCTGCCAAGTTCCTCAATGGTATTGGGAAGAAGTCCAAAGTCCTGCTTCGTGTCTCAACCGTAGGACCAGAACGAGGTAGCGCCGACACTGTCCGTGATGTTCGTGGTTGGGGCATGAAGATCTTCACCGAAGAAGGTAATCAGGACTGGGTCTTTAACGACATTGTAAGTTGCCAATTGTATCCTCAAGAGTCTCAATCCAGGCAATGGAACTGATTCAACAGCCCGTATTCTTCGTCCGTGATCCGATTAAGTTTCCGTCTCTCAACCGCTCTCACAAAAGGAACCCTCGTACCAACCTGACAGACGCTACTATGGTATGTATATGTGATACGTAACTCTCGAAAAGCGATTACTAATATTAAAATAGTTTTGGGAGTAGGTCAATCCATACGACATTGTTCTCTGAAATCACTAACCATAAAAGCTTCCACAACAACAACCAAGAGGGTATCCATGCTCTCATGCATCTCTTCAGCGGACGAGGTACACCAAAGAGTATCCGACACCTGAACTCGTACAGCGGGCACACATACAAGCTTATGAAGGATGTGAGTAATCAAACTCTTCTTGAAGTATCCATCCGTTGACCTAATGCTGACACTCATCAGGATGGCTCGTTTTTTTATGCCAAAATCCATATCAAGACGAACCAGGGCGTTCAAAATTTGTCGCAAGATGAGGCAGTAAAGCTGGCAGGTGAAAGCCCGGATTACCATACCGCTGATCTGTATAATGCCATTGAAAGGGGCGACTTCCCTTCATGGACAGTGTTCTTCCAGGTCATGGAGCCCAAGGACGCAGAAAAGTATCGCTGGAACGTCTTCGACATGACCAAAGTCTGGCCGCACTCTGACTACCCACTAATCCCTGCGGGCAAGCTCACTTTAAAGAAGAATGTAAGCCTTAACAGCAGCCAAACCTCAAGCAAACAAAGAGCTCCATCAGCTGATTTCTATTTCAGCCTTCAAACTACTTCGCAGACATCGAACAGGCAGCTTTCTCGCCGTCTAACATGGTTCGCGGTATTGCACCTTCCGCTGATCCTATGCTTCAAGCCCGCATGTTCGCTTACAATGATGCCGCACGCTATCGACTTGGCGTTAACTATCAGCAACTCCCTTGCAACCGAGCGGTATCCCCCGTGTACTGCCCCTATCAGCGTGACGGCTTCATGACTTTTGGTGATAACTACGGAGCCGATCCAAACTACGTACGTTCGGATTTAAAGCCTGTTGGTTATGTTGGTCGCCACGGCGCGAGCGGTTATGCTATTGGGGGCCACGAAGAGTGGGTGGGACAAGTTTGTGGATTCACTTCGGAAGTTGTCGATGACGACTTTGCTCAGGCACGCGCCTTTTGGGAGATACTTGGAAAGCAGCCGGGGGAACAAGAGGCGTTGGTGTACAACCTTGCCCAGCACATCCGTGGCGCGGCTGCAGTGGTGCATGAGAAGGCTTTTAGTGAGTAACTTGTCGATCCAACCGCTAGATTTTACTGACCATGAATTTCCAGAAATGTTTGGCAGAGTCGATGAGGGCCTCGGAGAGAGAGTTCGTGCTGCAGTTCATGAGTCATGATTTGCGATCGCGGGAGTTTGATCACCGTGTTTATGGCTTCGTAGGTTTATTCGCTTGGCGCATATAATGAAAGTCTGGCAGCTCAGTTTTCAGTCTTGTGCCATTCCCAAACATTCTGCGTTAGCCAATCGCTTTCTTCAAAAACCCCACATTCTTGCTCATGGTCTTGGTGGAGACTCGGACCATCGGTTAAGCAGCCACGGATCTCTGGGCGTAATCCCGGGCATCGTCGGAGTTCAGGCTCATGGCATTGTTTGGAACCATAAGTGCGCTTGTACGACGTCGCATTGTCTGTGCGCGCAGACTATTATTTGGACTTTCCATTTGCCCAAGTCGGGACTCAAATGATGATTAAGTCAGCGAAAAGTGGTATGCATGGACTGTGGCTTCTTGTGCGCCTTCCAAGTTCCGGCCTGTCTCGGAACTTGTGACAAACGTTGGTTACACGACTGAGCTCATGAACACACCCCTTAGTCATTTGGTTGTTGAAAAGAAAACTAACTAAGTGGGAATTGATTTAGCTATATAACTCTATCCAAACCAGAGTGTTTTCCAATTCATACCAGACTTCTATCGCGATCGCTTTATCAATCTTCTCAAAAACCGGAATCATTTCCTATTAAATTACAACCACTTCCTCACAATAATCATGTCTACTATTCGCATTGCTTCTCTGGCCTACCAGTACCAAACGATCGATGTCTTCGGACCGTTTGACGTCCTCAGCTCTGGTAGCAAGCTCGTAACTCAGCTCCTGAAGGAATACCGCCCTGTGAGCGATGAGCTTACTGCTGCGGCACCAGAGGTCGAATTTCACCATATCGGGGTTACTTTGGACCCCGTGGAGCTGACCGCTGGTGTCTCCATTGTTCCAACGGCAACTGTCGACAACCCGCCGGAAGTTGACATCCTCCTCCTTGGCGGCCCTAACCCAGCAACTTTCACGCTGCACCCTAAGTTTGTGGATTATATTCGTCAGCATGTTGCTGCCGGCAAGCTTCTCTTCACCAACTGCACTGGGTCTTTCGTGGCCGCTTTAACTGGGGTTCTGGACGGCCGAAATGTAACAATCAACAATGCGGAACTTGAATGGATCAAGAAGCGCTTTCCGAAGGTCAACTGGACTGTCGAGAACAAGTGGGTTGTAGACGGAAACATATGGACAGCTGCAGGAGCCGTTGCAGGCATGGATATGACGGCTCACTGGCTCAAGGAGAACTTTGGAGAGGAGGTTCTCACGTTGGCAACCATGGGTCTGGACTTTGAGCCCAGAGATGTCAAGGGCGTGCTCAACGTCATTCCCAAGAGATACGACTCTGCGGGAAACCAGATCACAACACACGTCTTTCCGTACTATGACTCCTACTGAATTTGTCTGGGAAAGGTTCTAGACCCATATCGGCTCAGGTTCTAGATAAGCGTTTACAATATTGGTTTTGCCAATAAAATAGCTCTGAAGAATCTGAATTTTGTCACAGAAGGCAGATTCGGTGCATGTATATTGTACGCGTTAATATTTTGAAACGAAACAAGTTGACTAGGGATGGCCAAAACTCAACTCAAAATAAAGCTGAGAAATATCGGATGAACCGGTATTTACGTTTTGCAGTGGGAATTCTTATCTCGACTTGGTAAGACAGTGCGAGGGGGCCCTTGATCCCAAGTGCCGGGGCTCGACTCCGATATTAGGAGATAGGTGGGGCCTGGGAGTCCATTCCGCGCTCAACTTTACACAAAAATCATCGACCGGCAAGGTTCACCGTTGAAAACTGGCATGGGCAAGAGATAGGAACCGATAAGTGATAACACATCCATAAATACTCCCAGCTTGCCACTAACGTTGTGGTCTCTCTTTCCGTAGTCTCCAAAGTCAATTTTAGATACCCGGATTGAGGTGTCTGTCAGTATGGTGTTCGCGACAATCATTAGAGTTGCTCTCGCGGCTGTGATCGCGCAGCCGGCTCTAGCAGCTCGCAAGAACATTATCATCGATACCGACATTTTCAGCGATTGCGAGTCAGTTTGTACTTTTGAAGTCCCTCACAGTAACGGCCCTAACATTTGAGGATTCTCTAGTGATACTGGCGCGCTGCTCCTCGCCGCAACCTCTCCTGATGTGAACCTGCTTGGCGTCAATATCAATTACCCCTCAACCTACTCAGTTACCGCAACGTCAGCTATCCTCGCCCATTATGGCCTGGCCGAAGTTCCCATTGGAGCGCGGCGGCCACTGACCAACGAAAGCTTTTTCGACACCTTTTCGTATAACCTGGGAGAGTACGCAAGCAAGATCTCCTACCATTTTCCAGGGGGTTCCATTCCGTTTGAGGCTGCGGAAGAAGCGTGGGACGCGGTTTCGCTCTACCGCAAACTACTGGCCGAGGCAGATGAGCCCGTTACAATTGTCTCTATTGGCTTCTTCGAGAACCTTTCTGGTCTGCTTAACTCCACCGCAGATGTGCATTCGAACCTTACGGGGCCTGCTCTCATCGCGAGCAAAGTTTCGGAACTGGTCGTGATGGGAGGTGGGTATCCATCAGGAAGAGAATTCAACTTCTTTGGAGACAACCCGCTTCGTACGGCACATGTAGTCAACAACTGGAAGGGCCGCATGGTCTTCTGCGGCACGGAGGTGGGAAGCATTGTTTTGTCAGGCAGCAAGCTCCTTGCCGATGGCCCGTTATCGGACCCGGTTCGCCAAGCGTACATTTACTACAACTTCTACAAACCTCGAGAGTCCTGGGATCCTCTTACGGTTCTGTATGCGATGAAAGGCCTAGGCGACATTTTTGAGTACGGCAACATCAATGGCCACAACTTTGTTTATGCCAATGGTTCAAACGAGTGGCTTTTTGACGGGAATGTCACTAACCAATTCTGGCTGAACCTTAAGGTGGATAATGTCACTGCCGCCGCAGCTCTCGACAAGCTTTACCTTGAAGGATCATTGTCGGTGGTAAATGGGACAGACGCATAGAGAGCTAGAGCCGAGTTTGTCTTATTAGCTGGCAATTGATCAACGTATGGAAGGCAGTCACGCCAACTGAATTCGATCTGGGCATCAAAACAATCTCGTGTATACTATTATAGAACTTAATGCTATGGTGCTTAGTTGTCACTATGCAACGATACCCAGCCCGTTATCCATCAATATAAGTGGATCAGTGATATTCCGTTTTCCGATACCGAACAGGCACTGGTCTGTCAAAAGCGTGCGTTCCGAAGGGCATCGCCCGATGGCGTGAATTGGCCTTGGCTGCATCCACGGGATCGAGAATCTCGACATCCAAATCCTTCATAAGTAGGAAGGCCGACACCAGAATAGTGTTCTTAGCCAGGGTCTCGCCCGGGCACCTCCATGCACCGCCGCCAAACGGGAAAAAATGGCCCCTAAGAGCTGCTGGATTCGATAACTTAGCATTTGAATCATCCCGAGTAGACTTTTCCCTTGCGGAATCGACTGTCCCTGTGTAGCAGGAGAGGGGCTTTTGCAGTGGGCCGCTCCTAGGGTCATCTGGGTATTCTAAAAATCGCTCGGCCCAAAAAGACTCGAGCGAATACTCTGGAAGCCCGTTAATGATTCGGCCGGTGTTCCAAACAGACTCATCCAGTCCTCCAAGCCAATTAGCAGACATGCCACTGGCACCTGACTGGAGGGCTGATAAAGAGTCTCCATGGAGACGAACGCCTGCGCCAACCGCCTTACGGCCGATGGTTCCCGCAACATGCAAGCGGAGGGTTTCGCGGTAGACGGAGTTAAGTAGGGGAGCTGATGATAGTGCTGTGTAGTCAATTTGCGACTCTGTAGCCTCGGGCTGGATCAGCAACTCTCGTCTTAACCGGGAAACGAGAGATTGGTCGAGAAGGATGTGGAGAATCATCCAAACCGCCCCTGGTATTGTGTTCGCTGTCGTACTGTAGTACGAGTGTTAGTAAAAGGTCTTAAGTATCAGTGTTTGGAAACAACCTACACAAACAGAAAGCCGAGCAGCAAACTCGAAATACCTTCATCTGAAAATCCCAAGCTCTCATATCGCTGCACCATGTTTTTCACGTAACAAGTGCCCCAAATCGGGTTAGACTCTGCGTTGCCAGGCTCTTCGTCATCGTGGTAGGAGTTTGCGTTGCAACACTTCCTCCAAATATCAAGGTTTTGCAGCATCTGATCTCTAGAACGGTACTGTGCGGGATAGAGCCAACGAGGGCTACCACGCGAGACTACAGGAAATGCATCGTAAAAGGCCCAGAAGTCTCTGCAGAACGTGGGGCAGATGTTGAACAAATTTTTGCCATAGAGTGCCTCGACCTCGGCCTTGAAAATAGAGTCCCGCAAAAAGGTATACAGATCCGGTATAACCACTGACTCTGGGTCCGAATGGTGAGGTTGGCAGGGCCAGAACAATTCACTAAGGTTGCATGAGAACCTGCCCATAACAAGCCTTAGGTTTTCGCCGTTCAAAAAGGTGGTGAAGTCCTTTCGTTGGTGCTCCATGATCCTTCTTGACTCATCTGGGTGGGAAGTCGAGTGCTCTACTCCCTTTTTTGCTTCGAAAGCCGAGATATGATCATGGTTGAAAATGTGGTAGTCAACCTTTGTCAGGCCAAAGAAAACTGTCAGAGCGTCGAATATTCCTGGAACCGGTACGAGATCTCTGGATGCCCTGAAAAGCGACCGTACTCCGTCTCCAGGAAGAACGTAGTGGAGTGAGCCCACAGGCATAGAAAGCGAGAGGACTGGATTTTGAATATTGATCCTGCGGACAAGTTAGCAAATCGTCTGTACTGGATAAATGCACCGGAATGCCTTTTACCGGAGAAGAGGACGAAGAAATGTCTCGGCATCGAAAAGAATGGAGTATGCATGTCCCAATCCAGGAACTAGATATGGAGGAACAGGCGATGGGCGATCTTCAGAGCTCTTCGGCCTCCAGGTTTGAAACATGAATCTAATGTAAGTGAAGAGGTATGTAAGTATGAAAGGGACACTTAGGACCGCGATCATAAGAGGAAAAGTTACGAGATCATGCTCAAAAGGCTCACTAGTGCCAGAAGTATCAGAGCCCAAAGAAAACATGTCCATGTTCAGGTCCAGATACATTTTGAAGTATTTCTCAAACTTCAAAGCCACTCCTCAGAGCCTTCCGGAGAGAGTGTACTTTTATCATCATATATCTGAGTGATAGATTGTCACATGAAAGACAAGCACATCCAGTTAGACTGATGGTTGCGTAACGAGGCTTCCACTTCAGTCGGGAGGTGACATTCTATGGACAAACATGCGGACCAACATCGCTCGCTACCTTGGTTGTGGACTTATCACGCAGTTCATGTTGGCTGTGTAGACTTGGCTGTTGCAGTTGCATGACGCCCTTGCATGGGTATGGCCCCAAGGCCGCCATTCAGCGGTCTTCAGCAAAGCGTGTAGCAAGGCTGCAGAAGCAAACAATTTGACACTTTAGGCACACGTTCCGATCCCGATTAGTCCACGAATTCATTGCCCTGTTGGCCATCCCATGATCGCCGGCTGACGTGATATCTGATCACATGCGGGACTGCTCAGTTATTTCTATATTAGGATTTCTGCTTGATGCGATTGGCTTGTCGTTCTTTACATTGTGGCTTTGAGTCGACGCCACCGAGTCATAATACATCTAATTTAGAAAACCTATCCTGCGAAATAGGGAATGATGTTACTGACGCGAAGGGACTATACAGCTGCCTAAGAGCTGAACATTGAAGGCTTGGGGGCGAAACCATTCAAATACTCGGATTGCAGTCAAAGATTCAAATCAAGATTTGTGGGACTTCGTTGGCATACATGGGTATGGAAGGGAGGTTGGTGCGGTTCGGTTGGAACGGGTTGTCTGCTGCTTGCGGTTCTGTTGGAAGATGCAATCCTGTCGGTTAGGGTTGATTGGACCAAAAGGTAACTCTGCCGCAGGTGAAGGACCAATTGTTCCGTAGAATGCACTGTGATGACTTATGCAGTTGCTTTCAGTCGAAGCGCCATGGAGGACAGCCGCAGGAGCAAAGCCGTCTTAGCACTTGGCACACATCCTCAGATAAGGCAGGTAGGAAACTAGGACTCCTTGTTCAACTCAAGATTTCGATGTGGCGATGGCGACTTGAGCAAATACATCCACAAAGTTTACTTCGAATCAAGTGTGTCTACATTCGCGCTCCGTTTCATCTCACTGTTTAGTGTCGAGATAAAGAGGATGTCTGCCGTACAGTTCTTATTCCTTGGGTGATACCAGAGCCGTGTACTACCCGGATTGCCCTAATATGTTCTGTTCTCATTTCCTTCCCTGATCTTGTCCTCTTTGTCTTTACTGACCTTGCTGGCCCTGCCAGTCCCTGCACTGCACTATTATCTTGACAATCAATCCATCGGAATACTGAAGCACCAGAAAGACAACAGTGACGGGGGATTAGTCAAGGGATTGAATCAAAAGGAAAGTAAGGGGTACGCGAAGGATAACAATGGTTCGCATGCCCTTAGTTCCATCAATTTACATCCTTGAGTCCTGTCGGGCACTTTCTGAAAACCGAAGCTGCGATGAAATGACTGATGTAGTAAGAAGAACCGAAATCACGTGCTGACTAACACTCGATTGATACTTATTGAGACAAACTTTGGTTTACTATGGTCATTGTTGTATCGGTAAGAGTATTCCCAATATAATTCACCATGCACGCACCAACTGGCTCTAAGTGCCCAATATGACAGCATCTTACGTAGTCGAGGATGTATGTTAGCGGTACGATCAAACTATCGTAACACCTAGATATACGTTACTGGCGTTATATTCAAGCCCTGGGGCCAATCCAAACATCTCGTTGCGGAGTGTAGGTTAGGGAAGTGATTGGGTTTGCAAAATCCATCGGCAATAAATCCTTGCATTACATAGTTAATGTCTGCTTATATTAGATCAGATTCCGGTCGTCCATACTGCGAAAGAACAGAACCAGGATCGGGTTGATGCCATCGTATACGATCTCCCACGTAGTTCGGGTGTGCGCAGGAACCTTCATGCGATTCAGAAGCGTACAGCACTGGGCAAGTTTGGCCACAGTTGGGGTAAGAGCTGTTAGGTTTCCCCGCATGATGTCGGCCTAAATCCAACACACAACTCGGAGAAATCCTAACCGATGCAAAACGCTATGACTTCCTTTCGAATGCATGCTGCCAGTCTTGTACCGAGGTAGTTTGGATATTCGTTCCACACTCCTACTCAAGGAACCACACACTCACAGAATCATTTTCAAGCCGCAAGTCATCCTGAAGCTTCAAGTCAATTTGCTCAAGCAGACTCTTTCATTACGCACCATCGCCTCTCATTATGTCGTCCCAGCCAAGAGAAGCGTCATGGAAGGCCATTGCCCGTCGCAAGCAGGCGGAACGTGCGGCACGTATACCTTCAAAATGGCACATACCATCCAACGCCATCCCCAAAGACCCACCAAAGCTTCAGGATGGACCTCAGAATGTCCTCGATGTACCACGCCAATTTTTATCACGGTCTGAAATCTCCATTACCGAGTCATATACCATTCTTTCGCTGCTCAAGGCCATTTCATCATGTAATCTCTCCACGACACAGGTTGTTGAAGCATTCTGCCACCGCGGGGCTATCGCACACCAGCTCACAAATTGCCTGACGGAACCTCTCTTCGACACAGCACTGGAGCGCGCGCGATACCTGGATGAGTATATCCGTGAACATGATGCGCCTCTTGGGCCTTTGCATGGCCTCCCGGTGTCGGTCAAGGACACCTTCAATGTCACTGGTGTCGACACATCAATTGGTCTTGCATACCTATGCCATAAGCCCGCCACACAGAACGCGCCCTTGGTCGACCTCCTCCTCTCACTAGGATGCGTCATCATAGCCAAGACCAACGTTCCGCAGACACTCGGGAGCCTCGACTCGGTGAACAACATTTTCGGCCGGACGATGAATCCTATCAATCGGATGTGCACCGCTGGCGGGTCATCCGGCGGTGAGGGCGTGCTCGTCGCCATGAAGGGCTGCATGATCGGCATCGGAAGCGATATCGGGGGCAGCATCCGTGTGCCCGCCATGTGCAACGGTGTCTATGGCTTCAAACCTTCAAATGGACGCGTGCCTTTCGGCGGCCATGCTCTGACCGGAATTCAGGGGATGAGTCGCACATCAGTGCAAGCTGTCGCCGGCCCGATCGGCCGGAGTGTCGAGGATATCGATACCCTCATGCGCGAGATCGTTCCTCGAGCTGCGTTGTGGGGAGAAGACTGCATGCCTGCTTCGTGGTCACCCAGCCCCCACGGATTACCAGTACTTGGCAGCGGCAAACACGGCGAATTGGTTGTTGGTGTGCTCCGCACAGATGGAAATTGCAGCATACACCCGCCGATTGCCAACATGATGGACGAAGTGGCATACTTCCTCGCGACGACACCCAACGTAAAGGTCATCGAACTGCAATGTCCCAAGGCATTGACCAAGGCGCAGTCCGTCATGAACAAGCTCATGGGAGTCGATGGTCATGTCAAAATGGCCGAGATGATTGATGCGATGGGCGAGCCACTGGTACCGTGGACTGCGGCGCGTTTCAAGAAGGGGAAGCCTCAACCGCTCACACGCGTGGCCGAGTTCCAGGCGCAACGCGCCGAGCTGGAACGAGAAATGCTGAGGATGTGGGTTGAGGATGACGAGTGTGGTCAGCGGCGGCAAAAGCTAGATGCCATCATCTGTCCCGTTGCGCCGCATCCCGTGCCGCCGATCGACGGCTACAATGCTGTTGGAATGACCAGCAGTTGGGTTCTACTGGATTATCCCGCGGGAACAGTGCCTGTCCGCAACGTGAAGGAAAGTGATTTGCAACTGGGCCATCCGCAGGGTGGCAAGGTCCTGGGAAGCTGGGATGAGAGAAATCGTGAGTTGTGGGACGAAGGCAAGATTGATAGGAAGGTTTATCTTGAGACTCCGTTGAGTGTTCAGGTAATCGTTCCGAGGCTGCGAGACGAGAAGTTGATAGAGGTCATGCGCTGCGTAGATATGGCCTGTAAAGGAAAAGGGGGCAACGTCCACGCGAAGCTTTGAGGCTTAGTTCTGGTCCAGATGGGACACCCAGAAGTATGGCAGACTCTTATTACCACCACGCCTTTTATCTGTCTATGCGATGCAATAAATGAACGGTTGCTTCCGGGATCGTACTATTGCATCTGTCTATATTTCTTCCCGACCCTGATCATCGCTGCTGTCATCTCGTTGCCCGATTGAAAGAACGAACAAGTGGGACAGGAAAAGAAGGCGGGAGGGTTAGCAGAAAAGAAGGAAACGAGGCGTGCGTAAAGCGAGTAGAGACAGCGAGAAACAAAGTAGGAACACGTCGTCCTAAGTCTGGAGCTTCCAACGACAAACATCCTCAATCGAGTAGTACCTAGCTGACTTCGCATCTTGCCGGTTAAAGATTGAGAAGACCTCGGAGATAGCTACCGTTGGGGCTTTCCTAACAACCCGGGCAAGGGCATGATATGCGCCAAGGTTCCGTTGCATATGCGCCATGCAGAACAACAAGGATTCCCTCAAGTACCACCTTCCCGTACGTACCTCTTCGCCCGTTAGGGAATTTTCTTAATGATACCACCGACCCCTGTAACAACGGTTCCCATGCGGCAGGAGGAGTGAGTTTCCAACATGATTTAACTGTCTCTCAAGTTGAGCCATCCATTACGACCATGGAATGATTAGAAGAATCTTCCAATCTTGCTCAATTGGCCTCAAATGAATTCGATTTGCCCCACACCGAAGCCGTTGCTTATCCATCCGCATTTCGACTTGTAATGTTCTCGGTTGGGAATGCGCCCCTCTTGCAGTGTGATAGCTGATGAACCGCTGACCGCCATTCTTTTCCAGTGCGCCTGCCCAGATCTTGATCTTGGGGTTTTATATATTGCTATGGCATGCAGGTATGATATAGGTCCAAGAGGCTCATCCGATCAGAAACAGTGTCCCTGGGGGCTGTTTCTAGCGAAGAAATCCTGGTTACAATGGTTGCTTGGAGATCATCTGTTGCGGCTCTGGCTGGTATCGCGACTGTCACTGCTGCTTCAACTGCCAGGAAGGACAGTGCCACACCAGTAATCGAGCAGGCAAATGTTCCTGGCGCCTTCATCATTGAGTTTTCTGACGATCAGGCAAGTGAACAAACTGCACTCCCCGGAACACCGTGGTTTCCTAATGCTTGAAAAGGATGCCACTGGGTTTCTCAACCAAGTAGAGACAGAGATTGGCGTCTCAAAAGTGTCCCAGCGCCTCAAACTGGACTCCAAGGTTTTCAAGGGCGTGTCTATCAACGTCGAGAATTACAATAATGAGACCTCTAGCATGATTGCATCACTCCCTCAGGTCAAGAAGCTGTGGCCCGTATCCCTCATCAAGGTCCCCGATCTCGAGGTGTCTTGGACTGGCAAGGAGTCCAAAAACAAGCGTCAGACGAACTCGACCAATTGGCCTCCTCATGTCATGACGCAAGTGGACAAACTCCGCGCGAAGGGCTTCACCGGTGAGGGTCTACGCATTGGCATTGTCGATACAGGCATTGATTACACCCACCCTGCCCTCGGAGGCTGTTATGGTCCAGGTTGTCTGGTTGAGTTCGGTTATGACCTCGTGGGCGAGTCCTATGACGGCACAAACGCACCCGTCCCCGATGAGGACCCGTTCGAAGAGTGTATTGGCCACGGCACCCACGTTGCTGGCATCATCGCGGCAATGGAGAATCCCATGGGCTTCACCGGTGCGTCTCCCGGCGTCAAATTGGGCATGTATCGCACGTTTGGTTGCAGCGGCCTGACGTCGGGTGATGTCATTCTTGCAGGCGTTATCAAAGCTTTCGAGGATGGCAGCGACATTATCACGGGGTCCATTGGCAGCCCAAACGGGTGGGCTGGGGAAGCTTTTGCAGTCGCAGTCTCTAGGATCGTGGATGCAGGCGTACCCTGTACCTTCGCTGCGGGTAACCAGGTCGGAGGCACCGAGGGCTTGTTTGGCCTCAGCAATCCCAGTTCTGGAGACGGTGTGATGTCCATCTCTTCGTATCAGAACGAAGGAGAAGACAGTGCTGGAAAGGTATCAGCGTTTACCAGCTGGGGACCTAGCTTCGAGCTTACCCTCGCACCCAGCTTCGGGCTCCAGGAGGTGGTATTCTGAGCACATGGCCTGTTGCCCTCGGAGAATATGCCGTGGCATCTGGTACTTCTATGGCGACTCCTCTTGTAGCTAGCATTGTTGCCCTTGTTTCTCAAGTACGTCGTCTGCTCGCGTTGATGCAGCACTCATTCGCTCGCTCGCAGTCAGATGGTGGCTAACATTCAACAGGCGCGTGGAATCAAAGAACCGGACTTGATCAAGAGACTTCTTGCGTCGACGGCTAAGCCGAATCTTTCCCAGAGCTATGGAGACGATGGCTTCGATGCCGGCCTTGGGCCAGTTGTCCAACAAGGTGCTGGTATGGTGCAGGCGTACGCAGCGGCTTACACGAACTCCATTGTCAGCGTCGCTGGCATCTCTTTCAATGACACTGATAACCTCGTGTCCGAGACTTCTTTCACCGTCACCAACGTTGGGGATACAGTAGTAGCTTACAACGTCTCACACGTCCCCGCATTGACTGCTATCACGCTCAACGATATCTACCGCCAAAGCACGCCGGGGCTCTCCACATCTTATGCTACCCTTAAATTCCAGCCCGTCGCATTCAGCTTAGAGCCGAACGCTAGTGCCGAAGTTCGCGTAAGCATCAACCCTCCGGAAGGTCTTGACCCACCAACTTTGCCTGTGTACTCTGGGTGGGTCGTCATCAACGGCACTGATGCCGACGGCGAGATCGCTCTCTCCGTGCCGTACATCGGCGTTGCGGGGTCCATGCAGAACGTTACAGTCCTTGCCGCCCACCGCATTCATCTCAGTCGCAGTGACGACAATACTAACCCAGAAGTGCAGGCCGACACAACCTTCCAGATTGCTGTTCCAGCCAGTCATCCTAAATGGGCACAGCCGTTGCTTAACACATCGGACCTGGTTCTTCCCGCTGGAGTTCTTCCCGACCAGTTTCTGTGGTTAGTCATGGGCAGCGCGGAAGTTCGCCTTGAGGCTATACCAATTGCACCTCCCGGATCCGAGCAGAACCAGGGTGCAAAAGGTAACGGTATTGGGGCCATAACTCTAGGCAACATTGCTGGGTATCCCATGACGTTCAGGAGACCTTTTGGTTGGTTCAGTCCGTGGAGTGGAGAGTTGGCGGACGGCTCATGGGCACCTGCTGGACGATACCAACTGAGCATCTTTGCTCTTAAGATCATGGCTGATAGAGCCTTGCCTGAGAGTTGGGACCGATATGATTCCCCCGAGTTCATCATTCGATACGTGTAGAGGCCAGACTACGAGCATTCTCGACTCGCCATTGAGGGCAAGCCACACATAACAAACACCTATAGAAGCAGCCATGCATGCACTGTTTAAGTATTGCTATGTTGACCAATGCGATCGGACTACATCTACCTTGATGTCTTGTAAAATTGGTTCAGGGCTAGCTCTTCAAACGCGATCGCTTCAAGCGCTAGCTTCTGGACAAAGCCTGGGTCAAAATTCTTGTTCAGGTATGTAATGATCATAGAAAGACCTTCAAACATGTAAGCATCAAGTTTCTTGGGAGTGGCGCATTCCAATCGGAGAAACTTACCTGCTCCTGCTCCACCTCCGGTCCAAAGTTCACCTTTGCCCTCACCGTCAAAGTCCTTCTCCTCGACTACCCATCTTTGGTCGAGCCACTCAGTCTCGGGATGAATTTCCCTTACGATCTTTAAGAACTCTCTGTTGGTTGTGGCTTTCTTGCCCTTCAACACACCAGCGCTAGCTAGCCAGGGGCTACCGATACAGGTGGTCAGCCACACCTTGGTCTTGGGGAACGCTTCTTTCATGAAGCGGTCGGCAGAGGGCGGGCGATGGTCGAGCAGAGGACCACCAATGAGGACAAGGTCCAGGTCTCTGGGGCAGTCGTCGTAGGTGATGTTAGGGACGAACTTTAGCCCCGGCGTCATCTCGGCAGGTGCGAGAGTCGAGGAGATGAAGAAGAACTCCATGTCAACAGGGTGACTGGCCCATTGAGCGAATTCTGGATCAAAGTCTTTGACCTTGTTGTAATATGCGCGAGAAAGGTTGCCGAAGAGGTCGATGCCCATGATGTCGCTCAATTGGACAGCTTCAAGCATAACCCCGATGCGGACAGACTTTTTTGACCCGAGGGTTGCCATATTGGGACTCTGTGATAATCCAGTTCCAAGATTGCCGATATTTGTCTAAGAGAGATGTTGCATTAAGAGTGGTGTGTAGGGCAAACACGCTGAGGAAATTCGGTAGCAGTAAGAGGGGTTTATATCGATTCCCACATGAGAGGAGCGAAGAGTCGCATCGTCTCCGCAATAATGGAGCCTCTGCATGTCGAGCTTGCTCTCCAAAACGGCCTGACTCAGCCATGCTCTGCAGCTTCAAACATGGATCATGTATAGCCTCCTTTGGGTTAACGTCGGTCTCCAGTTTCCCGATGCGCTGAGCGTCTTTCATCTGATCTTCGAATTCTATCCCCACTCCTCGACCGGGTGGATTCGGCGAACCACCCACAAAACAATATGTCCGCATATGTGTGATGCGACGTGGTTCAACGGCACCCTAGGATCTTACGGACGCGACTTCTGCTCTTGGTAAGAACCCCGCCAAGAAAAAATTACGTCTTGGATATCGGCGGAAAGCGATCGAGCAGACAGCAGTGAATTGAGCGATCGGTAATTGGATGCGGTGATGTTATGTAGCTCAGACTCGGATGGAATCTGGCGTCGGCGGGCACGTTGAATTGTTCACTTGGTAGCGGACTCCGACGTCGTTGTCTTGTGGGTGGTGCAGCATCCCGGAATACGGCCCCACGCCGAGAGTCGTAAGACGGCAGGCGCCCGTCATCGATGCCTACTCTTGCCCAAGGGGTTGCCGTACTTGCATGGAAGCTACATATCATCGAGCTCCTGCCTGAACTCCCGCAGCCTGAGTCGATCTATTCGTGTCCTCCAGTGACGGTGAGACGTCTGTGGCCAAGGAAGGAGACGTCAGGTGCCTTCCTCGGATATTGCAGCGCCTTCGATGGTTTTCTGCCACCATCGTCAATAATCACGTACATAATATCGGGCATCCAAACGCCATGTCTCTAACTGCCATCATCGTCCATTCTCGCATCTCAGTCCGTCATATAATCGCCGTTACCCCCTGTTAGACCAGTCAATGTACTACATCCATCCCATCCGCATTTCAACACATCATGGAAATCAATGGCCCCGAGCCCGCAGAATACGCCTTGCTGCAATCGTTGTTTGTCGAATCCGATACGTACTGTCCCATCGAGCCGCACTATATTTCCAAGTTATTGCAGCAGCAAACAGACACTTCCCCTATAGTAGACCTTGACGACTTTCCAGATTTACAGTCGCTTATAATTCCGGAACCAATGTTTTCTTCCGACCACGACTTTCACAGCGCCACCACCGAAGATGTCATTGCAGACTCGTTGGCAGTCCATGACCATAGCGACGTACTGAAGCTGGCACTGGAATCGACTTTCCCCAATGTTCGATTCTTGCAAGCAGCTCGAAAACTAGAGCTCCCGATGCTACAAAGCGATCCAAAACGAGACATGAAAGCTTTGGCCCGCACTATAGCGGAAGCGAAGCTGGATGGTTTCTTTTGCAAACCAAACGAATTGCCCCTGGAGCCTGTGGACGACAGAAAAGATGAGGGACTTGGGATGCCTGCCGCCGCTGTGCACTTCCACGCTCAACTGACCCGTGGTACCGAGCCCGACGAACTTGACTTCTCCGAGGAAGACTTGTTCTACGTTGCCAAGTCTTTGCACGACGGATGGGATGATAAGGATCTCGAAAGATTGATTGACCAGGAAATTGGCTGCACCATCGTAAGTGTCTTCACATAGTAAAAGGGCCAACATGCATATTGACCTTCCGTTCAGGAACACGTTCGGGCCCTAACTCCTCCTTTGACTGTACCCTCGCTCAGCGACTCCGATGATTATGAAATGTTCGTTCCAAACGCCGAGGTCTGTGAAATCGACAGCCTTTCTGAACCAGCAAGTCTCTTCCGCGAAGATCTTGAGCGGGCTAGGATGAACCTCAACAACGGCCATAATGATCCACAGCTAGTAGACGCTCCTGTCTCTGACTTTATTGGTGTTCCTTCCGACACACCAAGCTTTGAGATTTTCACGCTGAAACGTAAAGATGTGGGTGTAGAGGTCCCGATCTTGCCAATGTCAGACATTGGGATATCAAATTCCCAAGAGGAACAATCGTTCCGAGCGTTGGTTGGGGGCGTTCCAGGGTTCAACCCCAAGAGTTCAGAAGGAGGTGAAACGGAACTTCCAATAAATGAAGATGAATCTGATTTCAGCGAACAGTTCAGTCTCCTCGTCCAAGACAAGGCAAACGTTATGACAAGAAGACTGGAGCAAGAGCAGATCGAAGCCATTGACGCCGTCGCCAGAATGCAGCCTCCGGTCCTTGACTTTAGTACGCCCGCACCAGACTGGCAGGGCGCGATGCAAGACTCGCCTGCAATGTTTTTCTGGATTTCTCACAATCACCAGGACCAGTTTAGATCTTCCCAGTGGCCGAAGAACTCACAAGAGCAAAAAGATCTCAGATGGATCCCGTTTCCGGTGTCATTGGCTAAGGTTGATGTAAGAGAATCTGTTGGAGATAGCTCTGTGTTGCAAGAGCTGTTTGGAGCTCGTGGGCCAAGAACACTGCCAACGAGCGCCGACTATGTGCAGCAAAGATACTCTCTCAGACTTCTAGAGCAAAACCACGACGAAGAACTACTGATTCCTGACAAAGACGAACCTCAAAGCTTTATTCTTCGTAGCCCTGAAGATAGCGTCATGGACTTGATCAGAAAACGCAGAACAACGCAGGTTGCTGAAGGAGATCCCTCATCCCCTACGTCAGGAGTCAAAGCCCGCCGAGCATCCAACTGTATAACCGCGGCAGGATTAGTGAGGGGGGGCTTACTACTAGGTGAAGACGATACCAACGCAGCTGGGAGGCTGCTATCCAACTACATTAACCTGCGTGCAGCAAAAAGGCTCAAACCATCAACCGGCTCCTCCACTCCAGCCCCAGCTCCGAACACTACTGCCGCTTCTTACCCATCTGCTTCAAGAAAGACCACGCAGAACGCACCCAAGCCTCAGAAGCCTCATGCCAAAACACAGGCTGTCTACGCCGAGGCTCCATACCCTCCCGTGGAGGGTTGGCAAGAAGTGCAACGCATCGTCATCTCAGTAGCCCTCCCACGATGTATCATCTCGGCACTTCAGGCCAACATTCCAGGCATTGATCTTGTAGACCGAGACTTTACAAGGGACAACAAGTGGACCTGGTCTCCAGGAAGCACGAAGCGCGTGGAGATTTGTTCCCCGCTTTCTTACGAGGCCGACATCATCCCATCCCCGGCCACGGGCATCATAATCACCACAATGCTCCAAGTACGGCAAAAGATGATACCAGGTTCCAAAGCCCAACTTTCTCGTATTCGTCAGCGTTTAGCGAGAGTCGCACCTCTTTACGAGCGAGTCATCGTGCTCGTCTCGGAAGGGAACCCCATGGAGGAGCTGGCCGGACCGCTCGACGGCGCCGATGCCGAGGCTTACGCTTCCTTTGTTGCTTTCGCATGTTCTCTTGGCAGCAGCGGCAGCAGTGTCAGAATCATATACGTAGCCGGCGGGAGCCAGACGTTAGCCCACTGGACGTGCGCCCTCGTCGCCACTTACGCGAAGGAAGCTTCTTCCAACGTGCAAAAGGTCATCAGGTCTGAAGAGACGGAGTGGGAGGTGTTCCTCAGGTGGGCTGGTTTCAACATGTACGCTGCCCAAGTTGCGCTTGCAGTCGTCAACGGCACGTATTCAGGAAACGGCCAAGACCGAACGCTCGTGCGGCTCCTACAAATGAGTCCCGCGGAGAGGGCGAACCTGCTGCGAGACTTTCTTGGTGCCCAACAGAATCTGGTGGACAGAGTCAGTGCGCGTTTGGGCTAATGCTGCAAGAGCTTCCGGAAGCTGGCAAACCCTTTGGTAGAGACACGTTCGGACGAATTTGAGTAGGGAGGGGCCGTAGGTGCCTTGCGTTCCCGCCGCCCGCGCGTGTCGTGCGGCCTTCGTCGTGGAATGCATCCAATTGGCTCGGGCGAAAGTGTGTGTGTAGTGACGCCGCCAAGTGATCCAAATCAGACTTCACGTCCCATTCTCGGCCACCCAAGTCGGGTGCTCGGGGGAAAAGCCGTGGCCATCGTTCACATATTTGAAATGTTTTCTCTCGTGATACCGAGGGGACTAGATGATAGATTATTGAGAACGGCCCAGTTCCTGTCTATTTCGATTCCTGATGAAACATGGACATGGGTAGGGAAGAAGAGAAGAAGAAAAGATAAACAGCGGGCAAATTAACAACTAGTCAGCGCCACGATATAACAAGAATAGTATGCCTCCCCTCCCTCGGTACCCTACAGGCTCCGGCCAGCCTCGGCCCATGGCTCGTTGCGAGTCTTCTTGCGGTCTATACGTGCAACACGCTGAAATGCTTTGACCCTGTTTTACATGTAAGGTATTTTACAAGATGATATGGAAGAAGAAAATTGAAACAGATGATAGAAGCGGAATAGACCTTGCATGCACTTGATGTGGGCTTCGGCACTACACTAGGGCGTTGACAACGCGGCGGGAGGGATCTTGTCGCCCTTCTCCAATGCCTGTTTAATAGCGTCAGAGCTGAGGACGGAGCTCATGACCTTGTCAAGCAGGTCCTGGTCAGGCTGTTCAAAGGCCGGGCGGAACGGCGGCAGGACCTTTGTGCACTCGGTCAAGTCATTGATGTTGTTGACGCCGAGGAGGGACATGCGGACGTACTCGGTTGCGTAGGCCTATAGTTTAGGTGTTAGTCGAAAAGAAGGTTATAAGATGGGACGAACGTGTCACGGGAAGCTTACCTGGTTCCACACCGCCTGACCACGCGGTCCAGCTGCGAACATTCTCCACACATCGTTAGTCTCCGGGTCCAGGGATACGTTGATGTCGCTCTGGAACTTGAACACGGCGGGCGGCGCGTTTGGGTTGAGGGTCTGCTGGTAGAAGGCAATGTCCCACGTTCCCGGCGTGCTGTCTTGAGGCGAGTCGGCACGGGAGGGGTCGACAAAGCGCTGCTGGCTGGTGCTGTGGGCACCCATCAGAGCCACAAGGCCGGCGGGCGTGAATGACTTGTCCGCGAAAAGCTTGAAGAGCTTGGTAGAGCTGTCGGAGGGATCAGGAAGGAGTTTCTTGACGGCGGGAGTAGTCGAGTCTTTGCGGCCGACAAAAGTGCGGACGCGAGGGCCGAGGGGGCACGAGACAGTGCCGACATTCGAGGCCATTTGGATCATATCGGCCATGCTGACGCCATACTTCTTGTACTTGGCATGCCAGCTCGACATAATCCCGCAAATCTCTTCGAGGCCCTTGTTGTCGTCGCGCGTCAAGCACTCGTTGGCGAGGATGATGGAGCCATCAGCGCCGGTGCCACCCGTCGACTTGGACCAAGCGGCGGCGTCATGAAAGCCGAGGCGGATGGCGCCGCGAGCGACGCTGTTGCACCGGCCAGCGCTTCCCACCATTTGCCTAGCCATGTCGTCGGCAATGTACTTCCAGATGCAGCATTCATCGCTTGCACACTCCTGAGAGCCTTTGGGTGCAAGGTCAGAGTCATCGTAAAAGGTGTCCACGTCCTGGCCGGGAGCCTCAGCGATCAAGATATCTCTGATCGCCGATCCGGTAGCGGTAAGTTCGCGCTCCCGGAGCCCAACGAGATCGCCAATCAGCTCCGTAGAAGGGCCGCCGCCGCCAATGTTACCGCCGCCACCAAAACCACCGCCTATCTGACGGGTATGAAGCACGGCATCGGCCATCAGTTTCTTGATATCCATACCAGGATGACCAAAGGCAACGCCTGCCGCAAGACCGGCGATGAGAGACGCGGTCTTCATGTTTGCAACGGTTCAAGGTTGGGAACAACAGGAAAGAAGAGTAAAAAACGACTGGAACGAATCGAACCCCGCCCGAAAGTCAGGACTGCTATCAATAGAAGCGAAAGAAGGCAAAGCTGGAAGCGAGAGGTCGGGTGTTATTCTGAGATCCAAAGGAAAGGCGGCTGGCATCGCCAGCTGTATTTATGTGGGATGGGTCAGGGGAAAGCTGCAGAAGAATGTTCCATGAGGCTTCTTTAGCTTCCGGCTCGTGGACTGCCGGCCGCTTGGATAGTAGCGATCCCAAATTTGACTCCTGACGTGAGGAAGACATCGATGGAGCGGCTGCACACTCTGGTCGCTCAAGTCCGTCCATGTTACACATCGCCGAGACGTGCGTTGCGACGACGATCAAAGCAATTTCCTTGCTTACTGTTGTTGTGATATATTCCTTTTGCGAGGACTCGGGAAAATACTGTAGAGTGAACAATTTGCTTATTCTCGCTCCATGAAATACCGACCTTGCGGCCTCATTGCCGATGAAGCCATACATTGCAGGCATTTCGATATGTTTGAAAATTTGATGCTACCAGCTGGACACCCGAGCCAAATCTCTCTTGATGAGTTCGGCGGTGATCGGAGCATGACCGCTATCGCCCCAGGATAGGCTTTGTCGACTCAGGTGAGCAGCACGGTCACTCACGCAACGGTCGGTGCCAAAGGCCAAACGGGGATGCTCGCTACTCCAATGCGGAAATGGGCGGCAGGTTTCTGTCTGTGGCTCATCCGAATTCCCGTGTCATTGGGCTGAGACTGCCTCCTGAAGAATACTAGTCAGGAACGACAGCTCCCCGAAGAGGAAACAGTCTGATCATGGAAAAACGCTTGGTCGTGACACCTTTTAAGGCCGCACACTGGCTGGAGGGTGTTTGATGAGGCGGTACCCAAAGGTCCGTGTCAAGCTTGTCAGAAAAGGGAAACCAATTCAAAGGTTGAGTGACATGGTGATGTGAACCTAAAGAAGAAGTATGCTGAAGTCGTGGGGTGCTCAGCCTCTCTTTCGATCGGCCGTCAGTCGGCGGTGACGACACATCTCCTCCCATCGAAGAGGAAGTGTTGCGCTGATGTCCACCGTTCGGCTGAAGAGAAGTATGCATGAATAGGCATACGATGACATGTGAAGCCTATTCAGCCTCTCCAAGCGTTTGAACATGATATCCGCCGACATGAGCTCGGGTATGCGAGGCAGAAGCTGCACCTGCCAACTCTAAGTGAGTTTCGAGTCGGTAGCCGTGGATTGTGCCTCGGGTCGTTTCTCCTACAACACGGCCTGGGCAAGATGACCATCAACCACGCGTCTAGCTTTCATCTGATGCACCAGGCAGTATCCGACCCGTGGGGCTGAGTGATATGCAGAAAAAAGGTGATTTAGATGGCTTGCAAAGATTGCCCTTGTCTCGATCGATGGTCGGGGGGGCCGAGGCTACAGGACGCGATGCAAGTGTGCAGCACCATTAATATTAGATCGCAGCTGTAGTCGACGGCAGCTGCAGCGTTCCACGCAGGAGGCCTGCTCTCTCAAGCTATCCATGCATCTTGGCTACCATCCACCTGCGTGCCACGAGCTGAACCAACCTTGACCGTAGGACCGCCATCGTTCTATCGACTGCCTGCATACGAATGAGTATGTATCACTGGACACGGTACTAGTGATCGTGCAAGAGGCTCAAGACGAATTGTCTTAAGAAGGACAGTCGCAGGAGCTAGGACTTTTTGGCCTCGTACATATGAGAGTTGCGGGCGTTTTCTCGGTCAGGCACAAACCAGAGCCAGGTTAGGAGTTTGCCTGCAATAATTGCCCAATAGTCATCGTTATGATGCCGTGATTGTCAGTGGTTACCTTGCTAAAGCTTGATATTTCCGATGAAAACGTGTTGGGCGAAACTCCGAGAAGTAAATGGGAGCGAAGACCGAAATTTCGCGCAAACGTGCCCGGGTCGCAGCGAGTTCAAGCGCATTGGGGGTCATGGGCCGAGGGGTCTGCGGTATTCGCTGCGAGTGTCCAGACTTTGAGGGAAGAATCGGGGGTGATGCGTGTCGATGCCAGGCGAGGATGGCCGTTGCCATCTGTAGAGCCGAGCTCATTGTCCAGTTCGCGATCCGCATGGCTGGTCCACGCGCCAGAGCAAGTTGCGACCACAGAGCCGGTGGGGTGGACACCAGCGCTGCCTACGGGTGAAGAATGGGCGGCCCAGTCCCATGACTTGTCCGAAATACCGTCTTTGGCGCCGACGTCCTCGTACACGAGAACAGTCCCAGTCTCTGTGCCAGCCCAGAGTTCGAACCCGGCAGGTGAATCTCCGCTCCCGGGGAACACATCACACGTTAGCCTTTGCTGTGTGGTTGTGGTTCTGCCAACAAGCAGGTTCAGGGGTTGGCCTGTACCCCGTACATCGTAAACTAGGATGCCATTTGCCTGGCGCTCGTTGATAGCCAGATAACGGCCGCATGGACTCCAAATGGTTTGAACAATGCCGTTACCTCCAACATCTCGGCCAAAGTGAGCCTTGGTAACGCCATGAATACTCCAGTTTGCCACGGGCTTGTTCGTGCGCGTCACGTCGTAGAGGCCCATCCAACGGGACCAAGTGCCCGCGGCCACGATGGAGGCCCCAGACTCGTCTGGACACTGACTTGACAAGGTGGAAACCATTCCCTTCATACCGACGCCGCCGCCCTTGAGGAGGTGGCGCTTGGAGGGAATGGTGGGGATGGTCAAGACGGGGCCATCAGAACCGGGTCTCGACACGTCGAAGTGGTCGAGTCGGTTTGTCGAGCCGGCCAGGAAATGGGTCCCAGGCCAAGACCACAGGAGCGACTCAGGACAGATGTACTCCTCCGTCTCCCGCCGAATCAGCTTGTAGGAGCAGAGTGGAGGGGAAGACTGGGACTCTGAGAAGACATGATACAACTGAATGGGGTGGTCTTTGCAAGCGAGCAAGGCGAGTTGGGTTTGCGGCTCAGACAGCGAAAAGTAGGGTGACACGGCTGCCGAGTAGAAGGGCTCCGGGAGCTGCAACTGGCCCTGCGGCTTCAACGTCCGGGGCCGGCCGTTCGGATCGAGTAGGTCAGCCGGCAAGACATAGGCCGACAACCGGTTGTTTGAGGTAGAAGCGACGAGGGTCGTGCCGTCGGCAGTCCATTGAACTCCGCGGAAAAAGCTCGTTGGTCTTGAAGGTCCAGCAGGGTCTCTGGCGGCTACCTCGGTGGTAGCAACGAGATCCATAAAAGGGCCATAGGGGTCCTTGGTTGGATTAGTTATCTGGTGATGCGGCACAATGTCTACATCCTTGGTTTCCGAGGTATGCATCGCTGGCGTGGAGGTTGATGATGACATGCGCTAGCATTACTCAGTGCTCAGCGCATTTAGCGACGCAAAAGTGAGGCTGGTGTGAGCAGGCAGTTGTAGGGAAAAGAATCTGCAGCTGTGAGGATCGTTCTCAGGGCGACGTATGAGAGAGGGTGCAGCAGGAGAGGAGTTGCAAGGTAAAGGGCGGGAGAGTGAACATGTGCCCCGTCCTGTCGAGTGCGCAGCCGTTGATTCGATGAGAGGTGGTGATGTCTTCGTCCTAGCGTTGCATTCACTTCGATTCAAGCTTGAGGTGGAAAACGAGAAAAGACCATACGCTGCTGTGCACCTGCACTCCGGGGAGCGCCCCGAAAAGATATGGGTCTTTTCTCGGTGAGATATCCAGCTGGCAGTCTCACCACTAGCCTAATTTGTTCACCGATAGCCTCACCGAGGTTATAGGCGGATGGGTGTGCGGTGGGGTCATTGCATGGCCCATGTCGAGGTGAGGGTGTGAGGGAAGGAGGGAAGGCGGCGACAACGACCATGAAGAAAGACAAGTGGAAGGGAAAGTGAGAGAGGAGATGCTGCCTCGGCCAGTTCTTTCCCCCTCCTCAATACCTAGGTGGGCCTTGCTGTCTTACAGTGCCTTTCGTTTCAGCCAGGGCAGATTCAGGTACCTCTCTGGGCAGGCGCACAGCGAGGCGGCCCACTGAGATGGCGACGTCATGGCACCGCTAGCGATGCATGTTCCTGGTCCTAGCGCTGATTGGAGTGGGACTGGCCGCCTGCGACGAGCTGAGGCAGGGCACTCGGCAGCAATGGGTGTCACGGACTGCGCTGCTGCTGTCCGCGGCTTCCCTTCCTAGAGAGTCGCATCCAATCTCCAACCCCGCTGTATCCGGACTTGATTCCTCCAAGCACAACGCGGCACTCGCCAATTCACTCGTCAATCAACACTTGACATTCGGTCTGCAATATCTACCAGGTAAGCTTTGGAAATCTCCCAGACCAGCTTCAGGTCGACTGACTGCCGCGCCCACGCTAACCAAACCTCTCTTGCAGACAGTCAGTCGGGCGCCGGACTTCCTCTGCCACACGCCGCCATTTCGGGTCCGCCGACCAAATACAGTGTATCCCGTCTGTCGACATCTCTGTCATTTCGGCTCCTTCCCCGTCCCAAATCACCCACCGGTCGACCGGCCTGAAGCGAGACGATCTCATATCCTGCGGTCGCTGATTTCTGCGCTTCCGACGATTACGCAATGCTGAGCTAGCCCTCTTTCCTTTCCATCCTACTGCTTCGCCTGTGGCCTCGGAACCTCATCTTCCCACACTCGCGACGCGACGACGGACATTGTGCGCACGGCGAATTTCGAGCCATCAGGCGTGACCACCTTGACAGCCGAGGCTGTCCGCTGCAACTTGCTCCGGACCAAATACATCTTGTGATCCAATACCGGCAGCCACATTTCCTCCGTGCCAGACCCCCTCAAGCATGGTTGCTACAGTCTTCGACGACCGCTGCGCGGAGCTGCGTGCCCCCGGCTTCCTGAACTTGACAATCTCTATGTGAGTCAAGTCCCTCTAGCACCTGCTGCATGCCGGGCACCAGCTGATAACCTCTTCCCAGTATTATACTTATCGGTCTCGTCGTCTCGTACCTTCCACAACACTACCGCATCATTGCCAGAGGCACCTCCGAGGGCATCTCGCCGTGGTTCGTCTTGCTGGGTGTCACATCAGCGACCGCCGGATTTGCCAACATCCTGACCGTCCCTCCGTCAAGACGCGATATTGCATGCTGTAGCGAGCTGGGCACTTTTGAATGCGCTGCTGGTCTTCTGGGAATCGCCCAGCTGGGCGTGCAGTGGATATCCTTTGCGTTGATGTAAGCCTATTCCATGTACTTCGGCCGGATGAACATCATGCTAACTGCCGTAGCCTCGTCCTCTTCCTTGTCTTCTTCCGATACAATGACGCGAACATCCCCGATGAAGAGCTCGTCGACAACCCGCCGTCATGGCATACCGCCATTATGGTCGGTTCGCTCAGCTTGATCCACGGCCTGCTAGTTATCATACTGACCGTTGTCTTCACCGTGGCCCTACGCAACCACCTCGACCTCTGGGCCAATTTTCTCGGTGTCATGGCTGGGGCCCTCGCAGCCGTGCAATACGTCCCTCAGATTTGGACGACGTACCACATCAAGCATGTTGGCAGCTTGAGTATCCCCATGATGTGTATCCAGACTCCGGGCGGCTTGCTTTTCGCTGGCAGCCTGTTTGCGAGACTCGGCTGGGAGGGATGGAGTACGTGGGGTGTGTTCGTCCTCACCGCACTCATGCAGGGAATTCTGCTCGCCATGGCAATCTACTACGAGTTCCAGGAGCACCATGGTGACCCACAGTCCCCTACACTCGTCGACGAGCCTAGACGACCCAACCCCATCAGGACGTACTCGGAGGGCTGGGAGCAGGGTCTCCCCGGTCCGTACACCGCCCATCCCGAGCGGTATGCAGACACCGAGGAGGAGCTGGAGCGGTTACAGGACAGAGAAGAGCGGCAAGTCGAAAGGGAAACGAGGCCCCTGCTTCGTCCGGGCGGCATCGGCGACCCCCACAAAAACTACAACACTGCAGACGATTAAAGGCACGAGTTGCGCCGTCTCTTGGTTTTTACGTTTAGTCTCGTGGAAAGTATAAATTGCATACCACGAACTCCATTGCAAATTCATTCTGTTCTTCACTCAATGGAATTGTTCCGTGACCGATTATGAAGCCGTCAATCGTGACCAGGGCCAACTGCTTGGAAGCCTCAAACTTGTGGGAATCTCATGCCATGGGAATGCGTTACGCACAACACGTCTGTAGATTCATGGCCTGCCGTCACCGCTCTCTTGCGAAGACCTCACCCTCAATAGGCCTCCTTATTCCTATACCCACTCTCGAACAACAGATACACAAACGTTTTGATGTTGAATATGTGGGAATCATTTTGGGGAGGGTGAGGGGCCCGAAACCGAAACCGACGGATGGCAGCTGGCGGACGGACGCTGACGTCCTCCGCATTGCTAACATCTGGGTTCAAAATAACAACTGGCTTTGCGGCTCCGAGATAGAATCGACCCTACGTGATCTAGATGCTATCAGCCATCCGGCCCCGGTCGGGCTGTTCCGCTGTCCTCGATCCAATAACAAGTGTAGCAAATGCCTATCAACTCACATGTTTGTCATGCTCATTTAGTCCTCTCTCTTTACGGTGCATAGGGTCTTTCGCCAGTCCGGAGGACGACGGCGCTTCCATGGCCTTGGCTTACCTTGGAGAGTGATGTAGGATGTCGAGGAGCAAGACCAACACACAACCAAACATTGTCCGCGGGATCACGAGGAAGGCGCGATAAGGTCCTAGAGGCATCTCATTCGAAAAGCGCGCCGACTAGCCATGACAGCCGGCTGCGTTTGTTCATTCGTTGGAGCCGTCACCGCGACTACCAAGGTTCCATAGCACGGGAGTTGCCAAGTGGACGCAGATATTGTATTGGTCCCCTGAAGTTAAATGACCGGAAAATTGGCCTCGAAGATCTAATACCACTTGAGTGAAATAGGTCTATCATGCAGTTCTTGATGCACATCCATCTAGCCAAGCTAGCGCGTTCTGGTAGTTTAAGACAAACCCAATGGGAAGAGCGAAAAGAAGGTGAAAAGGTACAAGGAAGGCAAGGAATCACAACGACCGGCTTCAGCACATCTCCCACAACGGCCGGGGTAAGGCTGCATGCTTCTTGGGGCCTGAGCGCTTGCTCGGGTCGCGCACCGTCACGTAGACGACCTTGCGCGCGGGTTCGCCCGTAGTGACGGAGTGGGACTGGAGGCCGTAGTAGTCCGAGATGGAGTGCGTCAACCACCGCCTGTAGCAAGTCAGTAAGACGCCGCACCGCCTGAGTTCGGGCCGCGGGGGCATACTTGAAGGAGGCACTCTCGTCGTCCCCGCCGAGCGAGTCGAACACCATGCCAGTGTCGACCTTCTCGCTGCCCACCTCCCTCCTCGCCTTCTTCCACCCCTTGCCGGCGGCCGCCATGCCCTTGCGCCCGACAAACACAATCTCCTCGTCCTCGCTATCGCCCTCGGCATCGCTCTCCTCAATACGCTCCTTCAGGAAGTTCCGGACGGGCTCCTCGAGGACGCGGACCCAACCGCGGACGGCAGGCGTGCGCTTGGCCGTGTCGCGCAGGTCGCGGGGCACTTCGCCAACCTCGAGGCCCGTGGCGGAGCCGTTCTTGCGCTGCTGCTTCTTGCGCTGGGCCTGCAGCTTCGACGTCTTGTCTTCGATGCGTTGCCGGAGCCCTGTATCCCAGAACTGGGCGACCTGGTAGGGGACGACCTGAACAGGGTAGGTGGGATGGATTTCCCAGTCGCTGGGTAGGGGAGGCTGGGCGTTTGGTACGCCGACGAGACGATCTGGAGACGAAGGAGGTTAGTGGTGATGGAAAGCAGGGGACCACGGATAAACCGGTCGGTTGAAGAACGCTAGGGCAAAAGGACGACAGAGGAGGAACGAACCATTTTCCCATCGGCGGCGCTGCCGGCTGCCCTCGTTGCCCTTCAGCAGCTGATCTCTCTTCTTCTGGCTGTCCCTCCGGCTCAGGGGCCGACGGATCGGGGCCTGCTGGGCGGGTGGCGCTTCGGCGGCGATCGTAACAGCGGCCTTCTTGACCTGCTCGTCGAGGTTGATGGCGAGCGGCGTGCCGGTGCCGCGGGCGACGGGGCTAACGCTCAGAGATTCGAGGGCGGAAACCGTCCACGCCTCAATATCAATGGAGCCTGTCGTCGCGCTCTGGGCGGCGACGTGAGCGGCGACCGGGGTCTGGGACTGCGGCGGGGCGTCGGGGATCGCTGCGACCGGATGGTCGATGTCTTCGGGAGGAGGGACGGCGCCGTAAATTGCCATGCTGGGCTAGCAGATGTTGGGTACTTTGGATGTTCAAACGACGTCCGGTGGTTACACGGTTGGACCGGAGCTGGATGGCCGTCGAGGGAGAGAGGTAAGGTAGGGTTCAGGGCTGCCGATAAGGGCGATAAGCGCAGCGATCGCGGGGTGGAGGTCCTTGATAAGGATCGAACGGGGTTCCGGGCGACGAGAACGAATAGCAGTTGCGTGTATGCCGCAATCTATGGGGTTCTCGGAAACGGACTTGATGAACCTCTCCGGGGGTGTTGGCGACCTAAGGCTTCGATGGCGAATATTGAAAGGAGGACGAGCGAGATGGAAATGGGAAGCCGAGGACGGGGGGAGGTCGATGCGGGCCGGGGTTGTCTTAGCTCCGGGGGGGCCCATGACACACTCGATTTCGGAGCTTCGGCCAATCACGACGCGAGCGCAAACCACGTCTTCGGTGAATGAATCATATCTGGCGTCGTGAACCACTCTGACACTAAGTAAATTCCTGGTTGAACACTCAAGACAACCCTCCACTGACAAAGGCACCGGGATGACTGCGTCGTCGGCAGCGAGACCTCTATCCCAGCGGTATAATGTACTTTTCCCAACACGGCAATGGTTCTGATCACCCCGAGATCCAGCTACGCTTTGGATTTTATGCAGCGTATTCTACCCTATGACTACTAATAAATAGTGCACATCCGCCGTCCTGGTGAGCAGTCGAGCGACAGCGGCTCCAGGATATGGGCTCAGACTCTGGGTTTCTCACATGCATGTGGTAGGTATCACGCGGACAGACACAAGTGTGTCTGAACCAGGCTAGCGTAGTTGCTGCTCCAACTTGCCTCTACCTTATACATCTCTGTCACGGAGACTGAGTGGGTTAAAGTTGAACACTAAAACGATTAAGCTCGCAGTATTCGCCCAGAAGCTCCGTCCCAATTTCTGCCTTTAGCGAGATCATCACTGGAAAGGGACCCTTTGATCCCGTGGCATATTTGAGGTCTCCATCATGCTCGTAAAGCCGTGAGGCTCATCACTATTAGGCAAGGCCTAGCTGATGGCATGAGAAACCCATGAGGCTGCCAAATGTACATGGCTTCAGCAAACTGGAGCTCGTCAAGGCGACGTCATATCGACAAGTTGGCGGCAGGATCAATATTGGCTACAAAGTTCCCCCGTCTTTGGTTGACACATTTCGAGTCACTGTATTCCGTTCCTATTGAATTAGGTAGGTTACAAGCCAAAACACTATGCAACTAACCTCTGCTGATCGGGCACCGCCATTACTGTAGAGCTTCGAGGCGAAAGCATCATGCGCCAAGTTGCTGCTCAAAAACAGTTGCAGCTGTCCGCAATGCTAGGCACATAGCTAGGACAGATTTAATCGGCTACATATATCACTTTGATTGTCACGTTCATCTGACCCGTGATGATACGATAATGCTAGGAGTTGAAGACGACGTGTCCTGCCTGAACCGCTCTACCAAGGTATTTGCTTTCCATATCTGCCAAGAAACCTTCCAACTTCATCATCGCGTTTTCCCTCCACAATCTCGAGGATTCCTTGCGCACTTGTCTCCGAACTATCGGCGCCGCCCTGTGTCGCTCTGAACTCCCTGTCGCCGCCAATGTCGGTGATCACGTATCCGGGACAAAACGACCAAACTTTAACGCCAAACTCCTGAAGAGCAACGTGTTGACAGGCAGTCAGCATGTTGAGGGCCGTCTTCGTCATGCGATATACCTCGGCCGGTACTTTTGACCAGGGGTTGCTTGAATCCAGCTTTGAGGCGATGGAACCCATTTCGGAGCTAACGTTGATGATTTTAGGCGCCTGTGAGAGCTTGAGAAGGGGGGTCAGGGCGTTGCTCAGGAGCACGACACCGAACACGTTGGTATCAAAAGACGTGCGGAGGGTCTCTCGGGTGATTGGGTCCTTGGTGCCGATCCCAGCATTATTGACCAGGACATCCAGGCGGCCGAAATCCGCTTGGATCTTTGCCGCAGCCGCCTCGATGGAGTTGTCATCGGTAACGTCCAAAATGACGAGACTCAGCGTTCCTTGAGGGTTGCGAGCTTGAAGCTCCTTCAGCGCCCTTTCGCCTCTTGTCTGGTTCCGGGCGCCCATTATTACATGGTTGTTGGGCGCAGCAGCAGCCAAGGCATAGGAAGTGTCGTATCCGATTCCAGCGTTCGCGCCTACCTATGTCAGTAACGCGTCGCAGTCAAGAGGGTATCCAGTCGAACCGGTCACGAGAATGATCTGCTTGTTGGCTGCCATTTGATGATTTCGATCTGATGAGATGCTGGAAGTATGATCACTGTTGTTACTTCCGAGTCTGATGGTGGCAAGTTAAATAAAATATACAGCTGAATGACGTAATAATTACACTTTCTGTGTCTACTCCATCGCTATATCAAAATAATCATTTCAATCAGCTATTCGAATTCCAAGGAGAATAATAGTAGCTAGGATAGATATGACTAATTCGAATGATTTCAAAGCAGCAAAAAAAAGCGTAGTTTATAAGCGGTGCTGACGAAATCGGCCGTCGTTCTACCGAAGTAGGGAGAATTATGAGTACATGACTGGGACCCGCACACCTTGCATACTCGGACAACGTTATATCGTTTCTTATTTTCAAGTTTTTAAATCGGATATCGATGTATGCAGGTAGCTGACAACACCAATGTGCGCCTCAGTTCGCTTGAACCGTTGAATGCGAATACTCGTCAACATTCACGAGACCCGCAACCTGAACTGACTGTCTATATGATTAAAAGCATTTATGCAAGGAGGAGAGTGTAGTGTGCAACACCAGTCTGACAAGTGTGTGCCAGAAGAAGTTGCTCTTAGGGATTATGCTTAGCTCTGATCTACTGAGCTCTGAGGTTCTGCTGACATTCCTGGGACCCACTAACGTTATATGATTGTCTGATTGAGCCTACGACCCTGAAAGTATTGCATGTCTAGGCTCTGGTTGTGTAGAGGTCTTCGGGGACAACTAGAGCTTTGGTCTGCACCGTGTCTGTTAATCAAGTTCACTTGAGTAAATTTACTTTTCAGCGCGTGCCTTGCTCAGCTTAAATCATGACATCAAGTACGGTTCGTTTACAGAAGAAGACATCGCTCGCGTTATAATATGTGGCCAAAGCCTCCGCACAGAATAGCGGGTGTTGCAGGCACCATATGTTCCTCTTGCTCGTACAGCTCAACGCCGCTTTTTCTGAGGATAAATCCGAGATTCTCCCAGACTCGGCTCAGCTCTGAACCATCTCTATTAATCATCCTGCTCAGCCTACGGTTGCTCCTTGCTCACCTTTGCTCACCATACCCCTGCTTTGTTCACTCCCAGAAACAAAGCGTCTGGCCGAGTTGTAGAGGTTGAAGGTATGATTAGTTGCTAATTAGCAGCCTCTTGACTAAAGTAGGCACAGACGCCCGCGCATAGATGTGATGAATCTGATCATGGAGTAGACCAATCTAGATTTGGTTTGCATCTGATCCCTTATGGTGCATTGATGCCATCAATCGGACACCTGGCAAGTACACAAAACGCAAAATTCTTCTAACCAATGTTTACTTCTATTACGGTGTTTGGGAATAGTTCCAGGGGAAAACAGAATCGCCCTCTATCCGCTTTGTGCTAGCTACCCTTAGTAATGTTTCACAACTTAATAGTCATTGCGGTCTTGAGTGTATAGCAGCATCAATTAAATTAACAATAACCTTATAGGATCATTAACCTTTGTGCTTAAGGCATTATTTTGTTACTGTAAATACTCGAACCGTCAAACTCCGAAAGCCATTCTGCAACAATTCGCGCTCTCCCATAGCCATCTTTTTATCGTATGCGCAACCTTGGTACCGATGATTGGTCTTCCTGCGCTTTTATACCCAATTTCACCATATATCTCTCTTAATCGCTCTATCACTGCTTTAAACACAGGTTCCCCAATTTGGCTGACATCCCAACAAAGTGGTACACAATATGTTGTTGGTAAGAAGTATACCTTGAGTGCTGGCGCAGACGCCCAAGCTAGTGCAACAGAGGTTACTGCCGCACTTAGTGTTGATTAGAGGACCGCAGAAACCGCCCGCGTTTGCGGTTCGGGCAGACGAGGGTGCAGACGTAGTGCTGGTAGCCGAAGTGGATGATGAAGAAGACGATGATGAGGAAGACGATGATGAGGAAGATGAGGAAGATGAAGATGAGGAAGATGAGGACGAGCTAGATGAGCTCCTGGAAGATGACGAGGAAGACGACGACGAGGGAGATGAGGATGAGCTAGACGAGCTCCTAGATGACGACGAAGACGAGGAAGATGTGGTAATAGGCGACGAAGTAGATGTGCTCCTAGAAGATGAAGTAGACGTAGTACTGGAAGATGAAGCAGATGAGCTCCTCGAAGATGAAGACGAGGATGAGGAAGATGAGGACGAGCTAGATGAGCTCCTAGAAGATGAAGTAGACGATGGCGAGGAGGATGAGGACGAGCTAGACGAGCTCCTCGAAGATGAAGAAGACGAGGATGAGGAAGATGAGGACGAGCTAGATGAGCTCCTAGAAGATGAAGAAGACGATGGCGACGAAGACGAGGACGAAGCAGATGAGCTCCTAGAAGATGAAGAAGACGCGGTACTGGAGGACGAAGTAGATGAGCTCCTTGAAGACGAGGGAGTCGCAGTAGAAGATAAAGACGAGCTTCTAGAAGATGAAGTAGACGTGGTGACGGAGGATGATGCAGATGAGCTTCTAGAAGATGAAGAAGACGTGCTGTTGAAAGACAGAATAGACAAGGGGTTAAGGGATGTCGTGGGCGCAAGATTCAAGAGCGGAGTAGCCGTGGTACTGGACGATGAAGGAGACGTAGTGGCGGAAGTCGAAGCAGAAGAGCTGCTAGAAGATGAGGGAGACGTGCTGCCGAGAGACACGATAGACAAGGGGTTGAGGGACGACGTGGGCGCAAGATTCAAGAGCGGAGTAGCCGCGGTACTGGATGATGAAGGAGACGTGCTGCTGAGAGACGAAATAGACGAGGGGTCGAGGGATGACGTGGGCGCAAGATTCAAGAGCGGAGTAGCCGCGGATGAGGAAGATTGACCTGTTTTTTATCACAGTTAGTAACCAGATCAACAAGCCACGTCGGAAAATGGAAGCAATGCCCGCTATCCAACGGCGTCATTCTCATATACTTACCACAGGATCCGAAACCAGACTGGCATCCAGTGCCGCAGTGGTCAGTGGTACTACCACAGTAGCCGTACTGAGAGCAGCAGTTTCCGAAAGCCGAGCCGAGACAGGTGCCATTGTTATACTTGGGGCCACAGCTTCCGTCGCCGTTGATCACAGGGCCCGTGGAAGCGGCGACGGTGCAGTTGCCAAAGCCAGACTGGCAACCGGCGCCGCAATAGTCATCGGTGCTACCACAGTAGCCATTCTTGGAACAGCAGTTTCCAAAAGCAGAACCTAGACAGGTCTTGCCAGCTCCAGTGCCACAGTTGCCGTCATTGGAAATGGTCAACAGGTTCGATAGTGCAGTGGCGGAAGCGCCAACAGAGGCCACGGTGCCGGTCGAGTTTAGCAAAGAGTTGGCCAATGCTGTAGCTGTGGCGGAGCAGACTGGGGCGCTGACGGCGGTAATGTTGAAGTTGTAGCTGGGGACGTTGCCCCTGTACCAGTTTTCGGGGGGGTCACCCAGGCACGTCCCGACGGTTACGGCGTTCCAGCCGTTGGCAACAACGGAGTCTAGTATGTGGTTTGTCAGTGTCGTCGCGATCTGCTGGTGAATGTCGTGTTCGATGTGCAAGTAGCTAGCGTTACAGGGCGAGCGAGCCTGCATAGCTGCATCCCATAGGGCTACGCTGACTCCGATCTGACTGGGGTCGGTGTGCAGATATCCCTGAGTATCCAGATCGAAGTAAGTGATGTGATATCCGAGTTGAGCCATTTGTGCTTCGCAATCAGCTGCGCATTTGGAGTAAGGAGGGCGCATGTAGGTAGGATAGAAGCCGAGAATGTCGTTAAAGGCGATCTCGTTATATACCATCTGTTGTTTGCGCTGGGATGTGCTCATTGCATCCAGGTTCTCATGCGACCATGTGTGGCTGGCAACCTGATGGCCCTCGGCAATCATGCGCTGAGTCGGTCAGAAGTGTTTTATGGTTATGGGTTTGGAGGCTTACCTGAATAAGACCCGAGTATGCTACATTGATCATACCCTTTCCAATGTTGTTGCCAGTTATAAACCAGGTAGCAACAGCACCGTGTGCCTTGAAGGCATCCAACATGGCCGCCGTGTAGATGTAAGGACCGTCATCGTAAGTGATGGCAACGTCACCATCATTAACACAGCTGTAGATACCAACGCCGCCATAGGGAATGGAACCCTTCAAAGGTCTCGGGTCGTTGGATGTGTCAGCGCCGCTGGGTCTTTTGTTGCCATCGCAGGCTGGCCCGTAAGTGATTTGGCAATCAGGCGAAGTGCAGTAATCTTGGGTCGTTCCACACCACCTGTTGGATATCTGTTAACTGTCTGCTCGCCACGAAGCACTCGCATAATCCACTTACCCAGAAGCCGAACAGCAATATCCATCGGCACATCTCCCATATCCGGGCCCGCACTGTAAAGTGCTTGAAAGCGAAATGGTCGATGGATCCGGAATGGTCGATGAATCGCGGAGTGCCAGATTATGTGTACGGTCCCCCCGGGGCTTGTTCACTACCGTTGGTGGGTTCCAAGCGCCGAATGAGTTTTGCCTTTGTCGCAGTTCGTCTACTTTCCGACGATGCGGCAACACCATTTTCATGTGCGGCCCTTCATTGTGAGCATGAGCTACCTCCAACCCAGCGAGGGTGGCAAGCAGCACAGGGGTCCAACGCATTGTAGCTTGATCGTTAGTAAACAATACGAAGCAAGACTTGGTATGTTGTAACCTCGAATCGATAAGTGTGGAAGATGAAAAGTCGACAACCTGCTAAGCAAATAGCAACAGGAACTCGCGGATTTCTTTAAGTATGAGCTGAAGAATCCTTAATAAAGGATACCGAAGACAACTTCTTCCCTGATCGTGTGTGATTCGCCGTGCTATATACGGTCTGCAAAAGTCTAATTCCTCATAAGGCCGCATCGAAAACTATTCCAACCTTTCCATAGTAGGCAGGCGACGGCGCAAAGGCCACGCCCATCGACCGAGCTATACGGAATGGAATTAGAGGTTCGAGATACTAGCCCGCGTTGGCTGCGTAGGGCACGGAAGACCGAGTGGTGGCGAGACATACGGCTTGTGTGGTCCTAGACGGATGGCTGGCTAGAGCAAGTCCACCACGAACAACATGGTTTATGACGCACATAGTAGCGCAACCGTGGTATAGGCTCAGAGAGGTCCACTGATTATCATCAAGAAGACCCCCGCCGGACAAAGCCTCTATGGTATCCTTGGTCGTGACACTATGCCCAAGACAGAGAAACGAGGGAACGGGTTCTAGAAAACATTTGTGCTGAGTGGGTGAGGGAGACGAAGGCGAACACAAGAGAGCAATTCGGCCGAGGGCGAGCTTCGTCTTAGCGGCAAGCCACCGATCGAGACCTTGACAGGCCGCTGACTGGTCGGCGATGCCGCGGAAAAAGTCAGTGACTGCCGGAGACGCACCGTAGGTTCAAGAGGCTCAGGTCATGGAGAATGCAGCATAGCAGGCTCATGGCCGGACCCGGAGCGCTTTCATAAGGATTAGTGGCGTTTGGCCAGAGATGGTCATGGTGCGATTTAACACTAGGTATCTGCTGTCGCTGTCAGATTGCACGGCAAGAATGGAGATCGGGAAACTAACCGGCAGCGCTAAGCCCGAGCCGGCCGTACCTGATAGTAATGCACCCTTTGATTGCATCGTAGCCGGGGAGCGAAGTGAACGGACGCAACCGAGAACGGTTCCTGGACATAAGTCTGGCCTGCTGCCTGCATCATAGGGTGTTGCCTCACTCCAAATGTCTGCATTTATTCAAACGGGGGGCATGTAAGCCCATGGCCCAGTCATCGTTCGATTACCCGATCCTCAGTAGCAGGCATCGTTACACTGGACTGATTGAAAACATCCAGAAGAAAAGATGGGTTACACGACCCAACAGGCTGGTCTGGCATGCATAACAAGTACTCCTGGGACACCACAGTGGGGGGGGACTCCAGGCTTGAGCTAAACCTTCGCAATTAGGTAGTGAACTAAGTTCGTAGCGCTTGGAAGACGAAAACAATTGGGCTCGTCCCTACGGCACGTGCCGAGCGGCAAGGACTCCCTTGAGACCATTCCCGGGAATGGGGAACGCACCGAATTCGAAGACTTGGAAGACTTGGCTGCGGCCTGACCTTGGCTGTTCTAGGTTAGATGCGGCATCTGGTGTCTTTTCATAATGGGAGTTTCTTACGGCCAAGAAGTGCTACGCTAGTTGAAATGCTGGTCGGAAAGCTGTCTCTGACCAAGTGCAACACGCCGTCCTCCCCGGTGTGTTGCCCGCTGTGTAAATCCCATTTGCCGATGATCCGGCCACCTTTGTTGAACAAATTCGGTTCGTTCACAACTCTCGGCATCCGACAAGTGGTGTGCCACATCCATTGTCAGATTCGTTCGTCTTCTTGGCAACGTCACGTATGAATACTCGAAACCCCCTCCGATGTGGCCGTTTGCGGTCCCGCGGCTGTCGCAAAAAGCCACAACCGCATAAATCAGTTGCCGTCAGCCAACTGGAATCAAAGTCTAGACCTTCAGAAACCCTTCGCCGCGGATTTTTAACGCCGCAAGCTCGATCTTGTACAATGGGGTACAGTGTCCTAAAGCTCAGCAGGATGATACCGCGCTGTAGACCCTTTGAATGAAAACGTGCTTGCCGCTCTCAATTCTTTCGACAATGTCTCGCTGTAGGTTTCATTGGCACGTCGCCCGACTCTTGGCATTGATCGGCGATTAGACTTAACTAGGCAGTAGGATCTCTTCTGCAGCGTTTGCCCAGGCTTTTGCGTGGGCCTGATCAAACATCTTCTCGACCCGCCCATCGGTATCATCGGTACTAGCGAGCCTTGCTGTCGACATCCGCACAAAGACCTGATTATTATACTGCGATGGCGAGCGGCGATCATCATCCTCGGTCATGCATCTCTTGGCAACACACGGCGACTCGATCGAAGCCCATTTTCGTTTATAATCACGCGCGATGGGGACGATGTGCAGCCTCAGAACGTATCTCGCAGTACTTCCTACGTGAGCTTCTCCCATCCCCAAACGCAGAAAACCATAAACAGTTGCGGGCCATCTTAGAATTACCCCGTCCCTTTTGAATACCCTGGCGTAGGGAAAAACTCCTCCAGTATAAGATACTTGCGAGTGAGTTGATATATAACGATAGGCTTGCAACGCCAAAGCAACACTCTGGCAAGCGAGGATATCTGCATTTCTTTTGACCTTGTCTAAAGGATGCCGTCTTTAGTTACCGTTGAAGCAGGTTTAAGCCTGAGCTTTGTCCCACACACATTCCATCCGTCAGGCTTACAAGATTGCTGTGTCCCAGGCTTCGTCATAGGGGTCCAATTCGTGATAAACGTGTCGACCATGAAGAAAGGATCTTGCAGGATGACGTTGATACGCGATCGAGCCATCGACGGGAGATAGTCACTGATGTCAGTAGTGTCGATCAGCATCCCCGCTGTGCTTCTAAACGAAGAGAAACAAAGAGTCGATGAAAGAGGGTCTCCGCAGTCCTCGGCGACAGCACGTCCATAAACAACATCTTTGATTGACATGGATCAAAGATCTTCTAGACCAACATGCCACTGCAGTCACTCATTACAAGCTTCTCTCTCGCCTAGATCGAGCGGTTGACGTTTGCCAGCGCCATCTTGTCACTTGCTGCACTCATGGAGTTAGTCGATCTTAGCGAAGGTCGAGTTACTGAGCTCCCGTCCGAAGCGTAAGCTGCATATACCCACAGGACACAGTAATGTCTCGACAATCAAGTCTACCTATCGAAGACCATATCTCCGGGCCTTGAATCTCGGTGTCTGTAGGCATGTTCGCTTTGCCCCCCCCGCCGGGTATTCGCTATTAATTCATTGTCTTAGTATATGGCCCTCCATCGCCTAATTTTGGCCTTCAAGTGCATAATCTCGATTGCTGACTTTCTCTTCGAAAAATTGCTGATTGCGTTGCTAGCTGCAACGAGTTTGGCATGTTTCACATATTTGTCTCATTCTTAGCGGTCTGATAAGCGGTCTACACATTTAATAGCGTAAAAACTTCAAGTAATGCCACTTAACAATTGTGAGTGGGTGGGAAAATTCAACGGTCTTCTTGTTGAGATATGTCAAATGAATATGTGAACATTGACGACGCTAAAGATGGCAAGACAATTGCAGAAGCAAACGTCAACCAAAACTAAGTTGATAAACTCGACACTCCGGAGGAAACCCTTCCTCATTTGGGGTACCTATTTGGGTGTTTCCTAAATCTTCCTAAGCAATGTCACTTGATCTGTGCCTGAGAAACTCTGATTGAACAACGGAGCAAATATGTTTGACTGAGGGCTTCTCTATGCTCGTGTATCTTTGTAAATTGAGAGAATAGTCTGTCGCGTGATTTTGGGACCAGAAATTATCTTGGATAGGAGGACAAGTCCCGTTTCTTCTGAGCGAGTGTTTTATTCCCGTTCTGATGACAGATTCATAACAACACTCCTAAAAACTCAACTTAGTCCCAACTTGAGGAGAAGCACTACTGGAGATCATTTCTATCTGATAAACGTCATCTCGGAACCAAGTCATATGCCTGTTTCATCTGATTCCCAATGTATCAATTATAAACACCCATAACCTCACAGGTTCAAAGTATCTCATTGCTGCCACACAGTAGATAGAGAAATGGGGATTTCTCATGATGCCGTACCTTTAGGACCACTGCGGCTAATGTAAGGATGTAGTACCATATAAGAAATCGATTCGAGGCTAACCGTGACTCATCCAAAGCAAACCATGAAAAGACGGCGCCGGAAAGGCTGGGGCACTCGGTGATGGTAGGCATGGCTAGGGGTGAAGACGACGGCCAAGACATTGCGACGCGCACACTGTGGTGACTTTTTCTTGTCCTTAAGATCAATCACAACAGTCCATAATGCCACATAGAGTATCGTCCGAGAAATCTATTTCATTGCATTCTTAAAGGTTTTCCGTTTAAATGAAGACACAGGAAGTTGAGAATGCATTTTAGCCTAAATAATCAAAGTTCTGCCATTTTCCCGGCATTGAAGCACCACGAGGCCTTTTGGATGCAACCGAAAGTAGAAATCAGCCGCCCGAAAGCCCAAATAGCAGATTTGATAACCATTTTGGGCCCTATGAAAAGTTTGGTACACCAAAAACGAAGTTCCGCTGCCCTTTCTGGTCACGCCAAGAGATGGGGGCCTCGTCTTTATAAAAGTGCGCTTGATAGTCTCCCATGCGAGGAATACGACAATCTCGCATCACCTGCTAGCTTCATCAATATCCTCTCCATTGCTTTTTAAATATGAAGCTCATTTTGCTAGCGGCGGCACTTTGCAGCCTCGTCAGTGCTCAGCAGGGTCCCTGGGTTCAGTGCGGCGGCATCGGCCACACCGGCGGAACGACCTGCATCTCGGGATACTTCTGCCGATACCAGAACGACTGGTACTCGCAATGTGTGCCCGGAAACCCTCCAGACACCACGACTCCCGCGCAGCCTCCGTCAACCACTCTTCAAACCTCCACAACGTCGTCCGCAGGCGGTCCGGTCACGACAACCTCGACAGCTCCAGGTGGCGGTAGTAGCGGTACCGCTTGCCCCGCTCTCCCAACTGGCCTTGGAGCGTCTACTTCAGTCTTGCCCGACCCTTTCACTTTCCAGAACGGCGGGAAAGTCGCATCAAAGGCAGACTGGGCTTGCAAGCAGGCCGAAATCAGTTCCCAGCTCCAGCGTCTGGAGCTCGGGACCCTTCCACCCAAGCCGCAGTCCATCACAGCCTCGTATTCCGGAAATAAGTTGACAATCAACGTCTCGGACGGCGGAAAGTCCATCTCCTTCGCCGTGACAATCTCCAAGCCCAGTGGAAACAGCGTCCCAGCCATTATCGCTTACGGTGCAGCAAGCATCCCCATCCCCTCCACCGTCGCCACCATCACCTTCAACAATGACGAAATCGCCCAACAGCAGGGTGGTGCCTCCCGAGGCAAGGGGAAGTTCTACGACCTCTACGGTAGTGGACACAGCGCAGGTGCCCTGATGGCGTGGTCCTGGGCGGTCTCCCGAATCATTGACGCATTGGAGTCCACGCCGTCTGTAGGCATAGATCCCACTCGCATTGGTGTGACTGGATGCTCTCGCAACGGCAAGGGAGCCATGGTGGCCGGTGCTTTCGATTCCCGGATCGCCCTCACTCTTCCTCAAGAATCAGGAGCTGGAGGAGCAGGGTGTTGGCGTATTGCCGACTGGCAAAACCGCAACGGCTTTACCGTGCAGGACGCCAAGCAGATTGTTGGCGAGAACCCATGGTTCAGCCCTGCCTTCAATCAGTACACGAACAACGTCAATCAGCTGCCTTTCGACCACCATATGCTCGCGGGCCTCGTTGCCCCGAGAGCCATATATATCATGGAAAATCCGGACTTTGAGTGGCTCGGAACAATGAGCACGTATGGCTGCATGGGAGGAGCCAGGAAACAGTGGCAGGCTCTAGGGTCTCTTGACACGTTTGGATACAGCCAGGTTGGGGGCCATAACCACTGCAGCTTTCCTAGCTCCCAGCAAAGCGAGCTCACGGCCTTCATCAACAAGTTCCTCCTCAGACAGTCGGCCGGGTCGACGAGCATCTATCGAACGGATAAGACCTATAACAACTTCAATGTAGATAGCTGGTCGCCATGGGCTGTTCCGGCAATAGTTTAAGGCTTTTGGTGGTTTCTGGAAACGTTACACGGAGAACTGCGGATTAGCCGCGGCCAAGCGTTGAGCCACGTCGTAGTCTCACCCATGGTAGTCGCACCAATGTGTCTGTTTTTGGTTTAGAATCTGTCTCCGGATTGAAATGTTACTTTCTCCTTACTTCCCACCATCCTCACCCGCTGTGTGAGTTCTTACCCTTCATCGTATATCACACGTATGGACAAGCTCAGGCCAAAACAGGCCCTGAATTGACACAGGAACCGAACAGGAAGGGTTGACATTGAGATATCTTGCACCTCACTCGTCTCTGCCAGCGGGTAGACCGGATAGCTCGCGAATTTGGTTGTCCGCGTATCTCGGAAACTGGGGGCCGGGCCAGGACACATCCGCAGCAGACTGCCAAATTAGGCGAACTGGGGTTCCATAAACAGTCTGTGATTGGCGAATAGGGAAACTGAATGAGGTCAGGGACAGGATGAAGTGTCAGGCTGCATGAAGATGCCCCGGAAATTTAACATGGAATTAAAGATTAAAATGGGCTTGCGTAGAGGAATCGAGGGCTTTGCGCGCATAACGAGGACAGCAAACACAGGGCAGCCCTGAACCCGCGGTCGCACTGCGAGTCCACGTAGAGAATCGATTTTTGTGATTCTGAGAAGCGCGTGGTTTGTTTTAGCATTATGTCCCCACCATGACTCGTACGCCATGCCCCTCACAATTCTTCCATTGGCTCGTCTCGTGCGGCAGGATTCAATGGCGCGGCGCCATCGGGACGCATGTTGCGCGCACAGCCGAATGAGGACGGGTGCATGAGAGCTGCTACCTATATGCAAATTTGTTGAGACTCGCGAAACAGGATATTATTGTTGTTTGAATTTGGGTGGGAATGCGGCAAGTTGTGGACCAGCACAGCTATGTTGACGTCGAAGTGAGGTTATTCCCAAGACTCGAGTACGAAAAGTGACCAGTGGAATCCAGAATCCGATGTGTATCGGTGCATGACGTAATCCGGGCCACAAAGTCCGCCCGTGGTTGGCCGGGTCATTCGGGTATGGAGGACCCAGCGCGGACGATAAGCTGACAGTGACGGGGATCGAAATTTGGTCGCAGGGATCTTAGGGGGGCGATATCCGCCCGCACGCCGCCCGCAGGGTGCTGATTTCTCGCCGATTACCACACGAATCAAATGGATCCCGCCCATCCCGCGCCCGACGCTGTCCGCCCTGCCCGCCATGCCGCTGACGCTCCAGACCCTTCTCGGGGCGGTCTCGCACGTCGCGCTGACGAGTAGAAGTTCTTCTTTCCCTTACAAGACTGCCGCGTCTTATATACCGCCGACCTGACACATCACCTCTAAAGAGCCGTCGTATCGACCAGAAACGACCCAAAAAATACCACCATGACGACCGAATCCGCCGCTTCCGATCCCGCGACCAGGGTCAAATCCCACGCCTCGACCGTTTCCGACGTCGGGTACCCTCACGGCCATCTGGGCCATCTCAGCGAGCACGAAGAGGCGCAGTTGGCAGCCTTCAAGACGCTGCTGGAGGAGAAGGGTCTGTACAAGCCCGGCCCGCCAGCGTCCCACGACGACCCGACTTTGCTGTGAGTCTGAAGCCCCTCATCTTTCTCCCCCACACCGTTGCTCCGCGCCTTTTGCGCGCCGGAACTTTCGGAACATGAAGCAGTGGTTCTGATTTTTTCCTCGTTTGCGTCATCCTACAGCCGATACCTGCGCGCGCGAAGATGGGTCCCCGCGGACGCCCTCACGCAGTTCAAGGACACGGAGGAATGGCGCGCCGCCAACGACATCGACGTCCTCTACCAGACCATCGAGCTCGACGCCTTTGAGCAGAGCCGCAGGCTGTACCCGCAATGGCTCGGCCGTCGCGACAAGCGCGGCATCCCCGTCTACCTGTTCGAGGTCAAGACGCTCGACAACAAGACCATTTCCAACTACGAAAAGCTGGGCAAGGACTCGAGCTTCAGCAAGGCCAAGTTCGACGGCAAGACCCCGGCCGGTATGCTGCGCCTGTTTGCGCTGTACGAGAACCTGACGCGCTTCAACCAGCCCTTCTCCACGCAGCTGCAGGACCGCGAGTACAGGGAGGCGCCGATCACGCTGAGCACAAACATTGTTGACATCTCGGGGGTCAGCTTGAAGCAGTTTTGGAACCTCAAAGGGCACATGCAGGCCGCCAGCCAGCTTGCGACGGCGCATTACCCCGAGACGCTTGACCGTGAGTGAATCTGTGATTCTTCTCTCGTATCGCCCACCGAACTAACCAACCCTCCGCAGGCATCTTCATCATCGGCGCGCCAGTCTTCTTCTCCACCGTCTGGGGCTGGGTCAAGCGCTGGTTCGACCCCATCACCGTGTCCAAGATCTTCATCCTCAGCCCTCACGAGGTGCGCCCGACGCTCGAACAGTTCATCGAGCCGCGCAACATCCCGAAGCAGTACGGCGGCGAGCTCGAGTTCAACTTTGGCGACCAGCCGACCGTCGACCCGGCGTGGGAGGGCGTCGTGCAGTGGGAGAACGGCCACAGCTCCTTCAAGTCGCGGCCCGCCGTCTGGCGCGAGACCGAGGACGGCACGCGTGTGGAGTGCATTGGCATCGGCAGTGTCAACGGCGTGGAGCAGAAGGAGCTCATTTGCTCCGTCCCCAAGACCTGGCCCCCAAAGCCGAGCGCACCCACGGCCGAGCCGACGCCTGCTGCCACGCCTGCGACCAAGGAGGGTAGCGTGACGGAGGGGACCCAGACGGAGCCGGTCAAGGTTGCCGAGGCGCCGGAGCCGGAGCTACAAAAGCTGTCCCTCTCCGATACCAAGGAGATTGCAGAGAAGCACACCGAGGGCAGCACGGCCTCGCCCCCGACGGGCATGGCATAAGCATTTTTTTGGGGTTGGTTCATAGAGGCTGGGGGTGCATACTTGGCATGACAGCATTCATCTGTTTTGTGATTTGGGTGCGGCTTTGATAAATACCCCCGAGGGCGCTGGTCCTCCACAAGGGAACGGTGGGCAGGTCGGGACGAGGCAACACGGCTGGAGTTATATATAATTACGAATCAAACTATCCTTTTAATCCCACCATTTCTTGGTATCGTGTCGTTGAATCGTCCCATCTATCAAGGACCCTGAATGTCACACAGGACCAGGTCTAGGTTTAATCATCCGATATGGAGTACCCCGGCTCCCGGGTCTATCTTCCGTGTATGCATGAATTCCAGCCCGCCACCCAACGCCTTCCCATTGAAAAAACCCAAAATCCTTATCGCAGGCAAGCACGCCGATCTATCCCGAGTATCCCCTCCTCTTGCGCCATTCCGTCACGCCCTTTTCGATTTCGTTCCACGTCACGCCGTCGCGCACCAGCTGCATGGTGACGCCCAGACTCTCCGTCTCGCGGTTCCGGCTCTCGTCGTCGAAGAAGAGCATGTCGGTGAACGGGATGCCCGTCTTGCGGAAAATCGCCTCAAAGTGCCGAATCTTGCTGCTCGGGTAGATCTCGAGCGGCCCGTCAAAGTACTCGAGCGCCTTCTTTGTCTTCTCCTTCTTGCCGCTGCCGCCCTCGTCGGCGCTCGGCGGCGGCACGTGCAGCAGCTTCAGCATGTCCTTCGCGAGGTCGGGCGCCGACGTGCGCGACGCGACGGCGATCTTGATCCCCGCCAGCGGCAGGGTGTAGAGGATCCGCGGGACGTCCTGGTAAAAGGCAAAGGACTCGCCGTGGCGGTCGGTGGCGGCGGAGTGCGTCGCGTTGGCTTTCAGGGGGCCCGCGACGTGCGTGTCGACCCAGAAGGGCCAGAGTGTGTAGTCGAGGTCGAAGACGATGATCTTTGGCAGGGGCAGGTCGTCGGTGAGGATCCGCGGGAGCGAGAGGGAGGTCGAGTTTGTCGTTGAGGTCGAGGGCGTGCCGAGCGTTGTTGTGCTACCGCCTTGCTGGTTCTTGGAGAGTTTCTTGGGCATTTTGACGAGTGGTGATGTCTGACCGACAGGGGAATCGGCTTACGGGTCGTTCTGGGAAGGCAATAAGGAAAGGGTTTGAGGCGGTTGTCGAGCGTGGGGTGGACGAGCAACTGGAATGATCTAGAGGAGGGGCAAATTGATTGCTCAATTGCAACCGCTGGCGGCGAGCTTCGTCACCGGCCACGGGCTCCCACCTCCAGCGCACTGGCCATCATGGTGGGGAGCCGTGCTAGGAGTACGTACCTGCCCGCTCAGACCAGGATACCTTTTGCCTGAACGGCATTGTGGTGGAAAGGAAAAAAAAAGACATCGAGAAAATTCGAATCCCATGGGTCCGGTCGGCGCGAACTCGAAATGCATGCCATGGTTATATCAAACCGGCAAAATCAAGAAAGGTAAATGGAAAGTAGGTTCCTTTCGTCTCTCATAACAGAAACAAAAGTCTTTAGCAAAGCCAAAAGCAACCCCCATATCAACGGCATTGACAATGCCAAATCCTCTGTGACCAACGCGTAATTAGATATGCAGCCATCGTCGAAACGCACAAAAAGTATTCTCGACGTTGGCCTGATTCGAACAGACGCTCCCGAAGGAACAAGATTTCTAGTCTTGCGCATTAGACCACTCTGCCACAACGCCAGATGAGGAACCCGCTTGGAAGCGGAGATGCTAAGATTGAGCTCTCCACGGTACCAAGGAGGAGAGGGAAACCCAGGCTATCGTTGTTATTGGCGGGACGTCGATGTTCTGGCCGAAGCGGTGAAGAAGTAGAGACGCGAGAGCGACCCCCGGCACACTTCGAGACCATTGTCGCCTTCGGGACTGGTTCCCCCGTTCGGGAACAAGGCCGTCCGTCCCCGACGAGTTCATGAGGTTGGCTCAATTGTCCCGCTGGTTGGCCCACTCCCACACCATCCCTCGATGGTTCCAGTCCGATCTATATGGGGCCGGCCGGGTCCGGAAGTGCCGTCCTCTGGAGACGACCATCGTTAGGACAAGCCGCGGATGACAACTGATGGTCAGGTGCGAGAAACCGCATGATCGCCATCTGCCGACATGTTTGTCGCATCATAGCCATTTCAATTGTATGCGGATTTACGGACTTTCGGGGGTTTGGGCTCCACTGGCAATACCCCGCGATCTGGCAGCTTCAGGATTGTCGGGCGAGCAAACATTGACAGGCGTTCTAGCACGAAGCAGCCAGCCCCCGGCGACCTTTGGGAAACCATGCTGTTTGCCGCACCAGGTCGGAGCTACTTGTTGGACCCGAAAGCTATAGCCACTTGTCAGAAAGCATGTTTGGCCCATCTTCCAAATGTTTGTACGCCGAGGAAGGTCTGAATCGCCAAACGCGTCGATCGGGAGACTCACTCGGCACTTGGCATGACGCAGGCGAGGGGACATTCGCGTGTAACAGGCGCCTTTTTGCACTGCTGTAGTGTTGAGCGGCACCGCCCGTGTGCACGTCTCGGGCTGCTCGGCATGTTGGCGAAGACAATTCCCTCTAAGCCAGGGCCTTTCCCCAACGCCACGGCCTCGAGCCGCCGTCTTAGTTTCGGCACCGCGCCATCTGAAGTTGGACAACAACGCCTCCAAGAATAGGGGACCGCCGCCGCCGCCACCACCACCACCACTGTTCCTTCTCACCGGACTCTGATACCCAGTGCTAAGTACCGAGCGTACGACGTCCGATGGACTCTGGTGGGGTAATGCGGGGAGATAAACATGAATCCCCCACACCCCAACGGCATTTGCGACGTGAGCTACCCGCCCAGTTCTCAGTATAAGACGACTGCGACTCTTTCAAACTTCATGGCCTGTCGGTATTGCTGAAGCTTTGATACTGCCATTTTCGTCTCTACGAACGTTCCATCGATCACATCCGAACTGCGCCACCATGCCCGACAGACAGATTCAGCTCGTCCGCCTCGCGCACGTCTTCTACAAGCACAAGAACATTGACGCCGCTCGCAAGTTCTACGACGACTTTGGCTTCTTCGAACTCGAGCGCAAGGGACACCGGACGTACTACCGCGGCTATGGCACCGAGCCCTTTGTAATATGCGCCGAGGAGGCTGCGGAGGACGAGTTCGGAGGTCCTGCGTTCGTTGTGGAGTCGCTGGAGGATCTCGAACAAGCGTCCAAGACGCTGCCGAGCGCGACGGAAATCTACGACCTCAAGGACGTGCCGGGAGGCGGAAAATGTGTCACATTCAAAGACCCGGTCGACGGCTGGTCATTCCATCTTGTCCATGGTCAGACGCCCGTCGAGAGGAGGGACCCAGGATTCCCCAACCTCAAGTTCAATTTCGTAAGTCACAAAAAAACGGGAATCAGGAAGGGGGGGCCTGCTAACCTCAGCGCAGCCGACAGAAAAGCACCGCGAGGTCAACCAAAAGCAGCGCTTCACGAAGCGCCCGGCGCCGGTGCACAAGATGGGGCACTTTGGTGTGTGCTTGACGAACTTTGACAAGGCGTACGAATTCTACACCAAAAACTTCAACCTCTACCCCAGCGAGGTGAGTACCAAGTCACGCTAGCTATTCGTGCCCATCTGACGAGTCGCGTAGCTCGTCCATGACCCGGAAAACAAGGACAAGAAGGTGACGGTCTTCTTCCGCCTCGCCCGCGGCAAGGAGTACGTCGACCACCACTGCTTCTTCTTCTTCGAGGGACCCAAGTTCCACGTCCACCACTCGTCGTTCGAGACGCACGACTTTGACGCGCAGGTTCTGGGGCACGACTGGCTGAGGCACCAGGGCCACAAGAACTGCTGGGGCGTCGGCCGACACATCATGGGCAGCCAGATCTTTGACTACTGGTAAGCGTCGAAAAGGCCTTGGCGGCATGCACCGGGCACGGGAAGCTGACACACGGCGGCGAATAGGTTCGACCCTTCGGGCTTCATCATGGAGCACTATGTCGATGGCGACCTTCTCGACGACACGGAAGAGACGCACCACAACCCGGCTTCGCCAGACAACCTCCACGTCTGGGGTGAGTTGACCTCTTTACTACTAGTGCAGCAGCCATACTGACCGATTACTAGGACCCGAGGTGCCGGCCGATTTCCTGCAATGATCGATCCCAGGCTCTGTGTGCTGTATTTTATCGCAAGACAATGTATCGTACGTAGTGCATCGCATTCGGGCACAAAATCGCATTGCCATCTTTGCAAAGATCCCAATTTTTCGATTGACAAGTGTGCGGTTTGAGGTGAGGCGTAGTCAAGCATTTTGTCCACGCAGATGTCTTGATCCGCTTCAGGCTGCCGTTATTGCAGGAGCAAGTGGTACGAGTGGAAGGACAGTAAGCGAAAGGGGGACTGAGATTGACTCCTGTACTTCCGTTGATGGGATGAGTGACCTCAAAGAAGCCAAGATTCGCCTCGTTCCTCCGGCTAATTTTGGGTACGATCGTGTAAGTAATAACAATGCTCTGTACGAAAGGAAAGGGGTGGAGGGGGCTAGGCCAGTGTGACGCATCCTCCTCCTTTCCGCCGCCTGTCTTTGAAACCATCGCCGTGGTCATCCGTATTCTTGTCAACTATGGTACCCTTGAATAACCTTGAGGACGTCGTGTCTTGTTGCTTGTGGGGGCAGCTTTGCTTTTCGATGTTGACAGCCTTACCGCAAGAGTGAGCTACGGTTAAGCCCGTTAGTTCCAACGGGAGCCGTCACGAGGATAGAAACATTGTATCCTGCCGGGGTATTTTAAGACATAACGTTTGGCTTTAAGTCTAAAGCAAAAAAAAAAGGGGCGACAGCGGGGAAGCTCGAAGCTGGGCCCTTGCTGCACCGCCGGGTTCCGCTCGCCAAGCACTCTATCGTACTTTAGCTGATGGACAGGCGAACGAAGAATGGGCAGCTTTTACTACGTCACACGCGAACGCATGAGACGAGGTCCAGGTGGTTTGTCGTGGCTTTGCTATCTCGCATCATGGCTGACTCGCACAGGCCAGATGCCGAGCTGAGAGACGGGTTATTCTTGGACGGAGAAGGGTTATATGTGGATGGAGCCGTTTCATGGACCGTCCCTTCGATGCGACGGGGGTAATTCTCGCTCCGCAACTTCATGAGATTGATAAGTGGACTACACGGGCTGGCCGGGTGGCATTGTTAAATGCCCATGAGAGCCCCAAAGCCCCTCGAGGACCTTGGAGCAAATGGGTCGACCGAGCGCGCGACGGGATCGCCGATCATCGGACGAAGAAGAAAACGAAGGAGAAGAAGGTTCGGCTGTCAGCTGTCAACTCATCGCTCAGGGGAAAACAAAAAAAAAACCCTGTCATCCTGGAGCCTTTAGAGTTTCCCCTTTGGCGAAGCAATCAACGCGGATGGATGTGAATGGAGGAGGGCCCGCCTTGGGGTGACGAACATGAACCCCTGTAAAGCGACCTTGCCGCCCCCTTCTCCATATCAAGAGGGACCTTCCGCACCCTGGCCCCGGCCATCCGGCCCATGGTCGCATTCTCCATCGCACAGCCTCCCACTTGGGGAATCGCTTGCTGGCGCAACACTCCTGGCCAAGACCCACGTGCTGTGCAACCTCACGCGGTTGGCGGCCCCCGACGTTGCTCCTGAGAAATTGAAAAGTTGGAAGAAGGATGGGCAAAAGGCGAGACGGGGGGTCACCAACGGTAGCTTTCGGTTCGATCGGCTGGGCCGTTCAACTCTTTGCGGCAGGTCTCACTGATTCAGGGGCGCATCGGCGCGGGAGACTGTCATTGGGCGCAGGGGACGGCATGCTAATCTGGGGGTTGATGATCGCTTTTCGCCCGCCTGCAGCCTGCCATTGGAACGAACGGCAGGTGGCCTCTTTGGCTTCTCCCTTCCAATTGCACGTGCAAGATCTGGTTTGTGGACGTGGTTCATGACGGGACTGGGGGGGGGGGGGGGGGGGACCGGGGAAGACGGTAGTGATCGTTGATCGTTTGGTTTCCCTGTTTACTTAAGGCCGCGGCGTGCCGCGACGATCATGACGAGAGAAGCTTGAGAGACATCCTCTTTGCCTTCACTCACCCGTCCCCCCCGCGCTGTCTCCCGCCCTTCTCACGTCTCGTCAACCTTCGTCGTTCCCGGAGCTGCTTCCACTCAACCTCACAATGCGCGCCGACGTCACCTTCGCCCTGTTTGCCCAGGCCCTCGCCGTCCAGGGCGTGCGCATCATCCAGTCCAACGACGATGGCTGGGCCGAGCTCTATGCTCGCTCCTTCAACGACGCGCTGAGGGCCTCGGGCCACGACGTCCTCCTCTCCGCTCCGGCAGAGAACAAGTCCGGCTCCAGTCCGTCCCCAGCTCCACCCGCGTCTTCTTCTCTGAACACCACCACTGACCAAAGACCACCCTGTAGGCTCCCTCGATGTTGAGCCCAGCCCGCGCACCACCGCTTGCCAGTACGACAGCTGCCCCGCCAACAGCGGGCCCGTCGGTCTCAACGAGACCCGCAAAGACCTCCGTTGGGTCAACTCGTACCCGGTGACGTCCATGCGCTACGGCATCGAGCAGTTCGCCGCGGAGCAGTGGAACGGCGCGGCCCCCGAGCTCGCCGTCTCCGGCCCCAACGTCGGCTCCAACCTCTGGCTGCAGGTGCCCTTCTCCGGCACCGTCGGCACCGCCGTCTACGCCTCGGGCACCAAGGGCATCCCCGCCATTGCCTTCTCGGGCGGCTCGGACGGCACCCTCGCCTGGAACACGAGCCCCGTGCCCACGCGCAGCACCGTCTACGGCGAGCTCGCCACGCGCCTCGTCAACAAGATTGTCAGCGGCGGCGCGCCCTACCTCCCCGAGAAGACCTGGCTGAACGTCAACTTCCCCAAGGTCAGCGATACGGAGTGCAACGACCCGGACCAGTTCAAGTGGGTGCTCAGCCGCATCAACCCCGCCATCTTCTCGGGCCCGGACGTCGGCACATGCGGCTCGACCGATCGCCTGCCTGAGGAGAACAAGGTCGTCGGCACCGCGGGCTGCTACATTTCCATTAGCGTTGGTGACTCCAACGACAAGACCACGGCGTCCAAGGAGAAGCAGCAGCCTGTCCTGGACAGACTTGGCGACTTCTTGTCCTGCTTGCCGTGAGTGGGGACTGGGAGGGGTTTGCCCAGGATGGGATTGTCAGGGGCTAGGAAGCGAATGATAAACCAACAAGATGAATACAACAAAACTTGAAATCACGCTTTGAGTGAATGATGTGTTTTTGCCGTAGTGTGATTTATGCGGATGGGTTCCATGGATTGGCACTCAGCGCCGATAAAGAAGCGACCGTCCAACAAGATTCCACATGGACAATCCACACCTGAGCTTGCCTAAGCTATGGATAATCGCCAACCACATTCACGAGTATCCTGAGCTGCAGTTGGATCACGGCACATGCAGGCTCCGTACATCTCGCTTAGTCCGGATCCCTGCCCCGTCGTCCCCGGCCCCTCGTTCCGCGTCGCTCGCCCGTCCTCGCGTATCCCCGGCCACCATCTGTCTTTATCTACGTCTGAACCGCACGAACGATTGAAACACGGAGACTCCCAACAAACCAGAGCGACCGTGTCTGTAAGTTTCTCTCCAGTGTCCAAGGCCTTTACGTCGTCACCTTCTATACGAACATTGGCGTACATTCGTTAGCGCTGACAAAGGAATCTGAATCTGCTGACGGTACCGGTAAGAGGATCTTGGACTGAAACGGCTGATGTGGCTCTGGATGCAGCCTATACTCCGTTCCTCCCCCGGGATCTGCGCTCTTTGACCGTGCTTCGTCAGTCTCTGGTCAATTCTGGTGTTGCGAGGAACCGACTTGTCCAGCATTCTTGCAAGTCGTGATCGCACAGGATGTCGCGATACATAGATCGCCAACCCGTTAACCCGAACCCCCGGGAAATGAAGGTTATTCTTCTGAGCTTCGGACGGTACGTCTTTCCCGTGCCCGTTCCAGCGGGGAAACATACTTGTTCAAGATGCGGCTGATCCGAACCACTGGTTGCAGAAACGCAACCCTAGGTTTTTACTACGCGCTCAAGACCCTGGGCTATAAGCCGTACCACCAGCTCGAGGTCTTTCGAAATGGCGTGCCGGACATGCGCATGATGAACGATGCCGTCCTAGCAAGCAGCCGGGGTCAAGGCCGTCCCTTTTCGCGGGAGGACTTTGACAAGTGGCTCGGTGGCTACGACGCCATCACCGACATCCCCAGCTGGCTCCTTAAGGACGTCATCTCGACGTACCCGGACGCCAAGTTCGTGCTGACGGAGCGGGATCCCGAGGCGTGGCGGAAGTCTATGGCCAGGACCTTCCAGCCGCTAGGTGCGTTCCTGAACTTGCCGGCCATTCGTTTGGTCGGGCTGGTAGATTCATACACGCACCACCTGAGCAATCTGAGCGCCAACTTCTGCTACATCTTGTACGGAGGCTATCTTGGACCGGACAGCGAGAAAGCTCAGGTCCAGGCCGTAAAGGTTTATGAGAACCAGTGAGTCCAGCATCTCAGCGCTATAGCCCGGAGGAGCCTGACTGTGTCACAGCAACAAGACAGTCAAGGAAATGATCCCGCCTGAGAAGCTTCTTGTCATACAACTCGAAGACGGCCTCGGCTGGGAGAAGATCTGTTCCTTCCTTGGACATGAGGTCCCGGATGTTCCGTTCCCCAGGGTCAACGAAGCCGCGGAGTTTCAGACAATGGTCATGGAGGACATGTTGGCGTCTTGGAAGAGGACTGCACTCAAGGCGGCAAGCGTTCTGGTCCCCTTGGTCGGGGCATCCGTCTGGTTCTGGAGACAGAAGCGATAGGCCGCTGCAGTGTCCAGATTCGCCTTGCTTTCCATCATTATCGTTATGTCCAAGCAGATGAGGCAATATGAGACCCGCTCACAAAAATGTCTTCACTGCTAGTCAAAGCTCTCTATGCTGTGTAAAAAGCAAAGCTCATCTTTCAGAGTGCTTCATCGTTCTTACGCTCTCAGTAGCCTTCAGCCGCTTTGCTTGCCGTGCCAGAGCGCAGAAAGCAAGCGATGGTCTCCTATTGTGGACATTTGTTTTATCAATCCATCGGCCTCCTCCTATGCAGTGCGCATTGGTACCCAATCTGTAGCCTGCCAATCGTCTTGCACAACCAATAATGCCAAAGCCAGAAAGGAAAACCAAGATTCTCGCTGAGCGTCAATGGTCTCATGTGGTGGTGCCCCTAAGGCCCCGAACAATGCTGATGTGGCGCATGAACCGCCAAAACACAACCTACTGTTCTCTGTGCAACTGTCAGCACCCGGGCACCCTAAGGACCGTGGTAAAGAAACTCACTTTCGCCCGGAATTGATCGATACAGTGATTTCGTTGCCCTCCTTCAGCCTATCGATGTCGACAGTCAGGCGCGCCACCTGCTTCATAGTCTTTTCAAACTTCTGCGCGGTCTCCAAGACATTGTGCTGGTGAATGTCAAGACGCTGGCACGAATTGGACAGGCTCGTGCCCAAGGGCGTCTGCTCCTGTAGCTTCTTGTAGTGCGCCTCCATTCCTCGGAAGGCTCTGGTCTCGAGAAGAAGAAACTCCAGCTTCTGTCTGATATCAATGATACTCTTGTCAATACCGGCGCTCCAGTTGAGAAGTTTCGCTACGGCTGGAACGATGGTCAGAGACGTCTCCTGGTGCGAGGTACTGGCCTGTTGAATAGTGGGCCAAGGTAAATGGCTCGTCTGACATTAGAGAATGAAACTAGTCAGTCTGTTCCGGTCGTCTGACGACTTGACTCGGCGGTCTGGGAAATAATGGAACGAACCTGAGGGTACGGGCTGGACATCTTGGCCCACTCATTGTCAAAGGGTACCTGGGGTTGCTTGTCGTTGGGGTTTCGGTGGTCCGTCCCCCCCGCTTTTTGACAGCTGATTCGGGTCCTGCCGAATATTTGCGCGCAGTTCTTCTGACAAGTTTGATAACCAGAATGAGATGCCGGGTAAGAGTAAGCAGTAGTCGGGGTACAAAGCTGCTGGGTAGTAAGAAGGTTTGTTTCGTCGAGGGTTACAGAGCAAGGAAAGGAACAAATAGTAAAACGATGGGGAAGCAAGAGCCAGGTGAGGTTCGTGTGAAGGTGAAGTGATCGAGTGGCTGATTCAATGCCTAGCATAGCCTCACCTTCGAAATCAAGATGATGCGAAGTTTGCCATTTGCTTCCCTATCAACACCTACACTAATCATCTAATAAGCGTATCTCTTTCCTAATTCGCGTCCTCGGCTTAATCCGTCCCTCTCGTTTACTCGGTGATGGACTGCAAGTGGGGAGCCCGGTCAGTGTTAAGTTGACTGGCACGCTCGGGATTCCATTCACCAACCTGCGGTCCCTGCTCTTTGGAGGTAAATGGTGTAAGCTAGCTAGCTTCAGATGAACAAACGGTAACGCTTCTGGAATAGGAGGTAACAGGTCGTCGAGGTGATAAAATCTACAGTTTAGCCGTTGTCCTGACTTTGATCATCCCCCTTCCTGTGGTCACAGACATGCAGTTGTAACGAGATGGACGAGTCACCAATAACCTTCCGAGTTTTGACAATTGTCGCGACTGGCTAAATGGGCTTCAGTGCGATCTATATATGAAAAGTAAATTTGTTCGCCTAGGGGCTTGTTCCAAGTCTAACGTGTTACCCTACCGGAGAGTAGCAATGGCACAGCATGGCAATACACAAACGCCCTCTTCCACCGGTAGTTGATATGTAAAAGACTCGCAGTATCAAACGCTTGTTGTCGAAGCTGTAATCATCGGCCTCGATTATTTCTATGTACAGGGGAAGCAAGCGGTGCACCCGAGTCAAGTCAAGCTGTCTAGATGCGACTTGACTCGATTGACACTTGTCAAGTTGCCGTACGAACTGGGACGTTTGTTCATGCACAGACATATGTGAAGTTCGAGCAAAACCTTACTCACCCAGCGCTCAGTGCGGTTACAGTCTCCCTATTTTCCACTCCGGCAGGAGTTTGAACTTTCCAGGAGCACGGATTGCCAGCTGATTCGGAACTCAACGGCCGCCCTACCAACTTGACCTTCGGGAGCTCGTCGCCGAAACTCCAAATATCCATAACCTTAACCAACAAGTCTAAGTCTAGACTGCTTAGTTAAATTTTCTTAAGAGCTTAGTTGAATCCTTAATCTTCGCCCCTGGACGGTAAACATTTATTCGGAAAAGTGCCGTAGGGGAACTAAAACACCGTTCCGTTTAACCGCGCTCTTCCATAGTGATCTGAAAACAAGTGGGCAATCGTGGCCCGAGAAACTTTCCCCAGAATCCACGAGGACCCTTGTGGCGAAGAATCGTTTCCTGGAGTATCCCAGTAGGGTCAACGACAAGGGACCGTGGAGCTGATCCAAGGCACTATCTTGAGGTGCCTTTGGTCTCAAGAAAAAGGTCTGTCCAACTTGGTCCTTCCCAGCTCCCGACGTGAGCTCTCTCCATCTTTATGGACGCCAAGCCTGTCTACCCGCCTTGGTTGTGCCTTTGGCGTGCATTGAGAGCCACACTTCTCACGAACACTCCCCTATACACCATTGTCAAGTATGAGAGATAGAGGCTTGTCAAAACTTGGCACTCCTTGGCGCTGGTTCTTGGCCTTCCATAAATAATTCCCCGAGCGCAAACCCGCGACCCGATATCGACTGTGGCTTCTCACTCATTCACGGGCTTCTCGCAACATAAAGTGATGCATCCGACCAGAGCGGCCGTCTCAGTCCATGGTTGCCCACGCGCTGCGACAATATGACTGCCGAGACGCTTTCCCTCGTGGTATTTTGCGTTCAACGACCGCCCGGAGCCGAGATGACAAAGTTGCCCCTGATGTTTAATCTTCTTCGCTGCCGGCGCCCGCTAGCCATTGTCCTCTGAGGTTAATCAAATTAATCCTTCCTTTCGCGGATGCATCCGACGGCGAGTATGCGAAAGGGGGGGCAAAAGACATCGGATAATACTGGCCTAAAGACGAAGACTGCCCAAGAGTCTGCCGATGGCCTTGGGAATGAGTCGGGGAGGTAGGCGAGGAAAGTCTCGATCGAAGCACGAACCCAACTTGGTGCCGTGCGCTGTCCGCGCGCATCGTATTGGCCGACTTGCAATGGGCGCAGCAAGGATCCGATTGGAGAGAGGCTGCTAAAATGTCCGAACACAAAACATATTGCCGCCCCAAGTAGCTGAAGAGCTTTGACTTGGTGCTAGGTGACCAACCCGGTTTGCAAAAAAACCGGACACTTTAGCACTGCGTACTAACAACTCCAAATATTGGGAAGACTCCTGTTGAATAACAGGATAGCATATGAAGACGATGAATTCTTTAAAAAGACACAATGTACGATTTTGAATCGACGTATTTTACTATTATTTTATTTCAATTTTGTAAGTCTCGTGTAGTACCGTAGCTGGACTGCAAGTGCATGCCTTGTTAGGTGTGCGGGTTTTTGTGCAAACCGGGTGGTGACTTACTTATCGCAACTACAAACGAAACTAGGTTGTCCTTGGCTGGGGCGGCTGTGTTTCCCTCAGGTGGGAAACGTTGGTGGGCGTGGCCAAGCTACGCGAGCCGTCTTTGGCGGACGCGCATGACGCCGGAAATGGAGCCAAGCTTGAGCAAAGTTCGGACAAGAAGGGCGAAACCTTTGGATGACGCGCACCTTTGGGGCTAACTAGCATTCGGATCTCAACCGCTGGTTGTCTCGGCAGAAAGAGTCAAAAATTGCACCACTTTCGACTCGGGAGTGTTTTTACAAGGGATGCCAATTATGACTTGATATGGCATCCACAACAGGGCTTGTCAATCCGGTGATCGCCAAGGACAATTTGGTAAGTCTTGATCATCCTTCAAGCCAAGGGGCTCGGGAGCCAGGATTCGGTCAAAATGATTGAGCGGCTCTGTATCGGCAAGCTACAACGCGTGCGCCACCGAACGACTATCTACCCGGCTGCTAGCTGCAGGTAAGGTCACACTGGCGTTCAGCCACCAGCTTGGAACCAGAATCCAGCCGAGCGTGGCCGTAGTCGCCGGGTACTTTAGTAACAAAGTCTCATCGGCCCTGGTGCGACCGTCTTGCTATGACATCGCGGACCAAGGCATGGAAAAGTACAAAGGCAAGGGACACAGGGGAGGGGTTCAAGGTTTGTTTCACTTCGGACAGGGTTCGCCACTCGCAGCCAATCCGCGCCGACGGCCCTCCCTCTTCAGCCGCTGTCCTAAACTTCTGGACGACAGCTTATCAACCGGAGTCAAGGCAATGCGCGTCTCAGAAAGCTGCCGTAGAGTCGGCCTGGCTGTGAAAGTGTGCAGTACAGCCCGTCGCGGACGGGCGTGAGGACCTGCGCCGTCTGAAGTTATGGCCGTAACCAGAACCGAGGGCGGCATAGAGATGATTGAGTGTTCAGGTCAGACGTGGGCAGCAAACCTCGGAGCTGGGCGCTGCCCTGAATGGAAAGCTTGTTAGGGGCCAGAAGCTTTGAATGCCTCCCCGACATGTCGTCTCTTTCCCCCCCCAATACGCACGCACTGAAACGACATACGCTAACATTCATGCTCAGGCCGCCGGAGGGGTTAGGCTTGTAGGCACGTCCGAAGCTAGAAGCGTGGTGAGGGATCATGACGTTCCCGGAGAAGGATGGCGAGGCGTAAATAAGGGCCTTGGTTCCCCCAATCTGTCCGACAGCCTGATCCGCCCGGAACCTCACATCTCTCAGGGCGTGCCAGGCTACCATGGAATAGGGAGCCCTTAACGATCACCACATCAACGACCTGATCAAAATGAACACCTTCAACCCTCGTCGGGTGTCTTACCTCAGACCGCCCACCACGGTCTTCGAGGTACGCGAGTCCTGGGCGTCGCCATACCCTTCACTCAGCTCTATCGGATATCCACCATCAGAGAGAACAGCCGACGAAAGATTCGCATCTGCCGTTTGGCACCGCACCTTCAACCATGTCGACTACGCCGCGTATAAGGCAGCATGCGATGCTGAGAGGGCGGCCAAGCCCGACCGCGATGCCGATGTCTTTTCAGTCAACTCCAGTCCGACCAGGCGTGGTCTATCGAGAATAAACGCCATGCTCACCATCTACCCCTACAGAGACATGGGATGGCTTGTCACAATGGTCTTTATCATGGCGGCCATCTGCTTCTCCCTAAACGGCATCTTCAGTCTCATCCATCTGCTGGACCCCCAGCTGGACTTTCCAGGACGTGAGACCGCCACACAGGTCACGTTCGTTCTGGGCAGCTCACTCCTAACCCTCAGCGCTTGGATGGGCTTGCTTGCCGCCTTCAACGTCGATCGCGCCACCTTGGACCCGAAAAAGGACGCGCCTGATGCGTATAAGCCGGCGCTCCTCGGCAGCGACGAATGGGTTTGGCTGCCGAGCTGGTACGAATTCCGGAATATCTTCTGGCCTAGCACGGCGTTCCGTGCCGGTGTTCTTCAACTCCTCGCTGGGTCTTTCTTCACCATTGCGGCAGTCGGTGCCCTTCCCGGCGTGCTCGATCTCACCCATCCCAACGCCTCCATCATCTTCATCTCCTCCCCGCAACTTATCGGCGGGAGTTTCTTTGTTCTCGCCGGCCTCCTAATGATTTTCTTGTCCCAGAACAAGTGGTACATGCCCCTTGTCCTCGATGCCAGCTGGCAAAACGGCTTTTGGAATTTGGTTGGCGCAAGTGGGTTTTTGGCTGTTGGCGTTGTCACTCTACTCGCAAAGACCGCAGCAGTCACAATTGCCTCGCTTTTGTTGATGAGCGGGCTTGGGTTCTTGCTGGCGAGCTTGATTCAGTGGTACATTATCATGGAGTTTTACCCTTTCGACCCGTACTTGGAGGACCCGATTCAGGCGGCAGAGATTCCTTCACAGTCGATCTACTAACGACACGTTTATGATATGGGATTGGGGTTACGGTTAGGGACTCGGAGATTATACCAGAGAGAAACACATCTTAGATACCGACTCAGATTATAATTCATGATTTAATGACTTCTTACATCCGGTTCATCAAGGCATGTTCTGCTAGATCCACGCGCAGGGTGTAAAACCCAGCGCTTTTGTCTATCCCAGTCTAGTCTGGCCTAGCGTTTTAGAGGCGGAAAAGAAAAGTCCATCATCCCATAGTTAACAGGGTTTGCGGAGGAATGAATTATTCAGTGGAATAATTCCGAAGCCATGGTGTGGTGGATCAAGATGCGCAACGGTCGTCCGAGAAACTTTCTAATAACAAGGAAGACTCTGCGAAGAATGAGGGGTGACACAATGCATTGACGTATTTGTGTACCCTGCTACGTATTTTTTCGCGTAAGCTATGAGACGATAAAAAGTAAATGGAGTATTGTAGCCAGCCTCACTATTCGTTCTATTCAATGATGTGACTTCGTGAGTGCATTTGAACTCAATTTCTCAGCACCTTTCCTGCATCATACCATGTGAGCCTCAAAACGGCTTATTGTCTTATCAGATATCTATCCATTTTTCCAACAAGTAAAAGTTTTGTATGCTAGAGTCCCGAGTACAATTTATAGCACAGAGCCAAGCGCAGGGTCTGAGGAGGTACTCATTTCTGAGACCTGCGAGCAGCAATGGTGTAGAAGATGCTGCCGTCATAAATACCACGGATGTCTTCCTTCGTCATGCGACCATCGGCGGGCCACAGCATGATATACGTAGCCAACCCTGAAGATGTGTTAGTCATCTGATGTGAACGATGCTACAACAATACCCACATTCGAAGAAAGCGCCACCCCAGCCAATTGGATCGGCAACAAGTCTTTGACCCTTCAACATTGCAAGAACGTCCCAGATGGTCATGTAGTCTCTGCCTCCAGCATACTTGGAGAATATGTCTTCAAACTTTTGCGGGTTAAAGCGACCCTCGGTGTCGTAGGTGTTGGTGTCACTGCCATGCTTGTCCTTGTGGATGTTCGCGGTATAGATACGAAACAAAGGATCAGGGAGGTAGCCGGACAAGGTTGGATACGAGAAATTGCTGTGGATGATGAAGACAGAGAGAAGGGAGAGGAAAACCCCGAAACCAAGTTTGTGAAAACCCCAGAAAGTATCAATGGGATAGATTACGCCATCTTTGTCCTTAATGGATGTCAGCTCATGGCAAGACCAAGCGTGTCGCGAGACTTACAGCGTCGAAAAAGTCGCAATGCTGTTGGAGAACCTAGAGAGATATCACAATTACTTCCCATCGCAAATCCTCATTTCAAGGAGAACATACAGTTTGGTGGCGATGTCTCTGCGCCCAACCGTTCTCCGTAGTGCCATTGGGCTTTTCATAAGTTGCAGCAAGGTTAGCTCTTGGAGTACCTGGTCACAGATCAATTAGTTGCCGAACGACGCCGCAACGGGTAATCTGGCGACAAACCGGTATGGGCAAGCTTCTTGTCGTTCTCTGGTTGTAGGAAAGGCTTGCGTTGGACGGTAACCGGGACCTCCGGGATGGAGTACACGACAGGCTCGCCCAGCTTCCCAGCCGGTAGCTGCGTTTTTGTGTAGTTGTGATCTTCAAGAGTAGCCATTTTTGATGATATTGTTGGTGGTGAGTTGCAAGAAGTGCGGGCCAGTCAGACCTGCGACATTAGAAAAGCCCCGGCCTGTGGTGGGATATATCGAAGTCGATTGCAGCTAGCGCATTTGCGAGATGTGAGCTGCTCATGGTGACGTCATTGAGCTCATACAAAAACCTCAGGTTATCGTGCGTTTGGGTCATAGTTCATCTTGGTCCTCTCGTTTCAACATCTGCATGTGACAGTCGGGTGCATTCCTCTCTCTTTAAGTCGACAGATATGCTCTTAAAACAGCCCATCTTGCCATTTCTGATAGGTCAGCCCATGAGGTGTCTTGCGTAGCCTGGCACGGACAAGCAACATTAGGGTCTCGGTGGAGAAATGAGAAATGGAGTAAAATCACGGTGACGGGATATGATCCATCAGACAAGAAGGTACAAATATGTACCCTCTTTTTCCGGTGCTGGATCCCCTTTGACCACGATACACGCAATGCGACATATAAACCCCATAGGCAACCCACAGAACATGCATGATGCTTGACTTGACGGTGATTTAAATAAAATAAAAAACGCTCGCGGAAAATGTGAAACCACACGGTCATCGTGTGTATTGAGTGAAGAACTGGGACTGCAAAGATTATGTCTGGTAGCCTTGCACCAATTAGGTTAAAAGACAGAATCTAGAACGCTGAACGAGTCTCTAAATACCAGTTCAACAGCAATATCAAACAGACGACCATATATTAATTGATAAAATTTCCTCAAGCATGAAGCCTAAAGTACAGAATCGTGGATGTTGCATTTCAAACAGCCTTTTCCACCGGTCTCCCCGCTGTTTCCGGCTTTCATCCTAATAAGTCTTAGCCCGTCGACCCCAAATTGGCTGGCAAGAACACCCTCCCACGAAGTTTTGTTCCCTTAGCAAAAGATCGCATCTCAACTCCTTCAGCAAAGGGCGAAATCAAGGCTTCTGAAATCTGCATCGGTGGGTGGCCTTGGGGCAACAAGGCAACGTGGAACAGGAACGAAAGTGAATGGATCAATGTCCAGGAGCTTGGCAAATATTATATACGACTCCGGTATCAACTTCATCGACACAGCGGAAGCGTATTGAAAGGGCGAAAGTGAGACCATTGTCGGTCAGTTGGTCCGCGGTATAACCCGTGAAAACGTTGTTGTGTGAGGTCTCGGGCAACATCGCAAGATGCAAGGAAGCAGGCCTCATTTTTCAGTCGTACTCGTCGTTGGCGCAGGGTAGATTATCCAGAAAGTACACTGCTGAGAACCCGCCACCCAAGGAGCACCGAGCCAGCAGCTACGATATGAAGGACATTGAACCAACAATCGACAGACTGCGCGAAATCGCAGAGAAGTGAGGGAAGAGCGTCGCCTCTTGGCACTCAACTACATTTCGGAAAGGGAGTTGTGCCTGTTGTGGGCGTTCGCAATGCAGATCACGCAAATGATGCTATTGGAGCTTGAGGCTGGAGACTGAGTAAGGATGAAGTTGTTGCAATAGACAATGACAGCGTTGAGGGCCAAACGACATCATTGTGGCAACAAGGCTTGATTGGAAAATACTCATGTAGCATAAGTAAACCAGACCAGCAGCTGAAGTTCATGAACTCGAGCAGTTGTGTAATGTTCAGATCCTGCCCCACCAATTTCATGACTTCAATAATCAACATAACAAAACTGAGCTCTGACGGGGTTACGACTGTTGACGGAAAGTTTTTCGGTGACCGAGAAGTCGTGTCATATAAGACTTTGCTGTCTCGCGCATGATTTTATTCTTTTAGGGCCCCATGCGAATGACTTTCCAGCGCAGGCCAGTAGGTGGCAAGTGCAATTTCAAGGGAAGATCCCGCGATGAGCTTTTGCCCGACGAACTGTTGACGGATGGGCCTTTGCACTCTATTTACAAAAACGCTGAGCGCAAAGCGGCCTCGTCCAAACGTGACGTTCACGAGTTCCAAAGTTGCACTCTCCAAGACAATCAACGCATTTCTGCGTCTACTTTCGCCGCAACATCAGTGCCACATGACTAGCTTCCATCATGATGGTGTTGTCACCAGACGGCGAACGGGTAGACAGTGCTCAGACTCAAAACATCGGCGACAACGGCCTCCTGGCTCTGGCAAACCAGCTGTTTTCTCTATGCTGAAACCAATTCGTATAACCTGCATCCCCGAGATGAGCTAGCAGATCCACAGCACCCTGCCGACAGTCCGCCACAAGGCCCGTCCCAAGAACCCGTTCGTCCCTCGGCGGTATAGCGCATGTCAGAGATGCACCAACCGGGTGAATACGAGACCGTGGTGCATCTGTTCCTTTGCAAGTCTTCGTGACCAATCAAACTACTAAACATGGCATGCACGACCGTTGGGCCTTGGACCAATCGGCCTGAACAGAATGCGGTAAAAGCTCAAACTCTTGCGATCTTGCGAGCCTGGCCATATGCTGTTGTCGACCCGCTTATTGTCAGTTCGTCCCGTGTATCCGACCTTGAGTTTTCGGCATTGACTCGAACTCGATATTTCAGAGAAGGAAATCTCCGGAGAGCCCGGCATTTGAGCGATGCAATTCGAATACGACAAAGACTTCAAGCATGTCTCAGTGACGCAGTTGCACGGCAAGAATCGGCAATAAAGGCATAACAATGACGTCCAACAGGCGTGGTTTGTGAAGACTCTAGCAGCCACCTGGGATGTTGCAATGGACATCAATTCGGAAACAACGTTGAAAAAGTGAATAAGCAGTATGCCATTTGCCCATGCAACAAACATTAAGTCTTACCAAGGAAGTAAACCTAAGCAAACAAGGCGAGAAAGCTGCCTTTGAAGTCGGCAATCAACACATTCAATGGACAAACCACACTCTGTAAAATGATAACTGCTTGATTTCCTGATGTTCATCCACTCATCCTGGAGCTTGATCAAGCGTTTAGTTACATAACCCGTGCAACGGCTTCTGTGGCCTTCAGTGATTTGACGTAAGCTGACTGACCGGGAGACAAGGCGTCGGTCATGTGCAAGTGGTACATGTGTGTATAATTTACAGTAGGTGGGTTTGTGTGTGGATGTGTAATTAAAAAATGAGGTTTTGTAAGGATTGAAACTGCATTGGCATTACCAGTAGCAAAATATCATGATCAGTGGGAGGCTTGAACTCCCGGCCTTGGCATTACTCAACATTTCTGGTGAAATATTAGTACCACGCTCTAACCAACTGAGCTAACCGACCAATTGGATGCTTATGATCGAGCTCCCGTTGTCTCATATTCGATGGGGCTCTAGTGGAGATACCTGATGAGTCTGCAATTCCAGTCCCGACTGGGCCCCGTCTGTCCGCTATGTACTACAAGCAGAATGATGTCTTTCCAACATAAACTTCCCGAAAGCTTATATAGATAGAGAACCATTAATTCTGATATGTATTAGAAGACTGACTGACAATTGCATTATCCTTTAGTTGGCATTTCTGGGAGGCGGTTAGCATTAGGTTGAGATGAACCGCACACAGGCCTGTATCGGCTGAGTCGGATACAAATAGGTACAAATTGATGTGAAAAGAATACAAATTGATAAAGGACTTCAGCCCTGGAAAGTCAATCCAATCTGCTACCGTCCCCGTTCAACTTATCGTAACCGGGTGAGGGCATTGTGAGACAGGTAGGTATGGCAATCATCCAACAATATCCGGAAAAGCAATGAGCATGGACTGATCTTCATCAGGAGCGTTCCTCTCTCCTTTTCCCTGCATCGACAAGTCCATCTCAGACCTCGCATCAAGTACAAATTTTGTGTGCCTACACGTGCTGTCTCGTGATACGCGTAACCTAGACCGCTAGACCGTGCATGGCGTCGGCAATGCTTGGAATGCCTGACCGGATCCGAGCCCAGACTCCGCGACGGCTCCAACCTCCGTCGGGCGCGCCGTGTGGCCCTTCCCCAATCTCCTTACAGGGCTACAATCGCACCAAGAACCAGGCACAGAGAGCCCTGGCCGTCAAGGGGGGGGGGCTTTTCCAACGGCACTCCTGAACAGGAAAGTTGGGTGTCACGCAAGTGACATTGACCCCCCCGAGGTTGCTCACTTCCATTCTTCGAGCGCATTTCTTGTTCTCCTTACCTAAAACATCCATTCTATCCGAAAACCTTCTCTCACGACCTACTCTCGATTGCGCCCCGTCAATCACATTTACGTCCGGACAGCAACGAGTCGACCTCTTACGCATGGAACGTTCGTGTCATTCTTCTACCCCGGATTCTTGAAACCTATCCGCACCACGCCCGGATACCTCATTCTGCTATGCGTTAAAGCATCGTTGTCGATAGACTGTGCACTCTCGACAAAGCAACGAACGACATCGCGAGCATCGATTCCGCCACCATGGGCGTCAAGGTCCGAGAGCCATCGCGCGTCAATGCCATGCATCCCCGAGCTGCCGACAATGAGAAGATCTCGCTCCTTTTGAATGGCCAGCCCTGCAGCTTCTTGACCGACATGATGCCCGATGAGAGCCAATTTCATCGCACCACCAAAAATCCCGACAATCACTCTACTCACCGGTCACGACCAGCTCACCCTCTGCAAAAATGTATCAGGCAATGGATTACAGGCGTGCTCGTGTTGTGCCTCACGGGCCTCATCCTAATCTCGGCCTACTATGCCAGCAGGCTATTCGGCGCCGGCAGCTGGCTAGCCCGCCATCAAGCGCAAGCAGCTGCTTCTCCAGCCTCGCCACCGTCTCAAGCCCTTCCAGTCCGGAACTGGGATGCAGCCGTCTCGAAGGCGATCGCCTTTGTGGCGCAACTCAACCTGACAGAAAAGACGCAGATGGTCACTGGCAAACTCGGGCTTGAGGCCGGGGGCTGCATCGGCAACATCGTGCCGATCGAGCGCGTCGGGTTTCCCGGCCTCTGCCTGCTCGACGGTCCCACGGCGCTGGACCGCGCCGATCTTGTCAGCGTCTTCCCCGCCGGTCTCACGACGGCTGCCAGCTGGGATAAGGAGCTCATTTACCTGCGTGGAAAGGCTCTAGGCGAGGAATTCCGCGACAAAGGCGTGCATGTTGGACTCGGGTATGTTTTCCATTCAAATTGCTCGATGGTTGTTGCAGTTGCTAACAGGTTGATAGCCCGGTCGCTGGACCACTGGGACGTCAGCCTCTGGGAGGCCGAAACTGGGAGGGGTTCTCAGTTGATCCGTATCTCACAGGCATTGCCATGCGACTTACTATCGATGGGATGCAATCGGCAGGTGTGCAAGCCTGCGCAAAGCACTTCATTGGCAATGAACAAGAAACTCAGCGGACCAATTCCTGGCTCGCAAACGGCACAGAAATTGCAGCAATTTCGTCCAATATTGACGACCGCACCTTACATGAGCTGTACCTCTGGCCCTTTGCCGACTCTATCCGAGCCGGAGTTGCCAGCGTTATGTGCAGTTACAACCGCTTGAACCAGACCTACGCATGCGAGAATTCGGGCTTGTTGAACGACATTCTCAAGTCGGAGCTGGCTTTCGAGGGGTATGTCATGTCCGACTGGTTTGCAACGCATTCTGGGGCGGAATCCATCAACAATGGACTAGACATGAACATGCCCGGGCCGATCGGGCATGCCCAGATTTTCACGGGTGAGACATACTGGGGACCCAACATCACGGCCATGATCAAGGACGGCTCCGTTACCGAGGAGCGCCTTAACGAGATGATCCGGTTGATCATGACGCAATACTACCTCTTCGACCAGGACAGCGCGGAGTATCCCACCGTTGACCCATCCATAATCTTCTCCATGGCGGCTCAGTCGAATCTGCTAGATTTACTCCCAGTCGAGCCACCCCCGAGCCGTGATGTCCAGCGCGATCATGCAAAGCTCATCCGCAAGTTAGGCGGCGAGGCAACGGTCCTCCTCAAGAACGTCAACGGGACTCTTCCACTCAAACACCCGGTGAATATTGGAGTCTTTGGCAACGACGCAGCAGATCCAGCTGATGGACTGGTCTTTGGGGCTGGCTTTGAGATCGGTACACTCTCTGTTGGCGGTGGCTCAGGCACTGGACGACATACGTACCTCGTCTCACCACTCGAAGCTATCAAGGCACATTCGCAAAAAACTGGTGCCCGGGTGCAATACATCCTGAACAACAAGGTGTTGGCTGCTGGTGACTTCAGTAGTCTATACCCCATCCCTGAGGTTTGCCTCGTCTTTCTCAATACTTTTGCATCAGAGGCATATGACAGAACGAGCCATGACGCAGACTGGAACTCGACACTGGTTGTCGAGAATGTTGCACGGCGGTGTCCCAACACCGTCGTCGTGACGCACTCGGCGGGTATCAACACTTTGCCGTGGGCTGGTAACCCGAACGTCACAGCTATCTTGGCGGCTCACTTACCGGGGCAGGAGTCTGGAAACTCCATTGTTGATGTTCTTTGGGGCAAGGTGAATCCATCGGGCAAGTTACCATACTCCATACCTGTCGATGCGAAGGACACCGATATTCCCATCGTCAATCTTACAGAGGCAGAGATCACTTCTCCTACGGCCTGGCAGGCCGATTTCACAGAAGGCCTTCTCATCGACTACCGTCAACTAGATGCCAACAACATCGACCCACTCTACGAATTCGGGTTTGGTCTTAGCTATACCACATTCGGTCTTGGAACATCTTTGAAGATCAAGCAACTTGTCAAAAACGTTGCGGCGACACCAAGCCCTTCCACACCAAGTGTCCCTGGTGGTAATCCAGAGCTTTGGGATGCCATAATTCGTGTGACCACACACGTCAAGAACACTGGGCCTGTTGCGGGTGCCACAGTCCCTCAACTTTATATTTCGCTACCCAAAGACTCCGTCCCCGACGGCACACCTGTCCAAGTCCTGCGAGGATTTGAGAAGGTATTCTTGGAGTCAGAGGAGTCAGCCGCTGTCGATTTTGAAGTGCTGCGGCGTGATCTGAGTTACTGGGACGTAGTATCGCAGGCTTGGGTTATTCCGGATGGGCCTATAGTGTTCCGAGTTGGCTTTAGTTCCCGAGACATCAAGGTGACAGCGAAGCATGTTGTTCGCTCATCTTAGATATGTAGTAAGGATTGCTGGATTCCGAAAAAGTCATGACATACATGGTCTGTTCTGCACATTGTATATGCTTTAGGGGCTACACAATCTCAAATTCAGTGTCCGCAAGCGCAAGGTTTTCATCCAGCCCCTCACCGTCCATCAGTCCATGGATGTAACAATCGCCAATTATCTTTGTCATGTTATGCGTAGTGTATCGCAGGATGAACGGGTAGTCGCACCCATACAGCACGACCACAATGTCGCCGGGTTTGGTCCTTCAACAGCCCACCCAAAGCGTCCATTCTTGGATCTGAAGAATCGGCGGTTGTAAGTCCACTTCGTGTGAGCCCCAACAAACGTTTCCGTGATGAGTCTCTCCTTCATGTAGTGAGTCACACCTTCCTCTGGAGAGAGTCTGTGTGACTCAATTTGATGATCGCTCCGTTCCTTAAGAATCCGAGCGACGCCTCTTCCGAATTCAAGGATGCTCTTGTAGTAAATGTCCATCCCAGTCGCACACTCGTTGCCAGGACGTTCGTTGTCGCGCGTGCGGTTGCACATTAGTGTTCGCCACAAATTCTCCCATGATTGTGGCGTGGCCTTCTTGTCGGGAAACGCGACGTCGGCGAGATTGCGGTACCACTTCTCTGCATGTTCACCCATTGTTTCCATCGTTTTCTTGAACCTGTACTCCGCGTCGTTGATCGGCCTCTCTGCTTCTGTGGGAACATCATCATCACCGTCGCCTATTGTGTTCTCTTCATTCTCACTGCGGAAGATAGGCCCCCCATATCGCGACATCTCAGGAAAGTTCGGATCTCCGATGCCACTATCCAATGGACCACGTTGGTTCAGGACCGGAATTTGCCTTTTCATCTCCACCTCGTTCACCACGTCAACAACCCTTCCTTTGATACGCAAGACTCCGGCGCGCTCGTTGACGAAAATGCTGGGCCTGGTGTCGCCGGAAGCCGAGGCCTTCAACCCGCGGATCCGGAACGGCTCGGTCCAGCCAGGGCGGGTCCAGTCAGGGACCCAGGATGGCAGTACCAAGGTCGTTTGTTTCGACGAATCAACGCAGTGGGTAAGAATGTCCAACGAGCCCGAACTCAGATGCTTCACAGCGAAATCCGTAAAGATTTTTTCGGGAGATTGAGCATAGTCCACGATATGGTCATCGATATATCGTGTAAGACCGAGGATACCGTATATCTTGTCGCTGGGAATCGTGGCTTTGAAATCTCTCAGCTCTTCAAGCATATTGAGAATAGGCATCGATGAAGAAGCATTCGATCCGTCGATGCGCTCTTGGCGAAGACCCTCCATGTACCCGACGGCCTTAAAAGCCTTACACTCGCTGATTATCGTCTGTAACTTAAATCCCGAAAGCGCGGTGATGATTTGAGCCATGATGCTCCAAGGAAATTCCATCGACCCAAGATGAATAGAGATATCTTGGGAGTTGACAATCTCTTGGACGATCCATATACGTTTGAACTAAGCCCCATAGGTTAGAGAGAACTCTATCTCTCAATGGTCTGAGAATGACTCACCCATGCCCGGTCAAGCATATCTGCCAGTAGACCCCAATCCAAGCGCTGCGTGTCCGCAGTATTGTAAAAATGCCACTGGACCTCTTGCATGGTCGAGTTGTGGTCCACAACCTTCCTTTTGACGAACAAATCGTCGAATACTTCAGAAATGGCAAACATTGTGCGGACAGCTTGGAAATCCATTTGCGTAGATTCGCCCAACCAAACCCGGGTGTGCGATGCGCCTGCATACACCTGCCCCATAATCTTGACATGCTCATTACGCTCCGCTATATCTTTCTGGTTGATGCAGAGCGCATCGACCCAAATTCTCAGAGCCTCGTCTTCTTTCCTAATACGACGCAGCGCACGGAACAGTTCACCGCCCACGGTCACCTCGACACCGTCGCAAACAAGAGGCGCATCGGGCATCTTGCCGCCCATACGGATATAGGTTTCACCCTGGTAAGGATGATCGACGAGGTCCTTCCATTTGGACTTGCCAGACTCGGAAACTGTGTTGCCGTTTCCATCCCTGCCGTGGACGGCCCAAGGGATTTCTTCTTCAGGGTCAACGCCCGGGTTGCGGTCTACACCTTTGCTCCAGCAGTAGCTAAGAGCTTCATAGGGTTCTTCCGGAGACGCAATAGAGAGGTGTGAGATACTACATCGAATATCATCAGCAAACTTGCCAGGGTGGATTGTGAGGATACGGGTTTCGTTTGGGAGGTTAAGGGGTCGGTAGGGGTACGGTGCCATGGTTCAAGAACCATAGAGTCTAGTTAACTTGCAGATGTCGGTCGTAGCTCAATTGATCTCGCTGGTCGAGCTATTAAATGCTTTTATGAACAACTGGATTCTTGCAATCCGTTGAAGATGGCTGGGCGGTGCGTCTCAGGGATCGCTTCCTGATGGTTTACGGGGCTGCTGGCTGTGCTAGGCACCAGCATTTAGCTCTCACTCAAACATGAAACTGACCTTTCTCCATTGGTAGGCTGCATTCAACCCTGTTCGGACATCACAGCTGAATATGCAATCGGTCAGCTAGGTCTTGGTCATTTGCTACACAGAATTGGAGCACCTTAATCCAGAAGAAATTAAGGCGAGCTAGCGACACTGGCAAAATTCACTACTATGGTGTGATGGGTAAGTCTTTTACCCACAACAGGTAGTTCTTGGCTTTGACCCTACGGCCAGCGAGTAATCACAACCCAACTAGCTGAACAGTCACCTAAGTGTGTGAAGTACCAGTGCTTAGATGTGCCTGCTTGCAAGCCACAAGATACCTGACAGGGGTAAAAGTTTTTGGCCTGGTGCCATGGTATGATCCATCTACACTTGCTTGTGGCGATTGCTATTTTTCAGATCTTCTAGTCTCTCTCACAGAAGACATCATTTGCCTTGGACAGCAAGCCGGATGGTTCACTGCAACCTGACAGCATAGACCAGGTCAAGCTGCTAGTGGGCAGATGTTACACCATTAGGCTTCTAAATGTTGATTCTTCAACTAGAAAAGCATTTGAGAGCCTTTTGAGGATAACCTCAGCCACTGCTAATGAAGCGAATACCATGGAAAACATGTTAACTGTAGTTGATCACTGATCAAGCGCATGATACGCGATCATCAACCCGCCAAAGGCTTGTCAACCGAGGTTCAACGGAGATTCCAGCCTGTATAACCATAGTTAGAAATCCCTGCAACAATCGAATCGCATTTTCCAATATGCCCTTGGGAACCCGGAGGTACTATGACAAAGCCGCACATCTGCGAGATTCAAAAACACGGTTTTGTGTGAGACATCTCCGAAGGATTTACAAGTGGATTGCGCTGTAGGTAATTTCGAGTCTTCTGATGCTAGTTGGCCTAGGCCTAGGTTTTGTGTTGTCGCTATATATTTTAAGCGCGGACAAAAGTTTTACCCGCGGAGCATATAAGCGCTGGCTGCTGCTTGTTCTAAACGGAGTTGACTTTGTCCGCCATCCCCCAACGTCGACAGAGTCTAAAACCATAAACCCAATGTCACAACTCACCGACGTCAGCATGTCTATTCCGCAACGTACCGCTCCGGCTTTGGAGGATCTTAGAGAATTTTACATCGGTAAATATGCGCAAAGTGTCCCTAAGCCTGCAGCGGTTTTGGACGCTGCCAAGATTAGAAGGCATTGCCAGTCGATGCTAGATGCCGTGGATGCGCTGGGAGTGTCGTTCCGAGCTCATCTAAAAACTCACAAGGTAAGTCAAAGGTGCCGCTGATGACTCGTATTGGTCCCTTTGTGGCGGTAAACGCCGCTGGGCGGTAAACAATTCTCCAAATCGATCGGTGTAGGGGACTGATCCGTAGTCCAGACTAGGGAAGTCGCTCGTCTCCAGGCTGGAGAAGAGTGCCAGCATGTCAATTTCATTGTCTCTACTGTGGCAGAGATCGACTTCATGCTGCCTGTTTTTGAAGAATATAAGCAGGCAGGCCGCAGTGTCAACATACTCTATGGAGTTCCACTCCTTGGATCCCAAGTCGATCGATTAGCCACTTTGAGCAAACAACTCGGGAGGGAAGGTCTTACAGTCATGGTTGACCACCCTTCACAGCTTGACTCCGTCAAGCGTCTGCATGGACTTACCGGATTTCCTGTGGGCGTCTTCTTGAAGGTGGACACTGGCTATCATCGCGCAGGTTTGCCGGCAGCGGCACTCAACAAAGAAGGGCTACTAGAACAGCTCATCCAATTCGACGCAGAAAACCGAGCAACCTTTGTGGGAATGTATTCTCACAGTAGTCTGAGCTACAAAGATACAACGGCTGATCAGGCGATGCACAACCTGGCTGCCGAGATCGAGGGATGCCTGGAAGCCCTTCACGCCAATGCAGATATTCTCCAGAGCAAGGGCCCAAGAGAGATTGTCATCAGTGTCGGCGCGACCCCACAAGTCACAGCCATTGAGAACCTGATGGGAGACGCTGCTGGCGGGCCGGGCGAAAAGCGTCTTCGTGAAGCAATTGCCAAAGTCGAGGGTGGCTTGCAAGACGGATTGGGATCGAAGCTCGAGCTCCATGCTGGCGTCTACTCCGTTCTCGACATGCAGCAGATGTCTACTCGCTCGAGGACAGCCCTCGGCAGCTATGAGGACGAGGTGGCTATCACTGTGCTAGCAGAGGTTTGTAGTGTTTACAACGACGGCGAGCGAGAGAATCCTGAGGTTTTGATTGCTGTTGGAACGTTGGGTTTGGGAAGGGAGCCTTGTCCTTCATACAGCGGCTGGGGTGTTACCGGCCCTCACCCGTTTCCTGAGTCTGAGAAAGGTCGGAGACTTATTGTGGAGAGGATTAGTCAGGAACACTCCATCCTCTCATGGGACTGTGGCTCAGAGAAGAAAGTTGATCTGCCGCCAATCCCATTGGAAGTTGGGCAGACGATTAGCATTTATCCTAACCATGCGTGTGTCACGGGCGCTCTGTACGGTTGGTATCTGGTGGTGGACTCAAGCAGGCCCAAGAAGACGGAGATTGTGGATGTTTGGGTTCGGGGATCTGGATGGTAACTCCTCGGCAACACCACATAATGATAAGGAAAGAGTTGTAGAAAAGATAAATGGATTTAGTTCGTTCATTAAAAGAAGTATGTCTTTTCGTGGAAAAAATAGTCTATTGGCCATGCGGTTCTAATGCTCTTCTTGTCGCATCTCAAGCATTGGAACCTTCCACGAGCTTCTTGAGTGCCTCCAAGGCGTCCTTCTCCCATACAGTAACCTTGCCCTGCCACTTGTCCCCAGCGCCACCTCCCTTGACTCCTGTTACGATGTCTTTGACCTTCGTAACCATCGCTTCAACTCTACCCTTCTCCCCGAGAACCACAAGCTGGCCGCTCTTCTTCTCCTCGCCGGTAGCCACAATAACGACCCCGCCACACGCCGTGACAGCGTCTTTTACATTGACTGTAACCCATTTCACAAAGTCCGCATTGCCGTCAGCGCGATGAACCCACACACTCTTGTTGGTCTGCAACTTGGCTTTGGCAGATTCTGCTTCAAACTCAGCAATATCGGAGAGCAATTTCTTCTCTCTTTTCTTCAAATCCGAAGCTGAGCTCTGTACAGTCTTGACGCTCTGGACTACCTCATCCGCAGTGTTCTTGCTCGAAAGCAATCTTGAGATGGTCCCCATGGCGCCGATGGACGCTGTTGCCAGGTTGATGGCTCGGTCTCCAACGGAGAAGTAGAGACGAAAGTTCTTGCCGTGGACTGGCTCGCCGTGATGGATGAGAATGAGCGAAATGTGAGAGGTCTGTGAAAGATGAGTTCCACAGCATCTATTAGCCACGTGTTAGCGATGAAGCATGATGATCATGTGATAGGCTCTTATACGTGTTGCGATCAATGTCACCGATGCGAATTACTCGCACAACCCCCTTGGTCTGATCGTAGTCTTCTGGCATTTTGTGAACCTTTGCATCATCTGGTATTTCAACAGTGATGGGCAGGCTCGAGCGAACAATGTCGTTGCATCTGGCTTGAATGGCTTGCAATTCTGCGTTGGAGGGTTTTCGGGGCAGGTCGACATAGTTCATCGCGCCGGGTTTTCCCATTCCCCAGCCGAGGGTATTCAGATTGTCGTATGTATTCATCACGGCGGAGAGAAGGTGTTGACCGGTGTGCTGTTGCATGTGATCCCACCTGCGCTGGAAGTCTACCTCCTGGCGGACTACTTCTCCGGGTGTCAGAGGCTGGGGTGAATGGTAAACGCAACGTAATCCAACACGCTCGACAAATTCGATCGGGATGGGCGTTGCTCCTGTGTTCGATAACGGAGTAATCGTTCCATGGTCTGATGGTTGGCCGCCGCCTGGAATACGAGGTTCGTCAGTCTCGTATCTTCAGACTCTTCGTTTGGTAGAAAAAACACCTTCTGGGAAGAGGACCGAGTCGGCGAACTCAATCAGCCATATTTCCGAAGTGCTCCCATTAGCAGCATCCGCAGGCTTGTCCTTATTGCCATTCTTTTTCGCCGTTGGAAGAGGCCGTTTCTCACACGAGATGACCTCGGCCTCCAATGTCTGGAGGTAGGAGCTTCGTTGACAGGCCAGAGCTCCCACGACTTGCGCCCGTGTTGATTCCGTGACAGCCATGATGGTAATTGAGAATGTTTCTTATCTACCTGCCCTAAGTGAGTCAATCCAGTTTGTTGCCAACTTCGAGATGAATCGGATGAGATAAGCCGATAAAGCACATGAGGGTCCGTGCTTCGGTGTCGTCGGCGTTCGGCACTTGCGGGGGCCGGGGTCTGGAGCGGCTCACGTGACGTCGCCGAGATTTTCCCACGCGCCAAGGCTTTGGACTCGGACAACCTTCATCACCACACTCAAGTCAGAATATCCGGGGACATGACGACAAGTGGCGTTCTCTGAGCCTGCACCTCGCCGCCCTCGGCCGATAACAGCGGATAAGCCTCCGGACGAACCCTCTTGAACGATGACCAGCCACCGTTTCATCAGCTAATTAGGTGGGGCTTCGCCGCCTGGTACGCGCGCCACGCCGTGCAATTAGTTACAAATCAGGACATCGTTAAGAGATGTAAAAGGGAGATCGAAGTTGACACATTATATTGATTACATATCCATTACATCCACGGCGCATCCAGTTGGCCTATGGTCTTACCGCGCGGCGTTCGACGCACATGTCCATGGCTTGGAGCCCTTCTCTGTCGCAATGGCTTCAATAGACGCCCACAGACCAAGCACGCAGATGAGGAAGCCGGTCAGGAATAGGCACACGTTGGCCACAAACTTGCAGGTCTGCTTGCCATCCTTGAACCAGTTGCCGTAGTGCATCCATAACCAGAAGATGCCGGGCAGGCCGTAGGAGAACCACGAGGCGAAGAGCGCGCAAATGAGGCCGAGGAGACTGTTGAAGACGGGGATCGACTCGGCGATGACCATGGAGATGGCCCAAATGCCGATGACGATGCTGACCCACGCAATGCTCGAGACTTTGGTGCGGCGGATCATGTGCTTGGTGTTGCGGAACATGCGCGAAAAGATGTACTTGGCAGCGACGTGGCCGTAAATGACGCCGGCGATGACAATGGTCGGGATGGCGATGCCCCAAATGGCCTTACGCATCGTTTTGGAGCCAGCGGCCGAGAGGGCGGGGGAGGGGACATCGGGGCCGACGAAGACATAGATGACGATGGCGGCCAAGAGGTACAGGGTCGTGTCGGCGATCTGGAGGAGTGCCAGGGCCTTGGGCCAGTCTTCGGGCTTCTTGAACTCGCCGATGACGCTGAAGAAGCAGGAGTGACTCGCTGTAATGACTGTTAGCAAGTGCTGCGAACGCCATGGAAGCGTTGATTGTGACTCACAGAAAGCAATGGCGATGTTGGTCACGGCCAAAAATGCGCCGGTGAATCCAAGCTGTCGGGCGACTTCAATGCTGCCAGTGCCAATGGGACGGCTGACGGCGACGTCACCGAGGGTCATGAGTACGGCGAGGGTGATGGACAAGCACGCTATATCCAAGGTCAGCACAAACGAAGCCTCCAAATCTCAACCAGGGATTGGATGACTCACAGGCCATGGACATGTAGCTCGTGTACTTGAGCGTTCTTGGGAAGTTGAGCACGGCAAAGACAGCCAAGCCGACGACGGCCCACACAATGGTGCAGGTGGACGAGTTGGTAAGAGTGTTCATGCAGATAGTCCAGGTCAACAGGTGGGAACCCATGACGAAGACCTGAAAGATAACCTGCGCCCAGCCAAAAACCTCCTGAAATACGGCGCCCATGCCGATGGATTTTCCAATGACCTCGACAGCGTCGCCAAAGTTTTGCACGAAGGGGTACTCGCTGCGGAACTCGGCCAGAACGAGGCCAGAGTACGTCGACAGGATGCTCATGACGAGAATGAGGACGATGCCTGGGACAAGGCCGACCGTTGCCAGCACGGAGGGGAGGGAGAGAATGCCGAGAGACACAGTTTCAGCAATCAGGACGATGCCACCTTGCCTGTCATCAGAAAGTCAGCTGTCTGATGGCTACGCGAGTCTGAGTCACCCTCAGATCAAGGCTCCAAACGTACCACCACGTCAGGGTCTTGTAGTCGATTAATTCACCATCCTCGCCGGCCAGCACGCTGTTCTCCTCCGTTGTTGTGGGTGCGTAGGCCGGCGCCGCCTCGTTGCTGCTGGCATCCTTCTTCGCTTGCTTCTGGGCCTCCGCCATGCCGGGAGTGGTCTGGTCGTTGCTCACGTCCGCCGTGTTGCCCATGGCTGTCGTGATTAGGTGTGAGCTTGGCGCTCACTGGTAACGTCTGTTCGCGTTGAGGCGTATTGCTCTCTCGTTAGATGTGTGACTCTTCTCTCAAGGTCACAGATCTAGAGTTGGTTCCGTGTTTGGTTGAACCAGACACTATCTCAGAGGGGGGTGGGGAGGTGGGTGTAAGTGGTCGGAGGGTAAAGAGAGAGCGAAACCACGACGTGTGAGAAAACCGGTAGAAGGACCCTTCATCAAGTAATGCGTATGCGATGGGCCCGGATTCTTTGATATAGTCCACCACTTGCGCCGTAATCGGCCTCGCGAGGTGGAAATTCCAGTGCGAGCGAGGTGTCATACGAGACAGCTGCCGAGGCGATCTCGGCGCGTCCGCTACCACGCGCGGGACACACGGACGGGGTGACCACCAACGGGCCTTCACCAGCAGGGACTGACTCGGGCCCGCACCTCCGGCCCACTGGGGGGTGGCGACTTGAGCCCTGGACCCTCTGGCAGATTTGGAGCCTCATCCACCGCTGCGGAAGCCTTCCGCAACGTCTTGGTGAGCTGGGAAGCAAGCACGTCACGATGTTTTGACCGAAAAGCAGTTGTCTTTCCGGTCCTGTTGACCTGGGTTTGTTGCAACTCTGTTTGACTTTGGTCTGAGTGATTTTTCTCTTACGCAGCGTCGACTTACGCTTAACTACATCAAAGTCACCAAACTCAATGGGGCGACCTACCAGAACCAGAACAAGAGAACAAAGGAACCGCCGCAGAAAATATGACAGCTTGCCTGCCACGGCACGCCTCATTAAAAGTTTTCAGGAGCGCATTACGGACGACAACTCCACAAGTTGGCTAATATTTACGTTATAATCCCCACTTGGCCTGGGTTTTACTAATGTTGACGTCCCAGTTGGCGGTGGAGAGGTCTCGACGCAGGTTCCCCAAACTGCCCACTGCCACTGCCGCGCCCCAAAAGCCATTGGTCCCCTACCAAATCTTCGGTCCTTTCTCCCCGCGTCCTTCTCCCGCTCCACCACGCATGCCGCGCATCGGATGCTCAACCTTCACGCAGATTTGCTCGCTCCTCGTCTCTCATTTCGCCGCAACCCGGCATCTTTAGGAACTCGCATGCAGTATGTGGCACTCACCAATTACTCTCGGGGCCGGTGCGAACGGTTGGGGTGCAGCAATATCAGCGGAGTCGACCGTTCTGGCCGCTACCTATCCGCATCTTGCATCTTGGCATGGATCGCGGTCTTAAGGCAACGTTCCATTTCCCCGTACACGCACATCCACGTGGTCTTAAGAACGCTCGATTCTCTGTGTCATTGCAGGAGTCTTAGCATTCTTTTACGTGTACCCCTAATCAAGAGTTCTCTCCCCGGATCTCATCCATGATCCGATCCCGCTCTCCGCAATCCTTGGTACAAGTTGGAGGGCAGATGGGCTTGTCTAGACTCTGGATGGGATACCCCGAGGTTGACGACAACGTGCTTACCCTCGTTTAGCGGCCCCGAAACACAGTTACATACAGGTGCGTATTCATTAATATGAATAAAAAGGGGTAACGGGTCCTAATCCCAACAGCAATCAAAGTTTGACATTTCTCGGCCTTGCACTGCATCTGCGTCTTTTGCCCCCCCTTTGATGTCTGTCTGCACGATTTGAATACCAGACAATTTGATTGGACCAGCTATTAACTATCAGGTATTGAGGTCACTCTTATGCTAGATATGCAAGAGTTCTCTATCCACATTATGTCCGATGACTTGTAGTTCTATCAGTTATCACTCTTTCCACAAGTACTTCCAGTAAATCGGTGGCAAGAGGCAAAGGGAAGTCGTGTTATTCCTTATCCTACCCAACTTCTGCGCTCCAATACTTGAATGGAGAAATTGAATGAAGAGGGTTTGGTGTCTAGCGAGACTGTCACCCAAATGAACCGATCAGTCATGATGGCAATGAATGGATAGATAGAGCAATTTCAAACCTCACTTCATGGCTTATCTCGCATCGTTCTTCTCTCCAAGCTCACCTTGAAACAGCAAATTGACATGGGCCAAAGCCTACGAGTGTTGATCTCTGTCGGCAATGTTGCTAGGCCCAAAACCGGGTGGCGTTGGTGTAAATAAGCTGTGCAAATGATTTCTTGACGGCTTATTTCCACTCGCAGGTGGGTAATAACATGGAGTATACTTTTGGCATACATTTGGAGCAGGAGGCATCCATAGCCGAAGAAGCTTGTGTCAGAGACCGATGGTGGCTTGCACTATACCAAAAGTAGTTTATTTGGTCACACTTGACATTGTTGAAGGGTTGGGTGGAATGATATGTACGTCTCCCATATTTAGAGTATATTAACAGCTCGGTACAGAGACGGGGGCATCTCCTAGGTATCTATCTAAACTCCTTGAGCTACATCTTAGAATGCCCTCCCCTTATATTCGTACACATTATAAATACAAGTTTGGTTCTATGTGAGCTGCATCGTTCGGCAATTCATTTCACCGGCGTGATAATAACCACAATCCACTCGACCTTCTCCTCAGCGCCCTTCAACGGCGTCCAGTGGCTGATAAACTTCTCCATCTTGCCTGCTTCGCCGACAAGGCTCGCGAATCCTGATCGACTAGCTGGTCTGTTGTGTTTCTTTGTGAAGCCTTCGGAATCGTCTTTTGATGCTCGCCCTCCGCCAAAACCCATAAGACTACCCTTGCGTGCGAGGTACCCGCCACCGAGCATGATATCCAGCGTCGCCGACTTCCCATCCCGGAGGATCCGCTCACGGACAGTGTTCTTGAAGCTCTTTGTGATCGAAGGTGAATCCGCTAGCTCGGACAAAACCGTAAAGATGTCGCGGTGCGTGATGTTGTCGGCAAAATGACTGAGACCAAGAGCCTCAAGCGCCGCGTTTGAGCAGTACGCAACGCTCAACTGTGCAGCCTTCCTCTTAGTCGGATCAGCAGGTAGAGATGAAGATCTCGGCGGGAATCCGGAGGGGCCATCGGTGTTTTGCAGGATGATCAGACGGCTGTAGGCGGAGTAAACAGGATCCATCCGGGTCGAGACGGACAGCTGCTCTTCGGAGCTCGAAACCGTTAGCAGTTGCTCGAGGCCAAGACCGACACCTTGCGAGGGCGACGTGTTTTCTTGGTTGTCGGTGTTTTGCATCGCGTGTTTCCGGAATGGTTGGAAAAGACTTTTCTTTGGGCCTTTGTTGTGCAGACTATCCCGGTTGCGTAGACTCGCCCGCCGCTCGTGCTTCCTTTCATGGCTGCCGGCGCGGCTCATTCGGCGACTGGCTCGGGACTCCCGACCAGAGGTTTCTTCCCTCGTCTCGCCGAGGGCCGGCCCAGACGTCAGAATCCGGAGAAGGTCTTTGCAGTCACCAACGCTTGCTGAAACGTTGATCTGCCCTCCGAGGTAGTACCGGAGCTTGCCAGAGATATCCATCAACGGGCAAATGAACAGCAAACTCCAGTATGGGGTGCCGTCTCGGTGGTAATTGAGGACAAGTTCCAACGATTCCTCTTCCCGCGCGATGGTATCCCGAATGCGTTTGATGGCGTTCTGGTCCGAGAGCGATCCTTGCAAGAACCTGCAGTTCTTTGACAGAGCTTCGGTCTTCGAATACCCCGTAACTGAGCCAAAAGCGTCCGAAGCTGCAACAACCGGAAAATCAGGAGTGAGGACATCTGCAAGGCAGAACGATTCGGCGAGACCAGGATAGGTGAAGCCATCGCGAGCGCCGTTCAAGAATTCTGATGTAGAAATCGCAAGCTGGTGCTTGATGAACGCCGGGTAAACAGTCCGCGCAACCCTCTGCTCCACACAACGCGTTGACTCGGCGAAAAGGCTCTCAAGTCCAGGCAGCACAGAACTGGTCAGCTGCTTCATGTCGGCCTTCAGAGACTTGGATACTGTCGACGGAAGGTTCGTTGGTGTGGGCATCGTTGAGGCTTGCTTCCCGAACTGCGTCAACGACTTGGAGTATTCCTGGATTCGCAGGAGAAATTCGACGTCTGGGCCGCAACCATGACCTTGGGCAAACTGAAAAAAAACGTTGTGATGGAATAGTAGTGTCAAGAACCATCTGAAAAACCTCTCGCCCAAGGAAATCTAGGATGGGCAATGTCGCTGATTCGGCTTCCATAACAGGCGGCCCGAAGCTGCGGCGCAGGCTTGTCGATACACCATCGAGGCTGGACCACGTACCAGGGCCGAATGTTGGGGATCTCGGGACCCATCGGGGTTGTAATCGGTGTATCGGCGAAAAGCGTCTTCGTTGGTATGTAAGGACAGTCCCGAGTTGCTTTTGTATTTGAAAGAAACATTGTTTGCCCGTCGGGGGCTCGCAGGTGGGGAAAGGGTCATGGTAGGGACAGGCAAGGAGGAAGATGTTGGACTATTTTTTGAGCCAGGTTCGAACAGCCCCATGGAATTCTGACTACAATCAGAATCATAAGGAGGGGTGACTGGCGATCTGCGTGATTTGGAGGAGGCCATGACAGTATTTCAGAGGTAAAAAAGAGTGACTGGAAAGGAATGTGATGTGTACGGGCCTTTGGACAGACTTGATCGGACAGAAGAAACAGGACAGTAAAAAAAAAAGAACCGATTAGGGGAGATAAACAATAAAACAGGACAGCAGGAAAAGCTCGCGTTGCATCATATGTCGGGTCGAGAAACAAGGTGACAGACGCCAACACATGCCACTACGAACAAGAGGGGTTTCTCTGGAGATGGAAGAGACGGCCGACGGCTGGTGCTTATAGCAAAGGCACCGGCGGACGGGCGCTGACTCGCAGTGGGACGGTCTCTTTGCTGTTGTGCCAGGCTTGTCAAACGCCATGGGCAGTTGGATGTCTTAGGTTGACGCCACAACCTTCTGGGGAAAAGCTCGAGTTACTAGCTCACCGGGCTTCAGGAACAAACATAGGTGAGTGACGGCGTCGGGACAGCGTGCCTGGGCATTGTCCAGATGCAAATCGAGATTCAAGGTGCAAGGTCATGTGGGGTTGCCAACGCGCAGCGTCGATCACATCAATGAATGCCACCGGTGACTCTTCAAATGAGATGCCAATTAGTCCTTGTCAATTCAAAGACGGTCTGTCGTTCCACACTTCGCCAGCGAGGGCTATTCAAGAGCAAACTGCATTTGGCGCAGGCGAAAGCAATGAGACCGTGCGTCGCAATTGGCGCGCCAGCTGATTGTGACGGCGTCGGTAGCTCCTTGACCTGGGCCTCTCTCTCCCGACAATGAATAGTCCACGAAGTAACTAGAATGGCCAGAGGGGCAGATGACCATGCCATCTGAAGTTTGGCGTTGATGATGGGAAGAGACGAGGACGATGGGACGAGGGCTGAAGCGGGGTTGACCAGGGAATGTTGGTCCACCTGGGAGGCGATCTCCCGCCATTGCGTGACGATGGGATTGGCACAGGCCTATTTTGGGTCTCTCCTATTACCCTAGACCGCCTGGTTGGAACGCCTGTCCCTGTCGCGGCTCGATGAAGGGGCATGACGCCGTTGCAACGCTTTGGGCGGTGGCGGCGGTCGGACGTCGCCTGCTGCACTCGGCTTGTACACACAAGGATCACAAAGGCGGCGGGCAGAAAGCAGCAGTCAGGGCAGGGCGATTGTTAGGAAGCCAAGTGGGCGAGAACCAGGGGTTGTCTTAACAGTGGCGACAACCCTAATCACACGCGGCGGATCTGGTGAAGAGGGAAGAGGGACTTTCGCATCGGCGTTTGAGTGCAAATGAATGCCTCGGATGCGATGGGAATGTCGCAGATCGAATGGAACCTGCCGTGGTAGTCCTCCCTGGGGACGGCAAAGCTGGGTCGGCAGAAGTTTGTGTGTGGTGGAAGCGGCGCCATCCATCTCGTGACCGGGAGACAAGAGGCCGACACCTCCAACAGTACCCGCGATTTGGCCACCGCAGGCGTTGTTGAGCGGTGTGGCCCAGTGACCTTTGGTACTAAGGCACACGCAAATGAGCAGTGAGCCATGCGAGAAGAAGGGGCGGGAGAAGAACGCGGGCTCCAGTGAACGACTGCGTTTTGGCTTTTGGCTTCTGGCTAGGCGTATCAGGTTACCGTCCCTGCGGAAGACTTCAATCCATGGCTCCAAGCCGTCCTCCGGTGAGATGAGATCGACACCACCACGGGACCTCGCTCATGATGGAATTTTCCGATGATAACGAGGTCCATGCCGGTCAAGGTTCGACGATATTCCGTTGCCTTGTCCAGGCTAGAAGAAGCTCAGACGGTCCTTGCTCGAAGAGCGGCTGCAAAGAGGGCGGAAATGATTCTGTGGTCTGTGTGACTGGTCAGGTGCGCACACGACGACGGCACCTGTCGTGTTGTCATGTCTCCCATGGAAGACAGGTAGAAGAGGGACAATCGGGTTAGAACAAGGACGCCCAGTTGCAAGACATGTGTCCAAACAAGTGCCGATACTGTACAAAACACAGGAGCATATCGGCCGGCGCCCCAGATATCCCTCAAGCCTCAACGGCAAGTTTCAGATCCTCGTGCAACGTGCGCTACTAACTTGATTGATCTCATCTAATTTCCTCAATTCCCAATAACAACTCGATTCAGTGGCCGTTAGGAGAGTTCGAGGCTCGGCAACCAGCCATCAATCAACCGTGAGGCATTCCCCACAACCATCATTCAAGTCAGTGACACCTTGGGGAACCATGTGCAGCAACGTGGTGGCTGATACATTAGTCGAGGGAAAAGAAAGCATCTCCTTGACATGCGAAAGGTGAGCGCGAGTCCGCTAAGATATGTGAAGCGAGGCAGTGGGCTAGAAGAGAAGAACACCAGCTGAGACCAAATCCCATCACTTTCCGACTTTACTTTCCTTGGCGAGCTCCAATAAACATCTCGGGCATCGTTCCGAAGCTTATGGTTCAGTCTATGGTATGAACATAACCACAAGACGCGTTGGTCATCCGCTGCTACAGGATCTGACGAGCTACAGCCCAGAGATCAATGCGAGATTGGAATTTATTATCGCCGTTGAATTTCGGCATTTGTCAACCACAATGCCAGATTGGCAAAGCAAAATCGCGGGCTAAGAATAACAATGCTATCGATACATTGTTAGCGCTAATTGACTGTCCCACTGAAGCCTCAAGAAGCCGCCCTAGTGGCAAAGCGCACGCTCACCGTACTTAGATGCCCGCTATCCCTAGAACAATCAATCACCTATCTGCTTACTCCGCTTTGTTTATTGGGGAATAGACCAGTCCACAGCAAAGCAAAAGGCTAACTTCGAAGAATTTCCGCCAATGTTTGTTGTTCAGCATTGGTTGAACAGGCTAAACTGAAATCAACCTGGAAGAGAAACAATCATTAATAAGACACCATTAATTTTAGTGGTTTTAGGAATAGTTGAAGTGGTGATAGTATAGTTATGGGATTCAAAGTTGTAGTTGAGACGTTGTTGGCGTGTTCATCTGGCTCTCGTTGGCGGAAGACAACGAGGTCAAGGTTGTGGATGAAATGCTAAAAGCAGTACCAGTTGAGGTTGTGGAAAGAAGCGATGGAGGAAGTAGTTCTCGACGTTAACATATCAAGGTTATCTCAATGTCTTCTAACACCCAGCGCCGACGTGCCCAAATGCCACTCACTGATAGTTACCCAGACCAAAGTACAAGGACACTCAATAGCCATGTCGCCTCTATGACGAAGTGTCTATCAAATCTCTTTAAATTGGAATCAACTGATTCCGTGCTCCCCCCCCAATGTACGTTACTACAATAAGACTTGTATTTGTCCCAATTTCTTTTCACGAACCGGCAATTCATATCCATCAATCGGACATGAGTTCACGCTGCTGTCTTTTGATTGGCTCCGTTCCTAGTATATTCTTGAACAACCATAGCTTAGGGGAATCGTTGCTGTTCTTGATGTTATCGCCTTCCTCAGGTTTCTCGAAACACCTGCGTTGAAAGTCAAAACACAGCAGGCGCGCAGTGCTAACCAGCCGAGTCAGGTAATCACCTCGCTTTGTAAGGTGACTCCAGTTACCTACACCCAGCTTGATATATATCTCGGCTGTGTAGCTGAAACTGAAGGGAGGACAAACCTTATAGTAGAGATTCGAAACATGGGGCTGCCAAGGGCTCAGTTCAGAATAGATGAACCCCAAGTGTTGAAGCGTTTCGCAATGTCGATCTGGCTTCATACCCACCGGCTGATCAGCACTGGTTAAAGGAGCCGACGCCAAAAGTCTCGGGAACATTCCAACTGAGTGTGATACGGAGGTCGGAACGCTCTGCTATGGGTTCATGACAATCAAATCGGATATCATGTCATACAGTGGATATCACTGTCGTGGGCATCGACGACGAACTGCTTCGTCATAAAGTTAGGGGCTTCCACCGCAAGCCTCGAGAGTCTCAATGCTGCTGACGGGCGTCAAGTCCAACCTGATGTAATACAGGCAACTGTCGCAGTTGGTCAAGGTAGAAACAAGTCAGCTGTTATATTGAGTCAATGGTTGTTGCAGCCTCTGAGGCGAAAGCGGGTTCCCAGCCGGCGACTTAAGGTAAAGCCGGCGGATCGGGCGCCAAAGAAAGCGTAAGGTTTGCGCAGATCATCTCAGCTAGTGCCCGAGACACCGATCAGCAGGCCAACAGACTTCGCCCTGGAGCAAGTCTCCTGAGCTTAATCCCCTTGCTCTTGCTCGTCTTTGCCGAGTACTCAGATGCTAGACAGTAGGAATGGAACGATGAGCGTGCGGAGTGTTGATTGAAGCATGCAGCCGGCCTTGGAAAAATGGATGTGGCTTAGTACAAACCACTACCTTCACTAGGCCTTGGTATAGAATCGCTGCTCTGGGAAAACGAAGAGTTGCGAACGATTGCGGGCGCTCACTCTTACTCGCTTTAGAAATAGGCATCCCCAGACATCCCGTGTGGGGTTCGTCGCAAATCTACGGCCGTCGACCGGGATGCAGGCAACAACGAGGACCCGGCCAGCTGGAGACTCTGTTGCCGGTTCTTTCGGCCAGCGCCGAACCAAGTATATGGAATTCACCCAGAGACAACAATTACCAAAGCCGGTACATCTATTTTTTGGATGAACATACTGAGACCTGCGCCCGATGATCTTCGTCTATTGATAGCTCCAGCATTTGATCTGGATTCCAAGGAATCATGGTCAAAAAGCGTTCTACCACTACATTCAACTTTTAAAACGTCTTCATATTCGATTGTACATATCAATATTGCATCTTGGAATCAACAACCTTAGCGTTGACCGTTACTGTGCGGGAGAACAACTGCTTTGTGTATATATTTAGTAAGCAAAGACGCTCGTCTGAACCTTGATAGACTTTCGCCGTCTGACACAACCAAACTGATACGAAACCCTCGACGGATTCCTTGCTCGCTGACTCGTGCTAGTTGATCGACGCCTTGGCATGTTGTAGCCCTCTTGCAGATATTGAGGGACTACCATCAACAAGTAGTTGGACGAGTATAAATGGCTGTGTTGATTCCTTCATCACGCCATTTTACTGCACTATCGCAACATTCCATCTGTTCATCAAAAGAACTCTTTGTTATCGTCCCTGTTATAAAACTTTACTAAAAAACGTTGACCGTTTAATCGTACTACACGCCAACATGCGTTTCCAGATTGTCTTCGCTATCCTTGCTACCTATGTTGCCTCTGCCATGGCAGATGCGTGCGGCGATTGTCAGCGAACTTGCCCCTTGCCCAGCGAAGATGAGTGCAGTAAGTCCCCATCGTTTTCACGTATTTTAGGATAATCAAAAAGATTAACCCCAATCAATAGATACCATGTGCGCTCCAATCTGCAATGCCTAGTAAATTACTACTACATTGGCGAACTCCCGCCGCCTGTCTTGGATTGTTCAGCACAAAAGCCTCATAGCCTACTGTTGCGACTAATCTACAAAATATACGTGTAACAGCTCAACAATGAAGATTCCGGTGCATGCCTTACTGCTTCGACGCCATTGATTGTGTGTGACTTATACAGTGAATGTCTCACATAAGCGATAGAGTGGGTGGGAAATGAGGCGGACGAGTGCCGTAGATAACTTACTGGATGCCTATCGGTGCCTGGAACGCCATTTTGGCGGCCGGATAAACAAGGGGATAGGCTCGGAAGGACCCACCGGGCGCCAGCCTTACGCCACTGTCCACTCGCAAACGAACGTCCTGCCGCCATAGCTGACGTGCGACGGTCCGCATTTCGTAATTCTCCACCTTCAACAACCCAACGCCGCAAACCCACCGTATCTGCTCGGCCCGGCCTTCATCATACACCATATATCCGCCTCGCCAGCTTTGAGCCATGATTGTGCTCATACTATCTGGCCCTCCTGCGCTCTCTTTGTCCCTTCCATCTCTTATGAGACATAAGCGATAGCATACCTTACGATGGCAGCTGGCCAGCGTCTCCGCCGGAGCCTTGCTGAGGTCCAGGTAAAAACGGAGTCGACATATCGGTCCATCCGCCAGCCAGGGAACCATCATGAGATCCGGTTAGCACTGAGACTCATCAGCGGCAATCTCCATAGTCTTTCTCTCCTGTCCGAAGATTTTGCAGGAACGGATGACGATGCAACATCGGCATGTCCCAATTACACTCTTTTCGAAGCGTTGTCCGATACTCTTGACGACCTGAATTCGGTTCGGTCGGGCGCCTCTGGATCATCGGAACCAGGAAGCGAACCAATTCCAAGACCCGAACTCACGTCCGAGTTTCTTCAGATCCAAGCCCAGCTCACTTCTGCAGTTCGTGCCAGTTCTTGGGAGGCCCTGCTCGTTATTTTGGCAAGGACCAAACCCCAGACGCATAGACTCGGCCCCGCGAACGGCTTGACACTTGAAACCCCAGAAACTACTCCCGATGAATGCCTGAGTCTGTTGTTGAGCACCAAATTTGGCTATAAGTTAGACGACTGCTACTCCCACTTGATTAACGTCGCAAAGAGGGACGTTACACACCCCGAGTACGCTGCATGCGCGAAGCTTCTGCCCGACGTAGCCCGGTCCCACCACCATTCCATTGAGAAAAAGCTCAGACTTCTTTTCTACCCGAGAAAGTCTGCGAACTTCTTGCAATGGCTATTGGAGTATGCTCGACAAGAATGGCCGGGTCATTTCAACCCCAAGGCAGGCGCTCTTTCCATGTCGCCACTACTTCGGTTGATGTCGACAGTCTCGGATGCATCGGTCAGCACTCTTCACATCGCTGCTGCTCTGCACCTGCCTCAACTGTGCAAGGATTTGATACTGTTGGAAAAGCAAGACGTGAACCAACAGGGTTCTCTGGGAACGCCTCTCTACTGCGCTCTGCTCGGCCCAACTTCACTCTTCGCTCGTTCCGATGATCCGGCTCAGCTGCTAGCTGACCGTTGCCCAAGCAGCTGCGAAGAACCTACAATTAACGTTCTTCTAGATGCTGGTGCTTCGTGCACGGTGACATCAGCTGGGCCCAAGCACGATGAAGAATTCTCGCTGGCAACTCTGGCATTCCTAACGTGCCAGTCGATAAATGCCCCAGAGGCTATGATGCGCATCCTTCGGTCAAGCGTGAGTCTAGACAAGCGGTTTGTTCAGCTATTTCATGGAAAGGATTCCCTTTTGCAGTACTGGCCGTCGCCACTGCCTCCGCCGACACGCTCGTTTCTGGCGCCTGTCTTGCCAGAGATTCTCGACCGGGCAGTTCCTCAGTATGACAGCTATAATGATACATCGTTGTTGGCAACTGGCATTTACAATGTCCTCGACTGTTTTGATCTCGCTGGTTGTTCTTCGGGTCGGGGGTCTTGGCCCCTTGGCGTATCAGACATGATATACGCAGACCTAGTGCGGGAAGCAATCCAGGACTCTGAGATTGCAGTCATCCGAAGGCTCATTCTTGACCCTCGGTGGGATCCCAACGCATCAATGGAACACCCCTCCAGAAGGACTTTAATCTCATCTTCGGACAGCGATGCCACATCGCCAAAACCCCGGAGAACCTATACCATCCTTCATTACGCGGTCGAGGCTGACGAAGCAGACCTGGTATCCCTCATTTTGGACTCGGGAGAAGATGTTGACGTTCATGTCCGTAACCAGCACGAACAAACGCCCCTAATGTTGTCTGAGTCACCCGAAGTCCTTGAGCTTCTCCTCAACCATGGAGCAAGAACTACAGACACCGATGAGGATGGCCGCAACATCTGGCATTTCGCAGCTGCGAATTCTGACATTGACCTGATTGATGTTCTTCACAAACATGACGAGCACAAGGATCAAAATCTGAAGGGACTGATGAAGAACGGTCAAGCCCCTATTGCTCAGGCCGTCATCTATCCACTCAAGCTGATGAAAAGGCAACGCAACTCCAACCTTAAAGACCCTGTGGGGGCGCTTCACATGCTCGGAGTTTGTGCACCAAACATCGCTTATCTTCAAAGCCCAACTCCTCTCTTATTCCTTGCCGTGGAATGGGGCTCTGATGAGTTGGTTCGCAAATTGATTGATTTTGGTTCTAATCCGTTCGAAGTGGACAACGAAGGCCGGAACGTCCTGCATTATCTTAATGCTGGTGCCAGAGAACCTCTGGTCAAGACGCTCTTGGATCTGCAAGCCGTACCCATCTTGACGAATGAGGGCCTGTCGCCCGCAGAAACGATCTTTTCAGCTTTCAATGACCCGGAATTCTGCGACCGTGACTCAGATCAACCGTTCAACCACCTAGCTAATTCCCGGCCGCTCGATGTTGCCGCGTACACCCATCTTCTGACTGATAACGTTCTCAACTCCCGTAATAATGAAGGTGCTGGGCTCTGGGAGCGTTTTGCTATTCGAGTCCTGGGTACATGGGCCTCCAAGTGGCCGTCAGAATCCAACGCCTGGGTATCTTTGCAAAACGCTGTCCAATGCCTGATTAAGAAGAAAGCTTTGGTCAAGTATGAAGAAGAGACAGACGAATGCGGCCTTATCCCAGTTCTCTCTGGCTGGATGAAAAAGAATATGAATTATGAGAGGCATCCCAGGTACTTGGAGGAGATTCTCTCCTCCATTCTGCAAGCATCAACCAAAGCTGAGAGCTTCAAGGAATCTTCGGCCGCAGTGCAATGTCTAAAGCTGGCCGTGCAACAGGAGCACGCAGAATTTGTTGCAAAGTTGCTTGACTTGGGCGTTTCAGTACATGCGCGGTGCGAGAACGTCTCCGCACTTGAGGCAGCATGTATGCCACACTCGACGTGTCAACCATCCATATTCGACAAGCTTGTTGAGCACGCAGACTCCAGCAAACTGAACGAAGTTAACAATTTTGGGATCGGGTTGCTCTACAGACTACTCGACCATAGGGTCTCTCACCATAAACACAAGCTATCTGCTGTTGTACGCAAAGGATGTGATCCCAACACGAAGACTCCTAACGGCGTGCCTATGGTCGTGGCTTACATCGAGGAGCGTCAAACGGAAGCTTCTCTGATCCTACTCGAAGCGGGTGCAGACCCCGCGGCGTCATCAAAGAGCGGGTTAGACGCAGCACTTGCTGCAGCCTCGCGAGGCGACTTGCTCGTTCTGAACAGGATCAAGTCAATCAGCAACAGCTTCGACTGGAGCAAATCTTGCTTCCATGATTTCTGCCGGGTGGACATGGCCGGCGACCCGGGAATCACGACGAAAGAAGGCTGTAACGCGCTTCACCTAGCCGCCTCTAATGGCCATGCTGAAGTTCTCCGATTCTACCTTCAAGTCTTAGACCTCGACGTCGAGTCACAAACAGCCGATGGCTGGCGGCCTATACATTTTGCTGCCGCCTACCACGCTGGCGACGGGTCTTGTGTTCGGGTTCTCCTGGAGCATGGAGCAGACCCAACAGCAACCTTACCATCCCGGAAGCACTGGAATCCTCTGACCCTCGCATTAGTTGCTGGGTGTGGAACTGTGCGGCCTCTTCTCGAACTTGGTCCGGAAGTTGTCAATCGTATGAATCTCCCAACTGCCTTTGTGGCGGCTCTCCAAAGTGGCAACAAAGAACTAATCGAGCTGTTCCGGCCTTTTGTCAACGAAATGGTGATAACACCAGATGGTAGAAAAGCAAACACCAGTGTAGTTGGTGCCGTACTGGAACTCTGTATCGAAGAAGGCAACGCTGAGTTGGCTACAAGAGCTCTCAAGATGGTTGAGCCAGAGACTGTAAACTCGATCCGGATGAGCTGCGGCAAGTGCTCACCCATCGTCCTCGCTGCAGCCCGTGGCCAATTTACACTTGGCGAACTCTTTTTGGACTATGGCATGACGAACTGGAATCTTGTTGATCGCTGTTTGCGTCACTTCACCATTTCTCCAGACTTGCTTTATCCTTGTTCGGCTTTACATATAGCGCTCATGCGGCCCAGCCATCTTCCTAGCCCAGATATGGAAGGGTTCATCGTGTCGCTCCTCGGTGCGATAGACTGGACCCGCCACGAGTTAAGTCCCTTACATTGTGCTGCTGTCAGCGGCGTGCCGGATAGGATCCGTCTTATTGCCGATTGGATCAGAAGGTCTCCTGAACATCACTCGAGGCTTCTACATGGTATCCAGCTATGGCCATTGTCAACTGCGAATGAAAACGCAGGAGCATGCGATTTCTCTTCGAGCTTTCCCGAAAACAGCATATCTGCTGCATCAGAAACTACAGTCAACGCCATTCTCAGACACTATGTCAACCAATACGTTGCCTCGCCCGATTTGCGGCCCATGTTCCATCTCGGCAGGACCCCACTGCTGATGTCGATGGAGGAGACTAGCTCTGGAACGGCGGTCAACGTGGAGATGGTGGAAGTTCTCCTAGAACTCGGCGCGGATGTCAACAAGACTGACCTAGAGGTCTTGGATACCCCTCTCCATGAGGCCGCAAGAGCCAACTTCTTGGACGGCGCTAGGCTTCTCTTGAGTCGCGGGGCGAACCCCAACCTCCGGAACTCAAGATCTTTCACTCCCCTGACCTTGGCGGTCGAACAAGGCCACCTGGAGATGGCAGGGCTGCTGGTGGAGCACGGGGCAGACATCCACGTTTGTGATGCTGATGGTATGAGCTTGCTCAATACCTGCGGCGAAGAGTCCAAGTACCCTGAGATGTTTATTTGGCTCCTGAACCTGGGTCTAGATCCGTATAAGCTTGACAAGGCAGGATACACGCCAATTCACGACATCATTCTCAATGATGCGTTCCCAAACCTAGCTTTCAACTACGGGTTCGACTTTTCTAGGATCCGGGACATACGGAAGGGATTCCTGTCCCTCGTCATTGAGTTCAACAACAGAAAGGCCAACAGCATTCTGTTAAGGCTGTTCAAGCGTCTTCCTTGGGAGAATGCTGTAGAACTGGCCAACTCGACACCAAAAGCGTTCGTCAGTCCACTCTGCAACGCCGTGATTCGGGAGGAGCTGGACTGCATCCCAACACTGATCCAACATGGCGCAGATATTGATGCTGAAGGTTCGGCAGAGGGCTCGGCGCTCATGGTTGCTTGTGCCAAGCGCAATTTGGAAGCCGTAAAAGCACTCTTACGATACGGCGCCAGCATCTCATATCAAACGACAATCGACGGTGCGCCTGTTTTTAGGAGTGCCCTCGAGTATGCCAAGCCGTTCCCGTGTATCGTGCGTTGGCTTCTTTTGGATCGATACACTCGTCTGCGGAGCATTGCGAGCTCTTCTCAGAGCACCGGAGAGATGAAGATAAAGCCATGGAGTGGTGGACAAGTTGTTGGATATAAGCTCACTGGTATCGGCATAAATACTGGACGGAGATTTGGAGAGACTGGGTTGGAGTATCTAAGACGCCAGGACCTGATCCGGCAGGGTTTGAGGGGTCAGACGGTTCAAGTGGTAGCATTAGGATGACGCTTAAGGCATGGTTACATCAAAGGAGTTCAGGTGTGGAGGTGGGAATAGTTCAGCAACTAGGAGACGCGATTAGAAAGACACGATACCCAGTCAAATCTTTGCGAGCTATGTTAGCCGAAAAGTGACTAGGACTCATTGGCTGTGTTACCATGTGAAGAACCAACTAAGGAACAGATACCTTTGGGTGCAATTCGCCAGCCATTTCGATTATCAAGCACGCCCCATTTCTGTAGTCATACAAGACATAGAAACCGTGCAACCCGGCCAATGACACTTTTCGAGGTCAGGGCCCCTCCAGGTGGCTTCTACATTTCGACAAACACAGGAAGTCAGTGACCAAATGTGGCTGGGTGCCTTAAACACAGATAGTTGTGAAGAGGTCCGTAGATGTTGTGCGATTCATCACTTGAATATATTGGAATGGGGGATGGAAACACGAAGTGAGATGGCATCTATTCTGGGAGGCTAGGACTTCCAAAATTTCTACCTGCATTGTACTGTCTTCCACCCAGAGCAGACAAGTTTGAGAAAGGGCTTCAGCGTCATTTCCGCCGTCAAGCTGTGATGTATCTTTTTCAAAGATTCAACCGCGCATATTCTTATCAACGAGTCTCTGGGTACTGATTGCATTAGACCCTTGATACTCGGTGCCATGGAATTTGCGGTCTTCAGATATTTGAGCGGTCTGTCAGATGGGTGGCATCTCTTATCAACCCCGCACTTTGTCTGACCATGTGCCGTTCATGCAGGATCAAAATGGAGCGATCTGCAATACATCGGACTAATTGGGTAGGAGGGAAAAGCGAGCAAGTAGAAAACCATGGTAGTAAACGAGAGGATAAGACGCAGGAGAGATCTGACGGCATTCCGTTATATAAGATCGGCGATAGTGCGCGTGTTCCTCTGCCCTGTTCTTTGACTTGTATGCAAATAGAGTGTTCTGTTCAGCTAGGCCAAGTTTTCTTCGATGCGTCAAGGGCTTCGGTCAATCTACTAAAGATAAACACTTGAGAGAAGGTAGATGGAGAAAAAAGAAGAGCCAAAGCTAGGAGGCGCAAGGGACCCCGATACTCTCGATATTGAGCCAGGGACTACTGCTGTGGGGCAAACGGGGCACCTCAAACAGCCGCCAGAATCACAACATATTGGGACACTCGACAGAAAGCTCAAGTCTCGCCATGTACAATTCCTAGCCCTCTCAGGTGCCATCGGCACAGGTCTTTTCGTTGGCAGCGGCCAAGTCCTCTCCCTGGCTGGGCCCTTGTCAGCCTTCATTTCGTACGCTATCACTGGCTTCAACCTCTACTGCGTAATCAACAGCCTCGGCGAGATGGCAGCGTGGCTCCCGATACCTGGAGCCGTGCCTGTCTTTGCGACGCGGTTTGTTGACCCGGCTTTGGGCTTTACGTTGGGATGGAATTACTGGTGAGACGGCCGCATTCCCTTTTGAGTCCCAGGATGCAAGGGTTACAAGCTGTTGGCATAACTGACGGCCGAGGCCTTTCCACCCCCGGTATGGGGATGTAGTTGAAAAACACCCAGGCGCTAAAGCGAGACAGGTATCAGTTCGCCATCGGCGTCCCGATAGAAGTCACCGTCTCCGTGGTCATCCTCGACTACTGGGATCATGCCGTCCCGCAGGCAGCTCTGATCACAATCTTCTTCCTGGCTATGGTCGTCGTTGACTGCCTGCCGGTCCGCATCTACGGCGAGGCCGAGTTCTTCTTCGGTGCCATCAAGCTCGCCACCATCATCGGCCTCATTCTGCTCATGTTCATCATCACTGTCGGCGGCGGGCCGAGCGGCGAGGTCATCGGGTTCCGGTACTGGAGGGACCCCGGCCCGATGAACGAGTACCTCCGAACAGGTGCTCTCGGTCGGTTTCTCGCCTTCTGGAAGGTTTTCATCCAGGCCACCTTCTCCTATGGTGGCAGCGAGATGGTCGTTGTCGCATCCGGCGAGACGGAGAACCCGCGACGTAACATCCCCAAGGCGATCCGCCGCGTGTTTTGGCGCATCGCCATATTCTATGTCCTCGCCATATTCCTCATCGGGCTGTGCGTATCGTCAGAAGATCCCAACCTGCTCGACGCAATCAGCAGCAGCGCCCCCGGCGCGGCCCAGAGCCCCTTCGTGATCGCTATCCAAAACGCGGGGATCAAGACGCTGCCATCCATAATTAACGGGGTCATCCTGAGCTCAGCATGGTCAGCAGGCAACTCCTTTTTCTACGCCTCGACGCGGGTACTGTACTCCGCCGCGCTCGACGGAAAGGCGCCTTCGGTCCTCAGATTTGAGCGCTTCGGCGTGCCGTACGCCTGCGTCGCTGCCACGACGGCGCTGAGCTGCCTGGTGTACCTCAACGTCAACAACCGCGCCGCCGAGGTGTTCTTCTGGATCAGCAACCTCAGCGCTGTGAGCACGCTGATCGTCTGGGCCAGCGTGTGCTTCACCTACTTGCGCTTCTACCAGTGTCTAAAGTATAACGGCATCGACCGTAACACGCTGCCGTACAAGGCCCCAATGCAACCGTTCCTCGCGTACTTTGCCATCGTCTTTTGTCTGACTGTGGCCTTCTTCAACGGTTTCGACGCCTTCTTTCCGGGGCGGTTCAGCGCGAAAACGTTTCTGCCGCCGTACATTGATATTCCGATCTTTTTGGCCCTATTTCTAGGGTACAAGTTTGTCAAAAAGACCAAGTTTGTGGAGCTGTCGGAGATGGACATTTGGTCCGGAAAGGCGGAGATTGACCAGCTTGAGCCGACGTGGCCAGTCGTTCGGCCGCGGAATTGGTTGGAGAGGATCTGGTTCTGGATCGCGTAGTGCGGCAGACACCGTGGCGCCAAGAGGCCGGTCGGTTGTTTGGTAGATGAGTATAGTCATTTGCTACTCGAATCAGTTGATCACTGTTCAAGCTTACGCTGCAGCTGAGATTTCGAAACTGGCGGGCAGTTTTGGAGGGAGAGCGAGAAAGCGAAAGAGGTTGGCCTAGGCTGGACTGTGGCAGCGTATGGCGGTTATCACGAGGGACCCTCATTGGCCGAGACCCAGGCCTAGACCATGGGGATTCTTATGACCTAGCGGTGAACATCTAGTCCCTCAAGCAGAGTTTGAAGGGGATGCTGGGTTCTGGGTTGCACCCGACACTCTGGTTGATATCCACAGATCGGTCGCTGGGAGCTCGGTCACCGAGGTGGGACCCGACGCGCTGTTCGAGGGCTACTAAGGCTTCCCTTGGCGATGGCCCTCTTTTTCATGTGGCGATGGAACTGGACCCTTGCGTGTCGGACTTCGTTAAAGGCGGCACTTGTGTCGGTGGTGGCAGACTAGTACCTAGTTGGTAGACTAGCGCAAGACGGCAATCAGGCGGGCATTCAGTTTGAGAGAAGTGCATACTTTTGTAGTGTTTTTCTTTGGTCTTCTTGGCACGCCGGAATAGACTTCAGCCCCGTTTACAGGCCAACGCTGGAGAGGATGCAGACGGCCTTTCGTGCATTCCATAGGGATGATGTGTAGATTTGGCGTGCGTGAATGCCGGTGTTTAAATGGTGCGGTGCGTATGATGTAAAAAATTGGGAACTTCCTGGTTTCTGGAGTGAAAACAAAAAGCTATGATAGAGGATCATACAGGAAACGGCTCCAGAATTGAAGGATCGATGATCTTCGCCCAGCAAGCGGAATATTGACCGAACTGGAGAAAGACGAGAGATCTAGACGCCAATGTGAGCCCATTTTTTCAACGGAGGATCATCTTTGTTTGGCCACTGAATCCGCTGCGATTCTTGCTCGGTGGTGCTGGCAGCAACCATTTCTCAAGCCCAACCGGGTTGACCGATGTTTTGGTCATTTGGCCCCCGTTCCTGAGCCAGTCGGGAGCATGCGGAGATGAGTGCCATGGATGGTTGGATGGGTCGTGAAGTGGGGGCAAGAGAAACATAAGGACGTGGGTACCTACGGGTAGCTCGGGGGAAACAAGGATTGGGCGCGTGGTCCATTACGAGGTCTCTGCTGAAGATCTAGAGAGGGACACGACATGAACGCGGTTCAAGATGGTATAGCTGTTGGAGGAAGACGAGGAGGCTTGCTGAAGCAACATCTCATACCCTCTCTGCAAAAGTTGTTAGTTACTGTCGATGGCCTAACCATGTCAGGGAGACGTTCTGCTGGCAGTCATTTCTCTTTGAGGGTCCTTCACAGGCAAACAGAAGAGACTAAGCACTTGCCCATCATCTCTGACGGGCCATGGCCGGTGTGCCGAGGGAGGAGTTGAAGGGGGTGGTTGGGGTCTTGGGCGACGCCACGAGAAACGTAACCGTTTGCGGTATGGGTCGAGCAGCGGTTCGGGGTCGAGGCGTCCACGCTAAAATCAGATAAGATGGATCTGATAAAAAAATTCTGACGGTTTAGAATTTTTCACTGCTCCCTTGTGCAAGCCTGATCCCGACCACCACACGCGTGCATACGCACCACCACAAGTGACCGACGGGTGACACCACTACCTATCCAAGAAGACCCAAGACCCAAATGCCGCTAGCCCGCGATGGTTTTTTCCCAGTCGCCCTTGGCTAGCGTACATGATTTGAACGAGATCGCCCCCTCCCATAGGTTGACGCGGGCTGGCTGTCCCCCGAAATGGCTCCGATGTGCGCGAAGGGGAAGAAAAGGGTGGTGCGGACCTTGATTGGACGGCCTGCAGGTCTGGGACTTGATAAAGCTGATTTTTGCCATGCGCAAAGTTAAAAGGCAGCGAATGCAACCTCACCTGCTTTTCTCTCCCTGTTCCTCCTGCAGGCGGATCCAATCTCTGGAACTTCTCTCTTCTCTTAATTATTATCATTATTCCCCAACGCATCCCCAGACCCTCCGTCTGTTGTGAATCCTGTACGAATTCATTGTGCAGCAGTTTCTGTGCAAGTGAGGTACTGACACTGCAATTCGCTCTCGGTCTCCAATTACCTTCATCTCGGTCAACCTTCACCGAGCGGCCTCACCTCTGCGCTCTGACCTTCGGTGTGTCACAGGCTCCGTCGCAACGCCGGAATACGTCACCGGATCTTCCGATCCCTTCTACCCGGTAAGTGAGCGATGCCACCCCCTCAAAGTGCCGTGTGTACGGAAGTGGAGCCTTTCCGGCCGCATTCTCGTGGACCCTGTGCTCCCGACCCAAACCACCTCGGTTACTAGAGTCTCTTCGAATTCTCAAGCTCAACTGCTCATGGCCTGGCACTGACCCCCTTCCTCAGACCCCAAACCGCCGTTCAACTCGCCCAAAATGGGACTCTTTGGACGCAAGAAGGAGGCCGAGTCTCCAACCGAGGCCGCCTCGCCAGACGTTGAGACTTCTTCCCCCGAGAAGAATGCTACCATCACCAACAACGGACCCCCGGCCTACGAGCACTCCGGAGATATCATCGGCGAGAAGTCGCCCGGTGTCGTGAGAATCGAGGCTCTCACCGCCGCCATCACTCGCACTGACCGCATCTTCATCTTCTTCGGCGTTTTCCTCGTCGCCTACGCCTACGGCCTCGACGGCACCCTCCGCTACGCGTACCAGCCCACGGCGACCAACAGCTACGCCACGCACTCCCTCCTCGCCACTGTGAACGTCCTCCGCTCTGTCATCGCTGCTGCTGCCCAGCCCACCTCCGCCAAGATTGCCGATGTCTTCGGCCGTGTTGAGCTCATCTGCGTCTCTGTGCTGTTTTACGTCGTTGGCACCATCGTCGAGACCTGCGCAACCGAGGTCAAGGCATTCGCCGCTGGCGCTGTCATCTACCAGGTCGGCTACACCATGATCATGCTGCTTGTTGAGGTCATCATCGCCGATATCACCTCGACCCGTGCTCGTCTGCTGTTCAGCTACATCCCTGCGCTGCCGTTCATCATCAACACTTGGGTCAGCGGCAATATCTCGGCGTTGGTGTTGACCAACAGCACCTGGCAATGGGGCATTGGCATGTGGTGTATCATCTACCCCGTCTGCGCCCTCCCCCTGATTATCAGTCTGTCCATTGTCGGTCGTCGTGCCCGGAAGCAGGGCCTGCTCGACTCGTATGCGTCGCCCTTCCGGATGCTCGGCCCCAAGAAGTTTCTCTCCGAGCTTTTCTGGCAACTGGACGTCATCGGCATCGTCTTGGTCATTGCCATCTTCGCCTTGATCTTGGTTCCCTTCACCATTGCCGGCGGCTTCACTTCGTCTTGGCACGAGGCTCACATCATTGCGCCCCTCGTCATTGGTATCCTGTGCATCCCTGTCTTCATTCTGTGGGAGCGCAAGGCCAAGCACCCCCTGGTCCCCTTCTACTTGATGAAGGATCGCGGCATTTTGGCCCCTCTGGGAATCGCCTTGGGCTTGAACTGGGCATGGTACATGCAGGGAGACTACCTCTACACCGTCTGTCTCGTTGCCTTTGACTTCAGCGTCACGGAGGCCACCCGCATCACGTCCTTATACTCATTCTGCAGTGTCATTACTGGCTTCATCCTTGGCTTCATCGTATTCAAGGTTCGCCGCCTCAAATACTTCATCATTGCCGGTACCATGCTTTTCATGGTTGCATTCGGTCTCTTGATCCACTACCGTGGTTCTCCTTCCGGTCAGAGCGGCGTCATCGGTGCTCAAGTCCTTCTTGGTATTGCGGGTGGTATGTTCCCGTACCCTGCGCAGGCCTCCCTCCAGACTAGTCTCAAGCACGAGCACCTCGCCATCATGACCGGCCTGTACCTTGCCACCTACAATATTGGCTCCGCCTTCGGTAACACCATTTCCGGCGCCATTTGGACGCAAGTTCTGCCCTCAACCCTTCAGGAGAACCTTGCGCAATTCAACAACGAAACATTGGCCACGTATATCTACGGTCAGCCTTTGTCTGCCATTATCGATTATCCCGTAGGCACGCCCGAGCGCGCGGCCATCATCGAGTCCTACAGGCATGTGCAGCGACTGCTCACCATCACAGGCATCTGCCTGACGGTCCCTCTAATCGCTTTTGCTTTCCTCCTGAGGAACCCCAAGTTGAACGACGAGCAGACGTTGGCTGTGGAGGATAACATTCCCGCCCGCAGCGGGGAGAATAATAACGAAGTGGCCACCAAGATCTAATGTTCAACGGAAAGAAGACGAGATATATATCTTCATTAATTTATTATAATATGCATTCGTATCTGTCGGCTTCTTTCTATTGGCTGAATTCAGCCTCGCCATCATTTTGCATACTACCAACCAAGAGGATGCTGTCGTTTTTCCATTACTTATGCTCTTACAGCAGATTCGTTGTGTTATCCTTCATTTCTTCTAGGGGCCATAAACAAGCTCCATTATCGCACCAGGCCCTAAGTAAATTTTGAGTCGAAGGAGTATGCATTTTAATGAGTATCTCCAGATAACACAATGCGTTATGGTAGCCAAACAAATATCAATCTGGCTCTCTTGAGGGGCCTCGTGGAGAGTAATGACATGACAATAGTCTGGGGCTCATGCTGTCAATAGGCGGCCGCCAAACAAGGTAGTGCTTGCTCAATCTCTGGTATAAGTCCCCAGGCACCACTTGTTCAAGAAGTGTCCTTGACACTCCGAGCCTTGAATAGAACTTTCAAAGCCGTGTCCGGGATGCTCATAGTCGCAATGAACCACGGTCTAGGCTGGTCCCCCGGTGCTAGCTTGATATCGTATCTCAGAAGCAACAACGAAAACATTAGTTTCATCTCGTTGACGGCGAAGAAGCGACCAGGGCTACAAATACAAGACTTTTGTTAGCCCATCACAATGAAGGGATTCTAAGAACATGGCTCACCAGGGGTGTCTTCCATGGCCGAAAACATGATAAGTTGATGACGTGCTCACGGGACTCGCCTCCTTGGACCCGGCGTACTTGGGTGCCACAAACCGAAAGCCGTCGAATACTTCGGGATTATCGTATACGCCAGCATCCCGATGGAGAATCAGGCTTGGGGTGCCGACCTTGGATCCTGCTGGGAGGACGGTGCCGTCCGAGAAGCGAAACTCTTGCCGGGCGTTACGCTGCATCGACACTGACGAAAAACGGTTAGTATTCAGGTCTAGATGTAAACTCGGTCCGAAAATCAGCAGCTCTGGCAGCTTGATATGGCTTACTCAGACCTGCACCATTAAATCGTCCCGATTCTTTAAGGAAACTCTCCATCTTAGGCAGATTGGCCAGCGTCGTAGAGGTAATGACCCCGTTTTCAAGAGCGTTTTCGACTTCTTGGCGAAGGATGTCCTGATATTTCTCGGGCTCCTGGGCTAAGGAGTATAAGGCCGCGGTGAAAACCTGATGTCAAAGTGGCCCTCATCAGTATCTTAATCTAGAATGATTTCATACTTGGAGAATAAAACGGCCTGAAAAGCACGAGCCTAATCCGTGTCCACCGACAAACTCACCATGGTGGTTGTATGAATGGAAGCAACATTGAGAGCCATGACGCGCTCGGCAAGCTGCGGGACGGTTTTCTCTATCGGTGGTGCCGCGTCAATGAGCCACTGGACCAGGTCATGTGGTTTGCTGCCATCTTCGTTAACCTTGCCGTCGAGTCGCTCCTGAATAAAGTCCCGCAAGTAGTTGAGACCGTTACGCCGGTAGCGCATGACGGGAAGATATTTGACGATGGTTCTGGAAAATAACACTTGGTTAGACACCAGCTCGAGTCTAGCATCGTCTCGAGTCAATTCGAATTACAACATACCCTTTCATACATTCCGGGAAAATGCGAAGAAGTTCTGCAGATAAGACTACTGCCTGAGCGTAATCTGCTGCATTTTGGAGAAATCCCTGATTCCTGCCTGTAAAGAGGAGAATAGTCAGGGTATACTGTTCTGATATCGCTGTACGGGTCGTGATCAAATCTACGCTTACAAAATTGTGTTCCAACGTAGACCCTATTGCTTATTCGTGCTACTGCCATGGCAATGGCATCGTAGAGTGCGATCGGTGTGTACTCTGGTAGTGACAGTTAGCATCAGTTAAGAGCTACTCAGGCCTCATGCGCGTTGGCTTCTTTACCTTGCGGTGATCCGATCAAGTCGTCAAATGCCAAACAAGCTTCATCCAACATGTCTGGTGTCTTGCGAGAAATTTCTTTTGTGACCACGTTCCGAACGACCGCCGTATGATATGTGCGAAATCCAACTCCGTATCCCATGGTGTACGGAATTTGTTGTTGCTAAGCCCAGAGTCAGTAAGAACTGAGCCATGTGAAGCCGGATTGCGGAGTGTGTTACATCATTGGCACCATCTTGGGCGTTGAGAACTGAGTCTGGCGCCTTAAGGTATTCAGAGACCTTGCTCCTGTCCGTAACGAGCACGTATTCCCCTTGGAAAGTGGCGATGCGGAACATGCCATTGCTCGTCTTCGTCGTGCCCTTTTTGACAAGTTGGACGGGATCACGCATGAGGCGATAAGCTGCGACCCATGGCCCTAGAAGCGGAACGCGAGGGAAGCCCACGGGTGTCACCTTTGGCTGTGTAGCGCGTATATTCTGTGGTCAGCACGATAATGTGTAGGTAAGAGGGGTGCCAAAGGCCGCCAGTACTGCAAACCCTAGATGCAGATGCAAAAGTCCAAGTACTCACAGTCTTGCGATAGTAGTTTATCTGATTAATTATGAGATACACCAACATGCCAAGCAGGGTTGTGTAAATCCATGTTGCAGACTCGAGCCATAATGCAGCAAGTCTAATCCCGCTCCCATCATGAGCCATTGTATTTCTGGCAGCCGTTGAAGACTGGTAGTTAGGGCGCACTATCGGCCTGGAAATCCCATGGTTTGCGTCGGGTTTTATAAAACCGTCAAAGGACTCAACGAGACTTGAGGATTGGGTGCAGCGTTGTCAGTTCTCAGGTGTCATTGATAATGGCAGGGGAATTCAGTACCAGGCTGCCAGGTCAGTAAAGCCGACAACGCCGTCGTATTGCCAGTGTTGGGTCTCTGCTTTTCAACTACCGATCTACGAGTACGAGTATTCCATCGGCTGCGAGGGGGTACTAATGCAAGATCTACAGCTGACCCGGTTTTCTCGTCTGACTGGGTCTACTCCGCACTTCTCGTATCGACGCCCAGTCGCAGTTGATGGGACACGAAGAACGAATACGATCGTTCCGGAACAAATGTCTGTCATTTGTCGTGTTTTTCGTGAAGCGACCTACATAAAGCACATTAAGGCTATGTATGTCTAAGGGTACATTATTGAATGATGAATAGTGGCTAGGGGTCGTTGTGAGCCATTGGTTTAGTGGTCCTCTCAGTTGCTGGAAAGCTGACCGACCGGCCCCTGGTGGTTGGTCGCTGCCCGTTCTCGGCGCCGATGAGGGTTCGGCTAGTTTTCTTTTCTTTTCTTTTCTTTGTTGCTACAAGGGTCTGGCGTTACCTGTGTCTGGGGTTGGCTGAGTTGAGTTGGTTGGGGTAAGTAAGGTTAACCACCCGCAACCCTTCTCCCTCCACCATGGTAGTCGGTTGAAAAAAAGTCGACGACAACGCACAGGCCAGCCCCTTGGTTTCGGCGGGCAACCCTGGATCAGCAGACAACGACTTCCAATAGACAACAACGTCCAACAGACAACAGTTTCTGACTGGAAACCGGGATACGCTGAATTAACCATTTTTATCCTCGTGCACTAGGTAACATGCACGTAGAAGCAGCGGCGTTTAATGCCATGAGTTAGTTTTCTCTAAAGTGGGTAAGGAGTGTGCACCTCCTCCTGACCGTAAGAAGGGCATTCTTCTTGACAGCCGGCTCTGGCCTCTACCCTAACGATCGTATATGTCCTCGGGATCAGCAATGAACAGACATCCTAGCACTAATAGACGACAACTTCCAACAGATGACGATATTTTCGTGGTCTTGATTCTAGCCCGACGCGCAGAGTTTTATTTCTGCCTAACCCGCTGTAACGGTCAAATGTCCGACAGTGGTGTTTCCGGCTAGTTAGTGGCGTGAGGATAGGTCTAAGCGTTTAATCTAAATCCTGAACGCTCGTCCCCATGAAACCAATGACTTGCTGCGTACATTTATGCTCAGTATCGTTCCAACCGTCAGGAATATATTCCCTGGTAGTAGCCTTTTCAACTAGGCAACTTTAGATAAACCACATCGCCTCTCATTCCTCTTCCGCTGCAGGGGAGCTTTATCTGAGCCTGTCTTACTTAATTACCCTGCTTATTTCTATCCATCCTTACTAGATCCGACAAGGGGTAGACCATGTTAATAGAATAAGGAATAGTGACCTTAAGACCTCATGCTAGACACTTTCAATAAAATTAACTCAAGTCCATTGTAGACGTTATGTTAGCTATCAGATCTAATGGCTGTTTAACGGTAACCCTGCCCCCCCTCCCCCAGACCCTAGGACAATACGCTCGTGACAAGTAGCAACCACACCGCAAGTCCCACCAAACTACCTCCCGTCGTCGACCGGCTGGATCCGCTCTCGTGGAACCCGACTATTCCCCTCCCCATCCCTTGGCGTGCCAGGCATGAACCAAAACCGTCGAGGGCGTCTTTTGGCACCTCGCACCAGTAGTAGCAGTCGCTGGCGGTGCTGACGTCCTCGGGGAAGCAGCACGTCGTCATCGCCTCGTACGACTTGTTCCGGCCGATCGGTACGAAGCCGGTACTGATGTTGCCTGGTATCCCGTGTATGTTGACGAAGTCTGGTAGGCTGGAAGCATCTGGGCAGCTCGCGGCAGAAGAGGACATTTTGAGCACGCTGGGTCTAGACCTGTGGCGAATATGCGGCGCAGTGGACGGAGAGGGCGACACTGGGAGTGTGAGGAGAGAAAGCGGTAGGGAAGAGGACGGCGCTGATGGGTATATGGGTGAATCTTTGTCGTCCAGATAGGCCCAGGACACGGTAAGTGCGGCGCCTTTTTCTACTTTAGAGCCTCGGCGTTAGCTACTTGTCGGTTGGGCCGTTTCTACTCTATTGCCTTGGCGTCGGTCATGATCCGGTGGCTTCTGGTTTGCTGATCCAAACTTCATTTGGTTCTTACCCCACCGTCTTGTGGGTATTGCAGGTTGCAGGGTAAGGGTACCAGAACAACCCCTCCGCCGAGACAACCACAACTGCCAGATTTGGTCGACACATTGTCAGGGTGACCTTAGGCATCTCTTCGATTGTGTTTGCCGTTGACCGGAATGGGTAGGGAAATATCACCGTCGACGAGAGGGAATACAGGGTTATCGATGACTCTGAACTCTCTGGAGGTATTATCTGTGGTCGCATGCATAGCGACCTGGAAACCGTCGTGAACTGCGAGGTGGCCGTCCCAGCTTCCCTTGACCTGGCTCCCCTCGACCATCGGAGCGCGCCTGGGTGCATGTAGAAGAGGTCCGCAAGCACCGAGGAAGGACTGGGTCTCGAAGCGACCCCGTAGGGTTTCTATAGACGGCCGGGGAGGAACCCCGGCCGTCTATAGGCATAAGGCTTGCCCGGAGTGGTGTTGGCGGTATGTGACAGAGGGTATGAGCATAAGTGTGAGTGTGAGTGGGCACGTCAAGTCAGCTTTGATGACTCGCTCCTAGGGTGTTTATCGTTTTGTTTCCAGTGTCGACTCGAAGGCCCCATTAAGACTAAACTATTGCGTTGAAGGCGCGTAAATAAGGAAAATTCGATTTCCAGTATTCAATCTCCTGAGCATTCATTCAACTGATTATCACATGGAATACCAGCCTCAGTACCCTGCCAAGGTACCGAGGTGTTCACATTCGCTTAATCGATCGCATCTGTCCAAAGCTTTAGCATCAGGTTTGTCGCCTCCAAGCTTTCAACCAAACTTCTGAACCGTTATTCTTCATCCTCACGCGTCACTTCCAGGCCAACAGCAAACATGGGTTCTGTGGAACAAATGGCAGGCTACAGAGACTATCTCCTCGCTGAGACACCCCCGGCCTCTCTCGGCAAACCTGTTACAGAAATCTGCCTGTTTAAGCTCCTCCCAACGTATGCCAGAGACCACACGGCCGCCGAAGCCGAATTCTGCTCTCAAATCGTCGCCAACACCACCCCGGGCAAGCCTTACGCTAAAGGCATTCGCGCCCTGACCTGGGGATTCTCCGAAGCTGATCCAGCCACCTTTTTCTGGACCCTCGACTGGGATAAAATCGAGAACCACTGGGATTTTTGGTTGACGCCAAGCTTCTCGCCCGTCATAGCTGCAATCAACAAGCTCTTCGAACCGGGCCGCCCACTCGTACGCCACTTTGATTTTGACGGGGCGAAAACCCCAAGCCGTACGCTCAGCGTGGCAAGGTTCATGATCTGGGATGACGGTACTGAAGGCGTGACGGAAGGCCGAGCTCGTGCTTTGGGAAACTCGAAGGGCATGGCGCGAGAGGTGCTAGAAGGATATGCCGTTGATGTAAATGAACAGACTTGGTGGTGCTCGTTGCTGCTTTATGAGAGTCTGGAGGAGGCAGCAGATGATCATGTGAAGTCGGGCGATGGTGCTGAGTCTCATATTGTCCGTCTGCGCCGCCAAGATGCATGAATAGGAGGGCGCCGCAATTGGGCGTCGGGAGTTACACGAGAAGTCCTGATTGGGTGGCGCTGATGACACTACATAATTAGAATATCAGTATGGAAATATGTTTCAATTGCAGCGAGATGGAAAAGTACAATCAGAGCTGCCTAGAGATTGAACATTGTGTCAACAGAAACTCTGCCACACACCTCCAGCAATCCTTCACTTCTTCAAAGTATTTGTCTTTGTAATGGCTAAACCCGTAAACTACGCAGGGATACTCATGCTCCGTAACCTTCACGCATGCCCCCCTTAGCTTCTTCGTGTACGCCTGTGCTCCAAATTTCAAGCAATCCTTGCCCGCCGTTATGCCCAGGGTCGGAGGGAGGCGTAGATGCTTCAAAAGCCCCACCGGTGTTTTTAGGCGCGCAGCCGGACAAGAGCCAATATTTTTATTCTGAGCGAGGGATGGAGCGTCTGGCCGCGGACCCTGATTGCCAGCTGAATTACTGCAAGCGGATCGGACAAGCAATCAATATGGGCTTCGCAATCTTCTACAAAGACACAGAGGCGTCTCATCAGGCCAAGTTGTATACGCGCGCTGAGATAATCGGAGACTTAATAACCGCCCCGTACTTTCACGAAAGCTAGTTCCCAGGTGGCCTGTCGGCTGCAGGTTCTTCTGACCCCTTCTGTTTCTGGTATCGAAACCCACTGAAATGTGTCATGCTCTACAGACGCCTGACCCCTGGTGACGGCTACCTCGAAGCCCTCATCAAACCCAATGTCGAATGCATCTTTGGCGAAATAGCCCGCATCACAGAGACGGGCCTTGATATGACTGAAGGCTCTAGCCACGTGGTGGATATGATCATCTGTGCGACAGGATATGACATGGCGTGGACGCCACACTTCAAACTTGTGGGACGCAACGGGCGGGACATCAAGAACGCGTGGTTCTCAATACCCAAGTGCTACCTGGGCATGGCTGCGCCCGGATTTCCCCACTAATTCGTCATGAATGGTCCCCGGGGCAATCTGGCCGACGGGACGGTGATTCCCTGTTTCGAGATAGAACTGAATATGTGATTCAGGCGGCACGAAAGATGCAGAGCGATCGTACCAGGACGCTTGACGTGCGGGAGAACGTCGTGGACCATCTCAATGAATACATTGATGCCTGGCACGAGACTTCCGTCTTCTCTTCACCATGTAAGAGACGGTATAAGAACAACACGCGCGACGGCAAAATTCCCGTCTGGGGAGGCTCGGTACGTTGTTTTCTATCTCAGTTTTGTTTGACACAATTAGAGACCAAGCTCGTGGCTTTTGATAGATCTCTTATGTTTCTTCTAAAGGATCAACGACTAACGGACAATCGTCTAGTCAGTCCATTTTCTTAAGACAATTAAGACACCACGGTGGGAGCACTACGACATTGACACCTCGATGGCAACATGTGGTCATGTCTGGGTAACGGGCGCATTCAGGCGGAAATTACTAGCGATCTTGGTAACCTGACACCTTACATCCGCAATTCTGACGAATCTCGGACAATTGAATAAGCATACTATGATAGCTTGAGTCGGGGCTACATACAATATGTGATTCAATGGGTTCTTGAGTGGATATTTGAGTGCAGTAGCATGACTAGACAAGTCGTTGACACACGTTTATTGCTAATCCGGACTCTAATTTTGTACACATTCTGTGGGTAAGCATATGGAATATGAATCTGGGCTATGGTCTTTGGTTGGATTCAGTTGAAGGTCTGCACAACGGGTTTTTGATATCCCATGGGAATTCTGCCGAACGGGTGACAGGTGAACCAATCAAATGTTTGCCGCTTACAACAAGAGTAATGTCGTGTATCCGATTTCCTTTCAACAGCCTGAAGGCTCACCATTGGTTTTCGTGCCCAGGTCACTCAACTTCAATCGAACTACAAGGCTCGTTGCATCTATTTTTTTCGACACTTCTGCTGCAATTCTTACTCATCGTCTACTGTTAAATTTAACCTCAGTCTGTTTTCCCAACTCCTACCAATTGTTATCCCGACTTCGTAGAAAAATACTTGGATCTTACGGTTTCGACCTACTCCTGCTAGCTGCTGTAATTTTCTTTGAAACTGAATGAGCGTTGTGTCTCCTCAAGCTGACAAAGTCAACACTCCATAATCCTATTTAGTTTCATCTTTCTATGGCATCGATATGGCAATTTTCGTTAACGTAGAACAGCGTCCGCGTGCGCTGATAAATGCAAAGTTTAGATGAAGTTTTCCTTTTGGTGGCTCCTATTCGGGCCATACTGTGATACACTTTAGTATGACAAAGAGTTTTTTGGGATTCGTCCTCCTGATTTTCGTGGATAACACAAGTAGTGAACGAAAGGCAGTTCATCTGCGCGGAAGAACGTTTAATTTTCGGGAAGCAACTCAGAAAAAGGTGGAAAAAAGAAAGGGAAGGAGAGAGCGAGAGGAGAAGAAGAGGAAGAGAGAGGGGGATGAATCAGACAAGTAGAGTAGAGTAGGGCAGTAAGCACTGTCACTCTTGGCATTTAACTAAGTGATTTTAATTTATAGGCTGCAAATCTCGGTCTTCTGGTAACAGACATTATTTCTGCACTAACGCGCGCCTGTGAAGAGACCTTGCTCAACCCAATCGCCCCGTCCTTAAGGCGGCAGGTGATCCGGCCACACCTGAGCGTCAGAGTGGCAATATGTTCAACATTCGATTCTAAAGTATATGCTTCGCCTTTCCAGCCGGAATAGATTTAGGTTGCCAACTTCCGATTGGCATGCCTGCAAAGCCGTCCGCCTTGAGTTGCGTTGTTGCAACATCGCCAAGGCGTTCTCTGCTTACTGGCATATGCACGTACAGGGCTCCCTCAGAGTGAAAATGGTAAAGTCTATGCTATGCGCTTCAACGGGAGGCTATTTGAATGATGAAGGTGTCCCTAAAGTTCCAATCTAATTTGAGCAACCTCAACGCCTCATCTATCCCAGCAGTCGTTACACCAGTCCTTGCCAAATTGTTATTAACACAATGCCTGGCTTACTCTCCACCACGACGAGGGCCATCACGGCCCTGTTAGCGTTCAGCTCATCCGTAATCGCCATTCTTGTTCCCCATCATGCTACGCTTGCCTCTCGAGAGGCAGTTGCAGAGACTGAGTACGACTTCGTCATCGCCGGTGGTGGTGTATCTGGCCTGACAGTGGCGGATCGGCTCACGGAGGACCCGAGCAGTATGTTAAGGTCTTAAAAACCTCCGCAACATTCCCAGTCTAACAGTTCAAAACAGTCAATGTTCTTGTTATTGAGACTGGGCCCTTTGACAAGGACGAGGATACTGTCCTCGTACCAGGAGCCTTCCTTCCAGTCCCCTACCTGTGGCTCGGTTTGACGAGCGCGCCGCAGCCCGCGCTAAACAACCGCGAGTTTTCTGTCCCAGCCGGACGTGTCGTTGGCGGTGGCTCCGTTGTGAATGGTATGGTCTTTGTCCGCGGTGGAAAGTCAGAGTATGCTGCCTGGGAAAAACTCGGTGCCAAGGGCTGGGGATGGGATGATCTGTTGCCCTACTTCAGGAAGGTAGGTGTGCAATTTCAGCCGAATACGCTTCGAAAGAGCCTAACTCTAAAATCAGAGTGAAAACCTCACCACTCCGCCAAAAGACTTTGCGGAAGCTGCCAACATCTCCTGGGTCGAATCGGCCCACGGCCACGATGGTCCTGTTCGCGCGTCTTATCCTAACTACTTCTTTCCCGGAGCCAGTAAGCCGTCACGCACAAGCCTTCCCCTCTTGATTTTGGAGCTTCTCTGACTTCTAGCAGAGAACTTCTGGCAAGCTGCATTGGAAAGCGGACTGACCCCATCTCCGGACCCGAACGGCGGCGATAGAGCTGTGGGTCTTTTCAACTTCCCAACACTTGCCGACGCCACGACCCGGACCCGTAGCCACGCCCGGATCAACCACTACCGGCGCGTCAAGGAGTCGCGGAATAACTACCATATCCTCGCCGAGCACACTGTCTCCAAAATTCTGTTCAAGGACAAGCAGGCGGTCGGTCTTGAATATCTGCCTACAGCAGGTGGTGACAAAACCGAGGTCTTTGCAAAGAAGGAGGTTTTTCTGGCAGCAGGGGCACTTCACACGCCGCAGTTGCTGCAGCTTTCAGGCATTGGGTCGAAGAAGTTCTTACAGAGCTTTGGGATTGATGTCGTTGCCGACTTGCCCGGCGTGGGCGAAAACTTTATGGATCAGGGTGAGCTGAAGGTGCCCTACACTTGTAAGTATGGTCCCCTTTGTGAGATGACGGGTCTAAAAAGAGCCAGTCGAGAACAACATCTTCCCCAACAGCGGCGCTCTGGATAACAATGCAACCTACAACGCCGAGCAGCGAGCTCTTTACGATGCCAAGAGAGAAGGCGCTTACACAATTGTCCGAACACTCAGCACCAACCTCGCTGTCCCTCCCCTCGCCAACACGACCTCCGACTGGAGAGACATCCTCGCCGCCGCAAAGCGTAATAAATTCACTGCATACCTCGCCCCAGGTACCCCGTCCTCCGTCCAGGAAGGCTACAAGAAGCAGCGCGAGATTGTCCTGGACCAACTTGCTGGCCAGGACGTTCCACTTGGCATGGTACACTGGGGCACAGGCAACAGCGTGACGCTGTACTTTTTGCGGGCGCTGAGCCGCGGATTCGTGAGGATCAACTCTACTGACCCGCTGCAGCAGCCCGTCATTGACTTCCGCACGTGTTCGGACCCGATCGACTTCGATCTGGCGGTGGCGCTGTTTGAGAAGGGCAAAGAGATCATGGCTGCGCCGGCGATGAAGGTTCTTGGACCCAGAATGTCTGCGCCGTATGAAAAGGCTACAAAGGAGGAGCTGAAGAGGCTGCTGGCGGAGAATATGACGCCTTCGAATGCACATTCCTGCTGTACTGCGGCCATGGTGCCGAAGGAGAAGGGCGGAGTGGTGGATACGGAGATGCAGGTGTATGGGACCAAGGGCTTGAGGGTTATTGACGTGAGCTATTGGCCCATGGTTCTGACTGCTGCACCTACGGCGACGACATATGCTTCTGGTGAGAAGGTGCGTTCTTCGTCCTGGCTGAAAATATGGATTGAGAATACTAACCAGGATTGCAGATTGCCGACATCATCAAGAAGAAGTACTTCCTAAAGTCACTTTGAGGTCGGTGGTAACACATAGCATCAGTCTGAATCAGGTTAAATACTCGCAGGGAGGTATAGTGAATTACTAGCTTATGACAGTCTATAAATTGGTGAAGTCATGTCTGTCCCTCAAAGACTATAATGTGAACCTTGTGGAGGCGATGGGGTTTCACGCACTGTTGTCATTTACTATCTTGTTGCATACTAAATCTATTTGCGCGTACTCTCTTGACACAGAACTGGGCACGTTTGTTCGTGTAAGCAGCATTCAAGTTGGGCTATCCAATGGTGCGTTGGCGTGTCCTATCAGCCATACTTTTGAGTAAAGGGTTTTGTCTTAATCATCTCATAAACATTGATGGCATCAATACCGCTCCTGACTTCAGTCATGGATATTCAATCCGGAGAAAAGACGCCAAGGTTGCACTATCTCTTCGACTTCTTTGATTCATAGGCTATCACATGAACACCGACCGTTCGTTTACCCCTTCAACAATAACTCACTTACATCCTGGCTTGATAATCCTAGCGTTCTGGGGTAAGGTGACATGCTCCGAGCTTTTGTTACGTGTTGGTGGGAAAAGTACGATATGATGACGGTCGCCTCCAAGATCAACCAGTTTGATTCCGGATGGGAAGCACCGATGTGTAACAAGGACACAGAGGCTGTCTTGGTCGGCGCCGGAAGAAGAGAGACATCAAGGAAATTCAATTTTCGGGTCATAAGTATCAACACTGTCAGTTGATCAACGACTTATTTGTGGCCCAATTCGAAGGAAATTTCGAGATTCGAACAACAATGAGAGGTTGAAAGACTGTCTCACGATGTTGAGATCAAAATTATCTACAAAAGGGGGCTTTGATTCCTAAATGACATTTTCTGTGCGTCATAGTCCATTTGGAATGATACATTGTGTCTTCTGTCATTTTGTGTGCTGCTGTCTCCGGTTTCCAAACGTTGCTGGTGATCGTCGACTCATTCTGGCTTTTGTGCATAGACTACGTAGCTAGAAGGAAGTTACTAAGTAAGCTTTTCTTATTAGGGATAGGGGACGAACTTACATTGGCCACCAACCATGTATTGATCTGTCTTTCATGTCCTTCCTGGCGTCAACCAGAAAGATTTCTAGCTGTTCTTTTGACCATCCTAAGGCTCTCGTAAACAAAGCTAAGCTCAGCCCTGATAGCCCATTACCTAGGTTCTCATATGTCCAAGTTCCTTCAACTCAGTGTCAGTATTTTGAGGTTACCAGAGCTCTGCCAAATCAGTTGAAAGCTGCTTACCTAGTTCCTTGTACTTGGGGTCCCTTGGCCAAGGGTTTGAAGGCCACTTGTATATCTTTTCCTCAATGTTTATGAACCCCGCTTCCGCCAGTTGCTCTTTATAGAACTTGCAGCTGTCTAGTGGTCGCTTCCATATCGCCGCGGCTTCAAGCATATGCATTGCCCACCTTTGAGCTGCGCAGTCTGGGCCAACACTTCCGTCGTCGCTCTGCAAGTCGAGAAGAATGTCTGACAGTTCGATCCATCCCCCTGGCTCTAGAAATCTGGAACCATGATTAGCTCCTTTGTAGCATAACGTCACGCGTTGCAGATTGTTGTTTGCAACATACTGATAGCTTTGCTGGATAAACCTAGGCCAGTCGCCGATAGAGCCGGTAAGCATTCGACCAAAAATAAAGTCGAATTTATAAGAGTATGTCCAGTCGTCTTCTAGGTCATCGATGTAAAATGTAACATTTGGCGGAACGCTGTTGCATGAGTTGTTAATCATGAACGACTCGTAGACTGGACTCAATTCTTACAATGGTGGTTGTATTGGGCTGAGATCAACGCCGGTAATCTGGAGCGAGCGCTGTTAGTCGTCGGCCCTCCCTTATTCTATCACTCATTTACCAGTGCTTCCAGGTGATCGTCGGCTGTCGATGGTCGAAGATAAAACAAGTTAGTTCATGTTGTGAATTTGTGGGAATTGGAGCTGAAGCTGTCATACCAAAGTCCATGGCCCAGATGCCAGTTCCGGTGCCTGCATCAAGAACTCTGCGAAGTGGCTTGTCGCGACCAGCCGGAGAAATGAATAATTTTCCATCAAGTGTAAGTGTGTACAAGTGATGTTGAAGGTCTAGGGGAGTTTAGTCATTGCACTTGGTTCAGTATCCTGCCCTGCTCTGGTTTGCAGATCATACCTAGCCTCTCGTTCTCGACCTGCGCACTTTGTCATCAGTCAAAGATTCAGATGAGTGTTAAGCGTCTAGGGATTCTTACAGCGTCATTTGGCAGGACATATCCTAATAGTTGACCGTAATTAGACGCAAGTTTCCCAGGAAAAAAACCTGTGCAAGACCTACTCCCTTCTCGATATGCATGATAAGTTCTACCATTTTCCTCGCGGTATCTCATGATGCTGCTTGTCATGGATGCAGATGATCCGAGCACAGACTTTGGGCCACGTCAGTATGGAGGCATTAGAAATCGTCGGACCGAGGGGTTCCTCACAACTCCCATGGCAGAATCCGCGTCATCGTTGGCATCATTTTCGTTCGCGTTCTGCAACTGCAATGAGTACCAGGCGCGATCCAGGGATATGCGCAACTCACGTCCGCTTCGAGTGGACCAGTGTCTGCCGGGGTTGGATCAGCCATGCTGAGCCACTTGTGGTGAGACGACGACGGAGGGTGCCCGATCGGTCGCTTCTGGATGTTCAGCTCAATGGAATTGACCAGGCCACGTATACAGTCGAAGACAGTTGGAACAAGTTTGAAAGAATTCGAGAGTTCAATTTTCAGAGGCCCTACTGAAGTACGCTCTTAACCGCTGGGTTGAAAGAAAGACATGGTCTCTCCTGGCGTTGCTTCTTGGTGCCGCGTAGCGATCCAATCGCGGTGTGCAGATCAGGGAAATTTGGGTCAGGCCTCCTTCTTTTGTCCCGGCTAACCTGCGGAAGAGGTTGCATCATAACCCCGCTACACCTACTCAATGGCAAGGCACTTGCTGATGCGATAGGGGCACGACAGCATGACATCGGTAAGGATTTCAACACGGCAATGATTCCATTGGGTAGCAACTCCGTCGTGCCGGCCCGTGCTCCGTGCGGCAAGGTTGCATACCCGCGTCTGCCGTGTCAATCATCTAAGCCACCTGCAGTCTAAAACCACCCATCGCAAGTGCTGACAATATTGGTCAAAGAGCCTGCAGAGGTCACAGACTCTGGAGAGTCCCCATGTCATCCTGCAACGTGCCATTGCAGGATTCAAGGACTTCGGTCAGGTCATTCTCCAGGCTCCATTTCTATGCAGCGGGCGAGGGGAATTCGTCTCAGGGGTTCTTAGGTTTTCTTCTTCTTTTCACAACTTTTTCACAACCTGAGACATTGATTTTTCTCCTACCCATGGTTCATTTTTGCACGCGAGCCGGTCCCCAGCTTGCCCAAGTGTGACCATGAATCGGGACTATCTCGCATATGCGAGCGTCGCAGTCTCGGTTTTCATCGCTTACAGCGTCGCAGCAATTGTTCGCCAGTATCTACGGCTGCGGCACATCAAGGGGCCTCCGACCGCTGGGTTTTCCAAGTGGTGGCTCGTTCGGGCAGTTGGCGGCGGTAGGACGCATCTTGACTTTTATGAGGCTTGCCAACAGTACGGTACGTTGTACACAGTACGCTTCCAAACTAGCTGCCCCAACGCGCAAGTAACAAATTTCTCCAACCGCACAGGGTCGATTGTTCGCGTCGGGCCAAATGATCTCATCACTAGCGATCCAGATCTCATGAAGCGCATGCTCAACGTGCGAACGACTTACCGGCGATCTAACTGGTATGATGGCATGAGACTTAAGCCAGGCCAAGACAATGTGCTGTCCACAAGAGACGACGGGTTGCATAACAAACTTCGGTCGAAGATGGCCGCGGGTGTAAGCTAAGATCGCCAACGGCTACTGCCATGGAATCACGGAGCTGAAACTATCTGCAGTATTCTGGAAAAGAAGTCAAGGATCTTGAGGCCAAGATTGACCAGAACGTGCTGCGGCTGGTTCATTTGCTCGATAAATACGTCTCAGAAGACAAACCTTTCGACTTTGGTTTCAAGGCCCAATATTTCACGCTCGATGTCATTTCTGACATCGCTTTCGGGAAGCCGTTCGGAGATTTGGCGACCGACTCGGATGTCCAAGAATACATCAAGACAATGGAGCAGAATATGCCAACGATTCTCATGACCAGCGTATTGCCATGGCTCCTTGCGCTACTCTCATCGCCATTGTTCAGGAGTATGATGCCGTCTGAGAAAGATGCCATTGGTGTCGGAAAGACAATGGGGTGAGTTGTTTCTACACAGATGCCGTCGTATTTGGATCCTCTCATGTTACTTGGAGCCATGGAAGTCGCTTACAAGGGCCATTCTCGCCCGAATCAGCATTGCCAAGCAAGTCGCAGCTGAACGTTTCGGGCCCAACAAAATAGTTCAGAAAGACATGCTCGGGTCTTTTGTCGCACGAGGGCTTAGCCAAACTGAAGTCGAGTCGGAAATTCTCATGCAGCTGTAGGATCCTTACCCCAATTGATCGAATTCTGTCGCCGCACCTTCTGACGATACAAAGTTTGGCTGGTTCTGGTACGACAGCGACCGCAATCCGAGCGACGATCCTCCATATCATCACGAATCCTCAAGTAACTGCTACCCTTCGAGCAGAGATTGATTCTGCCAACCTCTCGAGGCCTGTTGTTTCCGATGCGGAAGCACGCGAGATGCCGTATTTGCAGGCGGTAGTCAAAGAAGGCCTTCGGATCTTCCCGCCGGTTGTGGGTCAAATGTCAAAGGAAGTGTCTAACGGTGGAGCCGGCGATATATTCAAGGGCGTACACCTACCGGAGGGCACTAGGATAGGTTATTGCGCATGGGGTATCTTCCGCAGACCAGATATCTGGGGTGCAGATTCCCAACTATTTCGACCAGAACGGTGGCTAGAAGCCGATGCAGAGAAGCTGCGAGTCATGGAGGGCACATTAGAGTTGGTATTTGGCTACGGCAGGTGGCAGTGCCTAGGTCGTAATGTGGCCTTGATGGAGCTGAACAAAGTCTTTGTGGAGGTCAGTGGCTTTCATGACCCTCTTGAAGATCCGGAGTTGTTCAAAACCAATACTGACGTATAACACCAAGCTGCTGAAGAGGTTCGATCTGATACTGGTCGATCCGACGAAACCATGGCATTCAGTGTGCTGCGGCATCTTCTTGCAATCCCAATACTGGATCCGAGGGTACAAACGAACGATCTCGACAGGCAGCTAAATGGCCAGTGAATACTAGCATTGGAACATTGGGTTATTCCTTGACTTGGGTTTGATGCCATATCCCGGAAGCGCACAGCTCTTGAAAACCCTATTTAGAAGTGAATGACGACTTCTTAGAGATGTCTGAATTCGAAACATAGCTTATGCCTCGCTTTAATGATAACAATTGGACATGGATAAAACAAACAAGTTCATATACTACCATAGTCACTAGGCCCATGAGACGACGAGAATTAATAGAAGCGCGCCATTGTAAGTAGTCTTTGCTTAGAAGATTACGTGAATACGCTACCAAGAGGAACAAATTCAACTTTAATGGCTGTGGATAAACCAGTACTGAAGTGGTTGTATATCGACTTGAATTAGGGTGTAACTTTTGGTTCATAACGTCGCATTTAACTGAGCCATTCAGCCGTATGACCTCAACGCGATTACCCTGCAAGTAGGCCTGGACGAAAATTCCTCGCCTAGGCCAACTTGGCAACAATGGCATCCAGCCATTTTGCCAGTCTGTACCCCTGCTTCGCAACCTGCAGGCTCACAGTCGGCTGCGCATTCGTCGTGTACGCACCGCTGATGTCCAGCCCCTCTACCGCCTTCTGGCCCTCGGGCAGCACGACCGAGCACACAAACTGATTGCTCTCCGACGCCCACGACACCACGGTGGCCTCGGAGTCCTCCAGACTGAGGCCCTGGACCCAGCAGTTGGCCGCGGTGCGGAACTCGCCCGAGTTGATGGCCGTGCTGAGCTTCGACGCCCACTTCTTGGCGATGGTGAGCACGCTGCCGGTCGTGCCGGCGATGGACTGCGGGATGTTGGTGTCCCACGCGGCGTGCAGGTTCGTGTCGGTGCCGTTGAACTCGACGGGGATGCCGTTGCCGCCGGTCTCGAGGTTCTCACAGTGCAGCGGCTGGCCAATGTCGCCCGTGAAGTGGATCACCATCTTGGCAGCGATCTGGCGCTGCTCGAGGTCAAGCTCGGGCTGAAGAAGGCGCTGTGTGTAGTTTACGTGGGCCGAGACGATGCACCCCGCGGGGCCGCAGTCGCGCTCGAGGTCGATGCCGCACGAGTGGGGAGGGTCGTCAAGGGCGTCGATGTAGTGGAAGGGCGATGTGAATGCGCCCTCGGTGGTGTAGCGGTATGAGTCGGCCCAGCTGGCGACGTTGGCGAGGTAGTCATCCGTGGTGTCGCCGAGGAGCTGCTGCATGTAGGTCTTTGTCTCAGGGGCGACAAAGTTGGTGGCGATGTAGGCAATAGTGGCGTGGCCCATGGAGCCCCAGGCGAGGGCCTTGGGCAGGGCGGATGCCAGGATTGTGAGCGGGATGAGGCGGGCCATGGTGCTGGGATGAGACCTTGTGCTAAGAGAGGAAGTGGAGGGAAAGGGATGCGAAGGGCGGGAGAGAGTCCTTGGCAAGCGGGAAGAGAGATCAAGATGCCATGGCGGCGGGATGGATCAGGTTATGTAGCAATTTCGAGGTCCGCAAACCCACGTGTGGCCAAGGCCGGGCCCCGTTGGACTGACACGAGTCCCATGGAGGCGGTATAGGCAGGCGGCGCTGGCTAGGTACAGTTATGCGGGAAGGGCTTCTGCTTGAACATGATGATGTAGTCTACCGTGACCTGCTTCTTCGGGCATCGCGAGCTTCACATAAGTACCGGGCTAATGTTGACTTGGCTGCCGATCCGGCAGTGGAGATGCCGCGTTGAGGTGCCATTGGACAAGCTCCTGCGGGTAGCACAAGTCCACAATCAAACCTCGAATGCCGATTTCCGGGGACTAGGGGTTGCCGACATGAAGACACCGGGCCAGGATCCGGATACAGTCGTCCATTGACGGGGACAGAGAGGCAGGGTATGAGACAATGCGCTGGCCGACGAACCCTCTTACGGAAGCTGACTGGTGCTTCAAGCGCATGTGCAAGATTTGAGACGGAATATTGGGTGCATTGAGGCTGGATTACACCTGCATTAGTGCCGAGGTGGAAAAAATCGTGTCAATGATATACCCCCGATCTCCCCCGCAATCTTGCGTCCGGACCTCTCAGAGATAAGACGGAGCACATCCAAAAGAGGAAGGTCACGGTCACGGCCGCGAGAACTTCACGTCTGGGTAGATCCGCGATAAAAAAGTATAAGCCATGTAAGTGGAATAATGTTTGTTCGTCTTCTGGTCGACGACGGTATTATGTAAATGTATATAATACAGCTAGTTGACATTGATTGTTGTACAAAGTGCGGGAGGCTTCGCGCTCTCTCGATATGGTCTCCAGGGGTGGTGTCACTGCATGACAGGAATATCTACACTATCTTGCAATGGTGAGCGTCGGTGAGCGCCGAAGCCCGCCGGCAACTGAGACGACTCCATGATATCCGGCGCTACCTCATTGCCGTCATCCGCCAACGGTGTTACCATCGGGTTCAAACGATGCATGCGTAGCGCGAGATAAGCCTCAGATGTTTTGTCGCATGGCCTTGAGCTCTTTCAGCATCCTGACAAACTCCGTGTTGGCCGCCTTGTGGCTTTCGGTCGACTGGTCACCTCTGGACACCATGTGCTCGCTGATGTGTTCCGCATTGGGGTCGGCAATCCGGATGCATGCCATCAGATCGGGCCAGATGGTGTTGTCTGGCAGCACCGGCGGCTGTTCCAACCTCATCTCCTGAACGCACTTTCTGAGGGTGTCGATACATCTGGCCATGTTGCCGGTATGCCATGAAACCGCAAACACTTCCCTGTACATCTCCGGTCCTCTGCGTTGGCTATAGCGGGCGGGAACGCTCCACGCCTCCCAAAGCTGTTCCCAATTACCCTGGTTCGCGTACGCTTTGATCAATCGGACGAGCTGGGCCTCGGTTGGTGATGACTGTGTTCCCTGCAGCATGACCATTTCCAGGTTAGACTGGATGCTGAGAACCTTCTTGGCCTGCGAACCAGATGCTGCTATTGCTTCGATGATCGTAACAAGCATCTCATGGTCCATAATCGGCATGCGCCGTTCATGCATCGTCGTAATGACTTCCGTGGCAAGATCGGCTTGATTCTGGCCGTCAGCCTCTGTGGCTGAAGGCGCGCGAAAGATGCCTTTTAGGATATCCAAGCACTCCTTGACGCTGACCTGTGCCCCCTCCCATCGTATCTCGTTAACACGCTGGCGGTGATTGTTCAGCGGGTCTGCGACAGAGTTCGAGTTCGCTGAAGGAGTAATACCTGCACCAGCCGCCTCGGCGGGGGCCTGTTGAGCGGCTTCGGTCGGCCGGGAGAGACGGGTCGAGAAGCTTCTCGTCTGAGTTCCATTGGCGTAGTTGGGCCTGCGGGCGCGAACATTGGCAGTGGTGGGCAGCTTTCCGAAGCGGTTGTGGTATTCAGAAGTCTCCTCCGCCACCTTACGTTCCTGGGCCTGGCTTCGAATGAGTTGCTGGCTCCACAGACGCTCAAGGTCCAACTCGTTGCGCCGGGACTCGGTCATGACCTGAATGACAATGGTTGAGCCAGTGACGGGGCCACCAAATCCAGACATATTCCCCTCCGCATCGAAGCGAGCGGCTTCGTTGTATGTAGATCCACTGGTTCCGAGGTTGACGCAGATCCATCCGGTTGAAATGCCGTCGTCGCCGCCCTTGGCGGCCATGGCACTCGTGCCCAGTAGCTTTGCTTTCCTCCGCATCCTCCGTAGCTTCGTCTTGAGCTCACCGGGGCCAATGAGTCCGTCGGCGTTCGCCTCGATTCTGTGGTGATGGCGAAGCCATTTCACCAGTCGCGAGGACGAGACATGCAGATGCCGCTCACTTCGCGCCGTCGCAAACAGCATGAGAAGGTTTGGTCCCAAAGCAGGAGGCGGGTCGAGTGCGCGCAAGTCGAGGAGCGAGAGGTCGTCGAGTCCCATTTCTTCGTAGACGTACTTCAACAAGGGCTCGAGTAAAGGAGGCGAAGATTCTGGCAGCTCGGGCAAAGGCGACACTTGCTGCGTCGGTGCGTGCGTCGGTGGCTCAACCTGCAAGAACCATGGCGTTTCTTCGTTCTCGCCAGAGTTCGCTGCTTCGGGCTGTTCGGCAGGCTGTTCGGATTCCTCTGAGGCGGTTTCTGGTGTTTGCGAGCTCGGCTCATTTGTCGTTTTGGGCGTGTCGGGCGGCAGGCTCGAGAAGGCTCTGTGTAGGTTGTTGCGAGGTCGCAAAGTTGTGTTTCCTGCGACAACGGGAGCTCGAAGGAAGGTGGCAGAATTGGAAGTGACAGCTCTCAGCACTTGATTGCGGCATTGAAGGCAGCCGAGAGCCGCAAACGCCGGTCTTGAGGCCATCTTGGGTATCGTGTTGCAGTAAGCTTGGAAACCGTTGGCCGGATCGTGGGCTTTTTTGTCGACAGAGCTTTGGTCTGGCCCAAAATTCTCGTCCAGAGCTCGGACAGGGACTTGCAGGCGTTGACGTGGAGGGACGTGCTCAAGGCAAAAAAGAGGCCTTACATAATCAGCTCGGCAGGAGATGCTCCACTGTCCCGGTGCCGCCAGCCAGAGCTTGGAGCTTTCTTACACAAAAGTCTTGACGCTGACACTTGCAACGGCGTGAACTTGGAGTCGCCACAGCTATTCCCAATGCGTGTGTACATGAGTGCGTCCATTTTCCCTCGTGATTTTGAGTATTAGGGACCTTCAATCACAGATCAGTTCTTGAATGCCAAGTGAACTATCTGCACCGCTGTAGTATCGTGACCTTTTTCCCTTCTCTGGGCTGATATGAGATACATGGGTAAGCATAGTTTAGGTACTCGAAAAAAAGGAACGTACCTGTGGAAGGGAGAACGCAGTGGCGAATGAGGATCCAGAACGCACTTGATTGGCCAAAACCACTACCCGCCCCCTTTTGGGTGGACGGCATCGAACACTGGGAAAATTCCATCAAACGCCGTTGGTCATTCCATCCCGGCCGAGTGGGGACGGGCGACCCCGAGTCAAGGACCAGAAAAAAAGGAAAAAGAAAACGATGGCAAAATTCTGATAGCTCGCGCCTCCTATCGACAAGCTCCCTCCCCCCGTATCAGTCTCTCTCCCCCCAAAAAGCTGTTGCATTTGCGAACCTCTACACCGTGTCGCAATAGATCTTTTCTCTGTACTTTGTAATATAGTCTACATTCTTTTATACCCCTTTCGTACTTTAATGCACCGACACATCTACTAGACGATCGACAGACTTTGCGCTGTTGAGCCACTTTCGACGACGACGACGACGCTATTCTTTCGGTTCGCGTCGACCGTCGCGTGAGCTTCCAAAATGCTTCTCAGGAACGGCCGGAGAAGCATCTCTCTCCACCACGCAGCCATCTTTCGACCCCTTCGACCGACTCCTCGATTCCCTTTAACCACGATCAACGCAAGCGACAGAAGCAGCCGTTGCTTTGGCACACAGCAAAATGCGCGCCCCACGACAAGGAGGAACAGCTTGAGCGCTGGACGGAATCTTGCCACCGCTGTCGAGGAACACCAACCAATCGACGACTCCAAGTATGGCAGGCTCAACAGTTCCATCTTGCCTGTCTACCGGAAGGCCTCGGCTGGCCGGCAAGTTCATGAGCTGCGCGCGTTCGATCCTTCTTCGCCCCTTGTCATTGAAGAGTCGAGACAGAGTGCAACTCGCTCAAAAATGAACACAAGCGGCATATCTGGCGACGCCGAGGAGATGCTCCCCTTATTCCACGCTTGCATTCGTGTTGGAAAAGTCGACCGCGCTGCAATGGTCCTCAAGCGCATGAGTACCTACGATGTCTTTCCCGGAGAAGAACTCATCTTCCTGCACAACCGATACCTCCGCGCCTCTCTCGATCAGATGCGACTGCGTCCCGACGTAAAACAAGCAGAGGGTCTACACAAATGGTACGAACTGCACATCCGTGTCAAGGGCTTGCCTCAGACCGCCGAAACTGTCGCCTGCATGTTGAAGGCCTCGCTGCTATCAGAACGCGATCCCGACAGACGCCGTCGCTTGGTTACTCGATACATGGGCTTGGCACCTGGAGAGGCCGGTCTCCAGGTTTTGTCAATGGCAGAGATTCTCAGCGACCAGGACCTTGCTGTCATCACCGACATTTGCCCGACCTACAACCTCGCTCCCGAAGAAATTGAGGCATCTGCCGCCGAAGTCGAGACCCAAGCCGAGCCTGCCTCTGAAGAAGCATCCGACAAGATCCCCTCCGCTCGAGTGCAGTCTATGCCAGAGGTTTTGGCCACGCCCCAAAAGGGTTTTGGACTGAAGACTCTGAAGCATACCTTGAGTTTGTTCGACGAGATTCCCCAGAACTGCGACATCTCGACATTACCCATCCGTGAGCAGAGAGAAATTCAGGCCCGCCTTGAGCGTGACTGTATCGATGCTGCTGTTGAGCGGTGGCGCGAGGAGAACGAATCCTTACAAAAGATGGGTCTTAACACTTCCGTCTCACATGCATCCCTGAACTCCCGCCTATACGACTGGCAACTTGCGTTGGAGGCTCGACTCAAGGAGGAGATGGTCAAAATCGAGGCCGCCGAGGCCGCGGTGAAAAAGACTCCTGAAGATTACGACCGGTGCATGTACGGGCCTTTTCTGCGGCTCTCGACGCCGAGCCGTCTCTCTGCCGTTACCATTCTGGGCACTTTGAGTTCAACGGCCATCACTGGCGTCGACCGAGGCATGCCTATCTCTGCAGCCATCGCCAGCCTCGCCAAGCTGGCCGAGGAGGATATCAAAGCCCAACTTGCGAGTCAAAAAGCAACATCAAAGCCAAAGGGCAGACGAGTCGTTATGTCGAAATCGTCCAAGGGCGCCCACAAGGCTTCACCTGAAGAAACCAGCCAGCTGCTGAGTGATGCTCAGGCGAAGGAGTCTGCCCTCGCCGATACTCCCTGGCCTGTCGCTGTTAGGGCAAAGGTTGGCGCAGCGCTGCTCTCGGCTCTCATCGAAACGGCTAAGATCAAGGTGGTGAAGGAGCATCCTGAGACCAAGACCCTGATCAGCCAGTATCAACCTGCCTTCTCCCATGTTAGCCAGCTGAAGAAGGGCAAGAGGATTGGCATGATGCTGTTGAACAAGGAGCTGATTAGCATTATGAAGCGAGAGCCCCAGGGAGACTACCTTGCCAAGCACCTGCCAATGGTTGTCGAGCCTGAACCGTGGCAGGCGTTTGACAAGGGCGGGTTTTTGGAAAGCAGAGCGAACCTTGTCCGCATCAAACAGGGTGACAAGGACCAGAAGCTGTACAGTGAGGCAGCCATCGCTCGCGGAGACATGGACCAAGTCTTCAAGGGTCTGGACGTCTTGGGCAAGACCGCATGGCGCGTCAACACACCTGTTCTTAACGTCATGCTCGCGGCCTGGAACACCGGTGAGGAGCTCGCGAATCTGCCCGCGTTGAATCCTGATATCCCTGTACCCCCCGAACCCGAAGCGTCCGATGACCCGCTGGCGCATAGACTCTGGATCAGGGCTGTCAAGGCCGCCGAAAACGAACGAGGCGGCTTGCACTCCGTCCGCTGCTTTATGAACTTCCAGCTGGAAATCGCGCGAGCCTTCAGGAACCAAACCTTCTACTTCCCTCACAACATCGATTTCCGAGGCCGCGCCTACCCTCTGCCGACCTATCTTAACCACATGGGTGCTGATCACGTCCGTGGCATCCTCCGCTTTGCCAAGGGCAAAGAGCTGGGTGAGGAGGGCCTTAAATGGCTCAAGGTCCACTTGGCCAACGTCTTCGGGTTCGACAAGGCCAGTCTCAAGGACAGAGAGTCATTTGCCATGGACAACCTGGTCAACATCTTCGACTCGGCAAACAAGCCGCTCGATGGAAACCGATGGTGGCTGAAGGCCGAAGACCCGTGGCAATGTCTCGCAACCTGTTTTGAACTCAAGGCCGCTCTGGAATCTCCGGAGCCCACAAAGTTCGTCTCCCATCTCCCGGTTCACCAGGACGGCACTTGCAACGGTCTCCAGCATTACGCCGCTCTTGGTGGTGACTCGTGGGGCGCTCGACAGGTCAACCTCGAGCCCGGCGACAAGCCCGCCGACGTCTACTCTGCTGTCGCCAACATCGTCAAGGACCATATTGCCAAGGACGCCGAGGCTGGCAACCCGTTCGCGCTGGCCATGAACGGCAAGATCACGAGAAAGGTTGTCAAGCAGACCGTCATGACCAACGTCTATGGTGTCACCTTTGCCGGCGCGAAGAAGCAGGTTTGCAAGCAGCTTGATGCGCTGTACCCCAACCTGCCCAAGGAGTCTGGTTTCGACAACATTGTCATCGCCTCCTACGTTGCCACGCTGGTGTTCAAGGCCCTGTCGTCCATGTTCCGTGGTGCCCACGATATCCAGTACTGGCTCGGTGAGATTGGTGGACGTGTCTGCAGGGCGCTCTCTGCTGAGCAACTGGAGCGGATCAACAACGACAATCTCTTGCCCTCGCCGTCAAAGACCGTCAAGGCTGGTGACAAAAAGACGACTACCGACGATCTCCTGGCCCAGTTCCGCGCGACCATTGTGTGGACTACTCCCCTCCGCATGCCCATCGCCCAACCGTACCGCAAGAGTGGCACTCGCATCATCAAGACGTCCCTCCAGGACCTGTCCCTAACTGTCCCCGAACGCTCCGATCCCGTTCACCGCAAGAAGCAGCTCCAGGCTTTCCCTCCCAACTTCATCCACTCGCTCGACGCGACGCACATGCTGCTGTCTGCCCTGGAGTGCCACGAGCTTGGCCTCGACTTCGCCGCCGTCCACGACTCTTTCTGGACCCACGCTTCTGACGTCAACACAATGAACCGTGTCCTTCGCGACGCCTTTGTCAGAATCCACGAGGAAGACGTTGTTGGCCGTCTCGCTGCTGAGTTCGAGGCCCGGTACCGCGGCTCCATCTACCTTGCCAAGGTTAACCAGGGAACCCCCGTGGAGAAGAAGATCACCGCATTCCGCAAGAAGTCCAAGATGTCTTCTCGTGAGGAGCTTCTTATGGAGTACAAGAGACAGACCCTTCTCCGCTCCTCCGACCCCGAGCAGGTCGCCGAGGGTAAGGAGATGGTCACGCCCGCTAGCATCTTTGAGGAGATGTCGGCTACCGAGTCACTTGCCGAGCCAGAGGACATGGACGGTCTTGGACTCGGCAACATTCCCGACAAGGCCGACGAGGCGGATGACATCAAGGCCGAGTCCGAGGAGGGCATCGACGACGAGATCGCTGCGGAGGTCCCCGAGGCCGAGACCCCCGAGGGCGAGTCGCCGGGCTCTCAGTGGGCATCGCAGATGCTGGAGAACATGAAGATCTCGTACTTTGAGCAGACGGTCGTCAGCAAGCCCAAGGCGGTGGACCCCAAGAGCAAGGTGAACACCATCCAGGTCTGGCTCCCCCTGACCTTCCCGCCCATCCCCGAGAAGGGCGACTTTGATGTCCAGAGACTCAAGGAGAGCGAGTACTTCTTCTCGTGACCCGTGAAGCCATCTTTGCGACACAGTACGAATCTGACGTGCGGACATGTTTGTCACGGTCATGCTTTGAGAGTGGGACGATTTGCATAATAGTGGTTGCATCTGCGACGGCGTTGTTGAACTGTACTATTTTTCATGTACATGGAGGCGTTATTTTTCAAGGTTCCCAGGGCGGAGTTTAAAAAAGAACAAAAGTGCTGCTTCTGGGACATTTCGTGTACGATGTTTTGACGTCTACCCAGACGACTGTATAGATAGATGAGGATGGAAGAGGGCGCTGGCATGGGTCGATGTCAGGATATCTCCCACACCACAAGTATAAAAAAGATGTACCATATAATCGTCCAAAGAGATGATGGAACAAAAATCCAAAACAAGACACTTTTATCCAAGCAGACGTTTCAATGTCCTGTGAAGTAAATGGAAGGGTTTAGATGGCCTTGGGTCGTCATTGATGATACTTTTTTGGTTTACGGTGTAGACAACAACATGCTGCACTCCGTCAGGCAAACCAGATGACCGCCCTGGTCGATCTGATTTTGGGCCGTTCTTCGTCCTCTGGGGCATATTGCGCGTATCCCACGTCTCATCAGACGTGTGCTCATATACCAATTTTGTTTCAAGACTGATGAATATTAAACGACTAGCGTCTCAGGGTTTGATGGAGAGCCTGTGCTGTAACCCGTTACAGGTGACATGCGTTCGAACGCCGACTGATTGAACATGCTTTGGGTATAGGCTTTTGAACATCCGACTCTTTGCAGCAGTCCGTTGGAATCGGTGAGGACTTCTTACAGCCGTGCACCGCCTTTGATGGCCTCCCGCAACATGGGCGCGACCTGCTTGCGAGAACCAGACAAGTTCTTCTGGCTCCAGGCCATCCTCCACTGGCCCTCGGCCACCTCATCCAGCCTCCCCTCGCGCCACTTCTCGAGGCCCAGCTCCTCCTTGTAACCCTCGTAGAACTTCTTGCACGATTCGACGGCATCGTCATTGAACGCCCACAAGAGCAGCTCTCTTTCAAACTTGCCATCCGGATGCCCCGTCGTCATGATGACGCCAATGTCCAGCTTCCTCTCCTCGGCCCACTTCCGGAACTCTCTCAGCAACACCTTCTCGTCGCCGTGGGCCTTGTCGAGGAGGTAATCCAGGTTCTGCACGATGGCCGAGACGCCCATGACCTGACGCCCCCTCCCCTGACCGGCACTCTGGTCCTCCCACTGTTTGTAGTCCTTGCGGAACACGTCGCGGAAGCCCAGGGAGGATATGTCCTCTTTAACGGCGGATATCTCGTCAAAGAAGGCATCGCGCGCGTAGGGTGCGGCGGTGAATCGCTCGAGGAACGAGACGGCGCTGACGTCCCTGTCGGTGGTCTTGTCCTTGGATCCAAGGTTCGTGGTGTCGATCAGAACGGCCGCCAGCGAGAGCCTGGCCAGGTGCGCGTCCACGTCCCCGCCATCGCCGGCCTTGGCGAGGGCCTCCCACGCCGGACGGCAGTATTCCGCCACCAAGCTTGAGCAGCTGCCGCACTTCTCTACCACGCGGGGCTCGTCGCCCGTGTCCCGGGGGACCTTGTCCTCGTCGGCGTGGTGGTCGACGCAGCCGACGACTCTGCCGGCGTATTTTGCCGCGAGGTCGCCCGTGAGGGCGTTGTGGTCCACGAGTACCCACCGCGTATCCTTGGCGGCGAGGTCCGCGGGGACATCGTCGAGGGTGAGGAGGTCGCTCGGCTTCAGCTGGGCGTGGGCCAGGGCGGCGGTCATCTCGGGGCGCAGCTTGAGGTCATCGCGGGGGAGGTTCGAGATGGGGATGTGCAGTGTGTGCGGCGGGGCGTGGGTGCGGAGGTAGGCGTAGACGACGGCCGAGCAGAGGGAGTCGAGGTCTTTTGTGTTTGGCAAAAGAGAAGCATGTCAGTTTCCCTTTGTCGGTGTACCCAAGGTTAAGCTTTTGAGCTGGCGTCTCGTACCTGCGGATTCGTTGCCGACGACGAGAGTCAAGGGACTGGCTCGTTGCGGCGCGGGCGCGGTGAGGGCTGATCTCGCGTTGGCGAGAAAGGCGCCGAGGGAGACCCTGGGAGGCATTGGAGCGGAAAGGATTCGATCAAAGGGCTGGAACGTCTGTAAAGTAATGCATAGGGAAGCGCATGCACGTTGCCGCCGAGACTGTGTGTGTTGAAGCGCGGTTTCGGGCAGCTTGGAGCTGGGATGGAAATGGGCTAGGATGACGTCGAAGGTTGCAACAGGCACGAAGACGCCGAGGAGCGGTCCAATTGAGTTTGTCGGATCTCATCGGTCGAGTTCCTTCCTGTGCAATCACCTCGGCCATGTTATCTTATCGCCAGCGCGGTCTCTTATCGCGGTCGATTCCACCCCGCTATCGGTGTCGCTAGTGGAGGGGTCCAGAAGGTGACGCCCTGCATCGCGGGGCAACTCCAGCAAAAGGCACTGCCAACTGACTCAACCGCGACCCGCGACCCCCACCACCACCGCCGCGGGACCGCGGTCGGGGCGCCGGCAACCTCGAGCAGCCACCACCTGTCCCTTCCTCCGGGTGCTATGCTTTGTCACGAGGCCTTCTTTCACATCCTCTTTGTCATCTTTGTCTCCATCCCTGGTCCCTATCTTCTCATCGTACATATCCAAACATTTCTCCCAGATATCGCCAACCTCAGTCTCTTTTATTATAAATTCATTCATACCGTGTATATACTCAAACATCGCACCTCATAAACCAAGATGGGCTCCCAACCCCCCCGCATCCGCCTGGCCATCCTCGAGGCCGATACGCCACAGCCGCAGACCAACGCCGAGTACGGCGGCTACGGCGGCGTCTTCACCGCGCTCCTCCGCACCGCCGCCCTGGCAGATGACCCGCCCGCGCCGCTCGACAGCATCATTGACCTCTCAGTATATCACGTTGTAGGCGATGATGCCACATACCCGGATCTGGAATCCATCGACGCTATCCTCATCTCTGGTAGCAAGCACAACTCCTTCGATAATGACCCCTGGATCCTGAAGCTGGTCGATTTCACCAAGAAGTGCATCGACAGCGGGCGCGTGAAGGCTATCGGCGTATGTTTCGGCCACCAGATCATTGGCCGCTCACTAGGCGTCGAGGTCAAGAGGAGCGACCTGGGCTGGGAGGTTGCCGTAGTCGATGTCAACCTCACGCCCAAGGGCAAGGAGATCTTCAAGCTGGACAAGATGGTAATCCCCTTCTGCCTGAGCCCACGACTGCACAAGAGACATCATTACGTGAGAGCTAACACGGTTCAGCGCATCCACCAAATGCACCGAGACGTCGTCACGGCCAACCCGCCCGGCACCGAGTCTCTTGCGTACACGGAACTGTGCCCGGTCCAGGGATTCTACTCACCAAAGAAGTTCATTACAGTCCAGGGCCACCCCGAGTTCACTGGTCCCATCGTCAGCGAGATCCTCAACGTCCGCCACAAGGCGGGCGTCTTTGACGAGGAGACCTTCACCGATGCCATCAACCGCGCGAACATTGAGCACGATGGCGTCAACATTGCCCGTGGTTTCTTGCGTTTCCTGAGGGAATGAGGCAATTAATCTCGGATGTTCACCTGAATAGACTAGCGTTTGCTTTGGAAACTAGATTTTTCATCAGTTACATGTCTCTGACTTTGAATTTGTGTATACCCTATTGTGAGAAAAGGCTCTCTTGCTGCGTCTTACCATCATCAAAAATGCATAATCATTACTAACAATCATCTCCCATCACATAACCAACTGATGCTGCTCGATCCACACCATTCTCTACCTGAAGGTATGCAGAATCGAGCAGAGGATGATTTACTTACCCGTGTCTTGCATTGATCTCTCTCGTGAATCCCGACACAGGTGCGCCTCGGCCCAGAAAGCGCCTTCCTTCCTCCTCGGGCCAATCTTGCCTACTCTAATTGACCACCAAAGGTTGCTTTCAAAACCGATCAACTTCTTCTTCCACCTCCAAGTCCACTTTCTTCAACATCCGAAGGCACCCTGCCATCCTATCACCTACGGCCTGAACCTCATACTTCCTCACCATCACCTAGCGCCCCCTCAACTTCTACACCACAATATCGTTGACTTTTTGGGTCTCACTTTACACCGCTTGGCCCCGACTCAAAGCGTTACCTTCCTATCTTCGCATTTTCTTCCGACTCTCCTCGGAGGTTCTTTCTTGTCGGTACTTTCGCTTTCCTCCACTATTTCTTCCGACGTTTACCACTTCTTCCTTCCATCTTTCTCCTACAACTTACTCTCCTGCCCTCATCTCCAGCAACGTCAACTTCATCTCTTTTCACTACTCGATCCAAACGTGGAAGATGATGAGCGCTGACCCTATACAAGGAGCACTTTGAAACTTATCGACTTCTGACATTATTTGCCAAGACAAGTCTCTCAGCCGACACTCAAGATGTCAGCAACTCCAGACAATCAGGGTCAAGCGAAGCCCGCTCTTTGCATGAAAAGAACACCCTTTCTGGCAGACGATAATGAGTCGGACACGGAAACCCCATCCCATTTCAGCGCTGCAAGAAGAGTAACTCACAAGCAGATTCAGGAGCCCGACGTGTTTAATGAGTCAGTCGAGGACATCATCAACGATATGCGCAACGATGTCTATATGGAGAACAACGCCGACCCTGCTACTTGCAGGTCCCCTTCTGTTGAGTCGACCGACCTCTTTGTTGCGAACACGAGAGAAGAACAAAACGGCGGCTCTCCGCCCAAGCACAACATCAAAGTCAAGTCCGAGCCCGATTTAGAGGATGACAGCGATTTCATGATCATCGACCCAGCGGATGCTCCTTCTGACGCTCGGGTGAAGTGGTCCCTTCCACGAGCCCCTAGCGTCATCGACTTGGATACCGTGGTCAAAAAGGAGCCATTGTTCGATGTTGAACCCATTCTTCCGGCTGTAAAAAGCCATTCTGGCATCGAAGCACTCGAGATCAGAAAGAAAGAGCTGCAACAGAAAGTCCTTCAAGGTGCTCTGAGTGCCGACGAACTTGACGAGATGGTGCATGTCATATCTCAGCTCAGTCGAGCCCAAAGCATGGCCAGAACCGGCAGCAAGCCCAAGCCATCACCCTTCATCGTATCTCCTGAGTCCGACCTTCAGAAACAGACCTTCGATCAGGGAAATGACCCTAAACCAAGGCCAAAGAGGAAAGCTCCTATAGAAGATGCCTCGGGCTATTGGGCCAGAAGGGAGAAAAAGGAAAGAGAGCAAGAGGCCAAGGGCCCGGGGCAACAGGGGAGCATCCACAACACTTCACGCAAATCCAAGCGAGCAAGAGTCGCGTTAAACAAGGGCAATGATTCTGACGATGAGGACCTCGACCGAATGATTCATAGCATGCTTAAGCCATACGATGCTATCCAGCATCGGGCTGACCAAGGCGACTTGCCAGCAGCGCCAACCATCACAGCGACCAGAAGAGAGGATCAGTTGAAGCAGATGCGAGAAGCCGCCTCCGAGTATTTCGACAAAAAGGTTTTAATCGCTCAAAAGAAGGAACTTCGAGAGGCAACAAAATCTTGGGGGCCTCGCGCTGTTCGCTGCCGGAATGGCGGATGGGAAGTCAGGGGCTTACTTACCCCAATGATGAATCACCAGCTTATCGTCGGAGCCTGGATGATGGGTCGAGAGCTGAGAACAACGCCAAATAAGCCGAGAGGAGGCGTTCTCGCCGACGCCATGGGTTTGGGAAAGACCATTGAGACTCTGTCCTGCATTGTGGGCAATCAAGCCTCGGATACTCTCAAAGATGCAGGAAAGGGAGCAACACTGGTGATTTGTCCGTCGGGGCAAATGATCAGCCAGTGGATGTCCGAGGTCAAGAAGCATTGCAACAAACGGTTTGCGAGGAGCATCGTGCACTTCAAAGCTGGAAACAAGATGGATATTGACCTTTTGGCATCTTTCAACATTGTGTGAGTTACAGATGTCCGCCGTATAAGGTTCGTAAATGGTGAAACCTAACCTAGGAAACAGTTTCGCAAGTTATCACCAGCTGAGAGACAGTATTCCTTCTGTCAAGGAGAGGGAGGAAATGCATAGACAACTCAAGGATCCGGACGAATATCGAAAGTGGTTGCAAGAGCAAACTGGTGTTCTTCACTGCATCGAGTGGCACAGAGTTGTCCTTGACGAAGCCCATTTCATCAAGAACCACTTGACACATGGTGAGTTCCATCTTATTCCTTTCAACACGGCCGCGCTGACTGTGTAACCAAAGCGGCATTTGCGTGCTACGAGCTTAAGGCCAAGCACCGCTGGGCAGTGAGTGGAACTCCACTCATAAACTCAGCTGATGGTAAGCTTCACAGCCTGATGTGTCGACAGCCTTTTGCTGACACTTCAAAGAATTCTTCTCTTATCTGAAATTCATTCGATATCAAGGCTTCAAAGATTTCAATAACTATCTTCGGGAGTATCGAGACGGGGTACGGTGGCTATTGGTCGTTGGAGGGTGATGATTGCTAACTCTGTGAAGACTAGAACTAGCAAAAAGCACAGCAAAATCGTCAACGAAGTCATGTTTAGAAGGTAAAGCTCTTGAATATTCGTAACAATACCTGTAGCTACTGAAATTTGACTTTAGAACGCAACGCGACCATTTTCTCGGGCAGCCAATCTTGAATTTACCAATCACTCATCCGACGCACCAATACCTTGACCTTTCGGCAGAAGAAATGGTGATTTTCCGGTAAGATTGACCACGCTCCTTTGAAAGCTCTCCAGGTAGACTTACACAAGGTAGAATGATGGAGAGATGCTTCAGAAACAGGCTTAACCGAGACTTGGAGGAGGGCACTGCTGAGAGTCAAATCAGGTGCTACCTGGTAATGCTGCTCCGTCTGAGACAAGCCGCAACTCATCCTTTCTTGCTTGAGGGTATGATGGGAGAGCATTTCTCCATACAAGACTTGCGCACTACCAAAGAAAGACTCAAATCGCTTAAGGGCGGCGCAACTGTCTATGCCCAAATCGGCTCGTGGACACAACGACACCAATTGGTTAACAATCGAATGCGAGAAGTCATTGAAGAATCAGAGAAGGTAACAAAGAACAAACTCCAGGATGCCCGCAAGGAAAGTTTGGAAGCATACATCAGCCGGCTCGACGAATTTGAAGGGCAAGATGAGGCACAACAGGGCAAGACCCAAGACACTGCCATCATAAAAGACGATGTTGTCGTGATCAGTGATGACTCCGACGAGGTGGACAGCCAGGACGAGGTGGAAGAAGACGAGAATGGCATGGTCCCCCAGAACTACGGAGTTCCCGGCGTGGACCCCGAGGTAAAAGTCGACAACACAGACCCAATTGCAGAAGAGGATGAGCCCCCACTTGAGCCATTCGGTCGCAGCGCCTTCGGCTTGGAGTTCGACATGACCAAGGAGCTTGAATACCTCGAAAGGCTCAAGGAGCTTGACATTGCCGCATGCATTCAATGCAAGATCACGCCCCCAGTGGTCCCAGTCAAGGGACGGGTAAGTCGATTTCACGACTCATTCAGATTTGAAACCCATCACTGACATTAAAAGTGCGGCTGCATCTTTTGTGCCCACTGTGCGATGGTACACCTTGCACATACGGTATATATTCGGAACACTTATGAAGAAATGAGCGTCGCTAACAATCCGTAAGGGTAGGAACTGCCCGAAATGTCGCAGGCTCATTGGCATGCCAAAGCCATTCCAAGCTTTCAACGGCGATGAAACGGACGAAGAGCTCGGAAACGATGCCAATGTGCCGCAAGACAACACCAACGAAAAGGAATATGTAAGAGGTTTCGACCACACTGGATTCCAGCACACCGAAGACGACAAAAGGAACAAGAAACCGATCAGGTTCTTGCAAATCAGCGACAAGAAGCCCAACATGCCTGTAACTCCCAGCGCCAAGATGACAGCGCTCAAAGAGACTGTCTTGAGATGGCAAGCGGAAGCCCCCGACGACAAGATCATCAGTACGTTTTCACTTGCTTATTCTTCTTTCTGACGGATTTCTAACACTTTGTTGTCAGTCTTCAGTCAGTTCAACGTCGTCATGAAGATCATCGGTCGCATACTGGAGTCGGAAGGCATCTGCTTTGCCTACCTCAGCGGCAAGCAGAACACTGAGCAGCGCAACAAGGCCGTCGACGAGTTTCAGAACGGAGAAGAGGTCAAGGTCCTGATTGTTTCTCTGCGCGCCGGAGGGCAGTGTCTCAACCTCACGCGGGGAAACCGAGTCATCCTTATCGAGCTCTGGTGGAACCATGCGGTCGAGCAGCAGGCCTTTTCCCGTGTCTTCCGTATTGGCCAAATCAAAGAGACTCACTTTGTGCGCTTCATCGTCAATACGCCCATTGAGCGCCGCATGTTTCAAATGCAGGTCGGCAAGATCCTCGATATCGATGCTATCCTTCAGGACGACAAAACAAGAGTACCCAAGATTAGTCTGGAAGATATCGCCAGTCTCCTGGGCAAGGTCACGACTAGGGATGGCGTCATGCACATTGTCTCTGACTACGATGACGAGGAGGATGAGTATGACGACGGCATTCTCGGCAGTGAAGATGAGGAGGATGACCTGGATGATCTCGTTGTCCCTGACGACGTGGTCGAGTACGCGGACGACGAAGAGGACGGGTTGATTTCTGATGACGAGTAGTCGTATGGGTGCGAACAGGCATACGAAAAGTCCACCGCAACTTGACACTGGTCGACTTCTGGGTCTCGCTTCACTGGCACAGGAGCACTTTTATGATCTTCCGGCTTACATGGGTTGACGACTGGATCAACACTGGCCCCGCTACTTCCAGACGGTTCGGCATGGTCCGCATTTGCATAGCCTTTGGTTTTCATGAGTCGCGGGTTGGTTGTTTACTTTTCTTTTGCGATTTACTCATAACGATCTGGTTGAAGCTGCCAACCAAGGATCGCACGTGCTTGGGTTCGCGTTGGGTTCGTTGAACCGTCATGGCTTTGAATTTTGGCACTTTCTACATAGAACAGGAATCAATAGCATCTAATTCTTATTCATGATCAGTCCATTTGGAAGTGCCCCAGTCTTTCGCAAAACAGGGTTCACTAATACAGAGGCTGCATAGTAATCTACTACAACCTAGTTCAATCTCTGCCAGATTTACAGGCGCACATATCACAACCCAAGTAGCCGCAGTGTGAAATGGGTCCTCGTGCTCCTACATCAACCCGGCGCCTTCCCACACAACGACACCAATGCCCGACGTGTCGAGTTCTTATTGATCGTCATCAGGCCTGCTACGTAGACTGTAGGGACCTGCAGTGGTACCACCCCGTCCACCGACGCAATAAGTGACAGGCAATATCGTACTACGAGCTGGGAAAAGAGCTCTCAGGCCGCCACTGACCCGACATCATGATTCATGAGAAGAGTGGCGCCGCTGGAAACACCAACGAAAGAAGAACCTCCAACCCCGTCTCACAGAAGACATACAGCACCGCCGTCTCATCGCCGATCCTCTAGCTGGCTTTTGAGGAACTCCACGCGCCAAAGCACATGGACTGTCGTGGCTCGTTCGAGCCACGAATCCCATCGATCAGAGGAGGAAGCGTCCCTGGGAAGGAGCCCGGGGTACGTTGCACGACAAGGTCGTTATCTGATATCCCACCTACAAACCCCCTTCTTCCTCGCCTCCCAACGCCCATAGAGCTCCTCACCTCCAGGAGAGCAAGATGGCGCCACGGACCGGTTTTCTTCAAGGAAACTGGCAGGCAAGCTTTGCGCTATGAATAATGACATCTCACCACTGTCTCATGAGTCCTTTCCCCCAGCGCCATCGCAAGGTTTCGGCCCTTTCCCCGCGGCGTTGGTATGGGGCCGATAACTCCGACATTGCGGGGCTCCCGGGGCATCCGCCATGTCGGACGTTGTGGGGTCGACGTGCCGACGTTTACCCCGACAAACTTAGTTTTTGACGGTGTACAGTAAGGGCTGTGGACAGCTGCGAGTTCTAGGGCCCAAGATTCAAGAGATCAGCCAAGGAACAGGTGATCAACAAAAACAAAAAGTGTTCATTCAATTCATGTGGTATCAAGGCGACAAAATGACTACGCTAATGATGATGTCCTTCGACCGGTCCGTTGCCGGTTCTCGTCTTTATCTCGCCGCGTCTTGGACGGCGCTCTCCTGTATCTCGCCTGCCTGTCGATCCAAGGCTTCTCTACAGCGCAAAACAGACACGAGTTCACCAGCCCCTGTATTGACAAGCTTACTAGTGACAAGAGTACAACCGCAAAAGGGCCCGAGTCCTCGGGGTTATCCCAGCGCATGATGTGCGCAACAAAAGGAACCGCCCAAATCAGAATGTACACGAGGGGGTATACAAAAAGCAATCGCAGTTGACGACGAATCTTGTCGCGCGTCTTAGTCATACCCGTGCCATCCATGGCCGGGTGAAAGAGAAACGGGGTTGCGTTGTGTTCGGGATCCGATTCAAAGGATGTACCTCGACGGAGGATCGACCAGATGTTGGCAAGTGATTTGGCGCGAGCACTCGTCGGGCTACTTGGCGGCTGCCAATAGGTGCTGAAACTTGCTTGGTGTTGGTAATGGTGATCTGGTGGACTCTGATCAACGGTGTCGCGCCGTATGTAGCTCTGGGGAGGTGGCGAGATGGGTTCAAAGGTCGCGGTACGGGGGCTGGTGCTGGGTCCCAGCGCGCGGGGTGAGAGGACCTCCTCCGTCACAGGAATCCGACAATCGTCGTCGCCGCCATATGTCGGCCAGTTCCACGTAATCTTTTGACGACTGTGCAAGAGCTCAATCTCGGCCGTCATCGTGGTAGCCGTGGATGAGGTACGTCGTCGCTCCGACTCCTCCATGGAGGTCTCGGATCCACGACGAGATGTAGGGGTAGTGGGTACCGAGGGGATGTGAGCCCAGTGTCCGTTATCTGGCATCTGTGTTGCGCTTGCGCGCCTCATGGCGCTGAGGCGACCGAAGCGCCGCATGCGCAAGGTGACGTATATGTAAATGTAGGCATAAAGCGCAACAATGATAAAAAGAATCATGTAGCGCGGCACCCAGCTGAGGGCGAGCCTAGACCACTCAGGACGAACAGGCAAGTAGCAGTACTCGCCATTGTTCACGTAGCCGGGCCAGCCGATGAAGGCCAAAGAGGCCATCAGGAGCGGAAGGAATACAAAAGCACTGAACGCAAGGCGGCGGTGGGGATATAGGCCGCTCTGGCGCCCAGAGTGCCGCGGGCGGAAGATATAAATTGCCGTATGGAGGGCGATGAGAACAACGGCGATGTCTGACGCTTCTATGCCGACGGAAAGGAAGAAGCCGCTCGCTTGGCAAAACGACGATTCGGATGCAACTGAACCCGTCTTGAAGTCCACGATGGGGAAGATGATGAACCATAGCGACTTGAGCATGTCGCTCGACATAAGCAACATGATGAGGCTTTGCGCTTGTCAGTGGGGGGGAGAGTCCACGCCAAAGGTATCCCAGCTTGGTTTGGAGCCGGGGTGACACTATCGGTTGGGATCAACTCACTCATGTCTGAAGCTTCGCCTCATGCGAGAAAACCAGTAGAAGGCGAGGGTGACGGATGCAAAGCTCAGAGCAGCGACAGCTAGCGACGTAGATTGAATGACTGTCCATTGTCGGTCGGTCAGGCCATCGGGAATGCGGTCGTAGGCCGGGGTCAGGCGGGCAACGATGATATCCGGCACAGACGCAGCAGGTGATTGCGATACGTCGATGTCCCGATGCCACGGTGCCATGACGGCTGTGGTTCCCTGGCCGCCAGTCGTAGCCTGGGAATGGAGTAAAGAAGTTGGTTCACGTGGGAGGCTTCGGATTCCTCATGGTGATCGTAGCAGACGGAGGGTCGTGGCCAGTGATGGACCCGGTAGTAGTCGTTTCTCGAGGTCGGCGAAGTTGGTACTTGGATCGTTGGACCGGTCTCAGAGGCCTTCTCTTTCTATTGCCCGTCCAACCAACTGGGTCCCACTGGGCTGGGCTGGGCTGGGGTCGTTTGTTTATCCGTCACTCGGCTATCCTCCACTGTGCAAAGCTCGGTTCGAAATGGCCCGTGTATACGATGGTTGACCGGCCTTTATGAGAATGGGGAAGTGACTAGGCGGAGACGTTCTTCTCGAGTCCATGTGTTGTTGGCCTCGATATGCTGAAAACAGACGTCACTTTGTTCGAATATTGACCTTGGCGGTTGTTGATCGCAGGGCGCAAATCGGAAATCGGGGTGTGAGCCGGGGATATTTGCTGGATGGCCGAAATCTATCGACAAATGCAGAGGTATCTCCTTTTGTGTCCCAGGGGTGACGAACAAGTGTCTGGGAAGATGGGGAAGGGGTATTATAAGAATCGGTTGTGCATGTAAGCCGTCCCTGTGGTCAGTCTTCAGCTCCAGGAGCGTGGTGCGTGGAGCGTGGAGATGAGGTCCGTCCTCCGCCTGGCATCGGATTGCCGCTCAGGAAAGGGCGACAGAAGCTTAAAAAGGGACGGACGCAGGCGAGACAATTGAGCGCGAATAGGAGAGTTGGGAGGCGGAGGCGCACAAAAAAAGCAAGACAGGTTGTTAGCGTCGTGGTTTGAGGCTTTTCGGCGGGAGCTGGCTCGGCCAATGGACTGCAGCCGAGAGCAATAGGCACTCGGTGCGGTGTGTGTGTGTCTGTGTGTTTTCGGGTCGATCGTGTGATAGGGGGCGTGTGAGCGGCACGGGTGTTTGTCGAGCAAGCGAGCATGCGTTGAGTCTGGCCTGGTTCGAGCGGACTGAAGGGACGCCAGTGAGAGAGAGAGAGAGAAAGTGTGGTTGGCGGTCAAGGTCGCTGGACCAGGGGGGTGAGTGGTGTCAAGCGTCTCGAGTGTCAGTCAATGATTTCAAGTCGGCAACACATCTCATTTAGGCGAGAGACAAGAGAGAGACAACCAATTGTTGGACAGCATGCCGCACCAGGGGGGCAACGAGGAGACTGGGCTGGGGAGGCCGGTGGCCTAGCCTGGCCTGGTCTGGGTTGCTGGCGTGATCTGGTCCGCCAGGCGCCAAATGACAAAAAGCAAGTAAATATGCTGGCTCCCTCACTGTGCATTTTGGGATTGTTCATTGCGGGTTGCTGGGGAGGGAAGGGGGAGACGGAGGAACAGCGAACCGATGATCAACGATGACGATGTGCGTCGTCGTGGGCGTGGGCATTCGAGTACTTTGGGTCGTGACATGTCCGCGTGCACGGGGTCGGAGACGTGCCGATGAGCTTATGCTGCCCAATGCAGGCGACAGCGATTGACGACGTGCCGGTGTCGATGCCGCCGATTAGGTGTCAGCACATTGGCAACCTCTGGATAAATCATAAACCCAGTGATCAGATTCGGCGAACTGAGACAAGTGACGGATAGCGATTAGTGACAGGACCAGCGCCACCCAGAGCGTGCCTTGGCCGGGTTCCAGCGAGAGTTTGTTACCTGTGTTGGCACTGAATGAATGCGGTGAGGGAAAGGGGGAAGAGCATCCTCATCCTGGAGAGGACCGTTGCGGGCAGTTCTCGTTGTCGGTGCATGCCCAGGCAAGCTGGGAAATATCCCAAAGTCACAGGGAGGGCACGCAGAGTACGGTGACTGCGGTGGACGCGACGGCAACGAGAGACGACAGGAGGTGGTTGTCGGCGGAGCTTCCCACGATCTTCATCCACGAATGCGGCGGGGCCCGTTGGGTTGAGCTTTCTGGGCCTTTTGCAAGGCTCGTCGCCTGTGCCCGGGAGCGGCACGGGACAGGGCAGGGTAGACGGCATCCTGGAGTGGACCCAACCAAGATGGATGGATCACACAATGTGCCGGCATAACGGTGGGGGAGGGGGAAGGGGCCGCAAGGCAGGTCTCCCTTTGGCCCTCTGCTATGAAGGGAACGGCGCAGGCGACGGTTGAGACGGCACTCCGTGTGGCACAAGGTTATGCCTCTTGCATAAAGCGGTTCATGTGGGATAAAGTGTGAGCTCGGAGGAATGGGAGGAGGAGCGCAGGAATCGCCAAAAAAGTGCTTGGGGCAGCTTTGACGGGCGGGCGCGCAGGGACCGGATTTAGTGTTGGCTTTTTTTCTCCAAGGCTCGCTGGGTGACGTGGGCGTAGGACAGTGGACTTTGGATCAACCATGGAGGATGAAAGCGGGATGTGGGTGCGCTGAAGGGCTGAAGGGAAAGACGGGGCCGGTGGGGAAGGGGGGGCAGACAGCTTGGAGCACGGGCTTGTCAGCTTGGAGTACCGTACCATACCCAAGGTAGGTAACTTGGTTCGAAAAAGACGCGGACATTGCTTGTCGAGCCGATGGGGTGAGGTACGTCGGGGTTGTCGAACGTCCGCAGTCGCAGGCATGGGGAAATGCCAAATTCGACACGAGTCGATGCAATCGGGGCGACGGCCTTCCCGGTTCTGCGGAGCGCGCTTTCCGTCCCTACAGCGTACAGGGGAGGAGCGGAACGAGAACTGGGATTGAGGGGCGGCAAGCCGACCGACCACCGCAAGAGACATGGCCAAGAGGCAGGAGCAGATGAGCCGCGACCTACTTCGTGATCGGCACACTTCGAGACCCATCGAGGCTCGAGGGAAGGGAATGGAAAGCAGGAGCAAGCTGCTGGGTTAGCTGGTACAAGGAGAAGGCGGTTTAGGCAAGAGAGACGGGAGCTGTTCAGACTGGGCAAGAGTAGGCGCAGGCAAAGAGAGAGTTGGCTTGCGATGTGACGCGGCAAGTACGGGAGTCCAGTCGTCCTAGGTACCTGTGCCGTAGAAGTTGCAGGTGCAAGAGATGCAAGTGCAAGTGCTAAGTGCAAGTGCTAAGTGCAAGTGCAGGTCACGGCGCACGGGTCACGAGGTGACCCCTTCCTTCCCTAATTTTATCATTTGGGTTTTAACCATAGCATTTCGGTTTTTGGTTCTTATTTTTTACTGCCCCCCCCCCAGATATCGGCTCTTCCTCTCCGATTTCTGACTCAGCCAGCTTCGAGCTTAATACTTACTTGGGATAGGATTGACTGACCCTCATCCATCATCAACAATAACACGAGGCACGTGAGGTGTTGTATGTGCCGGGCCCACGCTCGGTATCGGCAAGCACTGGAGCTGGCCATGTGAGTTCGAGAGCTCGAACTCGAACACGAACCTTGCTCGGCTGTCTCTCCTCTCGTTGAGTTTGTTTCCTGGACGGTTTGACTTGGGAACCCCCCCTCTCCGTGGGAAGCAATGCGAGCAACTGCAGTGGGCGCTGCACAGACCAGCTGTTGGCAGTGGACGCGACGCACCTGCCTACCGTTCTCGCGCTGCCACCCACTGCCGCCCCTGCCCTACCACGAGAGGCAGGCTGACTCGTCCTTGTCCGTGTCACAGTCCTCGTTCTCCGTTCCTCGTTCCGCCCTGTCATTTCTTGGCTGTCACGGTCTGTTGGCCCAAGCGTCACGTCTGATGCCTCATGCTGAAAGGGCTGATGAGATCCATGATGCGACTTTGGCCAATGAAAACCCGGAGAAGACTACCCCCCCGTGACCCGAGCTCAGAGAGACGTACCTATAGCGCAGTAAATACCAGAGTGCCCGCCATGCTCCTTGTACGACGCACACTTGGGCATCCTCATACCTACAATTTTCCCCTTGACCTTACGCCCATTGGCTTGTCCACATCCTTAGTCAATCGGCAGGCGCATTTTTGCTCTTTTGCATCTGATCGCTCTCTAGCCGTGCCTGTTTGCCAGTCCTACGAGCGTCGAGACGCTGCCAATGGACGACTTGCGGGTTTCGGCCACACCCGCCAGAGTCCAGACTTGTACATCCATCGACTTGGCCGTTTGCCTCCGTCGACCTCCACGTCCACGTCCACATCCACCACCTACGGACGCAAGACCCTTGGCTTTTTTACTGAGGCAGGACGTCTCTCCCTATGCGGTCACAGGAACGCCCGTCCGCTGCGTCTCTGTGGTTGGGAACAGGCCTACGTCCGTACTTTTCTTATTCGTGTCGCGACGCCCAACACAGCATTCCCCCTCTGGGCCTCTGGGACCCCTGATTTTCTCCCCCATTGGCCCAAATCTGGTTGGAGATTGACCGTCCCACAACCTCTCACAACCCGAACACGGAGTAATCCAGGTCACAAGCCCAAGACACGTCTCGACGCCCTCGAAGGGGAAGCGAGAGGACGAGGCCTGCTACTTCTGGCCTCCCTCACGCTGACACAACCATTCTTTCCCAGGCTTTTTGGTGTGTTGGACGACCGACCTCGCAGGCACATAACCGGCTCGGGCGGTTGATCCCAAGTTCGCCAGACAGGCCGCAGTGCACCACAGTGGACGCTATTCTGGACTTCGGGCCCCTGATAGCATGGGTGTTTGCGACGCTGCACAATGACCCAACACTATTCTGCACATACTCAGATGAAGAAGAGGTCCGCCCTCACACGTCAAGTGCCAGTTGGGCAACGCGCGTCAGCCGCCACCCAAGGGAACAGACACCGATTACGTATCTGCCTATCTTCGCAACGCCATGGAATTGCCAACTCCTCATCCTAGCCTTGGTCTTGGTGTTTGGTCCTGGCCCAGGTTCTCATCCCCGAGCTGGTGAGGGTGAACCGCCCACCCTCCCTCGTTCTGGTGGAGAAGTTCAACCCATGCTGCCTCAATCTCATCGACATCTGCCGAAAAGCTGCCCCAATCTCGTTCGCCAGCCCTCCATGATTGGTCGGTCGACCTCCGTGCAGCCCGCCTGAGCCGTGCCACCCCGGTCACATACGTAAAGCTTAACCTCCAGGCTGGGACTTGAACATCGTTGTCGGCGAGCGACTGGATGGCGTCCCCCCCTCCTTCCCTTTACCAGTCATCCAGTCTATCCCATCCGTCTACATGTGAGGTCGGGAACCACTTGGCATGGTTGGGCTGACTTAGAACCAACATCACAACTCCATATACTTACTAATAGCAGAATCCCAAACTTGTCCGCATCCAGCATCGCGTCGACTCTTCGTTACCGCAACCCACCGGTTTGTCGATTTGAACCAGTCGACGAGATAAGGCACAGCACGAAAACCTCTAGACTCCTGGATCTAAAACCCTCGTAGAAGCGGTGACTCTTGGCGCCTCGATCGGGCGCCAGACTTTCTAGCTCCCAGCTCTGGTCTCGGCTCCGCCGCAGACCATTCGTCCGAACCGGTCGCTGACTTCACATTTTTTTACGCATACAGGTTATCTTCACTCTCTAATCCGTATCTCCACCGCCCAGGCTCTATTCGACTTAGACTCGACCTTGCCAAAAAAAAAAACCGAAACCGAGTTGACACGCACAGCCATCACCTCTGCGAACGGACGGCTGCTGTGGGGTTGCGTCTTCGGACTGCGCACTCCAATCATCTAATCCGGAGGGTACCTCCAGAAACAAGTGGGCTCTTTGACTAGTTGCGAGCTCGCTGACCTGTTTTAGAAAACCGTTGCGCATATACTTTCATCTCAGCTATTGGACGACGGACTGTTTCTCCGTCGACTTTTCCGAGTTACTGATTGCCGCGGTCAAGCCTTTCGTGTTGCGCTTCCGAGACCAGCTTACATGGTGTTTTCAATCTCATGCCTCCAGGAGGATTGTCGATCCCTAAGGACATCGAAGACGGTCTAGCCCCCGCCTGAAGCCATTGAATCCACCAACATACCGGAGACCTGCGTCTTAGACATGGCCCACGGTATCTTCCGTCCGGTGAATCAAGTTCACCTCCCAGGCCTTTGAACCGCAAATTCTTATGTCTGCCGCCCGTCCAGATAGTCAATACCAAAGCTTTGGTGTAGAAGAGGAATGTAACGACATCTGCTGCCACTCCCAAAATCGTCGATTGTATACAAGTTGCTCTCAAGGCGGGGTCTGGGTCCTAAACTCAGCTTATAATGGGAGCTATGACGTTCGTGAGCCTTCCCATGGTTTCCTTTGGAGTCTCGCAGGCCGTAGGCTGATTAGGCCAAAGGACTTTCTGCCAAACTATGGAGGCAGTGTGTCGACCCAGTGCACAGACTTGTCTGGCACGCGGAATTGCATGGCTACTGGATATTCTGAAGTAAAATGCAGGCATACATCATCGAACTTCTCATGAACCTGGCCAAGGGTGAAGAAAACAGGCCAGTTATCCAGCCTGCAAGAACTTTAACGCAGCAGCGCTCGCGCTTGGTGTCAGTTATACACTTTACCCCAAACCGTTGCCGGATTTGCTCGAAAGAAATGCGCTTGGCGAATGAAAGGCAACCTCGTCTTGCCCGCGACTTTCGCGGGAAGTTTGTGATAGGACCTCATGCGCCCTGCCCCTGTTTGCCTCCAACTTAAACGCGCCAAGCCTACAATTTGCAGCGCGAAGTAAATCCACCATGCCTTACAGCTGATATTCTCAGACTTCGTCTCAACACAGCGAGTGAGTCAAGCGCGTGACCATCCAGCTCCAGACCTCAAAGCAAGAAATAGAAGTTACACTTGTTTCGATCGGAGAAAGCTAGAGAACTCTCCCGTGATCAGTGCTAAAGGCCTTTCCTGACATGGCAACTCTTTCTTTCCTCGAAGAACGTTTGCCGAGCTGATGCCGGCTCAGGAAAGCCTTTGTGGGTCTCAACCGGGGGCTTGACGCGGACATTTCTGGAGGATCTAGGTCCTACGAGGACCTTGAGATGAACCAAGGCCCTGGTCAACTGTTTCACACGGCCGACCCAACAGATAAACAAAGCCAGTCAACCAATGTGTGTGGTAGGCACTCCGTCGAGAATGACGGCAGCGCTATGATCGCCTAGGGGACCAACAGGTACATGAGATCGTTTGGGCACGGACTTCTTTGGGCTGCCTGCCCGCTGAGAGGCATCTTGAACGAACAATCAGACGCTCCGGGACCCGCTCCGAAGACTTGATTGGGTTACCGTCCTCAGCTAGCACGGCGAGCTTGCGGAAAAGCTAAAGTGAAACGCGCCCTATTCCAGCAGAAATGTCACGATGCCGAAAGCTGGAGAGCGCATTCACAGACCTCCTGTTCGCGATGCCACGCACACCACGCATCTCATTGTCAGTGTGGGTATGCCCCGGGAATTACGGGCTCAGTCGCTGATCGTCCTGAGGCGCTCGCCGGAGTCGAGTCCGGTGAGAAAGTTCTCTTTCAAGGCAGGGTCCTCGCGCCAGTGTCTCCCCCGGGTGCTCCTCTGGACGGATCTATAATTAACATTCAGGCATCTTGTGACTTGATACTGGGCCCGTCTCAAATGGCTCTTTGCGTATCTAGACTACAACTAGCGGCGGCGAGGGGCCATAGGGCAATACCTCTAGATGGGTTACTGGGTTTGCAGCTTTGTTTTGAGGCGATGAAGATATCGAGTGCTCACTAGCGCTCATTGGAAAAGCCTAAATTCCGGAACGGATATCGAGACCAATAGGAACATGGGATTCCTTTCGGAATCAGGTCCTAGGCAGGAGGACCAAGCTTCGAGAGAGGAGGCAGGATGTCTTGATTTCCTGCAAGATTGCAGGGTTGCTTGTCCCGGAGGTGTGCTCCCTGGGTGTGTCGATTCAGCGGTAACCCAACCACGAAGATCGGGGTGCTACTTAGAAAGGAGCCCCGGAAGCTCCCTTGGATCCGCGAGGCTTGCACCGCGGCCTCGAGCCATTTACAGCCGGTGGGCCTTGATTTAACGTTTGTTTATGATTATCCATGACGGGACACCACCTTGCCCCTGACAGCACCCCTTCCCCTATTGTCCACGGTCCGGGGTCAAGAGGTTGCCCTTCTTGATGTATAGAGTTGGACGTGTGCTGGAGCAACGGCATCAACATGGACAGAGAGGTGTTTCGTTCACGTCTTGCCGGCGCATCTCGAACCTCGTGTGGGATAACTGCAGCGGGGACTTTGTGAGAGTATCGTCGCCTTCCGCAGCCATTGCGGGAACACTGCCGGAACGTGGTTTGACGTGCATTTGACGTGCATTTGAATCGCTTCCCGCTGCCCCGTCCCGCATGGAAATGGTTATTCTTGCGATGAAAGCTCGGTATCAGGACCGCAGCTTGCGAAGAGGGATCCCCGCGGCTGCCGGCCTCAGATTGGGGGCCTTCGTGGCCCGGCTCTGCGCCATGAGGTTCCCCTGTGCGGATTCAGGGGTGGGTCAGGGGCGTGGATCTTGAGTTCGGGCCCGGCTTGACGAAGGTGACGCCTTGATTTTGTCCTCCTTGGCCTTCGTGGCGGATTCATGCCGCGGGGGTGGGTTTGCTGGAACAGCTTCTGCGAAACGACTCTGGCGGGAGAGTGGTGAGAGTCAAGCTTGGTTCTAAAAGACTGCTCCGTGAAAGATTGATGAGTTCACGCGAGGTCTTTACATAGGAATAAGGCATATCATCTGCACACGCGGTCGAGTCCTGGTGAGAATCAAGTCTCTTGTGTTTTCTATCTAAAGTCTGATACCAATGCCTGCTTCTTCCAACTAGCTATGTCCGTGTGCCTAGTTACCAGGTCGCAGGATATACTCATGATCGTGTGCTGAGATCCGCCAAGTCGTTGTGATGAGCGGAGGCCCCTGCCGTTGTCGTTGCTGGTGTTTCCATCTCGAACTACACCTCGCAGGCATCCATGCCGCTCGTATCTGGAGGGAAAAAAGACAAAATATCAAAGGAAAATCGCTGGGTGTCTTTAGACCAATCATAGAAGTAGACGGGAGATGGATATACCAACTCCTCAACGCTCCACTACAAATGTTCGCTGCGCGCAGCATAATTCGCAAGAGTGACTCTCGTCGAACAGCCCTGTCACGCCTCGTCCTTCAAGATCGTGGAAGGAATCATCGAATGCCCTGCGGACCATTCTCTCGCTCGATGTCGTCGATGATGCGTTGCTTGAGCGCCTGCCATGCGGAGGGGGCGGTGATGGCCATGGTCTCGTACTCACCAAGTACCTCGGTGTTGCGGCCGTCATCCTGTAATGTGTGTTCGATTTCCCCCGTCTTGCGATCCTGCAGGTTCGTAATGTACTCGTCAATGGTACCCCGGGCCTTTATTACGACAGCGTGGGATGGCTTCAGCTGGCCCATTCGATTCACACGCCCGTTTGCCTGGTCGCCCGCGGCCTCGTTCCACCACGAATCGATCTGGATGACCCTATTCGCGCAGGTCAGGTTCAGGGCCTGTCCACCCACTTTCATCGATGCAATCTGTCAATGTGGTTACAAATGTCAACATACTTGTTTAGTAGTCTTCACTATGGGTCAATATGACTTACAAGAATCTTGACCTTTGGATCCTTCTTGAAGGCGTCCACCGCTCTGAGCTTCTCAGTCGATGTGAGCTTACCATTGAGGTAGACGAACGGGATGTCTTCCAGGTTCAGGACGATGCCCAACAAGATCGCGGTCTTGATAAACTCGACAAAGACTTTCACATCGAAGTTAGCAGCGCAAGAAAACGAGGGGGATTATACATGGATCCGCCACTTACCAATGATCTTGTCGTTGGGCGCCTCCATCTGCCACTGGAGAACAATCTCCTTGGCAACTGTCAGCTTTGTCCCAGGGCATGGGACGCCATTATTCTCGTTTACGCCGATCATGAGATACGACGAGTCTCCCTCCTCAAGTCCGGGTAGGTTGTTGATGTAGTCGCCGCCGTACTTGCGACGCGACTTCTTCTTCCTCTCGCGTCTCTCTTGTGCCTTGCGACGCTTCTCCTGCGCTTTTTTTTTACGAGGCGTGCTATCGTCTGAATCCTCACTACCGGACTCCTCAAAGTCTGAGGCACACTCGGCAGCCTTGGATAAGAGAGTTGGCACTGGAGTAACCTCGTATTTGTCAAAAGCCTTTTTGCAAGTTGGACACCTGGAGTATGTTGTTGATTTGTACATGACCTGATAGAGGCATTGGCTGCAGAAGACGTGGTTGCACTGTAAGACGTTGGTAAGTAGCCTTATCACAGTTGCAGTACCTAGAGATCAACATACCTTAACAATGCGCATAGGCTCGGCCTTCTTCTTTTTATTGCACACTCCGCACTTGATCTTGCTAGTGTTCTTCTCGGCAATGGTGTAATCAAGCAAATGTGCCATGCTGAACACTCCACCAAAGGTCGACTTTCCGAATGGATGCATCGGGACGTAATTTCTTTCCCGAGGCGTGAGCTCAGGAACCTCTTCTCCGTCACTCCCACCGGCAAAGGCGGACAAGTTAGATGGGTCGCGTCTGCCGAAACATTTGCCGATTTGATGATATACCCATCTGTTCCCTTCAACTTCCTTCAGACTATCAATCAGACTTTGGATGACGTCGTTTTCAATTTTCTCAAGAAATGACATCTCCAAGAGATATGGGTGAGAGATTGCCCGTCTTTTCTGTAGCATCGAGACTATAGGAAAGGGGGGCGTCTGGTTGTCGAAGTGATGACTGATTGCACTTGAGACCATGTCAGCAGAAAAGGACTCAGTGGGAATAGGAATATGAATAGGCCCCTTACTCGTAAATCAACTGTTCTTCTTGGGAAAGGTTGACCCAACGGACCTCAGCGTCGAACTGGGGAAGGCCCTCCAACATCTGCTTCCCAAGGAATTTGTCCTCGTGGCTCCTGTCATTCATCAGTCTCTTCTCCAAATGAGAACGCTGAAACAAACTTACCGGCGAATTGTTATCAGGTTGATTAACGCGTCCAGCTTCTTGCTGGCATTGGGCTGGGTCATGATTAGCTTTGAAGGACCTTACTTCCGTTGAACTCCAGAACATACCCCTTTCTTGTAGATCTTGTTGAACTCTTTCTTGGTCTCAACGCCCTCGACCCCGATGAGCTTGACATAAGGATAGATTTCTGCGTTCTAGTGAGTAAGCATGAAACGTTAGGTCGTGTCAAGAGGCGCCTACCTTTGCTCTGATTAATCAGTGGAGTTCCGCTGAGTCCCCAGACTCTCTTGCTGTATAAATGATAACAAGCGTTGAAGGCTGTCGTCAATTTAGGTTAATTGATACAAAGATAAACCAGTAACGAAAACTTACTCTGTGTCTCAGAGTTCTTGATTGTATGAAGCTCATCAAAAACAACTCGGTACCACTCAATGCCGAAAAGGGGGCCGGCAGTATTCTTCACGGCGTTATGAAAATCTTCAGTTCCTTCGCCATGGGTCTCGGCTAGAGCCGACAGCTTCTTGATAGACGGGTATTTGAGGAGTTCCTGATACGTGGTGATTCTGAGAGAATTTGTCAGGTCAAATCATGATCAAAGTCGCCAGATGGTATACTTACACGACCTTGTACTGTGCGATCTGACTTGTTTCCAAGTTAGTAGTTCCTTGCTTGAAAAGGAGGACATCGCTCGATTGAATACAATCTGTATGCTGGGAAATTGCTTCCGTCCATTCCTTCAGGACATTGGGACCTGGAACAACCACAAGAGTGCCACCGCGACCCGCCTGGATGTCCTGAGGAAGAGGAGGGCATCCGACAATGAGGACAAGACTAGTGAGCGTCTTGCCCATACCCATCTGGTCACCAAGGATTCCTCCATGGGGGCGGTCATCAGCGTTCTCCCTCATGACCATGCGGGCGGCCGCTTGCAGTTGCCAGCCTCGAATGGGCGTCCTCATCCCCTTCAGCTTGTAGTCAGAGGTGCCGATGCAGTCGACATTTGCAAGGCCCCAGATCGTCATTCCAAGATTTGCATCTCTCTTCTGGGAAGCAAGATGCCTATTGCTGTCACCTTCAGTTGTTGCGGCGGCGATTTGCTTCCTCCGACTGCTCTTCGACACTTTGACCTGGTCATAATTCGGGATACCGCCAAGTTCAGGCATGTCGTTAGCCATTGCGATTGTAGTTGATGTAGGTTCGTCCGTGTCACTGTGGCTATTTGCTGACGACCTTTGCTGTCGTCGTCTTTTCGCTTTTGGTGGTTCTAAGAGGATGTCAGAGACCCCCGCACTTCTCTTCAAGCTGATTTGCTTCATGAAGTCCCTTTTCAAATCTCTCTCAGCCTTTTTCTTCAGATTTGCGATATACTCTTGAGGAGTTCTGGCCCTGCGCATGGGCTGCAGGTCTTGGCCGACGTTGTCGTTCGTGAAAGCTACCCGCTTGCTTTTCCTCGTAGCAGCCTTTGTACCTATTGCCGGGCCCTGAAGATCGTCTTCGGACGAGTACTCAGGGACGTCCATTCCTAAGCCATCAAAATCTGCATCTGCATCTGCAAATGGTAGATCGCTTGGGTGGAACTGGTTCGGTCCCTCCATCTCGTCCGGGATGGCATCGGTGCTGATAGGCAGACGAGTATTAGAGGAGCCCGGTTGCTCGGCTGCGTGATCGGCTGGCTGGTCATTTGATGTTATTGTGTCCGAACTGGCTGGACTACTGTTAATGTTGTGTTTCCTTACCACCTTGTCTTCTTGTGAGACAAGAAAACCCGGATCCTCAGATATGGTGACAGTCGAAGGCATGTAGGGATAGGAAGCAAGTCGAATGGGATCTTGCAACTCATTTGATCTTATGGCCTGTTCTTGAGGCGCTGTCTCATCGGACAGGGAGGAAGGGTCAGCAAGAGTAGCTTTGCCACGGGGGAAAGTGGAACCCGGGACTTCGGTGTGTGAACCAAGTGAATCGCTGTAGGATTCCGAACTGATGCTCGAACAAAGCGGAAGGTTCACTTCCTTACCCTCGGAGGAAGAGCTCATGATGAGTGAGTAGAGCCGAGCTGAGGTAAGAAAGAAGGACGCGGGTAAAGAAAATCCAGCCTCTATGGTAAGAAAGAGGGACAGTCCGGGGAGTGAGGGTAGGCAGTATCGTAGATGAGTGTGAAGAGAGCTTGATGTATGAGGTATCAGGTTAAGCTTGGGCTTGATGGGGTATGGGATGGCTTATCGAGTGTCAGAGCATCTAGGTTGTTGAGGTATTGGAGAAGTTGAAGGAGTAGATGGGTCAGGAGAAAGATGGTATTTTATAAGCTGGGGATGAGGAGGAATTGGGCTGTACAGCTCAAAGCACTTGAGGAAAGAACGGCGGAAATCTTGAGTTCTGAACAATACCGGGAAGGCACGAAGTTTGGAAGCAGCTTGTTAAGAGGAAAGTGCAAAAGGGGGGGATGCACCTGCCTGTAGCCAAGACTCACGTATCGGTAGTTTGGAATAGTTTCATCTAGTTGGCTTGTATCTGGTTAATAATACTTCTGCCGCTCTCTCATGTCGTCCTTGTGCCATTTCTACGAGGAGTGCTAGAGAGACGGAGGGCTGCTGCGAAAGAGATGAGACAGCTAATCAAGGAAAATAAACCTGCAACGAGTTTGGGAGCGGGGATCTTCATGGTAACAGCACCAGTGACTACAACAATGTCGGTACAAGCCAATCTTCTAATCTGCGAACAACCTCACTTTGGCTGTAGGATAGCACTGACGGCTGGTCACGGTTGACTAAGGTTGGCTGGTGCTTGTTGGAATCCTCGGTGAAGCTCACCGTGAAGTGCCCTGACCGCCTTGACGGCAGAAAATGAGACCCACTAAATTTTCGTCGACCCCATGCCCGAATTGCATTTTCCAGTGCATGCGACACGGCGAAGATTTGCAACATTCTGCAATCATCAATTCAACACCGTAGTCATGTCTTCGAAATCGAGCAAAAATGGCAAAATTGCCGACTCTCGGTTCTCGAACTTCGAGACCGACCCCCGCTTCCGCCTCCCTTCCAAGAAGCAGACCAAGACGACAATCGATAAGCGATTCTCGCGCATGCTGAAGGACGATTCCTTCACATCCACCGCAAAGGTCGACCGTTACGGCAGAAAAGTCAAGTCTGACACCAAGAAGAAGGCCTTGCAGCGACTCTATGAGCCAGAGGATGGTGAAGAAGAAGGTGACGAGGAACAGGAGGAGGGCATGGAGGTCGAGGCCGACGACATTGTTGAGCGCGAGCTGGCAAAGGCCGACGCCAAGTACGACCCTGCGCGCGGTGGCGGTTTCTCGGAGTCAGAGTCGGAGTCAGAATCTGAAGATGACGACGAGTCGGACGAAGAGACCGCAGCTGTGGCCGACCCTAAGGCGTCCATGTCTCGCCTGCACGACGAGCAGGCCGAGGTTGAGGACGGCGAGGTCACGAACCGGATAGCAATCGTCAACCTCGATTGGGACAACATCAAGTCAGCCGATCTGTTTGCGCTCTTCACCAGCTTTCTGCCCTCGACCGGCGGCCGCATCGAAAAGGTCTCTGTCTACCCTAGCGAGTTCGGCAAGGAGCGCATGCAGCGCGAGGAGCTGGAGGGCCCCCCAAGGAGATCTTCAAGAAGTCTGACGACTCCGACGAGGATAGCGAGGACAGCGAAGCGGAGGAAGAAGCGATCAAGAAGGAGCTGCTGGAGGAGGGCGACGCGGAGGACTTTGACCATGATGCGCTGCGCAAGTACCAGCTCGACCGGCTGCGGTACTTCTACGCCGTCATGACCGTCTCCGACAAGACGACGGCACAGAAGCTTTACGAGGCCACCGACGGCACGGAGTACCAGTCATCATCCAACTTCCTCGACTTGCGTTTCATCCCCGACGACGTTACCTTCGACGACGAGCCCAGAGACGAGTGCGATAAGATGCCGGAGGGATACAAGCCTGTCGAGTTCATCACCGACGCTCTGCAGCACTCCAAGGTGAAGCTCACTTGGGACGTCAACCCCGACGACGCTGCGCGCAAGGCTTCCATCAACCGCGCCTTCACCGGTAGCCGCTCGCAGCTTGAGGAGAACGACCTCAAGGCATACCTGGCCAGCGACAGCGAGGATGACGGCGATTCTTTTGCGGGTTTCGACGACGAGGAGAAGGAAGAGGAGGAAGCGGCAGCTGCCGAGCCCAAGCTCTCCAAGAAGGAACTCGCCCGCCGGAAGATGAGAGAGGCCCTGGGACTGGGCGCCGAGGAGGAGAAGAAGTCTAAAGACGGCCCCGTCGGCGAGATGGAGATCACGTTCACACCCGCTTTGACGGAAAGCAAGAAGGACAGGAAGTCTGAGGAGGAGGAGACGACGATTGAGAAGTACAAGCGCAAGGAACGCGAGCGCAAGGAGAAGAAGCGCGAGGCCGCTCGCGCTAGACGCGAGGGCGGCGTCGCAGCCACCACCAAAGAGGCCGCCGAGTCTGCAGAGGAGGAGATCGGCGACGCGGGAGAAGACCTCGGCTTCGACGACCCCTTCTTCACGACCGACGAGCCGGCGGCGGCGGCCACCAAGACCAAGACGTCGATCCGTAAGGAGGAGCGTCTTGCGAAGCGCGCGGCGCGCGAGGCCGAGGAGAAGGAGAAGGCGGAGCAGAAGGCGCAGCTTCAGCTCCTGATGGCGGACGAGAACGACAACGAGCAGGCGGAGCATCTGGACCACTTCGACATGAATGAGATCTTGAAGGCGGAGAAGCTCAAGAAGAAGAAGGGTAAGGCAGCCAAGAAGCTGGCTGCGAAGAAGGCTGCCGCCGCAGACGGCGACGAAAAGGTCGGGCTGCAGCAGGACTTCAAGATGGACGTCGACGACGACCGTTTCAAGGCCGTGTTCGAGAGCCACGAGTACGCCATCGACCCGTCAAACCCCAAGTTCAAGGGCACCGAGGCGATGCAGAAGCTGCTCGAGGAGGGACGCAAGAAGAGGAAGGCCGGCGGAGACGGGGACGACGAGCCGCCCGCCGAGAGGGACGGCAAGAAGGCGAAGAAGTCCAAGGGGGAGAAGAAGGCCGAGGACGATGAGCTGAGCAGGCTCGTCGCGTCGGTGAAGAAGAAGGCCGGCAGCAAGGCTGGGAAGAAATAGGTGTTTTGCTTGAATTTCCTTCTGTTTGAGGCGCATGGTCATACCCTAGACGGAGGGCAAAAGTTTTTGCAAATGTACAAAGCACGGTCATAAATGCGGGAAGATGAGTATCAAAGGGGGTGGTTCATCTTTTGTGATTACTGTTGTGACTTGCTTCCTAGGGGTATCTCATGCTCATAAAAGAATCTGTTCCTGACCTCATAAGCCGGGCATTCTGTTGCCCGCCGCCCCCCAGCTCTCATCCATCGTGCCTATCCACCAAACCATCATGTATTGTGTGGCCACCTTCCATCACCTGAGCTTTCCTCCATAAGCAGCTTTCCACTTGCGAGACGGGTCTGATGATTGAATATGGCTGGGTATCAAGATGAGGCCGGCGGTAGACCGCGAAGGCGAAGCCGACAAAGCCCAACTCCCGCATCTTTCAGAGCGTGTGGTCTACCGGGGGCATCCGGGTGTCTCGTTGTGGCTGATGTTTCTCGGCTGTGTCCTCGTCGTTGTTGAGGGGGTTGAAGCGGCCGGTGTCCGGGTCCCAATCCAGTTGCTCTTCGTGAGACCAGCCAACGATCTTTGCTAGGACGGCGAGCTCAACGAGTATGCCGACTGAGAGGGCCACGGCGACGACTTTCAGGATCGGTTGTGGTATATCCATGGTGAGCAGGCCTTGGAGGGTTGCGGGGGGGTCGAATAGTGTCGGGACTTTGTAGGAGAAGGTACACAAAAGTCAGGAGTAGGCATTCTGGAGAGGAAAATGTCCGAGTATTCAAGACGTGAAGGCTCATAGACGGCTTGTCGCTCAAAGACAATGTCGTCGTCCGTCTCATGATGCGATGCAAACAGTCGAGGGAAACCAACCGAAAAGAACAGTCAAACGTTCAATGCACAATAGCAGACACGAAAAAGAGACTTATTGGATGCAATGGGGGAATCTTGTTCTAGTTTTTTGGCGATTCGTCAGACCAATGCTACCTTAACTTTTGTTCATCATTGACCATAAAGACATTAGAAATGCTTTTGTTTTCTTTTCCTTTACCGCACAACGGCGTCCTTCAGGCTGGGAACAGTGCAGACACCGCCAGACTTGGTCACCAGCTTGCCTACACCCTGCTTGCCGAGCGCCTCGACGACTCCGGCGTCAAAGGCAACGGCGAGGTCGTCGGTGGTGGTGAAGCCGGGCTGGAAGGTCTCCCAGATCTTCTTCTTGGGGTTCAAAACGCCCTCGGGCTCGCCCTCCCAGCCCTGGAAGTAGACCCTCTCGCCGGCCTTTGCGTCGGCGGGGGGCGTGACGAGCTCGACGGGGCCCTTGTGGTCGTCGACCTCGCCCTCCTTGAGCTTGGGGGAGGCGGCGAGGACCATGGCGCACGACTTGATGCCGCGCATCTTGACGGGCTTGAGGTTGCAGACGACGACGACCTTGCGGCCCTGCATGGACTCGAGGGGCACGAGGCCGTTGAGGCCGGAGCAGACGGTGCGGCAGACCTGGCCCTCGTACTCGGTGGTGTCGTCGTTGGGCTCGTCGCCGACGGCAATGGTGGAGACGTAGAGCGAGTCAGCCTCGGGGTGCTTGATGGCCTTGAGGATGTGGCCGACGCGGAGGTCGATGAGGGCCGGGGACAGGGGCGCGGCGGGGCAGCGGCCTTTTGGGGCTTGGGGGCCTTCTCCTTCTTCTCCTTCTTGGGCTTCGCGTCGCCACCGGTGACAGCGGCCTTCACTTTGTCCTTGGCCTCGGTGACGGCCTCCTTGACCTTCTCGCCGGCGCTCTTGTCCTTGCTGTCCTTGGTGCGGTCGGGGAGGGCAGCCTTGTCACCACCGGCGGCGGCGGCGGCGGCGGCCTTCTCCTTCTTGAGGCGCTCCTTCTCGGCCTTGGCGTCGACGGGGGGCTTCACGTAGAGGACCTCGTCAAGGTCGACCTTGACCTTGTCCTCGGGCTTCACATCGGCGGCGAAGGCGGGGTAGTTCTGGACAAAGTCAAGGTGGCGGACGATGTTGGGGTAGCCCTTCTCGCCGGTGCGCTGCTCGGGGGACCAGCTGGCGACGAGGGGGCGGACGGCGGAGTAGAGGGCGGTGTCGGCCTTGCTGGGCTTGGTGCCGAGGAGGGTAGTGCGGGTGCTCAGGTGGGAGTTGAGGGTGTCGAGGATCGGGGAGGCATCGTCACCGGAGCCGGCCTGCTGCAGGCGGGTGGCGGTGGTGAGCCACTGCTGGATCTCGGTCTCCTCGTTAGGAGTGTAGGTGGTGTTGGAGGCCATTCTTGCGAGTCGAAACGGGGAGACGTTGCGGGAGCTGGGTCGGATGGCGCGCAGAGAGGAGAGCATCGGTGGTGAGTCTGAGATGGAAATTTTGCCAGTGTGGCTCTGCGGGGTAGTGGTAGCAACAGGACGCCCAGGAGGACTGCCCCTCCACACGCCAATTCGAATTGAGTGCCTCAGGCAGTATGCAAATGGTGACCGGACCGGGTTCACGGTGTACCCTCGGTGAGTGGGTTCGTCCCATCGATTGTTTCCTTAGGTGCACACTTCGTTGCCATGCAATTGTTCGTTCACATCGCATTTTAGCTTTCATTTCATTCCGAGTACCGAGAGCCGTTGCGTAGACTGCTCCTTTGGTCATTCTATCTGAGAGCCTACTGCGTGGTTGCCCTTCGCTACCGTTGCTAAACTGACAATCAATAAACCTTGCGTCACACTGGATGCAATCTTCGTATTGACAGAGGGCATGATTGCTGTTAGGTACTTGGGCTTCTGCAATTGTCAAGGGTGCAAATTGCAGATTGCGACGCTGGGGCCTCCCGATCTCTTCTCGATCGCCGACTCTTCTCAATGACGACGGGGTGCCTGAACGACAAGAAAGAAAAAAGAAAAAAGACCGGGACCTAAATTGAAAACGACACGAACCCACGTGACTGCGCCTTTCCGTTTCTTCCTTTCGCGTCGCGCCCCCTGCCTTTTTTTGCCCCGCGGATCGCGCCCCTGGGACAGCTAAAGCCTGTCTGTTCCTGCCTCTCTTCCCTTGCACCTATACACTTTAGCTTTTCCCTCCAACTCTTATTTTCTGTGGAGGCAAGCCTCGAATTCCAACCCTCAGCTCTGTATCACGATAACATACTCTATTTTACCTTTCTCTTTCCTCAATTGCATCATTTTTTACATTTCAGATACGAACGGGCACAGACCAAAGCACTTGAATTTAGCGTGCTGGTGGCAATACCATCATCGATTTTCAGCACGTTCGCTGCTCTCTCTTCGCCCTGGGCTCTTCTAGACGGACAACCGGTTTCCGTGCCACACAGTTCGCACACTCCAACCCAGACTCGCCGTACGTGAATACTGGATTTCAACATGGATTCATCTGCTACCTCGGAGGTGGAGTCGGTCATGTCCACCAACCGGCGTCTTGACACGAGCGCCCCCTCCTCACCTCCCCGGGACGATAGCGTTGAGCCCATCGATGCCGAGTTCAAGAGCATTATGGAAGAGGAGGCCAAAGCTCGTGCTGCCAATGAGAAGAAGACCAAGGCGGCCAAAAAGGCACAGAACGCCAAGAACCGCCGCAAGAAGAAGAATGAGCTGAGCAAAGAAGAGCGGCAGAGGAGGGCCAGAGAGTTGGAAGGCTTGTTAGCAAGATCTGCGGCTTTCAGTGACATGCTCGTTACGAAAACTCAGGCCTTGGGTCGAGTCGGAACCAGTCTGGAGGGTGAAACTCTTGGAGACCACAAACTGGCCATGGCATCTCAGCCCAAGCTCATGACCGGCGGCGAGATGCGTGACTATCAGCTGGAGGGTCTCACCTGGATGGCAGAGATCTGCATCCAAGGCTTGTCCGGCATCCTCGCGGATGAAATGGGTCTCGGTAAGTGTCTCAACTTACCCAATTTGCACGAGAACGTGGCCATTCGGGACACCTCAAAGCCCGCCCCAGGTTCAGCCAACTGACTTTCCCTCCAGGCAAAACCGTACAAACAATCTCCCTTATTGCTCATACCAGAGAGCAAAACTACTTGGGCCCTCACCTGATTGTTGCACCCCTCAGTACTCTATCCAACTGGATGGACGAATTCGAAAAGTGGTGTCCTGAAATCCCCGTTGTGCTGTTCCATGGCGATGCCAAACAGCGGGCCAAGATCAAGAGGGAACAACTCGACCCGAACATTAAGAATGGAATGCCCACGAAGAAGTTCCCGGTGGTCTGCACCTCATATGAGATGGTTCTCAGAGAAAGAGCTACCTTGGCAAAGTTCCAGTGGGCCTTCATTATTATTGTAAGAGACTTCCTTTACATAGTGTTTTCCGGCGTCTGTGTGCTGACCGTTTCCAGGACGAGGGCCATCGTATGAAGAACTTCGAATCCAAGCTGTTCCAGGAGCTTGAGAACTTCACCTCTGCGACCCGGCTGCTCATCACGGGCACACCGCTTCAAAACAACCTCCGCGAGCTTTGGGCTCTCCTTCATTTCCTCATGCCCGGCATCTTCAAAGACTGGGAGGCTTTCGAAGAGTGGTTCAATTTCGATGATTTGCAGGATGAGGAGGGCACCGAGGAGTTTATCGCAGACCGCGAGAACCAAGAGTTGATCAAAAAGATCCACGTCATCCTCCAGCCTCTTCTTCTCCGTCGAGTCAAGGCGGATGTCGCCGCCCACCTCCCCAAGAAGCGCGAGTACATCCTCTTCGCCCCGATGACCAAGGAACAAACAGACATCTACAACGCCATCAATGACAAGAACGTTGACACTCGCGCATACCTGGAGAACAAGGTCGTTGAGCGGCTTACTTCGACCATCGGTGCCCCTACCAAGACGGAAGTGGCTGCGGTTAAGGAGATGGACATCCCAATTCGAAGTAGCCCTAGAAAGGCAACCTCGAAGGCGGCTCCCGAGCCCAAGAAGGCCAACGCCTTCTCAGCCATGATGAACCGAGCTCGAAGTTCGTCTAGCAAGACCGAAAACACTGTAAAGACTACATCCAAAACCCCGTCCAAGGCGTCATCTCGCGCGAGGTCCAAGCGGAAAGAGGCACCTATCCTTGAGACTCCACAGGCGAAGAGTGCCAAGTCATCTCGTCAGTCGACCCCTTCAACCACTACCCGAGGCCGGGTCACTCGTGGGAGGCGCCGTTATGTCGATTCCGATCCTGATGACGAGGACAAGCTTTCCGACGACGAGTTCGAAGCAAAATTGGCGAGGGAGGCCGAGGACGACGACAAGGAGGATGACACAATCGTCATGTCTGCTGAAGAACAGCACCGAGTCAAGATTCTCGAGCAAGCTAAGAAGGAAATGAGCGCCAAGAAGCTTGGCAACCCCGACATGCAACTCCGTCTTGTGTGCAACAGCCCGCACAATTTCTTCGATCCCTGGAGCTATGAGGGCAGTCCTCCGGTCGACGAGAGTATCGTCACCTCGTCCGGCAAGATGCTCATGCTCGACCGGCTCTTGCCAGTCTTGTTCACCAAGGGCCACAAGGTGCTGATATTCAGTCAGTTCAAGACTCAGCTCGACATTCTCCAGGACTATTGTGAGCTGCGGAAGTGGAATGCTTGCCGCCTCGATGGGTCCGTTTCCCAGGAGAGTCGCCGTGATCAGATCAAGGAATTTAATGAAAACCCCGCCTTCAAGATTTTCTTGCTCTCTACGCGCGCCGGTGGCCAGGGCATCAACCTCGCCAGCGCCGATACCGTCATTCTCTTTGACAGCGATTGGAATCCTCAGCAGGATCTTCAGGCTCAGGACCGCTGCCACCGCATTGGCCAGAACCGGCCCGTCATTGTCTATCGCCTCGCGACCAAGGGTACTGTCGAGGAGGAGCTACTCCTGAGCGCTGACGCTAAACGTCGCTTGGAAAAGCTGATCATCAAGAAGGGCTCGTTCAAAACGATGGGCCAGAAGGTGAACCTCAAGGAGGACCTTGACAAGGAGACTCTCAAGTCTCTATTGTTGAAGGATGGCCAGATCTTCAAGCAGTCGGGTGAACACGAGATTCTCAGCGACAAGGATCTGGAAGTGCTTTGTGACAGGTAAGGATTACATCGGGACTGTATTTTATTCTAGATGACGACTAACCATATCTCACAGGAGCGACGAGGCTTACTCTCAAGCTGCCCAAGGCACTGCTAACGCCGACGGATACAAGGTTATCGAGACCACCTCCGGTGGCATTACTATCGCCGGCCAGGACGCTGCCTAATGTAGTACGACTCAGCTTGGGGCTGCTTGTCCTCGACAAAGATGCCAACTTCTCTGAGGGTCCACATGACTGGCTGTGTTGACCCTATCTTGCGTGAGTATCCAGTATGCCTGCAGGCTTTCTAAACTTTCCGTGACCTTGGCGGATTGTCTTGGGGTACCACCATGTAGCCACGATGGCTCAGCTGGCTTGGTGAATCGCCATTTATGGTAAGGGAATGATGATTGGAGCCTGTGGGAGGCCCAATCTGGGGCTGGGAGGAGTGCGAATAGATGTTGCTTATAAGGGCCCAATCGCGGCCCTGGCTTACTTTTGAGAATGGCGGACTATAAGACGGTCTTTGGACAAAACGTCTGGTAGAGGAAGGATGCTTACTTTGTGGAAAGCTACCATTACCCTCTTGTACTATGTACTTCGGATTGGCTTCGGATTGGCGTTCGATACCCGGGAACATATTTGCACAGCATAGCTAGATAGCTGCCAATGAGATTAATCATTCATGAACGCTGCTTGCCATCGAGTGTGATCGCGGCTACAATTCCGCGCGACATAGGTCCAAGTCGGAAACCGAAGCTAGGGAACATGGCCAAGTAGGGGGTTCTACAGGGATCACCCTACCCTCGATACGTTGTGCTTAACCTACATCCGAACCCCATATGTTCACTTGTCACTTCAAGCGCCAAACGCGATGGTGAACATGTTTGCAACGAAGATCATGGGCATGTGACTGGGCCATCTCCGTGCGTGATATCCACGACCTCCCAGAGACCAATGCCCTCCCAAAACCCCCTTTCCGCGACGATGGCTTCCACCCACCGGCCGGTATCAAACATGGCATCCCCGACAAACATCAGTGTCTGCGCAGTTAAGTGAATAGCAAGGCACTACAGATATGGCCTGTAGAGATCGACAATCATGGTGTAGAGCATGCTCATACAAGCAGCGATGACGAAGGCAGTGACCAGCTGCATGAAAGCCCACTCGGTCCTGAGAAGTTTCCGATCAATCCTGTCTACTATTCTCTCCGGGAGGCGCTCGAGCCAGCCATGCAGCGCAGCGAGGCTCCTCTGCGCCGCGGCCGCGGGGTCGTGAGGGATGCCCTTGCACGCCTTCCACACAAAGCGCGAGGTGCTTTCGACCAGCCGGCGGAGAAGACCAAACACGAATGAGATGACGAGGTTGATCGCCAGACTCACCAGCAGTGGCATATGTAGTAGACCGATGGCGAAGCCATACAAATGGGCGAGGCTATCGAGAAACGCGTTGTCTGCGTTGACGACCCAGCAGACCCAGATGGGGCCCACGAAGTTCGGCAGAAGGAAGCAGCCGCCGAGATAGCCCCTGACGAGGATTTGGTTACAGGTGCCTAGGCTTCTGAACAGGTCAGCAACGTTGCGGATTTCTTGGGGCCTGTGCTGTAGGCGCGTGGTCTTGACTACGGCTTTGAGCCAGGTGGTGAGGTAGATGAAGGCGGCGCCGAAGATGTGGTAGGCCGCGCAAAGGTCTGCGTGGTAGAATAGCCCCTCGAGGGGCCGGACGAACACGTCTAGCAAATAGGAGAGGATGGCAGGGGTTCCGTTGTGAATGACCATGGCTGTTGGCCGGGGCTCTGGCTTGCTGGCGCGGAACGGATATCTTCAGCCTGCGGAACGGTTAGCAATGGGATTACGGAGGTCAGCCTGGTGGAAGTTCAGGTGGTTTTTTGGGAGCAAGGTATGAGGATTCACGCTTTCGGGGTTGTGGAAAGCTGCAGGTATATGAGATGTAAGTCAACAAAGCAGACGGCGGGTGCTATTCTCGATTTTCTTCCGTGTTCGGCGCTGGCACTGCCTGGTCGCCTAACAAAGCATTTTGGTTCGCGAAAACTCATTGCCCTTGATGGAACTTTTAATGAGTCCTGGAATTTCAGTACAAGAAAGCCCTTGACGAGATTTGTATGTCGACATATTCAAAAGATTGTTAGGTTAGGCCAAATACCAAGTCGTCATGATGCAAGGGAGTGGGTGTCGGAGTTTAGGGTGCGGGTGCAGCCGTTGCGGCCGATGCGGCCGCATTGACCGCATTGACCGCATCAACCGCATCGGCGCAACTCTCGCATCCCGGAGTTAACCTTACTTTACCGCAGGTGTCAGCAACTTGCTTCTCAGTAACATGGATCAGCTGTGCTTCTTGGAGAAAAGAGTTAAAATTTTTGAAGGCTTACTCCACAGTCATTGCATTCCGGACACGCATGACACGCATGACGAGGCCCTCTTTGACTCGATCTCGGGGTCCATCTGCAAGCCGCTAGTTGTGGTTATGTAATCCAAACACCGTCCATGCAAGATACCAGTTTGGAATCAAACCTATGGAGTTTATCACGCGGCTCAATGATAGTATCGGTATGGGTTTTAGCCTTCTAAGAATGAACGCCTTGCTATCTCCAGTGACTCCAGAAAAGAAAACCCCACTAGACATAGCTTCGAAGTATATAACCTTTGGCCATCCTCTGCAAAAAGAGACTGTCAGGCAAGAAGCATCGCATCCATCCTTGAACAACACCATCACCAAGCACCACACTACAACGCACGAACGACATGTCACCTCCGGCAAACCTTCCCGTCCGCCGCTTGGGCAAAACCGGCCCTGAGATCACAGCCCTCGGTCTTGGGTTGATGGGCCTCAGCATCGCCTACGGCGATGGAGGGTTTGGCTTTCACTCACTTCCCAACGGATCGTCCTAGCTAACGAGCAAACTAGATCCGACGAAGAACGCCTCGCATTCCTTGACCACGCATGGGAGATTGGCGCGACGAACTGGGACACGTCCGACCTCTACGGGGACAACGAGGACCTGCTCGGCAAGTGGTTCAAGCTGCACCCGGAGCGCCGCGCCGACATCTTCTTGGCCAGCAAATTTGCCCTGCGCGGGGAGGTCAAGGATGATGGGTCTTTCGGTTTCAGAGTCGACAGTTCGCCCGAGTATTGCCGTGAAGCGTGTGAGCGTAGTTTGAAAAGATTGGGAGTTGAGAGCATCGACTTGTACTACGTCCACCGCCTGGATGAGAAGACTCCCATTGAGAAGACGATTGAGGAAATGGTCAAGCTGAAGAAGTAAGTTTGAAAAAACAACGTGCCCCTCTCAGTAGAATTCGAAGTACGGACTGTTAATATTGTAAAAGCGAGGGCAAGATCAAGTATTTGGGCATCTCCGAATGCTCCTCCGCCAGTCTTCGCCGTGCCCACGCGGTCCACCCCATCTCGGCCGTGCAGGTCGAGTATAACCCCTGGTCCCTCGAGATTGAAGGCCCCGCAGGCACGAACCTCTTGCAGACTTGCCGCGAGCTCGGCGTCACAGTCTTTGCTTACTCGCCGCTCGGCCGCGGCATCATGACGGGGCGGTACAAGTCTATCGATGACTTTGATCCCTCCGACTACCGCCGGCAGATCTCTCGGTACATGGGCGATAACTTCCGCAAGAACACGGAGCTCGTGGACAAGTTTGCCCAAATGGGCAAAGAGAGGTACGGCTGCTCTGCGGGACAGCTCACGCTTGCTTGGTTGCTGGCGCAAGGCGAGGATGTGATTCCGATCCCGGGGACGAAGAAGATCAATTACCTCGAGGAGAACATGGGGGCATTGAATATTAAGCTGGGAGAGAAGGACGAGAGGGACTTGAGGAAGTTGGTTGATGAGGCAGACGTGCATGGCGATCGGCTTCCAGCGTTTGGAAATTACTCTGATTCGCCAGCATTGTAATCGATTGTACTTAATGATGGATGTGAGATGGTATTAGAAATGCATAGGAGGGGAAGCTCGGAGCGGGTCACCGCCCGGACTTGACTTCCGAGGTTCCGGAACCTGGGGAACTTGGGGAAAGTGTACCAACCTCAACTGGATACTGCGCGTGGGCGCGGCTGCTATGTAGTAATCCAAATTTTGTGGTACTGTAACTTTCCTCGGAAAGCAAGGCCGAATGTCGGAGATCGGAGTGGGGCCCCGCCGTGATAAGCTGCCGGCCCGTATGCGGAGATAAGTTGGCTGATATGATAATAGTTTAACAACTGTCCCGGATCCAGACTTCCTTTCAGACGTCTCCAGAAACACATCTAACATCCTCCCATACAGTAAATTCCCGACTCGTGATCTTTTTATTGCTCAGCAATTCCAACATCTGGTCTGGATCTTGGAATTGAGACTATAGCACATCTGTGAACTTACGCCGTCAGACGCAGTACATCTATCCGCCATTGAGCACTCAGTCTTGGAGCCATTTCTGCCCAATTAAAAATGACTATCGTCTACAAAACTGGCGAGGACGCCCGCCTGGCCTTCCGATCCGGTGCCTTTACCTCAACAACATCCGGCCAGGCCCCGACCTACCTCCAAGCGAACTTGATCATCCTCCCGCAACGATACGCCAACGACTTCCGCCTCCTTTGCCAGCGGAACCCTGTGCCATGTCCATTACTCGCCGAATCAGCGAGCCCGGGTGACTTCAAGAAACTCAAATCCTACGTCCAGAGTCATGATGGCAGCAAAGTCCTGCCGGTGGCAGAGAACATTGATTTGCGACACGACTTTCCTCGTTTCCGAGTCTACGAAGACAGCAAGCATGTACATGTCAATGGTGTCTCGGAGCCCGTCAATGTAGAGGACAAATGGTTGGATGGAGACCATGTGGGCTTCCTCATAGGATGCTCGTTCAGCTTCGAGAGGGCCCTTAGCGAGGCCGGGCTTACGCCGCGGCACCAATTACACAACCGCTCTGTGGCCATATATCGGACCAACATACCACTATGTGCGGCGGGAGTTTTCAAGGGAGCCACTTACGTTGTGTCGATGAGACCCTACAAGCTTTCTGAGGTTGAGAGAGTGCGAAACATCACCAGACCCTTCGTTGTAACCCACGGCGAGCCAGTTGCGTGGGGCTGGGATGGCGCTGAAAGAATCGGCATCAATGACATCACGAAGCCAGACTGGGGCGATGTGACTTTCCAGATTGATGGGAAGAGTGTATTTGGGCCGGACGATGAGGAGTACGTGCCGGTGTTCTGGGGCTGCGGTGTGACGCCGCAAGAGGCTGTGATGCGGGCTGACCTAAAGGGAACGGTAATGGGACATGCGCCAGGGCACATGACTGTTTTGGATGTCAGAGAGGAAGAGATCTTCCCGGCGCTGTAACTTGGAGGCTTGGGCTTGGAACGAGATGCCAGAAGAGAACGAGTTTCGGTAGTCGGGCTGTCGAGCTTGTTTACGGTGACCCTCAAACGGCAGGGGGATCTAATCGCTCTGGCCTCCATTTTGTCCCTTTTTGGTGCCAGTTGTTGGAATTTAATTGGAGACGATTATTTCAAATGAATGGGCAGAGATTTTGGGACCTTTAGGATTATCACTGGGAGTCAGATGGCCTTCAGCATCCCAGTCAAGGTTGACTACAGATTCCAGATTTGCAACAGTGAATACGCAAATCCCCAGCGTTTTCCACAGCCTTTGGTTTTGTTGAAATAATGAAAAGGTAACGAGGCTAACACAATTCATTTCTCTTTGACAAACAATGTTCTTGCATCCATATTTGAGGAGCCCTTGTCTCCTCCGTACCATTTCTGGAAGAGAATAACCGTCAAAGGACAAGCTTGGGCAATTGAAACGCACCTAATGAACATGAATAACAAAACAATCGATTCTTAACTGGCTTTAGGTATGTTACTGCCATCAAAGAAGGCAATAGAGAGGATGGTGCTGGAGTTTCCTTCGCGAAAGCAGGAACAGAATATAAAAAGGTGCGATTAGAGTCGTTCGCGACTTTTGGATAACAAGCACGCAGCCAAAGTTGACAACTTGCCAGCACGAATAGACTGATCCAACATCTCGAACCCACTCCAAGAGCCCAGAAGCAAACCTCAAAATCTTCATCTTTAACGTTTCGTGACCTCGCCCATCTCCGAGATACCGTTTCAACCTCGCGCCCGAAGCATGTCAGCGCAGGAAGGTTCTGGATCGGGGGGTGGAAACGGTGGTGGTAAGAAAGGCGGCGGGAAAAAGACCCCGCAGTGGAAGATCAAATATGAACCCAGGCAGACGCGGACCCAAGCTCGTAGGCCAGGTGGCCAACCACTTGTTGCTTTGGACATGATGACTGGAAGGCAGACAAGTGCACCACATCGAGTAAACCGGAGGGCGACGCCGCCACAAGCAAGCCCACAGCGGCCGCAACCGCAACCACCACCACCGCAACCACCACCACCTCCTCCTCCTCCTCCGCCGCCGCCGCCGACACCACCTCCCCCTCCTCCAGCCGTGGTAGATGACCACGATAATAAGAGCGATGAGGGTAGTGAGAAAGACGAGGGAAACGAGAGCAATAGGGGAAACGAAAGCAATGCCAGCAATGAGACAGACGATAGCAATGAGAGTAATAAAGGGGATGAGAGCGATGAAGATATCAAGAGCGATGAGGGCAGTGATAATGACAACGGAAACAGGAGTGATGAGGAGAACGAAAGCAATGCTAGCAATGGCAGAGGTGAAGGAAACGAGAGCAACAAAGAGGGTGAGCGCGATGAAGACATCAAGAGCGATGAGGAAGATGGGAACCCAGGTAATGCCGGCGCGGAGAACAACCCCGGTACTGAGAGCAGTCCGGATTCCGACAGCGGTGTTGATCCTAGCCAGGGTAATGATTCAGAAAATGACGGCGATCCCAACGGAACTTCTGATCAGGAAGGAAACCAAGATCAGACAAATAGCGGTTCATTACTAATGGCCCGAACACCTGGATTTTCTAACAGCGTTCCCGCCTCGCTCAGTGACTCTACATCGACCGAACCCTTTCCTCCATACGAAGAGCCTTCTCCATCGACCTACCTAAACACTAGTCCACAGAGAGGTCAGGGAAGCTCCCAAGATAACTATGAATCTAGCCTGGAAGAAGACGAAGGGAACGAGGATGAAGGGGATGAACACCAAGACGAGGACGAGGAAGAGGAGCAAGGAGAGGTAGACGGTGGGAGAAAGCAAAAGAAGAATCAGAAAAAGAAAATGAAGAAGAAGAGAAGAAGGCGGCGGCGGAGGAGGGGGATGAGGAGGAAGAGGAGGAGGGGGAAGAACTGAGAAGCCCTGGCCCCCATCCGGGAGGCCGATCACCAAGTTCCTCACCTGGTCCGTCTACATCAAACCTGTGGGCTCCTATCGGGAACATGCTAGGTGGCAGGGGAGCCGGACGTTTTGGAGCCGCAGGTGGGCAAAACCACGGCCCCGGAACAGGCGGAGGCGGCGCTAGTCGCGGTGTGACCTTCAAGAAGATTAGCACTATCGGCAAGGCCTTGACAGCTGCAGATCCGGCACCTAGACTGCAGAAGCGACGACTTGAAGAGGAAGCAGACGGATCTCGCCCTACTAGAAAACGTAAAATGGACTCGGCCGAGTCGAAGAGCAACGTGAGTTGCGTTCGTCAAAGCCCTGCGCAAGCCTCTGGGAGTCCCGAGACATCAATATCAGGAAAGAGACGAAGCAGTTCGCTTGACATACAAGAGACACGAGTAAAAAGACCGAGGTTAGAATAGGAACAAGGCGTTTATAGAGGAGATAGAATGACAGTCGACGTAGACTTGGTTGAACTGGATTACGTTTGTAATTGGTATGCTTTGGTATTCGCAAAAATTGGGAGCATCGGGTGGCAACGAGGCCATATGCGGGATCTTCTGCAGCAACACACGTTACCCGGTCCTGACTGTTTTGCATCTGCCCGTCATCGTGCGCCGTTTCCAACAGCAAGACAATCCAGAGAAGACAACATAACTGGTCCTGCTCTGTCCTGGGCTCGACCCAACCGGAAGCGACGAGGGAAACGAGTACGAGTCTCGTATTCATAGCAAATCTTCGCCGCGCGTGAACTGATTGAGCTTGGTTATGTGCCATGTTCCGCCTCTTCCTTCCCAAAACCCGAGGTCCTTTGGGAAACTGTGCTCCCACCAAGCGAGCGCCGTCTTCTGTTTGTGTAAGCGTTTCCAACGCCGGGGTATCATAGCATGTCTTCGTCTTCATCATAGTCGCCGTCGCCACTGCCGCGCTCCTCCTCCTCTTCACGCCTGCTGGCTTCCGCGCTTGCACCGATTTTCCGTACGCCCTCTATGACGCCCAGAAAGAAGCCGCGGCTCTCGGCCAGCTCCATTGCACCCACGCCGCGAAGGCTCATGACTCCGCCAACGCCCTCGGACAGATCCTGCGTGCTCTTGCGCATCTTGGCGGAGCGCACCTCCTGCAGATCTCGTAAGAGAGACCTGACTTCGGAGGACGAGGGTATGTCGTCGGATGCGTGGGCTAGCAACACCTCGGCCAGCTCGAACCAATGGAAGGGTAGCGCGTTCGGGGGGCATCGGCCGTACATGACGGCAAGAACGGTGGTGACAGGGTCTCGTCGTGGCTTGCACCTAATCGGCGCGCATTGCCCATGGCATCGGCGCGTATGGGAGGCGGCGGTGGGGGGGAGAATGCGTCGGGGTCGCGCTTCGTTTCGTGGTGAACGATTTCAGCAAGGGAGTTTGGATGGAGCCATTGTGGAGGCACAATGTTCGCTCGGCGTTGTTTCTTAAGGAGAAGTGCCAGCCAAAGAGGAAGATTGGCACGCGCTGGGGGTCGCAGAGCTGGTGTTACACCCTGTGCAAATATCGACATGCGTTAGCAGACTGCCTGCTTGATAGCGACGCGTCGCCGGGTAGAAAGGAGGGGTGCTCACGCTTAGCAGGTCGATGCTTTCCAACCGTTGGCGCGGAACAACCGTGACCAGTTCCATTTCGCACAGGAAAGAAACCTCTGCGGGTACTAGACCCGATGGTAGCGGTAAAGCCATCTTGTTTCGCTGGGACCTTTCGCAGGGACCTTTCGCAGCAACAAACCTCGTCGAGGTTGGAACCTCGATCCAGTCGCGCCAAGTTTGAGCTGTGCGACCGGGGGATCTCGATCCGTGGGGTTCGCGGGGAATCTGCCGGCCCGCAGACCACGGGGCCCGGAATTGGATTCGACGACACGACAGGGGACGTGGGGACAGGACTAGGTACGTACCTCCTCCGTCACCATGACCCAACTACCATCAATCCTATGTGCCATCAATCATCCGCAAGCCGGGCTCTGACTCCACCAGTAAGACATAGGTACGGTGCCTACAGGGGCCTTTGATCCACTTAAGGACTGCCGACCAGGATCATGGAGAATACATACCTAGTACGATAAATGAGAGATACGATGACATGCGCGCTACGCAAAGCTGGGTGGTAACGAACTAGGTACGGGCATTGAAGCTGGAGACCGGAACGTTGCTCCGTCCGCCATCGGCTGAAAGCTCCATCTACGCTGAGGTTCAAGGAGCCACTTTGGCGTCCAAATATCCACAGGCACACTCCTTCCAACCCAAACCGCAGCAGCGATAAGACGGCAAAATAGAGCGTGGTGCACTGAATTGCTCCTTGACCCATCTGGATTTGGCTGCCATGTTACTGATCAAGCCAAGACGGACAGAGAGACCGGACACGGCTTACAGAGCAAGGGTTTTTATTCTCCAATCGGGGCTCAATCCGGGCCCTCGCGCCAATAGGGGTTCAATCCGGGCCCTCGCGCCAATAGGGAGGGAGGACAGCCAACAGGCGCAATTGAAATTACCGTCCCTCACCCGAAACATTGGGTTTCTTACCTACCCAACTGGGCTGCTGGGTTCTCTGTATCACTTCACCTACCGGGGAAGGGCAACTCATCTGGTCGCAAGATGCAGACCCCTGCCCTATGCCCTCTGTTCATTCCCTAACCCCCCTGGTACCCCCCCTAACCAACCCGCCTAACCTGCCTTGTCCGGTAGGCCCGGCCTGTCTTCCCATCTAGAGTTCAGGCTTGCATTGACACTGACGCATCGTCACTCGCGGCTCCATGAGCCGTCCTGCTTCGACTGTTCAGCCTCCCACCCACGATCTAGATGCCTGTTTCGCTACGGCCGCTGCATGGTTCTAGTCACGTTGATTTTGACATTCCAAGTCGATACCCCCCGATCGATGAGATCCGCTCCACGAGCCATCCTACGTCCAAAGCTTTTGTTCATTCGAGTCACGATGGCGAGTACCTACATATTCCCTGACTCGTCTCTTTGATGCTACGCAGTGAAGACGATGGTTCAGGTTCCGTAAAATAAAAACAGCGACAAGAAAAGAGACACGCCAGATTGTATGGGTGCTATAGTAAGCCACCGAAACCAACCCTCGAGTGTCTCTACGCGTATATACCCCACTGACCTTTGGTCAGCATGTTTCCAATGTTCTCCTACCGAGATTGGCCCATTCTGCTCCGCCTCCTCGGCACATCAGTCATTGCCTTAACTTGGTGCCTGAGCTGTAACGGCAAAGGCGGTGGCCCAGCCACCGTTGTCTTTTGTCAGACGTTGACCGCACTCGGCCGGCGTTTCTCCGCTTGGTCTCATCATCATTCAAGTTTACTTCAAGTTTACTGTTGTTCACCGCACATGGCAGTCAACTCCGTTCAACAGCAATCAGAGCCGGCAGTCCACGAACGAGCCGAGTATCAACACGACCTGTGGAGCATATCTCCATCCAGGCCCAGCCGAGTTTGGACATGACCGTAGGGTTGAGTCGATCATCTACGCCCTGCGCTTCGTGTTCCGCAGCCCCATTTCCGCGTCTTCTTCCAGCCAAACCGCGTTAACAGTCGGTAAATCCGAGGCGGCGGCGCCCACAGAGCCTTCTCGGGCTTTGGCGCCACGCCCACGTCCCCCTCAACAAAGGATATTGCTTGTTCGCCCAATCTATCCCCACCGGCGCTCAAGAGAGGCTCCCCGTCTAGCCTCCGTCAGCTGCTTCAACCTTAATCTGAGCAGATTGCCTGCCCCTGGCATCCCGGGAAACCTCGACTACAGGTATGTCTTCCAACCTGTTAAACTTCAACAAACCATGCAACGGTTGTCGACGACGGAAAGTTCGCTGCGACAAAGCCAAGCCGTGCCTCAACTGTGTTCGTCATGGCATTGCCTGCGTCTACGACCCGCAGAGGGAACCCGGCGTTCCCACGCCCGAAAGCCAGCAGCAGCTTCAGGACAGAGTCGACCGTCTCGAGAGGCTGGTAGAGGAGATGAAGGGCTTGTCCGTACGGTGTGAATCGCAGAAGGGCGCCAGCAGCTCCTTTCCTTCACCAAGTCCAGCAACGAATTACTTTGGCGACTTTCACAATGAAGAGGCGTTGGCGGGCGATCCCGGAATGCAAGTATACGACGAAAACGTCTCCTACTATCTTGGCCCAAACTCCTGGCTCAACCTGCAAGACATCGTCTTTGAACCGCGGTGCCTATTTCAGATCGACTCGGACAAGACTGGCAAGAACCCTGCCAGTCCATCTTCGTGGCCCATCGGAAGAACGCCTGCTTTGACAAATCTTTCCCATCTGCACCTCGAGCCCGAAAAGGAAGATATATTGACAGACTTGTTCCTCGCACATGTCGAGCCTTTCGTCAGGATGAGCCACGACTCTTACTGGCGACAACAAATAACAGACTTTCGAGTCGGCGTTCAAAAGATTCCCGTGGACGTGGAGTTAGCCATGTTCGCAACGCAGGCCATGACAGTGGCGGCCCTGCCAGGAAGCGTTGTTCAAGAGAGACTGGGAGAGCCCAAGGAGGATTTGTTGCGGCACTTGCAGGAGGCATCCCGGTTGGCACTTGAGCGGGCCGATATACTGCGTAGCAGGAAACCCCTTGCGTTCTTCGCCTTGCTTTATCACATTGTTCGTCCCGTCCCCGAGCCGTTCCTCTTCAAAACAGAAGACAATGCATGGCTTGCTAATAAGTACAGCAAATGAAATTCATCCTTGGAGATGGTGAAGTAGCTGTTGCTCTACTTGGTCTGGCCGGTCGATTCGGGACGAGGCTTGGCCTACACAGAGATCCCAGCCATTACAGCTATTCGCCCTGGATAGCGAACATGAGACGTCGAGTATGGAGTCACTTCGAACTGATGGACAACCCATTGTATAACCTCGAAGGCGCCGATTCTGGTCTGCCATTCATTTCCGACGTACAGCCGCCGAAAAATGCGAACGACAGCCAGTGGGTCCCAACCAGATTTGCAAAACCTGGGTCTGCGCCTCTCGATCAAGATGGCATCACGGACATGTCGTTTGCACTTATGCGGCAGCACCTGGTCAGAACAATGCAATCGGTCATTCGAAGGAGAAATGACGCTGGTGTTGACGAGCTGAGTCGAATCGTCGATCAGACGGAAAACTTTATCCAAGCCAAGTTCATCGTACACGCAGACGGTTCCTCTCCATATCATACCCTCATAGTTTCCCATTTTCGTGGGAGCATGAAGAGCATGAGGCTGCTCATTGAAGGTGTCGTGGCCCGGTACAGTGGCGGTCAAGATCCTGAGTTTCGGGCAAGGCAAGTACATTCCCAAATCCCGGGACGTAATAGCAACGATCGCTAACTGTTTGTGCAAGATTCTATCAGGAATGTGTCGAAATCCTCGAGGAGATGGAGCGCGGTGAAACGGTAGCTATTCAGAATCACTGGGGCTGGCTTTACCGGTGGCCGACGACCCCCTGCCTCATTTCGAATATTCTGATCGGGCTCGCTAAGCAGCCGAAACATCCGATAACGGATCGAGCGTGGAGACAGATAAATATTGCGTTTCGAAGGCACAACAATGAAGATATCAGCATGCGCAAATACGCGGCGTGGAGGGTGATCGAGTCGTTGTGCGACCAGGCCATGCTGTACCATAAGCAGAGATCTCACAAGGGAGCATGGTATTCCCAGAGACTGGATCTGGTTCAGACTGCGACGACCGCGCAGAGGAAGTCCTCGATGGCTCTCGAAAATGCGACGGTCGATGACATCTTGGGCGATGTTCAAATGTTTGGCCAAGATGCCTCCCAGCATGGAGTGATTGCAGGCCCCGGCTATTTTGCAGCACAAGAGACTCTTGGAACCATGGGATATCCTGACTGGGGCCAGCAACCCCATCCTCACGGGCAAAGTCAACCACATCCGCATCAATCACCTGAAGATAGCGAAGACATGTGAGCTCGCGTTCCGAATGAAGTGGTAGTAAACAGAGACACCAAGGCCAGGGAAACCGGTGTTTAAGTGGGCAAGAACTGTCACTGAAAGAGTTTCATATTATCTATATGATCCAAAATTCATCTCACTGAGCCAAATCCATCAATGGCCGGCACCACCGGCACACAAATGTGGAGGAGGCCAAGCAGAATATTTCAAGAATCCTGCGTCTCAATGCTTGCTCGGCCTGTGGGTCCGAGTGCGTCCAAACGGCCATCCGTCTGGGGATATGGAAATTAGCCCAAAGTCAAAATTCTGGAGAAAGGAGAAGAGGACTTACATTGACTGGGCGCGTGGACGTCAATGTCCAACTCGTCGGCCCAAGTCCACACCAGGTTGGGATCCTTCAGGAACGCCCTCCCGACAAGCACGGCGTCTGCCTGGCCGTCTGCCAGGACCTCAGCAGCGTCCTTCCCGGTAGCAATGCCGCCGACGGAACCGACGACCGTGCCGGTTCCCTCGACGGCCTGTCGAACAGCGGCGGCTAGGTGCGCCTGGTACTTGGGCGCCATTGTCACTTGCATCCTCGCGTCCTGGCCGCCGCCCGAAACGTCGAGAAAATCGACACCCTTGTCCGCAAGGATCTTGGCGAGCTTTTGAGCTTGGGTAATTTCCCATTGCGGGATGGACGAGTCAAATTCCAGATAGTCAGTACCGGCGAGGCGCACCAGGATGGGGTAGTCGTCAGGGACGTTGGCGCGCGTCAGCTCGGTCAGCTCAATAAGGAGACGGCAACGGTTCTCGAAACTGCCGCCATACTTGTCGGTTCTCTTGTTGGAGGTTGGCGACAGGAAGTTGTTGAGGAGGTAGCCGTGAGCGGCGTGGATCTCGATTGTCTGCAGGACAACTCAGCACTTTGAGAGCATTTGTTTTTTGACGTCAAGATTAGAACTCACGTCATAGCCGACCTTCACTGCGCGCCTAACGGCGTCAACCCACTTGACCTTGAAGGTGTCGATCTCGTCCAATGTCATCTCCTTCGGGACATATGTGTCCTGGCTGTATGCTATGGCAGAAGGTCCATACACTTTGTTCGGCCATCCTCGTGCCTGCGCCAGGTTTATTAGTCTTTTGTGGGCAATCGTCACGAGTGTAAAGACAGTATTTCTACCTTTTCGCCTGCAACCGCCTTGCGGTTTACCCAAGGCGCAACTGTGCTGGCTTTGCGACCAGCATGCCCCATCTGAATACCTATGTGACTGCCCTGGCTGTGGACAAAGTCGATAACCTCCTTTGCAGCCACCAAATGCGAGTCGTCCCAGATCCCTAGGTCCTCAGGGGAGATCCGACCTTCAGGCACCACGGCCTGAACCTCAGTCAGCACCAGGCCGGTGCCGCGGACCGCGAAGCTCTGGAGGTGCGTCTTGTGCCATGCCGTCATGTGCCCGTCGTCCGCGGAATACTGGCACATGGGCGACACGAAGATGCGATTGTGTAGCGTCAGGCCACGCAGCTTGAGCGGAGAGAAGAGGGTTCCCTCTGGTTGAGGGTCCCTCGCCGTCCCGGCCGCTGGGTCCTGAATTGGCGTGAAGTACGGAACCTTTGGTCCGGGCATATGTCAGAAATAGATGCTGAAACCTCCCCGGGGGTTTATTCCACTAGTTTGCGACCGCGCCGCAAGTGAAAATTGGCGGGGAGTCCTTACATTTTCGGCTCCCTCGTTAAACAAGCCTGGGTCTGTAATCTGTAGAGCGCCAGCGACTGGAGCCTGATCTGCGGCCAAGGGAGCTTCGATTTTTGTCATGTTGAACGTTGTAAATGACACTTGGAGGTGGTCAGAGAATAAGTTTAAAACTTGACTGCCGTCTGTGATTTTGTGAAGCACATATTCCGTGTCGGGCTTGACAGAACAGAAGAGGCTTTATATGTACACATATCTTGCCATCTCAAGTCGAATCATCAACAAGTCGGCAGATTTGTTGAGCCGGTCGGCGCTGAGTAAGTGCCGATGGATAAGGCGAACGGATTCAGGTCGGCGCTTCGCTAAAAAATCGGCTCAACATTCGATTGGCTCACTACGACTATCCCGTGTTTGGCGGCTGTCTTCCTTTGCGTATGTGGCACTTTACGATGACTGCTGACTGCATAAGGCGCGCCTATGTGTTACAGCATGGTGCCAGTTTCGTAGTCAATTAGTCAGGATGGCAACAATCAAGGTATGGCATCAGTCGCCAGAGTGTCATCCAAATTGAGACTAGAAGACCTCACGACTTCGGTGCTAACGACAAAGACATTGCAATAACCAAATATCGGGAAAAAACTCAATCGCTACTGTTGTCTGAAGTTATGATTATGTCACGAAGAGATATAAGGCGTTAATTACTGCCCGCAATTAACGGCGTCGTTTTTGCGACAGATTATTAATCCACACATATTGTACTCTACTGGATTTCAGGCAGGCAGATTTGAACCCCTGTCCGAACGCGGTCCAACGTAACCCGCGGGGGCTCGCCGACTTACCGACACGGGCGGATGTGACTCCGGCAAGCTGGCCGTAGTATCCCCATGAGGGTATTCTTTCCGTTGACTCGAGGGGTTTGGATTTTCAATTGACGGGTTTGAAATGAATGGCATTTCGAATTAATAATTAGAAACGTTCTAATCATGCGTCTGTATCTAATACTTATGAATGAAAATCTTCATCGGTTTTTGTTCCTTTTTCCCCAGCTCAAAAACTCAATTAACCACTGGAAGCAGTTGTTGTTGTGCGACACGGCCATGCAATCCAGCATGATTCATAGCCATGGCAGGAAAAGGGGTGTATGTACTTGTCCTCAATGATTCCAGGTACCCACGACACAAAATACAAAACAAGTAGAAGTTAACCCCGCACCTTAACACGCCGCGTTGAAAGACAACAACGGTCGTCATCTTTTTTATTTTTTTTCTTGCAGTTTTCTCTGTGGCCCCGTTTCGGCTTGAGGCTCACACATATAATTATCATCGTGGACTCAGAGGACATAAAGTTAAACTATGTTGAGTTGAACTATTGCTGGGGCTGAGACTAGGCTTTAACATTTACTCGGCTTTCGGGCTTTTGACAGGGCTGCTGAGTGATCTGAACCTCTGCGACCGGCTCTAGGTTAATGCGAGAGTGATGCAAGATGACATATCACACGGTTGTTGTCATCACGCCGTACTAAGCAAAACGTACTAAGGCAGCGGGGGACCGCTCTTACCATCACGAGGTTTAGTTTGATAATAAGGCATACAAAGATCAGCAAGGAATCGAAAACAGGATGACGTTGTGAACATTCGACCACAATATATCTGACGTTGCTGGAAGTTCCATATATACGGGTGCGTGAGTGCACCATTGGTTCCCAACTGGTGGTCTAATCCTCAGAAACGGACTTCCCGAGAACGCTGACGCGTAGATAAGAATTAGGTGCTTTTCGCGTTCGACACCAACTTTTGACTCACGGTTGATGAATGAGGAATGGATTGAATTAATTGAACTACTGGAACGCCGTTCGTACTGTGCAGCTGATATAGCGACGAATTTGTTAGTGTGAGGCTGTCCGCGGCGTTGGGTAAAAACCTCGTAGAGTACTGCAGGTGGGCGTTAACATACCATCAATGCCTTGGACTCTGCATTCATTGCTTAATTTGTTTATCGGACCTTTGCAACATTACCTGGCGCTGGACAGCCTCTCCTAGAGCTCTGCTAAATAAATTTGTCTGTCCCAGGAACCGGCAGCAAGATGACATCCTCTTCTCTGGGCAGTGTTGACAGCATTCAGATCTGGGTGAATGAGCGATGTAAAAATGCAGAGAGCCACTCTATCGAATGTCGGGGGTTCACTCGCCAGAAATGACTTGCGAGTACTCGACGCAGTAACTAACTCTCCTTACCGTCTAAGTGTGCTTATTGAATCATATGTCGCTTGTTAGACTGACATCAGTAAGACCGTCTCAGATTAGGTAGAGTCCTTCTGTTGTCCCCATCAATATCCACCTCGCGCCGCATTTGTCTCCGCATTATTTAATTTTACCGTCAACGTCCAAGGCCAGTCACCTTTTAATCGAGATGGAGTCAGGTGGCGGACGTGGGACTTTATGCCGAGGACTTACACTATTTTGGAAATTCTCTTGCACCCGACGGATAAGCTTCGGATGGATTTTCATCTGCCACCATCTAATTGGCACTTGGAAATGTCAAGTACTAGTCGAATGAGCTCGTCATCATCCCCTGCCTCTGGCGTCTTATCAGTGTTCAAATCCCCGCGATTCTACTTGGATCACCATTGGCCACAACGATCGGAAAGTCCCCGATGGTCCTTAGCACCAAGCCGGGTTCTTCTGCAAGTCGTTCTGGATGAGATGGCCAACACCACGTTTCGCCGAGGTGCAGCAGTTGGACTTTTCTGCATTCGGCTCGCAAGTCCGTGTAGATCAATGCAAGTGGCCATTTCGTGCTATCAGTACATTCCAGTATCTCCGTTGCAAAAGCCGTCACTCCGATGGCGCAACGGTGGCTAGGTACATGGGCCACGATGTCTGGGTGTATATCTTCTGGAACCCCGCTTCAGCTTTCTCAATGTTATACCAGTGTAAGATTGCGTTTCAATCGCGGTATGATCAAACTCTTACAATGGCCGAGCCGGTGTTGCAAGCCTCAAAGAGACCTTCAAGGTCGTTCCGCTCCTTCATCTGGGATACAGATACACATTTAAAGAGTCATGAAGAACGAGTATTACTTCGGAAGCTCGACTGGTCAATTCTTACGATAGGATGTCTGGGGTTCTTCATGAAGTATCTAGATCAGGTGAGCAACGAATTTAAAGTCACAGGTCATATTCCGTTGCGTTAACTGTGATAGGGAAACCTTGCGAATGCCTATGTCTCGGGAATGCAGGAGGATTTGAAGATGTTTGGAAACGAATATACGTACGCTCAGATGGCCTACACGTGCGCGTACGCCGTCATGCAGATCCCTAGTACTCTTATTATACAGAAGATTCGACCAAGTATCTGGTTGGCTGCGATGGAGATCGGCTGGGTGAGTTATACCTCAGATTTGATATTCTCCCTAATTTAAGTCACGGGCCAATACTGACATACTACGTAGGGAGTCTTCACTTTCGCACAGGCTGGAACACATTCCGTGGGACAGCTTTATGCCTTTCGATTCTTTGTAGGCTTTTTCGAAAGCTCCTTTTTCCCGGTCTTGCTCTACGTTCTGGGAAGTTGGTATACCAAGACAGAGCTCGCTAAGAGAGTAGCCATCTTTCACATGACGGCCCCTTTAGGATCTGCTTTCGGGGGTTATCTTCAAGCAGCAATCTATGAAAGTCTTGATGGCGCGCATGGACACGCTGGATGGCGATGGCTGTACATAGTCTGCGGCGTAAGTCTCCTTTGGTTCCAGTGACATGCCTTTCACCCTTCTAAGGCTTCGCAGTGTATGACGATTCCAGTTGGCGTTGCAACCTTCTTTATCCTCCCAGACACGCCATATACCACTAAGTCGAGATTTCTTACTCCCAGGGAGTGCGAGTTGGCCATAGATCGTGTCACAAAAGCCGGAAAGGCAGCACCTGCTGGCGTTACACTCGCAACCTTCAGGCGAGTGCTTCTAAAATGGAGGTGGTACGCTTTTGTCCTGGGCTACGTGGTAAGTTTGCTTTTCATGTGGAAACATTCTTGCAAGGAAGACTAACGGCATGAAGCTTTATGGCGAGTCTTGTCAGGCTAGCGGCTACTTCGGTATTTGGCTGAAGTCCGAAAAGTTCTCGGTCGTTGATAGAAACCTAATTCCCACCGGCTCAAAGCTCATCAGTGCCTTCTGCGTAGTTCTATGGGGATTTCTCTCAGACTACACAGGCAGCCGATTCGCGTTCATTATATGTCCACTGGTAAGGGATTATCTGCCCTATTATCTTCATTTAGCGCTCAGTCTGACGTGAGATTTAGCTTCTGGGACTCGTTCCAAATGGCATACTAGCATTTTGGCCTTCTGGGGTTCAAATCAAATTATTCGCTTTTTTGACAAGCAGTGTGCATCTCATGACTGCCGTCTTGTGAGTTATTACTTCCCTGACTCACAATGGTTCTGAAACACAATTTGGCTCTCGATCACTGACAAGCATACCCTTAGTTATACATGGGCAAACGAGATATGTGCTGGCGATAATGAAGAGCGTGCATTGGTCATCAGCAGCATGAACGGAATGCAATACGCTATTGATGCTTGGCTCCCCCTCGTTATCTTTCCACAGACTATGGCACCAAGCTTCAGTGAGTAGTTTTTCGATATTCTCCTTCAACAATGTTTAATTGGCTAATATCATCACCGTAAAGGATATGGCTTTCCGTCTACTTTTGGCTTCATTATTGCTGCGGTTATTGCGGCCGCAGTGATTCGCCTTTTGATTTGGCGTGAGCAAAAACAGAAATCTGGAGAGCCTGAGACTGCCTTAGAGGCTGGCCCAGTAGAGTATCATCCTGAAGGAACAGACAGTATCGGAGGAAGCGACAAGGCCGACAGAAAGTAGGGACACCGCCTGAGATGTTTGTGACTGTGACCTTGGAGTCATCGATATCTGCGATTGAAATTCGCTTGGCGAAAGATTATTAATAGTCAAACTTTCCAAACATGAACGCGCCACACGTGAATGGAGGATCATTGTTAGATGCCTTACCCGATACTGCAGCACAACTTATGATGACAAGTCGATTTCGCTTCATTCAGTCCTTGTCTCATTTGCTAACCTGGTTCTTCATGATGCGGGTTGTTTTCTACACACACCCAGTAGTCCACTCCCAAAGATATTGAAATTGACACGCAGGCATTGCTCCATTCACAGAATTCTTATCAATTTATGACAAGTCTTGAGCATAACATAGTATCTGCTTGTCTCCACGCCTGTCAAGAGATCTGGAGCGCATAAGACACAACGAAGAAAACTACTGCATTCTTCAGCAAGGCCCCTGTGTGACTTTTCGCCATGTGCGTGGCTTCTTGAACTGACAGATCTTGAGACACCGCAAGAATCAATTTGTTGAGAACACAATGTCTAATCAAATTAGGGAACCAGAATCCAGATAACCACCGCTATTTTCATTGCGATGAGAGTCAAATATTCAAGAGCTAACACGCTAACTCAACAAAGCAAACAACGGCCAAAGAAAACAGTAATAACTGACAAACTCTAGTAGCCTCGTCTAAAACATCGTTCGAAAAGTATGCCCGCATAGGCCCGCCCAGTAATTCGACATGTCCCGAATCCGTTCACAATTCTTTCCAAGTCTAATCCCTCAGAACACCTAATTAAGGCTTCACAGTTCCCTAAGATGGAAGTAGATTGGAACGTGGTAGACGTCACTGTGTGTTTACTTTTGTCAGGGCAACACAGCTTCAGGGCGCAACACACTACCATTGCCTACGCCACTCAGTCATTCTAAGACAATGCCCAGTAAAACTCTAGCCCACGGTCTCATACAGAATCTCTAGGCTAGACTGGAAGTTTGGCTTCATTCACAAGCGGCCAAGACTTTCAGCCCGCCTGCATGATGAGGGTTGGCTTGACTCTGCATGACGTTTTTTCCTGTTTTCGCCTGACTCTCTGACTCAGCCTTCTACTTTTAACACTGACGGGTCTTAGGCAACAAACATCCAGGGCTCGGTAGTGCCGACTTGATCAATGTTGTTGTGCAATCTTCAAACATATCAGACATGAGCACGTCGTGCAGGTGGCCTCTGCATTCATGCCCCCGCCGCTGTGTTCCCTTCCCCCCACTCGATTGAGGTTATTATTGGCTGTGCAAGCGGACCTTGAAGCTTGTAAAACCCCTGGCCCTTGGTTTTGCCTGTGTCGGATTCTGGTGGCCCCGCAGCCGGGAGAGCCGAAATGTGTGTTTCATTACGCTGGAATAAGCTTCGACGGTCGAACACTGATAAAGCTACCGACCCCAATTTCTTTTGGACAGCTCGTGTTTCTCTAGCTGCATCCTTCATCGCAATTTCGGTCAATTCTCACCCTAAACTTGCATCTGCTTGCTGCGGCTACACCAAAGTGCGACTCAGAAAGCACATCACGCATCGAGCTCGAAGACGTTGCGTTCGAACGGCGATCCCCTGCGACACCGAAATATCCCCAGATAAGATAGACCGCGACACGGGGCAGCCAATACGATGGCTTCGCATCGAGGAGTTGTCTCCGCCTCGGCTACGGTCCCGGGCATTTACCGGTTTATTTTCATGACCCTCGAACCCATTTTTGCGTTACTCGGAGCCGTCATGGTCCTCCACACGCCGAACCAGTATCTCGCTGGTATGACGCGTAACGCGATGCCATACGCGCCAAACACGCAATTCCTCTACACACAACTGGGTGGCGGATGGCTCTTCTTCGCTTTCATGGAGGGCGTGGTTCTGCGGCTCTTTGACGATCTGAATCTATGGCGCGTCGTCTGTGCGGGAATGCTTCTGAGCGATGTCGCGTATTGTCACGGCACCGCGCAAGCCGTCGGCGGTTGGGAAATATGGCTGGACAGATCTACGTGGACGGTGGAAGACTACACTGTCTTCTTTACAACAGCTCCCATGGTTCTAGTGCGGATCCTAATTGTGCTTGGAATTGGGATTAGGGTCCCGAAGGAAGCCAATGCTAAGCAGAGAGAGAAACATTCGGAGTGAACAAGGAGTCGATTTGGTCAAATTTGGTTAGAAGCTTGGAATTTATCGAGTCTGATGCAAAAGCCGGGCATCTGTCGAATAGTTGAGGGCGTTTAGCTGAGAACATCAGCCGCTGCGAAGCTCTTGCTAGTTTAGCCTCACGAATCGAACAGTCTTCAAAACTCTTCAATCGTGCGTCTTTGTGTCATAGAACGCAACGTGACGTCACCCTGTTTTGCACGAGATTGTCTGTTAATCAGACGAAGCTCCATCGCATTGACGTTAAAGTCAATGCTCCTCACGAACCTATCGTAGGGATGAGCAAGGTAATGGGGATTTACAGGCTATACCTTAAATCGAGTCATTAGCTTCAGGAATGCTTGTGGAAAACATTGATTCCTTGGGCTTGCCTTCGACCAAAACTACTTCTTCAAATATTCAACGCGCCGAACAATATGGGAAGAAAGTACCATAGCCATATTTGTTTGTTTTTAGGTACAAACCAGCAATCTACGATACACCCCTCCGTCTCTGCATGTCAGCGTTATGGTCTTGCGATCAAACGTATTCATTAGTGACTTGATTGAGACCCAAGGATTCGCGACGTCCCTTGCTGTTGGGGTCCTGATAAGGCGCCTCGCCAATGCCAACAGCTCGGTTTCCAAACCTCTCGCCCTGGCCATCATAGTCAAAGGTTGCTGTGTGAAAGGTGCTACGATTGTCCCAAATGGCTGCAGATCTTGATTAGCATCTTACCACTTACTTTCGGTCCCTATGTCATGCACTTACCGATATCGTTGGCATTTTGCCACTTGAAACGAACCTGAATTTCATGATTCTTCTGCAGTATATCAAGAAACCAGTCAAGCAGGTGTCTGCTCTCCTCAGCAGTGACGCCGTTGATGTGCTTCACATGACCGCCGACGGGAAAGACGCTCTTCCATCCGGTAACAGGGTTGGTTCTTACAACAGGGTGAACAGCCTTGAGGATGCTACCAACGTTTTTTGGGTTGCCGCGGGGTTTGTCATACAAGGTGAACCCGCCACGCTCGGCAGCGGCGGCGAAACCAGGTTGCTCGAATGTGACGGTGAGACTCTCTAGGAATTTCTGGTAAGGCGTGCTGAGGCGGTCATAGATTTCGTAACCAGATGCCCAGAGTGTATCTAAAATGCCTTAGCTGATCGTCCAAAGTTAAGTTGGTCATACTAGTCCGACTTACCACCACCAGTCTTTGGAAGTTCAATGAGGCGCAGCGATGAATAGTCGGCTGGCACAGGCTCAAAAGCTATATCGCTATGCCATTGTGCAGTGTTTTGCTTCTTGGGGCTGAGCCCCTCGCCTTCCAGAGGCTTTCGGTAGTACTTCTTGTTCTGCACGGAACTGATGGTACTGATTTCTGGGTCGGAGCCGCCTAGCTCACGCTCCGAGTTGAGGACCGGGTGAATGTGGAGTCCCGAGTCGGCAGGCCGACCGGTCAGTTCTCCGAGTCGGAGGATCAGCTGCTTCTGCAAGTCATTTGTGAGATTGTCTTGGGCTCGGAAAAAGACGACACCCCTTTGTGAGACTGTGTACACTATTAGTTATCAAATGCGACCGGGCGTGATTCTCATGGCTTACTGGTGATGGCAAGTTCTCTGATCAACTCGTCGGCTTTGGGGTCATTTAGCCACTCGACTAGGTTTGCCTTGGGAAACTCGCGCCCGATGTTTGGGGTAACATCGAAGGACTCATATTGATCCAGGACCGAGGATGCCTTCAGCGGTTGTGGGTACGAAGCCTTGGTACTATTGTGGAGAGGAAGTTCAGCGTCAAGTGCCGACGGTGCCATTTTGACTTGCTTGGAAACGTGCTTGTTCTCTAAGTTTGTAATTATGATTTATCGAACTTGCGCTGACTGCATGCAATTACTCCTCTTCATGTTCATCAGGTGTCAACATCTACATTTATAAGTTTCTAGCTCGCGCTTCAATAAGCAGTAGCTGCAGGATCACGCGACATTGCCGGTTGCGACATGAGGTTCGCGATGAGGCGACATCACAAGGGACACTCAAGCCCGACGAAGCCCCGCGTTCTAGGAAAGAAAGTCAAGATAAGGTGCCGCAATGGTGAAAGCCAAGGAGCTTATTTCGTGATCGATCAACCTCAGTTGACAATTACGTGGATTTGAAATGGATGATGTGATCGATCTGGTGTCCCGCACATCGGCCAATCACGGCTCATGCATCCCACCCAAGGTACAAACATCGATTTCGGCAGTGCCTTCAAACTAAGAAGAGCGGGCACTGTTGGGCGCCGTAGATACTACAAAATCCCAATTAGTGAGATTTAGGCGATGAAATTGGTCTTGAAATGAAGAGCAGTTTCTGCGTGTTGATAAGGGTGCGCGGGTGGTGGCTTGCGTCAGAATCAAGGTTGATGGCGATTCGAAAGCCTGGGCCAAGCCGGATGAAGTGGCACTTTTCATGGCCGTACGACCCTTACGACTGCTGCGATAGCGGCTCTGATCTGCCAATTCGTAGTATTCCTGTTATTTTATTCGGAAGGTTTCGTCTTCCTCAATAACATTCCTTCAGAGCGAAGTCGGTCGTCCAGGGATTTCCCCGCTTGATCACCATCCGATGTCAATCTTTACAAGGCCACATCACAACAACTTTGTCTCAAGCTCTTGTATAGTCTCCGCGGTACCCGACTCTCAGTCTGCAGCAGTCTAGTTTTAATCTTTATTCTAAGCAATCCTGGAGAATGAGACACTCGAGTTGGACTTATTTAGGCCATGCATTAAGAGCCAGCCATATTAATTCAAATCGCATGGGAAAACGATAGTCTCGGCGGCTAACCCCACGCTCACACCATCTCCCACTGCCCAGAAAAGCTAATCTAGATCTGCACTGTGAATGAGGAGCTGAGCTTTTGAAACACTTCGGGACCGATTCGCCCATATGTGCTGTACAAAGAGAGCACCCTTATATGACCCATGTTCTGGATCCTTGTGACAAGAACAATCACACGTTTCCCATACGTGCTACGTGATTATGTGGATCTCACTCGCCATCGCCGCACTTTTAGGCTCGCAATATTATCCTGGTAGTTGAAGACTTCTACGATACCAAGGGTCAGAGCGACAATCGCCAGCCCGTTCAGCGTTTATGAGTGTCTTAAAGTGACGGTCCAATCCAGCTCTGAGGAGAAACTAGAGCCGGTCCTATCCTCCAGCCTCAATTCCAGATCCCACTCCCGCTATATCCTTACAGAACCCATGGCTACCGTGCTGGCAAAAGACCCTTTTCGTAAAGGTGAGGATGGGCAACCGTCGACACTGTTGGAGGGCGCGTCTCCCCTAGGAGCACCCATCGAAGAAAAGCGTTTTTGGTTCCAGAGGAATAAGTCTTACGACCCATTTGCAATCGCAACTCAGGTAAGAGTGGTTCTGAAAGCGCCATATTCCAGATGCGCCATGGTTCTAATGATCGTAAGCCAAGCGTTTTCGATGATCCCGATAGTGCTGAAAAGTATCACCCCCGATCTGATTGGTGAGTAACTGTGCTGAATCCAGACAACCCCTTTTTCATTGAGAAACTTACATGACAAATTCCAGGGAGAACTATCACCGGTTTGATCCGCTAGCTCGGTGGACCTGGACAGAAGAATACGCTCTAGGTACAATTATTCACCCTACTGTGTTACATGCCACAATAAATTCTAACAGAAAGAACTAGTGCGTAAGATAGATTTCAAGATCATGGTTTGGGCCTGCATCAGTTGAGTCGCACTATTGATATGGCCACAATCAGACATTTATTAATTTTTTTGGTCAGTGTTTATGGCACTTGAACTTGACCGCGCGAATATTAGCCAAGGTAGTTTATACTCCCGAGGCGAGTAAGTTTGATAATCTGACATCAGTACTGTGCAGCAAATACGGATAATATGCTGGGAGACTTGAACTTGACTACCAACGGTTCGTATCCCTAGTCCAAGTGTCACCTTCGCTGAACTAATCAGCCATATAGACTTCAATCTTGGTAATACTGTCTTCAAGCTTGCCTTTCTTTGTGCAGAGCTGCCGTCCCAACTAGTTTCCAAGTGGGTTGGACCAGACCGCTGGATCCCGGCACAGATGGTCTTGTGGAGTATCGTCGCCAGTTGTCAGTTCTGGTTAAGCGGACGAGAGTCGTTTCTTGCTTGCCGAGCGCTTTTGGGTTTACTGCAAGGCGGCTTTATCCCCGATGTAAGTATAGTGGGCTTAAGGACGTTCAAAGATCTCGACTGACTTGTGATTCGTCAAGGTTATTCTCTATCTTTCCTATTTCTACAAGCATCACGAGCTCTCCCTGAGGCTTGGGTTCTTCTGGACTGCCATGAGCATTGCAGATATCTTGTCAGCGATTCTTGCGTATGGAATCCTCCACATGCGCGGCCTTGAAGGACACGCTGGATGGAGATGGCTTTTTCTCGTTGAAGGACTTTTGACGTTGGTGATCGGCGTCTTTGGATTTCTTCTTATGCCAGCCGGGCCTTGTCAGACGGCAAGTTGGTTTCGTGGCAAAAATGGCTGGTTTACAGAAAGGCAAGCCCCAGATTCCGCAGATACGGTCGTTAAACGCTTGCTGACGTATATTACAGGGAAGAAACCATCATGGTCAACAGAGTACTCCGCGAAGACCCCAGCAAAAGCAGCATGCACAACCGCGAGCCCATCACTCCACGACTCCTTTGGGACAGTCTCAAGGACTACGATCTGTGGCCTTTATACATTCTGGGCTTAACATTCCAGATCCCCATGACGCCACCATCTCAGTACCTGACTCTGACACTGCGTAATTTGGGCTTCGACACTTTCCAAGCAAACCTGCTTGCAATTCCGTATACTGTTGGCCACAGTAAGTTGAGGTATCGTCATTCAGTACCATAATTGTGTAGCTGACTTCGTCGAACAGTGGTCACAATGCTTGCTATCACGTATCTTGGTGAAATCATTGGCGAACTCACTCTTGTATCCATGTCTGGTCAGGTTTGGGCATTGCCTTTCTTGATTTATCTGAACGTTGTCAACACCTCGGAGGTGAACAGATGGATCCTGTATTCCGTCATCACTCTTCTTCTCATGTATCCTAATGGTAAGTTCTCCAAAGCTCTAATCTTGAGATGATAGGCTAACATTGCGGTAGCTCATCCTATTCAAGTAAGTTGCGTCAAACTATACTTAATATTTTAAGCCAATCACTCTGGTCACTGAAGTCTGCGGGCACAGTCTGGCCCAACACGTCATCCCCCGAAGAAAAGGTCAGCAACCATACTAACTGGCTATCAAGGTTGGATGGAACAGTCGCAATTCGAACACGGTGCGATCGCGGACTGTCTCGGCTGCATGCTACAACATGTTTGTGCAGACCAGCGGCATCATTTCCTCCAATATATATCGATCTGGTAAGGTTCCATGGCGTGGTTTACTATCGCCCTATTCTTACATCAGCCCAGATGATGCACCACTGTACAAACGAGGTAACCGCTCTCTCCTTGGGATAGTATGTATGAATTTGGTGCTTTACCCTTTGGTAAAGCTTTACTATATCTACCGCAACAAGAAGCGTGACAGGACCTGGGAAGGCATGTCAGAAGCCCAGAGACTTGCCTATCTGGAGACAACTAAAGATGAGGGCAACAAGCGTTTGGACTTTCGATTTAGTCACTGAAGGCGGAACACAGCAAACGCCCATAGTAGTTTCAGACTCCAGTGATCATCTGGCAAGAGAACCATCATCGGACATTGGGAGTTATTCTCAAGTCAGTGTTCCAGAAGACAAGAAAGGTTTATTAGGGTAGGGGAGCATATTGCCTATTTTACAATAACACACTTATTTTGGAAACAAATGGTTGATGAGTGGGAAATGAGTAAAGATTCCTTTGGGGGCCTGTCTATAATTACAAGAGAAGACTGGAGACGGGGCTTGGTTTACTGGCCCACCTTGTCGACTGGAAGTAAACCAGCCTTCCCAAACCACCGCTTCAAACGCTCATTGACTTCCTCACTCTTCAACTGGAAAAACCAATGACCGATACCTTCAATAAGCACTATTTCATCGTATTCACTGCTCGATGTCAGGTAGCTACGCTCCGTCGCAACCCAGTACTCGCTGTTTCCAAATGTCAATCGAGGACACTTAAGCTTCCCATCATGCTGAGCAACCGAAACTTCGCGCCGTCCTATCCCGTTCGGGTCGCCCAGGCATGCCCAACACTGAGCCATTACCACCACCATGTCGCCTTGCATCGCACGACGGCCAATCCACGTGGTGTGCCACGTAGGTACAGTGGGAGGATACAGGGCCGGACCGAAGAGCATTGTCAGATTCTGCAGAACCGATGTCGGATCGCTAAGGTGTTCATCTGCCGTTTCGGTAGGAACGGAATGCAACGGGTCGAGAATCACCATTGCGCGAGGGAGATCCGGCCTCACGGAGGCTAAGTGGTAGGCCACGGCGGTGCCGAGTGAATGTGCAATGATGATGACGGAAAGGACGTTGAGATGTTGGAGCAGGGCGATGAAATCCTCCGCAGCTGACTGGGGGTAATAGTCCACAATGGACGGGTCTGCGTTTGGGCCAGGGTACGACTTGATGTCCGACGTAGGCGCCGGCGCCGACGAGTGGCCTTGGCCACGGGGGTCCGGAGTAATCACCCGGAAACCAAGTCCAAGAAGGAAAGGGACCTGCCAGTTCCAGTCATGGAGGTCGCATGTAATGCCGGGAATAAGCAGGACGGCTTGGGCTTCCTGTGGACCCTCATCAAGGTAAAAGATGGAAATGTTCTCGTTGCGCTTGAAGAAAGGCATAATTGGTGGAGGCTCGAGACCGATCAACAATCGATAAATTTAGATACAAGTAGAAAGGTTTAAACGTCCGCATTGACTTTCACCCGAGATCTGTTTTGACATTTAAATGCTATGCCGATAACTATCAAACTGATACATCACAGAGGCTGACTGCGCTCCGAATGCACCCGCCCGAGTGATTGTAGGAAAAGCACTGTCAACCTTCTGACAAGCTGTAACCAATCAGCTTCGGCGAGCCACAAGCTGTTCGGCCAGTGCCGGGCTTTACCCCTTGCTCGATGCTAGGAAAGCCTGGGTTTGCTACCTGAGAAAGGCGAGATTCGGGAACGCAGTTATTAGGGCGTCACGGGCAGATTCCTGGAAGCCAGTGCGTGTCTGTTGTTGCTTCTTATCGATTGAGCTGCTACTGAATCTATTGTGTCCCTTTGTGACTTTTCGGTCACGCGGGTGTAATAGGGATTGAACGGGAGCGAGGTTCTCCGTCTCATTCCGTGTCCGTCGGGCCTCCCTTTTCAAGCCCAGAAATGCAAAGAAACCGAAAGCGACATCTCGACTAGCGATGTAAAAGGAAACCTCGGCGATATGTTAGAGTCGGAGAATGTCCCAAACTTGGCAGCAAGCCTGCCGGAGGCAAGCCCATTGCTTCCCCGTGACGTGTTGTAGGGGCCGCCACGTTCTACTATGACTTGACTTTAATTTTCATTCCATTTTTACCAGTGCCTCACCCCGGTCAAATACCTTTTGGTCGCCTCTCCTGTTTCGTTGATGTATACCAAGACGGATCGTCGTGAACTTTCTTTTTCGAAGACCCTCTGCAGTGTGCCCATGGTCACACGGAGTGATATGTCACGTATGTGGGACAGGATCGATAATCTCTCTCCCGTTCAACAGCGATCGGAGGGCCCAGGAGGGCTAAGACCACATTGGAACTGCTTGCTTTTTCAGCTCCGCCGCCGCCGCCACCCAACAGGGCGAAGTGCAGTTTGTCGACACGCGATAGGTCACATCACGGTCTCGTCAGCAAACATGCCCACGTAGGAAATCGCGCTTGGAGGACTTGCGAATCTCGGTTACAGGGGCATGAATTATGCGCGTGCCGTGCCGCCCTGTCCTATTATTGAGGGGTTCCTCCACGAACACACGATGCAGCGGGTTGATCAATTTTCCACCCCCGCCCGCTTGAAATATGCTCAACGGTTTTTGACGCACTCGTCCGAGTGGATTGTTGCATACCGGTAGTGCGCTCCAAAGACTGCAAAACATAGGAAGCGACACTCAAGAACGGGGCCCGATCGACAGGGACGGGCCGGGGCCAGGGGTTCGAAGTTGAGTCATTGATGGGTCGCTTTCTCACAAGATTCCGGGTCTCTGGAATAACTAGATGGAGCGGTCACTTTACAGGAGAGGGCATGACTATGTACTCTTTGACCGTACTGTGTGGAATTCCCATATGTGGTGGCAGGCTAAACTGGAGTGCGAGCACACGCGAGAACAAGGGGCTTTGGGCGTGTCCCGTCCCAACCTGATAACCGGGCACTTGGGAATGGATAGCAGCGGCGCGGCCTGCCCTAACGAGACCCAATGAGCGCCACCCAGCCTCCCCAACATCAGAGGAATCAGAGGGGTACCACACCGTTCCTCCTGCAGGGTACCTTAGGGAATGGGGCGGCAAACAGCAGACACTGGGGTTCATGGGACGACGGACCCCTCCACACCATTCTCGTTGACAGGTGGAGTTTCTTGCAAAGGCGGCAGAGAGCAGGACAATCGAGGCGAACTTAAGGTTGCGGAAAAGACTGGGAATTCTCCAAGTTCTACCTCCATCGCTGCAATTGGACAGCAAGTCCCATGCATGCGCGTCCGGCACAAGTACCTAATCACCACTGCGATATGATTACCGTTCTTGGCCATTGTGAGGTTGGTGGCGTTGTTCCGCAAACTAGCCCTTAAAGGTTGCATTTTGTCTTAGGTCGGCAAGTGTGCAAGGCTTCAGGTGTGGCCATCAATGCCGTGATCTCGCTCACACCTCGGGCAACCGGTTCTTTTCTCCCTCAGATCTGCCTCTTGTCTCCTACTTTCCACTGCTCTCTGTCTGTATGACCATCAAATCCGTTGTTACTTTATCAGCACCCTCTTCAAGTCCCAAGCTGGGATCATAGCAGTACGCTTCAAGCTAAGGGACGTTACTCGAAAAGAAGCCCTGACCTCTGGATGTACCCAGTTGCCACGAATGAACCCCACCTGTGCACGCTTGACTCGAACATACTTTGGCATTTGCCGACTAAACGAGAAGCCCTACTCAAGGTTTATCCAGGTTGGAGAAGCTCTACTCAGATTACGACGCCCCTTCCCAATCGAAAAGAAGCGTCGTTTCTCTTGTTGGCATTCCTCGATCTTTGCATCGCTCAGTCACTCTTTGGTCACTCTCTGAACACTACCCAGCTTTGTCTGCTTCTCCCATTGACAACATCCCCAAAGATATCAGACGAGATCTATAAGCTGCATGCACTTTTGCTGAAGCACAACGAATGGCGACAATGGGAACGGGAAGCAAGCCCGGAAGCCCAAGCGGGAGTCGTGCTGTCAGCCCGCAAGGCGATGGCGCAGGCGGTAAGTCAGACCTTGTCCTCTTGGCCGCGAATTTGTCATACATAGGTCCCAGAGATCTCTCCCTAGTCGGCACGGGCATGGCAACTTTCGCTGCTTCCAATCGTTGGGAGACAGTGTGTATTGACAATAATGTTGTAGCCCCTGGAACTGCACCACCGACGATTGGCGGTTCTAGTACCGAGCAGACGCCAGCAGCGACGTCCGACGCGGAAGCAACGACGACATCAACGAATCAAACTACAGATCCAGTCACGGACCCAGCTGCAGACATCATCAGCCCATCCGAAGAGACGTCAGTCGGGGAGGCCCTCGAAGCCGGCGGTATCGACGACGATGACGAATTTACGCCTAGCGTTTTCGACGAGGGGTCGATAGCTGACGACAGAACCGATTCGACGTCGCTCAACTCGAGTGTCTACGAGCATAGCTTCAAGAACGGCAGACGGTACCACAAGTTCCGCCACGGACGATATCCGATCCCCAACGACGAGACAGAGCAGAACCGTGAGGACATGCTGCATGCCATGATGTTGGAGGTAACAGATGGGCGGCTATACTTTGCTCCCATTGGCAACAGCCCTCAAAAGATCATCGACCTGGGCACCGGCACCGGTATTTGGGCCATTGAAAGTGGGTTCAGGCTCTCTAATCCCTGGATGCAACGGGTGTTCACTCGGTGTGAAAAGCGTTGAGAAAGCTAACAAGTGAACGCAGTGGGGGATTTGTTTCCTAGCGCCGAAATCCATGGGCTTGATTTGAGCCCCATCCAACCCGTGTGGGTGCCGCCTAACGTCAAATTTCTTGTTGATGACGTTGAAGATACCTGGTTGAATGGCAGGAACTTCGACTTTGTACACCTCCGCAACATGGTACCAGTGCTTAAATCGCCCGTCAACCTTCTACGAAACGCATATGAGTAGGACATCCAATCTCCTCTGATTCGTAAAAGTACTGACGGCGGGGCAGACATATGAAGCCTGGGGGCTGGGTCGAGCTGCAAGACGTTGACGGACAGGTCCATTGCGATGACGGGACCTTGCCTCCCGACTGGCCCCTCGTTCGCTTCACAAATTGCCTCGTCGAGGCATTTGCGAAGTTTGGGACAAATTCACACGCTGCTGTGTTTGGCCGACAGTACCTGGAGCAAGCCGGCTTCGTCAACATCCAGCATCACACGGTGAAGTTGCCCTATGGAACATGGCCCAGGGATAAGTAAGTGTAGTTACATCATACTGGAAAGGTTCTAGCTGACACTATTCTTTCCAGGACCATGCGGCTGGTTGGGATGTACTATCGTACGGCATGCGAAGAATTCTTCCCCGCCGTTGGTGCAATTCACTTTGAGATGTTGGGATGGAGCAAGATCGAGATGGAGGTCTTGTTCGCTCAGTGCCGCAATGCAATGAGGGATCCCAACGTACACGCCTATGGCAAAATGCATTTCTGGAGCGGACAGAAACCAACTGAAGACAAAGTCACGACTTGAAGGAGAGAAAACTGTCTGTGCTGAGAGGGGTGAGTGAATAACACGACATGAGACATGGAGCATCGGAAGCTGGAGTTGGTTGATAGCGAGTGATTACATGAGTCCAGTTGCCTGAGATTTGCGTCACAAATAACATCTGGGTCGGCGTTGATGGTGGTTGGTGGGACATGTCGTCTCCATTATGTTCTCCGTAAGCGCCGAAGTATTGCTTTTCTGAAGAGGTGAAAAGGCCTTGACGGCACCATTTTCATCAAGAACACGACCTGATGCAACCCAACTCAGCCTTTGACCACTATTGGCTGCCAAGAGCCGGCGACCTGCACACTACCATTGAGAAACCGGACACTGGCAGGTATCATCGCAGCTGTGTGGTTTCCAGGATGCATGCATGGAGGATCAAGTGGAGTGCGTATTACGTCCAATAACTTACAGGCATCGATAGCCGAGAGAACCGAGGACTGCCAATTGTAAAGTAGGAAGGCTATTGCTATGCATTCCTCCAGTCTTGTCTCACTGTTTGCCCTCTGTGGATGACCCAATGAGTCCATCAATGTCGAAATTTGTTATGTTAAAGTTCATCTTCAGGAATGTTGGTCAGTTGTATCTACCAGCCAGAAACGGAGCGGAAAACCTAACTCGGAGAATCAGATTCCCACGGGTCCACGAGGTACCTATTAAAGTTAGTCGCGTAGTAATTCTTATGTATATACCGCCACAATCGACTGCCTGGCCCCCAGATCCTGTCCCGGTTTAGGCGGCGACGCGCGACGTTGTGTTTCCGTAAACGGTACGTGGGGTCCGGAGACGCTAGTCACCGCAGACTGGTCCATTTTGGGTAGATGGCTTTCTGACAGCATTGCATATCGCATCACACTATTGCACGGAAGACCCTTTCGAATGGCTAGGTTCTTTTGTTTTGATCCTTGGCTTGCAGGTACGATATTTGCAGGATCGTATCTTGGCTCTCCATATGGGATGATGATGTCAAAAGGAGGGTAACAATAACTTGACATTGGGAAGAAGCAGGGGACCGACTCCGCCTCCAGCAAACAGGGCCATCTCCGCTGATCCACTTGCTGATTATGGCAAGGAGATTGTCATCACTTAAATTGTAAACGTGGCCATGTGGCTCAGCGAAACAACCAAGAAATCTTGAGCTCCAGGTGCCTATCAATGACTGCATGAGAGATTTCAGTTCTGGCCCCTGCTGACGTGTATCTTCTATCTTATCCTTCCACGGATCAGCCCTACAGCTGATGCTTATGTTGAATGTTTAGACTAACGTATTAATGTCATCCTTTTGTGCGGACAGAAGCACGACATCCAATAGTTTGATGCAGTCAACGATGCGATATCTCGGCATCGCAACAGTCTTGACAGATGCCTGTTCTCATTGGAGTCTTGCACTAATTGATAAGAGTTCTTGGTGTTCTATCAACATTAGTGTTGACCTAATCGACACAAGCTGAGCTTGCTTACGCCAAGCCAGCCCGGTATAGCAAAGGTTGGTCAACGTAGATACCTACAGCGTTCACGAATGGCCTACGGTGACCGTTGATGGGTAGCCAAGCTTTATGGTGACACTGTCATGCCCATGATATATGAATTGAGTGCACTTCTCTGTTTCCTACTAAACTTCAGCACTGTGACCACAAGAATCAACTCGCAAAATACGAAAGAGGCGTGGTACTATACTACATCTCATCATGGCGCCTTATATGGATTCTTTCACAGAGAATGTAAGTACGAAGAGCCGCTAGAACTACGAAGTGAGGCCTGATGTATTGTTCAACTTTCCAGGATAACGGCCAACCCAGGTTGACGGCCAGCGCGACGGTTGGGACAGAGCCCATCGCTGTTTGCGGCATGGCGTTGAGGCTCCCCGGCGGAATCTCGACTCCAGAGCAATTCTGGCAGTTTCTTATTGACAAAAGAGATGCACGTGGTCCCATACCTGAAACGAGATTCAATGCATCAAGCTATTACTCTGAGTCCGCCAAGCCCGGACACATCAAGACGCGGTACGGCTACTTCCTAGACGAATCCGTTGATCTTGCAGCTCTCGATACGACGTTCTTCAGGATGCCCAAGAACGAGGTTGAACGTGCCGACCCTCAGCAGAGATTGCTCCTGGAGTTGACTCGGGAGTGCCTCGAAAGCGCCGGTGAGACGGAGTATCGCGGTAAGACCATTGGAACATTCGTAGGATGTTTCGGCGAGGACTGGCTTGAGACTTTGACCAAAGATAATGAGGTTGTTGGTCAGTACAAAATCACTGGTTACGGCGATTTCATGCTCTCCAACCGATTAGCCTACGAATATGATCTCAAAGGCCCCAGTATGACTATCAGAACGGGTTGTTCATCGGCATTGATAGGCCTCCACGAAGCGTGCATGTCAATTCACCACGGACAGTGCAGTGCTGCTATTGTTGCTGGCTCGAACCTCATCATGGCACCAGGCCTATACGTCAGCATGTCGGAGCAGGGTGTGCTGTCTCCGAATGGCTCTTGCCGAACGTTCGACGCGGGCGCTGACGGGTATGCTCGTGGCGAAGCTGTGAACGCCGTCTACGTCAAGCGTCTGAGTGAGGCGATCCGAGACGGAAACCCTATTCGTGCTGTGATCAGGGGAATCTCGAGTAATGCGGATGGCAAAACGCCGAGCTTGACGATACCAAGCTTCGAGAGCCACGAGGCCATGATACGACAGGCCTACAATATGGCAGCAATCAGTGGACAACATATTGCCGAAACTGGCTTTGTAGAGTGTCATGGAACGGGCACTGCCGCTGGGGACCCAATAGAAACTACGGCAATTTCGAAGGTTTTTGGGGACGCAGGAGTCTACATCGGTTCATGCAAACCGAACATTGGTCACTCGGAAGGCGCATCAGGCATCACGTCGCTTATCAAGTCGATACTGGCTCTAGAGCATCGAACAATTCCGCCAAACATCAAGTTCGACAAGCCCAATCCCAAGATTCCTTTTGAGGAGAAGAAACTCAAAGTGCCTGTCGCGCCAACACCATGGCCAGAAGACCGGTCGGAAAGAGTTTCGGTCAACTCGTTTGGAATTGGTGGCGCCAATGCGCATGTTGTGATCGAGTCAGCAGCCAGCTTTCTTGGCCGCCCCGAGAGCTCGTCTATCATGGAACTATCGGCTTTTCCTTTGAGAAAGGCGCATCTTATGGTCTACTCCGCCAACACAGCCGACTCTCTGAGACGCCAAGTTGTCAACAACCAGAAATACATTAGCGAACACCCTGATTCCCTCGATGATGTTAGCTATACATTGGCATCTCGGCGCAGTCACCTGCCACACCGAGCATTCTCGGTGATGCAAGACGGCATCGATCTGAGCACATCACCATTCGGTAAAGCACCCAATATATCAGCAGATCTCGCGCTAGTCTTCACCGGCCAAGGTGCACAATGGCCCCAGATGGGTGCTGAGTTGCTCAAAGCCAACAAGGTGTTTGCTCAGTCTATACGGAAGATGGACAAGGTCTTGAGTTCGCTCCCTGACGGACCAACTTGGACTTTGGCTGAAGAAATTCTCAAGCCTACAGAGACGAGCGGTCTGCACCATGCCTATCTATCTCAGCCAGTATGTACTGCAGTGCAAATTGGTTTGGTGGATGCGCTTAGAGAAACAGCAGGTATCAAGCCTTTCGGCGTCGTCGGTCACTCTTCTGGAGAGATGGCCGCTGCTTATATCTCTGGAAGGCTTACGGCCCATGAGGCCATTGTGGCTGCATACTATCGCGGTATAGTTTCTTCGGAGGTTGTTAAGCCCGGAGCAATGGCTGCAATCGGCATGGGTCGAGCTGAAACCCTGCCATTTCTGAAATATGGTGTTGTTATTGCCTGCGCGAACTCGCCTTCGAGCGTTACGATATCTGGGGATGCAGATCTTGTCGAAGGCATCCTCTCACAAATTCGAAAGTCAAAACCGGAAGTTCTCGCCCGCCGACTCAAGGTTGAGAAGGCATATCATTCCTATCACATGCAAGAAGTGGGGGATCGCTACCTTTCTTTAACGTCCCCTTACATCGATAGTCTTAAGATTCTTGACTCTTCTGGGCCAAGCATGTTCTCTTCCGTTACCGGCAGCAAGCTACCAATGGAGACGCCTACGGACGCTGAATACTGGAGAGCAAACCTCGAGTCGCCAGTGCTATTCGACGCGGCAGTTGCCGCCTTGATATCGGACCACAAGAGTCAAAACAAGAATCCATTGGTGTTCCTTGAAGTTGGGCCACATTCTGCATTGGCCGGACCGTTGCGGCAGATTCTCGCACAGGAGGGCATTAACATGTCATATGCCTCTTGTCTCATTCGGTCAAAGAACTCTACCGAGTCTTTCATGACAGCAATTGGTCATCTTTGGCAACAAGGAGTCAAGGTTAACTTTGACCGTCTCACGAACCCCAACGACACTGCTCGCGTTGTTCCAGATCTGCCCGCATACCCTTGGCAACATGATCACTCAATCTTGTTCTCAAGTCGCATCTCTGACGAGTGGCGGTTCCGCAAATTTGCAAAACATGAGATACTCGGCGTCCGTGTTGCGGAAAGCAGTGAAAACGAACCGATCTTTCGAAACATGTTGGCGTTAGATCAAGTCCCATGGATCCGTGATCACAACATCAAAGGCGATGTCATCTTCCCCTGCGCAGGCTACGTTGGCATGGCAGGTGAGGCTGCGAGACAGCTCTGCAGTGGGACTTTTGCAGGGTTTGCCATGCGCAATGTTGTCATTGATATGGCCATGGTCCTAGCTAAGAACAAGCACACAGAGATCATCACCAGCCTTCGGAGAGAGAGACTGACAGACAGTCTCGACAGTCCATGGTGGGAGTTCACTATTACCTCTCATAACGGCTCAGCTTGGTCAAAGCACTGCAGCGGACAGGTCCGGTCTCTGGAAAGTAACAGCCAAAACACGAAAGGTGCCATGTCTAAGCTGCCTCGTTTGGTCGGATCGACGAAGTGGTATCTAGCACTTCGTAATGTCGGTGCCAACTACGGCCCATACTTTCAGGGGTTGGCAAACGTTACTTGCTCTCCAACTGGTCACCATTCCAGTGGCACGGCAACACAGACAATCCAAAACGGCTCTTACTATTCGGTTCATCCTACTAAACTTGACTTTTTCCTTCAGCTTTTCAGCGTCGCTGCTATGAAAGGGGTCGGGCATAAGCTCAACAAGATGAATGTTCCAACCTTCATTGAAGCATTAGAGATCTATAATTGTGAATCTCAGATACAGATGGAGGTTCGAGCAAATCAAACGCCGCGTGGGTTACTTTATGGAGGTGGTCATGGAGTTGGTGACGAAGGTTCAGTTGCCCTTACTGTCAAGGGGGTGAAGCTGAGTCCCCTCGAGAATGACTCTGAGGATGATGCGGATCCTCATGCTGGGGCGCGCGTCTTCTGGCAGCCAGATGCCGACTTCTTGAAGATGTCAGATCTCATAAAGCCGCACCCAGGACAGAAAAACCTCCAGTCCACTCGTGATTTCACCTCGGCCTGCATCAAGAAGGCTCTGCAAAACTTGGAAGGAGTCGAAACTACGCATCCACATCTTACAAAATTCCACGATTGGCTGAAGAGGCAAGAGCTTCCAAACGACATCGCTGATTCCGAATCTAATTTTGCAGACGGTGCACGGATGGATCCGTTCTCATCTTTTGCGGTCGCGATGAGGATCGTGCTTGACAACATTGTTCCGGTCTTTCGAGGGGAGACTGAGCCTCTCGAAGTGCTCATGCCGAACAATGTACTGACCAATGTTTATAACTCGTTGAACATCACTGACAGAGAGCCACTGTTCCGGTTACTCGGCCATTCAAAACCTAACCTTCGAGTTCTGGAGATCGGGGCGGGTACAGGCGGAACTACAAACAAGGTTTTGGGTTGGTTGCGTGGCCCAACAGGCGCATCGTTGTACTCAGAGTACACTTACACGGATATTTCAGCTGGATTCTTCGCTACAGCAAAGGAGCGTTTCGAATTGAACCCCAACATGTCTTTCAAGGCACTCGATATCTCTAAGGACCCTATTCAGCAAGGATTTGAGGCTGAATCATACGACCTTGTCGTTGCCGCTAACGTCCTTCATGCTACTCCAAGTCTCAAAGAAACGCTCAGTAACGTCCGGAGGCTTTTGAATTCGGAAGGAAGGCTCTACATGGAAGAACTCTCCTATAACACTCTCCCTTTGAACTTCATTATGGGGGTGCTTCCTGGGTGGTGGCTGGGGGCGGATGATGGGAGATCAGACCAGCCACACGTATCAACCGAGAGATGGGATGTGGAACTGAGACAAGCTGGCTTTGACGGCCTTGACGATCTTGTGTTTGACTCTGAGCGGCCGAACAACTTGCTCGCTTTTATGACAGCAAGGCCCTCCCGAAGCATTTCGCGCCCAAGAAACGTTACGATTTTGCATGATTCAGAATCAGTGGATCTCGCGACGGGGGTTCAAGATGCTCTATCGCAGGCTGAGCTCAAGAATGCGATCCTACACGATATCTCGAAGGGCTCGCCTCCCGTAATGGAAGAACTTATTTCTGTTGTTGATCTACAAGCTCCCTTCTTTGAGAACATCAGCGAGGACACTTTCTCTATCTTCCGTTCGATTGTAACCGAAGCATCGAAAGAGCGAGCTGGGATCTTCTGGCTTACTAGATCCTCGCAGCTCAGGTGCTCAGATCCAAGATGGGGAGAGTCGATCGGCGCAGCAAGATCTATCCGGAGCGAACTGAGTCTCGACTTTGCAACATGCGAGGTTGATCAGATAAACCCTGCCTCAATGGCTACGATAGCGAGCGTCTTCAAGAAATTCCAACGGCGTCACGACGATGAGACCACCTCGCCTGAGTACGAATACAATATCACCGACGGAACCGTGTATGTCTCACGACTGTACCCCGTCAGTGTCAGTGGCGAATTACATAGCCACAAAGAGGTTACCGATGAGATTTACTATGATCTACAAATCGGCAGGTATGGCCGCTTGAGCACACTCACCTGGGCTCCAAAAGAGTCACAAATTCTGCAAGGCGATGAAGTGATTGTGGAAGCAAAGGCGGTTGGAATGAACTTCAAGGTCAGTTGCCCACCTTTCCAACACGACTATTATGGATTCAAACTCACGAGTCGAAGGATGTTCTGATCGCCATGGGCATTGTTGACTCAAACATCAGCAGCCTTGGTCTTGAAGCCGCTGGGGTTATCCGTCAGACCGGGCCTGAAACCAAAGAATTAATCGCAGGAGACAGAGTATTCGTATTCGGGGGTGGTTGCTTCTCCACTGGTATCGTTATTTCTGAAAAGCTCTGCGTAAAGATACCAGACACCATGGATTTCGAAGACGCTGCTACCATGCCCTGTGTCTTTTCGACGGTCATTCATGGCCTTCTTGACATAGCTCGCCTCTCGAAAAACGACTCTGTTCTTATTCACTCCGCTTGTGGAGGCGTCGGTATTGCTGCAATCCAGATCTGTAAAATGGTTGGTGCCGAGATCTACTGCACCGTCGGTAGCGACGAGAAGATACAATATCTTGAGAGCTCATTCAACATTCCCCGAGAGCGTGTTTTCAACTCTCGCGACGCATCCTTCCTCCCAGATATTCTCAAAGCCACAAAAGGCAGAGGGGTAGATGTCGTACTCAACTCGCTCAGCGGAGACCTACTCCACGCATCCTGGAACTGTGTGGCAGAGTTCGGCAAGATGATCGAAATAGGGAAGCGGGATCTCATTGGCAACGGCAAGCTTGCATTGAACGTGTTCGAACTCAACCGAAGCTATCATGGGGTGGATCTTGGTCATCTCATTGAAGTTAAACCCGAGGAAGGAAATAGGTGAGCATTTTGAACGACATAAGGGAACCTCACTAACATAACTAAGGCTTTTGAAAAAGATTGTGGAGTTGTACGAAGAGGGCCACATTGGTCCCGTTTCTCCCAAGAAGGTCTTTGGCGCAGCTGCCGTTGAAGAGTGTTTCCGATACATGCAGAAAGGCCAGCATATTGGGAAGATAGTTATGGCGATGGACGATTATTTTCACTGCACCCAACTCAAATCTTCCTCATCTTTAAAACCGTCTTTTGACAGTAATGTCAGCTACCTTCTAGTGGGGGGACTCGGTGGCCTAGGTCGTCTCATTTCCAACTGGATGGTAGAGAATGGCGCAAGAAACCTAGTGTATCTCTCGCGAAACTGCGGGGATATGCAAGAGAATGAAAGGTTTTTTGACGAATTGGAAGTCCAGGGGTGCTCAGTTATTGCCGTAAGAGGAAGCGTTACTTCTCTTGCCGACGTTGACAGGGCTCTCAGCGCCACGACAAGGCCCATTCGTGGAGTTATCAACATGTCTATGGTTCTCCGCGATGAGAGCTTCTCGAAAATGACACACGAAGAGTGGACAACAGCGGTAGACCCGAAAGTTCAAGGGACGTGGAACCTGCACAACGCCTGTGAGAACGCTGGGTTGGACTTGGATTTCTTCCTTCTCTTTAGCTCCATCTCAGGCGTGATCGGACAGAGAGGTCAGGCCAACTATGCTGCAGCCAACACATTTTTGGATGCGTTTGTCCAATATCGCCAGACACTAGGCTTGAAAGCCAGCGTTGTTGATATCGGAGCAATGATAGACTACGGATACCTTGCCGACAACTCTTTGCTGATGGAGAGACTGGCGAGTCAGGGCTTTTACGGCATCAAGATCCCTCAACTTCTTGACGCATTGGCTCTTGTCATCAAGCCATATGCTCCCGATGACACAGAGTCTATATCGTCGACGTTCGTCAACACTTCCCAGCTCGTCATTGGTCATCGGAGTCTCACGGCTCTGGCTGATCCCGCAAACAGAGTTATCTGGAAAGAGGACCGCCGGATGGGATTTTACTTCAATTCTGACGGCGACAAAGCTACCACCACAAATAATCCGACTGATCAAGGTGCCTTAGTATCGTTCCTCAAGTCTGCCACAGCAGACCCTGGGCTCCTCTCATTGCCCGATTCTCCATCATTTATAGCGCGTCAGATTGCCGCGCAGCTCTTCCGGCTCCTCTTGAAGCCTGCCGACAACGAAGAAGATATCGACATCAGGATGTCACTCCAAGAAGCTGGACTCGACAGTCTGGTTGCGGTGGAGATGCGAAGCTGGTGGAAGACAACGTTCGGATTCGACATTAGTGTTCTCGAGATGCTTGGTATGGGTAGCGTAGCCGCGCTCGGTGAGAGAGCTCTGAGGGGTTTGAAAGACAGTCTGGGAGAGGTCAGTGGGACCCGAGACGAGAGTGGAGAGAAGCACGATACGGAAGGGTACCTCAAGCTGAAGATGCCGTGATTCTACAATGCTTGTCCACATACACACCAGCCCGGTTATTTTTCCCAAGGAGAATCCATTTAGAGTTGAAAAGAACAGTATCCAGACTGGTGTTTCTTGTTTCATGATTGCATGAGTAGAAAGAGCCAGTCACACAGCAAGTTTTTGGTGCCTGCGAATGGTTTTGTTTACATGCAGGAAACAACAAAATTTCAAGAGTCTTATTGAAATTCAAACGTATGCATGCTTAGCCATAGAGTGGGCCGGTTAGGTTCTAATATCCTCATCAACCGCCAAAGTCTAATAGGGCCGCAAATGTTGATGTTATGCCGCACAGCGATAGGATATTGGTAGTTGCGATAACCAGAAACATCGCAAAACCAGAAGTGACTCAAATCTTTTTTTCAAAACATCAGTGGATCGATCTGTCAACATTAGTGAGGTCGAGTAGAGGAAGACCTCGGTGCTCCCCTACCCTACTCTAATTATGAAGCTCCTATCAGCTTCCTCGCGAGGGAAACCCTACGTAAGACAACGAATGACAAAATTAGTCAAAAGATACGTACCCTGCAGACTGAACAACTCAGACAAATTTCAATTGGATTCAACTCTAGCATGGAACAGAAGCAAGAGTCGCTCACACGACGGCCCTGCGGCTGTATGAATCATGACAACGTTGTGGCTGGAGGTTGGGACTTTGCAATTGGCCTATCGGATGGTCGACCACCGTTGAGTGGCATTGCCAAGAATAAGCTCGCTGCGCAAACGCTTGGCGCGTGCGACCGTTCCTGGATCAGGCAGGTCGCCTATAGACACCAGTGGAGCAATAAAAGGAGCACTTCCTGGGCTTCCTCATTGAGTTTCCTTTCCCCGCGGTCGTGGCAAACCTGGTATTGCCAGCCTTCTCCAAAGTACCATGGCCTTGGGACATGAGGAGCAGCATCGTCAGCTTCCTTATCTATCGTCTTGGCAAGAATTACGCGAGATGCATGTGTTGCCGCTATTGTGGGTGGGAGTATTAAACATCTGCAGGCAGCCGCTGCTTTCCGTTTCATGATGTTGAGATCACTCCGTTCAGTCGCTTCCAGCCCTCTCGTCGACTCTTGTCTCCTGTCAATCCCGCGACAAATTGATCCAGTCTCTTGTTTCATATCCTTTCGCTAGGATTGTAACAGCCTACAATGAGAACCGCCGCTCTTACTCTGGCGCTGCCCGCGCTGGCCAGCGCTGTCAAGTGCAAGCCCTATGTCGAGTCCGAGAAGCTCCAGGAGCTTATCACTATCGAGGACCTGCTTGCCGGCTCTCAGAAGCTCCAGGACATCGCTGATGCACACGAAGGAAACCGCGCCTTCGGCGGTGGTGGCCATAACGCCACGGTCGACTGGCTGGTCGAGGAACTTGAAAAGCTTGACTACTTTGACGTTTACAAGCAGCCCTTCACTGAGAGTTTTGCCGGCTCCAAGGCCACTCTCGCTGTTGAGGGTGCTGCCGTCGATGCCCGTCCTATGACCTATACCCCTGCTGGCGATGTCGCCGGTGCTTCCCTCGTTTCCGTCGCCAACCTTGGCTGTGAAGCGGGAGATTTCCCAGCTGAGGTCTCTGGTGCTGTCGCGCTTGTGTCGAGAGGTACTTGCAACTTTGCCGTGAAGGCTACCCTCGCCAAGTCTGCTGGCGCCATTGCGGCAATCATCTACAACAACGATGTTGGTCCTCTTTCTGGAACTCTTGGCGCGGCGTCCGATGCGTATGCACCTGCTGTGGGCATTACTCGGGATGAGGGTCAAGCCCTCGTTGCTTCCATTGAGGCAGGCGAGGATGTCACCGTCGACCTGAACATCATCTCTATCATTGAGGACCGTGTAAACTACAACGTCATCGCGGAGACGAGAGGTGGAGACCACGACAACGTCCTCATGATCGGAGGCCACTCCGACTCTGTTTTTGCCGGCCCTGGCATCAAGTAAGTTGTTTCTCTCAGTCCAATTTGTAACATTGGCTAACCATATTCTGTTAGCGATGATGGCTCGGGCACTGTTGGAGTCCTTGTGGTCGCCAAGGCTCTGTCCCAATTCACCACTAAAAATGCTGTTCGTCTGGGTTTCTGGGGTGCTGAGGAGTACGGCAAGCTCGGATCGTATTTCTACGTCAAGCAGCTCAATGGTTCCGAGGAGGAGGTTTCCAAGATCCGCGCATACCTCAACTTCGACATGATTGCCAGCCCCAACCCTAAGCTCGCTATTTACGACGGCGACGGTAGCGCCTTTAATTTCTCTGGTCCTGCTGGTTCCGACGTTATTGAGAAGGACTTTGAGGAGTTCTTCGAGGCCAAGGGTCGCGGCCACGTCCCTACCGAGTTCAACGGTCGTTCCGACTACGCTGCCTTCATTGAGAACGGTATCCCGTCTGGTGGTCTTTTTACTGGTGCTGAGGGCCTCAAGACCGAGGCCGAGGCAGCCATTTTCGGCGGTGAAGCTGGTGTCGCCTACGATGTCAACTACCACTTGGTCGGTGATGACATCACCAACTTGGACAACGATGCCTACCTCATCAACGCCAAGGCTATCGCCCATAGCGTTGCTTTGTACTCCATGAGCTGGGAGACCATTCCTCCCGTCTCGCTCGCCAAGCGCAGATGGGCTGCCGATACTGCCCAGCACCTCAAGCGCGCTGCTGAGCTCACCGGCCACTCCCACGACGGACCATGCGGTGGTGGTGCTCACTTCTAGGCGAGCGAAACCACTTGGGTCTCCCAAGAGATGATCAAACCTCTTATTCTGGGTGCCTTAACCCTACAAAGTAGTTAAAACTTAATCACTCAATGAGACATGAATGGACGAGAAAACTTCGTATTGAATGTGGTGACATCCTTTGATGAGGATTACTTGACATGTGTTGCGCGATATGATACTGAGAATCATAATTTCTTTTTATATGGAAGTCTTTGAAACGTGTGAGATATTTGGGAAACAACCGTCAGTGGTACAGCCGCACCTCGAAGGTGATATCTTCTCTTTCAACTCAACCTCATGTAAGGCATGCTTAACCAAGTTCGCATCCAATTGTAAGCCTGGCCACCAAATTGGAGAATGATTTTCATGATGTATAACCTGCAGTAACGACTTCGGCGTTGCTTCCTCAATATTATTACAAGTCAGCGTCTTTCAGCAGCGCACATTGGCACGAGTCCGAATATGTCGAGCTGGTTCGGTTCTTGGCTCAAGAAGTGATGAACGGTTTCAGTCAACCACCTTATGCTTTGTTTGATTTGAAGATGAGTGTGTTCATTTTGATTCTTGAGGTTTACTGTAGTAATTGCCAATGTAATGGTAGCTACAGCCACATGCAGTTTCTCTTCATGACATGTCCCTTATGGGGGCCGTTCATCTCAAGTGCCCGTTGATTAACATTATATCAGAGTGAGGGATGAGTTAGTATGGAAATGAGAGTGGAGAGCGTTATCTCTTTGCAGGAAAGCCATTTTTCACTACGGGATGCGTTACATTCATGGACCCTAGGTGCGTGTCAATCCTAGCAGACTCGTGGAACTGCAAGGCAACACAAAGCAGGAACCGCTAGGCTCACTTCCCATCGGCTTGGTTCGCCAAGAAGGATCAATGGTCGCTCCACCGCGGCCCGTGAAAATCAGGAGAAATTGTAGCTGGGAACAAAGATACCGTAGAGGTTCTCGAATGGCACGTCGAGCCATCAAGGTCCCCCCGACCTTGACAGCCAGACTGACCCAAGGAGTCGGACACTACAACTGCAGGTCATCGCAATGATCATCGTATCGTTGGTTGTGGAAAGCTTATCTTGACCTTTGAAGCCTTTGTGAGGCTTGAATCGGCACTCAATCAACCTCAGCAGCGCATCAGAACCTGTGGACGTTGAGTGTTGACTTACATGGTCTTTCGCCGACAGCGGGAAGATGGGTTGTCAGGTGCCTAAAGAGACTTCGGGCATCCGATCTCTAAGTCATATTGAAAGATTCTACAGCATTTCCAATGGATATTTTAATTTTAATTTTGAAAGCGTTTCTGCAAACGTTAATCGCTAAGGCATATGACGATCTTTGGCTATGTTTTGGAATAACCCACCCAGGCCGGCACTTGATCGCGACTACCGACCCTCTGAGGCTTACAGGACTGGCTTCCCAGTCCGGTATTAGGTGTTGCGGGGTCCTCCCCCATTTCTGAGGGGTAACAAGAAAGGGAACATGGCAGAGAAAAAAGGGTAACTGTAAGAAGAGAAATAGCTTGGCACGCCAACTACGCAAGACCAGGGTCGCTATCATACCAGTCGGCGCCACCCCGCTTCGCCCAGACTTTAGATTGCATTGTAGTTGCCAAGGCTCTAAAGCGCTCCCGATCATTAGCACATGCCTTTCCCGTCGTCTTGGCCCAGCGCCTCATTCTCGGAGCCATTCCCCGCCGTACGAGGAAGGGTAAATGATTGAAAGCAGGTTCATAACGCAATCTTGGAAACAGATAGCAATTGTCGTTCTCGTTGGGCCAGATCTTTTGTTACGAGTTGTAATCCAAGGGTCGAGTGCGGGTGGCTAGATTATTATGTTCGTCAGCTCTCAGTGACAGTTCGTTGAGCAAACAGGAACTTCGGATGAGCACTTTGTTCGACAGTGGCGAGATGTCCTGCACTTAGCTATGCCCATTGATTTTAGTTAAGGATGCAATGCAACGACGAGGTTGCAGCATGCAGGCACACGTACCTACACGAGGAGCCTAACCACGGCAAAAAGCGGCTGATATGTTCTGTGCGAGGCGCTCACTGAGGCGTCTTTACCTGCCGATAACGGGACGAGTCAGGGCAATTCTGCCTCGAGCTACAATATGAAGTTTTGCAGCGCCTCTTTCGAGATCAGACGAGAGTAATTTTCTCAACCTGCGCAACCGATTCGCCAGTCAATGAATGCGTGCCCATGACGGCATTTTGCCAAATACTGAGCTACCAACTTACTGGTCCGATTAGACTTATTTCTCTCAGCCACCGTCTCCAGAAATCCCCTCTCATAAGGCTTGGCACCTGCCCGATGAAGCAGCGATGATCCACAAGAGCCAGAAAGAAATGGCCCGCCGGTAGGCCCAGAGCTTGCCCCATTACCACTTCTCCCATGCTCAACCCCATGCTGCGTTTCTTCTCCTCATCGCTTCTCCGTGTCGCCATTCGTCAACTTGCTCTCCGCGGGCTAGGGAGCTGTTGGCATCGGCAAGAGGTCCAAGCATGTTGTCTAACCTTGGACCAACATTCGCCATTCTCGCAAGCAAAAGTCCTTTGCCAAGAACACGCGACGTCGTTCACCTGCCCGAGGCAGCATCGCCCGCCGCTGCAGCGATGCCTCAGTAAGCTCAGTGGCTAGGGAACCAAGGCGAAATGGACCTTGGGATATCTTCATCTACCCCGAATTGATTGTCGTCGCGCCGTGGATCCCCAAAAAGCTACTTCCTGCGCCTCATACGGCAAGCAAACAGTAAAGGTGACGACCGTAACCCCTTGTTGCTTTCACGTTGTTGCCATGCGGCCAAGCGAATCGAGCCTACAAGCTCCCCTAGTCTGTCCATGCCTCCATTGTTACCGTCTGTCGTCTTATCGCGCAATTTTGTCTGCTCGGCGGGCACACTCTTGGCGCGCCGAGGCGGCATGAGCCCGTCCAATATTTAAGAGTCCCGATCGCGCCGCCCTGGAAGCTTACTGTTTCCCTCGCCTGATCAGTCCGTTCGTTTGGATCCATTAGAGCTTGTCAAGTCCATCTCGTGCCTCATCCCGAGCTTGGGATTATCTTTCACCCGCCACAATGAAGACTGCCGCCACCCTCACCGCAGCTCTGTTCGCGTTGCGATCCTTCGCGACCGACCCTCTCACTGCCGACAAGGCTGAGGCCGATATCAAGACAACTGAGTGCGTTTTTCATCTAAATGACACCTTATGACAATGCTGATATCTACCTCTTAGGCTTGAGCGTAACCTCTGGAACCTCAACAAGATCGCTCGCGATAATGGCGGTAACCGTGCCTTCGGTCTGCCTGGCTACAAGGCCTCGTCTGATTACATTCTTGAGCGTGTCCAGGGCCGCTTCCATAAGCAGCTCGACACCAAGCTCCAATACTTCAACCACACCTTCTCGCAGACCCGTGAGCTCAAGGTCACTGGTCCCGACGGAGAGGATGTCTACGTCGTGAGCCTTCAGTACAATCACCCCACTGAGCTCCCTGGCGGCAACACCGCCCCGCTCATTGACATCCCCGTTGATGACGCCCGAGGTAAGAGAGACTGTTTGATCTGATTCAGTTGCTTTCGGCTGACCTTCTGGTTGATAGGCTCTGGCTGTTTCGCTGACCAGTGGGAGGGCATTGACGCCACCGGCAAGCTTCCCCTTGTGAAGCGCGGTGTCTGCGCCATCTCCGACAAGCTCAAGCTCGCCAAGGCTGCCGGTGCTGTCGGTGTGATCCTCTACAACCAGACTCCTGGCCGAGACATTGGCTCTGCTACTCTCAGTGCCGAGAACCTGGGCCTGCTGGTGCCTGTCGGTCTCATCCCTCTCGAGGATGCCACTGCCTGGAGGGAGCGTCTGGCTGCTGGCGAGACCCTTGAGGTCACCCTTCTGGTTGACGCCGTCTGGGATGAGCGTGAAACTTGGAACATCATCTCCGAAACCAAGGAGGGTGACCCTAATAACGTCATTGTCCTTGGTGCCCACTTGGACAGTGTTCAGGCTGGCCCCGGTGTCAACGATGACGGTAGTGGAACTTCCGCTCTTCTCGAGATCGCCGGCTCTTTCAAGAAATACAGAGGCTTCAAGAACAAGGTCCGCTTCATCTGGTGGGGTGCTGAGGAGAGTGGCCTCGTCGGATCTCTTTACTACACTGCCCAGTTGTCCGAGGCCGAGGCTGATGCCATCCGCTTCTACTGGAACTACGACATGATCGGCTCTATCAACCCTGTTTACAACGTCTACCTTGGCGACAACGAGGGTGACAAGTTTGGCGCCCAGCCCATCCATGACTATATCGCGGCTCAGGGCAAGCCCGCTGCCTTTGGCGGTTTCGGCAGCAGCTCCGACTACGTCGGTTTCCTCCAGCTTGGCATTCCCTCCTCCGGTATCTTCACCGGCGCCGGTGCCCCTACCGACCCCTGCTACCACTTGGCCTGCGACACCCTCGATAACATCAACTGGGACGCTATCACCATCAACACCAAGGCCGCTGCCCGTGTTGCTGCCGACTTCGCAAACGAGCTTCCCGCTGCCCTGCCCCGTCGTGCCACCACTACGCCCGCCCGCCGTAGCCGTGACGCTATCCGTCGTGAGTTCCAGAAGTGGGCTCTTGCCTCTGAGCAGGCTGAGCACGCCAAGAGCTGCTCCCATGGCGAGCACAACATCTACTAGGCGCAGTTTATCGAGCGTGTTGTAGATAGATAATACCTAATGTCTTCACGCTATATATGAAATATACAAATGTGCATACTCTCGTCACACTTATCTATACCCTTCCTTTATCAAGTGCTTTTGCTATCAGTACCATGCCTTCCAAGTATTGTTCGGCTTTGCCTGCAAACTAGAGTGGATGGTAGTAGGATTCTCGTCAGTATGCGATTTCTGATTTCACAGTGGCACCTCATATCTGCCCTTGTCAAGAAATTGATCTTGGTTTCCTTGAAAAAAGATGACGTACCCCTGATTCTCGTCTGTACTGGGGCTACGATGGCCAAGCTGGACAAGTGTTATTAAAGCACGCCTTGAATTTGACCTCGGGTTGTATCATGATACAGGTCATATTGTGTGAATCAAACCACCATTCAACGCCATCATCTGTACGAATATTGTCATCATACTGACGGATCTTGCTTCTTTGTCATATCTGGCGCGGAAGCAACTGACTGAGTTACACCGAAATGGGCTGTTGATCGCAAGATAATTAAATACCCCTAGCATGTGTGTCGATCTTAACATAAAGCCAGACACCTCAACCATGCTTTTCTTGTTTTCTGCAGTCATGTGATCACTATCCGGAGCCAAGACAGCATCATCGTGATTCCCTTCAACATGTTCCATATCACTCTCCCAAAGAAAGTCTCTATTGACAACCTTACATCCTCTCACGAGATCCTCAAAGCCCTCGCGTCGTACATTTCCAACTCTTGACCTCGGCCACTTACGTCTCACAGACCACACACAATACTACCACCTAGTTCATTCGTCTACCTCATTGTCAATACTCAGACGTTAATCTCTTTGCGACGGCCGCGGCCTCGGCAAACGTCAGTCCTTCGAACCCCACCCAAGCCATTAGGACCCAGCCGCTGCCGACATGAAGATTGAAATCAACTCGATAACATCAAATATCAGGAAGCCTATGCCGCTTCAGTGTGTGAAATGAGGCATTAACGTCTGCGAGGAGTGTCGGTTTTATCCGCGCGCCGAGCCCTCAGCTTTGAGTCTGTCGTAGAGTCACCACTTAGGGTGGAAAAGACATAAGGAAAACAGCTTAGATTTCTACGTGCAGGATTGCCTTGTCCGAAACGAATAAATACGTATCCTGCGTGGTGGATCCGCACGAAGGGACCGGACTAATAGTTAATCCGGGCCCGGCGCAAATCTCACAAGGCTGCGCGATGCGCGTGAGGGCATCGCGACAGAGTCCGAGTCGGCGACCGCATCTTTCGCTTGAGGATGATCATGGAGTTACTATGTGTTTATGCGACGAATGCGACGAAAAGACTAAGACTGAAACAGCTGAAAGTTGTGGGAAGAGCTGCGTGGTTGCGACCTTTACAACTAATGAGTCTGCATCAAGTGCTACCAGGAGACTAATACATTCTCTTCTCATTACTTTCAAAGCCATACTCGAGTGGCAGAGATGAGCCAATTTCGCAGAATGGAAGGACTCCTTCCCAAAACGATAGAGGAGCATTGGGATGGATGCCTGATGGAACACTGAATATCATGTTATTCTGCTATCTCTCTTGCTAGAAGTTGCTCTTCAGGTAACTCCGTTTTGCATCTCCATACACTTTTGCTGAACCTTCTCCAGAATAATTCTGGTGTGTGTGCCGGAATTCTGTCAGAAAAGAGACGCAAAGTAGGTGCAACTGATGTTCGAGACGCCTACCAGCGTTTGAGGTTGGGTCAAAAAAGATATTAACGTATAATGTGCCGTTCACTGTTTCCAGACAACTTATTCCCAATCTAACTCGCGTTGACCAGAACCCGAACCATCCCCGATGGGTGGTTGACAGCGGTATGGAAGGGTACCCGAATTCATATCCGAGGCTGGAATATTGGCGTCCTGGGGAGGATCTCCAGCTGACTCTATTCCATGAGCTTCTGGTTGACCCCAACTGTGTCGCATGAGGGTTCCTTTTTGATTCAAGGAGACTCATTGTGAGAAACCAACGGCAAAAGCTTAAGCTTTTCGGGACTACGAGCTCGATTGCCAAGTAGGTAGCTCTACATGCACTGTCACAAGCATTGGAGATGTCATTAGCCTTTTTCCTTTTTTTAGAGCACAGACTAAATCCAGTAAAAGTTGGAGGCTGATCATACAAGCATTCCAATACTTAGAAGCTTGAAGCTTTTGACAGCTTTCTATCTGAACTTAGCCAAAGCCCCCAAGGTACCTACAACTTTTTTGCGGTAGGAACTTGTAACAAAGTCAGGAAACCGTCAATTTTCGGGGCGTGTTATTTCCTGAGATAGTGCAATTTTAATTGCTCATCTCTGTGAACACCGCCAGGACAAATTATTATAAGGATGCTTGGGACAAAAAGATTTGTCGGCAGCTCAAGCGTCATTTCGAGTACTAATGGACTAAAGTTGACTAAGCATTATGTGATGGGAAAACCGAAACCATGTTGTAGCGGTATCTTTTCTCCAAAGCTCTGGCTATTGAAGCGACTGTTTCATGATCGGAAGTCTACAAGTTGCCATAGTGAGATTCGCGGAATGATGGAAGCCGCATCCTATCATGCCGTGGTGGCGCATATTGCTATTGATGGGGGCGGGGTCGAGAGCAGATCCATGCCGCACGTGGGCAGGTACAGAAATAACGCTCTGGGGTTCTGGGATTCAACACAACTGAAGTTAAAGTGATTCAGTTCAGCCTGGAGCTATCCGAGGTTGAGCGGGGTAATCAAGTGAGGCGACACTAGGCGCATCCCCATTTCTGTAATTAAGTTCCGTAATCTTCAGCTTGGAACAGTGCAAACCAAAATCCACTTTATTTCAAGGTTCATTTGAATACGTCTCTCTTTGCAGGAAACATGCCCGCGGCGTTTGTCTTTGCACTCTTTGTCTTCATGGGGCTGGCTGCGCCGGCACTCGCGGCATTTCGAGATGATTGCCTGGCGCTCACACCTCAGTCAGTAGTAGCCGACTCGATTGGAAAAGCGCTAGAATTTGTCACATCCGGCACGAACCTCTCTTTTCCAGGGCAAGATGCGTCCTGCAACCGGGCAAGCCAAGTTGTCAGAACGGACCTCTGTCGGGTTGCTATGAACCTCACGACCTCGGCGAGGTCAGAAGTTGTTACTGAGGTGTGGCTACCCGAGAATTGGAATGGTCGCTTGGTGACAGTTGCCGGAGGAGGGCTCGATGGTTGTAAGTGTTTTGGTAACGAAGATTGAGATGATTATTGCTTTCTCTAACTGTAGATTTCCGTCTCGTCAGGTGTTCACTACGAGGATCTCGCGTATGCCACGGCCCACGGCTTTGCAGCTGTCGGTACGAACAACGGCCATGCTGGGACCACTGGAGTTCAATTTCTTGCCAACGAGGAAGTGGTGATTGACTTCTCCTGGAGAGCGTATGTCTCAAAGACAAGCTTTTGAGAAACCTGTACTGATCGATACGCAGACTACATGTCGGTGTTGTTGCAGGCAAGCGGCTTTTACAACTGCTATACAAGCGCGCAGCAACAGGCTCGTATTTTTTGGGTTGCTCTTTAGGCGGACGTCAAGGCATCCAAGCCGCAGACATGTTTCCCGAAGACTTCGATGGCATCGTGGCCGGCGCTCCGGCCGTCAACTTCAACAACCTCTACTCCCAAAGAGCTAGTTACTTACCTCGTACTGGGGCTGCGAACTCGAAAGACTTCATCACTCCTACGGTCTGGAAGACGACAGTTCACGATGAAGTGCTCCGACAGTGCGACAAGATCGACGGTGTAGATGATGGTATCATCGAGGATCCGGCCTTGTGCAAGTTCGATCCGGGAACGTTATTGTGCCGTGACAACTCTACCGCTGACAGCACCGGATGTCTTTCGAGCAAGCAAGTCGAAATTGTAAAAGGGATCTTTAGTCCCATAAATGATGCTCAGGGAAACCTCTTTTCGCCGGGTATGAGCCCTGGCAGCGAGATTACCGCCGCAGATGGACTGTACAGCGGCAAGCCTTGGGCGCTGTCTCAGAACTGGTTTCGTTATGCTGTTTATAATGACCCAAGTTGGGACGCGGCAAGCTACACTCTGGAGAAAGATGGCGTCTTTGCTGAGAAGAAAAACCCTGGTGACATCAAAACATACCCAAATAATCTCTCAGCATTTAAGAACAGAGGTGGAAAGCTCCTGATGTACCATGGCCAACAAGACCAACAAATCACGAGTTTCCGCACGCCTATATTTTACGACCGTCTGTCCCAGGGTATGGGGCTGAACAGAACTGGGATGGATCAGTTCACCCGCTTCTTCCGCATATCCGGATTGACTCATTGCACCACAGGACCCGGCGCCTGGGTTATTGGTCAGGGAGGCATCGGAGGCAACGCAGCTACTATCGCCGATAACCTACCATTCGACAGTACACACAACGTTCTTGCTGCAATTGTGGACTGGGTTGAAGGTGTAGTCGCGCCAGATACCATAACCGGAACAAAGTTTGTCAATGACACTGTTGAACTTGGCGTGGATTTCCAGCGTCGGCATTGCAGGTACCCATTGCGAAACACCTACATGGGCGACGGCCTGAACCCTAAGAATGCAGATAGTTGGAAGTGTACGTGCAGCTAGTTCGAGCTCGAGCGCTCTCGGCTAATAATCGTAATTGCGTAATTCGAACCCGACCGAGGCTTGTCTCTCACACTGCCACTGGTGTTGACGATCAGCAATTCTTGGCGATGCTTTATGCGCCATTCCTTTTGGGGTCAATCAGGCCACTTTACTACCCTCATGAAGAAGGTTATTGCTCTCGTACCCCATATCTAATCGATCCCCGTTTAAGACTATTTCGGTGCTAAATGCCTGTAATAACTCGAAAATGATGAACCAAAATAAAAGAGCCGTCACCGTTGGAAAGGAACGCCATTGGTAGGAGTTTAGTGGGTAAATATTTTAAGTATTACAAGTTCTAGGATTGCCAGTAATACAAAACGGTAGGGGTAGATCTGACGCATACGATGCGTATTTAGGATCTGTAACAACAGTCTTGAAGAGCGTGTAAGCTTGAAGCGTATAAAAGGAAAGGCTTTAAACTCTGCTAGAAAAACAAAAGTCCGAGTATCTCGCACTTCGCAATACTCAACTACCGTGTCATTGAATTAATCAGCTGAAACATGACAGCGAGTCATCTCATAAGCTTCCTTGACATGTACCTATGCATTGAGATGAAATCTTTTATATTAGTCTGCGATCCACCGATGATTATGGCAATTCCTCGCGATCTCCTAGAAAGCCTACCCGGAAATCCAAAAGGTGACAACAATGGCCAACAGCCATCCGGCCGTCGTTGATGGAACTTGGTCACATCTCAGTAAGCTTATCGCGGATGTGCCGTGCTGGACATGCCGGCGCAGAAGGCTTAAGTGTGATAATATCAAGCCATCATGCGTTAAATGTACCAGAGCGGGCATCCAGTGTCTAGGCTATGGGCCGAAAAAGCCGTTGGCATGGGTCGGCTTGTGCCGCCTAGTAAAACCGAGTCTCAAACTAGACGACAGCAGGAGGGCTTGGTCCAACGAAAAGATCGCCACTTCTGCTAGCCAGGCGGATGAGATAGCAATACGAAAAGAAGATAATGATCTTGTAAGAATCGTTCCTTTGCAAGACCGTTTCGTTGAAAGGGGGTGTGCTAACAAAGACAAGTCCACAATTAGGATATCCAGCGCCCTCTCAAACTCTGTGCGAGCAGACGCGGAATCTGGTGTACGGGAATATCTCCAAATTGAGAAAAGCCCAACTAACCCCTTGTTCGTCAACTGTGATCCGAATGTGTTGTATTATATTCAATACTGTAAGTCTGACCTGTTGCATTCTCTGGAACAAACACTCACCCATGGTCCAAGACGCGGAACGATGTTGTATGGAATGCACCATTTATGATGACAACTCGGTCAATCCCTTTAGACAATTCGTCGCCCTAATGCAATCCAGCCCTCTTGTCCATCATACAATCGTCTGTCTTGCAGCACATCACCTGGCGCGTTGCACCACGCCCCTACGTTTGGCAAGTAGACTTATCTATCACTCTCACGGCTCGGACGAAGAGGAGCCTCGTGAGCTACTCACATCTGCCCATTATCTCAACGCCCTGGGCCACAAGAGACGGGCAATACAGCATTTGCGGCAGGCTTTGACGGGCACAGACTACTCTGACCCAGTCGTCGTTTCGACTTTGCTCCTAATATGGGTGGAACTTCTTGAGTCCGGATACAAATCTTGGAGATGTCATCTCAACGGCATGAGAGGCCTGCTAATCTCTCGGATAAGGCTGGGCCAGCTTGAAAGCGACGAATTTTTTCCTTTCACGTCGAGTACGGTTTGGAGTGTTGGCAAATACTTAGAAGAAGTATATATCATGTAAGTCACTACTCCATAACTGCAGCCGACGGGGCCAGGAACTAATTGTGTGCAGTCTCCAGATTTTTGGATCGACTCTAAGTAAAGACAAGATAGATGTGTTGCATATGCTGGGCGACTCTACAATAGGAAACATATTGCGCCGAGCAGAGAATAGAAGTTGGACCGGCTGTCCAGCGGAGCTCATGTATATCTTGTGCAGCTTCAACAGTCTCTGCGCCAAGAGATCTGGTGCGTATGCATTGGCCCCTGAACTAGGAGACCAGGCTGCCAAGATATTTGAACGCCTTGGAAGGTTCTCCTGCATGGATTGGTCAATCAGTTATCCTGAACGAAACCAAACCGAACAGAGATATCATCTAGCGTTTGCTTATAAGGCTGCCATCAAGATATATGGGCTGCGAGCTCTTCTTGGAAGCCAATTCCAGCCAACAGACATGCAAGAACTTCTCCAGAGTGCTGTATCACACATTGAAATGATTGGCCCAGAAGACAATCACTTCAAAGGATGTTTTTGGCCAGCCTTTATCCTGGGGGCTGAAGCAAACGATAGAGCTCACCGCCGGGTCATCACAGGCATCCTCCTCGATATGTACAAGTTGTTGCACTCCAAGAACGTTGAGCGAGGCCTCCATGTACTTGAGCGTATATGGAAGCTAAGAGACTTGGAGGACGACAAGACATCTTGGATTGATCATTTGTATGAAGATGGCGAAGAATTACTATTAGTGTGAGCGGCTACATAATACTATCCCACTAGTCATGTGTGTAAACCCTGGTTTCCTTAGCGCAACAAGCCGTCTGAAGTCTTGTTACCGACTCTTTGCAATTTTTCTCTTTCACCGACTGTCAAATCTCCCTTTGCTCTGTCAATTCTGATGCCGACAGCTATTTTCACTAAGGAAGCACCTGCACAAGCAGCACCCACTGTCAGGGCAACCTGGAATCCAGACTTCAAATCCCCACGAGCCCCGGCCGCTGACGCCAAGTCGGCCCAGCCGAGGAAGAAGCTCATGCCCAAAAATAGAAGGCCGTTCACACAAGCACCTGCGATGCCCTGCTGATCGCTTTTCATGCTCGTGGTGATGAAGATGTTGCTGACATTGTACATGATGTCGATGCCGACAGTGGCGCAAGTCATAGTGGGGAGCACCCAAGCCCAGTAGGTAGAGTTATCAGGGAGAAATATGAAGAGAAGAGAAGATGTAAGTAACCCGAAAATTGATAGAAGAAGCAGGATGGTTCCTGGCAGTTTGTGAAGTATAACGGATCCGACGACAGCGATGACAATGCCGCCAATGGCCAGTGGCGCAAACCAAGCCGCGGGAAGAAGACGTTCGATGTGAAGAATGGTCTCGATGCTGGAAATTGTGTAAGATTATGGATTTTCTTCCAGCTCGGCTTAGGTAGTGTGTGTCCGGAAGAAAAGGCAGGAAAACCTACTAAAAGCTGGCATAAAGGAGATAGACCCCAAAGCTCCCAAACGCAATGAATAGGCAGCAAAATAAAGCAATGGTCTGCTTGGGCGCGAAGAGTTGAGGGGAAAGAAGTGGTGCAGACGAGACCCAACCCTCAACATAAACGAAGGCGCCGAGAAAGACTGTGCCAGAAACAAACATGACTAAGATCTGCCGCGAGGACCACCCGTTGGTAACGTATGGGCTGTCTGTGATTGCATACACCAGCAGCATCAAACCAGGAATAGAGGTTCCGCAGCCCCACCAGTCCATGGGCATCCAGGCAGGGTGTATCTGTCTCGGGACACAAAAGAAGATAAGCGTGCACACTACGGCCAGCAAGATACATCCCATCCAGAAGAACCAGCTCCAACGGAGAAATTGGCCGCTGACGTCGGCGACGAGGATGCCGGTGAAGAACCCAAACGGAGCACAGCCGGCGTAAAGACTGAAGACGATATTCTTCTGACGGCCTGGGCGGTAGACACTGCCCAGGAGGGAGATACCGGAAGGTAAAAATGCAGCGGCTCCTAGGCCTTGAAGTGGGCGGCAAACGACGAGCATGACGTAGTTTTGGCTGAAGCCACCTATCAATGACCAGATGGCCATCTATGCATTGCCTGCAAGGAAGATGGGAAACCCTCCATGCATGTCGCTGAGTCTGCCGGAAGGGAGGAGAAAAGCACCGGCGACTAGGGAGAAGACGCTTGACGGCCATGTCTGTTCCGCTGGCGAGAAGTTGAGGTCTTTGATAAGACTCGGAAGAAGTACGTTGAAACAGCTGATGAGAAACTCCTGCCACGTCATAGCATCGTGTTAGTAAGAAGAAGGAACGAGGAGAGATGATAAGATTGTTGGAACGATAATACTGTGCATTAGAGGAACTAACCGCTATGATGTTGGAAAGCAAGACTGACGCGCAAAATCCAACTTCTCGCAAGGTGCTGCTGAAGACCTCCGGCCTTTGCCGGCCAAGCCTGTCCTGTTCTTGCTCGTCTAGAACTACCAATGAGACCTCGCGAGCAGTCTGACCCGTGCCATGGTGCTCATTGCGGACATGGGGCGCTGCAGTTTCTTGGCTATTGTTGCTTTTCATGGGAACCGGAGGAGCCTGCCTGCAAGCCGGATGAGTATTAAAAAATGAGGGACAACAAAGGACCGTAGGAGATGCACGACAAGACCAAAAGTAGGAAAATGTAGACGAAGAGATGGTTAATTAGTTGCAAATATACAGCAGTAATAGCGCAAGTGAGCGATGCCTCTGGACAATCGAATGGTGGCTGACCCATTGTTAACGACTGATTACGATGTACCAGCCAACTCGGAATGCGTGCGGAACCCACGCGGAACCCACACGGAACGCAGCTCGGTGACTCGCGGTGGAATCATCCGCCGGAAACTTCCTCGCTGATCTCCATCCTGGAAGACAATGTCAATTACCCTAAACGGCAGTAGCTTTGGATGGATGGAGCCCGAGGGACGCGAACACGGCCAGGAGGGGACACTAGTTCCGAATAGGCTCAAATCTGGAGAATCCCAGACGATGGATAATTGGACAGTCGGCCCAGAAACACAGGGCGCGACAACACCAAGACCAGGAACCCGGGGGGACCTACCTGTCGAACGCGCCCGTGCCACGGCGGGCTTGGAGGCGAACCAGGGCCGGGGGCAACAGTTCGCCGGCAATACGGGAGAGGGTGGCGGGCACGTTAACCTTAATTGTTGTTATATTATCAGGTATGCATCGTTCCATGTTTGATATGTCCCCAAAAAATGGCATGATCTGGAAATAATGTAGGGACGGTACCTGACGCCATGTGCGCAAGTGGCGTCACCTTATGCCCTTTATCCACGACTTCGGCTTCCAATGATCAGCTTACGCACCCTACCTGCAATGCTAATCGCTCTGATATTACGGCAGTGATGAAATTGCACATCTTTTTCGTCAGAAAAGGAGGTTGTTATTGTTATTGTCTGTGTCTACTTTCCTGATTGATGGTACGCTAGAACCGTTCTCTTCCTTCTCCGTCTTTCTGTAGCGCTTCTTCTTGACGGTCTGTTTCCTACTGAGGTAAAGGTTTATTTGGATCATTCACATTCGGCTCTCACATCAAGCTGTCACGTCTTCGTCGAGCAGGCATCGTGTATGAAGATAAACTCGCAATCTCAGCCGCAACCACACGTAACCACACTATCGCCATCAACGCCTCTGCAAACCTCCGAAAATCCTACATACGCACTTCAATGCTCATCCCCAAACCCCTTCATCTCGCAGATTGGGGGATTCGACCATTAAGAGAAGGACCGGAATGGGCCAAGGCATCGAGGTTGGCGACAAATAACGGCAACACATTGTCCAGACACTGGACTATCTGGAGTATCGGACAAGATGCGCAATCGAACGGGAGGATTACTTGCCTTCCCCAATCAAGGATTACTCTCTTGAAAGCTCGAGGGTCGAAGTACAGGCTCCCCGCAGCTCACAAGTTAAGCGCATGTTCACAATATACCCCTACAAAGACATGAACTGGGTCGTTGCAATGTTGTTCGTGGTCGGCAGTGTTGTCTTCGTCATCAACGCTGCTCTAGGACTGGCTCCGTTCCTTGATCCAAGCCTCGCGTTCCCCACCCTTGCGACTATCGCTCTGCCCGGTACAATCCTCATTGGAGCCACTATGTTCATGACAGGCGGTATACTAGGCGTCTTCGCCGCTTTTAACGCCGAACGCGGTACCCTGGAGAAGAGCGATACCAAGTCGATCGAAGGCGGCGCGAACATAGTGTACCGCCCAGCTCTCATCAGTTCCCCGGCCTGGGTCTGGATCCCAAGTGCAGCTGACGCTGCTACTGTGCTCCGAACCGTCCCTTTTCGAGCCGGGCTGATGCAGCTTTCTGGCGGTTTGATCCTGTCTACATCCGCTGCAGCTGGAATTCCGGGACTTCTCGACCCAAACAATCTCTTTATAACCCAGGCGCTAGTCTTTATGCCACAGGTAATTGGAGGTTCAATGTTTTTCTTCGCTAATTTCGCCCTCATGGTTTACGCGCAGGACACTTGGCACAAGCCAAAATTTGCATCCGCTGAATGGCAAGGTGCTTTGTGGAATGCCTTGGGCTCGACTGGGTTTGCTCTCACCGGCGTTTTGCTGCTAGAGAGTGACATATTTGGTGCCTCGGCCGTTTCTTTCGCGGGGAGCTTTGCTTTTCTCATCGAAGCATTATTCAGTGGTACGTGCTGATGGAATTCCACGCTACGCCTTGGGCGACTTGAGCACGCGGCCTCAGCCGCTAGCAAGACCATATGGATTGAGTCTAGGACCTACGTACCCTTCTCTCTTCCTAGCAACTGATGAACTTGGCATTGCTGAAGTAATAAATTGATGATTCTGGTTGCGACTATTAGATGATAATGTGATGAGCCTTGTATTTCACCCGCATATGATAAGCTTATGGGCTGTTGTGAGGCCTTCCGGCATGTGGCTCTTCATCTTTCCTGTTCGAAGATAACGGATGCAAAATTTCTTACGAATTTCGAAAATTCTCCGATACAGGCATTTTCATCTAGAAATTGTAACCATAAAATCCTAATAAAGCCCATCAGAATGCTGGAACATACGCGACTTGAAGCATTTCTTGACTCCATAATAATCTTCTCTTTTGTTTCCCGGCCAGCTCTTGTGGGGCCTCCACGATGTTGTCACCTTGTTGGATGCAAGCAGCAGGATCTGCGTCCACCACACCCTCAGCTCTTGCTGCGCGGTCGCGAGATGATCGAAGCGATACCACCATTGTTTGGGTCCGTCATTGCCCCAGATCGTTGATTGACGCCAAGGTTGCTTATCACTAACGTCAGTTCCCTTTCATGGAATTGAAGGGTTTCTACTAAGCAATTAGTACTGATTTGTACCCATATTCAGGTTCAAGTGCGAGAGTGGAGACTTCTGGAAAACATGCCATACTTTGAGCAAGTTTCGATGTGTCATCCTGCGCCAAGTTTGAGGCAGGCTTGTGATGGAAAGTAACCCATACCTTTCAATTCTCGCCGCATAACACTTCACATACCTACGTTATATTTCCATTCGTGCACGTTCAGATTGCACAGCCTTGATCCATGCTTAAAAATTTATCAACTGTCATTGCTAGTACGATGGAAGAGCAACGGTTCGGAATGCCTTCATGAACTGGCCATTGTTGCCTTCGCCGCTATGGGGACGTAATCGAAGCTCAATCGGCGACTGAACACTTGCGGATGTTCGCGTCCTTGAGTATCACTTTGTTCTTTGTTTTTGACTGCTTAATTGACCTAGCTTTCGGCGGGGTTGCTAGATGGCTGGCTGATCTGGCCTCCAATGCCCTCTGCAACAGTCCGAGCTGTGATATGTTAACCCGGTGGCATATGAGATGTGACAGCACTGAACTGAAGTATTTCTTGTCACGTCAGTATTCGAAGTGTCTCAGGGTCCTGCGGGGTTACTTACAAATCGACCGAAGCGGATGCTCAGAGAGGATGGGCCTGAACAGAGGTGGTGTCCGGAAAGGCGAAGATACGGCACATGGCGCCCGTAGCTTGATACACATAAGATAAGCTCCAGTACCAAGAGACAGTAATCTTTTGTCACAAACAAGCGATGATTTCACTCCTAGGAAGAGACTTTGAGTGATTGACGATGTCGGTCACCTGATCCCGAGTGATACTGGAGTCTACGTCTTTCCCTCGGGGGGATTTCGGTTCTCAGATTGTCACAGTTCCACACACAAACAAATCTAGCTCTTCTCTTGCTACGAAGTGGCCCTCAAAAGTCAGATATGCTATATAAGTGAACGTTCCAGGCAGTACTTTCGCACTCCTACCCCAGCTGAACCCGCTTCTAAGCTTCCGTGTTTAGTTATGAGTAAATCCCTGTGACGGCGCTAAGCCCACAAGAGCGATGCCATCTGGAGGCTGGGCTATTGCAGGCTGGAATTCCTTTGTATCAGGGCGCACGGGAGCAATGGATAAGACGGCGTGGAACGGTTTCACCAATGACGATATACTTCCTGGTGTCAAACCCAGCACGATGTCTTGACCTGGATTCCCAATTGGGAGGTGCCCCGGCTAGTCATGAACACCTCTCGAGAGGCTATGGATTCATTGAGAATAGCCAATTGCTTCTTCCAAACGTTATTACGAACGTTGAAAAAGCGACCACAACTTCTTCAGATACTTTCCCAGAGGGCATACCGTTACATGCTGGCAAGTTAACCAAAATGAAATCTGAGTGTCGTACTTTCATGATGGGCCCTGTGAAGATCCATAGCCTTGTCATTGTGTGACGTTCACTTGATGAGATTTTCAGCACGACGGTGGTCAATTAGAGCAAAAGTTTCCGCAAACGAGACCCTTAATAGTTCAAACGACTTACAGGACCTTAAAAGTTCATAAGCCATGCAAGAGTGTGTGAACTAAACGCCGTTAGGCAGATCAACCTCGTTCCGTACAGGAGGGAAAGCCTAGGCTTCGTAGCTTGGCATCCCCGCCAGCCAATGAGTCGCGTGGCGTGACCAGTGACAACCGTTTTTGAGGCATGCCCGCTTTGGGTTTGAAGCTCTCACAGCATGGGGTTGCGACGGATGCGGGTTCTACTGTGAGTCTGCCACAACGGGCTACACCGCCTGGGTCGAGAACATCATCTACATACACTCTTCCCGGAGAAAGGGGTCCGAGCATAGAAAACACATAAGGCCACTGAACGGTCGTCACCCGAAGCTCAATAAGAAGTCTAGGTATATTTCAAAGCGGAAAGGCCTCGATTATGTTTTCGGACTCTCAAACTTGAGCACCAAAATCGATACCAAAATATTCAAATCCTGTTCAGTACCTTAATCCACCGCCAAAATGGTGATTGCAAAGGTCGGACGAAAGCCGCCTGGAGACAGCGAAGCCAATTATGGCTCCCTACCAATGCTCCGCATTGCCAACACTGCTAGGAACAACATTGTCGCTGTCCTTGGAGAGTTTGTAGGCATGTTTCTGTTCCTGTTCTTCTCCTTCGCCGGGACACAGGTCGCCAAAACACCTCTCGGAGCACCAGGCTCAGTTCCCAATCTGCCATGTATAATTTTCATTGCGCTTGCATTTGGCGTCTCCTTGACAGCAAATATGTGGGCGTTTTATAGGATCACTGGTGGGATGTTCAACCCTGTCGTAAGTTCCATAATCTCCTCACCTAATGATGGTCAAGTTGACGTTCTCATTCACCAGGTTACTCTTGCCCTCATGCTTTGCGGTGGCTTGCCACCGTTACGCGCCCTTCTCATCATGCCGACTCAAATCATAGCTGGACTATGTGCAGCCTGAGTCGCTTCCGCGGTGTTTCCTGGTCCTTTGGCTGTTACCACATCCTTGGGAGGAGGCGCGAACACTGTGCAAGGCTTCTTCATCGAAGTTTTCTTGACCTCGCAACTTGTTTTCGTCATCCTCATGCTCGCGGTTAAGAAGCATCGGTCCACTTTCCTCGCTCCTGTAGGTATTGGGTTGTCATTTTTCCTTGCAGAACTTACGGGTGAGTCTTTCTTCTCATGTGCTTTGGTGACGTGTTCATAGTGCATGATGTTAAATACTTCATTTATTAGGCGTGTATTTTGCTGGAGGTTCTCTTGATCCCGCTCGATCATTCGGGCCTGCTGCTGTGATTGGAAACTTTCCCGGCTATCACTGGACCTACTGGCTCAGCCCGACACTCGGTTCAATTGTTGCCTGTGGGTTTTATGTCTTGCTCTGCAACCTTCGATACTACGAATGTTACCCAGGCCAAGAGTCCGATGGCCAAGAGACGGTTAGTGAGCATATCTTCAAAGGCTAAAACAATATCTGGTATTGGGCTTTCTTTTCTCGAAACGGACAGGTTGGAAAGGCAGTCGATAGTGTTCTTGGGTCTGTGGAAGAAGCACGCAAGGTATGGAGGGGGACAGCCTGCTTTAAATAACGCCTACTTGCTGTGGGTTGAACTTGACTGGACTGGTCCAGTGTATGTTGGTGAGTTGGGTTGTGGATATTCGAGGCCTGCTTCTGGAAAGGGATAAAACTAGAAGACAACAGTAATGAGTCTTGATTGAAAATGTTCGTCTGCATAGCTGGCAATCGAAATATATTCTGGATCATTCGTGCTGCAAACTGAAATCTGTTGACTGGAGTACTGAAAGATGAGGTTTAACTATTTTCGAACGTTTTTCAAAGCGTTTTTCAAAGCGTAATATGAGGTTGCGGAATGCCGCCGACACGGTCTGAAATTGATGTTCCTGTAACCTTTCTGGAATGTTGTTTACATCAGGATTCTGTAAAATACAGACGTTTAATCTCACTAGAGCTTGAAATGAGACAGAACGTGGTTCGGGGGTCCCGAATATCAAAGTAGTCGTCGGTGTACTCAAAGCCACAACATCAGCCACCCTTCACCTTCCTCCGTTCCGCCTGCGCAGTGGCGGATTTCGGTCTTTACCCAATCAAGTCTCCCTCAATACAGCAAGGCTCATGGAAGTGGCAAATTCCAGAGGGAATTTCGACATCAAAGCAATCTCATGGTACTTATTCGCCAAAAGACGACGAGTGGCGTTGCTCTTCACAGTCTGAAGGTGGGCGTTACACAGCATCAAGGGATAACCACTGGCGAATGGGAACAGGTTTTGAACCACAAATCAGGGCCCTGTTGCAGAAGGAATTGGCGGTGCTGGGCGGCGATCGTGGGGATGGATGTCAGATTCTGTAGCCCGGATTGGAGGATGTCACTGCAGGATGCCGATCAGATGGATTTCGGGAGGATTGAATATGTCAGGGTGCGGCGCGAAAATGTCTTGGGTCGCAAGGGCCAGCCAATTTTTCGCCCCAATGCTGCGGTTAACAAGGCTTTTTACTGCTGTGAATACCCCGGAAGAGTAAATTCTTCTTGTTTTTCAGGCGACAACCGTTCTTTGAAACGCTCATGCAGCTTGATGCCATTCTGTCTAGGCTCTATTGGCCTTTCACCGTCAAAATAATGATTCGCTCGGCCATGTCCGAGAACGCAAGGTTGTCTTACACACATCTTCTAAGCCATCTCACGAGACAGCTACACTAAAACAAACTCAGGAAATTGCTGTGCTATTCGTTTATGGCCTAATCACGCGCGTTCCCGAAGTTTCTTGGGCTCGGTTGTCTTCCAGCTTACGCCTGAAGCAAGATGACTGGGTGGCAATTGCATCTCAATTCTAAGAGTGACAACTATTTGCGACGGATGGAATGTCATCAGATGTTATGTGTCTGGGCCCCAGCAGGGCTCAACAACCTTTCGCGCTCTCCTTTCCTTACCGTATATCTTCCATTGAAACCCACAGCTACCAGCAAGAGTCAGCCTATGATCTCTGGGCGTTAGCCAGACAAGTTTTCTCTCGTATCCACCAGGATCCCGACTTTGTCCTTCGCAGTAGCTTCTAGGCATCGATTTCAACGCCAATATATGTGTTGTTGGTCAATCAGAAGGGGGGAGAGACTCGTAGAGGCACCAATTGTGGCTCAATAATCCTAGCTTCAAAGCCAAGGCAACCTTTGGCAACCCATAACCTCGGGGCCACATGCATCATTGACTGCTGCATAGATTTTACCCTTCATCTTGTATTTTGTCAGCCCTACAGAGTAAGACTCGATTTCTTGCATGGATCCTGTTCCAGGATGGATATGCCAGTCAAGACGGGCGTAGGTAGTGCCGCTTGATGGGATTCTAGCCATTGGATCTCAACCTTCACGTGAGGCCATCCCTCGAAATGATGAATCACAGAGGATACTTGGTGAAGTTAGCCAGGCATCCATCGTGCTATCTTACATGAGCCAATAAGACGGGAAACAATTAACCTACATAGGTCAGGCTATATAAGCTTCGAACGGGCGTTCTCTGCCAGACTAAGTTGATATCGGGCGAGTAGTACAAGGCATTAAATATCATATATCATCGCCTCGTTCCTAGCAGACTGACATAGGCCCGAAGTTACTACGACACCGAATCTGTTGTCTACTTATCCTTTCCATCAAGATGCCACCGGATTTGAGCCACAACATGGCACTCCCAGCTGGAATGCCTCTCCGAAAACTTGATCATGATTTCAACAACGCTGATGGATCCATTCTTTTGTTTGACCAAATGCAGTCAATGACCATGTCAAATCCTCTTTGGCGAGAGTTCATCGGAAATCGGTTGGCCCTCGAGAAGCGCTACGGGCAGATGCTGCAATCATATGAAGAATCTTTTGTGTAAGCAAACCACATGAATCTGGAAGCAAATTGGCTGATATCCACTGAACAGGACGTACTTCGGCGGATACATGCCTATTGATTACGCTTCTCCAAACAGCAAGATTATGGATCCCAACGTTGTGGTCAAGATGATCCTTACCGTCGCAGAACTTTCGATGTCTGAGCCATCAGACTCATCCGAGAGCCCCTCAACAGACGAAGATGATACCTTGAAAAGAATGGGCTGGGAAGATGTCCAAGTGAGGAGGCCTTGTTGGGCACTTCTTTCTGACACATACGCTGCAGCAACTGCTACTTCGAAGGCCAACTCAGGGGTAAGTTAGAGTTTACGTCCTTTCTGCAAACACAGTTGTCGACTAATTGTTTTATTTCACAGAAATCATCTCTCAGATTCTCCAATTCGCAAAAGGCCTATGGAAACGATCCTGTACTCCTTCATATTGAAGGAGTCTCTGACGACGAACTTAAGGATCAACTTTACGAAGCCAAACAGAAGGGATGTATTGGAATCATAATTGAAATTGTGGAAAACCAGTACAACGGAAGGGTCATGGACCCTAACATGCTCAACAGGTTGAAATCAATATGCATTGAAGAGAGCTTGCTCCTGGCTGTAGACGAGACACTCACTGCAATTCGCTGTGGAGCACCCTTCTGTTTTCAACGGGAGGAATATTGCAATGCAGCATCCCCTGATCTTGTCTTCTTCGGAAAGGCCATTGGAGTCCACGGCACAGCCATTGGATTCGACGGACAATTCCTGAGAAGGTTTGGGATTTTTGGAAGCTCACGCAGGCGAGCCATCCGCAGATGGCAGAGCCAGTTCCTGAAACCTATTGCCCTTTCCGACCTCATCCAGGCACTGAGTGCGATTGATATAGCCGTTAGAGGAAATCTCACCATGCTGAGTAGAATCATTGGGCACACCATAAGAAGCTTTATTATTGAACAAGCTGAGGAGCGTGGCCATGATGTCAAAGCTCAAGGTGTGCTTGGCGGGCTTGATAGCCTTATTTTCGTGAGGAAAGACATCGCCGGGGAGATATTCATTATGGGTTCCAGCACGGCGGGGACATGGGTCCCTTGGGTTAAGTGGTTGCCAAGGCTTGAGAGGGACATGTCCAGAAGTGAGGTACTAGAAGAAGTGATTGGTAGTAGGAGTCGATCATCTCGCGAGGAGCTCTCGGAGATGCTCTTAAAAAAGGGTTCGAAGCCGAGCTGGTGTTTCTGGTGTGGGAGCCGGACAACGACTAGGAAGGACGACTGGTGTCGGCGGTGTTGCATTGGCGCTTGTGATGAGGACGTCTGCAATCGCCATTTTCTCAGTCATCATTGCATTTGATTGCGAATATTGCATGCATGTGGTTTAACTGTAGACAAATAGATGTGGAATGGGGTTGAGTTGTACATAGTCATCACAGCCCCGAGCGGGTAACTCCTGTTTCGTTTCAGGTATCTCTATTATGATTAACCACCATTAATATTCCACATCCTATCATCAAGATTAACCTCATTCAGATGGATTATTGTTATGGCTGGTTGCTTGAGAGGAGAAAGGAAAGGAGAAAGGAGAGGAAAAAGGAGAGGAGTCCATTTGATCTAGTCCGGACTTGAGCCGAAGACCTTCAATGTTTTAGACTGACGTAATGGCCAAATATGACACCAGACCTAGAGGATCTTGCAATGGAATTCACTCAGTTTGCTAACTGGACAATCACGTTGAGGCGAAAGGTGCTCATGCTAAAGATGCCCACTGACACAGTGTTGACAGTACTTGAGGTTTGGCAGTGGCTGATTTGTCGACGTCTGGGAAAACAGGACGAGCTGTATTAGACATACTCAAACAGCTCTGGGTAGCGGTGGAACAAGGCTCAACAATGCAAGACTTTTGATTTACCTGGCACAAGCGTGGAGGTAAATGGTCATTATGTTTTCCTCTTGTTCCTGAGAGTCAAAATCATACGCTGGTTCGATGAATGGTAGAGACGAGCGACACCATCAACTGGCTGCAAAATTAACTTAGAATCAAAGGTGCGGTGTGTAACCTATCCCAACTTCACCGAAAATACTTACTAAAGAAGTAAGGTAAGATGGTTGACTAGGTGTCGGGTTGGACAATGTGTAAGGCAGTATTACATGCTGCTTATGTAATGAAGGAGACTACGACCCAAACCGCTTCAGTTTAGTAAAGCGCCTCATAATGACGTACGAACTACTTAAAGTACGTCGCCTGACTGGCAAGGCAATTGCGGGGTTGCTTGATATACATGTAGCGGCCACCGCCGTATGTGCATGAATAAAGCAGATATCTTCGGTCTAGGACTTTTGTATTTGAACTTTGAGTCGTGTACAAACATGTCATCCAATGGGCTCTCACAAGCAAGGACACCTCTGCTAGGCAACAGCCAGAGAGGAGCACAAGCCAGGATAGTATGTTTCAAACCATTAGTCGCTATGTTTGGGAGCAGTTGGGCGGGCATAGATCGAGCTAATATTCGCGGTAGCGTTCAACCTCTCGAAGCGTTCGCGACAAATCCAACAGCGTAGCATCGTTCATCACGGATATCTTCCGCGGCGGGCTATTCTCCCCTCCGACTTTGACTTACGACCCACTGCTCTTGCTTTTGAATCACGATGAGAAAAGCGAAAGGGACAAGCTCACAGAGAAGTGGAAGGACAATAAGTTACAGGAACTCAACTTCGTGGGCGTCGTGGTATGTGTTGCTTCTAGCTTCAACGATGAGCCTCATCGGAGAAACATCGTTGCTTAGGGCTAACACGCAGGAGTAGGCTGCTTTGCTGGCAAATGTCCTTACGTCGACTGGTTCATGGCCAAACTTTCTGCCGCCGGGAACTACGACACCATGGCCTGTCCGGACGTGTTGGTTTTGTGGCATCGCTTTCGCCCTTGCTAGCGTCTTGACGGCAGCAGACCAAACAATCCGGCTCCACAGAATGGCGGGACACAGAGACGGCCTAGTCCTCATTAGACAGTCGTTACGCACCAGAGACCGTGTCTTGATTGGCACCGAATTGAAGTATCGACCCCGTCAGATGCAAGTTTACGCCTGGCAGCTTGCTGTCCTATTCCTGTCAGGATCAGTGCTGTGCATGATGTCAGGGATGGCCTTCCTGGTTTGGAGTGCCGTCGTTGAGGACATTGATAAAGGAATGGGATTTGGTGACAATGGAAAGGTAAGGTCAAGTTCAATCTCTCGAAAGAATATTTCCTCTAATATAGAACAGGTTGCTGTGATATTCACTTCTGTGGCTCTGGTCACTGCTTTCATTTTCAGCTTAGGACAGGCAACTCTACATCATCCTGTGCCGAAAGGAGGAGACATTGAGGATGTTGAGTAGACTACTGGAAGATACCGAGCCTTACAATTAGACTATGTTTCATAACCAAATTTTGATCTAAAGGCAATTTGAGGTTCTGACATTGTTGATGCATGTGGTCGCTATCCGATCTTGGAAATACAGAACTTGTTCTTGAGCAGAGCAGTTGGGCATTCGAATTTGCCAGCTTTTTTGTCTTTATCTAACTCGGTTTCTTTCCCCATCGTATCCCTTTTTCTTTCAGCTGGAGCATCCGCTGTCCATAAGATAACCCCGCTGACGGGGTACCGGTATCACGTCCTTCAAAAACACATTTCCCTTCCCCCACTTTCCCGATTGCCAGCTTAGTTGTTATGCATTCGCCTACTTTGAAGTAGTAATATCGACTTCAAGAGCTCTTGGAAAGGTTATGGACGCTGGTGCCAATCTCGCACTAGCTCATATGGTCATTGGCAATGTCGGGTCTAAGCGTACTTCCCTCTGAACACTAGAAACATTTGCTAACTCTCTACTCGTGTAAAATCTAAAGGTAGATATAGCAAAATGGACTGCCTCCAATGGTGTTGAGCAGGTCGCTGATAGGCCGATTGGGAGCGTTTGGCTCTTGGATAACGAGGTCGTCAAGGCGGGCGGCTCTGGTAGGGGAGGTGTGCTGGGGCTCGAAATGGTACCCGCAATGTTAAAGGCTTCCCCAGGGTGCAGAGCTTGCCACAACCAGTAAACTCGATCAACCATGGCGTGGTGCAAGAAGAATGTAGGGTCGTTGGTGGACGAGAAAAAATCCGATGCCTCGCCGTTGACAATCATATGACCGGCAGTGTGTGTTCCTAGATTAAGTCAGTTACCTTGTTCGTCCGTAGTTGTGAGCTGACCTTACCCAGCCAGCCGTCACCGAAACGACCCTGTAGCTCATTTTGGAAGGTGCTAATGTTCGCCGCAGCAGCGCCGATGGTAATATTGAGAACGTTCGCCGAAGTCATCCATCGTTGGGATGTCCAGGCACTAATGTCTCTGGAGAGACAACGAGGGTTATAGGCTAGCGAGCCACCAGGATTGACAGGAAGACCGTCAATACCTGGTCTAACCGGGCCAAGGTGAACAGTCATGCTATTGAGAAGCCGTCAGTGATTTCAAGGCCTTGCTCCGCTTCAAATTACCTCCATCGAAACAGAGAGACTTACTTGGCAAATGGGCCGCTTGTGACGCACCCACCCCCATTGCCGCTAGGAATCCAGACGGCGCCGCGTCCCGCAATGCTGCCATTGTGAGCTTTGAAAACCCCATTGCCACTCATGCTAGTGTCGCTTCCATCGAACATGGGCGCTTTGGAAGGGTCGTCTCTATAGGCAAGCCAGTTCCAGTACTACCACGAGAGTCAGAGCACCACAACCATGAATTCAACCTAGTGGGTTCTAGTCACTCACAGGTTGGTAGCCGTCGTAACCACACTCTTGCCTTAGGGCGTTCTCGTATGCCCAGGTGAAATATCGGTGCCATGTGAGGAAGTTCCCGGTTCCGTGAATGCTCAAAGTCTGGTTGATGTGAACGGCAACAAAGTCGTCATATCGGCTGCGAGCTCCGGGTGCAAAGTCATTCCCGAGCTTGGATGGCTTTATCAAAAGGCAGTTGACGGCGCTTGTGTAGGCTTTCTTCTCGGAGCCAGAGAGTGAGTTCCTAAGGTGCGTATATTCAGTGACTGTTGACTTTGACTAGAAAACCGTATAAGGATTTTGCAAACGTACCAATCCCGTCGAACTCGCGCGTTGAACAGACTGCACTCTTCTCTTTTGCCAAAAGTGACATTCTTCTCGGCGGCTTGAAGGGCTTCAATGGCCGCCGCCTGCACCCCAGAGAGCTCATCTCCTTGAGAAGCGAAGGCCGTGCCGGCGCAGAGACTTGATAAGGCAACAACTCTGACGAAACGCATGGTGATGTCGTAATAGGGGTTTCCTCGGGTTACGAGTGTCGGTGAAGCCGCGGGCAAGAACTCAGAGCAATGAAGAACCCACACAATACCCACATATACGTTACATATCGGGGAAGACAAGTTTTTAAGTCGAATTTGATGGCCGCGGGGCGAATCTGCATAAGCGTGGTTGAGATAGCGTCGGTGCTATAGGATGACATCGGCACGATTCCAAGACGTAGCTTAAAGGAGGCCCCAAGCCCGAAGGCAAAGATTGGCTTGGCTTTACCACCCTAGTATGCAGAAAGCGAGGTGAGTCTGCGTCTTCGGGCGGGTTTTCCCACCCTGGCCTTGTATGCATGGTGAGCAGTACGTTTGTTGGATGCTTACATAGCTGACCATGCAGTGATGATATACTCGACTTGTATTGAGCTGGCATGGATGGAACTAGCACCTTGGCAAGTCAAAATCAGCGTTTCATTGCCGGTAAGCGCTAGCACAATGAGATTTAAGCGACAGCTTCTCTTTGGGCCCACGATTGAAAGGGCAAGTGATACTCTGTTGCCGACCAATTCACCCATGCTTGTCTCAAAAGCCCAGCCCGAAGTCGATTGGCTCTTGTTTGGCGAGTTATCTTGAACGACCAGGGCTTGAGGCTTGAGCTCAGCAACGGGTCACCGCTAAACAACCTCCAGCTTCGATTGAAAAAACAGGCCCATCGAGCCCTTGGCATGCAGAGTGGGCTACGCTCCGACACAATAGTCGCAGGATCGGATCCTAGATTCGCTGTTTTTTGACGCGTCTCAGGTAAACGACATCTCGGGAGGTTCTGATGGTCTCCAACAAAGCAATCTGTAAGGGTTCTTCGGAACCCACACTTGTTTCGGGTGATACATATACCTAAGGCGACGGTTCAGCCTCGATAACGGTGTTGGTCAGATGCCTAACCGCTTTTTTATGTCGTGGACTAAAGTGACGTAAAATGACCATCGCTATCGGCAGATAAAACCAATGCGGAATGGGTACAAAGACATAGGTTCTATTTTGTTGGTGACAGAAGTCTAGACTAGGTTGCGAGCCGAATGCAAAGCTCTCAGGAAGGCACATGACGGTCATTATGTCGTGATTTCACAAAGCTCAACCACTGAAAACGTCACTACACTCAAGGCACTCGGGGAACATTGGCATCAACATTCGTAACAGTCGAGACATTGTAGGTCGATGGCAGTTAAGGATCCGAGTCCTTTTACCGCAAACATATGTGGGCTAGTGTGCAAGCAATGGGATCCATAGAAAAGGCCAATGCAGCATAGGCGTTTTTAAAGAAAATGATGATATGGTTCATTGTTGAATCACTTTTCGTCAAAGTAACGATGTTGTCAGCACTGTAGAAGAGGTATACGCGAACTGCTAGCATAAGATTTCATGCCGCTACATGTGCCTGAATGACATCCCCCGACGTTGTTGCGAGTCCTTAGCTTCATAGGTCAAAGGTACATCAGAGGGAGTCTGCGCGGCAATGTCGTTGGCGATTTGCATTATGGTGGGTGAAAGGGTGATAGGAGTATCACCCGGAGCCCAACCAAGCTGGACTGGCAAGCGCTCGTTGCCTTTAGCAGTTAGCTTTTGCTCGACAGGTTCAGACATCGAAACTCAAAACTTACGGAAAAAGAAATCGACGTATGATCTGTTTGCTACGGGGGTCTCGGGAGAGCCAAAGATGGTCAGCAGGAAGGCACATTCGCCCGTCGCTGCTGGTATTTTAGACTGTGGAAGAGTGAAGTTAGGATTCACCCGACTCATCTCCAGTGCATGCCTGGCTCGGGCGTTAGAGATGGTGGTAATGTTGATTGTCGCCGCGTCTCCGAAATAGCTCATGAATGCGTCGAATGTTATTTTGTCAAAGCGGTTGGATGGATCGAAGTACATGTCGCGGCGAGAAAGACTACCGTCGTGCTCTATGAAGTTGTGCTTATTGAGCATATCCAGGTTGATAAACTACGAGTCAAGTCAGCTGTGGTTCGTTGGGTGATGACTCCAACGAAGTCGAAAGAAACTACCAAGGCCAAAACATTTCATTGAAGTGTTTCTTCCTCGTTTGTGTCAGAGCAGGGAAGCCCATACCGATGCGCCGGGGTTCAAGTCCAGGGCTGGCTTGAAAGCCGCACCAGATAACTCCTCGTCGATGTTCATAGCATCTTTAAACCCCTTTTGGACAATGTCAAGTGTGATTTCCCGGCCATCATGTGGGATAAAACCATGGTTGGCGAGAGTGTTTAATCCTGGACAAGGGGCTCGTACTGAGAAACACCATCAGTGAAAAGGACGTGGAGCACGAACAATGGGGGACTCACGATCTTCGGGACCTGGTGGGGCCCATGTGAAGTGGCTGGGCTTCAGTAGAGACTGATCGTTGATCCCATACTTGGACAGCTTGTGTGAAAATGCAGTTGGCATAAGGGACTTAGTGCCGACATTAGCGTGGCTTGGAAAACATGAGACAAAAGGAAGGACCCCTAATGAAATAAGGAATATTTGCATTGTTATGCTAATATCAAGTATGATGGATTCTAAAGGAGAGAGTGAAATATCAAGAGGAGTTGCTTGAAAGCGTGAAGCGGGGAACGGTCGATGAAGACTGTATCTCTATGATATGACCGTTATTATATATCTATCAGACCATTCAGAGCATTGAAGATCTTCCGTGTTTCCCGTACACTTTGGAAGTGAATGAAAGTGAATGCTAGTTGTTAGTCCGGCCAAACGTTCGCCTTTCTCCAGTTCCTTCCGAGGCCTTGTTCGAATGCCGATCACCAACGCTAGATCGAATTGGTGGATAGAGTCCCTAGATCCATCAGCCTCCGTCAGGCACTATCATTCCGGATCATGCACGAACCGAACGTGCGGCTACTTTAGCGCTTAGCATTCCTACCACCAAAAACCATAACCTTTACACTAAACGTTGCAAGAACCAGATGGCTGAAGGATGTTTTGTAATTGTCAAACTTGTCGCGATTGAGTTCCTGCAGATATGGCGCCTCACCCTCTCACTGTGGACCTTAGGCGGCTGGGAATCGAGTCACGATTACCGCATGGCAATCCTGTCATGACTCGATTGACGCTTAGAGGCGGTGGAAGATCGAAACTAACAGACAGGTCTCAAAAATTTGAAGCCGGTCTGGGTGCAGCTGTCGTATGTTGTGGTTGTAGACGGGCAAAGTGTTGACAGTCATTGTGAATTAAAGCAGACGCCTGTTGACTATCTACAGCGTATTAGTGAGAGGGATAGCGGTTAATAGCAAGGCACAAATGACAAGCCGAGTACCAGACACCCCATTGCCCTTCCCTTCTTCTCTGCTGCATTCTTAACCATCCTTTTCTTTAATTCTGTGACCTCCTGTAGATACCGGGGCGACAAGACACTATCAAGTGGCTTCTGTCAACCGAGGGTTCAGATTGTGCTGTGGAAGCTGTCTCGGCTTCACTTGCAGGTTGACGAGGAACTTGAGTGAACACCTGGCGCCAGCCGTGACATGGGCTCTCGGCTTCACTACCCCACCACGGCGCCCCCTATCGCCGAATGCCGAGCTTTCTTCTCCACCGCAGCAGCGAGACGCCAAAAAATTTACCAGCGCCGCCTCCAGAGAAACTTTGGGAATCCGACGAATACCAATATCGTGTGACCTCGACACATACCGCGCGAAAATGGCTACCCCCACGAAGGCTCCCGCAAAGGGACCCGGGAAGAAGCAGCCCAAGACCCTCAAGAGGGATACGAAACTCGAAAAGCGCAAGCAGCAACTGCAGACCATCGAACAACTCGAGAAGGCCGTCGCCGACTTTGTAAGTGTGCACCTTTCGCAGCCTTCCGTGCTTGAAGCTTCCCGTGCGATCGATGGCTTTACTGACCGCGCCTGCGCCAACAGGACCCCAAGAGCGAATACAAAAACTTCTCCGACCTCCCCCTCTGCGAAGCGACCAAAAGCGGCCTGGACAAATCCCACTTCGAGACCCTCACCGACATCCAGTCCCGCGCCGTGCCCCTCGCCCTCAAGGGCTCCGACATCCTCGGCGCCGCCAAGACGGGCAGCGGCAAGACGCTGGCCTTCGTCATCCCCGTCCTGGAGAAGCTCTACCGCGCGCGATGGACTGAATACGATGGCCTCGGCGCCCTCATCATCTCCCCAACCCGCGAGCTGGCCGCCCAGATCTTCGAGGTCCTGCGCAAGGTCGGCCGCAACCACAACTTCTCGGCCGGCCTGGTCATCGGCGGCAAGAGCCTGAAAGAGGAAGCCGAGCGCCTGTCCAAGATGAACATCCTCGTCTGCACGCCGGGCCGTATGCTGCAGCACCTCGACCAGACAGCGGGGTTCGACGTGGATAACCTGCAGATCCTGGTGCTGGACGAGGCCGATCGCATCATGGACATGGGCTTCCAGTCGGCCGTCGACGCATTGGTCGAGCATCTCCCCGCCACGAGGCAGACGCTGCTCTTCAGCGCGACGCAAAGCAAGAAGATCTCCGACCTGGCACGTCTGAGTCTCAAGGACCCCGAATACGTCTCGGTGCACGAGGAATCGACGCCCAAGAACCTGCAGCAGCACTACATCATCACACCGCTACACGAGAAACTCGACACCCTTTTCGGCTTCATCAAAGCGAACCTGCGGAGCAAGATCATCGTCTTCTTCTCCTCGGGCAAGCAGGTCCGCTTCGCCTACGAGAGCATGAGGCACCTGCAGCCCGGTATCCCCCTGCTGCATCTGCTGGGCAAGCAGAAGCAGCTGCAGCGTATGGAGATCACGAAGCGCTTCGCCGACGCCAACCACTCGTGTCTGTTTGCCACCGACGTCGTGGCCCGTGGTGTCGACTTCCCCGCCGTCGACTGGGTCGTCCAGGTCGACTGCCCTGAAGACGCCGACACCTACATCCACCGCGTCGGCCGGACGGCGCGGTACGAGCGGAACGGCAAGGCGGTGCTCTTCATGGACCCAAGCGAGGAGGCAGGCATGCTCAAGCGTCTCGAGGCGAAGAAGGTGCCCATCCAGAAGATCACCGTCAAGGAGAGCAAGAAGAAGAGCATCACGAACCAGCTGCAAAGCATGTGCTTCCAGAACCCGGATCTCAAGTACCTCGGCCAAAAGGCCTTCATCAGCTACGTCCGCTCGGTCTACCTGCAGAAGGACAAGGAGGTTTTCAAGTTCGACAAGCTCGACCTCGACGCCTACGCCGCCAGCCTCGGACTCCCCGGAGCGCCGCAGATCAAGCTGCGCAAGGGCGAGGACATCAAGAAGGTCAAGAACGCGCCGCGCAAGGGCATGTCGAGCGACGAGGATTCCGACGAGGAGGACCCGGACGCGCCCAAGAAGCCCAAGAAGCCCGAGGTCAGGACAAAGTACGACCGCATGTTCGAGCGTACGAACCAGGACGTCCTGTCTGGCCACTACACCAAGCTCGTGGCGAACGGCGACGAAGTCACGGGCGGCACGGGAGCCGCGGCCGGCGGCGGCGACGACAACGACGACTTTTTGTCCGTCAAGCGCGTCCTCGGCAACGACGAGCTCGACGCCGAATCCGCCAACGCGCCCGGCTCCAAGGCCAAGGTCATCTCCTACGGCGACCAGCAGTTCATCGTCGACTCGAAGCGCCGCGAGAAGGCGCTGCAGTCCAAGAAGAAGATGCTCAAGTTCAAGGGCCGCGGGCAGAAGCTCGTCTTCGACGAGGACGGCAACGCGCACCAGATCTACGAGCTGCAGAACGAGGATGACTTCGTCAAGGAGGGCCCCGCGGAGGAGCTGCGGCAAAAGTTCGTCACGAACGAGGCGGCGCGCGTCAAGGAGGCCGACATCGACGATAAGGCGGCCGCCAAGGAGCGCCTCAAGGAGAAGAGGCTCAAGCGCAAGGCGAGGGAGGCCGAGGAGCGCGGCGAGGGGGCGCCCAGGCTCGTCGAGGGCCCGCAGGTGGCTGGCGGCGACGACGAAGGCGAGGACCCCCTGGCGCTGCTGCGGTCGCTGCCGATCGCCGGCGGGGCGGGCGGCGACAGCGGCAGCGAGGACGAGAGGCCCAAGAAGAAGCCCAAGAAGTGGTTCCAGGACGACTCGGACGAGGAGAGGGAGAAGAAGAAGAAGGCCAAGAAGGGCGGCAAGGTGCTCGAAATCGACCGCGAGCCCGAGACGTTGGAGGACCTCGAGGCCCTGGCTTCCGGATTGTTGAACTAGATAGATACCCCACACGGAGGCGGAACAAAAAAGTAATTGTCATTTTTGGGAGCAACTTTGGGATGCATCAGTCACTGTCATCAGGAAAGCGAAATGTAGATAACGTTGTGCCTTTTAAAAAAACCGCTCTCTTTCCACCTAAGAACTGCCGCATTGAAAGAAGCCCAGGGGGGTATCGTCAACCCCGAACGCCAAAAAAAATGTGTTTTCATCCCTTTCTTCCCTAAATGCTGAAAACCGATTCTGGCGGGTCCGTCCATTGAGAGCCCACTCCAAAGTCCTGTTGAAGCCGAATGCAATGGCTGCTAACGCCCGATGCCAAATGAATATTACCGACCATGCCTCCTACCCTCTCCACCAGAGACGCGTGCGACGAAAATCAAGAGCGCTTCTCGCCGTAGAGGCGCGCTCTGTACAAGCACGTGTGGTCCGAACCATAGTTGCTGACCATCTGGAGGACAATCTGATCCGTAACAGCTCCCAGAGATACCAACTCGGGGCTGAGCTTGTGTACGTACACCCCATTCAGCGCGTCGCTGCTTTCGTACGTGAAGTGGCCGATCCTGACCCAGCCGTCGGAGAGAACGATCTTGCTGCTGGGGAAGTGAGCGGCAGCAAAGTCCTTGACACGGCTGCGAGTGTTGATCTCGGTAATGTAGGCCAACACATCGATTTCCTTGGGCCTGGCATTGGGGTCCAGCGTAGCACCGGGCAGGATGTGTTCGACCACGACGTGTTGCGGAATGATCTCGTGGCCAAGGAGGTAGCCGACACGGACACCAAGCTCTACTCCGCTCTTGTCGACGATCACCTTGCCGCACCAGCAGTCGCCTTCGTCCTCCCAGTTCCACAGAGTAGCGGATGCAGGCACGGGCTTCCGGTCTCGCTGCGTCCCCTTGAACCAGGTAGAACTCCAGATCTTTCCTTTGACAGGAGGGTCGTAATCGGGGGTAGTTGCCGAGTCATCAATGATGACACCAGTGTGACGGCCGAGGAAATTGACTTGGTGTCGGAGTTCCCGGTCCCAAGTGGCCCCGATCTTGCCTTGAGCGAGAGCCTCTAATCCAGCATTTGCAATTGCCTGGCGCACCATGCTGTCAACAACCTGGATCATTTCGGAACGAGAAACTCCGGCAGGCGGGGTTTTTTCCGAGGCGGACTTGACGGCGTCGTTGATGTAGTGCTCTAGCTTCTTCTGCAGCTCCTGGGCTTCGGCCTTGACCTCGTTACGGTGGATGGCAAACTCGCTCTTGAGATGGCGGATGAACTCATTACGCGTGACCACAACGTCCTTTGTCTCCTTGTCCTTGAACCGATCTTTGACGATTTTTTCGATCTTGTACTCGAGGTCCTTCCCGATCTTATCCGGAATGGACGTTGAAAAGGCGGGTTCGAGAATTTTGGCCACCTGCTTATCGTTCGTCCTAAGCCACTTCTCCCAAGACTTGTCGAACTTAGTTTGGGCAATGTTCTCAATCTCAGCGGCCGAGGGTCCGGGCGCCGCTGGAGACGCGGCACTCTGGTATACGGGATCCTTCTTGAGCCTGTCCCGGATTGCTCGCCAGTGCTCTTCCGAGATAAAGTGATAGCCGCCGTGACCTCTGTCCATGGTCAATATTTCGTTGTCGCTCTTCATCAGGTCACGCAAGGCATGCCAGAACTCTTCCCCTACGATAGGTCGCCCATGCTTGTCCAGTTTCATGTGGACAATTTTAGGCACAATCTCCTCCAGTCGTGATAATGAGCCACCGTGGAGTTTGCTGGCCTTGGCTAACTTTGTGAGTTCATATTCATGGTTGCGTTGTTGCCGGGTGAATTCCCTCTTGTCTTCGTCGCTGAACACCGTAGTCGGCCGCGACATCCACAACGGTACAAACTGCCCAAGATTGTGAGAGATATCTGATAAACCGTACCACTGGACGCCGCCCAGTCCTAGAGCGGGAGCCGATCTGAGCCCTGTCATGGCGCCCCATCCAAGAAGAGAGACAAGCAGGATACCGAGCAATGCCTTGATGTGCCATGAACGAGGCGAAAAAAGGAAGTTGAGAATGTCCACACAAGAATCGGCAAGCTTGAACAGAATCCACGTTGACCACGAGGACTCGCTCAAAGGAACCTGTTGCGGAGCTCCAATGGGATTATCATAGCCGTCAGAGTCTTCGTCTCTGGGAGGTGGGCTGTCCGGGCGAGGGGCGTGCGTCCAGCTGTACACCGTGTTATAGATTCGCGGCCACGCTTGCAAGCGAGCATTGCGCTCCTTCCGAAGAGCTTCCTGTTGCGCATTTTCTTGCTCCCGCTCTTGCCGGACCTTTTCTCGCATGTCAGAGTCAAACAGGCCCGACCCGCTCTGCCTGACTGCTGGGCGACTGTCCTTTTCCTCGATGAGACGTCTGGCTATAGAGGGCCGTATCGAGTGGTTCTCAATCCCTCCGGGACGCGGGGCTACGGCATTGATAAATGGCGGATCGTTCAGTAAACGGCGGGTTGGTGCCGATTTGCCGTTGACAGCGGGCCGTGGCATAAGTCGCTGGGCTGGGCCAGGGTCGGCTTGTTGCGGTGGTCGGCGGGGTGAGAGACGAGAACGAGATACAAAATCGAGATGGGACGGGTCTTTGATGACTTTGTTCGATGGACCTGTCAAACTTGGCCTGGCAGCAGACGTCTCCTCGTAGACATGGTTGACTGGGCGTGGCAAAATCGGGTCGGTACCCGGCGCGTCCTCAACAGCATGGTTTGATGGACGTGCTGAACTTGACCTGGTGGCCGGTGAAGGTGAAGCAGCATCCGCCGAGAGTTGACGCGACGTAGCATTGGAGCGAGATGATTCTCTAGTCATGGAGCGACGTGCAATAGACCGTGCCGGTGACTCGTATGGAGACTCACTCTGGATCCGGAAACGTTGCGCGGGTGGTGTACTGGGTGGCTCCGGCGGGGGTGGTCGTGTGGCGTTCTCTCTGGGCCAGTCTGGTGGTTCAGGCCGATGGACGACCTCACTGATGGGGTCTTGTACTGGTCCCCGTAACCGGTCGGCCTGGTTGCTACGTGGCGGCATCGATCGGAAAGGAGATTCTTCTACCTCCTCGGGCGAGCGGGGACGACGAGATGGAGGCGATCCGATGTCGGCTCCCCCAAATAGCGAGCTCTCCTGGCCAAAAGTGCGAATTGAGTCGGGCGTAGGCGTTGGCTCCGGAGGCTCTCTTGATCGCTGCCCCTGATGTTGCGAGCCAGACTCCTCGGAGATGGCGCGCGCAAAGACGGACCGCGAGCTGGCAGCCAGAAGAGTGCCTCTGGATGGAGAGAGACCTTGGCCGGTTGGAGCTGATGGCGCAAGGGCTTTTGCACCAGCTGCTTGTGTTAAAGGTTGCTGACGCGATGGACTCGGGCCTCGAGGGGGAACCACATCAGGTAAAACTCGTTGACGAGTGGCAGGTGCGGCTTGATGGAATATAGGACGTTCGACCGGCGGGGCTGAGACGGGATTTAGCAAGGGGCAAGGGAAGTGAGACCGTGGCAATGCCAGACGGGATGGGCCGCCGGTGGCTGCACTTACCGGTTCTGGCTGGAAACCGATTTCTTGATGGGCTCTGAACAAGGGTCGGATCCGGGGACGGGTCCCTCAGCGGATCGGGCGACTCGGACGATTCTCGTCCCGGGCCAAAGTCAGGCTCGAAGCCCGGGTCCGGGTCCGGACTAGGATCGGGAGCTGGCTGCGCTTTGCGTGCAGGTCTCGACTGTGGGATTGGCTTAGGACTCGGTGAGTTCATAGGTGGTGGGTGGTCGCTTTTGACGCTTCTGCTGCGCTCACTACGGCCGTCAACATCATCAATGTCGTCGTCTTCTTCGTCATCATCGTCGTCGTCCGGATCTCCGGGATCATCAGGGTCGTCGCTGTCGTGAAGTGTTTCCTTGATGATCGCCTGCAGATCACGCCTCTGACCTCGTCGGGTATTGCGCAAAGCAGTCGACGGTGCAGACCCATATGATGTGTCCAGTCGCGAAGCCAGCGGAGGCAGGTTGGATGTGACGGCAGCACCGCCTCGTGATATGATGGACATATCATCGTCGTCGCCACGGACTCTTCGTTTTGGAGGCATCTTGGCGCAACGTGACGGATAAAGGTCTGCAAGATTGATGAGCGGGGTGATGGGACGAAAGGTTGAGTATTTTATGAGAAATACTCAACCCCGCAAGATGGGTAAGGTCTTGAGATGGGATGAGGAAGGAGATGAGTGAATCTGATGCAAGGTGGGATGAAGGAGGAAGAGAGGGGGTGAGAAGGGCAAGGTAGTCTGAGATCATGAGAAATTCACACAGATAAGGCTCGGCTTACAGACGGCAGGCGCGATGAGAAAGAGCATTTGGGAAAGGAAGGAGGGATGAATGACGAGACTGACAAGACTCAACTCACATTAGTATTGTTTGGGTGGACATGCACTATATTGTAAAGAGTCCGAGTAAAGCTGTTTGTTGCACTTCGAGGGTCTTTGTATCGTCAACAATGGGAGATGTAAATGGTCATGAAGGCTATGTTAGGCGACAATGGAGGCGGTGACCAAAGGAAGAGGTGCGAAAGGATTGCGGTGAGGTCGATGGGGGGTATTGAATGCGCCTCTGTGACAGCTGCAGGTAAACGGTTGCGGGAACTCAAAACCCCAAGGCGTGAATCACTTGAAGTGAAGCTATTCCAGAGCGTCTGCCCCGCCGGATCGGGAAGGGAGGGAGGCGGTTGTCAACAAAGATCGGAGGAGCGGTCCCTGGCCGCAACGACCATCTTTGCCTGGCACAAGTCGCGCCCACACGCGCGCGTCGGATGGATGAATGGGGAGGGGAATAAGAAAGAATGCGGGCTGCCGTTGCAGGGTCGGCGGGTCAATTGGGTTGTCGGGTGTGTAGAGCAACAGCCCGCGACAGCAAAGAGGCAAGGCAAGGGGGCGTTTCGAGGGGTTGTTGAGTCTTTGTTCTGGTCTTGAAAGCGTTCGCCTCGGGGAGCATCGCACCTTTGGAATGTTTTCGCGACGGACGGTCTGCCACCGCCAACCGCCAATGCAACCGCCAGCCGGGGCCGGGTGCACGGACCAGAAGCGTGTCCGTTGCCCACGCGCCTTGGTGCCCGCGCTGCGGCGGTCGACCAGCTTTACGCGCCGCGCAAGTCTAAGCCCTTACATAAGCGCAAACCTTAGGTAAGCCATCTCCGACCGGCTTGCGACCACGTGACCTTCTCTAGACGAACGAACGAGTCGATATGGACTTATCAACCTGAGGCCTCATTTCTCGAGCTGAAATCTAGACCAACATGGAGGTACGTCACAGACTGATCCACGTTGTTTTCCAGCCCCACCTCCATTTGTCGACCCATCCTGGAGAGAGAGAGAGAGAGAGAGAGAGAGGTCCATCATTTCGATTACTGACAGGACAGACTTGTTTTACTCTGCCATTGAAATCGCGCAGGTGCCCTGGAGGCACGATGTACACAAACGCTCTATGCGCCCAGACTCGGCTCGGCCAGCACTGCTGGTGCAGAGCAGAAGCATTGATGGCAACTCGGAGAGTAACGCCTGCGCTCAAGCCTGGGCTTTGATCTTGAATTCGAGTCGACAGCGGTCCACATAGGAACCCAGGCGATGCTCGTCTTCTTGGGGAAAACACTCATTCGCAATGACAAGCATGCAGGCTGCAGCATTCGCTGGCGCACGCATGGAAAGCTCTGGCAGGGCAAGGGACCGTACCCAGACAGGCTTGCTTGACTGGTCGGCTTATTGCATCGTCGGTCCAACAAACAGCGAAGACTAGCCGCAAAGATGGCTGATGACCAACATGGCTGGAACCGCGGCGAACAAACACCCCACCAAGTGGCATGCCCATCATCCATCACCCCCCCAATCGGTCCCGCCATCCGACTCGTCTGAACGACTGGTCAGAACACGATGCATACCGGTACCGTACCTTACAATAGGTGGTCCCCCGTATTCACCACAAACCCACGTGAAAGCGCGGAAGCAGCCAAGCGTCGAGAGTCGAGAGCTGAGAGGGACCTTGTCGGCCCGTCCGCAGTCCTGAAGATCAGGATCCACGGCACCGCCATCCCCGGTCGTTGCGAGTTTCAAAGTGGCCGCCGTCACCAAGCGCACCACCGTTTGAGGCTTGATGAAATTACTGAGCTCCGCAGCCAGCCACAGGCCCTGAAATTGGTGCCACCCCCGCTGCGAGACCCCGCCATCGCCTCCAATTTGGACCGCCAGATTGGCCGTTGCGAGATCGCCCCAGATGCACCAAGGAACACCCGCCGACTTGACTGGACGCACACCACTCGCAGCCAGGCCGAGCCAATTTCTCACCCACTCACCATCCAAGGCGGAACGTTACAGACAGACGACCCCGTTTACTCTTGTGTTATTGCGACCGTCGCTCCCACCATTGCATTGCACCTCTGGTCCCGTCACCAGATATATATCCCGCTTGTCCCGTCTCGTATTCAAGCTCTCTCTCCCGCAACCAAAGAACAGTCTTGCGCTCCTTCAACCCGCCAGCTTGATACCCCGTCGGATCGCATCCCTTGACTTTTCGCCGTCCCCCATCCCCCAAATACCCCTCACCTCAGCTAGTTGCGATCGACACCTGCAAATTTCTTCACAATGGCCGTTGGAACTGTCTTGGTTACCGGGTAAGCCACCGTCCCCCCAGCTACACCACCACGGGCTCTGGCAGCCCAGCTGCCGTCCACGAGCTACTCCCGCTGTCATGGCGCTGCTGGCGCAACACTACGAACCGCGCGATGGCTAACCGCGCGTCTTGGTGGCTTGCAGTGGTACCGGCTACATTGGCTCCTTCACCTCCCTCACCCTGCTCCAGAACGGCTACGATGTGGTCATTGTCGACAGCCTCTACAACTCGTCCAAGGTCGCCGTCGACCGCATCGAGCTCCTGAGCGGCAAGCGCCCCCACTTCTACCAGGTCGACATTACCGACAAGGCCGGCCTCGATGCCATCTTCAAGAAGCACCCCGAGATCGACAGCGTCATCCACTTCGCCGCCCTCAAGGTAGACTCCCTCCTCCGCTCTCCCGTGTTCTTCGGCGAAAACTAATGCGCCGCACGTAGGCTGTCGGCGAGTCGGGCGAGATTCCCCTCGAGTACTACCGCGTCAACGTTGGCGGCACCGTCGCCCTGCTTCAGGCCATGACGGACAACAATGTGCCCAACATTGTCTTCTCCTCCTCCGCAACCGTCTACGGCGATGCCACCCGCTTCGAGAACATGATCCCCATCCCCGAGCACTGCCCCATTGGCCCGACCAACACCTACGGCCACACCAAGGCCTTTGTCGAGCAGATCATCACCGACCACATCCAGGCCGAGCGCAACAAGCTCAAGAAGGCCAGCAAGCCCTTTGAGCACTTCAACGGCGCTCTCCTGAGATACTTCAACCCCTGCGGTGCTCACCCTTCCGGCCTCATGGGCGAGGACCCCCAGGGTGTCCCTTACAACCTGCTGCCTCTGCTTGGCAAGGTCGCGACGGGCGAGCGCGAGAAGCTGCTCGTTTTCGGTGACGGTATGTACACACATGGGCAGACAGCATTGAGGAATTCGCACTAACAAGACCAGACTACGCCTCAAGAGACGGCACCGCCATCCGCGACTACATCCACGTCGTGGACCTGGCCAAGGGTCACTTGGCCGCGCTCAACTACCTCCGCGAGAACAAGCCCGGCGTCAAGGCCTGGAACCTGGGTTCCGGCCGCGGCAGCACCGTCTTCGAGATAATCAAGGCCTTCAGCCACGTCGTCGGCCGAGACCTCCCCTACGAGGTTGTTCCCAGACGCCAGGGTGACGTGCTGGATCTCACGGCCAACCCCACCCTGGCCAACAAGGAGCTCAGCTGGAAGACGGAGAAGACGTTGGAGGAGGCCTGCGAGGACCTCTGGCGCTGGGTCAGCAACAACCCCAAGGGCTACCGTCAGGACCCTCCCCCCGAGCTCCTCGCCAACGCCAAGCCTACCAGCGGTTGAAGAGGGGAATATGAGAACCACATCGCTGTGTCGGCCACATCTTGCAGAAAGTTTGAGTGGTCCATTATAGACGATAGAATTAGTGCGATTCGCAGCGAAAGCCATGATACGACGTCCATCCTATAGAGCATATTTTAATGGAAAAAGAAGAAAAAAAGTTGAAGATTTCTAAAAAATCCGCATCGCCCGAATCGCTACTTGCTTATTTGCTCTAAAATACAGTCGCAGCCACTCATTCGTGCTTGAGGAGCAGCTTGCCCGTCGTCTTGCGGCTCTCAATGTCGGCGTGTGCCGACTTGGCGTCCTGCAGCGGGTAAACCTTGTGGATGGCGATCTCGAGCTTGCCCGAGGTGATCATGTCGAACAGCTCGGTGCTGTACTTCTCCAGCTCCTCCCTCGTGGCGGTGTAGTTGTTCACCACGGGGCGCGTGAGCTTCAAGTTCTTGTGGACGAGCTTGAAGATGTCCAACGGCGGCACGGCGCCGGACTGTCTCATGTTAGCAACCCATCACTCGCTCCGCCAATGAATCGGTCCAAGGGGGAACTCACCGCGTTGCCAAAGACGACCACCCGGCCCTTGCGCGCCGCCATTTCTAAATCGCTGTCAAAGGTCGCCTTGCCGACGCCGTCAAAGATGGCGTCGACGCCGTGGCCGCCCGTAATCTTCTTGACCTCCTCGACGAGGTTCTGCGAGTGCGAGTTGATGACCCACTCGGCGCCGTTCTTCTTGGCGAGGGCGCACTTGTCGTCGGTGCTGGTCGTGCCAATGACCTTTGCGCCGACGGCGCGGAGCATCTGCACGAGCAGCAGGCCGACGCCGCCGGCGGCCGCGTGGACGAGGACCCAGTCGCCGGGCTTCACCTCGCCGGCCTCGTGGATAAAGGTCCAGGCCGTCAGCCCCTGCAGCAGGGCGGCGGCGGCCTTTTCGGTGGACAGGCCGTCAGGGATGCGGAGGAGCTGGGCGGCGGGGACGGCGGAGTAGGCGGCGTAGGAGCCAAAGTTGCCCATGTAGACGACGCGGTCGCCGGGCGAGAAGCCGGCGACGGAGGGGTGGGCGGAGACGACGGTGCCGGCGCCCTCGCGGCCGAGGGTGATGGGCAGCGGGGCCTTGTAGAGGCCCGTGCGGAAGTAGGTGTCGATGAAGTTAATGCCGGCGTAGGCGTTGCGGACGAGGACCTGGCCCTCGGCAGGGGTGGGCACGGGGAGGTCGGGGTGGTGTTCGAGGACCTCGATGCCGCCGTTGCGGGAGATTCGGATGCCGTTCATGGTCTGCGGGATGGAGGACGCCATTGTGAAGTGAGGGGCCGGGGAGAGGGATTGGCGGAGGGGTGGCGAGGTGTGGAATGGGCGGCGGGGTGACTGTGAGGTTCGTGATGCGACGAAGGGGAGTGGTACTTGGCGACGGCGGGGTGGGATGATGCGGGCTTGGGTCGAGGGGAAGAGTCTTGGGAGTCTTGTCAAGGTTGATGAGGCAGGTCTCGAGACAATGGAGGGGATGGACATTGGTTAAGACTGGAAGTGAGCTCTGTAAATTTATGGTGATGGGGGGTTTTCTGCTCGATACCTGCTTCCGATGCGGCGCTTTGGGGGGGGAGTGCAGTTTGTCAGCTTTCCAGGTGAGGGGTCCTGCGAATGCGTGATTGCAAATGTTGCATTGGCGCCCGCGCGGGAGCTGAGATGGGGTGAGATCCTCGGGCAGAGAAGCCGGAGGCGGGGCATTCCGAATGTTCGGCTGGCGGGTGAGGGGGCGGGGTGAGTGGCGGTTCCGAAGACCGGAACGACGTGATGCAATTCATAAGCATAGCATTGAAGAAACGCTTCCATCTTGGCACTGAGCGTCTCATCCTCAATGTGTCAGGTTAAAATGTCCTCGACAGGCGATATTACATGATGAGAGTGCAGGGCGTGGGTGATGATTCCATCTCACCATGAGGCTCTTTCAAGCATTGCCGCTTAAGTGATGTGCACCCGGCAGCCGAGAGAACATCTCACCTGCTCCGACCAACAATGTGGTGTTGACGATGGGAAGCCTTGATGATTTGAACACAAGGCGTACTTTGTTACCATTGATGAGCTTGGCCGCGGCCTCACTTTGGGCCACGCCCTCGCCTGGGTCAATCTCTACTCAACTAGGTAGGCACGTTGACTGTCTTCCGTCATCCCATTGAAACAGTTCAATGCAAGAAAGACGTGCAGCCAACCGCCGGTTTGCAGCGTCAGCCTCGTGGGCGGTCTCAGACCATGAAGTTTGTGCTCGGGGCACTTCTCAGGGCCACCTCAGCCAATGGCTTGCGCTGCAAACCCTTGCGAGTCCGATGATGGTCGTCGAGTGCGTGCAAGCCACCCAACTTGGCACGAACCGATGGTCGCGGCGGGGGGGATGCGTCTCCTGGCCGAGCAGAGACGAAAAGACCAGATCTGGATGGTCCCTCGGGGGGGCCCCCTTTACCTACCCCAACACATCATCAGGCCAAGTCGCCAAGTTCTCACGCTCGACACGGCGACGCTGGCATTGCGTGGTACGGGTAGAGGTGCGCCAGTGATTCGGGTGTTGGAGACATCGCCGAGTAAGCGAACCAGCATGTTCCCTCCCGGGTTCGACGGCATTGGAAGCTAGTCAGTCGCCAAGCTCCACGTTGAGGGCGGGCAGCAATGCGCATCGGGGCCCTCGGATGATCGCCAGTCAGTTTGGAGTTTGGAGTTTCTTCCCGCGATGGCAAGGTAGATATCCTTTTTCGTTTCCGTTACCGGTCCCCCAGCTTCTCCTCCGAGCCGTTCGTATTTTTCACGATGCCACAATGGCCACGATGGCTGCCAGCGTCACGGCTTGAACCGGTAATACCCCCAAAAGACCTTGGTCGCAATCAATGGCGTCCGCGATTGAGGCTCAGCCGTCTTGGCTTCTGCGCTTCTGCGGCCATGCGCTGTCATGGGCGCAGCGTTTCGCGTGCCGTGCGCTGTTTCCCGTGGCAATGATTCGGTCAATGGCGCATGCATTACGCCCACGGATCTGCCCTGGCCACGTAAGGAAATCCACGAAGGGAAGGCCAGTAGAAGCACTGGGGTCTGCTTCTACGGCGCCGTGTGTGCGCCGGTGCCATGCAGAAGAAGGGGAAGAAGAAGGGAAGCCAAAGCGGGAAAGGCGCATCGCACACCTGTCGGGCGGAGAGAGAGAGAGAGAGAGAGAGAGAGGTACGTATCCTTGCATGCCCAGCGCCGTTTGCCGATTCTCCCAGGGGTCAGGGGTCGTTGCAACGTGTGTCTGCTGTCTCTAGTTTTTTAGTCTTCTTATTTCTCCGCCTTCCATCAGGCGAGCAGACCAGAAACTTTGGCCTTTCCCCAGAAGTCCAGAAGTCGGAGGAGGTTGGTCTTGGGCCCCCATCAAGCACTCCAGAAGCTTCGCTGGGCGTTTTCGGCATGCCACTTGGACAACACATGCCTCGAGATATTCGACAGACGTTCCTCGGCGATTTCAACGAGACGGTGACGCGGGATTGGGTTGCCAAACATAAATGAAGCATTGTTCTACCTGAATAGACTCCTCAGGTATGGTCGACCTGGGCTGGGCTACTGACCCTGCCGAGGTATTAAGCTCTTGAGGGCATTCGGACACTTCCAACGGCCCTTCGTCGACCGCGGTTCGCGAAACACGTCTCCCATTCTTCACGTCTTCCCCTGCTCCACTCCCTCTTTGCCATCGCCTCCGCCCTACCTTACATCGTCCTTCGCAGCTTCAAGCTCTCTGCGAGACCCCACTTCGTCCGGCTTCCCTTCCACGCCGCCAGGGATCGCCGTTCGTGTCCGCGTATGCCCTGCCACGGCGCCGCCACGCTCGCGTTCCCTCCATTGGGTGTTCGGCTCAACACTGATACGCGTGGCTCTAAACCCCCGTCATCCAACAAGCTTAAACAAGGGACTGGCTGGCCGTCAAAAAGGCTTGTCGCACCGAGTGGCCTCCTGACTTATTCTCTCTATTTTCCTTTTCTTTTTCCGGTTTATCCTTTTGGGCCTCGTACTATGTAGAGTGCGGCGGCTGTTGTTCCAGAGTCTCTGCCGCCGTCGTTAATCACATCTCCACTTCCAAAGGGGGGATACCCCCAGCTATCTATCCGTAAGCTTTCTTCACCGCGAAAATCCCCCTGAGCTGCGGCACCCGCGCCGCCGTCGGTCCCGGAGGGCATCTTCACGACCAAGACCGACGCTGTTTATCGGATCGACGTCACGGCCCTGGTCCACTGTCGTCCGACCTCGAGACCCAGCCACCCCTTCTTAGCTTGCTAGGGGAGCCGTCAAACTTCCTAGCCCCCGTTGTGACATCCTACCATTAAGGGACCAGAAGCGGCCAGGCAAAAAGCGACAGGGTCGAACAGACGAAAACCGCGTGCTCCACCGCGCTGAAACACGACGCATGGTCGCCACAGCACTCGAGGACCTCAGGATACCTAAACCACAGCTTGCCTTACACGCTCTTCTTCGCCGACTCGTTGACCTTTCCCAGAGTCTCTACCAAGTCACTGCTCGTTTCTTTCGTTGTTTTTCTTCCCTCTTCCACACAGCTACGGACAGCAGGCTGGCTGCTGCTATCGCTGCCGAGGAACTGTGCGTCTGCTCTCCGATCACACAAACCATCGTTCCCCTCGCGTCCGCAGTCACTCCGTCCCGTCTGGCCCTATTTCCACCAGCGCGGCTGCGTCGACTGCGCCGAACCTCCGCGGACCCAAGCAGAAAAGCTTCCTGGACCGACTGACCGATCGAACGAAACGAACGCACCTGATCTCATCCTCCTCCGTCTTTCTCGTCTTTTTCCCCCCCTGGACACAACCCGCGCCTCTCCTTTCGTCATCCTACCTTGGGCCGCGTTGATCCTGGATGCTTGTCTTCAGCTCCGTTCATGCCATTCCCCCTACCGTCGCAACCGGGCCTTGGGCCGTCTTTGCCGCTGTCCCTCTGCCGTTGAGCGTGCAACAATCTTCAGACGAAAACGAAACCTTGCGCCGCACGTCTCCTCTTTCCTCTTGCTCTCATCTCACTTAGCCTAGCCTTGCCTCACACTACATCGACCTCGTCTCACGGGGCTGCTCGCCCATTGCTCACTCTCATCCCTTTTCCCTTCTCGCTTCACAACGGCAGCTCACCGCTGTCACATCGCTAAACTGTCTCCCTACCTGTCCTCGCCCCCCGGCTCCCCGATGCCGACCCCGCCGACCGAGGATGACCGCCAAAGGCGGATCATCCAGTTCGCCGAGGAATGGGGCCTCGAGCCTCCGCCGTCCCCGACGCCACTGACGCGGCCCTCAAGTCCTCCCAGCTTCCGGACCCCGGAGGACGACTTAAAGGCTGAGGAGCTGCTGAAGCGGAAGCAAATGTCCCACGGCCGGAATGACTCCACTACTAACCTGCGCCGTGCCTTCACGTCCAAGAAGAAGACGTGGGATTACAAGATCGTATTTGACGCCCTCGACAAGCACGTCGCCGACCGCGGATCCCCCGGCGTCGCCGAGGCTCTCATCGGGCTGCTCGTCCTATCTGGCGGTGATGTCAACATGGCCCAAAAGGCCAAGACGAGCATCCTGCCCCGCCGTAAGAGTCTCGATAGCTTTGGCGAACGCAGCAAGCTGTTGCAACATGCCATCCACAACGGCCAGATCGACATGGTTCGGGTCCTGCTGCCTCACGCCGACACACTCGCCTTAGACGCCTCATTACCGCTGGCCATGCACGCGGAAAACGTCGAGGTTGTCGAGCTTCTCCTTCGCTATGGTGCAGGGGTGGCCCACAGCCCCGAAGCCCAGGACGCATTCCGCCAAGCGTGTGCATCGGGCGGCCAGGCCGACCTGGTCGGGATGGTCCTGCGATCTGACGGCCGGCCGCCGACGACCTGGCTCTCTCAGTGCATGGTGGACGCAACGAAAGCAGGATGCCTGGACACGGTTGTCCAGCTCAGTCGGTCAAACGCCGATGGCGATTTCAACCAAGCCGAGGCGCTCAAAGTTGCAATCAGTCAGGGACGGCACGACATCGCTCTCGCGATTCTCATGGGCAACCACCCACCCAAACGCCCGGGGCTGGATGAGGCATTCTCGCAACTGCTGGACCACCCTTCCATGAACCCCAGAGACAAGCTCGCGGTCGCGGAGCTGCTACTCTGCGCTGGCACGGACGGCGATGCGCCCGCCATGGCCCTAATTCACGCGGCCGCCGCCGAGTTTCAAGACATGGTCAGTCTCTTGGTCAAGTATGGCGTGTCTATTGAGTACCAGGATGCCATGGCCGTCCGGAAAGCCGTTCAGAACGGGCGGGTGGACGTTGCATACACAATCCTCAGTGGCACATCGGAACTCAGTGCAACGCATGCCTCTGAATGTGTCGAGCTGATCCCCAAAAACATGGCTGTGGAAAGCCGCCGGTTATTACTAGATCTGCTATTACGAAGAGGAGCGAGCGGAACGGCGCTCCACGACATGCTCATCGAGGCGGCGGAAGCAGGCGACGTTGACTCGGCCAAGCTCCTCCTCACACCTGTGTTCCCGGGAGGCCTGCCGATTTCCGACCATGACGTGAAAAAGGGGCCGAGGTCCATGGTCTACGACCGCCATCAAACAGCATCCGTCGACCACAAGGGAGGTCTGGCTCTGCAAATCGCCGTCATGAGGAGTGATGTCGCCATGACGAAGGAGATCTTGATGAGCAAGCCTCCCAGTGAAACCCTTGCCCAGATCTTTCCTCTCACCAAGACCCTGTCTCGCAGAAACAGGTATCGCATGGTGGAATGTTTCCTCACGAGCGGCCTGGCCGGCCCAATTGTTCATGACGCGTTACAGGAAGCCATCGACGAGGAGCCGCCCCACCGGGACGAGGATCTCATAGGGCTGTTCCTCAAGTACAACACCGACATCAACACAAACGAGGGCTCGGCATTGGTCGCAGCAGTGGCGCAAAAGGACGTGAGACTTTTGAATGCGCTGCTCAAAAAGAATGTCACGCCACAGACTGCCGCTAGCGTGTTGCCCAGGATCATCGGGACTCAGGATGCGAAGGCGAGGTTGGACATGGCGACCCTGTTGCTGACATCGGTATCGGGCCTTGACCCGGCCAAAGTCTCTCAGGCGATGCTCAGCGCATTGAACTACCGGCCAGCAGACTTGAAGCTTTTGCAGGTGCTGCTAGTGCAGGGTAAAGCCGATGTCAATGTTGACAACGGCATCGCCATGGCCTCGGGTAAGTGAGCTTTCGTCGACACGGCGATCAAGAGCTAATGCGTTTTACAGCAATACACAGCCATGATCCCCCAGTCCTGGAGGCCCTGCTGACACACGGCAAAGCCACGCCTGCCACGGCCAGCCGGGCCATCAATGAGTTTGGACAGCTGATGTTCTCAGACACCAAGGCCGAAAAGCTCGAGATCCTGTTGCAAAAGACAAGAGAGAAAGCCCCGTTCAATGACGTGCTCGTCAAGGAGGTCCACGCCTTGCTCCAGACGCTGCCCGAGCACCGGCAACTATCCATCGTCAAGATCCTTCTCGGGGCGGGTGCAGACGTCAATTCCCACAACGCCGCCGCTCTCTGCCACGCTGTGGCCGCCAGTGACACGCAGATTACCGATCTTCTCTTCGCGGCCCGACCCAACCCGGCGTCACTCGCTTCGGCTCTCCCCCATGCGCTGCGAATCGCTGACCCGATGGATCGACTTGAGTTCTCGCAAAAGCTTCTCGACGCCGGTGCGCCTAGCGCCGAGGCGAACCGGGCTTTGGGCTTTGCCATCAACACTTACACCAACGACATCCCTTTGCTCCGCACACTTGCAATGAAGGCTAACACGAGCGACGGAGAAGCTCTGGTTTCAGCAGTGAAAAAGGAGCGCCCCGACATTGTGGAACTAGTGTTGCAGCAAAAGCACCCAATCCCTGTGTTGAACGATGCCTTTGCAGAGGCTGCCTTATTGGCTAACAGAGAAGCGAGAGCAGCGATCTGTGAGATATTGTTGCACCACGGTGCGTCGGGCTCTGTGCTCTCAGATGCTCTCCTTGCTGCGGCGGCGGATGGCGACTTGGTTTTGGGTAACCTCCTAGTGAGCAATGGCGCTCAGATTGACGAGGAGGCCATTGTCGAGGCATGTCGGTCTGGTGCAGCTGACGTTCTTCACATGCTTCTAAGTGGCAGCACCACACCGAAAAAGTCGACGATCGAGAGGGGGTTCCAGGCCGCCACCGAGGTCGGAAATCTGAAGACGCGCGCCGCCATCCTGGAACCACTTTTGGTCTACGGAGTAGACGGCGAAGCCCTCCACGCACAGCTCGCGTCCTCGGTAAGGTTCGGCGAAGAAGGCGACGACCTGGTCAAAATCCTGCTAGAAGCCGGCGCGGACCCGAACTACAACAAGGGCGAGGCAATTTGGGCGGCTACGAGGAGTGCCTACCTGAGCAGTCTGAAAATGATGCTGGGCTTGGCCGACCTCGGCACGCGCCTGGTGAGTAAGCCGTCGGTTGCCTCACTCAGGGGGTCTAACAAGAAGAAGCAACATAAGCCTTCACCCTCGACCCTCAACAGAGCTCTGCGGGCCGCATGGAAGCTCAGCCGCGAGACTCGGTCGTCTGCGATCGATATGCTGTTCCGGGCGGGTCTGCCTATTTCGGACGACCTCCACGTCGTGCTGAACAACGCCGTCAACGAGGAGGAGGTCGACCTCAAGATCATTAGGCAACTGCTTCGATACGGCGCCTCACCGATCGCGAACGACTGCCAGACCCTCGTCGATGCCACCAGAAGAGCTCTCGTGAAACCGCTTGCCTTCATGCTCGAGTCAAAGATCTTGTCAGCAGACCTCAACCTTGCCATCAGGGAGGGTTTCACCAAGGAGAACACTGAAATGTGGTTTACAGAGGCTGGTTTCAGCATTTTGCACAGCTTCCTGCAAAAGGGCGCTCACGGTGATGGTCTCAGCTCAGTTCTCACCCAGGTCGTCGACCTACCGCTCTCAGAAAGCGAGCCCGACAGCCTCGCGTTGGCTAACGGCTTCGTAGACGTCCTCCTCGACCACAAGGTTGACGTCAACTACGCCGACGGAAAGCTGCTGCAGTCTGCCGCCGCCGCCTGCAACTCCTTCCTGGTCAAGCGGCTACTAGAGAAGAAGCCGAACACGGAGTCCATATCGCGCTCGTTTTACCGCATCTTTGACAACCCCGCTTCGGAAGACGAGGCGCTGGAACTAATCACAATGTTTACTGAATACGCTGACGGGGAGACGAGGCTGGACGTCATGTACACGCCGCCTGAGTCGATGCCCCTGCTGTTCCTCGCCGTGCAGCAACACCCGCGGTCGATTCGGATCTTCAAGGCCCTTCTGGACGCCGGGTACTACTACGATCAGATGATGCCCTACAAGGTCATGGAGGACCTCGAGGAGGAACCCATCACGCTCATGATGTGGGCCCTGCTGCAGCCGCAAAAGAAGGTCAGCAGTGGCATCATTCAGATGCTCATCGAGACGGGCGCCAAGGTCAACTTCGAGTCGCGGGTATCACAGAGCACGCCCCTTACGCTGGCGATTCGAAACCGTCGACCGGATGTAGTCAAGATGCTGCTGCTGGAGGGCGCCGAGGTGGATGTGTGTGATGTTAAGGGGAACACGCCGCTGACACTGTCGACCGAGATTGGAGGGGAGACGGCAATCAAGATGATGTCGAATCTCCTGGCTGCCGGAGCTTCGCGAAACGACGGATCACTTCACAACTCAGCGCGCGAACTCAACCTAGCCGCCTGCCAGGTGTTGGTGCAATACGGACACGAGCCCGACTTCCCCAGCACCCTCCACGGCGGCCGAAGCGCGCTGGGCGAGCTCTGCCGGCATTGCGCAGACTCTGGCGAGCTCACCGCAGCGCGCCAGAAACTGATGGAACGGGTCATCAACTTCCTCATCGAGGCCGGCTCCGACATCACCTTGCGATCAGAAGGAAAGTCCATCCTCCTCCTTGCCCTGGAATCCGGCGACCCCGTCGTCACCAGCCGAACGCTCCTCAAAGCAGGCATGTGGAAGCACATCAACAAGAAGTTCAACCACTACTCGGACGGCAAGATGACCTACTCCCCGACAATGTACGTGACCCACGTCCTCTCCAAGTCGGACCACAAAGACGCCCTCATCAAGCTCCTCCGCGCCAACCGCGCCGAGGACGTCTACTACGCCAACATGGGCCCCCAGCCCGACGGCGCCGTCGGCATGCCCGAAGACATTGAGATGCAGGAACGCACCCGCCGCGCGCGCCTCGACCGCATCAACCTCGAGCAGGAAGACCACGTGCTCTCGATCGCGCGGAACCAGGAGCTCGCCACGGTGCAGGCGCAGATCTGGTCCGCGCAGGCGGAGCTCGAGGACTCGCGCCGCAGGCGCATCCAGCAGGACGAGCTCGTCGCGCTCAACGAACGCGCGCGGGTCGAGGAGGACCACTTCGCGGCCGCGATGCGGCGGAAGCTTAACGAGCGCAACGCGGACCTCGAGCATCAGGTCGCGCTGACGGAGGCGACCATCACGCGGGCGCGCGCCGTGGACCTGGCCGAGTCGGACCTGACGATGGCGCGGCAGACGATGATGCTCGAGTGGGAGAAGCAGATGGCGACGGAGAAGGTGGACCACGCCAAGGCGCTCAGCGCCATCCGGATCGCCGAGAGGGAGGACGTCGATCGGATGGACCGAGACCAGGAGGATCGGTTCCGGGCGCGGCTGGCGGAGCAGAGGAGGCTTGTGGACGGGCAGAGCCACCTGGCGGGTCAGCTTGCCGGGGCCGGGGTTAATGGGAGGAGACAGATTGGATATATCACGGGGGAGATTAATTGAGCGACCGGGTCGCCTTTTCGGAAGTAGATTTTCTTTTCTCTTTTTTTTTTTTTGGTTTGTTGTCACGTCTTTCAACTGGAAAAGTTAGACCGGAAGGACTGGGAGGGCGGGACGGCGTTGGTGGCTTGTCTGTTTTGGTTGGCGGGCTTGGTCGGTTTGCTTGTGGCTACAACGGCTTTGGATCGAAAAGGGCATATCGAAGCGAGTAATGAAATCATTCCGTTCCTATATTGCACCCTCTCCTTGACAGAGATGACGGATGTATTGCTCGAATGAGAAAAGCTTGCGGGGGAACGGCTACGTTAACCCTGATATCCTCCTCCTGGGCCACTTCTGGCCCCCGAGTACAGTCAACTGCCGTTGGTCGGCCAGTGTTCGCGGGAATTTGCCAGAGAGGGGTCTAAGGGCTTCGGGGTGGGCTCTGGACGAGGGTTCGGAGACGCGAGACGTTGCGCTGGGGAGCCCATCGGAGATGGGGCGGCCCAGCCAATGGCCCGTAATCCAGGGATCCGGGGGTTAAACGGCGGTGTGTTCAGGGGTAGGTATGGAAGATGGGGAACAAAGCGTGCAGGCGGATGAGATCGCGCGAAGCCTCATCGAGCGAGGAGGGGAAGTCTTGCTTGCAGTGACAGCTGCTTAAATGCCTGGTGGGACGAAGTACGAACGCCTCGTCTTTTCAGGCACGTGGGCGAGTGGGAGCTCGTCTAGCACAGACCGCCGTCTATCTCCGGTCCTCGATAACCCAGGGGGTTTGTACCGGCTGCTTCTAATCATGCAGAAAAGTTCAACGCCACCAGATGCTATGGCCTCCTATGTCGAGTGGTATTTGGCCACTCAACAAGTACCACTGTCTCTGAAATCGCCCTCCCTTATCGTACATGTTCGCCGCCCTCGCCATCTGATGGGCCTGCCACGAAGACGGCTCAATAACGCCAGTGAATCGTGGCTGTCTAAGGAGTTCGCTTGACTGATACCCCCCCTCTAATCGTACAGTACGAGCCTGTAGCAGTTACTCAGAGTGCACACATCATCGCCCCGGCCGAACTCCATCTGGCAAGATGCCAGGATAACCCGCTCTTCGTCCTAAAGAAACACCAGTCCGAGTTTGGTCGTATGGCCTTGTCAAGCCTAGTCGAGGCCTTGGCTATCATCTTCCGTCTTTCCGATCCAAAACTTCGGCCGAGGAACTGCCCTCGTCGATGAAGTTCCGGACGAGCTAGGCCTTGGGGTTTCACCTTCTGCCGCACCCCAGGCTGCATAGTCACCTGTACGGCGTATGATGGTGACCCTGATTGTTCCTGGCTCCTCAGGGACAACGAGTTAGAGGATGGCTGCCAGGACCGTAATGCCTAAGACGTATTCACGGTCGCGTGTAGAGTATATAGATAGTTAAGAAAGGGGTTGATCTCTGGCCCTCAGGGCCCCAATGGATAGAGACCAAAAGTTCCAGAACGAGGCTCATGGCAGCCAGCCAGCATGATCCGTTTATGACTATGGGAGTGTTTCACTCCCCGGCAGCTGCAGAAGTGAGGACGGCAAGGACGTCTTTATCTACCCGGCCTTCTCTCTCAGACCTGATGATCTTGTATTCATGCTCGGCCGTGTGTTAATCTAGGGCCTAGTTCGGTGTTGGGGGGAAGTTGCTGCCCGGGTCGGATCCAGCACAGCAAAGAATACCAGGGGTTGCTGCGCGATTTATCAATGCGAGGGGTCTTCGAGCCAGCCGCCGATGAAGTATCGATATCTTGACGTGAGCTTGTAGCGCCCATGTGGTTGGGCTTGATGCCAAGGTGACAAATCCATAGGAGGGCGTACGCATGATCCGTCGGGTACGTGGCGTAGTTTCATGATTTGTGAAATACTTCCTAAGGCACCCATCATATAACCCTGAGTCGATGGGCGTTGCGTTTTCGCTCGTGTACTTGCTCACACTCCTTCTGGTCGTCTTCAATTATCCAAGTAGCATGTATAAGGCATCTCATGGCAGGACGTCGTTTACAAGACATTTCCATGAGAACTGTGACAGCTCTCTAAAGCGTTCGATCATGACGGTCGTCGTGACAACTTCTGAAGAGAAAGATTTTACGCACGTGTGCTGTGTTGTACGAATGCTGCGCTCCACGCCCTCCAGAGTCGTATCGAGTGGTCCGGTGCAACGAAAGTGGATTCACGCGTGAGTGATATCTCGTGGGATATCGGAATACTGATCTAGTAATGGTCTCTAAGAACTTGAAAATTGGTTCCCACGTATATGTCTCTCACAAAACTCGGGTTGATATCGACGGGAACCCGAGTCCGAGAAATTTTATCCATATCAGGACTTCCTTCCCGTTTGAACACAATGTTTTGAAAGGCCTCAAAAGGCAAGGAGCAGGTTCTGAGGACCGGACCACACCGGTATGACATTGGCGGAGCTGAGGATTTTAGACCGGCCGAATCAATGCATGCGGCGTCGGCCCGTAAAAGGAACCTCAATGTTCCAATAGGTGTTACATTCCTGTGCGCCGTCCACTGACCAGGCACATAATGCAGAGCCGCCTCGGGGTTGAAAGTTGCATTGAAGACGACGTCCTCAAGATCCGAGCTGCCTACTGAACTCGCGTCACGCTCATTGGACACATCGTCGATATCTGAGCATCTCCACAGACGTACGGGAGCGCGCGAAATTTAGAGGTTCGTCGGTGTGGGAGACTGCTCGGAGGCGACAGCGGACCGGGCGTGGATCATCGTCAAATGGGACCCGCTCAAGGACCCGAGTGTCGGAGTGTGCAGGATTGAGCCGCCGGCGGAACGGTGGCGGTGATCGACACTGCGGAATGCCGAAAGCCCGTGTCTCGAACATTATGGGTAAACAGAAGGGTTTGTTAGCCGAAGGATGAGCTGTGGGGAGACTTTTGCTTTACGACCCCTGAAGTGAGCCATTGTTCGCTGTCAAGAAAGAGGCCCATGTCGCTCTGGCACGTGGCCTGCTTACACTACAGAGTAAGCATAGGGCGGAATTCTTTAGACCCTTTCGAATCGTCAGTGAGACGGTTCCGGACAGAGTTTATTTGCGGTTGTTGCGGGAGGGAGGGTTGCGCATTAGGGCTAGTCTGGCTAACTTCTGCAGTGACTAAGATACGAGGCGTCTTTATTCAGCGCCTGGTTCCTCATTCAACCAGGATTGGATCCTTTCGCCTCCCCAACCTGCATGTCGTGTGGTCTCAGCGGTCATTGAATCTTGCCAGGCCCCATGGAGGTGCGTAGTGTAATGAACCGACCGAGCATGGGTCTCGCGTGTTGGAACAGGCCCATGATCAGTGGTATTGGGGGCTGCCGCAAATCCGATGATCCTCCCTGCAAGAGTCCTACCCTCTGAATGGTCAAGGATGAGCGAAGTTACAGCAACGGGCTGACGTCCTGGGCCTCTCTATTTAGTCACTGCGGTTGCTTTGGAACGATGATACCGTCCGGTCGTTCTCGAAGAACAGCAGAAATGGGTAAGGTAGCCATCACCGGGGTTTCTGAAGCCAACAGGTACGCGTGGAACTCTGGCCGTGCAGGTAGTGAAGGAAGTCGGTGATCATCTAACGGGCTGGAGGAACGTGCGGCAGCGGATATCACGGCGCAGATGGGGGACGACAGGCGATTATTCCAGTTCGAGGAAACAATGGTAGGATCATTACTCGTGAGGGTTGTTGGCGCAGGGAGTATTTGATTACGTTGCCATGGGCATCTCCAACTCGGAAAGCTGGGAGCCGCCGGCAAGGTGGCAGTGAACCGTCCATCGGGACTTTTTGCCGTCCAGCTCTTTACGATGATGATGACGATGGAAGAGATGATCATTCGTGCCGAGTACGACGTCGAGGAGGGGATGGGAGGGTTTGCTTCAGCCGCGGAGGGTCGAACTCGAGGCCTTTTTGCAAGGCTTGGCTTCAACTCCAGAACTGACAGGTTTCAGCGACGCTAACATGGTGGTGCATCGATTGGCGATTGCGATACACCTGTTCGCGCAAGGCTTCAGCTGAGTGAGAAGGACTGTTCGTAATGTGGCACCGAGCTGTTCTGCCTGCCGACATGGTGCATCGGAAATCCAAAGTGGATAACCCTTTCTCGATTTGTTTCATGGGGGATGAAAGGATGGAGCGGCTAGACCTCTTGAAGGCGGTTCCACAGAGGGCTTATTTTGTCAGTTGCTTCGTCAAGATTCGTCAAAGACTTTGGAACAGAGAGGTCGGACTCTCAGTCGGACTCTACTCTCATGCCCTTACCTGTTCTTAGTGCAGTGTACGTCTTCTTCGATCGGGACGAACTTCTCCGCTGTGGGTTTGTTTGACAGGGTCGCAGTGTGGCCCCACTGAGAGAATACCTAGTGAAGTTCCATCGCACAGAATCGGCAGATTTCAGTCATCTGTGGATAATTCTTTGGAAATGGGCGATCATGGAACGCGACGAGAACCAAAGTTCCCCGAGCGGGTTTGACTCGGGTGACAGGGTGGCAGCTGTCGAACTGTCGAACTGTCGAACTCTGAGCTAAAGCTTCCCCATACTAGACCAAGGAGAGGACTGAGCGCCCACCCAGGAATAGGCCTGTGTGACTTGGTTAGCGTCGATGTTTCTGACGCATAGGCCTTGTGGTCGCGTTCAATTCAACCATCCTTCTCCCTTCGGAAGTGACCCGTCGAGGAGGTGTCGGGCAAGTGGCTTAAAATTGGTTGCAATATCATTGTAGGCGGTGACAGGTGTTGCACTGGACCGTACAAATCCACAGGGCCTGAGTCAAACACTCAGCAGTGATTTACTGTTTTTCTTGCCTGGCGAGTCGTGCAGTACTGGTTCACATTACCTTTGCTCGGCGGATTTAAACGGTTGCCTGACGGGTTTACTCGCGCTTCTGTTCGGTGAATCTCAAATCCGTGAGGTGATTGCTCTCATATGAGTCGAGTCAGAAAGTTAATAGATTGGCAAGCCTCAGGGACTGACATTCAGATATTACCATACACAGGCGCTGAGCACATGACGAACCATTTCAATGGGCGGTGCTCTTATGGTACCCGCATCATCTTATTGCGTTGCGTCATGGCCTATCGCCATCGGCAGAAGCACACGAGCTGCGAGCGAAGTCTGTACTAGGCCCTAGAGATGATATTTGCTTGTAACCGTCATCAATCTACGGGCCCCCAGCAATCCAAGAGCACCTGCAACCAGTAGACTTTGGTGCATTCCAACAAAAGCAAAACCAGTAAAAGAAATATAGCCAAGCTAGTCGCCTCAGGTCTGCTTATCGATGCACTACCTCGGGCTTGCAAACTGTTCCTCGTCGTGCAGATTCGTCGCAACACTTTCCTCGGATCGCGATTGTAAACGAGGAATCATTAAGCCTGCTACTGTAACTACGTGAGTTCTCTCCTGTCCACTAAGACATGTCACTTGTCGCAATCTGAATCGCACCAATGCTCCGATTTTATTTATGTCAACCCATGCGACTGTAGGAGGGAGGTGATTTCCGATCTAGATCTTGTTTCCAGTCTCACAACTTTTGAGGATATTAGTTGCGTGTACGGTGCCTTAGGACAGCAGTACAATCTATGCTCCTTGTGGAAATTTTGACCGAGAAATTATGACGTTATACTTGACTCGCTCGATTGCGGAGTGCAGTCCATACTCCCGACGCAAGCGCCTGCAGATCGCCAGGCCAGAGATCTCAATGGACGCTGCAACTGCGGCTTTCCTTGACAAAACACCACTCTCAAGAATGTTGGTTAACCGACCTCGCATCGTCGAGAAGATCACGTAGACCGTTGTCACAGTTGGAACACTACCGTGCTCTTAACTCCATCAATTAATTGCCAGCGAGAGTGACACTGAAACGCGCCGTGGGCCCAGTGATGTGCGCTGCTAATGACTCGAGTTCTCGTTGCAGGGCAAGGAACCGGGATGCTCAGGCGATCCTCACCCCTACTGCATAGAATTCGAATTCTTTAGATCGTGGAGTTTGCAATCTCTCTTTTTTTCTTCTTTTTTTTCCTTTTTTTTTTCCTTTTTTTTTTTTTCTCGCCGTAGGTGGTTGAGCGCTTGCCCCTCAGCAACCGTGGCGTATCGGAAAGAGAATTTGCCCATGTTAGGCGGTCGTGCTCGTGGTTAGACAAACCCAGGTCTTGCTCGTCCATGCTTCTGAACCTTTTGGACAAACACAGTGAGGCATGGATGTCAAAAACGTGGTTATCCTCTCAAGTACGGATACAAATGAGGGTATTGGCCAGGCTTACGGATTCGTAAATCCACAAACCTACCAGGGCTACCCAGCTGTTTAATTGGACAAAAACGGGTTTACGCATGTCTCCCAGTAAAAACTACCATGCAAAGGAGGGCCGAGGTTGCATTCGCACAGACTATATCAGGGGATACCAGACAGAGGGATCAGCACGGCATCGTGGGCCGCTGGGGCTCGAGCGAACGTGATGCTAGTCTACATTTTAGCCTACCACTCGAAAGCAGTTGTCGCTTTCCATGTGGTTAGAATCTTCCTTGCTGGAAGAGAAAGGGGGCGGTTTGGGCTGTGGAGTCGAAGAACACAGAGTCCGCGACCCGCCTTGTCATGTCCAGTCTTATCAGCATACCCGGCATATGGCAAGCCATGCCAAAGGCAGAGTGCGGACCCTCTGTTCGTCTGCGCAGCGCAGTGTTATATTAACAACCATCTCCACGGGACGGGTCTCCTAGAAGTCTCGCTCTAGTGACCCGGCACTTCTTTTCGTTTTCCCTTCAAGAAGGGATGGAGCTTGCTCTATTCATAGTCCTTCTTTGCTTTGACTTCTGATAACTTGCATTGCTGATCGGCACTCTCAACTTGCTACAAGCGGATGCTAGGCCTTGCTCCTTGGTCATAACCATGGACGGAGCGACGATTCAAAGGCTGTTTGGAACAGCGGATAACTCGGGCGAGCCGGAGCCGTTAGTGAACAAGAAGGGCACAATTCTGGGCGTTGTGATCAGCTTCACGGTTAGTTAAATATGACACACAGGCGCGAAGCAGAGGTATTGACGAATGTTTCCAGGCTTTCGCATGGGTATGCGTCGCGTTCCGCATGCATGTGCGTGCCAAGGTGGTTAAGTCTTTGGGATGGGATGACTTCTTTGTGATATTGTCACTGGTGAGTTGCCCGACTCTTTACAGAGCAAAGGGCGAGCACCATAACTAAAAATAAATTGCAGTTATCGATAACGACGGGCTCAGTTGGAATTTGTATCGGTAAGCATTGATCAACGCTCTTGAGCACATCCGAAATGCTGACTGTTTATTAGCAACCAAGTTTGGTATGGGCAAGCACATATACACTCTGTCTGCAGAGGAAGTTCAGGGCTATCTACGAGTACGTCCGTTCATGAGCATGCCGACGTTGGAACCCTCATGACCTTTTCTAACACGATCGCCTCCTGAACTAGACTTTCTACGTATCAAACGCCTCCTACCAGATGTCGACCGCCTTCATCAAGATTTCCCTCCTTTTTCAGTACCTTCGCATATTCGATCAGCCATCTTTCACCAGGCGCCTCTGCATCTACACCATTATTTTTGTATGCGTATGGGCCACGACCTACGGATTCCTAGCCTGGGTTCCCTGTGTTCCAGTGAAAGCCTACTGGGACTGGTCTATTCCGGCCAGCCGGTGGGCATACGGATCTCTTAACGCCGAGATCTTCTCGGCTACGTACGAAAGCCATTCTGCAGTCAACATCGCCCTCGATCTGCTGGTGCTGGGAATCCCGGTGCCGCTCTATTTCAAGCAAGATGCCCCGCTCAAGTCTAAACTCGGTCTGCTTGCACTACTTGGCATTGGCATAGCGTGCGTATACCGTCATGGACATACCCAATTCTTCTCGATGGCTATGAGCTGACCAAGGAACTCTCCAACAGAGTCAATGGTGTCTCTTTAGTGCGTTTCATCACCATTCTGCAACACCGCAGCGCCACATACCCGACGCTCGATTTTCCCTGGTACGGTCCCGTTAGCATCGTCCTTGCCTGCGTCGAAGTCGACCTGGCCATGGTTGCCAGCAGCGTTCCCATTTTCTGGCCTGTCTTGCGGCAACGATTCCCCGGCATCTTCGTCACCAAGGAGGTCGAGGTCACGCGCGAAGCTCGGAGACTGGAAAGCGTCGAGCTCGACGATGACATAGGAACCGAGGAGGGCCGGAGATCGAGAGTAGGCAGCGAGGCAAGTCTTCGACAAGACACCCGAAAGACCGCTGTACGGTATATGGATGATTTTGTGGCAAACCAAGTTGATCCTTTGAGGAGAAGTAAAAGTGTGGTGACGGAGGTTAAGGCGGGCGACGTGGATGCCGATGGTAAATGGTGGGCAAAAGGCCCCTGAGCAAAGTCCATAGTCTGAATTTGGAGCATCTTGTGGTGATTTAATCAACTATGAGGCACCAGCTGTGTGGACCTTGTTCACCCTTTGCGCAGTAGAAATGTTTCGATCCTATATAAACCGAGCACGCCGACGTATGGGGGGGTTATGCATGAGAGGTTTGCATGCGATACTGGTCTTCTCGATCTATACACATCCGCTACCGGATTCCGCAGACTACAATTACCTAAGCATGACCGGCATGACCGGGCAGATGCGGAAAAGAAGGGAGAATGCGAGTGAAGCAATGAGATGGTCTGTTATTGTAGCCATAGATAAAGTGGTCCTTCGTCTTGCTGTTCATTATCATGGACCTTCATCCCACATGGCTATCTATTCAATTTCCAAGTCCTGTTTGATCCTCCAACATAACACTCTTGCAGTATCCGGTTTAGTTTATGAGGCTCGGATGAGGTCCATGGTTTAGGAGCAATGGCTGCATAGTTCGTGCCAAACACACTTACGGTGAAGAAAGCAAGACATGAAGTTGATTCTTCTATTGGGCCAGGCCTAAGTATTTTTGCTCTCGTTTGTGATTTGTTCATCAGGTCACTTAAGCTTAAAGAATTTCAAAGTCTTCAAATCACCGACTGATGATATGAAGAGACCGGAGAGCAGCCAGCAGATGCAAACTTGGGCAAGACAGCCAGTACGAGTCGGGCCAGTGATTCAGCTGGTAAATGCAAGTCATGATAAACGTGAAAACCGCCGTAGCGCACCTCTTGGAGCGAGAAGAGTAAGAAAATATAGTAGCGGCTGACATGGTAATAATACTTTCTCAAATAAGCGAGCAGGAGGAAGAAGTTCGTGATTTCGGTTTCCTAGAATTCTATTGTTGTTCAACTTGATCTCTTGCAGGAAACTCTGCGCTCATTTATGGAATTACCTTTTTAAAGCCCATTTACTGAACCTCAGCATTTCACTAACAGCATGCTACGGCGTTGCTGGCGTTTCATGCTAGTTCCGCCCGACTCTCTTAAGAAGTTGGTCAACACTTCCGTTCAGTAACTTGGCCATTGGATGCCTTGGCTTTGCACCTAGCGAAAAATCTCAAGTTTTCATGGGTAGTTCCCTGGCTATTTCGAACACGATTATCAAGGTTACCGTCGAGTTGGTTTTCGATACCGTCGCTGCAAAGACGTCCTGCGAGAGGCTCAATTCTAGACGACCAAGACTGTAACATATAATTACAATCTTGCTGGGCTTCTTTATCACTCTATTCTAGCTCGCTTGATATGGCATTTACCTAGGGTAAGTACTTTGTCGATCACCAACAAGCCTGGCTTCGGCTCACATGCTCAGTGGATCCAAACGTTCGCAAGGTGACTTACAAAACAACAGCAAGCCTTGAACATAGAGACCTACAAAGTTCTGAATTTATCCAAAGTAATTAGTCAGGATCATACTTTCCTGTCGGATAATACCACGTCCGGAAATCTTAAGATTGGAGACAAGGATGTTCACGAGGGGATGCAGTAGCTTGAACGGTGTGGCGCCTGACCCTTTACCCATCTTCACCACCACCATGTCTTGTACCTCTCAGTGAACTACAATTTACTAGCTTACTCTCTTTTCTTCTGCATGAACATATGAAAAATATGCTTCTAATTATTTATATACCGAGAGCTCTCTACTGTGAGAAGAGCTGTGGCTTCGTTGACAAGCATCCAGAAAGCAGGAGAGGTCTTGTTGAGTAATCACACAACAAACAAAAAACAATGTTGTACATATTTCGCCCATTGAACAATAGAGCAAGATTTTACTTGAGTTAAGTTCTCGATGCGCATAATTAACTAGGATTTTAGAGAGTGTGATAGCGTCGCTCATCCTACCCGATCCGTTTGCCGGACTGTCTCGGAGCTCTGACCCCGCGTCAGTGGGGCAGTTGTGGAGTAGATAGCAGGATATTGAAATGTCAAGTACCGTCCGTTAGCTATCATTGTTCTTGGAAGGTCATGGAATAACAATTGTTCACTGGGAAGCGGATATCGTAGACGAAACAGCCGCTTCGGGCCAAGTCAGAATCACCCAAGGAAAAAGAGTCAAAGGCGCAAGGGCCATTGAACCAAAACAGTATGACTCCGTATACATAAAATAGACAGCCGAAATCGAATGAATGGTTCTGATCTTATAAAGAAGAAACCGGAGACGTACTCTGTAAGCAGGAGCATTCGGTTATGCGCAACAACCGCGAACCTGTTGCGGCGCAACAGAAGTCAAGGCGTCCATGTACAACAACAGGCCCACAGCTCGGCGCTCGGGATCCGCGGACCTAGCGAGCGCCCGAAAAGTTGGAAGACGTACCAGTTATCTATCCGCGGATGCCCGGCGGCGTTCTTACTTATAATTCGGCATGGCTGCTATTGTGGACGGTTTTGGACATTTATGCGGGCAGATGTAGTCGCAAAGTTCAATCTTCAAACGTTGTTAGTTCGCACAAGAGAACACTAGAAGCCACAACCCAAAGTTTGCCTATCTTTTGGCGGCATGGCTGACATTCAGACTCACCTCGTTACCGGTGGGAGCGGCTTTATCGCGCAACACCTAATCAATGGACTGTTACTAAAGGGCTTTTGTGTACATACAACGGTGCGCAGCCTCAACAACGCCAAAAAGGTCGAGGCTTTGAAGGCGCTGCAGGAGAACTACCCGGCCGGTCGACTAAAGCTTTTCGAAGCTGATCTGCTCAAATGGGGCTCATTCAAAGAGGCGATGCAGCAATGCACTGTAGTCCACCATGTCGCATCGCCTTTCATGATGGCAGAGAAGATCAAAGACGGTCAAAAAGAATGTGTTGAACCTGCACTGAAAGGAACCCAGAACGTATTAGCCACAGTTGGGGAAACAGAATCAGTCAAGCGGGTTGTGCTTACATCCACAAGTAAGTGTATCTCCAAGTTACATCCAAATTGATCTATTTGGGAAATTCCTCCTACTCGAAGCTGTTTGGCTAATTTTCAACCAAACCTTAGTCGGTGCGATATTCGGCGATTACGCCGACGTTCAAGATGAGATGGCAGGGACCCTATCCGAAAAATATTTCAACGAGACCAGTACGGTGGAACATAACCCCTATCATTATTCCAAAGTGTTGGCAGAAAAAGAGGCATGGAAAATTGCCAAGCAACAAGATCGATGGGATATGGTGGTTATTTGCCCGGGTCTGGTTCTTGGCCCGCCATTGTCTAAAGGCTCCGACTCGGGCAGCCTGTACCTCATAGATGAGCTCCTGCGCGGGGAACTGTTCTTCGGCGTGCCCAACATCAATTTCGCCACTGTGGACGTGCGGGACGTGGCAACAGCCCACATCAAAGCAGCAGAGACGCCATCGGCTAATGGCCGGTATATTGTAGCGGCCAAGGAAATGGCGACGTTTTTGGAAGTCTCGCGGCTTTTCCGGAGACTGAGCAAGTCTCCGGTCGTCCCTAATCACCAGCTCCCCGACTTCCTCGTTCGTTTAGTGGGACCTTTGTTTGGACTTACCCAGAAGTGGATTTCGAGAAACTTAGGGGTCAGGTTCACCGTGGACAATAGTCGGACGATCACCGAGTTGAACATTGACTTCCGGCCGCTTGAGAAGACCCTCACTGATCATTACCAGGCTTGGAAAGCCTCTCGGAAGTAAGATGCGCGTACGTGTACTTCTGCTATGGTGGACGATGTATCAAACATCGGGACATCATTTCTCAGTATCCCCCGATGTATGACGGATCGGAGGCAACATCTCATATACCAATTTGGATTATTGTTATGGTTTCTTAATTATTCTTTTACGGCGGTTAGAGCTCATTTGATTAACAGCAATGACGTTTGGCTGGTCTCTAATCACATTTCGCCAACACAATTGAGTTTTTGTATGAGCACAGACAAGTCCAAAACGAGCCAAAGGACTTTCGATACCATGTTGAGCGACAATTTCGCTGTATATAAGATAATGCTTCTCGGCTAGGAGCACAGTTAGCCCGGTATCACTATGCGAAGCAAGATCTGCGCCGCATTGCTTCCTTGATGGCGATGGAAGCTTGAATGACAACAGAACCACGTACGGCTATGCTGTGGACTACAAAAACGGACTATTGGCCAACTTAATGCTGTCGTCAAATGGGCCTTTTTGTACTTCTCTTAGGTATGGGAGCCGGATGTATTATGTTAGGAAGGAAGTCCGAGGTCATCTTGCTGAGGTCTCATGTAATTACCCCGAGCTATGACTATACATATTATTGAAGGGCATTATAATTCTGGGGACATTGCCCTTTATGTCTAACCCTGAAACAAACTGAAGGTCAATGATTCAAATCCTACCTCCTCATCGCAACCGCGGCTGAAACCAGGTGCAATCCTTGAACTTGGAACCCGGTTAGGATTGGGATTGATACTTTGCCAATAATACGACCTATTAGCTGTGACTGGTTGCTATTTGAATTCTAAGTCAAGTACAACTGAGTAAAAGGGTACCGGTGCCGTCGGATAGGATCAAGACGGTGCCGAGGATTCAGGATTGGCAGCATAAACAGTTATTGACGGATTCAAAGACCACCCGGTACCACTTGCGTCTGCAGCTGAGACTTGGGGGTCGGATGCCTTGTTTTGGTCTTTAAGCAGGTGAGGACAAGTGTGTATTTATTGATAATAGTTTTAATTGTTTTACATATTCGTTTGTTATAGGAATTATCTCTACTCTTTCTGAGTACAATTTACTTTTTCGAAGGGTGGTGCAACCTGTTGATTCGACTTTTGCCAGCTGGTATAGAGCGCGATTGTTGTGACGACGTCAATGCCTAAACAGCGCGTCTATTGACGTCATCAGCAGCAGACAGTCTTGGAGGCTCAGCGCCAACGTTAGACGAGTGTGACGCTCTGCTCGCTAGTCCGTCGGTGCCATATGCGGGTTGCTCTCGGGGATGGTTATCGCCGGAAGTTCTGGCGGCATTGTGGGACGAACTGTGAGAGACATTGTGGGAAGAGTCATGGGTGTAGTTTTGGTTGGAAGAATCATTGATGTATCGCCTCGCGTCCCCAAGGGCCGAGGAAAGCGTACCCTGAGCATTGTTGATAGCGTTCGAACCCGCCTGCGGCAAGTTCCTTGCATTCTCGGCAGCGTATCCGGACGCATCAGAGGCGTTGCCTCTGACCTTTGAGGACAAATCAGCCGCAGTGTTCTTTCCACTCTTAGTTGCGTTCGAGATGTTGGCTCCGGCGTTCTTGGTATTGTCGACGGCAGCTCCAGAAAGATCAGAGGCGGTATCCCTAGCCTTGGATGACAAGTCGGCTGCTGTTTGCTTTCCATTTTGAGCAGTATTCGAAAGAGACGTTCCGGTGTTTCTGGCCTTATCGGCCGCAGTTCCAGACAAATCGGAGGCAGTGTTCCTTGCTTTTGTTGAAAGATCGACCGCGGCTTGCTTTCCACTCTGCGCCGTATTCGAAACTGTGTTTCCAGCATCGTACGCAGCCTGCTGCGCCTTTGAAGATAGCTCAGAAGCCTTAACTTGGCCGTTCTTGGCAAGTTCCTTGCCCTTTTCCGCCGTCGTGTTGGCGAGCTCTTGAGCACGCACAGTAGCATCCTGGGCTGCCTTACGACCTTGAGGCGAGTTGACGAGAGGCGCAATGAAAACGGAGGTCAAAGCCAAGACAGCCAGCCAAAACGGAGCGAGAACCTGCATGAGTCCGTACAAGGCGGTGAAGCCGATGAAAGCCTGTTGATTGATCAGTCTAATGCGCATGTGTTTACAATGCCCAAGTGAAGGCTACCTACAGCGAAGGCTTTCTCGAGGTCTTGACCGTAGAGAATTCTTTGAGCTTGAATTGCACCAGACTGAATGAGATCATGAATGTCCTTTAATGTGGCATTGAGGGTAGACTCGTTGAAAGTCTTGTACTCCTTGGGCCGGAGACGGGTGGACAACGAATCGGAGCTGAATGATCGGCTAGCGAACTCCGTAACAGAAACAACTCCAAGAGTAGTCATTCCAGCCTTGAGCGCCCATTGAGTGAGAGGCAAATAGTGCGCTCCAAATAGAACGCCAAGAGCAGCGAAGTATGTACCCAGCGTACGAAGGGGATCCTCCCACTACGAGAGTTGTCAGCAATAATAGGATGGAAAATTAGGTGAGCAACTAACGCTGATATACTTGTAGAGGCTGTCTTGATGAGCTATAGTACCGCGGTTGTCAGTACCATCAACACCTTGTGTCAATCATGGTGTGTCTGTGCCTACCAAGAACCTGCTTCAACGGACCATCCTGCTCAGGAGTCGGATGCGATCTCTCACGCAGCGCGCGTTGGATTGTTGAAGTGACTACAACAGAGATTAACCGTCAGTATGCAAACAATTAATGTTCGATAATTTACCAGCGGACTCACTTTGCTCCGTGTCCTGGCTGCTCTGATCGCCATCTTCGTTGTGCAGAACAACAACAGTTGGTTCACCCATGGTGATAGATTGATTATGTGAAGTACGTGGCTGTTGGCGAAATTTGTGTACTGAATGATGGCTTCACGTCAATGTTGTAAGTGAGAGTTAATCGATTCTTTGTAAATACAATTGGAGAATGCATGCAAGACGAGAGTGCAAATAATCGGCCAAAGCAGTTTCTTTTTGTTCTTCACACCCAGAACTAACATACGCCAAGCTTGCCTCCCGTTCCCTGCGATTAATTACGTTGCGCATTGCATCATGTTGACACACATTGACATTAGTGAGGGGATGATGACCGCCAATCTTCGTGACGTCGCTTAGTGGTCATTTGGCTGTGCCTCGCAGCAAAATCAGATAATGCTTAGCTTCCGCCGTGCGATGATGACGAGGAGGCGGAATGTCGCACGCGAGCACACACGAGCACGGAATACGCAATTGGATTTCTGAGGCTTTGCTGCCCAAATGCGTTTCATCGGATTGCAAGTGTCTCATGACGTGCGCAAGTACTGCAATGCGATTGTACGTCATCCTAAGTCAAGAAGCATTCCGCTCAAGAAAGAGTCTTAACCCAAAGGTAGCACGCACGTAGACATTTAATTGTGGATTTCCATCAGCGTAATTGATGTTCCAGCAACCCCTGGCCACGTTACAAGACACGCAATCGGAGGTAATGGAGCCTAACTACCTAGACCATGGTTGACCTCAGCATGGCGATCGACGATGCATTACACCACACCACACAACCTCACCATCAGACCGGGGAAAGGGACTGTCACGGTCCGACCCGCTGCCCATGGCACAAAATGTGGGCTGTTTCCATCACAGTCACAGCTCGAATTGTTCCAGGCCTTTTCAACACGCTAACATGAGGAACTTTCCCTCCGGGCCAGCACGGCAAGCTTTTCTCGGGGCCGAGCCCAAGATCTGTCCAACATTCCATACTTCCACAATGACGGCTCCTTTCGCATGATACTACGAAACCAAAATTTTCCACACATTTTCCGAGGTTTTGAGCTCGTCCTCGTTTCGCACCGGTCGGCCCGGCCCTGATAGCAATGAGATTGGATGACCAACTCAACTTCACAGTGGCAATTCAGTCTGTCACGCGATTCGAAGTGTTTCGGGATGATACTCAGCGCGAGGTGTGTGCTGAGGAATTTGATGTTACCTTTGAGTCTACTATGTCTGGAGCCCTACCAGAATGACAATGCACCAATTCGAAGCTTACAAGAGACTGTGCGAAAAGAAAAACGCTTAGAGTAAGAATTTCATTGATGTGGGTGAAGTTGGCAACAAGCCGCCCTTCAGATATATTTCTTCCTTTTCAAATAGAGTCATAGGACTCTACCACAACACTTGAATTGACCTGCAGAATCTGGAAGAAAAGTCCGCTAGTATTACTTAAGCTCCAGATCGGTTAATCATTTGGTAGTGAAACTTTGCCTAAGTCCTTACCCATGTACAGATCCCTTTCGGTTTTTCCGATAATGACAAGTAGTTCAACATCACCAAAGCCGATCATGTTTGTGGCCTAAATTCACCGCATAATCAACCACTTGCTCCCCATGATCACACTAAAAGCTGCATTATTAATATCGTGGGTAATTGGCCCCTTTTGCAAAGTCGGTGGATGTTAATAGGGCGTATTCCTCGAGGAGATGAGAGATATTGCAAGATTTATCCGAGGGCTTACTTCAGGATACATATTCTAATGTTCTCATTCCTTCGCGAGAGTTCTCTCTGACTCATTGGTGCGTTTTCAGGCTTTCCGGTTTTTTGTATATCCTGGACTCATTTAGCCAAACACTAACTTGGTGCGGCCACGAATCACAGCTAAATGTCCCCGGCGGTCTGACTTTCTGTTGAAATGTAGCGGAAAACGTCTCTTGTTGAGATTGCGGAACGGTAAGTCTTCAAATAAAAATACAAATACACATACCGATGCTAGGAATCCAAACTTTCGTCAAGAACACGCAAGAAGCCTACAGTATCACGGAGCGCTCAGTTGTAGAGCCTTGATGACTCTTCCAGTAGTTCCAGCATTTTTCGTCCCACTCAAAACTTTGTTCGCGATGATCAATGCAGAATTCCAGTTGAGATTGCTGTTGTCGGGATAAAGCCAGTCAGTCACCCCATCGATAAAGGCTTACTCGCTTCAATCTGAACAGAGACAGCGAAAGCAAAGCTTAGGGTTGATAAGAACGACGGACCGCGAGAATGATTTTAGACAAACTTCTCAGAATCCAATTATGAAATCAATCCTTCAGGATTCTTTTGGCTGGTGAATTTGTACGGGCTTTACCTTGCGACGCCGTGATTCAATGGCGTTTGCAATACTCCTTTCACGTCGTTATAAACCTTGCTAAGTTTGGGCCAAGCCAATACTTTACAATTGACAGTGTGCCCGACCAGAGACTGCGTTAAAAGAATCAAACTTCGCCTTGCATGGAAAAAAAATCCCGATCTTTCAAGGTGAAAGACTCAGGGACTACGCCCCAGGTTTTCAGCAATTAAACCTGCCTTGACTCGAAAGTTTAGGAGGTCATTGAGGGGTGTGGACGTATTGTGTCATTTTTATACAGCACGTTGTGGCATAGCAATGCACTCTGGAGATGCAGTCCTTCGTTTGAAATCAGAGTTACAGCTATATTTCAGGCCATAGCTCTTGACAACTAGAAGTAGTAGAGAGTATGGAAGGGGCATAAGTCGACCAGGACATAAGGCCTTGCTGTCTAGCGGGCACATTTTATAGCGATGCTTGTATCTTGTTTAAAAAAACGAACGAATTAAACCCCTCCAGAGTGAGCAAACAAGCATTTCAAAGAGACATACCTGTGACAGAGTCGTAAATCTTTCAAAGAGATTGAGGACTCCCTGCTTCCTCTACCCAGCTGTCAATCCTGGGCCTCATCCCGTAAAATACGCTTTAAACGGCTCGTTGTTTTACTTGTAAACGACCGAATAGAATTTATCGAATTTCAGTGGCCACACGGCATGAAGTTGTTCTGGCACCAGCCTGCGGCCTCACCGTCACCAGCGATTGGGACGGCAGCGAGTCCACATGAAAATAAGATGGGAGGTCGAAGACAGCTGAAATCGAGGTAAGAGCAGATCAATACTGGAACAGTAGACTTTCGGAACAATGCCGTGACAAGGTGTTTGTAAGCGGGAGAATAAGCCCCGCAGACAATGCGATCTAGATGCTCAAGCGGCGGGCTCGCTCGTGGAGGGATTGATGTGCAATAATTACCGTGATCATCGCCGCAAAATCCTCGATGCACATTCAGCAAGAGATCCGACCGGATCTGCAGGCTACACCGGGTAGTTGGAGGTTTAGTGCAATCATGATCACTAGGGGTTGTTCTCGTTCTCCAGCGCATGGATTAAATAGTGATACCAACTGCACCCAGCTGAGCGCATATAAGACCCATTGGCACCAAGGACATTGTGCTGGGTGGTAAGAATGTCTGGCGCGATTGCATCATCATATGCAATTGAAGCTGCAAATAGAGCGATCATGCAAGGTGCTGCATGTCTATGTATTATTCCAACCCTGTTGAAGTTGGGCAATGAAGCAACGCGTCATATCCAAGAGTTTATCCGCGTTAATTAAGACACCGAAACCCCCGTCCCACAGAGGCGCAGTCCAGTGCAACATCACCATTGACAGACAAGATTCAGAAATCCGTAAGGCGACAACTACTGCACAAAATGCATTGAAACACAAACAGAGCATTCAGACTCCGTCCGATCATTTGGGCGCTGATTTTGTGGCTCTTTGATATTTATCCGTACTTTGGCAATATTGGATGACAGCCCTCGCTTGATGTTGGTTTATGGACTCTTTCTCCGCTTTGGCCTCGGCTACATGGCCCTTGCAGTATGGCCTCTCTTTGCAGTTAACAGGTAACAGTTGAGGGACGATATCAGGGAATAGTCTCCGATCCCTGGTGCCCGCGTACTAAATTTGGCGATTCTTCATCTCCTTCGCTCTTGTTGACCGACTTTGAGATTGGAAGCCCGTGAACTCCGGGTTCGTGAATAGAACCCACTAACTCCACGAATTGTGCCGCTCTTTTTTTTTCTCTTGCATTCTCCACCGAGGCAGCCCTCCGCTAATACAGATTTGAATACGAAGGCCACGCTACGCCGCAAAGACGCAGAGCCTTCAGCCAGTCTCGTTGGAGCTCGTCCTCCGAGGTGGAAGCCTAGAGCCCCTGAGCGGCAACAATGAAACCACGACACGTATTCATCAATGTACTCGTTCAATTTGACGTCTACGTATAAGGGCTGACATCTCGGCAATATTGTGGGATTAACAGGCGTAATAGCAACCTTTTCCGTACAGTCCGTTGCTCTGGTGTGACGCAGCTAAGAGAAGAGCGGCGGTATTGACGTCCATTCGCAACCAGACTTTCTTGAGTCTTGCAGACGATGGGCAGAAAAGACTCCTCAAAACTTGAAGGGTGCCGCGGGTCTAGAGGGTTCGATGCAACGGCGCAGAAGATCCTTTGCCAATCATGCCTGGAAAAGTGACAGCGCCATCAAGATCTAGGCGGCTTCAGGATCCCTGTCTAGCGCGGGCAAATTGCTTGGACGGGAAAAAGGGGAACGGCGGAATCCAAGGAAGAGTCCACCCAAACCACCGCTAAGCCCCATTCGGGCCTGATCAAGGGTCTGTTCCTGGCAGTCCAACCAGGGGCGGACAGGTGGGCAAAGTGTACTTATCATAGTACATGTGCCTCCAAACCATTGGCCTCGGGACGACCACTCTTCGCGCGGACTGTGCCTGAGCCGCCAGCCAACCGCCGTGCCGTTCCTGGAGTCCAAATCGGCCTCAGTGCGTTCGTTCGTTTGTTTGAGAAGTCAAGTGTTCCGGGGGGGCCTGCAGGAAGCTGTTTGTTGTTCCCACTCACATGCGCGTAAGTCTCTATGCATTATACACAGACGCAAAGAGGAGAGAGGATGGAGCCACGAGTCCTTACGTATGTGACCACTCAGGGCTCAAATACGGCATAACCAACCCTTGAGATATCAGCCGGTCTCCAAAATAGGCAGGTTTTGTCAGCGGGGCTGTGTTCTAGTCTCCTCACGTCGAGCCCCTGGACGAACCACCGTTTCGGGCCGGCTCACCAAGGCCTCGTCGGGATCCAGAGACCCAACGGGAACGAGATTGCTGGAGAAGCATGCAGGCGGTTGACCCCTGAGGGATTTCACCCTGTGGCCCTGCAGGTGAATCGAATGGCTAGGAGTGTATCTGGGTCGACCGTCTTCCCGGCTTGATATAAGAAGTGATGGGCAGCCCCATGGGACAAGCGCCCTGCGCGTCCAGGCCCCCTTTCCATCTCACCTCCTTCAAGATTCCTCCTCGGGTCTCTTAGTCACTCCTTTGTTAAAACAAGCCTCTGAGATAACTCTATTCTATCCACTCTCTCTAGTTTAGAAGATCTCGTTCAGTCGTTATTTGAAGTGTTTTGTGTTTCGAGTCTTTGAGCCGCAGTCGTTTCTAGTTCTACCCTGTTTCTGTTTCGTTTCCAAAAACATTGCCCAATATGGCACCTTCGCTTTTCTCCACGCTCTCTTCCGCCCTCCTTCTTACTTCTTCGGTATCTGCCCAGAAATCCTACCAGGTGGTGGACAGTTATGACTCCACCAACTTCCTTGACAAGTTCGGCTTCTTCGTGGTATGTGTCTAGTTGGGAGGCGTAAGTAATGGTCACCACTGACAATATCCTCTCCAGAGCAATCACACCACTGGAAACTACAACGATGTCGACCCCACTGGCGGTTATGTCAGCTACAAATCCGCCGCGGAGGCTCAGAGCATGGGTCTTGTCAAGACAGTTGGCGAGGACTTGTACCTCGGTGTCGACTCTGAATCCGTCCTCGACCCCAACGGTATTGGCAGAAGCAGTGTCAGAATCGAGAGTAAGAGCCAGTACAAGCAGGGTCTCTTCGTCGCTACCTTCTCTCACCTCCCTAAGCCCGTCTGCGGTGCCTGGCCCGCATTGTAAGTGATTAACTCATTTGTGAGGATTTTATAATGGTTTACTGATTAAATCGCAGCTGGACCGTCGGTAATCCATGGCCCGCTGCAGGTGAGATCGACATTGTCGAAACTTGGAATCTGGACAATGTAAACAAGGTGGTTCTTCATACCGACGGTAGTTTGGGGGAGTGCCGTGTTGACGGCACGAACATGACTGGAACTGTCAGCAAGCCTAACTGCGCCAATTATGCCGCGGGTCAGTCCGACAACGAAGGTTGTGCTGGTCTGGACCCCGCTGCGCCCTTCGGATCGGCCGAGGGCGGCGTCTGTACGAACCATCTTCTATCAACCATTCGATCAACACAAGATGCTAATTTTGAATTTTAGACGCTATGGAATGGACAGACGATGCTATCCGTGTCTGGGGCTTTACTCACGCTAACGTGCCTGCCGATATTGCGACCAACCCCAAGCCCGAGACCTGGGGCACCCCCAGCTTCACCACCAGCACCTGCGCCGCCGACAAGCTCTTTGGCGAGGCGAAGATGGTTATGAATATTGATCTGTGTGGCGTAGCAGGCAATGACCTCATCTGGAATGCAGCTGGAGGCTGTGAGGCCCAGACTGGAGGCGCAACTTGCAAAGAATGGGTTGCGAAGAACCCGGCCGCCTTCGCCGATGTTTACTTCAAGCTCAAGTCTATCAAGATCTACAGCCTCAAGGAAGGCGAGGCAGCTACGTCTGTTGCCACTAGTCAGGTTACTGCTACTGCTGCTCCTACCTCTGTTGTCAGCTCTGTTGTGTCTTCCGGAATCGCCTCCGAGAAGCCGGCCGAGACCGCTTCCGACGCCGTCTCAGTCTCCGTCCCCGCTTCCGTCTCCGCTCCTGCCTCTGTTTCGGCCTCTGCTCCTGCCTCCGCCTCCGTCATTGCTCCCGAAACGCCTGTAGAGACCTCCGCCGAGAGCCTGACCACCCGCTTGGCCACCTCGACCGTATACGAGACAAACATCAAGACCGTCACTTCCTGTGCCCCTGAGGTTACCAACTGCCCGGCCAGGGACACCCCTATCATCGTCACCGAGGTCGTCCCCGTCACTACCACCATCTGCCCCGTCTTCGACGTTCCGACCCAGTTGACCGTCTCCAAGACCGAGGTTGTCACCATCACGTCCTGCGCCCCGAGGTTCCCAACTGCCCCGCCAGGACCTCGACTCTCACCACCCAGGAGGTTATCCCTACGACGACTGCCATTCCTGTTGAGAGCTATATCCCTCCCAAGCCCACTGGTGACAAGCCCGTCGGCACCGTCGGCTCGCAGAAGCCCGTTGGAGATATCACCACCGCACTCACGACCTACAAGACGAACATTGTCACTATTACCTCCTGCGCCCCTGATGTCACCAACTGCCCCGCTAGGACTTCCACAATTGTTACCAGCGAGGTGATCCCCACGACGATTCCCGCTGTCCCCGCTACTACCGACGCCGAGAAGCCCGCGGTCACCGAGCAGCCTCCTGTTCAAATCACCACTTACAAGACCAACATTGTTACCATCACCTCTTGCGCTCCTGAAGTCACCAACTGCCCCGCCAGGACCTCTACTATCGTCACCAGCGAGGTCATTCCCGCGCCTACCACTGAGGGGGAGAAGCCGGTGCCCGTCACAATAGATATCCCCACCGTTCTGACGACCTACAAGACCAACATCGTCACCATCACCTCCTGCGCGCCCGAGGTCACCAACTGCCCCGCCAGGACGTCCACCATCGTCACCAGCGAGCTCATCTCCACCACGGTTCCGGCTCCTGGCGTTCCTGCCACGCCTACCAAGGTCTCCCAAAATCCTCCCGTGGACCAGCCCTCCGCCCCGGCTCCAACGAGCCTTCCGTCCCTGGTACCGGTGTCCCTACCGTCGGCATCCCTGCCCCTGGCGAGACCACCTCCGCCCAAAAGCCCGTGCCCGAGACCCCTGGTGCTTCCGCCACTGATGTTGCTACTGCCATGCCCACGACCCTGGTTGTCGCTCCTTCGTCTCCTTACAACGGCACCCTGACCACCGCTCGCCTCCCGGTCGGAACCGGCTCCACTGCTCCTTGCATCGGCGCCGCGTGCCCGGCCACCACCACCGGCCCCGTCCAGGCCGGCGCTGGCAAACTTGGCTCCAGAGTCTTCTTGTTGGCCGCTGCGCTGGCCGTTTTCGTCATCTAATGGGGATCTCATTGGCATTGGTGACGGGTTTATTTCATTTATCTGAGGTCTTTTTTGTATTATATATGGTTCCTTATAGAGCGCATATACCCTTCGGTTACGTAGCATAGGAAGGGTCGGAAAAGCGTCCCGAATATACTATCCAAGTTATTCATACCTTACTGCCTCTCCTTCGTAGTCTAGGTCATCATGTAATTTGTATTAAGAGTGAGAAATTGCCAGCGATGTATGGTTGTATAGTATAACAAGATCTCCCTCTGAGTGACTAGCCTGTGAAACTTGGATGACTTAGTTTGCAAGCGTAAACTTACTCTCTCTTTTTTCTCTCTGCCTCCCTCTCTTTAATCTCTGTTTACCTATCCCGCCAACTCTCTCGCGGTCTTTGTCTATCTGGCAATTTCAGATGATACGACTTATCTCTAGCATCTCAAGTCAAAATCAACCCAATGATAACCACCCAGACAACCCTCCCGGTCTCCGCCCAGTCACCAAAGACCCCTGACGCCCTCGCGGTACCGCTCATTTGGTTTCCTTCCAATACAGGGGGCGTGGTCGAGATATCGTCGGGCAAGACGATAGGTGGCAGCGCGCTGAACGAAGGTGTCTCGAACACCGTGACGGGTGTGATCGATCTGGAACTCCGCGTTAAAGATGCTTCTGCCAAAGGCGGTGTCGAAGAGGTCAGAGCTCCAGAAGGCTCCGTCCGTACTGGCGGCGGCGCAGAGGACTGCGTAGTCGGACCAACAGCCGGCGGTGGGGTCGTTGATGGAGACGTTATTGTGCTGAATATAGACGGCTCGGCTGACGCCAGAAACGCCGGCGGCAGTGTGCTTATCGCAGGCGCGAGTACTACTGGCGGTGGCGCGGTCGTTGTCGTTGTCGTCGTTAGCATCGGAGGATCCGACGCGGCGACGAAGCCGCACTCGGCGATGATTTGCCGGATATCTGGGCTCACTATCAGCCAAGCGTCCTCAAAGCATAACACGCAGCAAGTAATGTCGCAAGGCAACGAACTGACCCTCGCTGGCCTCAACAGCCGTCCCGTTCTGTGCAACGCACCTCGCGCATCCAAATGCGGCCCCAGCAACATCGAAATCCCTCTCCCCGCAAACACAAGCCCTCATCGCCGAACTGGCTGCCCTATTTCGCTCCGTCTCTCCGGCGTTTCCAAAATCTGGACGCGTCTGCAGCGTCTCCTCTTCATCATCGCTATCATCGCTATCGTCGCGTTCATCTTCCTCCTCTCCATCCTGTCTCCCACTCAGCCGTGTACCCAGCATCATATGTAGCAACCTCCTCTTGCCTCTTCGTCTCCGTGTCTCTGTTCCTAAGCTATCGACCACCTGTCGTTGTCCGATCCATCTCCGGTCCGTCCCGAACTGCTGCTCCGCCTCCACCTCACACCGCCCCGTGAGCTGCACGATGGGCGCGCACGCCTGCACGCACTCGGACGGTACGTCCTCCATATCGAGGTCCTCGATCGCCACGGCGCCGGAAGGCCCCGCCGTGCCCGGGAGAATGGCGGACAGGCCGGCCAGGGTGGTGATGTGCAGCGCCAAATGCCTGTGGCGCGTCATCGTCGACGCTGATGCATACGTGGCCGGCGTCCAAACTTGTGATGCTCCTTGGATCCGCTAGGAAGAAGGGTGTTCAATGTCGTCGGATTTTCGTCTCATACAGACCTGACAGGCGCCGTCCAAGGTTTCGTTTGTCACCGGAAGTATCCCAACTTTAATCCAACATGCCCTCCCACCATCCAGCAAAACAGCGCATTGCGAAACCGGGGCAACTCCGCGAGGGGCATCCATATTTTAAAGACGGTAACATGATCCTCGATTCCTTCCGTCAACCCAAAATCCCACCGGGAGTTGACATGGTCCTATAAATGCTGTCTTATATCCTTCCAAGAGGATCTACTCCTCGGAAACACCAGGCTAAACAACAGAAAACCTCCTCGCGCAGAGCGACGCCCACCCTCTCGAAACGTCTTGGCGTGTATCCGAGACCACCCAAGAATACAAGAACACCCACTTCCCGCACGTCCACGTAGTCCAGACGTTGCGGTTAGCTATTTCCCTGCAGCTGGCGGCTCTGCGAGATAGAGTTCGGCCTCGCAGCGGGAGCAATCGCAAGGAAATTGTGCCCCCCCCCCGATGCCTGCCTCGCGGCGTGAACGGCCGCTATATCCGGCTAGGCCTGCATGATCGCCGTCCGGGATGCCGGGAGTTCCAGACGTTTGTCATAAATCTCTTCGAACCCGTCCGCGCAGGAAAAGGAGCTCCGCTGCGAGTCATTCCGTCATGTCATCTCCCTCCCCCCTCCACCGAAACTTTAAACCGCCCCGTTGCTAGCTCATAAACTCGCGACTCTGGAAGATGGAGAAGAAGAAAAACCTCGACATCTGACGCAAAGTGTTTATGCCGACATGCCCGGGTGTTGCTTGGTGTGTCGGAGTATTTAAACTGGACTAGACGCGCGCGGCCTTCACCGTGGATCCGACGGTGCCAAAGTCTATCTTCGGACTAGTCGACCCTCTCGGGTGTTGAGGGGCCAGGCCAGGTCTGCGTGCAGTGTCATTCTGCTGCTGGGGTTGACAACATCAGGCCCCGGCTTCGCGTCCCCGGCTTCAGGCTAACACAACGCCAAGTCGCGATGCCAAGTCGACATTCTGCCTTGCTCATGATTACAGATGATGCATACAGTTGGTGCTTGAACACCAGAAGCCCCTTCCTCGGACCATCTTCAACCCCCTAGTCCACAGACCGAACGGGTGCCAGACATCTTGGCTCCCGAAGGCTTGGTCTGGTTCCTCGGCCAGTGTCACAGCCGATGCTTTAACTGGCCCCATCCAGACTCGTGATTTGCTGATCTGGCCTTGTCGGCGGTATTCTCTTGAGCTTCTTGACTGCATGTGGTCTTGGCCAACATACTACCTACCATGACACACACATTGAAATGACAAATCCCACTGGTCGTATGCTGGGAGGGATTCGTTGTCTTAGATCTAGGACATGTACGTCATGTTAAGTGTGGCAAATCTCTTCCTTGGGTATATTCATTGATGTATAATAACGACCTGGACGACCGCTATGGCCCGTTGTCCCCCACGTCCTTTCCGTAACCCGACAAACTGAACTAACCCCACGTTCCGCCGCCACCTCCACCACGGCCGCCCTTTCTCTGGGCGCTGAGTCTCCAGTCGTCCTCGCCGGCGTACTTGTTGTGCAGCGGCTGGATCCTCTCGGCCTTCTTCCTCTTGGACAGCCGGTCCGTCGGCGCGACCTTGAAAAAGGTCGGCGCCGCGTCGACAAGCCACTTGGGCTCGATGCTCGTCGTGCAGTGCATGTACTCCTTGGTCGTCAGCACGAGCGTGTGGTAAATGACCCACTCGGCTTGCTTCCCAAACAGCGCCGAACTGGGATGCAGGTACACGGGTGTGCCCTCGATGAGCGTCTTGTAGCCCTCCTGCGGATCTTTGCGCGCCGCGTTGCGGAAGAAGCCTGAGCAGAGCGCCTGGCGGACGATCTGCGTGTTGCGACCGCAGCTGAGGATGGGGTGGCGGTACCGCTCCATAATCTTGACGAGCTGGTCATGGACGTCCTTGGCCCGTTTCATGGAGCGGGCCTGGATGAAGTTCTCGAAACACCACGGGCTCGAGTAGCTACTCTGCTTCCATGAGTTGTAGACGTTGAGGAGCGTGAGATGATCGCCGTGAGGGTCGTGGAACTTTGCCTTTTTCTGGTCCGCCTGTGACTGCTTTTCCTTTGGCCGGTAAAAGACATTGGGAAGGTTCAACATGGCGACAATGATGAGCATCTCAGCCGAACACTTCATATCAACAGATATGATAAGCACCTTGGCCAAGGACGGCTCCATTGGAAAATCTGCCATTTTCCTTCCCAGACGAGTCAACAGACCCTCGTCGTCTAGTGCACTCAGAGCATAGAGCTCCTCCAACGCCGTAAGCATGGTGTTGATTGGAGGAGGGTCCATGAAGTCAAAGTGCAGCAGATCGTTGATGCCCATTGCCTTTAGCATAAGGATGACGTGTGACAAGTTCTGGCGTTGAATCTCGGGAATCGTGGTCGGCAGCATTTCTGACTGGTAGGCAGCCTCGGTGTAAAGTCGGAAGCATTTTCCAGGTCCCGTACGGCCGGCACGACCAGCACGTTGGTTTGCCTGCGCTTGTGAAATAGGGGTAACAACCAGGGAGTCCATGCCCAACTTCGGATCATAGGCGTTCTGCTTGACGAAACCGGGGTCGACGACGAAGTAGATGTTGTCGATGGTGATGGAGGTCTCGGCAATGTTGGTGGCAATGACCACCTTTCGGCATCCAGGGGGCGCAGGGTCGAAGATGCGACTCTGCATCTCGTTAGGAAGTGCAGAGTACACTGGCAGGATGATGAGCTCCGGGACGTTTGGTCCTAATGCTTTCATCCGTTCGTACAATATCTCGCATGATGTGTCGATTTCTTCCTGGCCCGTCAAGAAAAGCAAGATATCACCAGGGGGTTCAGTGAGATGAATTTGCATGACCGTGACCAACGCAGCATCGAGATAGTCAGACTCAGGCTCGCGAGAGTAGAGGATCTCGACAGGGAAGGTTCGGCCTGGAATGGTGAAGATAGGGCACCCGTCAAAATACGACGAGAACTTGTCGGCATCCAGAGTTGCTGAGGTAGCAATAACCTTCAGGTCCTTCCGACGCTTCATCGTCTTCTTCAACAACGCGAACAACACGTCTGTAGAAATGGTACGCTCGTGAGCCTCGTCAAGCATGATGACCGAGTACCGCCTCAGATCTGGGTCGACCAGAATCTCACGCTGAAGCATACCGTCCGTCATGTACTTAATTTTGGTGGCAGGACTTGTCTTATCCTCGAAACGAATCGTGTAACCGACAGCCTCACCCAGTGGAGTGCCGACTTCTTCAGCCACACGCTTAGCGACTGACATGGCGGCTACACGTCGGGGTTGTGTGCAGCCGATGACTCCGTCGTTTGCGAATCCGTCCTCGGCTAGGTACTGCGTAAGTTGCGTCGTCTTGCCTGAGCCTGTTTCTCCAATAACCACCATGACCTGATGCTCCCTGACGGCATCCAAGAACTTTTGTCGGAAGGCGTACACTGGCAATGATTCTCGCTGATCTTTGATGCTCATGTTCGTCCGCCTGCCGAATGCTTGGTCTTTTGGTGCCACCGCTCGCTTCCATTCCGGAACAGCGTCGGGCTTGTTCTGCGCTATTTGCGACTTGGCATTCCGCAAATCGCTGGCAAATTTGCGCTTGTCCGGGTCTGCCATCGGGTCGTTCCACTGCGCGGAAAGGTCGACTTTGGAATCTTCTGCCGCCGCCGCCTCTGCCTCTTGTTGCTTGAGCTCTTTCCTCTCCTTTGCGAGCGCAGTACCCGACATGGCCGCTCGGTTCATTGAGCCATCTGGCGCTTTAACGACGCGAATAGGTGACAGCTCCAAGGATTGCTTCGTCTGACCCGCCAAGAACGGCGGCTCCTCCTCTCGGACTTCGATGTCGACCTCTTGTTCCAGTTCCAGCTCGCCGTCGCCTCGCAGAGTCGCATTATAGTCTTCTTCCAAGTCAGGGTAGTCGGAGGCCTTAGCAACGCCAGATGCAATTAACTGTCGAATCTCCCATCTCTCGGGCGATGTCATGCGCTTCTTTTGCCGGCGAGGCTGATGTTGCGGTGGCGGCATTGGTGTGTCGTCAAACATGTTTCCGTTACGACTGCCGCCGCCTATCGCTTCCATGTTCGCGCCCGACGATATCCTGTCCTCTGGGTGGAGATCCAGACCGGTCTCTTGGTCCACCTCTTTCATAGACAGACCTATTCTGTTCCCTTCAATGTTGACAACCTTGACCTTGACCTCCTGGCCTCTAGTCAATAGGTCAGAGGGGTGGTTGACCCGCTGACCTTCCACCAGTCTCGAAATGTGAACCAACCCATCAACCTTGCCACGAACGCCGTGCAGATTAACAAATGCTCCAAAATCTTTAATGCCAGTGACATGTCCACTGTATATCTTGTGCAGTTGCGGTGCATCGTCCAGTTCGGGTTCGGGCGCCCTCCTGAAACGGTCGTCGGCTTCGTCGTCGTAGTTGCGCCGCCTGCTTCTCTGCTTCAAAGAGGGCCCGTTCTCGTAATCGTCGTACGATCGAGATCGCGACCGGTATTTGTCTCGTTTCTTCCGTTCCCTCGACCTTGATCGACCTCTCCGTTTCCGCCGCGATTCGCGACCGTCGTCTGGACTACGACTGCGCTTGCGCGTGTCTGGTTTGTCTTTCCGCACCTTGCCCTCTAGCCCCTCCAACAAGGCCAGGGTGTCGTCGATGGCGTCAACGCCGTCCCCGATGCTGTCGTATGCCACCGGTTTATCTGGCACAGCGAGGCCTCTGAAAATCTGCTCCTTCTCGGCGGCGCTTCGGTGGTGTTGGTCCTCGTTGCTACTGCCGCCGCCGCCGCCGTTTTTCTGCGCCTTGCCCCTCATCTTCGGGTGCATGGTCAAAACCAGGCGGTCGACGCTCTCAACCAAACTCGGGGGAAAGTCGGCGCCCATGGCCGCAAGTTTGTTCTTGAAACCATCGTAATCGTCGGCGTCGACTCGCTGGGCGATGATGAACTCGGCGAGGGTTTTGTCGGAGACGCCCAGATGGTTCTGCAGTTCGGACGTAACCTTCGAAACGAGCGAGAGAAGCTCGAGGTTCAAGAGGTCGTCCATGGTTGCGGGTGCGGTGAGGCGTCCTGGTGGTGATTCAGGACCTCGGAGTGCGATGGTCGCTGAGGCCTCAAAAAGTTCTAGGCTGCTGCACGCCTCGCGACGAGACATGACAGCACCGACAGGGAAGCCTCGGAGAAAGTAGCTTCCGCTCCGAGACAGACCCACTTAAGCTCTGTCCAAAGCCCGACCGTGCATGTCACTGTACAAGTGTTCTGCTACTTTCCAGACTTTTTCGAGCTTTGAGCGGCATCGGACTCATTCACACTGTCCTTCGAAAACATCGTAGCACTGAAATTACTCTAGCTTGAAGAGTGGGGGCAATTTGAAGCTATCCCCCACCCTCGGCATATTAAGTGGAAGCTTCAGGAGTCTTCAAGTGAAGCACGTTGGATACTGAACGTCGTGTGGACTTTAGCAAAGCTACCTGTAGGTTGGAAAGGGGTATCTTAAGATATTCTCAATTCATGGTGCCGCTCCATGTTTCTTTAGTCCCGTCTTTGCTCCTGGACCAAGACTAGTGATATTGAGGTGATCTGAGATATCCGTGAAGACTGTCCATCTTGCCGTTCACCGAGTAACGCTGCTAGGTAACGGTAGATTGTCATGTTCGATGTGGAGTCTCCCGCAACCCAGCAGGTCTCGTCCGTGTCGTCGCATCTTTGAATGCGGCCGACCTGCATTGGCTTCATGCAGGTCCCATAGTTGACGCGAAGTAACCTAGACGTCATCCCCTGCCCATCACTTACGGCTATTTGTGGACAACGGAATAAATGCAAGAGGAAGAAAAATGTATGGTATTGTATGAATGAAAAGAGCCCCGACGCCGGTTGAGATGATGTATATCCCCAAGGTCATTATCATGACTTGAATGCGAGCCCACTGTCTGTCCTCTGAAGGGCGACGTCCCATTCGCAACTCATGCCCGCGCACTGTATCTGGGTATTGTAATCTTTAAGCAAACCGTGCTCGTCTGATGCCCGCTGATGATGGATGATTACGGTCTTGTGCGTCGCACAAATCACGACCTGTTAAGCTTTTGTTGTCGTGCTGCCAGAGCCGGAGGTCCGGGAAGTCCCTACGCTCCCCGCGTTCTATCGAGCCAGCTAATGTCAAAGTCCGTTCTTATTGCGCCATTTCCTCGAAAATCTTGATCAGACTCCGTACGCCCTTGAGCGCGTTCTCGTCAGGACCTTGGCCGGGTGTCCACTGTGCGTGAGCGAAGTCAATGAGCTTCAGCGAGTAAACCTTGGGCAGGACCGGACCGTCGTCATCGTCGTCCTCGTCGCCTCCGCTGACGGCAGCGTCGATGGTCACGAGGTCTTCATCGATCAGCTCGATACCACTATCCACTCGCAGGGCAGCTCTACCGGGCTTCTCGCTCACATCAACCTCGGCCTCGACCCTGTCGACGGCTTCGTTGTTCTGCGCGATGGCATCCTTCAGCTTCTCGCCGTCGCCTTCAAAAACAAACAGAAGGCTAGCCGAGTACATCCTGCTCTCGTTGGAAGTAAGGACCTGCTCCACGGTGCGCAGGTCACGGAGGAAGGCCTGGACGACGGCGCGGGCCAGATCGTCGTCGATGCCAGCGGCCTTGTTGAAGACAAACTTGCGAAAGTTCTCGACAACGTTGTCGGTGTTGACGTGGGTACGACCGTAATCCTTGTCGTAGATCTTGTAGTCCTCGTGGTCCAGCTCGGACTTCATTGTTGAGCCACGCCATACCTTCATGCCGGCGATCCTGAAGCCCAGAGGACCGTGTGTTGTCTTGCGCGTGATTTCGTCGAATCTCCGTTTCTTTTCGGCGGGTGCATCGTCAGCCCAAAGCCTCTCGCCCAACTTGACGTCGAGGAAGTTGGGCGAAGTGAAGCCTGATCCAGAGTTCTCGAGCACAACAGCCTGGTCCGTCTTGATTCTCTTCGACTTGTTCTGCACCCACTTGTCTTTATCCGGCTGTGGCTCTGCAGCGGCGGAAGGCTGTCCGGTGACGGCTTGGGTGAGCTCCTCCTTGGCAGCAGCCGACGAGACGGGGCCCGGGACGCCGTCCTCGATAGAACTGAGCTCGGCAGGGTCGTTGAGCATCAAGGTGCCCATGAATAGAGGCATCAGCTCGGCGAAGTCAGGGTGGTTCTCGTTGGCCGAGTTGTAGAAGTCGATTTCTGCCTGCGTGCAGGGCTTGATGAACAGCTCGCCGTCGGCATCGCACATTGTTCCTGCACTGGAGAGCAACGGGATGGCGTTAGAAATCTTCCAACTGTCGGGCGACGCCGCGGCGCATGTTTGTGTGGAATTGTGGAAAGGAGACCATAGCAAGCGAGGCGGAGGGGAGCACGATTACTTACTGGCCAGCAACAGTGTGGTTGTAGTCAACGAGGTCAGCGCGGGCAGGTATCTCCTTTTTGCCCATCTTGATTGCGCTGATGGAGGAACTGGGAAGAAAATAAAAATAACAAGAGAGGACTGCAGCTGTTAGACTGTTCACAGGCCGAATCGCATGCTCAGGGGAGATCCTAGGAATGTTTGGCGCGTGGAGAGTTGGGGTAGACGGAAAGGCAGCCGACTTTGTATCAGGTTCGCTGGTTGGGCGCGCGGCGTGGCGAAATTGATCTTTGCGTCTGGCGTCTATGTATCTCTCGTTTTCAGTTGTTCACTTGTCGGCAAGCGGCAGTCGGGATAGCTTGGCAAGGGAAGTGACTGGAGGCATGGAAGGAGTGGATCGACAGTCTAGAAGAGACGGGAGTGCGAGACGGAGGGGGGACGAGAGGGGGATTAAATTGAGCAAGCAGGTCGGGGGTGAGTGAGTAGTACTCTCTGTACTGCGGTCGACGAGGATGAGGAGGAGAAGGAAGATGGGACAAGGTTAGATGACAGGAGGGGGGATGCAGAGAGGCGTAGTCACGATGAGCATTTCTGGACGCCAACCGAGCCAAATTGCGCGGAGAGCGAAATTGAGAATGCCATTTGCGACAATAGTACGTACTCTATTAGTGTAGTCGCCGCAGGCTTGCCTGGTAAGTATCCTCCAGGCTATCGTTACCCGCAAAGATACTTTGAGAACACACTGGAAGGGGGGGATCAGTACAGCGTAGAGTTAAACCGTAAGCCAACTGCCGTTGCCCACGCCCCCGAAAGCTTGCTGCGCTTTTTTGAAAGCGGCCTGAGGGCGAGCGGGACGGTACACTGTAAGTCCACTCAGCATTCAGCATTCAGGTGAGTAGCAGTGTTTTTTCTGTTCGACCTGGAAGGGTGTGGGAGACGCGGGAGAGTGGCAGGGAAGAAGGGGTCCGACGAGGGAGAACAGGAACAAGAGGCCCGCCGTTCCCAGGGATCTCCGCCATCGAAACGGCGCTATTCTTTCCCCCTTCCAAGGGCCCTGGCCCGACTTCCGCTCTCGTTGCAGCGTAGGAATCCCAGGGTCCAATGGAAGACGGAAAAACAACAAAAGAGGGTGGCGGACGCTGCAAATCACTCGCCCGCACTCAGCCACAGCGTCGACATCCCCCACGGCCAACAAGTGAGTCTTACTCGTGGGCTCTTAGCGACCAGCAACTTTCTCCTCCCTCACTGGTGGTCTAACCTCGCATTCAGCCCTTCCTTTTCCCGAGTCCGCCTTGTCCAGCTGTTGGCCCATGTCGCTGTTCCGCGTTCTAGGCGCACACAAACCGCTGGCATCCGACACTCGAGCCACTCCCTGAGCCATGAGGCAAAGGACCAAGCGCCGAAAGTCGTTGTCGGCCGAGTGCCTTATTCAACTTCCCTGTCCTCTCGCTCTATTCAACCGCTGTCTGACAGGGTTGGAAAGGGCGCAGCTTGCTTTCTCTTTTATTTGCACGACACAGCAAATCGAGGCTTTGAGGACATTCATCGCATGCCTGCGTATCTATCCCCGCTCTCGACACCTGAGGTAATATGCAGACTGCAGGGTAGTGCATCAGACCTCCTCCATGACACCTCAGCCGGCCGCGATCTGGCCTAGAATAGCGTCTACCTTACTCCGAAAAAGGTCCTGGCTTTTACGAGGACTCCTCGCTGTCAAGGTCATCCGGGCTCGACGGAACGGCCGTGTGCGATGACTACCTTACACGATGACTTTCTGGACGAAACGTTTCGTTTGAACTTCGCCATGTCCGAGACCTGGACCAGACCGTTGGACAGGTGTATCGCGACACCATCCCATGCTGCCGTACATGGTGTTGCATTGGCACGCCTGCGAGGTGAGTCGGGTTGTGTCGGACTCTCTTGCTTCGTGATATCAGCTGGGCTCTGAGGCAGGTCTTGTTGACCGCTCCGGACGTGGTCTCACCGCTGTCATTCGGCAAGAGATTCCCACACCAGCCGTCTCCTCACCCACTCGAACATGCAGATGCTCCTGTCAGGATCCATCGGGTCAGCTGGGCTTTCCTCCAGCACGACGGCACCCGAGTGAGCCATACGCAGCCTGTTTTCTTCGTCAGCTCTCATCCACTGCTGCGGTGCCAGATACGAATGCACCTCATCTCATGCGTAATGTCACTCCGCCCCGGCTTCCGCCTCAAGCAAGCCAGCATGCATCTAGAGGCGTCTACAATTCCATTGTCAAGTGTCTGTTGTGTCCCACAAACTTCCAACAACCGCCAGACCTGCATCGCAGACTCATGGCAAACCCGGAATCTTGGATGCTATTGGTTATTTACAGCTGCTTGTCCGATGATCGCATGTCGCAGGCCTCCGACGACTGCGGGTGCCTTATGCGATTGGACCGCATGGGAAGTCCCGTCTGGAACTATCTGGCTTAGGTGCGCGATCTACACAGTTAGCCGACTCCATGCTTCCCAAGGAAACGGTAAGCTGCCGAACGGACAGCACAGATTGATCATGAAAATACTTGTTGAACACCAAAAGAGTTTCCAAAGGCTTTCGTGTATCGGTTCGTTATGACAAGGCGGAAAGTGCTGCCTGATGCTACTTGCCTGCGTAAGTAGGAACGATGGTATTCAACATTTCCTGGCAGAGAAGGGGAGACGGAGCTACCCTTTCCATTTCTTTCGGACTCGCGTGAGACATGAGACCAAAGGCTTCAACATTTGACTTCCGCCAATCCTAGCCTTTCTTCCTGAGCCGCAACGTCTCTCGTTTGCCAAACGATATTCTGCCTCGACTAGAAATCCATCGACAAGAGCAGCGGGCATTTCGAGCAACGCTGAATTGGCAACTCGATTACCGCAGTCCAACATTCAACATGGCAAACAAAAAGAAGAAGAGCACCGTCGATCGTGGTTCCACGGCCTTACACAAGTATCGCGGTACAGGCTTCGAGGGTGTGTCGCGTTGGATCGTATTCAATCGCGGCTGTGCCTTGCTGACATGCTCCAGAATTCTACGCCGACCCTCCTATGACCCCTGCCGAAGCCCACGAGGAGCGCGAGAACATCTACCATCCGTAAGCAGATCCTCCTCTAGCTTTCACCTCCCTCGGGCGTGTGCTAACGTGAACTTGTAGAAACCTTCCTTTCGTTGAGTGAGATGATCCCTTACTCTACTTTAGTCATCCGCCTAACATGTACAAGGCGCATCGAGACATGCATCCAGCGCTACCGCTCCCGCCGCCGTCTGGGTGCCTCGGAACAGACCTTCAACAAGTATCTTTTCCTCGGCGGCATTGACTCGACTCCGCGCATGTTCGGCGGCAATGTCGATGCCGACTTCCAGGACATGAGTCCTGAGGAGAAGCGGAATGCCACTGCTATCGACACCGTCCACATGTCTGGCGGTGGTAGTCGCTTCTACAACGACAACAACCCGGATGGTTGGGATGTCGACTTTGCCGGCGTCGCCGCGGGCTTCCTGTCCGAGAACCTTCCGACAATGATGGCCTGGGACTACGCGCAGATGGGCAAGGCCGTTGGCGTGCTGGAAAACTTCCTCACTTATGTTCTTCAGCACAACGTGTGCCCCGAGTACGATGCCAACGTCAAGGAAGCCCTGGCCATTTGTCAGAAAGCCAAGAGCGACCTGCCCCAGACTCACCAGGCGCTCCTGCGCTTCCCAGGAGAATTTAACCTTGCGCTGTCAGAACTGCTCTGCGAAGACTTCCACTTCTTCGGCAATAGTGAGTTCCAGAGACCTATGAGTTTCGCACCTGAAGCTGTCGTGAAGGTCGCGTTGGCAACAGCGGGAAGCCAGAAGCAGTATGATGCTGTCATGGAGGGCTTGGCCAATAAGTCCATCAAGATTATCAGCGAAGAAGAATGCAGCATGGAGATTGTATCCGTCCATCGTCCAACGATCGAGTCACGCAAACTCGTCCGCAGCATCAAGCTGGCCGAGGGAACACCATTCGCGCCCATCGGTTTGATAGTTGCAAAGCCGTGCCTGATTGAGGACGGTTACGACCGTGGAGATCATTTTGAGCTGTCCAAGGAGAATGAGACATTTTTTCTGGACGACACCATCCTGATGAGACTTCAGCCTGGTTTCAAGTTGCAGCTTTGCGTCTGTGAGCTCAACATTGGCATCAAGTACATCAAACAGGCTCGCCTTGTCCTCGTGGAGTGGTATAGCTTTCTACCGCAGAATCTTATGCAGCACTTCAAGGAGCCCGTGCTGAATGATCGCCCTCCCCCGTCAGCCGTTGTATTGCCGCAGGTCGAAGGTGATCCCATTGGGGCAACCGAGCTGAAATCAGTACGGTCCTGAGAGCAAGGAGACGTCATGGGATTAAGGTGCGGGACGTGTAATTTGGGCGTTCAAAAAGGGAAATAAGGTTGGGGTTCCCGACACTCTGGTGATGGACCGGCGTTTCGGAACGATTAGATATCCCCCGTCGATGAGAATTCTAGGGAGCTAGCTATATAAACGATGCGGTGGTAATTCGCACCAATGTCTCGCGTAAACTCGTGCACAACGTGTTAACTCATGAGTTCCCTCCAAACTCCAGAGGGCGAAACCGTCTCGTTCGATGAAATCCAAACTCCGCCCCTAAACCCGAAACCAATTTACATGAACCAATACAACAGCCGGACGTAGTTGGACCGGCCAAAGGAGAAACGGGGGCCCCAAGGTAGCTTTAAGGTCTAGAACGCCTTATCGCAACCCGTCTATCGACAGCTCTCTAATCCCGAGTCTGGATCTTGTTATCGCCAGCGACCACCTCGGCGTAGCTAGGCGGCACGGCGCCGTCGCTGCTGCCCTCACCAGCGCCATGGTCCTGGTACTGCTGAGGCTGCTGAGGCTGGGGCCTGCTCGAGCCACCAGCGGCGGCGGCGCCGTTGTTGTTCGTGGTGCCGTAGCTGATGTTGCCCTTGTTGTTGTGCTGCGAGGGACGGGGCTGCTGCTGGGGCTGTTGGGTGTGTGGGCCGTTGCCGTTGCCGTGGACGAAGACGTAGGTGACGCGGCCGCTCTCACGGTCCTGCTGGGGAACCGTCTCGTACTCGTAGTCTGGCTCCGGGAACTTGGCGATGATGTACCAGGCGTGGATGAGGCCGGGGATCTGCGGAAGGGTTGTGTTAGCACCAAATAGCTTTTGTGCGGCAACGAGAGACGCAAGGCGTGAGAGTTCGGGAACGTACGTAGCCAAGGAGGCAGAGAAGGATGTTGATGAAGGAGTCTGCGGAGCAGAGGCCACGCTTCACCCAGACTATTCTCGCATGTTAGAATGTTTTGGTTGTGAAGTGGGATGTCATCGTATCCAATGGCGCGCGCGCCAGAGTGAAATGCGATGCGGGGTGGGGTAGCGAAACGTACCAGGCAAAGGCGGGAAGAGCAGGGCCAAGAGGCCGAGGAAGATGTCTGCGGAACACATTGCGATGATTGTGCGATGCGTGTATAGTTTGAAGGTGTCAAATGTGCCGTAGTTTTTTTGATGTTCAGGGTGTCGCCTTTTGAAGATGGGCTTATGGGAGGCGATAGTGGAACGGGCAAGTAAGGTGACGTTGGTGTCGAAGGGCCTCCCAAGGTCAGCAGGTGCAGGCAGCGATGAGCCGGGGCACTGTGGCGGAGCTGGGACCAGGAGGGAGGCGTGGGGGCTTGCGTAATGGTGTAATCGGATGCGAAAGGAGGACGGTGATTGGGCTACGCGGAACAATGTACGGCCGACTCTGAGCGAGCCGGGGTCGGAAGTGGTTCGGCGTTCCTGAGCGGCGGCAGGGTGGACCCTTGGATCGTGGAGCTGGATGGTTCTAGACTTTGCATCGGAAGGTCATGCGACTGAGCGTTCTATCGTCTTGCTGTCTATCCGCTTCTAAATAATGAATCTTGAAGCTTATACCGGCTCTGCGCTTACTTCTCTTCCCCACTTATAATACTCCCGTCGATTCGCCCATTCGACTTAGTTCGTCCGTATATGGACACCTTGGATAACAAAATGTCAGTAAGGACAAGACACATGCGAGATACCAGTAAATAACACAGAAGTCCGATTAAATCGAGTCTCTCAGAATCCCCATATCATTTAGCCATATTTGACTTAATTGTGAGGCGCATTTGTTGGTTTCTGAGTTCAGATTCAACAACAGACAATTTGATCCAATAGAAGAGGCCATGAGAGATATGCAGGAACACGCTGTACCTGCAACAGTGACACGCTCCGAATCAAGCCCCGCCATTAACCCCCGCCAGACAGTGGAAGCTCCCGCACGGGCCATTCGACCTTGTGATGTCAAGCTCCATCTTTAAACATTTGGAGGCGGGCGCGTCTCAAGGCATTTCTACGCGCCGATTCCATTATCGATTTTCCACTTTTCCCATCTCCCCGAGGACTCAGGTGGAAGCGGTCACTGCGCAATTGCTTCGATACCCCATGGTCAACCGATAGCCAACATGTCTATCCCTGGTTTGGGCCACCTTGTGGCGCCAGTATGTTCAATGGCCACCCATCCCACGCCTTGCCCGAGACTGCAGACTGACCACCACCTTGACAGCAACCGACGTCTGCAAACCAAACCCGAACGATCCGCCTACAGCCCTTCTGGGAATGGCGCTTCGAGGTCGCCTTCGACACCCACATCACCCTGAAGCTCCTCTCAGGCACCGCTGAGAAGGACGGCACCGAGCTCGCCCTGCAGCACGCCTACACCTTCGCCGGCGTCAAGTCCAAGATCCTCACCCTCCAGGGCTGCGAGATCGAGGTCGAGGGCAGCCTCTCGGACGAGTCCATCGCCGAGTACGTCAAGCCGCAGGACTCGCCCGCCAACTCGATCCTGAACCTGCACTTCCAGCTCACCGCCATGCGCCAGCGCGCCGCCACGGAGCGGAGGGAGGGGCCGCGCATCGCTATCTGCGGAGCGCCGACGACGGGCAAGACGAGCCTGGTGCGCACGCTGACGAGCTACGCCACGAGGGTCGGCGCGCAGCCGTTGGTGGTCAACACGGACCCCAAGGAGGGCATGCTGAGCCTGCCGGGGACCCTGAGCGCGAGCGTCGTCGGCACCGTGCTGGATGTTGAGGCCGTCGACGGCTGGGGCACGACGCCGACGAGCGGGCCGAGCCAGGTGCCGGTCAAGCTGCCGCTCGTGTACTACTACGGTTACGCCAGCGCGGAGGAGGACCAGAAGAAGTACCGGGAGCTCGTAAGCAAGATGGCAGCGACGGTGACGTCGAGGCTGGGGCAGGATCCGGAGGTGAAGAGCTCCGGCATGATTATCGACACCCCGGCCGTGGCCGAGAAGGGCACCATCGACATCGATATTCTTTCCCACGTAGTAGACGAGCTTTCAGGTATTGCTTTCCCCATCCCATGCTAGTGCTTCATCCGATACCGACTCCCGCCCAATGCCCTGAATCGCTTCGTGCTGACGGTTACCAGTAAACATCATCATCGTGTTGGGCTCATCACACCTCAATGCAGAGCTGATGAAGCGGTTCTCGACACAGAGAACCAGCCTTGGGGAGCAGTACAGCATCCTCCTTCTAGACAAGTCAGAAGGCGTGGTCGAGCGCGATGTGGGCTTCATGCAGCAAGCCTGCGAGGCGTCTATCAAAGAGTACTTTTTTGGCAGCATCGGCCAGACCCTCAGCCCCGCTACACAGCAAGTCGACTTTGACAGTCTGGCAATATTTAGAATAGGTGATTGTGAGTGTATTCCTACAGGCTTGTATCCATAAATCGGCACCCCGTATTGACCGCTACCAGACTCCATGTACGGCAACGCCGACGACGGCCTCATGCGGGTCGACCCGGGCCAGCTCATGGCTCACTGGACCCTCGCCATTGTGTACGCCTCGCTCAAGGACTCGCCGGAGACGATTAGGACATCCAACGTGATGGGTTACGTGTACATAGCCGACATTGATAAGGAGAAGCGCAAGTTGAGGATCCTAGCGCCCGTAAGCGGCCGGCTAGGGGACCGACCGCTGCTGATGGGCAAGTGGCCGGAACCTTTCATCAATCTCTTGGGATAGCGCATGAAAAATGATACCACTTTCTACTGTTTCACGTACTGTATCATGCTTTTCATGTCCAGTGGAAGCTTTTCGTGCTTGACGCAGCTTGCCAGGAGGAAAGTAGAGGAACAGAGGTTCACACGCAGGCAAAAGCTGGCGATGTTTCTTGCCACTCCACCTTGATGGCGTCGCACGTCTTGCAAGCATGAATGATGGCAAGCCGAAGGTGCCCAGATGGCCGGTGACTTGAATCTACGCAGGCCACCAGAACGCCATATCAGTATTTCCACGTTCCCATCGACGTCTCCTCACCCGTAATGAGAATCAAGCTAGACAGGCAACTCGTTACGAATCGAGGACGAATGTGAATCTGAACTGGGCAGGAAGCCGAAACACCAGATTGGTCGCACGGACGACGCTGCCTAACCGACCCTAAACTTCTTTATAGATGCAGTAGTTCTATCGTAAGCAGCTGGATAACCATACTAACCTAATCTTCTTGCCTCGTTCTGTGTAGCCCAAGTGCTACTCTGTCTGATCCCTTACAAGCTCCTATGAAGGGGCTCACACTATATATACATCCACAAACTCTTCATTCGGGTAGAATCCGATCCCGAACGGCGAGTGAGTACTCCAGGGTCTTGAGGACCACTGTGGAAAGTCCTACTGTAACCAATCTTCTACTTTGAACTACCGAATACGTTTTGATTGTCGACGTGATCAAGCAGGGCCTTGGAATCACTAGCTGGCACACTATGTAGCCCTACGCTGACGACTTTGGCTTGGGGCGGCGATGATGGTTCCGCTGGCCTATAAGCTGGGCCATGGATGGAATAAGGAAGGGATGCACTATGCGGCTGCAGATGGGCAAGGACAATCTCACGGTTGTGATTAAAAAGAATCAGTAGAGACGAAGTTGGCGGACGAGGAGTGGAATAGGTGGTTCGGCTTGAGAGAGTAGAGCTCAAGGGCACATAGGTGACCTAAGGGTTGACTTTTCAACAGCACGTCAAGTTCTCTTATTGGTATCTATAACAAAGAACGACGATAGCGAATACAATCGCAATCATCATGCAAAAGAGAACCTGTGATGCAGCCAGGTAAAAAGCCAAAAGATTAACCCGAAGAGTGGCTGTGCCAATCGCGGTGAGGATTTGAGCCTCACGCGGGGGTCGAACCCGCAACCTTGAGATTAAGAGTCTCACGCTCTACCGATTGAGCTAGCAAGGCGGGTTATTGATTGATTGTTGAAGAATACGACCGTTTGTGGCATTATGAATGGAAGTGGTGGAGCGCGTGTAGGGTTGGCCAGTTTCGGTGTGTCCGAAAATCTCGATGGCTTCTTGTCATAAAAATTTTCCTGCCCTCAACCATGGTACGTCTTTCTCCGAAAGTGTGGGTCGACCGAACAAAAGATGCCCGAATGGCGTGGAGTGGGAGGACTGTGCCCCGTGAAAAGAAACCCACCCGACCCCGTCTTTCCCGGCTCCGTCCCAAGGTTGCCCACAGCCCGTTCATGCACCTACGCGGACGCGGGTTTCCTCCCATAAACCACGATCCTGCGCGAGTCAGCTTACGAAGACACAACGGCTCCAGTACCGCCAAGTCGAGATTGCATCAAACAAGAGCAGCGAGACTCACATGGGCCAGTAGGCGTGGATACTCCTATCCCCGACATCCTTCCTCGCCTGCGCCGCGAGCACGTTCACCTCGTCCGCCTTCCAACCCAGCCCGCGGGTCAACGCAGCCATGAGGAAGCCCTGTAGGCCCGTCGTGATGTTCTCGTAATTCCACGCGCCTAGCTCCTTGAACTTCTTGTCCCGGGGCCACGTGTTGCTGGGCCACTTGAAGCGTATCTCGGCCACGTCGACGAAGCCTGCGGCCTCCATCATGGGTTTGAGGGCGTCGAGGTCGACAAAGGCGCGGTTCGTCTTGGCCGCGGCCTCGCCGAGATACTTCATGGACTGGTAGAGGGCGTAATCTTCGGTCAGGGTACCGTCGTCGGAGAGAGGAAGGTTGAACTCCTGGAGTTCGAGCCAGCCGCCGGGGCTAAGGTATCTGGGAGAATTGTCAGGTGCAAGTCTAGGAGGAGGCATGTGGTGAAGGAGTACTCGTATGATTGACGTAGGTATTCCTCCCACTTGCAGATGCTTGAGTTCATCATCCTGCTGTGGATGTAATCGAACGGTCGCGTATAAGTCCAGCTGTCCTCAATGTCGTCGACCTCAAACTTGACGTTGGGCGGGACACTACATGCAGCCCTCTGTCAGCGGACGTGGCCGAGTATTTCGGTTTGCCTGATGGGTCACTAACAACTGCGGTTGTATTGGCGACAGGTCAACGCCAATGACCTGTGGACGTAATGTCAGATCAATGCCGGCAGCATGACCATGGTGACACCAACCTCAGCCCCGGGATGATCATCACCGTAGTCCATGGCCCAGATTCCCGTGCCGGTCCCAAGGTCCAGCACGCGACCAACCTTTGCTTCGGGGGCATTAGGAGGAGACAAGCCCAGCTTGCCTTCAAAGGAAAGATCAAAGATGTGGTGCTGAAGGTCTTTTGGAAGCATTAGCCTGGCCCTTTTCTTTCCAGTCGCTCTGGACTTCGCAAGGGACGCACCTAGTCTCTCGTTCTCCTCCTCGTCGTTGGGAAAGTGGTACTCTTCCTGATGTCAGTGAACCATCGCGTAGCTTGTCAATATCGTACTACACACTCCCATCGCGGTATTTGTGGTATGTGCGACCATTCTCCTTGCGGTAATCGAGAATGGAGCTGCTCAAGCTTGAGGTTGAGGACGTGCCGTCCTGTCCCAACTGTCAGTACTTTGCGCTTCCGGTCGAGGAAGCTGGCGCTGGAGGGGTCCCACGTCTCCCAGCGATGAGTCGTTGTCATTGAAATCATCGGGTTCCACCACGACATCCTGCGCTGGCGTAGACATTGCAAACACGTTCAATGTGTGAACACGGGATCTCGTCTGTGTGGCCTAAACAAAAGGCGGGGATCAGAGCAACGCAACAAGCAAGATGTGGTTTTGGGGCGCAGATAGAGCCATCGACTAGCAAGCGGGGTCCTTTTGTATGTAGGGACTCCTGATGTCAGTGCTCAGGTATCCTGGGTGAACTCCCTGTGCTGTCGACATGTCTGAGCTCAGGCCGCGCCAGTCAAACTTCCAACAAGCAGTCTGGACATCAAATGAGAGACACGGAATCACAGAACCAACGGTTGAAGGGGGTTACAACATCCTGCAGGTGCCGGACGTATGCAGGTTGGATTGTTGGTTGGATTCCAGGAGCCAGGTCAGCTTCACACATCCACCGGAGAGCCCTGGATAACTTGCAGCCAAGGGAGGAGACATTGGCGACTATTGAGTGCTGGCGGAAGCGGCGGTTCGAGATCGGCCCAACTGGAATGATAACAATGTGTGCGAAGCCCAGCGAACAACTGCCACATCGAGGTTTTAAGCTTTGTTGGGGATTGCGGGCGTCGACCGGTAAGTAAGGATGGCGTGCTGATAGGGAGGGTTCCCTAAGGTGCAGTAGACCCTGGCAAAGTCAAATGAATGAGGAATGGCATCAGTCGATCGCAAGACGATTGGACAAGCGTTCTAGCACAACGGACCACTGATGGAAAAGTCGGAGGATGTGCGAAGACTGAGTCCACACTAGTGTTAGTCGTACAGATGAGTAGCTATCTTGACCATATTGCTATATTCCTCAATACCACAGGACTTACCACTTTGAGCTTCGCGGGCTGACGGCAGTGGAGGTTGCTGGATATGGCTAGAAGTCTTTAAATCACATCTTCTCCAAGTCGGATCGAGGATCACGGGTGTCATCGGCCGGAGGGACTCTTGGATGGACACACACATTCCCCGGATTATCGGCATCGGCACTGCGGCTTTTAGCGACTGAGGAACTGTAGCGGTGAAGTGGCGTTTACCAATCGAAGTGGGACGACTGCTGGGGAATCCGGGTGTTTCCGATCTACTATGTAGTGACGACTTGTCACTGAGACTTGGGATGAAGGCATGTGTGATCCGTTCCTCGTCAAGCGGAAGAGGAATAGACGGTCAGAAAGTGGCTTGCATGGAGGGGTAGAGCGCATGTTGTGTCGTGGGTGTCACTTCTGCCGTCCCATGAATCGCTTCTCCGATTGACGAGGAGATACCAGTAAGTTAGGAAAGATTAGATAAGCCGCTGATAGTGGGAGACTGAACTCAAGTACCGGTAGGTACCTTCATCCCCTGAAACTGCCAGAAGAGCACTGAAAAGGAGCCCCTGTGCTGCAAGAAAGTCAATTCCTCCTCACGGGGCGCCGCTTGGTCATTCCTCGCATCTTCACAAACTCTGCTGAACATCGACATCGAACGACTACCATTCTACTACGTATACCAAATCTTGGCGCATTGTCAGGGCAATGTCGCGGGAGAATGTGATTTCCATTACATCTCGAATCCAAACAGAGTCCAAGAAATTCGGCTTAATGGTCGTCCCGGCCGGACCTCTTTACGTCGCAACTCTAGACAACGTGACTTGAAGTTGCCCCATTCAAGGATTCCTTCAAGGTAGCAGTCGACCACGTTTCTTAAAAGTTTTGACACGAATGATCGAGGCTTAGTCCGGGAGTCGGTTTCTGCTTTGAGAAAGAGGATCGTCCAAGTTCATGCTGCGAGGCGGGCCAAACACCCATCCGCACCATGTCCTCATACGGCCCCTCCTCTCACATGTTCCCCTGAGAGAGAGGACGGCCTGGCTCTTGGTGAAGACTGGAGCCAGTATGGATCTCGCGAATAGGGGAGGCTCCAAGTAAAACAGGCCAACATCGGAGAGGCCTTACCGAGCTGATAGTCTGCGCTGTTTCGCAATACCGGCCTTAGCCAAAACAAGGTTACTGGCGAATGAGCAGCCAGTGCTGGCTTCCATCTCGGAGCATCTGTGAAAATAAGGAAACCTGGATCGTCGGAAGATCGCAGCAGGGAATGCACTCAAAGTGCTCAGTGCAAATACCGCCCTACATACTAGGCCTTCACTTCCTGCAACGTGGTACCGGGCATTTACAGCAGAGCCCCCTGGTCCAGGGGCTCGAGTGTGTTTGGGCCCGTTTGCCCTTCTCCGATGTTTTGTCCATCCGAAACATTAGCACGACAGGGACGGCCTCGCTCAAGACCCAGCATCGAACATCAGCCTCAGCAACCTCACTGGTTGACTCCACGCCATGTTCACCATCATCTCGTCTGTCCAAGTTTCGACGGAGAGGATCGCCGAGTGGCGGTCCAGCTTCTTTGGTCGAATTTCGCATGGATCGCAGTCTTTGAGCCGCGCTCCTATTGCCGCTCAGCCTCAGTTGCAGAAACGTGCCCCTGTGACAGAAATGCGTCGCATTTTCAGCTGACCTGCTTGACAGGCGTAAAAATCAGCAAGCGCGGAGAGTTGTAACAAGCTTACAGTAGCGTTCGGATCAAATGCTAGTGCTTCCTACTCTAGAAGTGTCGTAGTATTTAAGACGACACGTCTCCGCGGCGTGAGAGTTGAAGCTAACCCAGAAGGATCACCATCAGTCACCTTGCGTCTTCTTGTACCTATTTTGAGTGTTTTGATAATACTCTTCTTCCTTTACTTCTTCCAGATCTTTTAAACATGGTTCGCTTTTCCTTTGCCGCAGCATTGTGTAAGTCTTGGCCCCCAAACTCAGACTCCAGCTACAACCACTAATAGTTCCTAGTCGCTGCTACAGCTTTTGCAGTCCCGAGCCCTCTCACACCAGACCCCTCGGGCGCCAAGAACGTCGGCAACGGCCAAGGTGTACAGTTCATTGGCGGCGCCTGCCTGAACAGCAAAGACTGCGCCTCTGCCTGCTGCGCAACTCTGAGCGGCGCAGGCATTTGCTCCGGACTCGGAGCCCAGTTTCAAGCGGGCAAGCAAGGATGCGGCTTCGGTGACGGCGGTGCCGCCGCAGCTCCCGCTCCTTCACAGGGAGCCGGCCAAGCAACACCGTCAATGGAATCCACGGCTGGCAACGAATCCAGCGCGAACACGGGGTCGTCAGGCGCCCCAGGGTCATCGAACGTTGGCGCGGGCAACGGGCTGCAGTTCATCACGGGACAGTGCTTGTCAGACGCTGACTGCGCTTCGGGATGCTGTGCCGGCCCCAAGGGCGCGTGCGCTGCCAGAGCTGTTGCTGAGGAGAATGGAAAGTCGGGCTGCGGATTCACCAGTACCGGAGCTGCGGCAGGATCCTCGGGTGGCTCAGCGGCTCAGGACACGGCACCCTCCGCATCTCCACAGGCTGCAACACCTGCCAGCGGAGGCTCGACTGGCGCCAATCAAGGAGCTGCAGGCTCCCAGAACGTGGGAACGGGTAAGGGACAGCAGTTCATCACTGGCCAGTGTCTCTCGGATGCGGATTGTGCTTCCGGATGCTGCGCTGGCCCTAAGGGTGTGTGTTCTGCGGTGGCTGTTGCAAACGAAAATGGGAAAACTGGCTGTGGGTTCACTGCCGCTGCCGCATGATTTGAGGATAGTTGGGTGTGGAACGGGAATATCACGAGGAAAATATGGCGCAATAGATGCTTCTTGCAGGTACATCAGCGGATACTACTGGAATGGTTATTAAACAACACAACAACGACGGCATTGACATCTCTACTTTGAGTAAAAATCCTCCTGATGTGATTGCAGCTTTTCCCAAATCAAGCGCTAAAGAAACGGGTAGGTGTGCTTGCGGCTCTTCATGGTTGCGATACGCCGTCTGTGTTGAAGATGAAGGAGAGGTGGGAGATTTATAGGCTGATGAGTGAGTGTTTTGTTCATTGGCATCATGGAGGTAGCCTCAGTTACGTTTTAACTAGATGAAATGAGATTACATTGAAGAAGTTGTCAAAAATTTTGGACTCTTTCATGGTCAATCCTTCGAGAATCGAGATAATTATGGTTTGTTTCCAAATTCATTTTCTCCTCCTTTCACCTCGATCAGTGAGGAGATTCAAGACAGAGTAATACGCAACCGCCGTTACAAAAATCTGTTCATCACGTTAGGCTTGGATCTATTAGTTCGGCCTTGAACTTGTGTGATCATAAGTAGGATTGGATCGAAAACAAGCTCACAATAGCTATTATACCGGGAACCCCATCAGCTAATCTTTCCTCCAGGCCTTCTCGCCATTCCATCGAGTAAGTCTTACAGCTGGAGCATCGATCAGCCTGTTAAAGACATCGCTCGCCCATAAAAGCGCCAAGTTGTTACTCAAAGTGCCCCAAAAGAATGCATACCGGTATGCACTAGAACCCTGGCTCAAAAGCTCGTCGCTCGCAGCGCCATTTCCCGCAGCCACCAGAGCTGTGGCCTCGTCCACGGTCTGGGTCCAAGCTGCACTGGCGGGTCCTAGCCATCTGATGCCGACTATATGATTGATGGTCCCATAACAGAGGTACAGAGAATAGGAAATATGACCCAGGTATTGTGATATCCTTGCGGTGAAGAGGCGTTGGAGGAGTGGTTCCGGCGCTGGCTCGTTCTTAGCAGATGACGCTGTTGCAAGCTCCTCCTTTTCGTTCTCTTCGAGGTCCATATTGGTTTTCTGCCATGGGAGACGAAGTTTGCGGCATGTCAATCGGGACCATAGGTTGAAAGAAACCGCAGGTGAGTACATCAACGCGAACATGAAGATGACGGATCCCACAGAATTCCAGAAAAGCTGGGTACGAATTGTGTTACCGAGATAGTATGCCGGAACCATTTGGGCGAGAGAGACGAATCCAGGAGTACTGGCAGCATTAAGCTGGGGGTAGGAGAGCAAGTGTAGCGCAATCAAAAAGAGAACCATCGTACTCGCGTGATGGATAGCCTTGACAGAGCTTGAGCCAGCCTTGCGAGCAAATCGCACGTTGTGCTTTGGCAGGGCGTCGTCGGGTGTCGCTGTCGTCAAAGGGCTTGCTGGGAAAGCGATGGATAGCTCTGCAAGCAAAATCCTGATGGCGAAGAGCGCCTGGTCCAAGTCCCCCGATTGAACTGGCCACAAAGCAATACCAGTCACGGCCATCGCATGGATCCATCTTCTAGCCCGGGAGAAGATGAGCAGAAGGAGGAAGACAAGTAGTGAGCCCTTGAACTCGACAGGGATCGTCCAAAGATGATCGTCGTATTCGCTGCCTCTCATGTTCTCGCGGTTGACAATATGTCGAAATGGGTTCATGAGATCGACTGCTGCCCAGAACCAAGGCTGCATTTGCTCGTCAAAAGTGTTTCCTTTCGGAGGCACTTCTTCTCCTGAAGGGTCGCGGGTGTACTCCCCAGCATAGACGACAAGAGCAGTCATTAATGTCGAGGCAAGGATTGGAAGGTAAAGCCGGAAAGGACGTCGGAAGGAAGACCCGGCGAGGGTGCTGAGGGCTTTATCGTTCTTGCGCTGGTGAATCATGTTCAGAGTCTTGATCGTGAGAACAAACCCGAAGATGATAAAGAAAACGGTAACACTGGAGCGGCCAGAGTGCAGGACTCTAACGATAGGCAGCTGCCAGAACAGCTTATTTTCCTCATCGACGCCATAACCAGATTTGAGCTCAGGACACCAAAGGTACACAAAGTGGAAGATGTACACAACAAAAGCTGCGACACCACGAACGCCGTCCAAATAAGCTGTAGACCTTAATGTTTTTGGTTTTGCACGGTCGCAGGGTTTGGTCGTGAAATACTTGATGGGGCTTCCGATGAATGTTGGTAGAAATAGAAATATGAACGAGTTGAGTAAAATGAGGCCCGAGAAAACTCTGTCTCTGAAAGCAACGTCCACGTCGAGTTGAAGGTGTTCATCAAAGAGCGAAGGTACTGAACTTCTTGCAGATCTGACTGATCCTAAGAAAGAGTTTTCGTGGTTTTCAGACTCGGTTGTTTCTTCCAACAATTGTGAACCTGGAGAAACCCTTTCATCTTGCTTGACGATGAGCGAGCATCCTTCAATCTCATCGTCGTTTCGCGATGAACGCGAGAAAGGGTTGTCAAACAGCATGAGCAAAATGACTATCGGGCCATCAGACTTGGAAAAATGGTAGATCAGGCCAGAAGTGAGACTTTCAGCGAGCGTAAATGGGCATGCAAGATTTTGACGAGTGCGAGACTTGCCCGAGACCCTTACCGAAGATCTGAGTGAAATACTTTGAAATTGGAGTCTTGCTAAGATTCATGTTTCAAAGAATTTGGGATATGCTTATTACACAGGATTATAAGGCATGCCTGCCCTTCGAGAACAATGTTGTGATGAAACCCCAAAGCTAAAATTGACTTGTATCGTGTCATTGTAACAGAGCACAGCCTGGCGATCTCGCTGTACAAATTCAATTACACTTTCGGTAAGGCCGCTTTGCCCAAAGTGACGCTGAAGATGGTGAAATAGTACAATGAGAACAGCAAGCTAACAGACAAGGCAAGTAACATGCAAACAAAGGTAGGTCAAGCTATTGATAGGTATTCATCAAAATCAACGTTCTGGCATCGGAAATGACTGTATTTGCTTCTGCTCTACCCCAACGCCTTGCAATCATTCACAACTTTTCGATAACCTACATACGTACATAACTTTAACAATAACCTACATACGTATATGACTTTAACAATACTTTTGGCTGTTGCTACCTCTTCTGAGAGCTGGTGCTGAGACTAATAGCGAGGACCAAAGGCCAAGGCCGTAGCCCAGACTTCAGGTCCCCTGGCTATTCCTGGTCTATATAGAACACTCCAGTGAATACGACGAACGAAAGTCTAGATACAATGCTAGACAAGAAACAAACCAAAGAATGGCTATGCAGGTGAAATGACATGTGCCACACACAGAGCATGGCATAGCATTAAAAGCTGAACAGGCCGCTGCGGCGCTTGCCGAGCGGATAGATGATCAGCGCACTGATGAAGAGACCAACAGCAATGCCGATGGCGATCTGGATCATGGAGGCGGCGACGTTGAAGACGACCGTATTCAGAGACTCGCCCTCAGAGTACTGAACAGAACTCGTGCCGTTGACAGCGTGCGTCGAGTTTGTGAGCGCGTTGGCCGTCCTCAATCCGCTCAACAGTCCTCCAGTGGATGCCAGACCTCCTGGCACCTGCGTGAAGATGGCTGGGATCAGGGTGGCGGCAGCAACGCCATGCCTCAAACGAGAATAAAGGTTTGCCAAAACACCGACGGTGAGGGCACCGAGGGTGTTGGCTACCTGTGGAGCAGCACTAAAACGAAGGCTGCTAAAGTAGTTTACGACGTAACCAGCAAATGCAACAACAAGCATGACGGGCATCTGGCGCCATTTCGCTTGGTATAGAATGCTGATGCATAGGACAAAAAGAGGAACGAATATGAAGGTATAGTAGCCGGGAATAGAGTTCGTGCAACTCGTTGTCGAAACGGCATTCGCGTCGAACATGCCGTAGAGGACGGCGCCGATAGTGATGCCGAAGCCAAGGAACAGGGAGTAGATGATGGCATATACGATGCGGATCGAGCCGGGGACGATGGCGCGAGACTGGAGTTCGAGAGCGGAGCACACTGAGCCATCAGCGGTTTATCCTGTTTGAGTGCCAGTAGGCCAGTAGCAACCCCTATACGTACGCAGGCAGCGCAGAGGAACAGAGGAGGTACAACTCGGATCGAGCACGATTTGGGAGGTTAGGGATCACTTACAAACTAGGTATCCAGGCAGAAGCATTACGATGCCCCCCTGGGCCATGGCCGAGAAGCAGAAAAGGTCGCCGCCCCTGATACTTCCGAACGCTCGAGCCAGGAAACTTACCAGGACGGTGGCCGTCACCTCAAGCACGTTACTGTACAGTTTGGAATTGGCGGCCACGATGAGCTGGAGGAAACCGACTAGGCAGCCGAAAAAGAAACAAAGTGGAAGGTCGATGAGGCGAGCGCCGAAGGAGAAAGGAGCAGCGGTAGCGCTGGTCAGACCGAACACTAGAACACGGATCCAGGCGTGGAACTTGTCCTTGGCCTTGATGAGGGCGTCAAGACGCTCGATTCCATTGTCAACTGACACGACATCATGGATAACTTCCTTGTAAACGTGGTGTGTGTCTCTGAGCTTTCCGAGGTCGATGCCTTGGGCGACGCGGACGATGCGCACTTCGGTCGTGTGGGTTGATCGGTCGTCGAAAGAAATGATCATGCATCCGGGCAAGTACAGAAAGTGTCCATCGATCTCGAGTACCTTGGCGGTGGTGCTGAGATACTCCTCAAGACGATGCGTGGGTGCGCCAAAGAGCATCAGTGCCTTGCAGAGTGTGATGATGTACTCCTGTCTGGACAGCGTCTCGGCGATGTGGATGGTGATCTTGGCTTCTTCTTCCTGCCTCTGTAAATAGGCGCTGAGTCGCGAATTGCTCGTAGTTCGCTTGTGCTTGGGTCGGGTCTTCTTGCCGGCTGCCTTGCCTTCTTTGCCGTCCTTCCCGTCCGGCGACTCGCCGGGTTTCTGGATGTTGGGATTCGCAAGACGGGCGGAGGCTTCGATAAGGTTGACTAGAGTCTCTTGCGAGCGGCTCGCTTCATACCACTTCTTCTTTGGCGTCGTGGGGGTCGCGGTACCTGAGTTGGAACCAGGAGTGCTGGTGCCTGTGGGCGGTCCTCCGAAGGAAAAGGAGGTAATTGAGTTGCGCCTGTTCTGGCCGCTGCTCTGCCCGTACTGACTGCCCGATTCCGCAGGCTTGTACAGCTTCAAGAGCTGCGAAAGAACACTGCCACGATATTCCTTGGGCGCAGGTACCGAGTAAACACCGTCGTATTGACCATCGTTGATCTCTTGAAGGAGCTGGTCGGTGACCTTTGTCAACTCAGCATCCTGAGCGTTCGATGGCCCGGGGTCACCGTCAGACTTATCACCAAGACGCCAAGTGTGAGCTCTCACAATCTTGTACGCTTCATCGTTGAGCGCCGCGTGATGCTCGTGCAACTTGTCGCTCTCGGTGGAGTTACCTCCGGTAAGAGGCTGGCGGGATTGGAGATCCTGGAGCGGGATATATCCTCCAGTTCCATCTCTGGCTCCGTTATCGAGCTCGCCGGTTGTCGTTGTAGCAGCAGATTCGTAGGAGTCTCGGTTTCCGCGAGACGGTGAGCCCAGCTGGACGTTGGCAGCCATCTGGCGTGCGCGTTCTTGGGCAGCGGCAGCAGCGGACTTGGCCTCTTGGCGCTCATTGTCCTCTGATGAACGAGGCTCGTCTTTGGCCAAAGTGGCCATGGTTGGGATAGAGCTACCTGAGCCACCGCGCAGGATAGACGGTCTGATAGGCTGTGCTGGTGCAAGCTTGGGTGATGTAGGGACAAGGAGAGGTGATGTTGAAGGTTTGGCTGCAGCCGCGTTGCTGTTGAACCGCACGCGGCCTTTTTCCTTTTTTAAGGCGGCTGCTGCTGCGGCCTCGGATGGGATGCTTGATCCAGCTGTGTCGGAGCCAGATGTTGGTTCAGATGCGGCCTCGGCCGGCGCAGCTGCCGCTGTAGCTGCACCGACGCCGCCGGGGTCCAGCTCAGGGCCGGGGTCGTCATCGGGAGAAGCCTGTGAGGTTCCGGCCATTGCATCGATAGTCAGAACGGCTTTGCTTCTACTGCTGCTTGGATGCGGGGCTAGGAGCCGTAAGAGAAGGGGAGGAAAGGTGCAGAGAAAATATTACAAAACTCTGACGACCTTGTGGCAGCGAGAAGTGGATCGCGGGGAAAAGTATGGGGGAGGTTACTTCCTTATAAGTGAACCGGACCGGTGGTTCTCGAACGCGGCAATTCTCACCCGGACACTCCGGCACCTGGAAACGTGAAAATGTTCTCGCACCAGAAATGCTTCCTCGTATCCATCATACTCCACTTGGGCCGAAACTGCTCCAGCAAACCAGCAGATCGAATTTCCATGATTGTACTAGCACACCTTGTTTGAGAGGAGCTTCGTCAGGGCACCGACTTCTCATTACCTAACAAAATCGGGATTGCTTCCCATCATTCGTCAGGGATCTCCCTGTGTGTACCTATGCGGCCTTGGCTGGCCGACGTTTGCAAAGTCAAGACTATGCGCATGCTGTCATTCGGTACCGTCTACGGCATAAAAAGCACATATGGTAATAGACTGATGGAATGTCACGTCTGTTGAAATTACACGTCACAGAAGACATTGACAAAGGTTGCAAACTCGAGCCGTTACATGGCCTTAGGGCCATCCCGAAGATCCTGCATAAGAGTTCTTTGATGGTGGTGTGGTTCTTAGGGCCCCGCGCGGAACAACCCGATTCGCCGTAGCTTGCCATCATCCAAACTCAGCCAATCAGAGACCTCTCTTGTGTCTATGCTACCATAAATATCTACCAAGTCAAGGGTTCAATTCCAAGGGTCCTCCCGAAACTGTAACCGGCACATCAAGAACCACAAGTTCGGTTTGGGTGTTTGGTTTGCGTGGCTCTTTAGGGGCCTAGACTCTGGAGTTGAGAGTTGATTGAGGTCATGGGTGGGAAACCCGCTTTTGGCGAGAGACTTGGACCCCATACACGTGTATGTATGAGTCATGTTATTGGACCCTCACAGTTCTGGGTCAAATGAGAAAAAAAAGGGGTCTAGAACTTTTCATTGTCTTGTGTCCTAGTTGTGCCGGATCAGTTGGCACTGGTATTTTCACCTCAGAGCCAGAGAAATCTTGTTTGATCTGTGACCTTTGTCCCAAGTTGGTCGGTACACTATGTTCTTGCCAACTATAAAAACTCAAAGCAACTCAACGAGGCAATTTTGTTGTTCATCAAGAACACCATTGAAAACCATCTTTTGGAAAGACATGTTCCACGTGGATCAGAATGAAATGTGCAAGAGTTAGAATTTTCTTCAAAGTACGGTAGCGAGACTATGAGACTCTCCCTTGTCATCCCATTACGAGATAGTGCCTACCAAGGGTGCCGTTAAACCAGATCAGAATAGCATCAGATCAAAAGGGGGCGATGCAGCCCAACGCAAAGCAAAAGAAGACCTCCATCAATTGTGGAGGTGGTTTACGTTCAGGTGATTGAAAGAGTAACACTTTCATAATTGGGAGAGGCCACGGTGATAGTTGGGCAACGCAATGATGAAGACCTTGGTTGAGTGCGTGTTTTAAGGCCGAGCACGGATAGTACTTCAAAATATACCATGAATCCTTGGTCGTAAGTTCTATCTATCGTCTTGAAGGGTTTGATTCTACTAAACTCCAATGTTAAGCGGGACTCAGGTAGCAGGTGTAGCACAAGCGTGTCAAGAACATGGAAGCATAGTTATAAAGGTCGCTTTCGGTACTGCATGATCACTCTATCAAATGTCCATACTTTCGGGGTCAATCATGGCATAATTATCTGAATGCTCAAGCTTCATGAGTAGTTCAAGTTTTATGACACGCTTACTCAGTGAGCATAAAAGGCTCTCAATGAATCAAGAAGCACCACAAAAAGCCAGACAGCAGGGCAGCCCAAGCCCTGCCTGAAAACATGGCCTGGACATCCCAATACCAACTAAACCATAGCTCTGTAATGCGCTGCCTTGTGCTTTCAAGTCTCCACTGGCTTGGTATTTTGCCTGGAAACCCCTGAAACTGAGATGCTTCCCCACGTGGCCCTTGGGCTCCCGAACTGCCGAGTACGTAACATGATACGTCACCACGCTTCTCATCTCGTACACATCCGAGAATCCTGCATCTGAGAGTCCTGCGCTTCGCCTCAACTCACCCGGCTTACAGGTAGATTCTCCCACGTTGCATCCTGTTCTATAGAAAATCGTATTCGGCCACTGATAGTTCACCGTCAGGACGCGTGCAATCACCCTAGTTCAGCCGGACCCAACCTTGCCGGCAATAACGAAACTTTTATGATCTCTGTGAGTCTCTTCTCGTTTCTGTTCGCAACCTAACAAAATCCTTGCACTGACGGACGCGCGCAGAACGTCCCTTCCTCTAGGCTAATGATTCGGTGTACGCAGCTACTTCACTGTTTACAAAGTTTCAACTTGCATACGTCGATAGAAGTGCTCTATCGCATCACCGCTGTCTTCGGCCATTGAGACTGCTGTTGTCGGTCCTGGCATTATGAGTCACACAACATCCTCCGAGCACTTCGTGGTACAATTCATCTCCTTCCAAGCTATCTTTTGTGTAATGGCCTTACTTTTTCCCGATGGTATCCCGGCCACGTCAACCTGGGATATCGTTGGTAATTATATCTTATTCCACATTTGCAACTAGGTAATCACTATCGCGCTGGACGTTCTCGAAATGGTTGATAGTTCAGACAATATATGTAAGTGATGCTGCCTTGGACATGGGTGCTCTCGTCGACTGTCTATACCATTTGACAGCTTTAGAGATTTCCGTTGTCAGCCGACTGCAAAATGATGGCAGCAACTGGTGCTTTGCTTGTACTGGTGGCGTCTCAACTTGCTTGTTGGTAAAAGCAATAGCAATAGCCTGGCGAACCGAGATGGGTTTGGAGGTCTCTCCTATACGTTGATAGAAAACGGAATAGGCACTTTCTATTAACTTGAGTCAAGTTTATCGCGGACGTTATGTTAGGCCAGCTATCCTCTATCACAAGCCACGCCGGCAACAGCCCAAAGGTTACGGTCGCGGAACGGCCTGGGCCCCATGGGATGCCGGCCATATGGATGGGGTCTCTGCCGGAGTTCTCGGTCTGGCGGCATTTACGATCGACATGTGAATGCCCTTACTTTCCTTATATAGACCACTGCCACGAAGGGCCTATTACCCTTCGTCCCTTCCTCTCGTTAGACATTAGTAACAACAGTAATATACGATCTGTTGTCTCGCCCCGCCGAAAGACTTCACCGTAATGACGGTATCCCTGCCTGTGATACCAACAGTTATGTCAGGAGCTATTGGCACAGAGTTATGGGTGTAGGAGCGGTTACACAGCAGGTTTCTCGTCCCCAGTTTCGCATCCTCTTTGAAAGGGGCAAAATGCTGGAAGATTCTAGAACATGTGGTGATTGTGCTCGTCAATTACAAAACGGAAGCTTCTCCCTGGCCCTTGCTGTGTCACGCATCGGCGACAAAATATATACAGTCTTATGAAAAACTTGTTAGAAAGTAGAAAGACAGTTAGTTACATAGTTTACAGCTGTTGACTCCCTAACGTAAGCCGCAATTGATGGGATAGGTCGTCTCCAACTTGCTTTGCGCTCTCCTGATTGCCATCTGAAACTGACCTTGATCTTGCAATATCGCCTTTCTGAGTCCAGACACCTGGTTGATGATACAAGATGTTTCATCAAGATACAGACTAAAATGCTCTTTAAAGCTGCGCTGTAAAAAGCTCTCATAGAAAGGCTCCACGTCTTGAGAACGACGAAAAATGCATAGCCCTAAACTACTTTGTGCCTCTACCTGAATAGGTAGTTCTAATGCATCTAGTATGTTGTCTAATAACATCGACTGATCGCCTAGAGCAGAAGCGGCGGACCTTCGTACGCTCCGGTCCTCGTCCTTAAAGAGTTCTATAAGGGCGGCTATGGTTGTGTCTGATAACGTCCACTGGTTGCCTAGAGCAGAAGCGGCGGACCTTCGTACGCTCCGGTCCTCGTCCTTAAAGAGTTCTATAAGGGCGGCTATGGTTGTGTCTGATAATGTCGACTGGTTGCCTAGAGCTTTAGCAGCAGACGATCGTATGCTCTGGTCCTTGTGCTTAAAGAGTTCTATAAGGGCAGCTATGGTTGTGTCTGATAATGTCGACTGGTTGCCTAGAGCTTTAGCAGCAGACGATCGTATGCTCTGGTCCTTGTGCTTAAAGAGTTCTATAAGGGCAGCCACAGTAGTGTCTGATAACGTTGACTGCTTGCCTAGAGCTGAAGCGGCGGACCTTTGTTTACTCCAGTTCTCGTCCTTGAAGAGTTCTATAAGGGTGGCTATGGTTGTGTCTGATAATGTCGACTGGTTGCCTAGAGCTTCAGCGGCAGAACATCGTACGTCGCTGCTCTCGTCCTTGAAGAGTTCCATAAGGGCAGCCATAGTGGTGTCTGATAGAGTCGACTGGTTGCCTAGAGCTTCAGCGGCGGAACATCGTACGTCGCTGCTCTCGTCCTTGAAGAGTTCCACAAGAGTGGCTACCATTCTCTCTGATAAGTGCCTTTGAGGATAATATAAAGCAGATAAGAAATCCAATTTGCGTCCAGAAGTAGTCAATGCGCTGTGAAACACCTCTTCTGGAAGCTCTGATTCTCTCACAAAGGTCGATGATCCTGTAAAGTCTCTCTCAAACAACACCCATTGTAAGAGCAGTTCCTCCCTGGGCTTTCGAACCTCACGTCGCAAGTGGACTGTTTCGCTTAAGCAGTGCATGACCAACCGCTGGTGGGTAGGTCCCAGAAGGTCGATCGGCGCTTTCTCTATTTCCTCAAAGAAATTACCCGCATTTTTCTCTTTGTCCTCTTTGTCTAGCAGCCCAGCAACGAAGCGCCACATGATGTCGTACCGTACGTTGTATTTATTCTTCTTGAGAAACTCAACAGGAGTTACGTCGCTGTTGCTCTGTTGACCAAACAGGTGCTGCTTGAAAGGTTGGCAGTGTTTCCAGTGTTGTACAAAGTACCGCGCAGCAAAATATTCTTGAAATGTCAAATGGATAAAATGATAGCTCTGGTAAATAGGCTCGGCCGAGGGTTCTGAGCTTCGGAGAAATGACAGGCATGGTAGTGTTTTGTCGAGCATAAGATCTGAGCCGCTGTTGGTCGCACACTCGTTGAGGTAGTCCGACTCGAACTCCAGTTTGTCGGCGACCAGCCCAACAAAAGCAAGGTACTCGAGGAAACCGACCTCATCCTTGACGTGTTTTTCGACACCAAGTTGATCAGCATTCTTCAAATCGCTGGCTTGGATTCTCTTCCTCCAATGCTCTTTTTCGAGCTGCTCAATATCTTTCTTCCACAAACTCGTTTGAATGGCCTGGTATAGTGCGGATATAGTCTCTGGCATATTTCCACGGTCGCTGTTGAAATCGTTCCAGCAGTAACAGAAAGCATCCAGCTGTATCGGTATTCTGACGAGACTTCTGACAAGCTCGTGGCTTTGGAGGAAAGTCTTGATTTCATCCACCTTCTTTGCATTCGTTTTACCGTGCGTTTTTTCGATATACTCGTCCACTTGAGTCGGGTTGAATCCGATCGTTTCAAGTTCCAGGTCAATTGGCTGCTGGTCTGGGACAGGAATACTAGCAGACGGCCGCGACGTGATGATGACATTGGGTCGATGGAGTAACTCGCGTAGAAAACTGGACATGTCAGAGCCGGCGTTGGCAATGCGATCCACTTCATCCCAACCATCAAGGACAAACAGCGTTCGATTGTCCTTCAGCGCCTTGGTAGTCTCCTCGGCGAATAGCTTGCCTGACCTGTCTCCTTCAGGCCGAAAGAACTCGTCAAAGAAAAACCTCTCGAGGTTATATCCAGGGGCTGGTCGCTCCTTCAAGTTCCTCAAAGGCACCCAGAACACACGATCGAACAGATCGCGCCACATACCGCTACTGAGAAAATCGTGCACCATCTTCTTGCATAGGGTGGTCTTGCCCACCCCAGCACGTCCGCGAATCAAGACCCTCCTAGGTGAGATTTCCGTCCCGTCGGATCTTTTTTGTTGGCTGAAAATGTCTTTCAATTGGACTTGACAGTGCTCTGCTGACGTCTCAACCTTTAGCCGCGCACGAAGCGAGAAAGGTGAGGACTTTGGCGCCGAGGCTTTTGCTTCCAGCTCGTCTCGTAAGGGTCTGTTCCTTTGGACCTGCTCCACGATGGAAAGATTGATGTAGCATTGGTCCATTGATAATTCCTCTCGCGATAGCCGCTTGATCTTGAGCTTTTCACTGGTGTAGTGCTTCTTACGTAGGAAGTCATCCGCTTGCTCGAGCAGGGGCTTGGCGCGAAACCTCTCAATCACGGTTTTGATTTCTTGGAATCCGGGGTGATCTGGGCTGCTGAACTTGTTCAACCCAGCATGGTTGGTGTCTATACCGACGGGAGCTTTCGAATAGCCTTTAGCTGAGTCTCTATTGACGATCTGCTCAGAATCAGATGATATTCGACGCAGAAGGCCAGCCACACTTACAGGTCCAATAGAAAGCCCCCAATAAAACGTAGGCTTTGTCTCATAAAACGATTTGATGTGCTTGTCGGCAGCGACATTCCGAAACTTATCTTCCAGGTCTGACAGTTGGCTTTGATTGCTCTGTAGGGCCAGGAGCAATGTCGTATTAGAGCCGAGAAATACGGTCAGCCTGCTCAGAAGAGCTCCCGCGATTGACAATGATGAGCCTTGATGGGGAGTGCCAAGAAAGATGATGCCGCATGTGTCCTCCAGCGATTTCGAAGATGGAACTGACGCGCACAGGGCCTGCAGTGTGTGTTAGTTAGAAAGCAGCATGGTGTTGGCAGTGACCGCACCTCTTTGATGACGATACCGCCAAAGCTGTGTCCAATGAAGATGATGGGGAGGCGTTGGGTGTCGACCCGACGTTCGACAAGTTTCTCCTGCAGTCTCCGACCAATTTGCTGTGCAGTCTTCTCAGGTGCATCTACCAACCAGTCGGAGTTATAAGAAAAACGCAGGATTCTAGCTGTTGGGAAGGCGTGAGGGAGTAGATCCCGGAGGAAGTGCACCCTCGGATGGTCTTTGTCAATCGGTTTACCCTCCCAAGTGTGATCAGGATGCGCGCCAAGGCCATGGACAGCGACAACCCTGTAAAGAAAGTCAGTCGTCGAGAAATATGTCTGTAAAGCAGAGACTTCTCACTCAAATTGAGGGCTGATTGCGGAATTGCTCTCCGACGGTTCATAGATAACGTCAAGGCCATCTGCGCGTAACTTTCGCCGGCTCGGCCGAAGCCTGATGACAAGGGGGTACGCTGTGACGAGCAAAGCAATGATCGTGACTGCCCAAAGAGTCCAGAAAGAATAGTAGCTGTCTGTAAAAGGAACCATCACGGTGGCGAGGTGGTCGAAGTCCGAGAGAAAGGTTCGCGCGACATCTACTCCGTGCACGGGTCGGCCATACAATGCAGAATCAACGTCAGTGTAGGATAGACGGACTTGAGACTGTTCTAGTTGGGAGCGTCAGTCGGTAGTATGGGATTGCCACAGCAGTCTCACCAGTCACGTCAAATGGCCGGCCGCTTATCGCGTTGTAAACAAGGAAGCAGGGTTCGGGAACGAGTTGGCTGGCAAAGCGTGGCATAAGCATGATCTAGCACACTGTCTTGTGGGACGGACCTATTTGTGAACAGCTAGGGATAGAGAGCCATTCATCGTCAAAGATGGCTGCATCTTTCTGCATTGTGGGGCTCTCGGGTTTGCCAAGGGCGCCTATCCGACCCATAGGAAGGAGTGATCGGCATAGGCACTAGACCGTTGCATCTGCGTACCACAACTGCAGGAGACTTCGCGCCCAACACCATCGTATAAGGCCTATTGAGTGAGTTCTGGTCCTTGTTTAAATATATTGCCCAAAGCTACATCAGGCGCTGCGGAAGAGGAAGACGCCAGATAACTAAGTTTGATATTTCTCGTGACGACTAGCCTTTTGTCGAATCTCTACAATAAATAGGACTATCGTCAACGGCCGGTGATTATGTCGTCTGCAATCTTCTCCGCCAGTGCATACACAGCAGACTGAGGATGCCCCGGCAGAGAAAAAGGAAAGGTGCTTGCATCCGCTACTCTCAAGCCCTGAACACCAAACACGCGCCCGCGGCTGTCAACCACTGCCTTACCAAGCTGAACATCCTCCTCCTTGCCCATAGCCACAGTTGACACTGGGTGCCAAACCTGCCCAGCGTTGGCCCTCACATACTCTAGGATCTCCTTGTCAGTCTGCACGGCGTCACCGGGGAGCGCCTCGGGGGCGGTCTTGAAGCCTGGGGTGTTGGCAAAGGGTGAGGCCCACGCGGCACGAAGACGCTTAACTGCAGCCACGGCCAACTCGACGTCGGCGGGGTCAGAAAGCCAGTTCAAGTTGATCACCGGCTGCACATCGATGGAAGCTGACGAGATGGTAACGTTTCCGCGGGAGAAGACGAGAGGCAGGTAAGCAGCGAGAGTACCGCTCGTTTGTCCTGGGCCAGTTGAGAACGATCCTGCAATGAAGGAGAGCTGAGGCCAGTCCGAAGGAACGGATGCTAGCCTCTCGCGAGTGGACTGGGTAAGACTGGCGAGAGTGGAGTTGGGGAGACGCTCGTGAGCCAAGAAGCCTGCCGCAGAACTGTAGGGACCGGTCCCGGACTTGAGGTACTCTTCGACGAATTCAGGGTTGAGTGCCGGATCGTTAGTAAGGGATTGTGCTGAGGGCGTGCTGACGGGATACGCGACGAAGATCTGGATCGGGTCCTGCAGATTCTGTCCAACACCGGGGATGTCGGCGACAACCGGGATGGAAAGCGCTTCCAACTGCTGGCGAGCACCAATGCCAGACACCTGGAGGAGCTGAGGAGAGTGAAACGTGCCCGCGGTGAGGATGACTTCTTTGTTGGCCGAGAGGGTGTACTCTACGCCCCGGGTGTTGATGCTGACGCCCACAGCCTGCGTGCCGTCGAAAAGAATCTTGGTTGCGAGGCTGTGGGTGTAGACAATGATCCCCGTGTCCTTGATTGCATTCTGGAGAAAACTGCTCTCGCTTGTGGATCGCTGTGCCTTCTCGGGCTCAATCGTCGAGGGCACCCACGCGCCGTACCCAACGAGCTCGCCGCTGCTAAAACCTTTGGGACTGATAGCCAACCCAAGACTCTGTATGACCTTGGCGAGCCAGGTGAGCGTCGGGTCGACCCAGTTATTCCAAGAGACCTGTAATGGACCTCCCTCCTCGTCGTAGTCGTTAAGGTCGAACCGCACCGTGGCGTTGGTGTTCTGGCGCTTCTCTTCATTCGGCGGCGTCAGATCGACGGAACGCTTGAAATATTTCAACATGCTCTCCCATCTAAACGAGTCGTCGCCGACGGTTTCGGCCCAGAGGCTATAGGAGCCTTTCGTGCCGCGTATGTACGACATGGTGTTGATGGCCGAAGAGCCACCCAGCGTCTTGCCCTGCGCGTAATGCACCTTCCGACCGCCGGCGCCAGAGATAGGCTCGGAGACGAGAGACCAGTCCATCAGGGGTTGCGGGGTGAAGTTTGGCGAGGGATCGACGAAAGCGATGCCTGTCAGCGAGAGAAGGGGGACGACGCTGTTGTTGCCGTTCTCGACCTCGTAGAAGCCGCCGGCCTCGACTACGGCCACGGAGGCGGAGGTTGCGGCGAGACGCGAGGCAAGGGTGAGGCCCGCAGTGCCGCCGCCGACGACGATGTAGTCATAGCTTGCATTGCGTCCGGGGTAGCCGAAGCTGGAAGAGAAGAGGCGGTCTTGGGCGGCGGCGAGGCCTGCCAGCGAGAGGACCAGAGCTTGCGACAGCATCATCAGGTCGAATTTGTGAATTGATGCGCAGAGCAAGGTTCTTGGCATGCCAGACGCGTGTCGGTCACCGAGAAGAGCGTGAAGTGCCACAAAGGCAATCTCGCGGGCGAAGGGATGGAATCATCATTAAGTACGCTCCGTGGTCACTTGACAATCTCACATCGTGACGCGCCGGGATGCAAGTGATAACATGGGTTGATGGCGATGGTATGATTGCTCCACGAGCTAAATTACCGATGCACGCTCAGGCGAGAGCTTCCCGAATGAATCCCTGACAATGGAGCTCGGGGTTGAATCGGGAGAATCTCTTAGGTCGGCTCGGATTCCGTAGTTGCATCTAACCGAATGTTAGTTTCGATAGTTCTTCTGAACCCCCAGTCAGCCGTCAGCACGGGGCGGAAATCCCTCTTGGCTCTTGTGACAGCTTGGGATTTGAACAAGTTTAAGGGAGTCCGGGCCGCCGCTCAGTGGATAGGGAGCGTTACATTGCGTACTAGCAAGACCTGTAATATCGTCTTTACTGGGTGAGGCATGCTGAAGGGTGCGGCCCGGTAATTCGATGACAGATCAATGCTAGTTCGCGCGTATCGCGTGCCGAATGTCGATATCAACGCCGTTGTGAGATGACGGGCTATTCCAAGGCGTGTGCCCTGTTGAACCAATGCAAGCAGGCTAGAGGAGCAACCCGTGATGAATTGTTGAAGGTATGGCTGCCAGAATGGATGAGGGAAGGTTGTTGCACTAAAATGCCCTCAACTGCATACAACCAAATGCCAATCCCTTTGTAGATGCAAATGCAACTGGATCATCTGACGCTATCTAACAGAGCGTGTTTTGGCCAACCATTGAAGGGCTGAAATGTACGTAAGCCCCCGCGGTGTCTTCGCTTGGCCTTTAGGACTGTGACGCGGTAAACAGGATCCGAGCTTTTCCCGTCGAGGCGTCCTGCACATCACATCATCCACCGACGATGGCTTTACTCTTGGACAGCGAACTGCCCGCGCGTCGTTTCCTCCGCAGGGGCGCCGTTACGGAGCTGGTGGATCCGTCCGCCGTTGACCCAAACCTCCAAGGCCTGCAAGCCGAATGGCCAGCGGAAGCTCCGGTGCCAGATTGGAAGCGATACAACATGGCGCCACGACAGCGGCAGCTAGGTGGGCCGCATATCTTGGCCATCCCACAAGCGCGTGCACACCGAGGAGGGAGAGTCCGAATCGGAGTCTGGCTGTCCGTCAGTCTCGCAGCTATCGCTGGTGTCGTTATCATGTGGGCTGTCATCTTCAACATCGTCTGGCTCCCACGTCGCGAAGGAACCGAGGCGATCATGGTTGAGATACGGGATGCAGAGCATGTCAAAGACCGTAAGTCATGGTGGGAAACTTCATGGCTTGTTGCTGGCATCGTGTTCAGAGGTATCGTCGCCATGTGGGGTGGATACCGTCTCTTCACTAGAGGTTCGCAATGCCTCTTTAACTCCTTGCCGCGTGGATCTTCTGCACAAAAGCTATTCAACAACGAGTTTCTGAAGACCTTCACCTTTCTGCTGGGTTACACTATTCTTCCCACTGCCACGTCGGCCTTGTGGACGATAGTTGTGCCAGGCGGCTTTTGCTATCCGGAACACAACATCCTTCGTTTCTGGCCGCCACATACTAGAAACGACATCAAGGCCGTCCTTGAAGGCTGGATTGAGCTTGCGACTCTTCACATAAAAGTCGAAGCAAGTTTCTCTCGAATGGTCAAATGCAAGAACACAATCGGACAGGTACTTGTGTGGATGTTGGGCGTCGGAGTGTGGACGACAGTTGAGATCCTCTACGGCCCTTGTCGCTACTTCCCGCTGGTGTGGAAATCGTGGTTTTCTGTTTTGGGCATTTCTCTGGCATCATGGTTTCTAGGGAACGCAGAAGCATTGTTTGTCAAAGAGCTCAAGGCGGTAGGGTCGGTACACGTGGAGTTTGTAGCGTATCTTGTAATATTTTATGTAGCTCGGTGGGTGGACTTGCAAGGATATTGCACCAGACCGAGCTGCTGGTAGTATGGGTCCGAATACTCCGTGCAAGAAGTATTTACAAAAGTCTCTTCAAGTCGTAAACGGCTTCTTCGTTGATTTTCACCGTCCTAGTCACAAAGAATCTGAATTGTCGCGGTCAGACTCGTGAGGACTTTCATCACTGGTTACGCATTGAGCATCGCAAGAACCTGTAGGACAAATGGGTCCTTATTCCGGGATAGGTATAGATTTTGACCAAATTACTTTTATCCTCCAGGTAACCTTGTTGCGTCTGGTAGCCGAGTAGGCTCAAATTCAACCCACTTCTACTACAGTTAGAAAGGATCAGAGGGGCGTACCATTCCCATAACTACTGATGTTGTAACTTCGCACCTGTGAATAGCAAGTTTCAGCTTTCAAGAAATACAATCCCGTGAGACGCTTGTAGCATTTACTTCTGCATATTGTTCATCAGTCATTGGTTTTATGAGTACCAGGCGCCAGGCGGAATAACCGCGCATTTCCTTCTTTGCTGTACAAATTCAAGAATGCTGGCTTTTACTTCGTTTTCAATCTTGATAGCGTCATGTACGACAGCCTACGAGACAATATGATGAATAATCGGCATCACGTCATTATCACTCGTCCCAATTTTGGAAGCATCGCAGTCAAAGAAAGGCGGGGTGGGCCATGGAACGCGCGGGGTTATTGTGACTTCATCGGCGTTTAGAGAGCTTAGAAATCGTACCTCGGCACAACTCTTTGCGCACAGCTACGTCAATGCAGCTCAAAAGAAAGTCTAATTCATGACTTCATTTCTCTTGTAATTTCGTTAACCAACTTACAGTCAACCTGCGACCCAAGAAAATCTATTATTCGAGTCCACATACAAGCTATTCGCAATGACGCAGAACAAGACTCTCATCTTTAAGAAGATCCCCACAGGTCTCCCCGTGGCGGGGGAGCACCTTACCATTGAGGATCGCCCGATTGACCTCGACGATGTCCCTGAGAGCGGCGTGGTCGTTGAAATCATTTACGCATCCTTTGACCCCTACCAGCGCGGCCGCATGAGAGACGCCAGCAAGAAGTCCTACTCGCCTGCGTTCGAACTCAACGGTCCCATCACCAACAGCACCATCAGCAAGGTCCTGAAGAGCAACACCCCCAACTTCGCCGAGGGCGATCTCATCTTCGCCCATACGCCCATCGCCCAGTACGCCCCAGTGCCGCCCAGCATTCTGGAGCAGGCGCGCAAGATCCAGAACCCCCACAACCTGGACCTGGCGCTCTTCCTTGGCCCCCTTGGCATGCCGGGGTTGACTGCCTGGTCGGGTCTGCACAAGATCGGACAGCCTAAGAAGGGTGAGACCATCTTTGTCAGCTCCGCTGCTGGAGCTGTAGGCCAGCTGGTCGGCCAGATCGCTAAGCGAGAGGGCCTTACCGTCATTGGGTCCGTGGGATCGGACGAGAAGCTGGACTTTATCACCAAGGACCTTGGCTTCGATGCTGGGTTCAACTACAAGAATGAGAAGCCTGGAGATGCCCTTCCTAGACTGGCACCCAATGGCATCGATATCTACTTTGAGAACGTTGGTGGAGACCACCTTGAGGCGGCTCTCGCCTCCATGAATGTTGAGGGACGCATCGCCGTCTGCGGCATGGTAAGTACTCAACCAAGAAGGCGTTATGCATGTGTCAAATGGAGAACTAATGTGCGTACAGATCTCCAACTACAACACCCCGGCGGATCAGCAGCAGGGCATCAAAGGCTTGATGCAGCTTGTTGCTAAGCAGATCACCATGGAAGGTTTCCTTGTTGGTAACCCCAAGTTTGGTCGCGCGCACTTCAAGGACCACCAGGAGAACCTGCAGAAGTGGCTCTCGGAGGGCAGTGTCAAGGCCAAGTTGGCGGTAACCGAGGGTATTGACAACGCTCCAGATGGTCTCATTGGCATGCTCACCGGCAAGAACTTTGGCAAGGCTGTTCTGAAGGTTAAATGAACTGGCTGAATATTCCGGTTTTAATTGAAAATGGTCAAACGAGTCAATGAAGACATAAATGCTACCATTGTGATGCACTGAAACATCTCAACGAAAACCGGTTCCGATGGGAGATGAATGTGGTCGTGAGTCCAGCATTCGGTGACCAAGTATTATGCTGTACAGTTGGTGAGCGATCTGTAAGCATTAACTCGCCACATTGTGTTGGATCTCACCAGTTGATGAAGAAGAGAGGTAAATGGCCGTTGCGTTCTGACTAATGAGAGGGCGACACTTTGGGTATTTAATTGTCGAGAGAGTGGTGTGCATCACCCTATACAGGCAGACAAATATACAGCAACCTTCAACAAACAATAGCGACTCATACCAGCTAGTTCATTAATCTGGTGGCTACGACGGACGAATGCTTCCAGAATCTAGAGCGGTTTATTGACTCCGACGTATAGAATCAAGGAAGCGAAAGGTCGGGTTTCTCCAGGCTTTGTCTGCCAAGAAACGGTTCCGGCCATGAGAGCCGAACTGGAGACTGCCCACTTTTCAGAAGATTACAACAAGTAGAGGATTTCCATAGCGGCTACGAGTTGACGTGTCGTTATTTTGACTTCCCCAGACCCCGGATGACGGTTCATAGTAGACAGAGACGCTCATGAACCTCCTAAGACCTTTCCGTTCCTTGGAGTTCGGATTGAAGAAGAACTGCATGCGGAAGATTGGCAACCGTGGAGATGTTCTATTTGATGATGCATTTGCTTTTTCCGGTTTCCTAGTCACACATGATGCACGATACCACGATTCTGTATTGTATCCCGTGGTTCAGGGTTCTCCAAACTTGCGTCCAGCCCTCCGAGAGACCACATCCACGCAGGTCCCGCGTATCAACAGCCATCAAACCTGCATTTTCGTTATTCAAAATTTTCGTCGTTCATGCCGATCGCGCCGTTTTTCCTCGTTTCGAACCGAACCAACAGAGACATGTAGGCAAGTGTGTTGCAACTTTCCGAAAACCACAAAAACCAAATAACCTCCCAAGACTCGCCAAGATGGAGGTTCCGCATATTCTGACTTGGAAGTGGAGGGACCAAGAACCCGTGGATATCAAAAAGTCCGACGGTAGCCAACTAGATATTTAAGCTTAAAACTTGGCCAACGTCATTGCCAACGCTTAACCCATGCCCGCCGAGACACACCAAGAGAAAAAGGGTCTTAATCTCTCAGACCGTCCCTTCCAGCTTACTGCATTTTCCTCTTCCTCACGCCAAACCCCAAAAATTGTCTTGGATCGCCCAGCCCTCGGCTTGCCTTGTTAGGAATTCCGTGCGGGAGGATGCCGATGCCCCGTTGACTTGTCGTGCTGGGCGATGGTTTTCGCGATCCACCTCCCGTCGTGAAGTTCGTCATTGACTAGTGACTGAAAAAATTGTTTCTCGAGACTGGGGGTTTCTATGTGTATTATCAGCTGGGCCTTGGCTGTAAAGTCTACAGAGAGGGTGCGTGTTTGTGTGCTACACCCTTCTTTGCGGTATTTGGCTCATATGCCCGGTAGATGGGAGCAATGATTTCTACGATCGACAAGACATTTATGGCAACCTTGGAAACAAAACAAAGCCATGTGGTTGGTGACATGCATTCTAACAACAGGCTGGATTCGGTCCTTCTCCCCCAGTTGACTGGAGAACGGATCCCATCACCTCTAAAGACCACAACTGCACGTCTGGGGAGAAGTGTGGGTAGCGTTGGATCCCTCCGAGCCGCATGGGGCTCCATCGTGACCTCGCCCGTTCAACTGTTGGTTCCCCAATATGACCTCAGCCAAGTCATCCTTCATCAGATTGCTGTCTCAGCGAGACCCACGAGGTCGGTGAAGGCATTAGCCCGAGATGAGAACTGCGCGAGTACAAAGACGTGCATACATCCCGCGACAACGTCTTACACAAGACCTCCTCTCAAGACCTAGCGGGATCATCCTCTTAGTACCTCTTCTACCCGAGTTCCGGTGCCGGTGAAAAACATGGCCGACCAAACCACGGCCGCCGTCACAGCCATTATCACAGCGGAGCCCAACATGTCTGAGAAGCAAGAGAAGCGGGAGCAGCCCAGCGACAGCGGAAGCCAGACGCCCTCATCGGTTGACAACAGCCGCGCCGTCAACGAGAAGCCCAAGCCGCAGGGTTTCTTGGCGCGTATGGGCGACTTGCCAGAATGGGGTTTCCGCGGCCAACGCCTCCAGGGCAAGGTGCTCAATTGGTCCATCGGATTCATCGCGTCTTGTGGTTTCCTCATGTTCGGATACGATCAGGGTAAGCACCAGACTTTGTAGTGTAGCGAGACGCTGGAAGATTTCAATGCTAAATGTGTCTCCTTAGGTGTTCTCGGCTCGCTACTCACCCTCGACGACTTTCAGAGGAGTATCACTCTGATGACGCCGCTGGAACAGTCAAACCCGCTCTGCTGGCTCGACTTTCCCGAAAACACCCAACGTGATTACAGCCAGTGTACCGGAGATCCCAATACGCAGGCCGCCGCGGTAGCTGTCTACCAGATTGGTTGCTTCTTGGGTGCAGTGCTCATCCTCTTTTACGGAGAAAGTTGGGGACGTAAGTCGTCAACTTTCTGGGGTAGCGCCATCATGATTTTCGGAACCATCCTGCAGGCCTCTGCGCACGAGTACGGTCTTTTCTCTGCGGGTCGCATCGTTGGTGGTATTGGAAACGGCATGGTGACGTCGAGTAAGTCAACAATGTTTCCTTTCCTCTCGGCTAAGCTAACCATCTTGCAGCTATTCCTACATGGCAGTCCGAATGTGCACGACCTCACCAGCGAGGTTTCCTCATCACCCTTTCCGGAGCTCTCATCAGCTGTGGCATCGCAATCGCTTACTGGGTCGATGCAAGTAACTCCTTTCTAACCACCAAACTTAACCGCTGACTGTTCTGCAGTACGGCTTCTACTTCCTCGAAGGATCGATCCGATGGCGATTCCCCGTCTCATTCCAGTCTTTTTTTACTATCATTGTTATGATTGGTCTCCTCTACCTTCCTGATTCACCCCGTTGGCTGGCCATGAAGGGCCGTCTGGAAGAGGCCCGCGAAGTGACGTCTCGTCTTCTCGGGAAGCCCATCGATCACGAAGATGTTACTATCGAGGTTAAGGCTATCCAAGAGGCTCTCGAGGCTCAGAGCCAAGGTGGAAGTTTTAAATTCAGGGAACTCCTCACAAACGGTCCCTCGCAGAATTTGAGACGCACTCTCCTTGGCATTGCTGCACAATTTTTCCAGCAAATCTGCGGTATGTTCTTATTTCTATGATAGGGATAGCTTGTTGCTGACCCATAATGATTAGGTATCAACCTTATCACATATTACAGTGGGTTCTTGTTTGAGAACTCCCTTGGATTCGGTCCTGAGTTATCTCGACTTCTGGCCGCGCTCAACGGCACGGAATACTTCCTGGCTTCACTTGTCGCTCTACCTCTCATTGAAAGGACTGGTCGACGCAAGCTCATGCTCTTCGGAGCATTCGGCATGATGGCCTCCATGGCGATTTTGGCTGGAACCGTGTCTACTGGTACAGTTGACGAGACAGGTGCTCCCAAGCTTGAGACTGTGTATGGAGTTACTGCCACGGTCTTCTTATTTGTCTTCAACTCCTTCTTCGCAATTGGTAAGTCGCTTTCCATCGCAGCCTTTTTGTGTGCTCCAGACTGACATCAATACAGGCTGGCTCGGAATGACCTGGCTCTACCCCGCCGAGATCACCAACCTCCGTATCCGCATCCAGGCCAACGCCCTCTCAACCTGCTCCAACTGGCTGTCCAACTTCTTAATCGTTATGATCACGCCACCTGCGTTCGCAAACTTGGGCTACAAGACGTACGTGATGTTCGCCGTCTTCAACGCAGCCATAATTCCCTGCGTATACTTATTCTTCCCGGAGCCCAAGGGACGAAGCCTCGAGGAGCTCGATGTCATCTTTGCCAGCGCCCACGCCGACAAGGTTAACCCTGTCAAGCGCGCCAAGGAGATGCGCAAGGTCGAGGGAAGAGAGCTGGAGAATGAGTTGGACAAGTACTTCGGATCTAGCGAGATGGTTGAGGATGCTCGTCCTATGATGCAGTAAATTTGCTATGCATGAGCCATAAAGCTTGAGTTTACATACCCCCATTGATACCTCAACTCAACGTAAAGGTTCTTTACTTAGATACCACAATCAAATCTAATCGTCAAACTGAACAAGAACTCGTTAGTCAAGCTTGCTTATTTCCTTACATCTCATTTCAATGGCTTAGAGTAGCACCTGGTATTGAATGAGAAACGCAAAACGGGCCGTTTCTAGAGATCATCGCAACCAATGGCAAACAGCTTTGTCATGCATGCTAATCCTGCATGGATTGGCTAACCCAGCCACTTGTTCTGATAATCTAAATAGTCCCCAGACAGGTGCGTAGTCTAAGCTTTCCTTTCGCTTCAGAGAACAAGTGATGTTAAGGTAAACAAGACCTAACCGTTCTTTCTGCGGAGCCGATCCTCAAGCTCACTGAGGCGCACTCAGCGACTCTCATGCTATTGTTGGACTATGCAATGCTACCATTCATCAGTATGGGTGATGTGAGAAACAATAGTTTCGCTAGCATATCACCAGTGGGCCTTTATCAAGCCTACCTATTCAACTCTCTTAAGGCACCAGTGAGGGGAGGAAGTATTACACAGCCCAGGTCACGCGAGACATGTTGGTTCCAAGCCATGCACCTAAGCCAAAGTACGTACTGGAACGATCCAAAGTCCCTTTCGAAAACACAGCACTAATATGTCTGCCTAACGCTCTGCGCAGCCACACGCCAGCTGTTCAATTGGGGCGGGTTCCATTGGTTTAACCGCCGCTCATTTACTGGAATGTCTCCAAAGTCACATACCAGCAAAAATTGCCATGGAAGGATTCGACGCCATGCAGATCGACAATGCTCCAGGCGCGAGTCCGCCCAATTTTAGGATTCCGATCCGTCAGACCACCTAGTGGCGTAAGGATTTTACTGGGCCCACCGCCTATCAGTTTCCATGATTATGATAATGAGATACGGTACGTAGCTTGCTTGAGGCTATTATTGTTAGTAGATTTGTCCGCTTGCAACAGCCAGGTAAAGCGGAGACGAAACGAGGCATTGGATCCTGCATTAGGCAGACTCAAATAGAGGGATGATATCAAGGGAGAGACAACATATAAGAGAGTTATAAGCCCAACTATTTTACTCAAACATCAACAACTCAACAGCATTAATCCAAGATCGCTGCTTTATCATCATTAGAAAACAGGCAACTCATCATGGCCTCCCAATCCAGTATTGCCGTCCTTCGACGCTTGGAAATTTTCGCCTTTCCACCTGCCTTCATTCTCCTCATCGCCCATGGCATTGCATCTGAGTGTGCCTTTCCCGCTCTAGGGCTGCTTCCCTTGGCTGCATCAGCCGTTCTAGCTACCTTTATTCTTAACCGCGACGTTGTCGCCGCCATCGGCTCCCCGATTCAATCTCTTTCCGAGTCCAACATCTTCTGGGCCGACTGCCTCCTCGCAATTTTTCACCTCTCCTTTCTTATTCCTAGCTGGGCTCTTCTGACACAAGTGTGGCCCGACCCTCTCATCGCGCTGGGGGCCTACTGCACCGTCTTCATGATGTTCGACCTGTAAGTCCCTTTTACCATAGGTTTGGAAGTCTGCCCTATATGCTAACTGATCTTACCAGGGGGGTTCACTTGTTCATTGCCCTCCCTCAGGCTCTCCATCTTCTCATTAGTCGGAGCTGCAACTGCCCCCACTGCCGGACAGTTGCCAAAACTGGGTATTTCTCGTCTACCGTTTCCGAGTACACACCGCTTAGTGATGGCGACGGCGAGACCGAGCCTGAGATAATTGCTCGGGACATCGAAGAGGGTAACAGAAACGTCCATCTGTAAAAAATAAGAAACCGTGGCTCGGGCATTTGTTGCTGGTGATCGTCTACGCAATGAAACACACATTATCCGGAAAGACTTGAGAGTGTGACTAGGTGATGCATTTGCATTACGTGCTATTCTACATGGGTGACTGGAGTTATTGTTTTATTATGAACATGACATATAGATGATATCGTGCGGTAATCGCAAACTTATATGGCTTTTGATTTCCGGCCAGGAGATGCAAAGGCTGGTTTGACGTTCTGCTAGTTCATCTTGAATATTTACATCATTTGAAAACAAGGAAACAAACGCTATGTACAGTCATCCGATCACAATGATGAGTTTGAGAATACACAGATATAATACAAAGGAGAGTTTGAACTTAAGACACAACATATGAAATTCAGCCTTTCATTCGCTTTCGTTTTGGAAAATAGGCTTTCGTTCTCTAGCTGTACGTGGGGGGAGCAATAGGTAGTCAGGATCTGGGGGCTGTAGCATAATAGAGTCCTAGTAACATTCAAACTCTACACGTAGGTTCTAATGACACCTTCGAGAACCTGGTAGTGCCGTGAAGAAGTGCGGGGTCCTACCAATGAGATCTGGATCACTATGTGTAGTTGTTCAGTACAGACCTGCATCACGAAACTATCCTGATTTGGTAGACTAGGACTGGAAGTGTCGCGAATACTGGAGAAAACAACTGGTAGTTTTTCCCTCTGCAGGGGGATTTCTGGCAAGTAAGAGTGATGTAGAAAAGTCAAAAGTGCGGCTAAAAATGCCGCACGAGTTTTAAGACCTTTGTTTAGAGCGTCTTCTAAGATGTGGACTGGCCATGGTCCTGCGCATATAATACATACGTATCCCACTTCTCCAAGCATTTCCAAGGCCAACCTCAGATTGACGATTTGAGTGCGCTTGCTTTCTTACATTATACAAGTAATTGGACCAACTTGATCCAACAAAGCATTATACGATGCTGTTCATCATGTCAACAGACGCTGTCTACACTGCAGCGGGCTTGTTCACTGTCCTCATTCTCTACGTAAGTCTTATACTATCTAAGCAATATAATAAATAAAGGATGTATCTTTCTTCAACTAGGGATAGTTTGAACGAGCCAACAGTAGTTGTAAGTTTAAAACTCTTTCGAGAACCTCTAATCATTGGGGTTATCTAGGCACTACATACTACCTACACGAACCCCCTCCGCCACATTCCCGGGCCCTGGCACAGTCTCCTGACTCGGCTCCCACTGAAGCATTCCATCCTCAAGGGCCGTCGCATGTACTACGTCCATTATCTTCATTCATGTTATGGTCCTGTGGTTCGCATCTCCCCATACGAGGTTGCCGTCGCGGACCCAGATGGCTTCGCCGCGATCCACCGTATTGGCGGTGGCTTCCTCAAAGCACCCTGGTACAGGAGCTCAAACATGCCAGACGGCGGTGAGCCGAGCATCTTTGCCATGCGGGACCCCAAGAAACACGCCATCCGGAGAAGATTGCTAGCAAGGGTCTTCACAAAGACATCTTTGAGGCGGAATTGGGAGGAGACTGTGCGAGCGAATGTCGAAAAAGCTGTAGAAAAGATATATGCTGAGGTGAAAGGAGCCGGTTGTTCGGATGTGTTAAAGTGGTTTACGATGATGACGACGGATGTGGTGGCTCACTTATGTTTCGGAGAATCATTCAAGATGCTTGAGCTGGGAGAGGTATGACCGATTGGATAGTGTTGATATGCTGATATTTTGAGCTTTTGAGGTGTACTGACACAGCGGCTGTAGAAAAACGACTACATGAAGATGCTAGAACTCATCTCGGTCCAAAACACGATGCGATACGAGCTCCCGTGGCTAGAATTTATCCGGGAACACCTTCCGACTCTCAAAGCTCCGACAGACACCATTGATTCGCAAACGGTATTGAGAGGCTACGGCGACCGCGCTTTATCCAACCTCCGTCGGAACAGCGACCGCACTCAGACCCTCTTCACGAACATGTTGTCCGCGATTGAAACAGACAACACCGAAAAGAATGAAGACATGTTCACCGAGGAAATGATGCACATTGAAAGCAGAAGCATGATTGTTGGCGGATCGGACACAACGTCCATTACGTTGACCTACCTTGTCTGGGCAGTCTTGAAGCGACCCGATCTGAGAGTGAGACTCGAAGAAGAAGTGTCGAACCTAGAGCCGGACTTCAACGATGCCGCTCTAGAGAAGTTACCGCTGCTTAATGCTGTCACTGACGAGACGTTGAGGTTGTATGGTGCGGTGTCAGGACAGCTGCCGAGAACGGTGCCGGCCAACGGCGCCACGCTCGGTGGCTATTTCGTTCCGGGCGGGATCACGGTGGAGACGCAAGCCTATACCCTTCACCGGGACCCGGATGCATGGCCCGATCCGCTGCGGTAGGTGCACATTTGATGTATCTCGATGACCGTAAAGAAACAGCCAAGTTGACAATGCAGTAGCTTTGACGAGACTCGCTTCCTGGACCCAAGTAAACTCACTCGGAAGCAAAAACTTCTCTTCTCACCGTGGGGTGTCGGTTCGCGTATTTGCCTCGGTGTACAACTCGCAAAGATGGAGCTCCGGCTGGGCGTCGTCGTTCTCTTCCGCAAGTGCAAGGGATTGAGACTCGCGCCCGGGATGACAGATGGGATGATGCAGATGGAGAACTTCTTCCTGGTCAGCCCTATTGGACACAAGTGTGAGGTGACTCTGCTTGAGACTTGAGTCGTGTTGCATGGTACGCTCGGGTCTTCCGGATCGCGCAATTCGAACACTGGACGGTACAGCGGGCAGAATGTTGGAGGGAATGTGTATGTTACGGCCGATTGGCGGTGGCCCCGTATTATGGCAGGTTTTTTGGCAGGATAGGTCAACGTCACAGAGATCCATCTCAGCCTCCACAAGGAGCGATCACCGTGACTCAAAAGGACAATCAACTACCAGTCAACTCAGCTTCACCAGTGTGCTGGGACTGATGCGCCACTGTCATTCTCTCCCCGTCTTGGATCCCGTCTTGGCCAGGCCTTGGGAGCACGCGGGGTTGGACCCTTTGCGGACCCGCAACTTGCCCTGCTTGCCCTGCTTGCAGCTTGCTTTCCCCAATCCATACTAAGCCCGTGCAAGTTTTTCCCAGAAGATTTGCACACTTGAACGACTCATGCGTCGCCCCCCTATTTCCAGATTGCATCGGTGAGCTGACCAGTCAGGGGCTGCCGTTCGGTGGAGACCGGGCGCGCTACCGCCGTCAAAGACGCCGTCTGCCCGACCCCGGACCCGCTGCCCCGGCCACCTTGGTAAGAATTTTACGTAGCTGTAATTGAAATCGGTCCATTTCAATGAGTCTTTGCTGCGAGACCGGAGAAAGCTGAAAGGGTTACTGGCATTGATTTGCTTGTGAAGCATCGCCATGGGTCGATCAATGGTGGCATATATGCAATGAAAGCGTGGGCAGCCACCTTGAGATGTCAGCGAATAGAGTTTCCGGCTCAGACCGAAGCAGACCGAGTTGCATCGCGAGCTGCGCTCGGTGAAAGGGGACATCTTCATCATCAACACCAGTTATGTACCCCTCGCCCCCCGCGACCCACCAGCCCAGGAACGCCCCGCGACTAGAGCAATGATGCCATTCTCTACCCTCCGGTTTCGCGCCTCGCCATGGGGGAGAGAGGAAAAGCTTGCAGATGGGAGCTACTATTTGATCGATCCGGTCCTACCCCCCTAGCTCCCGTCTTGTCGCTGACAGCTTTCGCTTGTTCGATTTTCCGCCGCAAGTCGCGTTTTCAACTAGGTCTCGCAGCCCAAAGCGTTGTCACGTAGACAAGACAGCATCAGCCATGGCCGCATATGACACCGACAGGCGGCGGTCCACCGGGCCCGCCGCGGACGACGACGCCGTCCGGGACGTCGAAAAGTCCGGCGGTGACGACCACCATGACGATAAGGCCGCCATTCTAGAGCCTCAGCTTGGCGTCGGCGGTCACGGACGCACCCAGCGCCGCCTGCGCGACTACCAAGTCACCATGATAGGCTTCTGCAGTGGCATCGGAACCGGTCTCTTCATCGGAACGGGCTCGGCGTATGCCAAGGCTGGTCCTGCTGGCTTGTTGCTCGCGTACATCATTGTTGGAGCTGTTCTTTGGTGTGTGATGCAGAGTATCGGAGAATTGGCGACTTTGGTAAGTGGTATTCTTTTGTTCTTAAACCTTGCTACGCCCTCTGGCTGTGTGCTTTTTTCAAGCCCGAGCATGATCTGACCATGTCATAGATTCCAACTGCCGGATCTTTTCCCCACTGGGCCACTCGCTTCATTGATCCCGCCGTTGGTTTCTCCCTCGCCATCTCCTACGGGTACTGCTACACCATCGCCATTGGATCCGAAGCCTCAGCAGCAGCAATCCTTGTATCATACTGGACAGACATAACTCCTGCCGTCGTAATTACCGTCTCCCTCGTTCTGATCCTTGCCTCCAATCTGCTCAGTGTACGTTGGTACGGCGAGACAGAGGTCGTCGGCGGGTCCATCAAGGTTCTCTGCTTCATCGGCCTCGTCTTCACCTCGATCATCATCACGGCCGGCGGCGGTCCCAACCACGAGGCCATTGGCTTCCGCTACTGGAACCACCCGGGCGCCTTTGTCGAGTACAACGGCATCAAGGGCTCGACCGGCCACTTCCTTGGATTCCTCGCGGCTTTCGTCAACGCCTCTTTCTCCTTTATCGGTGTTGAGACTGTCGTCATCAGCGCCGCTGAATCCGTCAACCCCCACAAGGCCATCCCGAATGCCGCACGCCGCGTGACGTGGCGCATCGGTCTGTTTTACATCTTGGGCGCCCTCCTGATCAGTCTCATTGTTGACCCGCGTGAGCCGGGTCTGGTCTCTGGTACCGGAAACGCCAACAGTTCGCCGTGGGTTATTGCCATTCAACAGGCTGGAATTAACATCCTGCCTTCGATCGTGAACGCGTGCATTCTTGTTTCTGCTTGGTCCGCCGGCAATTCGTACTGCTGGGTTGGCTCGCGCATGATTGTGGCGATGACTACGGACAGACAGCTGCCTCAATTCTTTGGACGCACGACCAAGTACGGTGTTCCCTATGTTGCCGTCATCACTGCCTGGCTCTTCGGTCCTTTGGCGTATTTGAGTAAGTCGATAAACCACAGCCCCAGATGACGAACATGTTCATCTAATTAACGGTGATAGGCCTTGGCTCCGGAGGTGCTGCAGATGCTTTCCAGTGGCTTCTCAGCTTGAGCACCGTGGCGGGATTGATTGCGTGGGCAACCCTCTGCTTCTGCTACATCCGTTTCCATCGCGCCATGAAGGTCCAAGGCGTCAGTCGTGACACTCTACCCTGGAAAGCACCTTTCCAGCCATATGCGGCCTGGTTCGGTTTCATCGGGTCGACGATCATCACTCTCGTTGCAGGTTTCTCCGTGTTCCTGGCGGGCAACTGGTCGACTGCGGACTTCGTCTCCTCGTATATTGGTATTCCTATCTTCATTGTGCCCATCATTGCTTGGAAACTGTACCACAAGACTAAGGTTTGCCACTTTCCGTCCTTCATTGTACAACGTTCATTTTATTGACTGAAGCAGTTTGTTCGCGCACACGAAATTGACCTTTGGTCTGGACGCCTTCACGAATCGGAATATATTCCTGAGAAGCCCAAAGCATCAACATTCAAGGGTCGTGTCAAGGATTGGTTCTCATAAGATTGTGGGTTTTTGGAAGGAATAGGGATACCACCCTGAATCCTTCGGGGTTTGTTTGACATGGGATCGACCATGAGACCGTGCAGCTAGTTTTAGTAATTTAATACCAGTAGTTCTCTTCGCTCCGGAAAAGCGTTGCCTCCCAGCGTTGAAAGACTTCCATCTCAAATATGATTCCAGTGAAGCCACCCATTGAGTCCCTCCCAGTAGAGGCCGCCGTCAGGCTCATCGCCACTGGGGCCACCAACGAGGTAGAACTTAACGAGAGCAGATCGGCTGAGGCGGTGAAGAAGAATGTCATCAGGAGGGGTTGCTGCCTGCTGACGAGACAACAACGAGTCTCAGAGATGAGAATTACGCCCGCGGCCTTCCTCTGACGTGGAACCAAAGTTCTTTTTTGATAAGCAGACGTTACCTGGGCAAGCCAATGAGCTCCATGTTTCTACTGGCGAACCATGGTCCAGGACACATCCCGCATGGATCGCCTTGACTTACCCCACTGATCGGGTGCTGTATCTCGCGGACCTCGAGCCACGTATGATGCGTAGGGAAGCGAGCTCCTCTCGACCAAGCTGCAGTAAACATGTCCCCAGCCATCAGACCACATGGCCTGGTACTCCTGGAGTCCAAAACTGGACCAGAACGGAGGAATCGCCGCTGCAAGACACTGTACGTTAAATGCATCTCATGCGTTGATGAGGCTGGGATTCAAAGGTGAAAAGCCGAGGATGTTGAGGAAGGGGCAGTCAGAGTCCGAGGTCGTCGCGACGCAACCGACAACACAGCCAGGTTCTTGGCAATCTTGTGTCAAGATAACGCGTGGGCTTTCAATACGACATGTCAGCGCATGCATAAAGGGCCCAAAACTTCTTAAGCGGATGAATATTAGTGGCTTTTTGTTCTCGGTAGTGGGAAAGTTTGCCAGCAGTCACTCGCTGTGTTGGTAGTGCAAAAGTAGCCGCTGGCAAGACGAGAGAGATTGTGCGAACGGTTCGGAGCGCGATACAACCAATTTAGTCCTTGCGTCAGCGATCCATTGAGTAACTGATCGGTTGGCTCAATATGGCATGGCTCGATCATGCATGGGTCTCGGCCGTTCCATCCAGTGTACTTTTGTCTGACTGCTTATTCGTTTTGCAATCTGCATCCCTGCGAGGACTGGTTTGCTTGACTGGCTATAGTCACGGTGGGGTTGACATCCCCTCTGAACGGTGAGCCTTGGGTGTGAAGGCAACGAAGATGTCTTCTCCATTCTCCAATTTTGATAAGAGGTTTGCAAGACTGTCATGCTCTCTTTGTCTGATGTTGATATTGGGCCATCACGTCTTGCGTACGTGTAAGCGACTACCACAGTCGAGGAAGTGTCAATACCAATCGTTTCTCCGCTAGTAAATTGGTAAATTCGACTACTGTAAATTGATTGTCTTGCGGCAAGAATGAAGGATAACAAAGCATTCGTAAGCAGGTTGTAATCAATATTTCCATTTAGCTCGTTAGCATTCTTTAACTCATTATAACACTTGGTATTTGGGTTCCTCATGATTTTACTACTTATGAGAAAACTCCGCTTATTTCTGGATGGCAAATTGATTTAATGACAGTTTATGATAGCGGCTCGTCAGAAGTAATTGGCGAGAGCCCTCGTTCAGCAAAGTAGGTATGAGACCTGGGAGAGGAGAGAGACGAAAAGTTTCACCTAGATGCTTTACCCTAGATTTAGTACCTCCGTTTTGTTTTGTTTTCTCTTTTGGGATAAAGCGAGTTTTCAATCTCCCTTCACACACTTGTTGACCAATGATTCTACAACAAGTTGCACTACGGTTTTCGAGCGGCACTGATGCCTGTATGTGGTAACACAAATGCGAACGAAGATCAGGGCCAAGCAGCTGCTTGACAGCGTTATATATTATGGCTCATCTTTTAAACTTATGAGGCCAAGCCACCATTACATGGCTTGAGAGTGTGTTGCAGTGGCTGAGCTTCTGCACTGGAATAGTGCAGGCGTGCCGGTTGCAGGAAAATCGGGCAAACATCTGGGTCTGAATGACAACATCCATCCACAGTTCAACGGGTCTCCAGAGGTTCAAATTCGTTATCTTAGCCTATACCGTATCATTCTAAATTTGCTTCAGTCTAGCCAGGGTGTGCGCAAGTGACATGTCCACATGCTGACAGGTCGCAGCCCAACACTGTGCCATCGCCTTCTCCCCAACCCAAGGCCACATAGGGCGGACGGTCATAGGAGTCCCAATTATAAAGTGTGTTCTGGACCCCGAACCCCAGGAGGCGTGTAAGGCTGGTAAGGAGACCGGGTGTGTCCCATGAGCCAGTAACTCGGCGAGAACCCTTCGGTTCCTGACGTGAGAAATAGCGCCGGCGGCAACCAATCGAGTGGCTCTCTTCGTGCCGCCTAAGTGGGCATTTCTTTCCATTTGAAATCCTGCACAGGTAGGTATGCTTGTTCACAGTTGAAAGTGGTACGGGGGTACAGACAGCTTCATCAGCAGAGGTGTTGGGGGCCATTTTCAGCCCCCAACTCACTTCAAAGTTGATGTTAGCTATGGAATTTGCTCTTAAAGACGGTCCTTTTCGCTCTTTAGAAAGTTCTGATTTCTCTGAATCATTCTCTTCTTTTTTTCTATCTTTTCCGGACCCAAACATGCCATCCGCCGTGTGCAACTACGGTGAGAGCCAGATCAACTTCCTTGTACCCCGTGCACCCGGAGTAGCATGGACCGAGTCATCGGGTCACACATCTGCCCCCAGGTATGATCCCACCCCTTGAACGTGCATGAAGGCACACATTCTGATTGGTGGCGACCAGACAGCTGATGACTGTATGTAGAAATGGGAAGGACGGACCACAGATTCTCACGTTCGCCCTGCAGAGGAGACCACGAGCCACGCGTGCGAGTGCCTCCAAAGTCCGAACAGGATGCATTACTTGTGAGCTGCCGCAGTCATCCCAGGTTCGCTTTCTCCGTTTCAGCTAACATAAAGAAGGCAAGTAAGTCTGGCTTTCTTGTAGAACAAGCATATCGATGGCTTCTCACGCCTGACTAGACGCCGACACGTCAAGTGCGATGAAGCAAAGCCCTCCTGTCAACGATGCGTCAAGTGGCAGGGCTTCTGTGAAGGATACGATACTTCAGGCGGGTCTTTGACTTCCACTGCTGCACCAGACAGCAAGTTAGACAGCAAGACTTCTATAGATCGGTCTTCGATATTACTTCCGACCAAGAATTCCGCGGCAAATAAGGTCAAATTTCGTCTCCAGTCCAGCGCTCCAAGCCTATCAGTTGAGCTCACCGACAATCTGTTCGAAGACTTGACAGAACGGCAATACTTCGACCACTGGCATGCCTACAGATACCAACTAGGCGGTGGCTTCTTTGACGAGCATTTATGGAACGAGAGCATTCCCCAGATGAGCCATCAGCATGCTTCGATAAGATACGCAGCCATGGCCATCGGAGGCATTGCCAAAGCCCTCCGACAGAGCCTGAAGCCTACTAGCCTGGCACAAATGGGTGCTAATGGGCCGCACTATGCTCTCGCCTTGTCTTACTACGGGCGCGCCATTCGGGAAATACGAAAGGCAACCCCAAACACCAGCAGTCTCCAGGCAGCGATCATATGCTGCCTCCTGTTCGTGTGCTTCGAGGTTCTGCACGGTGATCGAAAAGTCGTCTTCTCTCACATCAGCAACGGCCAGAAGATGATGGATGAGCTTTTGCGGAAATGCGACGAAGATAGTCGCCTAAATCAGAGCGTCATCGGCGCCGAATCTGTCGAGATGGACGTACTTCACGTTTTCCAACGGCTGATCCAGCAGTCTTGGTCTTGTGGCGTCCTCAGAAGGCGGGATCAAGGAGCCTCGGAACAGCCCAGCGACGATCAGAAGAACTCTTTTTCTGAACGGTCATGGTGTTGCCGAGGGGGTTCTGGAAGAAAGTGCACCTACCACAAAACGCCATCATCCTTTGCGACACTCGAAGAAGCCCGTCGCTGGTGGGACGTCACGCAGCACTACGTGACGCACTCATCCAATATCGTCTTACCAATCACTTATCTGGGATTGGGCGACGATCTCGTGTCCGAATGCAACGAACGCATCCAAAGGCACATGGACGAGATCGATATGGCCAGAGCGGGTCTGAAACCAGCGACAGCCGAGCGATGGGAGGACTTCAAAGACGCCCTCGAGAGATGGCATGGCGGCTTCGAGCACTTGTGGCTAGCTGCTCAGGATAACAGGAATGAAGATGAGAAGTCATACGCGCAGGCAGCATATCTGCGCGTGCACTACCTGTCGATGTATAGCTGCGTGCACTCGCCCCTTAGCTGTAGCTATGATAGCATCGTGTGTCTGACGCCCAAGTATCGCGAGATAGTCGAGCTCTGCAATAGCCTGCTAGAGTACCAAAAAAGATCCTTCGAGGCCGCAGAGATCTTCACCATGGATATGGGCCCTACATGGCCATTGTTCCTGGCCGGATTGCGCTGTCGTGAAGCCGAGGTGCGTAACGAGGCGATTCGCCTGCTATACGAGAACCCTCGAAGGGACGGCCTTTGGGATAGTCGTAGGTTGTACGCGCTGACTATCCGCAATCGCATGCTCGAGGTTTCGAATGCGCAGGAGGGAACTCTTGAGGAGCAATGGTGGCGTCTGCAGCATCGGTCGGCGTATGTCAACGAACAAGGCCATCTTATCGTCAAGGCGATAGACAAAAACCCGTTGACGGGGACCTGGGACTTCGGCGAGGATACCCTTCGTCGGTTTTTGTTTGACTGAGATTTCTGTAGCTTAAACTATCTCTCTATGTTCTAGAATAGCGGACACTAGCCCACACAAATGTTGGCTTGAGGTATATGTTAATGGTAACGCAGACTTATTATTCACATTTCATCTGGAATCGAGTCATGATTGTGTTAGTGGCCTGGCCGTGTTTTTTACTTCTTAGCGTCTAAGTTTCATCAAATGTCATTTATGCAACTTGTGCGCCAATATCCTTTGATAATCTCATAAATGGATAGCATAGGTAATTACAGAGGACCATGAGACTGATTGTTAAAAACCTCATGATTCAAGAACGCTACTCTTCGATTAAGTCCCTGTTCTGTTGTCAGCCTACGACCCTCCCACTCTACGTACTCCATACCGTGGCGTGTTTATTGACGAGAATCCTCTGTAAAGACTACATTATTGAAATAATTATCACCAATATTCCAAGCGCCAAAGAGAGAAAGGGATCTAAATAGTGTATACCATTATGAGCTGGGAGTCAGCTCAACTGAGCTTGAAACATGGTATCAAATAATGTATTGGGGTAAGACTATACCAAATTGGTCACTAGTTACGATGAAGTATGATGTGGTTAAACGAAAAGAACCCGAGCTAATTTGTTCGAATCTTTGACAGATATACCTGAAAATCATTCAGTCTTTTCCAAAGACTTCTGCCCATAGACGACGTGTCTGAATAATGTCAGCGCCGCCTTCTAAAGAGATTGGTTTACCAACTTACATATCAAACTGAGCGTGGAACGTGTGGAAGTTCTTGAGTTCCTTGCGAACTTGAGCAAGCTGCACTGTCACCTCTTCCGGGGTCCAGTCCAGAACGCCGGTAAAAACTCTCATAGTAAAGCCCTCGAGCCCTTGAAGAACCTGCGATAAGTTCATCCAGCCTACGTCTTTATGGTGTTGTTCTTTTGCCCAGGGGCCAATCGGGACCTTGAATTTCTTGTGGAAAATGTTCTCGAACCCACCGTCCCGAACCCAGCCCTCCAGCTTAGGACCCGGACGGCTTTCACGGCCCATTGTCACGATAGCGTCTACAAGTGTTTTGTTCCACTTTCGGGTAGCGTGTTCCTCAGTCAAGGTCCCATCATCTGAGTAATACTCGCCGCTCATGTCCATGAACTCGGCCCAGCCACCAGGGTTCAGGTTACTAGCGAGTAGTGAGTCAGATTTAACCCAGGCTTCAAGATACATCCTAGCGACTCACTCATAGATATTCTTGACCAGCTTGGGCCAATCTTTGATTGAACCGACCATGTACCGGCACAAGATAAAGTCGTACTTCCTGTCATCGAGCCACGGGCTTTCAACGTCGTCGACCTCGAATCTGACGTTGGGTGGAACCCTATCGTATCAATTCTATTAGCTCGGATATCCTTTGAGACCTGTACTTCAACAATATTACCAATCTGGCTGAATAGGACTCAAGTCGTTTCCGTAAATCTATGGGTGTTTTAGTTTCATAGCTTATCTTCTTCGTCGCAATCGCAATCCGTTCCGTTGTATAAAACAGTATCCTTTAGAAAAGAGAAAGACCGAAATACCTCTGCGTTAGGGAAGAAGTCTCCCATTTCCATCGCCCCTAGCTGGGTCAGTTGATAGGGTCGTGTCTAAATGGCAAGGATCCCGGTGCTTACAGATCCCCGTTCCCGTTCCAATATCAAGGATCTTGTGGACCTTGCCCTTATCAAGCGGCGCTAGGTAAAGTCTGTTTCCTAGTAGTTTCAGTGTGATCGCGTGCGAGAGATCAAGACGGTCCATCTCATGCTACCCAAGTCAGGTTTGTAGTAATGCTGATGGATGCAAGAGTTACCCACCTCGTCATTTGGCATGAAATACGCTGCATGCGAAAGTCATAGTTAGATCTTTACTTTGGGAAGTGAAAATTAAAACCCTACTTCCCGGACGGAATGCGTGGTAGCGTCGACCGTACTCCGTAGGATAGTCAGCAACGCTGGATGTCAACGATGCAGTGTATGATGACCTGGCCGTTCAGTCAGATTGTTAGAGAAGCCCAAGAAGTCATGTGTTGTACACCTACAGTCGGTCATCAATGGAAGCACCATCATCTGTTTCCTGCACCGTAAGTCAGCGGAACATATTCACAGAAGGTTTAAGGTGGAAATTGAGGCTAACGATCGTTGAATCCTCCACTTCGAGGGTCTCAAGGTCTTCCATTGTATTTCCAGCGGGGATCGAAGTGCTCGTCAGTGTGTCGCCCAGAGCCGCGGTCGTTGCGGGCGCGGCATTGGTAGCCGCAATGGGCTGCAAGCCCGGTTGGGCTGGTGATGTATCTGTCATCCTTATTTCAAAATGTCATGTGTAACGAGAAAACTAAAGGAAGAGGAAAACATTGAGGACCATTGAATTGAGGGGAATTCAAGGGTCCCCTTAAGCGGCCTCGACGAAACGCATCTAGCGCGTCGGTTGGAACAGGCCCATTTTCCAACAGCGAGCCTGCAGAAGACATGGTGTCTTTTCTCTTTCGACCAATGATATGTGCATCATTCTGAGCTATGAGCGTCTGACCGACAAGGGTTGCGAAGAATTCCCGCGATTGTGCCAATATTTCTAGATTGGACAATGCATGTGGCGTTCAAAAGTTCAATAAAGATGTGACTGAAACGAAATCATCACTTTAATGAGGGCGAAAAGGAGTAAGCGGTCGAAATGCCTTACGAGATTGCACAGATGATCTATCCCGGTTCTGTTTGTCTACAAGCAACAAAAGAATCACTCTTATGAGTTCTCTTGAGCTTAGGAATATTGGTAGTCATTCTTGTACGTTTTGTGAGTTCCTGTTTTGTGCTCCAACGAAATGCCAAGCTTTGGTTCAGGCCTTGTCTGTCAGTTCTTTACCAATCAACGCTGCTAGAAGTACCGCATGAATCCCCTCACTTCTATGGCCATCTTTGTTGGAATAGAAGGCCACATAACATCGACAGATATATCTTCTTACTTAATAACTGGAACCTCTATGCCACCAAGCTCGAATTTCGCCAGTCTTCCTACCAAAGGTCGGCAAGCTCAGCATCGTTGTTTGCCTTTTACCTGACACCACCAACTTGCCATCAACAAAAGCGTGTGAGCCAGCCGACCGTGTTATTCATTATATTTAACATGTGGGAGCCGGGTTCACCAACTATTCGTAAGCCATGGTACCGAAACCCTCCGTCAAAGCCGCTAGGTTGACGTCTTTGTTTGTCAGCCAATCTCGTCAATCAACAACGAGACGGTGATGGCCACAGTAGGAGATTAAACAGTAACGCAAGGCCTCAGCGCAGCCGACGCTATTGAAGAAAGCTCAGCTGCACAAACGACGTTAGCCATACGTAGTTAGATCGCAGCTCCAGATGTTATTTAGGTTCTTCTGCTAATCCTGTAGCGCCTATCACTGTGCTATGTAATAACCTCTTGGGCGTACGGCTCCAAGTATGTTAATCTTGCTATTGCGCTGACACTGAAACATTCTCACGCAATCCCATCTTCCTCATATCTATCCGTCTTACTGTAGTCGATAAGCTCCGGCACGTCGTAGTCGTTCAACGACTTTGATATGGCCTCCTTCAGCAGCAGCTCGTAAAGCAGTCCAACCACCAGCTGAAGGCTTTGCATGTACATCAGCTCCTGCAACCAGTAATCGCTCAACGACTTCAATATGGCCCCATTCAGAAGCAGCATATAGAGCAGTCCAGCCACCAGCTGAAGATTTTGCATTTACGTCAGCTCCTGCACTAAGCAACTGCTCAACGACTTCAGTATAGCCTCCTTCAGAAGCAGCTAGTAAAGCAATCTGGCTATCAGCTGAAGCCTTTGCATTTACTTCAGCTCCTGCAGCAAGTAATCGCTTAACGACTTCAGAATGGCCTCCTTCAGAAGCAGCTAGTAAAGGAGTCCAGCCACCAGCTGAAGTCTTTGCATTTACGTCAGCTCCTGCAGCAAGCAATCGCTCAACGACTTCGATATGGCCTCTGCTAGAAGCAGCATATAGAGCAGTCTGGCCATCAGCTTGAGGCTCTGCATTTACGTCGGCTCCTGCAGCAATCAATCGCTTAACGACTTCGATATGGCCTCTGCTAGAAGCAGCACGCAAAGCAGTCCAGCCACCAGCTGAAGGCTTTGCATTTACGTCAGCTCCTGCAGCAAGCAATCGCTCAACGACTTCGATATGGCCTCTGCTAGAAGCAGCATATAGAGCAGTCTGGCCATCAGCTTGAGGCTCTGCATTTACGTCGGCTCCTGCCATAAGAAGTCTCTTAACGGCTTCAATGTGACCGCCCTCAGAGGCGGCTTGTAGAGCTGAGGATGTGATCTCAATCGAACACTCCCCTTCGAGTAGAGCATTGAGCAATTCCATATCACCACTGGTCGCTGTGTCCTGCATGGTTTCCTTCTTCGCCGCATCATGTATCTTATTAGAACTGACAAGAAGACGAACGACAGCGAAATGGCGGTGCTTAAGACTCCAAAGTAGAACGTCCCAGTTGAGTCCCATACCCTCTTCTACATTCGACCAAGGCTGCTTTGCCAGGCCGTCATCGCGAATAACAAACTGTTGCCAAGTTTTCCATGTCGAGGAACTACTGTGCTGGAATCTGCTAGTATGCGAGATCCAGTGTATGGAGGCGTACTTGAGAAATGGATAATGGTCCTGAAGCGTTTTTATAGCTTCCGAGTCGCCAGACTTGTCGTATGTAGCTAGTTCTCCAATAATGTCATTGTCTGTTTGGCCTTTCTGATGGCCTGTGGCGATGTTGTTTCCAATTGATTTTGGCAGCTTCCATTTACTCTTCAACGCTAAATAGGCCATTTGGGTGGGAACAATTTGTTTCATAGGTTGCGGCCGTCGTGCAAGAGTCGTCACAAAGTCGCTGAAGCCGAGATATGTGACGCAAATCTCGCCGGCATAATGGTCTGCGTCCTTTAAGTCGAAGTGGAAGTCAGTGAAGTCCGGTCCTGAAAGTCCCTCGACGATGAACCTATGAATTGCCTGATGGGCAAACTCCACTGTTCTCATTTCTTCGTCGATGCGGACAAGATTTTCGCACCACGACGATAATTGGTCAATGCCATTGATCAGCCGTCCAGGTCTTGAGGACGGTTGTCCGACCTCTATAGATATCGCTTCACGGAGCTCATCTAATGTTAGATGCCGTTTTGCGACAGCAATCCATTGGAAGGCTTTTTCTGAGACTGAAGAACGCTGTCGATTGGTAATGCGCTGAAGAGCCCTTGTGAAAGTCTCGGTTAAGTTCTTTGGAAGGCACCCGATAGCGTTCCTGATGTCATCGTCGCAAAGTTGGCTACAGATTTCGTCTATCAGAAAAGTGACCCAAAGAAACCTTGATCAATGGTTAGCAGGTAAACCAGGAGTAAGACGACATTAACTCACATTCCGTCTGCATGATTGACGAGAGCCTGCTTTACGTCATCAATGATCGATTGATCCTCAACAACGAGATCCCTATTCCGTTGCCTTTCCTGGAGCTTCTCTTCAACAAAGATAGCAATATCATTTCTAGCCTCAGCAGATGTCATTGAAATTGTTCCTAAGGATGGAGTCCTGCGTCTGAGTTCGCCTGATAAGCTCTCCCGGCTTGCGAGAAAGATCCTCAAGCGCGACCCGGAGCTCAGCGATGCGAGAGAGTCAAGAAGGTCCCGTCGTTCTTCGGTTTCAAATTCATCTAGAGCGTCGATGAAAACGTAGAACACGTCAGACTGGTCGATTCTCTTCTGAAGGAGGGCTGTCAGCTGGTCTATCCTAGAGGATGGTTTCCGGCTCAGCTCCTCCAGGCTACTTTCCCACTGGCTAGAAAGTTTCACCGGGTCCAGTGATTGTCGGAGTATCGACCGCAGTGCGGTTTCAGTAGACAGCGATGTCGGATCATTGAATTGGGGGAAGAAAAATGTGACAGTTTCATTGCCCCTACGCTCATGCACGTAGACATGCTCAATTGCGCTTGCACTTGGAGCCAAAGTCAGTAACTCCAGGAAACAGAGAAGCTTTCGACAACGTTCTACTGACGTGAGGATAGTCTTGCCTGATCCAACTATTAAGTTAGTACTTGTATGAGAAAAGTTCGTCGGTGATACGTACTTTTGCCTGAACACCAAAGCCAAGGCGAGGCAGTTCCTTCTTCCCATTTAGTAAATGTGGCGGAATAAAGATGCCATTCGGCAGTCCCGCTATGCCGTGTTTTACAAGCTTTCTTGTACGGTGTTAGATAGTCATAGAAAGACAACGAATCGAGAAGCCGGCGGCGATTCTCTTCTGTAAGACCGACCATTAGCGTAAGGCACAACGATAGGATAGCTCTTACCTGCTCGACGGAATTTCTGCTGTAGCTGCTCGTCCTTCACGGTATCAAGATCGCCTCCTAGCCGTGATAGGACCTTTTTGATTTTTGACCTATCTCTGGACGCCGTTTTTCCTTCCATCCTCTGTAGCTTTTGGTCTTCATAGTCGGCCTTCGCCTTGGCAAGTTTGATTTCTTGCCTAACCTCACTGCCACACCTTCGAATTCGTTCTAGGTCGGGGTTAAACTCCTGCTGGAAGGACTGTGTGAAGGCGTTCTGGACCTGCTTGAGCCCTAGTTTGTCTTAACGACACTATGTTGCGTTACTGGTAGGCTCACTTACAAGGCCGTTGCACTGCTTCAACTACATGCTTACAGCAATAGATAATCGATGCGTTAAACCCACAGAGAGCCTTCTGAAGCCCACCCGAGTTTGGATATAAGATTTGATAGTCGGCAAAACGTGGGCATTCAGTGGCGAACTGCATGAAGAGATCCGATATCCTTTCGTAATACGAGGCGAAGTTTAACACAATCTTGTAAAAGTCAGCACATACCTTGTGGATCAGCTGGGCCATTTTCAGACCTGCATCGTCAGTTTGACGCTTCCCCAGACCAGAGCGGCAACCTCTGGATGCGACGAGACGAAGGTGTCGATAATGACAGATGATTCACGGACAAACTGGAACACTGTGAGAAGCCGAGTACCTATGCTAGGACCTTTTCTCCGATTAGAAAGTTTATCTAGCTGAGCCGTGAAGACAAGTACGGCATCGGCATCTGGGATGGTTTTAAGCTCCTTTAGCTTTGAGCGTTCATCATTTGTCAAAATCTTCTGAAATTCGAATACAGCATCTTCAAGGTCTTTGGTAGGTGAGGATAGCGACCCAGCGGATTGAGAGATTAGAGTCAAAGTCATGGCAATTGCTAACTTACGGCTTGCGCGAAGTCTAATGTTAGAAAGAAGCATGAACACAAGTTGTCAGAGCGGGGTAAGTTGGTGAGATATACTCGTTCAATCTCGGGCTGCAGATAACATAGCATCTGTAGTGCCCGGGGGTTTGGAAACAATTAGATGCCATTGGTGGTTCACCAGTTGGAAGTGACAAATGTGGGGTTAGCTGTTGCCTGTCGTACTTTAGGCTGCAGGCGGGATGCTCCCTTGAGCTGACGTGATGATTCCAAGCGCCTATGAAATGAAGGTGGGAAAACGTTTCTATTGAGAGGTAACCTCTACGAGATTATTCACGATCTAAAATCAAGTCACCCTAGACTTCCCATTGCAAATTCAGGCCACGATTGTGGCTGAGCAGACCATACGATAAATCCGTGCTTCACGACACTAGCGGTCACACTGCCTGGCCCTAGGTGCCAGGTATGTGGCTCTTGCAACTGACAATAATTTTTTGTGACCACAAGCTGGGGAAATGGATGACCCGATACGGTTTACGTTACATGGGAAGTAAGATATCATGATAGAATTGGAAATTTACATCGTTCTGTACTCCTTGATGAGCTTTTGGAGTAGAGAGTGAGGGTTTACATCGGCCTAAAATATTGTGGCGTTTGTTCCTCATGGTTCTGAGGAAATCTTCAAGATACAGGTTTTAGTCATGTCCGTCTAACAGAAATCGTACGTCTTCATATGTTAATCTATGCAGAGGGGAGTAGCACAAAGCATTCTTCCTCAAATCCACCACCCCCTGGCAATCACCAAGGCTTCCTCTCAGGGCAACTAGCCACCTTGACCATTCAGTCAAAGACATCCGTAGCATACCTCTCATTCCGAATCCCCTCAAACCACTTCTTCGCCCCCTCGTAATCCAAGTCTTTCAGCTCAGGCTGTCCGCCCTCTTCCTTGGCCGACTCGAGAATTACCCTAACGCACGCCTCCTCGACCGCCTTCCCCACGTTGCGCGTCCCGCACACGAACAGCTTGGCCCCCTGGGCCCAGAGCTCCGAAACCTCCTTCTTATTGTGGTACAGCCTGTGCTGGACATACTTGCACCCCTCGCTCTGCTCGATGGCGCGGGAATATGCCCTGCGCACGGTGACGGCGCCCATCTTCTCCCAGACGTCGAACTCGTCGCGGTACAAGTCGTCGATGCCGGGCTTGCGGCATCCGTAGAATAGAAGCGCTGGCGCGATGGCCCGTCCCGCCGCGAGCATGGCGGCGCGCTCTTGGATGAACCCGCGGAAGGGCGCGATGCCGGAGCCGGCAGCGACAAGGATGAGAGGGGTCTTCTCCGGCTGGTTGGGAAGGTGGAAGGCAGCATGCGAGGGCCGGACGGCGACGTGGAGCTTGTTGCCCGCCTTGAGGGCTGCGAGGTAGCTCGTTGCTACGCCTACGTGACGGCCCTGGCCTGAAAGTGAGGGTTCGTCGAGGAGGGAGTATGTGAGGGTTGCTTGCGAAGGGTTGCGGAGCGGAGAGGATGAGATGGAGCTGTGGAGGGGTTAGTCAGTCATTGGTCTTGGGATGAACGGGTAAACGCTTACTATTGCCGCACGCGCATGGGAGGAAGCATGGCGAGGAAGGAGCCAATGGGCAGCGCGATAGACGGGAACTTTTCCAAGAGGTCCAGCACTGTCATCCGCTTCTGTGTGATCTCCTGATGGTACGCCTCGCCGGAGAGCCGTTCCAGCTCCTTGGTGGTTACTTCGTCCTTGGTGGCCTCTAGCAAGGACAAGACGTTGCGCTTCGTGGCGGGTTGCGCAAGCTCAACGTAAGCGCTGAGGATGTCGGACGCGGAAATGGTCTGGTTGACCGGCAGAGGCGTACGCTTGTCGCCAGAGATAGTCAGACAGGCGTCCCAAGCAAGCTGGAACCTGCGAAAGACCCTTTCAATGTTTTCTCGCGGGTTCAAGGGTAGGACCGCCAGGTAGTCTCCGGCCCGGTACGTCATGCCGGGCGGAAGCTGGATATCCATGTGCTTCTTCTGAGCGGCCTCAGCAGCTGTCAGAATCTTTTCTCCGGAAACAACGGCCTCTTGGACGTCTTGTCGTAAAGTCGAAGTGCGGGGGTTACAGATTTGCACGGCAAGGCCGGGTTGCGAGCCATTGCCGTCTTGTGCTTCGGCAACATCGTACTTCTCAGTAAGCGCTGGCCAGAGGACCTCATCCTCCCAAGCTTCGAAATCCGAGAACATGTCTCTGTCAGCAGCGTTGGTCAGCCCCATCGGTACGAGTCTGTTGGCTCCGCGTTCTTCCATAATCGTATCGACCAGCTTCGGGATGCGGTGGAATGTTTGCACCCAGTCATGGTGGCCACAGCCAAAGACGGCATATGGCACACTGCTCAACTCCTGAGCCTTCAAGCTCTCAAGCCAAGCGATGAAGTGGGCTGCATTGTCTGGTGGCTGGCCTTCGTAAGAGGCAGTGATGATGACTGTGGGTTGGTTCTTGGGCAGATTTTCGCGAGCGGTGTCCAGAGGCTCCACGTTTACGGCGTTGAATCCGTGGGTTGTCGCGTCAGTAGCAAGTCTCTGGGCAAGTGCCTCACACGTTCCACTGTTGGATCCGTAGTAGATACTGATGGGCTTGCCACTGGCTTTGGGGGTATTGTCGCCGTTAGTCTGCGCTGATGGTCGGGATGGCAATGTCGTCTTCTTCGGGTTTCTCCCCGCAAGCCTTTGCTCGAGCTCCGTGGGGCTCAATCCATTTCGCAGGGTCGCACGCATGTAAAAGTCCTTGGGTTTGATAGTGAGCGACTCCGAAATCTTGAGCTGATAATTGGGATCGTCCATGGTGAAGTTAAAGTTCTGCAGAAGTATGGCGGTGGCCATTAGAGCCTCCTGCCAGGCAAACGGTCTGCCAATGCAGGCACGCATACCGTTACCAAAGGGCTTCCACGAGTTAGGAAACTCTTTTTGTAGGCGCTCAAAGTTCTCATCTAACATGCGCTCGGGCTTGAATTCCTTTGCGTCGTCGCCATAAACAACGGGGTCAATGTGTGCTCTGCCGAGTAACAAGCCGACCGGCTCGCCCTCCTTGACGCGGTATTTGCCACCAATGAGTGTGTCTTCCTTGGCTTCAACAGCGAAAGCAGGAATGGTCGCAGAAAGCCGCAGCGTTTCACGAAGAACCTGGAGAAGACAAGATTAGCAGACTCCCAGGCGTACACATCCCACATGGGAATTAGAAGTGCACCGAACTTACAGCATTCAAGTAAGGCAACTTGGACAAGTGATCTACAGTAATAGGGCCTTGCCCAAGGACCTCGTCAACTTCCTGCTGAGCCTTCCGATAGGCAGCAGGGTTCCGCAGAAGCTCGTAAAAGGCAAAAGACAACAAGCCAGAAGTTGTTTCATGGCCAGCAATGAGGAAAGTAATCAGATTGTCGATGATACTAGCATCAGTCATCTTCTGACCCGTCTTGGGGTCCACGCCGTTGAGCATGGCGGTCAGCAAATCTTTTCTGTCGGATGGGTGCTCTTTCCGGGCCTTTAGGACTTCTTCCGCTGTCTTGCGCAACAACTCAATGTCGGCAAAATACTTTTGCTCTGCGGCCCGGAAAAAGTAGCTCGCGAACCCCGGTCTCCGTTCCCTGGCGCCGCTTTCTATGAGAGCATCGCTCATGGCCTTGACGAAAGGGTGAAGCTCCTCGCGGTAAAACGAGTTGAAGCGGAAATCCATGGAGCATAGGGCAATGGTGTCAAGAGTGAGGCGGGTGAAGTCATTAGTGACCATGATAGGCGTTGATGGACCGTGGCGTGCCCATTTCAAGGCCATCTGGCCTGCGACATCCAACATCTCGTCAAACATGCCACGAATGGTAACGGGACCGAAAGCTGGAATCAGGATCCTGTGTGCGATACCCCAGTTGGGCTCGTCTAATTTGGCCTAGAGTACGTCAATAGGGCAGTTTAGCTGCGGGTGGTCTGATCTGCTTACAGTAAAGAGGCCATCATTGGCGATGTTCCTTACCTCCTATGCCTAGTCAGTTCTGCCCTTGGAGAAACAACACGGCTGTTGGCTTACCGAAAGAACCGTGTTCAGTGTCTTTTTGAAGCGACTTTCGTCACAAAGCTCGTTGACTAAAGCGTTTGTGGAAACAAAACAGACGGTCTTCCCGCCGGGGAAGCGCAGACGGTAGATCTCGCCTACAAGATGGTCAGCAACTCGCTCTTTGTTGCGTGCGTGGCGCCGTATACACACCGAAGGTGTCTGCTAGGCGCAAAATATCATTGTTGGGGTTCTCTGGGTTGAATTCGGCAATGTGTCCAAGGAAAGGCAAACCCCATGGTTCGGGGATGGGAATCTCCTTGACCGCCATGTCGTCTGCTCCCATGATGCGCAAGTACAGTACGCGCCGACGTAATAGATTGTGGGCCGGGGCGAAAGTCGACAACTGACCTGTATCTGGATTCTCTTATCAAAGGTTGACTTCTTGATGATGAGCTTGTCTTTTAAACTTGGTTGATACCACTGGTAACTGCATACGGGGATAACAGAAAGGCTCCTCGGTGAATTCACACCTGGCTGAAGAATGTGGAGTGATCGGTCTTCAAGTTAAAGGGCGACGGGGTTTCAATTAATAAATACTGTCATGGTCCCTGTTGGTTGTCGACCCAAAGCGCTGGCTGGGAATGGAATGTGTACCGCCAAAAGTGGGGAGGGGATCCGTGCTGGACTATAGGCCTAGTATTAGCAACTGAGAGCCAAGGGAACGAGGTGGGTCGGCAAACACACAGGTTGGTGTTGTTTACATGGTATGTTTGTCGGCCCAGCACCGGTCGACTGTGCGAAGAAGTTACCGGGCACCCAAGGAGTCGGTATCTGGTCTACTGTCGACAGTGATTGGATTGGTGTTTCTTGCCTGTTGTTGGGAGTACAAAGCACAGGGCAGGACCAAGGAGGGGGAAATGAACAGCAACAATAGTAGTCGGTTGGAAACGTCTATATGAATGCGTTGGTTGAAGGCAAGTTTGCTATACTTTGCCACGGCTTCAAACTACGTGGGCAGGCAGGTGGTTTGCGGAAATTGAGCTTTGTATCCAGTCGAGGAGTGCCTGGATTGCCCCACAAGTGAACAGTCACTGAGGTTGGCTCGATTGCGCCTGTCGCATACAGCGTAGCTTGAGACAAGGAATCGGGATGCCTGATAGGCAAAGCTGGTCTCAGCGGTGTTGGTCCGCATGGTATTGACGGCAAGCCCAGTCTTGGAGCTTATTGTCCTCGCCAAAGACTTTTCAGACATTGACGTCTGATTCAGCATTACCAACGAGCCATCGCGGTAGTGACAATGCCGTGTGTAATTGGGACACAGTGGGAAGGTCAACTTGTTCGGCTTATTGCAGCATTGGTATTCGGGAACTGATATTCGGGAGGTTCGGGGATAAGAGATGGAGGTGGGCAAATGGTAATCGGCTGGTTACAATGCCGACCCTCCGCTCCTGTCTCTACCGGTAATGAACACCCCATTGCGGCGAGTGTGGATCCGAAGTTGCCTGGGGCCTTGGAGGCCTGGGGGCCTGGCAGATTGTGTTTTGCGAATCTCGGCTCGTGTACAGAGTACGGTGTAGTCAGCGGACGTTGGTGCGACCCGACGCTGAGCGCCGCCGTGTCGTCGCTAAAACTGTCTTCATCCCAATCGGAGTCCGTCTCGAAGACATACCCCAGTAATGAACCCGGTACTCCTCCTTTAGACGACACCTTGGCACGATTCTGAAAAGCAGAGTACGTAGGCCGTCATGCGGCTGCGGGAGGTTAGCTTGACGCCGGACTGCGGAGATGAACTACCCCGTCCCATGGCAATACCTAGATAGGCGCATGCCCCATGCCTCCCGTGAGACACAGATGCTTCCGCTCTCCACCCCAGAGCTAGTATACATGACTGCGTGGGCCTCTCGCCATCGGTTCCTCGAAAGGAGTCGGACGGATTCCCTCCCGGAGCGGCCCAATCCAACCCTCTATGGACTTTGACTCCACCCCGGGTTCCGCGGATCACCTGGCGGCTAAGATTGCTCCATCTTTGCGAAAGAAAAAATAGAAGAAGAAAAGTAACAAGACGGAGTCGGGGTTTTGATTTTGACGTCACCTACGCAATGGTGCAGTTGGGTCGGTGGGAAGGATCCATCGTAATGTTCGGGTATGACACGCAGACTTCTTCCCAGTCTGTTTGCTGAGCCCATTGCCAATATCCAGAAAGAGAACACTGAGTAATGACGAGCGCTTGTAGCCGTTCTGCCACCGCTGCTAAGTTCCAGCCGGGGTTTGTATGGCCTTACTGTTTGGAAGGAGTGATGCATCCATGGCTCTTGAACAGCTGCTGAGAACCTGCACGATGTATAAGGAATGAAAGCGAGCTGGTGCCCCACCGCGGGGTAACGGCGGGGTTGCTTTTGCTTTTGCTTTTGCTTTTGCTTTTGCTTTGCTTTTGCTTTGCTTTTGCTTTTCGATAAGCTCAATCCAAACGCTGATCCCGCCAGATCTCCTTGAAGTCAAACTTTGGCTGTGACCGACTGCACTCGCTCTACACCCACGGGCAAATTGAGTCATCTTAAAGCTTGAACAAGACCCCAGTAGAGGTCACAATACAGCAGCAGCCATGGCTGACGTCAAAGCAAACGCTGAGGCGTTGATCCCGAAATTCAAGCTCGACCGCGTCCTCAACCAAGGTCTGTCCCAGCTACACCGCCATCCGCGACGAGACTGACGATGGTGCTTCTGCAGACCAGGCCGGCCGCCGCACCTCGTTGTTGGGCTTAATCGACGCCAAGCCCGCCCTTCTGATTCTTGAACGCGCGCCCTTCCCGACCGACCCCTCCTACCTCGCCGCTACCCCAGCGACCCTCTCCTCCATCGCGAATCTAGGCGCAAACGACATCTACCACTGGTACCTCGCCAGCAGCGCCTCCCCGGCGACTCCTGACCCCTCCCTCGCCGACCTCAAGATCAACCTCATCTACCCCTGCACCGACGCGCACGTCAAGAAGTACAGCAAGCAGGGCGTCCGGCTCGTCACCGAGACTCCCGAGCTCTACGCCTCGCACGTCCGGCCCTACATGCAGCGCAAGCGCGACGAGGGTCGTCTCAACTGGGTCTTCAACATCATCGAGGGCCGCACCGAAGTCGAGGACGTCATCTACCGCACGGAGCTCGGCAAGGAGGGCGACGAGGGCTTTCTGCTACTACCGGACCTGAACTGGGACCGCAAGACGCTCGACGCGCTGCACCTGCTTGGTCTGGTCGAACGCCGTGATATATGGTCCCTACGCGACCTGCGCAAGAAGCACATCCCCTGGCTGCAGCATATGAAGGCCAAGCTCCTGGCTGCGACGGTCAAGCAGTACCCGGACATCGACGTCGACCAGCTCAAGCTCTACGTACACTACCAGCCAACGTACTACCACTTCCACATTCACATTGTACACGTGCAGCTCGAGGCCGGCGCGACGCAGGCTGTAGGCAAGGCTGTCGGGCTCGACAGTATCATGGAGACGCTTCAGGTTATGAAGGGTGATGATGAGGCGGGCATGGATGGTCTTGCATTGAGTTATACACTTGGCGAGGCCAGTGAGCTATGGACAGAGGTATACGAGCCCATCAAGAGCTCTAAGAACGGTAAAGCTTCTCAATAGCGATGACGAGGTCGTTGACGCCCGAGCCGTGCGGGCAGTCCTTCCACTGGCCGTCATCTCGGATGCAGTAAATCTCTTCGTTAAGCCTGACGGTGCAGCTCTTGGTCACACCGGCCTAGCAGGGTGGTTAGCAAGGCATGCACACGACGGCCGGCCTGACCGAGGCGACGTTTGGTGTGGGAATGGACTCACATTTTTGCTTCGACGAACGCTATCACGCAGCATACCGACGCCGAAGCCTCCGTCATCCTCGGTAGCGCAGTCGTTGAGAGCCTTGATATCGATGGCGTGCTCCAGGGCGCAGTCTTCGACCAGAGTACGATCGGGAATGGCGCTGTATTCGCGGGTGAGGCACATGGTGAACCCGAGGTTGATCTTGGGGTCGGGGTAGAGGTGGGCGGCACAAAGCTCAATAATGTTTCCCATGCCTGTCACAGATGTCAGAGCCATGAATGCTGTAGGGACGGGGTACCGGGTATAATGGGGGAACGTACATTCCGAGGCGCCATGCTTGCAGTCGACGCCGTCGTTCTCGGTCGGTCTGGAAACCTCATCGTCAGGTATTTGATCGTAGCGTGAGTTTTGCAAATGGCAGTCACTTACGTGCCGATGTACGAGAGAGTAAAGTTGACCTTGTCCTGGGCCTTCATCATCGTAGGCAGAACCAAATCTCTCAAGCAGTCCTACGCCTCTCGCGTTAGCATCGCTGCATAGCTCTGTCAGAAGTCGACCATGGCTTACCCTAGCATCCGGACACTTGCTCATAATGTGCGCCTCCAAGGGCACCAGGTCCTTTGCAACCTTCACCGGAGCCTCCTCCGAGACGATGGCGGCTTTGGCCGGGATAGACGGCAGGCGCAGGTAGCCCCAGCAGCTCCAAGCAAACAGCATGGCTGCCATGACCACCACGGGCACGAAGCCCTTTCTCTGCCTCCTAAACGTGATCATTGAAGGCGGCGGCGGCGGGAGATTGGCTGCAGGGTACCCGAGATAGGCGTGCTTCTCGTCCATGACAAAGGGATTATCGAGCTCGGGGTATCGGTATCGGGGCGACGGCTTGGAGCGTTCGGCACGGAGAGTATCAACAGAGCGGGATGCCGGTACGGATGTGGTGTTTTCGCGTTGTTGGCGGTGGACGGTGCGATGTTCTGAACAACCTCGGTGCGCCCCCATTTGGAGAAGCTAGAGGCAGAAGCAGAGTTTAGTAATGACGGGATGTCGCGAGAGGGGTGATGGAATTGCGACAGCGACAGCAACACACCATGGATGGAGAGCACACACAAGCCCGAGCACGGCACTGGCTCCTCAGGCCCAAACAAGAGCGACAAGCGGACGTTGGAGAAGGTCAAGGCTAGCTGCATGGGGAATAGCCGATCGGATTACAAGGGTACTTCACTACGCCCGTTGTACTGTATGAGAGGTGATGTACACTCCTAATCCCACCTCGAGCTGGTCAAAGCTCCGTCCACGGCAACACGATAGGTATGTAGTTAGGTAAGATACCTACGTGGGCAACAGCGGGGTTCCTCTCCTATCAGCAGCTTGCATCCTCCACCTGTTGATTCTCTTTACTCGTACGTTTACTTGTTGCATTCGTCAAGCGCGGGAAGGGTCCATTGGTGCTGATGCAACAGTGCGACATACACGTGCTCGGTCACTGTGTCAAAGCAGGGGTCCGGCGAGTCTTGTCTTTGCATTTGATCTCATCAGGGACGACTGTGGTGTTGAAAGCATATCCAGGGGGTACACAATTGATGGGAAGTATTAAGAGCCAGTCACTCAATCTCCTTGAGTGAGTTGGAAGCTTGGTCTAAGAAGGGGTTGCCTTACATAAGGCAGCTAGTCCAGCCCAGCGACGACTGCTGCGGCATGACTAGGGAGATGGGTAGGCACGACTCTCAGAAAAGGAAGGCACAGTGGCATCCCGTCGCCGATCCACACCACTACCGCCTTCGCTCGCTCCTTTCCACACACTGGAGGCGATGGGGAGTTTCTGCTGCTCAGCTATGTGCAAGGAAGCAAGAGCAGCGCATCACAGCCTGGGTGTAACGTGCCTTGCAACATAATTGCATCTCCTTTTTTGCCCCATTCAACGCCCAGTTCTTAACCGAATTCTCTCTCTTTCTCTCTTTCTGCGTCCCTGATTACGTTTTCAACTCGATAGGCTCTCTTCTCGAAAGGATCTTGCGTCGACGATGACAATACCCCTCATCCCAGGAACGCACAACCGTACCTAGCAGCAGCACCTGAAAACGAGGCGAGGCGCAAGGCAAGGCAGGCAAGGCAGGCAAGGCAAGGCGAGAGACATAAATCCTGGAAACGCCTCACTTCCACATCATTCCACCTGTACCTCTGCAAAGAGGGGAAAAGACAGAAGCGATGGAGCCTGGTTCCGACCTGCAGCGGTTCCTGCAGCCGCTCCAGGTCAACAGCCAAAAGATTCACGCACTGTCCCGCCTCTTTCATGCCAATTTCAAGCACCTCGCTCTCAACGCCGATGACCAATTCCTTGCGACGCCCATTTCCGAGTCCATTCTGAGACCCGTCAGCCAGCGCGGCCATGGAAGGTATGTCCGTCCGTCTCGTCGTCTCCAATGTCTCGGCACGACCTAGTTGAATACTTGGGTCGCGAATATTTTGATATCGCGAAATAGGAGCACAGCGAGTCTGTTTGTTCAGTGTACGACGGAGCTAATATGAAACTGCAGGCACCTGGCCATCGATATGTACGTCAGCCTTCACCAACGTCGCAAATTCCCCTTCACAATACCAGTCTCACGCAACTGCAACATGTGATGCTGGAATACCGAGCCACTAACTTGATCTTAGCGGCGGCACGAACCTAAGAGTAGGCTTCGTCGAACTTCAAGGCAAAGACACAGCAAATCCTGACGATGCATCCTTCGCAATCATCCCCCAAACCAACGGCACCTCCTCCCTCGCACCGGCCCTCCGCCTCAAGGAGAAGGCATGGCCCATAGACGACCGCCTCAAGACCGACAGCGAGGCCGATCCCCAGCTTCTCTTCGACTGGATTGGCGCCTGCATTGCCTCGGTCGTCCGCTCTGCCTGTGAGGAATGGCAGCTCCCGGCCGACGAGGAGCTTCCCTTGGGCATCACCTTCAGCTTCCCCATGGTCCAACAGTCCATTTCCGACGCCACTGTCATGACCATGGGCAAAGGTTTCAGTATCAGAGGCGACGCCGAACTGGGTCCGTTGCTGCTCAGAGGGTACGAAAAGTCCCGAGCAATCGATGACAATGGCGCCCGCCGGCTTCCTCCCATCCGCATCGCAGCCATATCTAACGACTCCGTTTCCACCCTCATCTCCTTCATCTATCTCTTCAACGAGTCCCAGTCCAGAAAGGCCAGCATGGGTCTCATTGTCGGCACCGGGTGTAACGCCACGATTCCTCTAAGACTCACCGCCATGGGCTCCAACAAGTGGCCTACCAACGTGAGCACTCTTCCAGGAGAATCCGCCCGTCTCGCTCGCATCGCTGTCAATACGGAATGGAGTATCCGCGGCACCGCCCCTCCCTTGCGCGAGCTGCACCTCGTCACCCCGTGGGATTCCGCCCTCGACACCGCGCTCGTGGGCCCCAACGAGATCGCCGGGTTCCAGCCGCTCGAGTACATGACAGCCGGCCGCTACCTCGGAGAGCTCGGCCGTCTCATACTCGTGGACTACCTAAAGACCGAGCTCGGTCTCGACGAGTTATCCTTACCGAAAGATCTGCTGGTGCGATATGGGCTGACGACGACGTTCCTCAGCCACTTCAAGCCCTCTGACCCGTCAGATCCTTCAACATTGCTTACCCAGTTGGAAACAGAGTTCCCGACAGAGAAGGGGGCCTCCTTCCAGTGGACCCTCGAGACAGCCGTCGCTCTCTACCACATCGCAAAGGCCATACAGATCCGCGCCGCGGGCATCGTCGCAGCCGCCACCGTGGCCCTCCTCAAACTGGCAGAGGACATCCCTGAGCAGATCCCAGCCGGTGATGCCACGCCCGTCAAGGAGCTGGGCGTCGGCTACACCGGCGGCTGCATCTCGCACTTCCAGGACTACCTCGCTGATACCCAAGACTTTCTGGATAAGATTGTGAAGCTGGACTACAAAGACCAGACACCGCCGATTCGGGTTGTGCTGAGCCCCTGCCACGACGGCGGGATCAAAGGCGCAGGCATCCTTGCGGCGGCGACAGGGGTAAGTCAGACGCAGGAGACATGGAAATGAGTTAAACATGTGGCATGAAGGTATGGAAACATGAGTCGACGAGGGCAAGCGGAAGTGCATCAGTAATGGGTGGCGTCGGTGGTTTATACATCAGTCTTCATGACTTTTCTTCAATAACAGAATCAATAATGCCTGTTGAACCAGACGGTAATGACCTTGGCACACCTTCAAACAGGTAGTCAATGAACACCATGACGCCTGGAGACTGCCTCACATTTGGCCGGCGTCTGAAGGATACGATTTTCAGAAGACTTGTTGAACCAGAGGTTATTCCGAATTGACTCCGTTGGCCCATCTTAGGCCTGCGCCTCGATTGATGTGAAATATAACATTTGAAAATGGGTGGAAAAAAGAGTGCCCTCTCCGCTTTTGCCCTATGCGTCGACCACATCAGCTCTCCCGCCTTCCCCTCCCCCATGGGCAAGGGCAAGAAAGAAATGAAAAGAGAAGATACATTTTCTCTCAGGCTGGTGCATCCCTTATCTTTATTCGAGGCTTGTCCGTCTCCAATGCTTGACAACTCTCCCTCCTCCCAGTGAAATATTCCGACTCAAGCAACCCCCCCTCCTATGCAATTCGGGCCGTAGTATAGAAGCAACAGACGCTATGCTATGCATGTGTTTTTTTTTTCTCTCCAGATATCATCGGCAACTCTCTGACCTTCCTTTTCGGATAGAAATCCCCTAGTCGCAACCAATGCTTTTTGGTCCACAAATGTTCCCTCCTTCTGCTCCCCGGACGAGGCCGTGTCGGTCATTAAAGTAGATAGAGAAAAATGATTCCGTAAATATTGGTTATCGGATCCAATTGGGACCATACTCAGCCCCGCATCGCCCTGGTAGATCGATAATTCAACCTTGGTGGCAATGTGATTTCCATGTCGTCAATTCCCTCATCATCCGCCTCGATGGGCGTATCGTCCGCCTCTAGAGGCTTGGACATGTCAACTTCAACCGTCTGGGTGGCCGACGTTTTGCTTTCCGCCTCGAGCTTGGAGTCAACCTCAACCTTCATGGGCGTGATGGGCGGGTTGCTGTCCTTGCCGGCCGTGAGCTCCCGGCGCATGCTCGTCGGTCGAAGAGTCCGCACCTTATTCGCCTCGCTGGTGGCCTTTAGTAGCTCGGGCTCTTCCTTCTCGACTCGTTCCATCTCCTTTTTGGCCAGCTCTTTGGTCTCCGCAAGCCGCCGTTGAATGTTGCCGATCTCCTCCGTACAATCTCCATCGCGCAGAAATTGGTGAGCGGCACGTTCAGACTGGTTTTGAATGTACTCAAGGCACTTGTCAAGCTCGTCGTAGGCGTCCGGCCCGCTGTCGCTCATCATGGCATCACCCTGGCCAGCTCGTGTATATGTAGGTCCCTTCCGACCGTTGGGACCCATCCGCCTTGTGCTCATGTACCGCAAAGAAGGTAACGCATCGGAGGCGGCGCCAGCACCGTCAGTGGTGTCGGGCTGAAGATCCCCAGCACTGATCGCGTCGTCTTCCTCAGGCTGCTCTCGTTCCGCCAGCCGGCGTATTGTAGCCACCTTTGCTGCCATCTTCGCCTTCCGCATCAAGTTCCGGCTTGCCGATACAAATTTGACCAGCTCCTCGAAGAAGCTTTCTACGTATGAGTCGTAGTAGACGAGGACGAGTTTACGCGAGCGGTACTTGGCCGGAGCGTCCTCTTCGGTTGACATGACTGAGTCCGGACGAGGTCTCTTCTCGACAACAGCACGGGCGCGAGCTTGTGCCAAAGCCATTGCTTGTCGAGTTTGCTTTTTGAGGGCTGAAGGTGTTCCGCTGCTAGGGCTGGAAGGCTCATCGTTTGTCGTCGGCCCATCTTTGATTGGCGTCGTGACCACAACGGGTCGTTGTGCGCTTGCCTCTTTCGTGGGAGCTCCGTCAGCGGGTGGGGAGATGGCATCGGGTATTTCGTCTTTCAATTTGAGGGATTCGGTAGATCCGCGGTTCTTGATTGATCGCGACGACTTGTCGGCGCCGAGCGCTGCAAGCTCGATCTGGCGCTGATCGATCTGTTCCCCGAGCTGGTCCAGGCGGTCCAGCCATTCGGGGACATTGTTGACGATGTTCTTGAGGGCGTCCATGGCCAAAGTAACGCGGTCCTCTTGCTGTCGTGGATTGGCCGTTTTGGCTGTGGTTGTAGGTTAGACGTTGAGTGTAGCCCCCAACGTCTATGTGTGCAGAGATGAAGCGGAGTTCGATCGAGATGTTGCCAGCAATGAAACGTAGCGGCAGATGTAGCAGGTTTTGAGGGGGTTCCTCGGTGGAATATGGGGCGGCGATCGGCGCTGCAGAGTGGACGAAGGGGGGAGGGTAGGGGAAAAGGAAGAGATCGGCGTGTTTATGGACGAAGCATGATCCGCCAGCAAGCGTTGGCGTGTCTCTCGCTGGAGGGTGTTGCAAGCAGCGGAGCGAAGACGGTAGATGTCGAGCAGATGTAAGGTACGTCGATGACGGATGCTAAGGCGTCAAGAGAATAGGCGTATGTCAGGCTTACGCTTAGACGTGGGCGGCGTGCGGAATAAAAACTAGCGTCGGCGGTCTCGTGCCGGCAAGAGACACAGTATTAGATCTGTGTTGGGCAAAAAGGCGACGGGTCTGGGCCTGAACTCTGGGGGGGGAGAAGCCGTGATTGGGCGTTGTGATCGGCGGCTAGAAGGCAACGACGACGCGAGATCTACGCGGGACAGTCTTTGCGATTCGGGGTGGCCAATTGTGGACGAGGGGAAAAGAGAAGCAAGTAAGATATAAAGTAGGTAGGTGGATGAATGATGGACAGATCGGTAGATGGATTGAAGCTACGAGGATTGAGTCCAAGGTCGTCCGTGGTGGGTATGCGGCCGTGTGGAGGTGTACCTTCTTCTAAAGTAAGTCTCCAAGGCAAGGTAGGTATGGGCTTCGTATGCTTGGCGTCCAGGTTGGGGGTCAACGGCACTAGCTGAGGGCGCTAGCGCTGAGAAGGAAAGGCGAAGAAGAGGGTACTCGATGAGGAGTGGCTCCAGAGACGAGGTGAGGCGGCGACCCGATGCTACTCTGAAGTGAGTCCGCAGAGCAAGGGATTCGAGTGTTGTTGTTTTTTTCCCCTCTCTTTCTTTTGCGATCTCAACGGCGATATCGAGGACCAAACAAAGGCTAATTCTGAGACGATGGGGGGTTGTAAGGGAGCTGGGCGGATAAAAGTGCGTCGATGTCTGCCTCGAAAACGACGATCCAGACTCTTTTCTCTTTTCCTCGGTGCACAAACAGGAGTGAAGAGGAGCGGGAAGAAGGTGGAGGAGGAATTATGAGAGAAAGAAGTAGTGCGATGGGAAAGCGGTGGTGGGGTGGACTCTGGAACAAGAAGAGAAGAGAACGGCGGCGGCGACGGCGGTGGAGATGGAGCAAGGCAGGTAATAATGTGACAATGTACGGCCGGGAAGAGACTGAAATCGTTCATTCGTACAGAACAGAGTACCTTCGTAGGGGCGGCGCCTCTGTGTTGTGCAATATGCAGATGCAAATGCAGGCCGAACAAAAAAGCAGGAGACGAGACGAGAGGAGCAGTGATGGGGCCGACGGTACGTACATCATGGAGTAAGTAAGCAGGGGTCAGCGAAGACACGGACAACGCGATGAGCAACGGAGAGTGGAGGGAAAGGACTGAGAACAGAGACACGACACTGCAAGTTTGCAAGGAAGAGCGGACAACCTAAGGAAGGCCACACGCCCGTGGTGTGGTGTGAGCATCGGGTCACTTTCACCCTCCAACAGTGGGCGGGAACTGGGAAGCTAGGAAAAAAGGGTAAGATGGTACGTACCCACACCTTCTTTCCGCACAAGGACGGCCGGGGGGGAGGGAAGGAGGGGATGGAGAGAAGATGGAGAACTGAGAAAGAGGAGAAGGGCAAAGGGAAGGGAAGGGAAGGAGACGGGAGGGGGCACGGAGAAGAGGGGAGAAGGAAAGAACGAATGGAAACGGACAGGGGATGGATGGATGGACGGATGAATGACGGTACGTACCTGCCTCGGGGTGTCTCATTTCCATTCATTCATTCATTCATTCATTGCCAACGTCGACGTCGGTGTCGAAGCTGCGCTGTGCTGCGCCGCGCCGCGCCGTCTGCCTTTCTCCTTTCCCCCACTCTCTCTCCTTCTTTCAACAAGCGAGCATGGTTGGGGCTTTGCGTATCTGTACGTTGTCGGGCAGGGCAGGGAGACACTGGGCAGGCGCAGAGGGTCCAGATGCACCTTCTGAAGCTTGGAGCCGTCCTCGCATACCGCCGTTGACTCCTCTTCTCTCCCATGATCGTTTGGAAAGAAGGTGCGAACAGATTTATTGAGCACGGTAACCTCCAGCCTCGGCCAAGACAGCAAATGTACTCTCATGCATGGCTAGTACTTGGGGATACATCCCCTCCTCACGCGCTCGATATCTGACAATGGATGGCAAGTTACGGCGGGGGTGGACGGCGGTCCTGGTCCACTGTTCAATCGCACCCCGAAGCTCCATATCAGATGGTACACTAGGTACTACACTACTTACCACTGATCGCGACTCATTGCTCCGTCCACCTGCAGGCAAGACGAAGATCTTCAACTGTCCTTTTCTGACGCGGTTGGAGGGCGACCAAGATCAACCAATCTGCTCACTGCCACACAAGCCCGCCGACTGAACCTAGTCTGTGCGAAAAGCTACCGTACCCAGTAGCAAGCGCCATCTACGCTTCCCGTTCCATCCAAGCACTGCGAGCCTGTCAGTGTTGTGCCGTGCTGTGCTTGCTGTGGGACAAAAACGTCGAGACCTATTGGGCCGGTGCACCTTCTGCATTGCTTGCCGTCACCTTTGCCCGTCCCACATGGACGACGGATGATGGCCCTGGAGGTGGTGAGGTGGCAGAGACACCGCACATGCAATACACGATGCCGACGGCACACCATTCTTAGATGGCCAGCCCACCGCCAATTGAATCCTCGTTGGTCTTGGCCTGTTGTTCCTTACATTCCCAACCTCGAACTCAACAGCAAAACATCTTTCTCTTCAGACGCAGCCATTGAGAACACTCCAAGACATGGCTTGCACATAGTGCCCCGAACCAACACAACCGTGCCTCTTCTCGCATCATCAACTTTTTACCCCGCCGCCAATGACGAAGCTCGAGAACCCAATTCGACAATGTCAGACACAACGTTACGTACTTTACCTTATCTCGACCAGGTCGATTCGGATGGGGGCGTTGATGCCGCCACGGGCGGCCAAGGCCCGACGACCTGGCACTTGCATGCGCACGCACAGCACACGCTGCACACACTGCACACACACATACACATACACACACACCTGCCTACCTACACCTAGGTATACCGTCTCGTGGCAGCATGCAAAAAGCGCGGCACGGAAGTGGCAGAGTCAGAAACACGCCGTCGGCCACTGCCAACGGACCTGGGCTCGCCCGACCCTACGATGCAACCCGCCCTCTTCGATCGGAGAGAAAGTATTACGGCCGTTGCAACCCTGACATTAGTGGCCTTGCCTCCGCCTCCGCCTCTTGCCTCGCTTTGTCTCCAACAGGGCTCAGCGATCATCTCTGAGTTTGCAGTTGGTGCGCGCACACAAAGACGTCGGCTCTCGGCACTCTTCGGCGCAAATAGTACCTAGTCCGCCACGCCCTCGCCCGTCATCAGCCATTTCAAGCCATCCTTACAAAACACGTCTATGCCGAGCATGCTCGCTTCCTTGACATATGCCCTGTGCTTTCTGTTGCGGCTCAAAACCACACACCACCTTCGAGCGTCCGCCCCTGGAACGACGGGCGCCCGACATCGTGAAGCGGCGCTAAACAGAGACATACTAGAGGCCTGCCCCGAGACTTCGTCTTGGAACAAACCGACCCGTCGCTTTCCCTTGCTGCTTATCCATTTGCGCCTGAAGCCTCGAGTATCTTGCCTGACGATTCACGAGAGAATGAAGATGGTAGCATCAACCAAACCCTCTCCAGCTAAGGCAGTCGTCACCGCCCCAGCCTTTGCACATTCTGTCCGTCGGACGTAGCTCCGATTTGCGGCGCCGTCTCCGCTGCCTTCTTTGCACGGGCACCGCAGCCCCTGCCATGTCCGTGCTCAAAAGTGTCTTATTAACGGCGCCAATAAAGGATACGATATGGAGGCCTGTGACTGGTTGGCTTACGATCGGCACGGTTGAATTGCTAAAATGCTCAATCCTAGCGGTCTGGCTTTGCTACCTACTTTGGCTTCCAAACTAGACGAATACTAGTTTTGGTTTATATGGTGATGTTCGGCGGTCAACGTCCATCGCCGGCCGGCAAGATCTACATCTCTGGATACGACACCAGAAGCTGGTCAAATCAAAGCGGGCGCAGAAGCACAAAAGGAAGCAAGAATTATGATGCTAAGACCCAGGATCACGCGGTATAAGCCCACTGCCGGCTATGCTTCGAAACCAAACCAAACACATAATATCCTTAACCCTCAAGGGGTTTCGAATTGCTCGCCGACTGCAACCTTCACTTTCCTCCCCTGGTCGCCATGGAGAAGATGGGTTCATACCCCAAGCCCGCCATCAATGCCTGTCCAACAGCAGTAAGGGGACCACACACGGCTTCTTCCAGACCTTCTCGAACAAACCCATCTGGAAGAAGCAAGCCAGTGTGAAACATGCCACAACATCGCCCCCGCCAATCGCCGCTGCTAGCCCTATTCCTCCTCACCTTATGCTACCCAGAGTTGCTCATTCTTTTTTAACCCTACGATTCCAGCCTCGCACTCTCGTCATGACTAGAAACATAATTGATATTACCCGAGTCAAAATGACTCTACTTAACATTCTCACGAAGTGAGAGCAGAGTTTAAAGAGTTCGGTCTCGCAGATCAGGCCCCTTTCCGCTGCCCATGACCCTGCAACCTTGTGTCTGAGTTTTGTCTCTGTTTAACAGCCATTCTTAGCAGGGAATGTCCAGAATCCGTTGCCAAGCGTCATCGTGGTTCGATTACTGATGGATTACGACGACACTTCCTACACTGCAGGCTCGATATTGTCCAAGCAAAGACGAACGTTGGCCATAACTCATAGAGTCACAGGTAAGTAATATGGCGAGCTTGTCGCAATAGAAACCCGGCGCTGCATTGATAGCAGCTCAACTCAACTTCCAACAGGCAAACTAGTGACTGATGGGGTATTTCGGCCATCGGTCAAAGCGGGGAGGGGGGGTTCTGCCGTATCTGCATCTCATGCATGCAACGGCCGACTATCCGTTTACTCAACGCCTCCGGCATGCGATCCTCTCGGGCGGCCTTATCATCATGTCGGTTGGTTGTGTACAGAGTATGCCGCTGCAGATTGCCCGCCTTTAGCCCCAACCATCTGACCCATTATTCCCCCTCCCCCCCCCCCCAATTGATCGAACTCTGATGCGTTGGCGAGCCTGACCTCAGGCAACTTGTTATTCTTCTCGATGCTCCTACGAATCCTCTGCCACCCGACACGTGCCTCTCCAAGCATACATCAGCTACATCAGATGATTTTCCAGGCATCTCAAGCCTGATGATAGTACAAACGTTCCGCCTCGAAAGGTTATCCTGTGCTCTTGTGAGCTGTTTCAAGTCGTTCTCGCAGTGCGTAGCATTGGCCGTACGTAGGCGTCCGACAGTACTAGATCTCAATTCGTCAACGGCTAAGAGCCTGTTCACGGTTCCCGCGCGTGAGGGCTCTCAACGCAAGCCACAATTCCTTGGCCAACGGTACCCAAACACAACATCGTCCGGATTCTCATGGGGTTTCGGCAAAATATGTCGGCAAGGGGAGACAGCAGTACATGGTTTTCTAGACACGCATGTCGCTTAGGCGTGTGTCTAGCTTCAACGGTGACGCTCTTCAATCGTTCGGCGAGTACATTGATGGAGGGCGCTGGACCAATCGAATCGCGAACTCCTTGGTTGTAGCCACCTCAAGCTCATGGGTTTTGCCATGACAGAGGACCGGTCAGTTTAGCATCGGTCTGTGACTGGTCGAATAAGAATAACCAACAGCACAAACAGGATGCCAGATACTAAGAGCCTATGACCGAGCCGTCCGGCTTCCTCCGCCCGAAGCAGCCGGAGCAAAATATGGCAGTTGCCAGGGACGGTGGGATCGCTCTCAGCGAGAGAGCTGGGGCCAGTGCCAGGGCGACCCCCGCAGAGAGACACACCCCAACAGGCTAGAACAAATCGAGTTCCTAGCAGCCGTTTTCTGACTTGAAGTAGGACATACAGTACCTGGCTGGGAACGGCTTTATGCGGAGGCTGGCCTACTTCCGGTGATATTGCATGCAACAATGTGGGTAGCGAGAGCCTCAAGCGAACATTGGGCCGGGGGTTAAGTGCACATGTCAGATCAGGCGGGTGCTGCTGCTTCCAGCATCCTCAGAACCTAACCTGCGGCTCTGCTATTGCAGGATTGCATCAAGATAAAAAAAACCCACCTGAGAGCCAAGTTGCCGAGCCCGCTCTCTTGCGGATTGCGTTGCCTGCCGTGTGTCGTTTGCGGTCTCTGACAGGCATTGGGTTAGTTATCCGAACTTAACTGAGAAGCTCAAACTCTAATCAAAAACAGTGGCGTGTGTCTAAGACAGACAGACGGCGTTTTCCATGCATCATTGGAGTCCGAAACAGGTGACAACAGCCGGCTGCTAATGATCACGTTCCTGAACCATTCAGCAACAGAGCTACAGAGTATCATGAGGGTGGTCCTCCAGCAAGCTTGGGAGCATGTGGCGATGGTGGCCAGGCCGAACGGGGCGGTTGTACCATGGAGACTCACGAGTTGACTTGACCATGCAGCTCATCAGCAGAGAACCCTGCCCACGACCAGCGCTCGGCAGCCAAACTGAAAAATGACGGTGAAGGCCTTGTAACCATTCAAAAGCAATGTCAGCACCCACACACCCCAAACATTCGCGCACGAGCGGCCAAATGCGTTAGCATCCGCATGGCGGCAGCATACCAACCATGGTACCTACGCAAAAGGTTCTCAGAACTCGATGCAGTGTCGTGTCCGATCTGAGGGAGACAATACCGCTAGCGGGCGGGAACGGTTGCGTGTGTTTGGAAGCCCATCAATCTGACGTTTGATTCTTCCTCATCAACCCTTAGCCTTGCTGCATACGCGTTGCAATGCGCACCGTCACTCCATCTTCGGACTGGCTTGCGAACCCGGAGCGGTCGATTACTTTCGACGCAGTATGTACATGCTGCTCCCCCCTTCCCCCCAACACCAGCATGGAAGAAGGAATACCTAAGCGTTTCCTTCTCGTGTTGCCAGACTGCAGCCGGCAACTCAACTCTTTCCTCGGAACTAATTTTGAATGAAACTCGGTCCAGGGGACGATCCGAGTGGCAGGCGACTACGCGTACATGTTCGAGATGGCCAAGGACAATCCTTGGCTACTTGGCGACATCGCCAATGTTAAAGTGTCTGACAACAGCGCACGAGCACGATCTTATTACAGAATGGGTTTGCGGGCGAGTCTACCATGACAGAGCCAGGACCACATCGAGCTCCGGTCTGAAGTTCTGTTCGAAAGGTGGCATCCGCAAAGTCGCCGCTTGTCCGCATGGAAACCCCTAGGGAATCCGTGGACAGAGCGATATTTGCAACTCCGCCAGCTCGACCGCCGATGTCACGTCGGGGGGTGGTTATTTCGGGGGGCGGTATGAGGAAATGCAATGAGGGCGGATCCCCCACCGTTCACCTCTGTCCGCTGCACCGACAAACGGCGGAAGCATGAGAGAGCAGGAGGGCGAATCAAGGCACACAGGGCTCCATCTGTACACGGCACCTGATCTCGTGATGCTGTCTCGGCGGTTAGGCGAGACGATGTGGGTGCTCAAGGACCATTCGATTGGGCTACGACGCAGTGCGACTTGCAAGTTGCGGAGATTGAAGACGGACCAGCCCTCAGCAGCTAACGAGGCCCCCCTTTCCGCACCGTCAACGGCCTCACGTGGGAAACCGGCTCAAAACGGCCGGGGCTTTCCGCAATGATCGCCGGCTTCTGCTTGAACAATTTGCATACGAAAACGATTCTCGCTCTCGTGCGGTTTAGAGTTTTCATACCCTGGCCAGTGACGGATTTGGTAAATGACACTGTTGTCCGCGCGCGCTCTGCCCCCCAACATCCATCAATCACGATCCGGGGACCACTTGAAGGGCGTCGGCAATGGCAGAACGCAGTGCAGCCGGTCTTTGGTCAGATACTACGCTCTGCCTTACATACCCGCGCGTAAGCATGCACTTCCGCCTCGAAAGGGTAGTGAACGGCTAGCTGTCGACAAAAAGGTCGCAGGCCGGGCTCGCTTTGCATCTGGTCATCTTGTCCACGGCAGCACATTTGTTTCGTAAGGATGGATCAAATGTCCTTGTGCCTCGATAGACCCACCAGAGCAGTGAGGAAGAAACGAGAAAGCCCTCTTTTTGCTCGCTCCTTGTATTTGCCGGCCTTTCTCTTTTTTTTTCCCTCCCTGTAATCACGCTACGCGCAAATGACGACCGGTTGCCAAGGGGTCGCGGAAGCAGAACTCCCAGATCCGGAGTGGAGAAGGCGTCTCCTTTGCGGTTTAGGGCTTGCATGGCTGCCATGTGGAATGACTGACTAGCCATAGCCACCGGCTCTGACAATACTAAGTATGGTACAGAGATTTTGTGCCCAGGGCCAGGGGCGGAAAGAGGGTGAGGGGGGCCTGGGGGCTGGTCAATCATCTGTCAACGTCTGCCAGTCACAGCTCGACCTTCAGCCTTGGGGGAGGGGAGCCTGGAGGTATTCGTCTGCTGGTCGGTGTTTTCGCCCTATTTAGGAGGAGGAACCCGTTGATTCTGTTGTTGCTGTGTTGCAGCGAACCATCCACACGAGAGATGTGAGCAATTTTGCTCATCTCGCCTCTAGAGCACTCATTCACTCGTCTCTCAAGGCCTGTCAGGGGTGGGCTGAGCTGACTTGCTAGCTGAGGAGAGTACCCATGTGGCTTGTAGCAAGGCTATCCATGGGGACAGCCTTCGAGACGATTCTTCGTCAATATTGTTCCTCAATAAGCCCTCCACCGCGTTAGAATGATTGTGGACACTTAGGACGACGAATATCGTAATTGCCTAGTCCATCGCGGGACGGACGGGGAGGGAAGCAGAGCAGCGCGACTTGCGGAGGAACCGAGTCGCCATCATGCAAGCCCACGCGTACCGGTTTCGTCTGCCTCGTGCAACGGCGTGCCTAGGCCCCCATTCCAGCACGACCAACAGACCAACAACAAGCTGTGCCGCCCATTCGCCAATTCGCCCACTCGGATTTCGTGCACTCGCACGATGCGTAAGAACATCTCATCCCGCGCAGCCCAACACTGCAGACCCATTGCACGCGGCATCGCCATAAAGGGGGATACGGCCGTCGCCGCGGCCACTCACTTTGCGTGCCGGCTTACCTCAGTCGGTCAAAAGTGCCCCCCTCCCCTGCGCCAACAGGACTCGGGCGAGGTGTGCAATATGGACCATGTATCCCCTTTTGATCGATCGGTGAAGGGTGAGGGGCGAGCGGCGTAAGCACGGCACGGCTCGGCCTGTCAGCTCCCCCAGTCGAGGAGGGTTAGCCATCCTTCGTAGTTTTGCTTGTTTTCGAGTTTCTGCTGCGCAGACGCCGGGAGTGACGGAGCGTGGCTGCCGTCACCAACCCTCGCCCGTGATACTTGTCCGTGTTTCGAAAGTCAAGGTTGTACGATGATGAGGTGAGGAAACGTGAGGTGAGCGCAATATGATGGTGCTTTCTGTAGACTCGGCAGCATATTCTCTCTGTTGGAGCAAACCGCCCGAACGCTTAGCCAAGTGAATCTATCCCCTCCCCTCCCTCTGTATCCCCATCGGCCTGCATACGGCATCCAACAGATGACCCTTCCCCCTCGCCCCATCTACGGCCACAACTCGATCTTCTCCCAGCCGTTGGATCTTTCCGCGCCATCCGTCGGCTGACTATCGGCCGACGCGCCGACGAACCGGTACAGCCACCGCCGCGGGTCCTCCGCATCGCTCAGGTCCGTCTCGTCCACTTCGGTCGGCACGATCACCACGACGCGAAAATTGGCCCGCGCCACCTCGTCGTGGAGGTCCTCGACCTTTTGCCCCAGCTTGTGCTGGTCGTCGGGCGGGTTGGCCCTGCGCGACGCCCCGGGCTCCGGGTTCCGGAACGTGCCGCGCATCGCCGGGCTGAGGTTCCCAAAGTGCGCCGTGACCTCGCGGGCGAAGCTCCAGTCTTCGTCCGCGGCGGCCGTCTTGCCCTCGGGTAGTTCCTCTTTCCTCCGCCTCTGCGCGTCGGCGTCCGAGACGCGGCGCATGCGCCCGAGGAGCGTCTCGCGCAGGGCGGCGGCGCCGGGGGAGTCATGCTCGATGTCCGGGCCCAGGACGTAGGCGTCGCCGCGCACGCGCCACTGCACCTTGGCCTCGGTCCAGAAGCAGGCCTCCACGGGACCGCCGCCGCCGGAGCCCTGGGCGCCCATGGTCGGCGTGGCGGACCCGAAGAAGTCGGGGACCTTAGCCATGCGGGCGTCCGTGGTGAGGGTGAGCAGGTCGGACTCGTAGACGGGCGGGTTGAGGTCGGCCGTGTTCTTTGGGTTGACGGGGAGCGAGGCCCAGAGGCCGCGGAAGATGACGGTGCGCAGGCGCGGGACGGCCGAGACAGCGCCGGCGGCCGTGGTGGCGTGCAGCGTCGCGAGGTTGAATTCGGGGGACGCCATGTCGTTGACGTTCTTGAGGAAGGAGGCGCGCCAGGGCGCTGGGCCGGGTGAGGCCGATGCCGATGCTGAGGCCATGGTGCGGACGGATGGGGTGGTGGGCGAGGGCGTGAGGTGGTGAGAGAGCTGGCTTACGCGGCTTGTCAGGTTTCGGACAGGATTCATGAATCGGTGTGCGCTTTGTTGCTATTGCCGTTGCCGTTGCCGTTGCCGTTGCCGTTGCCGTTCTTGCAGGTTCAGGACCGTGGTTGCGATGAAAGTGAGTTCGTGTAGATGGCAAGGTTGTGAGAGGAAATGGCGTGAGGCTTTTGGGATGGCTGGAGCGAGGTGGTTTGGGCTACTGGCCGCGTCTATGATTCATCATCGGACCCAGTTTCGCCTACGGTTCTGTCGCGTCAACGTGACGCGGACTATGGGCGTTTTCTAGATCAAGGCCACAGGAACCGTCGCGCAGTTTGTCTATATTTGGCTGATGGGATTTGAGAGCTGTAAGTGAACCGGCAATTTTCATGGAGGAGCAATTGAAGCTTTGGCGGGGTTGTCGCGGGGAAGGAATCCCCGCCTGTTGCCAATGACGTCGGCTCGGGCCAGCGAAGCGGTTTGGGTGAACCGTTGCAGCTCCTTGCTTCGCCCCTCGTTTATACACCCATATAAAGTTGTGAGATCCGAATGACTTGCTTTCGACTCTTTAATAGGTTTGCTCGCAAGAGCTCTGTGGGCGCATCTCTCAAGGTAAACAGACAGCCGTCCGGTTGTTGTGCAAACAGGTGGAAGCTTGGATCTTAGAGACCATCATGACCAGTCTGCCCTCCTGCTGACCAGACGTGAATCGTCAATTCCCAAAGATAAGTGTGACGACATGAGCAACGGCCAAATGTCGACAATGGCGTCGTAGGCTTCGGCTAGGACGGGTTCGAGGGAGAGTTGACTCATCCGAAGACATTATGAGTTGCAATAGTACAAGAGACGTTTCAGGCATCAGATAGCCACAGCTCAACGAGTGTTGGAACCCTTTCGGTTGTGAATGACGCCGATGCAGCTGCGGCCTTCCGACGCGCGTACCGATGTAGTTATTCGTCTCCGAGTGGTATACGAGGTGCTGCAAATGCAAACTCACAATCAGCCCCCCTTATGCTCTTACAAGCTGTTCGGTCAGCTTCACGGTTCTGGGCTTGAACCGGCTTTCCGAGTTGCCCTGCTCTCGAAGCACGGCATGGGGCCAATATTGCTGCGTACGAGTTAGTTACTGCGGGCGTGGATTGCGTAACTAGGGTTATCGGCCGCTTTGAAGGCTTCTTTCTATGGAAAGGATGACTCGCTCAAGTACAGCGTATAGTTTCCTTGCGTTGGAGAGGATGCAAGGGCTTTTGAAAACTGACTGACTATACGGAGGTTGACTCTTGAGGATGGCATGGTTGTGACGAAACATAGATAGGCCTTGCCCCGTCATTTACTACCTTGCAAGGGTTGGCATGATATGCACAACACTGACTGAGTCGAGGGTGGTGCTCAAGATGCAGTCTGAAGAGGTCCCGTGCATCAGCCTGGATTACAAGCTGTTGACGATGCGTCGACTATAGCCTCAAGATAAGAGCACGGAGCATATCCTAAGTTGAACAACATGGTTTCTGACCCTATGGTTTTTGAATTGAGGGACATTTGATTTGTGCTTCTATACACATTCCGGCTTTGATAGTGGTAAAACCCGTCGTAGCAACTCGTACTTGTTTGCAAAGATGAGCCAATACTTCTTCAAAAGCAACAACTCTTGGTGTTTGTCTTTTGACTCTGTAGTTACTGTTTCAACGACGCTTGTAGGGTGGCGAGAGGTTTGGAAGCGTCTGAACCCGTTTGAACCACAGTAAAGAGATGGGCAGTTGTTTATGATGAGGCATGGTCACTTCCGAGATGGCAAGTTGAAGTCCTCTTGTCCATAAAAGAGACTCGAGCACAAAAACACCTATATCCCATGTCTTATGAAGTCATCCCAGCTTCGATTTCTATCTGCTGTCCTTGAATCACTCGTTTGGGTATTTTTCGTCGCTGACTGGAGTTTCCGAGGGCTATTGCTAGTATGAAATGTTCTACTAGTACTAGCTCTAAACCATGACGTATCCCAGTGAGCTGCCTTACGTTAAGAAAATATAAACCGTGATTCTGGACCCGGCCTTTGAATCCTGCTTCAAGTCATGGCTCGTTTTCCCAGACAACCGCCATTGACTGCATCCAGTACATGTTGACGGAGGTAAGAGACCTCATTCATTAGTCCTCACCAGCGGGTCCGTACTAGTCAGGCTAATTTGTCAGGAAGGACTTGTGCTTCTATGGTGACTGATTCGGACTTGGATGCGTGTTCTTCATAGGATGAGCTACGCTCATGGCGTCATTGAGGCTTCTGCAGTCCAACCCGTTGTCTCCGGGTGGACTAGGACAGGTGCAGATGTGACAGCCTTAGGTATCTTAAAGCTTTGATTTGGATTATTGTCCCTGTGGCTCTCTTCTAATAGGGTGGTATGCCTCAGAAGCCTGGCCGATGGTTGTGCCAGCAACTGACCCTCTCACCTTGTCAAACATTGGACCCGTTCTACGGACACAGACTTGGGTCTTTGGTGCCTCAAAAAGTATACCGTTACTTGTACGGTACCCCTAGCCCGCCGTACAGCATCTCTCGGCTTGGCTGCGTCGTGCATGTGTGTGGAAGGTGCCCAAAATGCGGCGTCATGGGGCCATGTCTTGCTGGCCGTGGCAGCCTGACGATGTTTGATAACCAACGCGGTTCGTAACTTCCCTTCAGTTTCCTTCCTAGGCCGCGAAACTCCTTGAAAGAGAAACTGAGGAATCGAGATGTTCACGATCTCAAGTTATGTGACCTGATCCATCGTTGAGTGAGCTGCACCCAGTCTTCACTATGCGGTTGAACTGCCTTTTCCCTAGATTAACAACGGCCGAGACAGCTCAATACTGTATGCTGTGAAAGTCACTTAATTTGTCTCCCGGTTAAATCAGCCTTCACAACGATTGTGGTTGCTGGGTCCCCACGATTTAGCTATGGCGGCCAGCCGCTGACTTTGACTCATATTCTTGCGCTGCACTGTATAACACATCATATGTATCGATCTCAATTCAAAGGGCTTGAGTCCAGATGTTGATGGCTCTCTCATGGCGTCTGTTCCACGTCAGAGACAATGGCTGAGGTGAGATGGAGAAGCGGTTCATGGCGGTATACCGCGCCAAACCAATCCAGTAACAAGTCTGGTGAGGGGAGGAGACCATCTTCTCGGTCTGACTAGACTCAAGACAAGTGAAAGTTGTTCAGTATCCAGGCTGCTCATTCCAATCTTCGAATGGCCTATAAGAGAAGCAGGCGCACATCTATTCCCTTCAGTGCATCTCATCCAAGTCAACAAGATGCAAACTTCTTGTGAGTCAATTCAATCGCAAAAAGACGGAGGAGCCATGGCTGTGCTGGATGCAAAAGCCCACCACCAAAAACGTAATGCAGGAAGTAAACAACACAGGGTAGCTAGCATTCGAAAACATGGATGATTGTCATGAACAGCAAAAGCATTGCGCCGAGGGGGAATCGAACCCCCGGCTCCCCGACGCTGCTGGATGGCAACGGAGAATTTTACCACTAAACCATCGGCGCTGATGGATCGTATGTAATCCGATACCAAAGTGGTCAACGTGTGTATTCATATTGGGCGGCAGTCCGCAGCTCGGATTGTACATCCGGTGGGTCGCCGACGAGGGCCCATACGACCCAGGCGATATCGGCGGCGGAGCTGGGTGCCCCTCGGTCAGATTACCGAAATGACCGACGTATAGCACCGCGTGTCAAGGGAATCGAAACCGGGACATCGCGCAGCACGAACCGCAGATGGGCTACACGACGAATAGGGCCAGGTGTGGGTTGCAAAGGGCAGCAAGACGAAGTCGCGAAGTCGGCAAAAGGGCGGTCTTCGTAGCTGTCTTGCAGGGCCTGGGGCTTTCAAATTGGGACTTTGTTGTTGCATTGGTGACGTCGATGGCGGCAGGAATACGCTGCAGCTCACTGATAAGGGACTCTGCGGCAGATGAAGCAGAGCGAGGAGGCAAGCATGTTGGACTGGACCTTGCGAGTGCTTGTCTCGGGGGTTCGCCGAATCTATCGATTTGAGCATTGCCTAAGGTGGTTCACATATGCACTCCACAATACGACCTGGAAGTATGAGGTGCGCGTTTCTCGTTGAGGACGCTGCAAGGCGCTTCGGTGCGGAGCGGAGCTGTGGAGGGTCTCGAGTTGGGTTGCGCACTGCGTATTGGCCGCATGCACGTTTTGATAAGCCAAAGCAGTGCCTACCACTTGAGGGTACGGTATCCGCCATCAGCTTAAGAGGGTTCCGTTCAGCTATATGCGTAAGAACCAGCGAGGGGGATGCAAAATCGGTCTTGCGATGATTGATGCTTTCAAAAATAAATAAAAAAAACCAACAGAAAGACAGAATTTGTCAAGGCTGATACCACACCCAGGCAACGACCGGGAGGATCTTCCGGCACAACGCATCCTAGGGCTTCAGGCGACTCTTGCCAGGCTCGGAACAGGGCCTTTGCCTCCCGTAGACAAGGCTCTGGTTCTTCCCCCCCTCCCCGGGCGAGGCGCACGCCATTAGCGGGTTTTCGTCTTCCAGTCCCTGCTGATCGTCTATGCAAAGGAGCTATCCGGGCGGCTGAACGCAAGTGGTTGACTGGCTGACGGGGACCGAGATGAGGAGGACCCCAGCCATCCCATCCAGAACCATGGCCGTTGACCGGCCGGCAGTTGCAGTCGGGGATGACGCATCAAAGTGTGCCTCCGGAGGTTTTTGTTGCCGTCGATGCGTGTTGATGATTCGGGGTGAAAGCCGTGCTATCTCGTCACGAATCGTGTAGTACTCACATCAGCGCGTTCCCGGGGTTGTTTGAGAGTGACAGACAGGAGGCGAACTCTTCAGGTGCGATCCGATGGTAGGCGAGATGGGAGATGAGGGGACTCTCGCTCGCGCACTTCCTCCCCCGTGGACAAAGGCCGCCGCCTCGCCGTTGATGGATCGATTGAGTTGGGACTCGGATGGGTGCTGAGTTGAGTTGCCCCCTGGGCTGAAGACTGAGAGCTGGCTGGCTGGCTTGATGGCTTGCTTTCTTTGCTTGAACTAAGCTTGCACGGGAGCAAAAGACAATCGCTCGCCATCCGCCCCCCCTCTTTTTTCCCCCCTTCGATGGTGGCTTCCCCGTCCATGTTCGTTTCCAGCTCTTCCCCGTGCCCGCACCTTCACACGTCCCTAGCCCCTTCCCCCCAATCCTTATTCCCATCCGATCCCCCCCCAAATTCCCATCGTGTTCCCGTGTGCAATCGCCTGTTTATTCCCAGCGACCCAAGACCTCTTATTTCCCACCTCCGACTTCCCCGTCCGGTTGCCGTCCCTTTGAGCACGGCGACACGACCCGGCGCCGCCGTTTATTGAAGCTTGCTTTTATTCCCGGAACACGGAAGCCAATTTACTCCAATCTGCGTCCGGAATCCAAAGCCGTGTAACCCCATACGCAACTGCTACCGACTCCCCCGGGGCCCGGAGACCGGCCTGGACCAAAAAAAGAGGAGGAAAACGAGCGAAGCGAACCCCATCATTCCAAGCACTGTCGCGGCTTGCCCAGACGGCGAAGACTTTAACAGAAAAAGGGAAAAAAAAAGGTCAGAGTTGATTGTCATTGCCAATCGGCGCCGGCATTGGCATCAGCATTGGCATCAGTATCAATTCATCGAATCGGCGACGGCGCTCCTCAATTTATATCCAGGGCTTCCAACCAGTTAATTGACGCAGTCATCTTGAGCTGCCGTCTGCCGTCTGCCTTCTGCCGTCATGGCCCCTCAAGAGTACCCTCGGCAGCAGCAGCGGCAGCAGCAACAACAGCAGCAGCCTTTCACGCCGACCTCGGCCTCGACCATCTACGCATCGCCAGCTTCAGAGAACGGACACCTTCCCCCGACACTTTCTCAACCGCAGAATGGAGTTTTGCAGCTGTCGATAGCGACGACAGCAGGAGCGGCAGTCGTACCCAAAACCGAGCCTTCACCTTCGTCATCAGTGACTCCAGGCCTCCCGTTCAACGGCTTCAAGAGGGGGGAGAGCATCGACGGCAACTCGGCCAGCCCCGACGCAGCGAACTCCGACCAACCCTCCAGGAAGAAGCAGCGCCGCAACAAGCCCACCTTGTCCTGTGCCGAGTGTGTTGAGCGCAAGACAAAGGTACGTCTGTTCCACTTTCATCTGTCTGTTTCTGTCGCCGCCTCTCCAGCTTCTCGTCGTATTTTGGCCTTTTCCTCTTCCGGCGCCTTCTTTCGCCATGTGTTGCGTGTTGGCAGCGCTTGCTACGCCTCCCCCGCACACGCCCTTTGGGGGCCGACGTTGGTCACTGACATGGCCCCGATACCACTCCAAAGTGTCGATCCAAGGATCTCGATGGTAAGGTTCGTCACCAGAGTGCTGCCAACTGCTGAACACGCGCCCAAACGATGCCAGTGGCCATTAACTTTTGCGCTTGGCACGTGGCATGCATGTGACATGAACTTTGCTGTCTGCATCCAGTTCCGCGGATCGTGGCTTGACTTGGCTGCATTCCCTCCCCCTTCTTCATCTTCGATTACTCATCAATTTTTTTCAACGGCGACGACAGTTCATACTCGTCCTGTTGGGCCATGTTGACTAACCTGCATGGCAGTGTGATCGGGGCAGACCTCATTGTCTGGCGTGTATCAAGCGACAGACAGAATGCAAATATGCAATTGTCGCCAATATCCTTGAGTTGGTCCACCCCCCTTTGCAGAGGCTACTCAACGATGACTAACAAGTCCCAGCGAGACGTCACGGTCCATCACCAATGGTCGTCGCATGACCAAACCCCCAAAGAAGAAGCCCTCAGACCTCTCCAGCATCCCCAACATCGCCGACAGGGGCCTCATTGAGGGCCGCGGCTTCACCTCCCGCGGCTCCGTTGGGTCCATCGCCTTCTCCTCGTCCACCGGCCTGCTCTCCAACGTGCCCTACTCGCTGCCGACCGCCAGCAACGTATTTGGCATCGGCTCCGAGCACCCCTTCGCCAACTACTGGACCTGCGAGGGCGGCCTGCCCGAGGTCATCTCCGTCCTGCCGGACAAGATCCAGGCCGACATACTGCTGGCCCAGTACTTTGAGTGCGTCGACCCGGTCTACCCCATGATCCACCGGCAGACCTTTTACGCCGATTACGAACACTTCTGGAGTCTGAGCCCAGACGAGAAGAACCGCGTCGATGCCGCCTTCATTGGTCTCATCTTTGTCATGCTGGCGCTGGGGACGCAGTTTGTAACGTCGACGTCCCCCATGGATGGGAAGCAGACGGCTGAGTTCTATGCGTCGGCGAGCAACCAGGCGTTGCGCATGTTTTCTTACCTGAGCGCTGCTTCACTGCGGTCCATCCAGGCCATGGTGTTGTGAGTATCCCTTCATGCAGCTCGGGAGAGTGACATGCCAGGGTGAGACTAATGAAACCAGGTTGACCTACTTTCTCATCAACGACAACCACGCTTCAGACGGCTGGGCATTTGCGGGCATACTAATACGCCAAGCTTACGCCATGGGTTTACATCGCGACCCCAACATTGGTGAGACATCTTGCAGTCGTTGAGCTAACCAGCTGCTAACATCACGTCAGTCACCCCTGAAGCCACCATATTCGAGAAGCAGCAGCGCCGCAAACTGTGGCAAGCAGTGCTCCTCCAGGACACCTTCCTCACTGTCCTCCTCTCCCTGCCCCCCTCAGCAACGCACACCGACGTTTCCGTCGAGGACCTCCTCGACGACGGCTCGGCCATCGCCTCGAGCGACCCGACCGACATCGCCTACATCCGCGGGTCCTGGACGCTCGCGAACCTCGTCCAGGAGACAATTTGCTCGGCGCGGTCCCTGGACCTGCCCATCTGCTCGACGCCGCGGCACAAGTCCAAGCTGCTCTCCGACTTCCGCGCCGTGTACCGCTCGTTTCCAGACATCTTTCGGTCGTGGGATCCGGAGAGCCTCACGGTGCTGGCGCGGACCAACAAGCGCGTTGTGCGGCAGACGCTGTTCCTGACGAGTAACTATCACCACAACATCATGCTCGTGCACGCCTCCGAGAGCCCCGACACGCCCGTCAACCTGCGCGGCACGCTCGAGGCTGCGCACGAGGCCATCACATCGTTTTTCCTGCTATTCAACATTTTTGAGCTCGAGGCGCGTGTGTGGTGGGTCTTTAACCACCGGGCGTTCCTCGAAGCGCTGTGCATCGGCAGCGTGCTCCGCGAGGCGTCGAAGGAGCCGTCAACGGCGGAGATGGCGGAGAGGGACCCGTTGTTCGTGCGGGGGAGAGGGGATATCGGTAAGTTGTTTCGTTCCCGTTTTGTCCTTTCGGTCTCTACACTCTCGTCCCTTGGACCCAAGCGTGAAGACGACGTGGCGAGGGCTTGCTAACGGGTGGCACAGCGCGCATGGTTCAGATCATGGAGTTGATGGGCGAGGGCGAGCAGGGGTCCGACGTGGCGCGGGCAAGGGTGCAGGTGCTGAAGGACCTCCTCTGAAGCGTCATCGCCTGGCACTACGATGGCTGGATGTCAAGGGGATGAGGCCTGCCTGGCATCCAGGGGATGCGATGTTTTGCACATCCTGCGTCCTGTGGGGGAGGCAGTCCGAGACTGTTGCGCAACGCGGCAAAACGATGTGTCCAAACGACGGACGGCGGGGGGGGATTTCGTATTTCGAGCGCACTCGAGCTTCGCGGAGCTGGGTGGCTCGGCCATCTTCTTGGGTTGTTTTGATGAGAGGAGCTGACTTTGAAGATAACCTAGGGGGGGCAGCAGAGGGGCGTATTCGGCATATCCCATACCATTTTGCTTCCAGTTTTAATCCCACCTTCAAGGGGTTCTCGCGAATTTGCTTGTTTACACCCCTTTGGGAGGGGGGGGGGATTAGTGTATTGCTTAATACAAGGCCAACGTGCCTTTCTACTTCTCGATGGAGCCTATTCTCACACGCCCGTGGCCGGTTTACCATTTCTTTTGCCATCGGTTCAGCCTTGACGGGACGGATCATGGCCTCGGGTAGGGCGGCACACGCGCCCGCAGCGGCAATCGACGTGCGTGGATGGCCATACATAGTATGCTGTACTGACAAGCTTCAACTCTGTCGAAACGCAAAAGGCCAGGAAACGGCGTCGCCGCCCATGGGTTCGAGCATTTTCTGCACAACCGCGCAGCAGTAGTGCCGAAAAAAGCATCCATCCTGTCATCTCACGTCTTCGCCCCCTGGGTCCTCTCTTGTCTCTTTCTCTCTCTCTCTCTTACAAGCCTTGATGATGGGTCCCCGCTGGCTCGGAAGTGCTAGTGGCATTCCCCCACGTCCCGAAGCTTAGCTCATGGACTCGGGGCCCACCCGAATTGAAGTACACTGGGTGGTTTGCTCGCCAGGGACCCGACGATGTCGATGCGCAGCAGCAGCAGTAGCAGACGCTTTACAGCCCACGAGGGCGAATGCACACAGAGAGCATGCCTATCGGCCGGGCATACGACAAGACGAAGAAGAAGAAGAAGAAGAAGAAGAAGAAGGAGGAGGAGGACTGCGCATCGAGACGCAACCCGTCGCATCACCCCCACCAGCCCGTCACGGCCTTGGTGCTTAGCCCAAACATGAGCGAGTTGTCATTGGTCGTGTTCGGGATAGTACATACATATAGTGCACAGCAAGTCCCGGAACGCGGCCGGGGGGACGGGGACCACTGGCTCTGGCACTGGCACTGGCAGATCGCAGGCGTGGGCGCACGGGCCAGCCGGGACCAACAAAGTGGGATTGCCTTAGTGAAAGTGAGGGAGGCCCTGAAAAGGGAAGGGGGACTCGTCAGCTCGTCGGGCGTGATTGGCCAAGACCGGTCCATCCGCTGTATGATCCGCCAAGAGGATTGCGCAGCTCCAATCTGGTGAGTTCGTCCCTGGGCTGAACGTCCCCCTTCCCCCATTGTTTGCCCACATGGCGAGGACTGCGCGTCCCAAGGGAACACTGCCTCTCTCCGGCTTTGGGTCTTTCTTTGCCCAGTCTTCCTCTCATCTTCTTCTTTTTTTTGTTTTTGTGGTTGGTATTCCTCTTCTCTTGTTTACCACTCTCGAGTTTCACCCGAAAGTGTGAATACCTTCCATTCGTTTGTTTTATTTATCCTGTTTCGTTTCGTGCTATTTCACAGCTGTTTTGTAACAAGGGGTAGTGAAGACGAAGATTAGCGAGTCGATACTCGACGGTGTAAGACGACTGGACCAAACAGAGCCGGCACACGCAACCACCCCAAACACACACACACCACCACCACCGCCGCCTTAAACGTCTTGCATATCTACTACGTACACGCGTCCGTCCCAGGCAGCCGCTTTATCTCTACCGGCCTGCACTTGTTTCTTCTCAACCCTTACCTTTTACTCACCCTCACCGACCCCTCGATCCGTCCACAGCCGAGGACGACTTGAAAGGAGAGACCCAGTTTCTCTAGGCAGAGCATATCCCACACGAGTTGATCCTTGGATTCGTAAACGCTTAGTCGAACCCTTCATCGAGGAAAGGAGTCTTCGAATCCTCCAGCGAGGGAAGCCTCATCGTCTTTCTCGCCTTAGGGTCGCAAAAGCATACACCAGACCGCCCATCATGCGTGGCCTGGCGCAGGCTCTCCTGCTGGCGCCGGCCCTGGTGGGAGCCGCTCCCTCCAGGATCGACATGACAAAGGCCCAAGGTACGCTTTCGCCCTCATCACTCTCGTTTCTCATCCACGATAGCTAACACGATCTCAAGACGCCTCGCCTTCGACCTTTGTCACGTTCAACATCCCCCCGGGCTTCAACGAGGACAAGCCCAAGCCCTACGTGAGTCTCATCACCCCCCCCCCCCATTCCTTACCTATGATCCCATCTGACACACACCCAGACCCTCCGTCTCGAAGTCCTCGAGGCCCCCTCCCCCTGCGCCTACCCAAACGTCAAGGTCAATGACAACCCCCTCTCCCTGGGTGGCCACACCCTCGGCCGCGGCAACTTTGCCGGCGACCACGACGGCACCGCCTTCATCGCCACCTGGTCCACCACCTGCGCCGGCGACGAGCAGCTCCTCCGTTTCACCCTCGAGTCCCTCGCCGGCCGCACCCTCGCCTCCGACCTCGCCTTCGTCGCCCGCTTCCGCCAGACCGCCCCGGCCGCCATCCTCGAGATCGCCGGCAACGTCCAGGTCTCGGAGCAGCGCCCCGCGGTCCCCTCCAAGGACTTGCCCCAGTTCGACCGCCACGACCCGCGGCCCGGCGACGACGAGGACGGCCTGCTCGAGGACCCACCCTTCCCGCCGCCGCCTCACCACCACGTCGGCAACCACCCGGACAACCACCCCGGCGAGCACCACGGCGAGCACCACCACGAGGAGCACCGCCCTCACAAGCCTGGCCGTCCCGCGTCCCCCGAGGAGGATGAGCACGTCCTCGCCGAGCTGCGCGAGCTCGACTGCCTCCGCCACCAGCTCCACGCCCTCAAGCACGCCATCCACATGAAGGAGTCCCGCCTCGCCCAGGACCACGGCGTCTTTGTGTCCCACCGCGGCCACCGCGCCTTCAAGGAGTGCGACTCGGTCAAGTGCGTCATCGAGACCTTTATGCACCGCGTCGCCGGCGGCTTCCGCGGCAAGGGTAGGGGTCACCATGGCGGCCCGGGACGCGACCACCACGGTCCCCCGCCCTCGTGCCCCGGCTTCCCGTTCCCCGAGCACGGACACCACGGAAAGGGAAACCACACTCTCCCGCCTCCGCCTCCCCCTCCGGGATTCTGCCACTGCGCGCCGCCTCCCCCTGAGGGGCCTCCGGACGGACCTCCCGAAGGACCCCCTGAGCCGCCCAAGAACCCTCCTCACCACGGCCACCACGAGGGACCTCCTCCCCCGCCGTTCCACGAGCCTCACCGTGGACCTCCTGGACACCACGGCCCGCCCCTCCTCCCTTTGACGAGCCGGATCACGGTCCGTCCCATGGTCCTCCCCACGGTCACCAGGGCCCTCCTCACCCTCCCCCGCCTCCCCCCTTCGACGAGCCCTTCCACGGTCCTCCTCACCACCCCGAGGGGCCTCACCACGGCGGCCCTCCCGGCTTCCCTCCCGAGGGACCCCCTCCCGACTTTGAGGCCGAGCATCCTCTGGACGTCGACGGCTCGGAACACCGCCCTCACCCTCACGGCGTAAGTCTCCTAACCCTCAACATTCTCCTCCCCCTTTCCCATAATCTTTGACTAACAACCCTCCAGCCCCCTGGCCATGGCATTCCTCCCCCTCACCCCCCTCCTCCAGGCTTCCACGGCCACCACGGCCCCCACGGCCGCGGCCTCCCCCTCCCCGTAAAGATCACCCTCGCGACCCTCCTCCTCGTCGGCGTCGTCGCCCTCGTGCACGCCGTCATCTCCCGCTTCTCCTCGCGCCGCGAGGCCCGCCGCGAGCGCAAGCACTCCCGCCGCACCCGCCACCGCCGTGACCACCGCGAGGTCCGCAAGGAGGCCTTCAAGGCGTCCCTGGCCGACGTGTGGTCGCGCATGTTCGCCGACCGCATCCCCGCGGACGCCGAGGACGAGGAGAAGCGCGCCTTCCTGTCCGGCGCCGCCGCCCGGCCCCGTCCCTCGACCTCGTCCGACGAGGGCGACTTCGAGACCATGGAGAGCATGAGCTCCGAGATCACCCAGTTCCGCAACGCCGCGACGCTGGTGACGGAGATGGTCGCCGCCGAGGAGCGCAGGCAGAGGATGCGCGAGCAAGAGCAGCAGCAGCGTCTCCAGATGCCCATGCGCCACGCCCACCCCCGCGGCCCCGCGGTCGCGACCCCGCCCAGCCCGACGGCCGCCTTCGCCGAGTACATGGGCGACGACGTGCTCCCCGCGTACGACGAGCACGCCCCCTCGGTGGTGGTCTCGGACGGCTTCAGCAGCTACTCGCCCGGCTCGACCGAGTACGTCCCCGGCGCGTCGTCGGACACGGCGTCCAACATTGACAGCGTCCTGGGAGACTCCAAGAACTGAGCGTGAGATGATGACGACGAGATAGAGAGGCGAGTGAATGGGTGCCGTGTTTGTTTGGCATGTTAGTAGAGATATCCCGCGCATATGAGAAACTCTTCTTTTTTCCCTTGTTCATTTTGTACGTCAATTGTTGTGTAGATACTTGGTTAGAGCGTGTTCCCCATATGGCTTGTGTGAGGATTGGTTCACGAGGGCCCGTCTGAAGGCCGGGTTGGCTTGTAGACGGTATAATTAGGCCAGGTAGATTTTTTATTGAGTCAAGTCAAGTAAAACATCAGCACGAGGCTCCCTTCGGGGGCCAGTCCCTTGTGAGGAGCAACTGGGTGACTTGAGAAGATCGATCGACACCATTTGAATCACTTGGGGGTTGCCAGCATGAACAATGGACGGAGCCGAGTCTGTGAGACAGTACATGTCACGGCAATACGACCAAGGGAGAAGCTTACAGCAGTATTTCCAGCAATCTGCCAAGTGGCGCTAGGCTGCATGTTTGCAAGTGTTTCTTGATGAGTGGCTCAACACTGGGTTGCTGTTTTGTTTGGGCGGAAGCAGCCTTGGGTGTGGCGGCAAACGGACACCGGTGTTGTGGAACGTGGGCGGTTCACTGTTGTTAGTTTCCACTACAGCGAGGCGTACTAGCAACCATATCGTAGTCCCTTTTTGGCCCGATGCCATCTTCTCACCCAAAGATGAATTCGCGGTAGTTCTTCCCTATACGCTCAGCGCCCTCCTGAAGCTTCCAGCCCTTGATCTCGCAGACCTTGCGGTACATCTCCTCGAGCCTCGCATCCATTTCCTCGCCGGCAATATGCAAGTCACTCTCGACCAGTATGCTGTCGTCGGGGCACGCTTGGAGCACCTCGGCAATCTTGTCAGCTCCGGCCTTGGTCCCCAGGTTGATAGCCGAAGAGAAGGAGAAGAACATCCGGGCCGGGATGGCTGGGTTAGTGTACTGCTTCAACATCTCGGCAGGTCCAGAGTATGAGTGAAGACATATGCGGGGGGGATACGGCCTCGGCGGCACGTCTTTTCGGCCAAAGTCATCTTCCTCGAGCTCGTCGCCCGAATCAAAGTCCTCGGCTCCCTCGGCAACAAGGCGTCTCTTTTTCCTGCTGACGACCTCCTTCTCGTGACCCTTCCACAGAGACGAGAGGGTATCATGGAGAACACCATGGGCCTGGACGCCATGAACGCTCACAGGGCGGCCTAGCTCACCCGCGAGCGCCAGCTGAGCTTTCAGCACGGCGACCTGGTGGGGCATCTTGACATGTTGAGGAGCCAGGCGACGCCCCTCGCGGCCACCCGGGGTAAGGGTCTGATCACGGGAGGACTTGTCGGCGTTGGTCCTTCCTTCGGGCAGGCGAAAGGCCTTGTCGAGACCAACCTCACCGACTAGAGCAAGGGGATGATCTTGGAGGCGGCGGCGCGTGTCGGTCAAAAAGGCTGACAAAGAACGTGGGGTGGGCAGCGCGTCGAGAAAGTCGGGGTCCTCAGGGGCGGGGGCTAGGACGGCTTGGTAATGGCGCTTCTTTGCGTTGGGCTGGCCCTCGAGGTACGTCCTCTCAGCCTCGGGCACGGTGTCGTCGAATAGCTGGTACGAGAACCACGGATGCCAGCCAAACGAGGGGATCAGATGACCCTGAGACATTTCGTACCTTGAGCGGACGCCGTGGGACGCAGCAACCTCAGCAACGAGGGCCTGGTCCTGACTCCGAGTGGCCATGACGGTTAGAGCAGCGGCGCGCATGTCGGGTATTTTCTCGACGGTAGACATGGTATCCGTGGGGTGACAATGGGCATCGTAGATGCCGGATTCCCAGGGGAAGGGGTCCGACGAGGCCGAGGTGACGGCAGTGGAGGACTTTGGCTCCCCGTGTTCGTGCTGGCCACACATGGCGGGGGTGGTCGGTGCTTGGTCTGGAGCCGGAGTGTGCCGGGTTGAGCTGGACGGGGAAGCGGGAAAGACGGGGATCGTCGAGATTCAAAACAAGCAGAGAGTGAGTTGAGGCTCAAGGGAGGGGTATAAGACCGCAGGCACGGCTGGTGATGGTTATCGCTGCTCTTCCAAGGACCAAGAGCTGCCGCGCGGTGCTGTGACCCGAGAGGCTGCAGTCTCTGTGGCCTCTTCCAACACCGACCGTATACGGTGCTAAGCACGGATGGCTGGAGATGGGGGACTGAGTGACGACAGTAAGCAGGGCATGTAGCGCTTTGGGGCCTTCCAATCGCCTGCTAGAGTTTGCGAGTACCGCGACGGCTCTGAGCGTGCGTTGGGCACACTTCTTCTGCTGGCTACGTACGTCAATGTGTTGGTTCGAAGACAGCACTGACGACAGAGGCCTTGGACCGAGTTGTCCGATGTACGTAGATTGACCGGTGAAGATGGGGAAAGTGAGAACAGCGGCAGCAAGGCTGCCACACACTGGGGAACAACGAGGTGACTATTTCGGGTGAAGCATCTCGATGTCGCGGATGCAAGAAAAGGCGCGATGATGCCGTGGCAGCAACAGAAGCCGTGCCATAACTAGTAAGCGGGATGATCTAGAACGGGAAATTAGTGGGACCACTGCGGAATGATGTCAAGGAGGATCGTGGTCTGGAATGTGGAATGTGGAATGTGGAATGTTGGCAGGAACCGACGGGAACGGACGGGCGGGGGGCGGACGGAAAAGGGAAGGCAAGGCAAGGCAAGAAAAGGAACGGGTAGACCGGACAATACTGTACGCAGCAAGGTAATTAGCTGGCCGCATCACAACTGTCCGTTGCTCTTCCCTACAGCTTCACATACACTGCATATCCACGCTGCCGGTTCTCCTCAGGAGACGGGAAGGAAATGAAAGGAAAGGCAAGACGCTCGAGACCCTTGCTGCGTCGAGGTCAGAGGTCACGGCCGGCGAGCTCCTTTCCCCATCCGGATTTTCTTCTTCTTCTTCTTTTCTTTCTTTCTTGAAGAGCACCACCGGCCATAGACAGTACCCGTGTTGCCATTGACATGCGGTCGTTGCTGCGTGTCTCTCCTTTCATCTAAGCCCTGCCATGCTGTGTGGTCTCTCTTTTCTTCGTCCCCCCTCCTCAGTCACCAATCCATCAATCACGTCGCTGCATAGCAACGCCTCACCTCAGACGTAGGTACCTTTCTTGCCTTTCCCCAGTCTCGTACACTACCGCAACCAAGTCCAGAACCCATGTTGGTCCTGCTTTTAGTGCATGTACCACTGCAGATATTCTGCCCTGGAGGCGCATAACACAGACACGACGACAGCACCTTGACGCCCTAGCACGCTCACCGGCGAACTCCAAATTCGCGAATCGGGACGCTTGAACAGAGACATGACCAAGCCACGCGGGGGCCTCTATCGCCAGTCAAGCACAAGTCCCAGCCTCCGGCTTGCCAGCCTTCGAGTCTATCGGCCCTAGGGCTGCGTCTAGGAAGATGAGACTGTCGACCCGGACGCACTACCGTGCCTCGACCCCTACGCGGCCTGGGCATGCTGGCCATCGGCGAGCTTCGGGGAGCTTTGGCTTCTGACGATCGACCTGTCTGTTTCTGGTGTGGCGTCTGCCTTTGCGAGTGGCGCTGCCCGCGAAGCCTACCAAAGCACAGGCCACGGGAAACCTCGCAAACCATCGTACTGCGGTGCTGTACGGTACACTGACAGCCCCCCCAGACAACCGCCGGTGGTCGTGCTGGTCTGGGGAAATGGACGTGACATCGTCCTCCAAGATATCCGACATGCACCCCAGCAACTTGATCTGCCCGCATCTCCGGGTTCGGTCTGCCCTGGGGGAGCGTGCCGTTCGATATTGACCCTGCGGGCGAAACCACAAGATCTCAACTGTAGGCCAAGGGCCAACCCGGGACGGCAGACGGCAAATCTGACGATGGTTTGCCTTCAAAAGGTCAACCTGCCGGAGTGTTTCGACGCTGCGAGGGATCTTCGCTGTCCTGCCCGCCGTTGGCAAGATCGGACCAATCTTCGCGTCGCCTTCACAACTTGCTGCACACTCGTTGCTACCCTGACATGTCTGAAAACGGCCTAGCGAACCTGAGAAAGCTAACGCATCACGCACATAACGTTGCTTCCGTTGCAAAGCACACACACACACGCGCGCACACACACACACACTGCCCGGCGATGTGCTGCTTGATCCATCCATGCTCGTTCGTTGTCGTCCTCGAGAGGCTCTGACTGGCGGCTTCTGTGGTCTGGACTTGCGGGGTGGTCTGCTCGGGGTCGTCTCCCTTGCACCTTTCCCCAGACCTTTCGCACGACGCTGACCCTGGCCCTGGTCCTGGCAAGGGAGATGCGATCGGTTTCGGACTGGTGTTCGACCCCAACTCACCGAGACGACACATCTCTTATCTCTCGGCCTACCATGGACCAGACGCAGATGTTGCACTTGCATTCGTCATCATTATCATCAACAACATCAGGACCCGCAGCGTGATAGGCGAAACTGATAACGACAAATCGGCCCACCAGCAGCAAACGTCGCTTCAACCCGGGTCTGGAGTACTCGTCTCCTGTCCTTCGTTGCTCTCGTCGTACAGGGCGCATTGAACGGCATTGGGCTGGCAATTAGAGAGGGCCTCTCTTCTTGGGGGCGCGCATAAGTCACGACGCTGATTCACCCGGCAAACTCTGTTTTCTGCTTGCCCCCACAGCCGTTTCTGTCAGTCAGAAACACGTCGCTCTTCACATGGAAAAGCACATCCTCCAGGAACTGCAAACTCTGTTCTCCCCGCCCGCTGTCCCAGCGGGATTATGATTTAGACAGCAAATATTGGACGGCCTGAAGTCTGCTTGGAATAGGCCACGACCCTTTGAATACGAAAGAGAGAACACACGAGCCTGCCAAGTCGAAGAGTCCTCAAATGTTGTCCTTCCCGGATGCCCCGTACGTGGCGAGCAGAAAACCTCTTTTGTCACTCGAGAGCTCGAGCAAGAGCAGAACCTAGAGAACAGGGACGGCGCACCCGGTGACATCCATTCGCAGCGCAAAGCACACCAACCCAATGCCATTCCATCATCGGCCCAGCCACTGGCAACGGGTGTAGTCCCGCCTCGAGACCCTGGTAGCTTGTGAAAGCGCAGCTCGGCTTCTCCAGTTTTCTTCTTCCTGCTAAAGTAGTGTTGCACTGCGTCGAACCCCTCCGACGAGATGGCCAGGACAAGGGCCAAGGGAGACAAGGGCGGCGGCGCTAGTGCTTTGCCGCTAGCTTCCGGCATGTGAAAGAGACAAACAAAGTGTAGACTGCAGGTCTGTACCCCTACTCTCCGTCCGGTGCCGTTCAGACCCCCCCCCCCCCCCCCCCCCCCCCATCCTCTCCTCCTCCTCCTCCAGCGCTGCCACTCACGCACACCAGGGAGCCACCAGCCTCAAGGTTTGAAGGTTCGCTCCCGGCTCCCCTCCGTCTCATCCAATCCTCTTCAGCATGCCTCTCCCGTCCACCACCATGCCTCCGGACTTTTGACTTTTGGGTGCCCCCATTCCTTTTGGTTGCTCGACGTTCCACCGTACAAAGTCGTAGCCAGCTGTCCGTCTCCACCACCACACTTTTTTCCCTCCTGCGTCTTCCCTTCTCTGTGTAGGAAGATATTGGGAAACCATCGACTGCGGGTTGGGTACTACAACGGTATCGAACGATCGGACCACCGACCGAACGATTGTGAGCGGATCATACGACTCAGGCACTGGGAGATAGTGGCCACATCCGGAACCACGCCTGCCTCGCCCGAAGAATAAACCGCGAAACAATCCAATTCTCGAGCACGCTGAGGAGATGGTGTGAATGAGGTCTCTCCCGAGCAACCACCCAACGCAACCCTCTCCCTCACTACGACTGTCCCGCACAGCGACCGCAGCCATGGCCCTCATCAACCCGGTCTACGCCATCATCGTGCCTTTCCTCTTTCTCTTCACCGTCCCGCTTGCCATCTTCGCCGGCATCACGACAACGCTTGCCTTCACAGTTCTCATCTTCCGGGTAATACTCGTCTACTTCGATCTCGCCCTGTCTCTCCTACCGTCGTACATTACCGGCCGCCCTCAGTATTTGTCCTATACATCCAAGACTCCGGCGTCCGGTAGCCCGTCGCCCTCCTTGACGCCCACCCGCCGCTCTGCTTCCCGCCGCACAAGACGGCCATCCTCTGCATCCGCCGTCTCCGTTGGCACGATAACACCCATTTCAGAGGCCGGCGGGCTTGGCCTTTTCCCTTCTGTCGGGATCGACCGCGACTATGAGGGTGTTGGCGGCTGGCGGCTAGGAAACGGTAACGATGATGAGCTGTGGATGACCATCAACTCGCGTCTCGAGCTGCCCGACCGCCAATACCAGCGGCACCACCACCGGAGCCCTAGCGGCGGGCCCACCACTCCTGGCGGCGGCGACGGCTACCTCATGATGAAAGGCGGCCGCAACCGCAGCCCGGAAAGCAACCGGGGCGGCTTTACTACTATCGTGTCGCCGAACAGCTCCCGGGCGCGGACACCAACCAACTCTCACATCGCCTTTACGGCGCTTGATGGCGTCGATGGAGACTACTTCCCATCCATGTCATCACCGAAGACGGCGAGAAAAGTTGCCGTCGCGTGAGAGGAGCTTCCGCTTATTACGAAGCCAAAAGTTATCATTAATAAACGTGAAGAAAAGGAAGAAGAAAGGCGGACAAAACAAAAAAGGTTTTATATCCGGGTCTCCTATCACGACGATAACGATACAAAAAGTATGCCCCCTTGTAAAGCGGGTGGTGTAAGAGAGCTGTTGGGGCATCTTTCCTTATGTCAGAGCTGGGAAATGGGGCATGGGGTGGGCCCCGAACAAACTGGGCAATGGAAAGATCACGTAGAACCAGGATACACAATGATGGGATAGCCCATGGGAAGCAAAGGTAACGTGCGGCCAGGCGAGGCCAGGCGCGAAGCGGATTTACGGATCGGTTCTGGGAGTCATTAGGCGTTTGGCTGTATCACATCTCATCCATAGTCCAAATGGACGGTCAATGAAAGGCATCATAGTCACAAGTCACCAACTGCACGGTGATGATTAACGTTCAGGTGGAGAAATACTGCGTAATTCGTCCGATGCGGATCAAAGATTGGAAGTGAATAGTAAAAGCAAGTGTCTTATTTTCCAGACGTGGTATCCCATCATGAACCCCCCCTCCCTCAAACGCCGTCATAGCTTTCCCGAGCAAACAACAAACAAATCAGAAAAACGCCACACCAGACCCCATTCTCGCCCGCGAAGCCCCGCCTACAACGTCTGCCAAAAGTAATTTGCGTAAAAGAACTTTGAAAACTTCTTGTCCATGTTGACGACGTGGACGTCGCCCTTGCGGTCGTTGCGCACGACGGCGCGGCTGAACTCGCCGTCGCGGCCGTCGCGCTCAATCTCGATGCCGAGGCTGCGGTAGACCTTGAGGCGCAGCAGCACCTCGTCGTCGACGGGGTCGCGGCGGCGCGCCTGGTCGTCGGCGGAGCCGTCGAGCCCTTGGATCTCGAGTTCCTGCAGCCGCGCGTTGAGGTCCGCCGCCTGCTGGGCGAGGCGCTCGGCCTCCATCTCGGCGTCCGAGGCGGCCTTTGCCGTGCGGAACTTTGTCGTGTCGAGGCGCGCAATCTCCGAGGCGTGCGCCGTCGACGAGTGCTGCGAGGTGAGCTCGGCGTGCTGGGACGACATTGTGTTCAGCTGGCGGGAGAGTTCTGCGGGCGGGTTGTCAGTATCGGGTTCCCTCTGCGGGGTGTGCGAGGCGGTTGCATCGCGTGTTGGACGACGGGGGAGGGTCGGGTCGCCGAGTGGACGTACTCTTGAGTGCATTTTCGGCTTCGCGGAGGCGCAGCTCGCGGGCCTGCTGGAGCGTCGAGAGGGATTCATTGATGCGCGCGACGGCCTGCTTGTCGGGATGGATGTTGAAGTTGTCGATTGTGTGGCGAATGAGCTGTGTCGCGAGGTCGTGTCAGTATCAACCCCTCCATGCAGTGACCATCAACAATTGGGAAGAAGGGCGTACCGTCGCGGGCTCCTCTGCTAGAAGCATCTTGGCTGATTTCCTCTCGTCAGGTTTCCACGGGAATTGGTTTGGTGGTTTCGTCGTCGGGTGTTTGGTCAGTCGGTTCGTGAATTCGCGTCTGTCGTAATTCGTGAGATTCGTGGATGCACTTGATGGATGCGACCAGAAACGTCGGGAAAGAAGACACGGCCCAGGCCCGATGTGGAACAAACAAAAAACTGCTTATCGGGGGTGACTCGCTATCACCGGGACGACAATCGGCTGACTACCCCCCCCCCTGCCATTGCCAGTGTCATCCACCTAGCCAGCAGCCCGCGGGACCACGGGCCCCACCCCAGCTGGTGCGCGCCTGCGCCGTCGTCATCCGCCACCCCACAGATCTTCAGATGTCAGAGCTTCAGCCACTCCGCCTCTCCGAAGCAGGTTTGCCCATTACCATTACCTTCGCGCCAGCCCACCTTTTCTGCTTTCAGCACCTCGGTTTCTGCAGACCACGGCGACCGCTATACAGAACCGACGACGACGACGACGACAAGAGCTTCCACTGCGCTTGCTACAGAGCCACAGACTAGACGCAGAGAATACTTGAGCGTAAAGAAGGAACAGCAATCCATCCTACGAGGCATCAACAAGCATCACCGCGAGAATGGTCGATCTACCCTGTAAGTCCACCACCCCTCCTCCCCTCCATACGGCGCCACAGCGTGGGAGGCCAAAATACCGACGAGACGGACAGCTCGCTGACTTGAAACCCCCGCAGACGCCCTCGACGCGGAAACGTATGTGCTAGGCTCCCTCTCCTCCCCTCGCGCGCCAGCATCTTGCGATCATGCCATACAGTCCGACTAACTACTTACCCGCAGGCCCCTCAAGGCATCCGAGCTCCAGGTCCTCCGCGCCCAGTATGAGAAGGAAGGCGACATGGTCGGCGTGCAGACCAAGTTCAACTACGCATGGGTACGACAGTCCTCCCCCTCCCCCTCCGGCCCCCCCTCAACTATTCCCTTCTCCCCCCCCAGCCCGCCTCGCGACGGCCGCGGCGCACACCGGCTAACACTCTCCATCCAACAGGGCCTCGTGAAGTCAGACGCCCGCAACGACCAACAACTCGGCGTCCGCCTGCTCTCCGAGATCTTCCGCGTCTCCCCCGAGCGCCGCCGCGAGTGCCTGTACTACCTCGCCCTCGGCAACTACAAGCTCGGCAACTACGGCGAGGCCCGCCGCTACAACGACCTGCTCCTCGAGAAGGAGCCCGCGAACCTGCAGGCCTCGAACCTGCGCCAGCTCGTCGACGACAAGGTCGCCAAGGAGGGGCTCATGGGCGTCGCCATCATCAGCGGCGTCGCCGTCGCCGCGGGCGTCGTGGGCGCGTTCCTGATGAGGAACGTCAAGAAGAGATGAGCCCTGCACCCCCGTCCGGGATTCGTAGAGGGGAGCCAGGGAGGGATACCTGCGGTTCAAGGAGGAGCAAGAGACGTTGAGCGGTGTCTGGCGACGAAAAGGAGCGACGGCAACGAGGAAAAGGAGGGGAGCCTGGTGTGATGCGACGTGTATTTGATAAATCACCCCCTCCTTTTGTTCTCTTCTTCGGTAATGTGTATTTGTATGGACATGCAAACGGCTTCTTTTCGGTGTAATAGGCGTATACACAACTCTATTCTACCTGTTTTCAGATCCTCTTTTGCAGAACCTTGCAATCTAGTCGCGGCAATCTTGCGAGGCGCCGGCTTTTTTCTGTGCCAAACCTTCAAACGATCCTCCCTGAATGAGATGGCGGACGAAGGAGAGAACCCGCCATGCCAATGAGTGAGTTTGGATCGACTCATTCCGAACATCACGATGGGGGCGACAACACCGGGTATCCTTTATAGAATAGTAAGAGCAGTGTCTACTGAACCCTTTCGGCCAACGTGCCAGCCGTACTGACTTCCCTGATCCCGTTCGACCTGGTGATCTGGAAAATGGGTGGGTGTCTACACTTTCCTCCAGCACGCAAGAGGCGACCGCTACATGGTGCAGGAAGTACGGCAATTTCCCATGGCAGAGATGCCCGATTCAACTCATCAAGGCAATGGCTTGGAGAGTTGCTATAAGTCACAACGATGGATAAGTAGTCTGATGATCATGCTCTGGTTGCAATTTTAGGGTCAAGGGTCATATCCTGCGCAGCCCTCGTCATCACTAACCGAAAATGCCCAGCTGGTTTCTGTATGACTGGCTGCTTTATTATTTACACAATGCACGTCCCAAGTCGAAGCACAATGCTTCAGAACATGGTCTGCTCAAAGGAGAAAATCCTCATGAATGGCCAATGCTCAACGCTGTCAAACCCCCTTCGTAATTCATTACTTGCCACCCGCCAGACTGCTTCGCACGGCACGTGCAAGCCTTTGCGAGACGCTCCCCAACTCATATAAGAACCCCTCAACCAGACTATGGTCTCCGTCGCTCTCGCGCATTGTTGTCTCCCGACCCAGATCCTCGGGAGAACTGGTTTCTCAGCCAGTTCAGCGGACCGTGGTTTGAACCGGCGTCCTGGTTGTTGTCGCGGTCTCTTTCCCAGTTGCCAGACGATGGGCTCCGTTCCCTAGCTCGGAACGAATCAGACTGGTGCCGGCGCAGACTGGGGGGAGAGTGTGAATCCCGACGCAGACGGAAGCTGGGCGTTCGACTGGCCTCAGGGGGATGCGAAGGCAGGTCAGCGTTGCGAGGGTCGTCTCGACTTGTGCTGGAACCTCCGTAGATGGAAAAGGGCACATCCCAATCAGTCGTTGGTGATCTCTGGGGTCTCGTCGAGTCATCGGGGACTGGCGGGGTTTGTTGATAAAAGGGCGGGCGGGGAGAGAAAGCCGTTGCTCCCCAGTGGCCAGGCATTCCGGGCGGCGCATCGCTCCAACCAAGGGGGTGATGTGAGCCTTCCGACGAGCCTGTCGCCACGGTGGGCGCACGTTGAGAAGCATTGACGTTTTGATTATTGTTCGAGCCGTTTGCGTTGGCATTGTTGGTATTATTGTTGTTGGGCTCTTCGATAGGAGTGCGGCAAATCGGGCAAGTGTTGTGCTCCTTCAACCACATGACGACGCACTGGTCATGGAACCAGTGCTTGCAGGGTAGCACCGTGGCGTCGTCGCCCTCGCTAAAATCGTCGATGCAAATGGTGCACTCGGTCTTGCCTTCAGGGCCCAACATCTCCTTGTCCACCTTCTTGCGTTGCAGCTTGCTAAGTGCGTCTTCAGTTGCCGGGGGTGCCGAATTGTTCTGCGGGTTTTGCTCCATCAGCTGGGAGATGATGCGGTCCAAGGCCTCTTGGGTGTACACTGCGTCACCATGCGAGGCGTTGGCCGGGTTGAGCATGCTGAGAATCTCATGAAGTAGCGTGGGCGCTCCGCCCGCTGCCCGCTGGCCCTGGCCGGGACCTGGCATGCCTCCGGCCTGGGGAGGTCCTACTCCGGCTAGGACGCTGCTGAAGATACTGGGAGCCTGGTTAGCGTTCGCTCTGATGGAAACCACCGTGATTCGAGGTCCAGAGGGCGGCTGGCCACGGGGGTTGAGGCGGACGTACGACTGAAACGGATCGCTTCCAGGTCCAACAGGAGAATGGCCACCTCCTTGATGAATGTGGATGGGCCCGGTAGCGATCGTGAAGCTTGTGGTGCCTCCAGGGCCTGCTCTGTGATAGGTGCGAACATTGCCCTGACCGCCAAAGAGACCGCCGCCGCCGAAACCAGGAGGGCGGGTTTCGTCGGGCGGCCGCGGGGGCATGCCCATGCCAAAGTCGTTGACCATGTCAATGAAGCGCCGAATAATCTGGTCGCCATCATTCGCATCTGGCGGCTGGCGTGTGTCCGGGTTCGGGCTCTGTCCCGGCCGCTGGGAGTTGTCCCATATTGTTCGGTGGACGACAAACCCCCCAGGACCGCGGTGCAAGTGCTCCTCTATGTCGGCCTCCTCGGGATCCGAGTCGTCGTCGTATCTGCCTCTGCGGCCTGGAGAGTCATGAAGCGGGGGGCCGTCCTGAATTTCTCGTGGATCGTTCTCGGGAGAGACCTGTGAAGCTGTTAGAACGTGCGGCGAACGCGTGTGATGGCGAGGGATGCTACGTACGATCTCTGTGATCTCGCTCTCGCAGCGAGGGCACTGTAGACCATGCTCGTCTTGCCACCACTCGTGCGAGCAGGCGTGGCAATAGACCACCTCCCGGCCAGCCGTGGCATCCAGGTGTCCGCCTCTGGTGTTGTGGGACTCCATCTCAGCCTGGTTGCGCTGGTAGGCTGCTAAGGCGGTGAGTCCAAGGCCTACAGCGAGGCCGGCGGCGCGAAGTGCTCGGAACGCCAGTCTGGATGATTTGTGGGGGTAGAGTTGGGTGGCGGAAGCTACTTGGCGATATCGCAATCCAGCGAAGTGAAGAGTGCTTGAGGAGCTTCGATATCAGCAGCTCAAGACTTTGCAATGTTGATGATTCGCGATGATGGAAACCCCTTCTTGCGGGAAAGAACCCTTAACAGCTGCTGCCGCCAGAAGTGTGAGGACGCTGTTGGTGGAGGATGCAGACGTCAGCCGAATCGAAGTTGGGGAGCGATCGTTATCGGCGGAGAGCGGGCGGAAGGTGCGGTACGGCGGTGTTGTATGTGTTAGGTAGGTAGGTGGGTAGGCGAGGAATGCTGAGTTGATGGAAAGCCTGGGGTGCCAGCAATGTCAGTACTTCTAAATCTGTAAGAGGGACGTAGCCAGTAAGACGGGCCTCTGAAATGCTGCATTTGCGAGTCTCCTGTGTTCGGCATTTACTTCGTTACGATGACTGGCTTGTGCAATATGTGTGGTGAGTGAACGCTGGAGACCCGAAAGGAACGTACCTAAGCTAAGCCATGTACAGTTGATGGAGAATGTGCATATCTCCAAATGCAATGAAAGCAAAGAAGCTGGTGGCTACTGCGGAGCGGGAAGGAGGGTAGGGAGTATGAGGGAAAGCGGGTAGGAGAGGCGAGGCGATTTGTTGGGATAAAGAAAGCTTGCTGTTGAAGGTGATGCAGGTTTCCAAGCGACCTTTGGTGGAAAAGAGGAGCGCACCCGTTACGTCGTCGATAGTGTCGTGCTAGGGGAGCTGGGCGAGGTACCCTTTTTCGGGGACGGAAGAGACAGCGAGAGGGCCGTGACGTGACGTTTGTGGTGGGGAGCATCTGTCGCCGGTCGGTGGTACCTTTCTTTAGTCATATGCGCTGAGTAGGGGGGGAGGAGCAGCTGGAACCGCGGCCACGGCATTGAGATGTATGTCTCCACTTTTAAGCACCTATCCCCTTCCACCGGTTTCGGTGTGGCGGTGCGACACTCTTCACCACTATTTTTCATCATCCACTGCTCACGCGCACCACATCCCATCAGCACCCTGAGATTATCTGTCCTGCTCAGACGGAGTCAGTTCACACATTTCACAAGTCATATACTGGCTTTAGGCTTTGGCAGTGTGGCTTGGAGTGGCTGATTCGACACTACTGGCCCCAAACGCGGCCCAGATTCATACTCATACGTAGCATATAGTTGCCTTCAAATGACACCATGGCGCCTGGCGGGTAGCTTAGGCACTTTTGACGTGTAGCACGCTTTGCCCATAGTCTTATGCATTCTATTAGCTCGGGCGACTCAACGGGAACGTGCCAGGCTGGGAAATGAGTACCTTACATCTTAGACCACCGATAACCAGGGTGACAACGTCGTTCATGGCTCAGCGGTTGATGTCAAGTTGTTGTTGTTGTGGTGTCTCAGCACATCCTCCGAGCCCCGGCCTTGGTCTCGGCATGATTGCAGGCATGTTTCTGGGCCGTACGGGGTCCGAGACGCTAGCGGGGCTCGGGCGTTCAAGTGGCCTAGAGCCAGCTACGGGACCTGGTAATTCAACTTCCTTACCGTGGCCATTGCTTCTGAATAATCTTCCACCAGCTCTTTCGAAGATGTCGGTTCCTCTCCCGCAGCCTTGGCTGATGCCCGCAGGTCGATTTCCTCCATTAGATTTACAACATCCTTCATCTTTCTCCTAATCGCCAGGTGCCGGCTAGTCTGTCCGCTGGTATCCCACATATCCGCGTTGGCCCCAGCCTCGAGTAGCAGCTTCGCTGCCTCAACGTTTCCCCTCCAGATTGCCACAAACAGTGGCGGGGAAGAATATCGGCCACCTCTTTTGTTAACATCGACTTCATACTCGGGTCTCAGTATCAGCTGCAAGACGGACGTCATATTGAAGGATGCGGCGTAATAGACCGGTTCCGTCTCCCGGATGACGTCGATGTCGGCCGAGTGTAAGAGGGACTGCACCCACGCCTCAAAGGGACCGCCGTGGTCGAGCTTTTTGGTTTCGAAAAAGCCGAGGATGAGGTGCTCGTCACGATCGGATAGGGAAAATCGCTCCGAGTGGATGGGCCACATGAAGGTGGCGTAATCGAGCAGCGGGTACGCTGCGAAGCGAACGTCGACTTCCCGAATCTTGTTAACTGAGCCTGAAGCGAAGGGCTCAAGTTGAAGGTAGACGAGACACTTGCGCATGATTTTGCGATGTGACTCTACAGCGTCCACCGCAAACTCTGAGGCGCTGGAAGTTCGGATCCAGTCTGACTGTAAAAAGGTACGGATGGAGTCGTGGGCGAGGGTGACGAAGTAGTCACTGGCATGAGCCAACCCTTGGCAGATTTCGAGTATGATGGATGGGTCGGTTAGCCTAATATCTGCATCGATATCGGCATCACCCTCTTCGAGGACAACTGCCTCGGCAAGCTCGTTGAGACGCAGGGGCCGGAGGGAGGAGCAAAGCCATGTGAGCGCCTCGTGAGCGATGCCCCGGTCTTGCTCTGGAATTCGGGCGAGGATGCCAGCGTAGAACCCATTCAGGGTAGCGGGGATATCGGCCAGGACCCGTCGAACATCTCGGCCAGTGCGAAGGGTGCTGAGTCTGTCCATGCACAGCTTGGCCCAACGGAAACTAAAATCATGTCATTGCTAAGTAACCATAGCATACTCGTGGGGGAGACTCACGTTCCATCGGCACCTGAGACGACCTTCATCTTAATCTCGTCCCTGATGTTGGGACTCAAAGACTGGAAACCATGCTCGACAACAAGTCTATTTTCCACATAAAGCTCGATATCGAGATCAATAGCGTTATTGTTCATGTGCCTCACATATATCCTCGAGTCATCTTTCAGCGGCTCCCGTGTACAGGTAAGCAAGACGCGGAGGTTGGAGTGTCTCCCGCACAGGGTTAGCAGAGCTCGGACGATTACCGACTCATGGCCCGTCTCATTGAGTGCGTCAATCATGAGATAAAAGAGGTCAAAATGCTCGAGGGCCTTGCCCATAACGTCATAAATCTGTTCAATGGACAGGTTGTTCTGAGGAATCAGAGTATTACCAGATCGTCGCAACGGACGAACGTGGTCGAGAAGCTCGGGTGTTGTCGCCCCTATCTGAGCCAGAATGGAGCCGAAGACGTTGGGGACGGCCTGAGAGGCGGCATCATCTAGGGAACAACAGTGGAAGCCTACTCCAATACTGGCAGCCTTTGTCGAGAGATCGTTGTTGGGCCGCTTCCGAAGCTTGTCAACGAGATGGGAACTATGCATAGTCTGTAAGCGCGAGGCATATGGACGACATTAGGATGGGGCTCCTCTCACAACAGCACCGTCTTGCCCGAGCCCGCTAGCGGCTGTCAGCTGACCTGCTGAGACTCCTCATCACCCAAAATAATAGACGTCCAAGTAAAGGGCCGGGTGGACGATCTGACTTACACCGTCCGGTTATCCAGTAAATAGGCCATTGCGTCGGACTACCCTTCTGCCACGCCAAGTAACTGGCGTCGCGGATCCAATTGCCGGTTCCCGGCGCACGGTCTTGCCTGGAGCTAACCAGCTTGTCCTCGCTGTTGACGGGTGACAGCCACTTGAGCAGGTCGGCAGTCTCTCCGAGCATGCGGTCGGTCTTTCGGGCGATAATTTCCTCGTGAATCAGGGCCGTGAGCTTCTGCATCTCGATGAAGACGGAAAAAGTGACATCGAGCGAGTCTCGCATGAGGACCATGATGAACCACGTCTTGGCCCTCTCCACGGTCCGGAGGTACTTGTCAACGTCGGAGGCCCGGAAGGGCCAAGCTAGGCTCTGTGCAGCGCGGCCAAAGGAAGAAGCCTTGGGCGTGCCCAGTTTCTGTCGTATGGCATCAAGAGTTTCCTGAGTCATACTGAGCATGGAGTTGACCTGGTCGTGCAGCGAACCATCCCTGTTCTTCTTGTTCTGAAGATCAAAATAGTCCATTGCGCCCTTGAGAGCAAGCAGCTCTTGGGTGAGTTTGCGAATGTCATCCTTGGCGCCCTTGACCGTGGAAACGAAGGTACAGAGACGCTCAACGACCTCGGCGACACAGAGAGCGACCTCTATGATGGTCAGAGCCTCGGCCATTGGTTTTGTAACACCAGCAGCTCCAGCTATTTGACACGAACCACCTCTCTCAGCTTCAGATGCCGATGGCAGTGGTCAAAGCTTTGACCCCAGACTTCCTCGGCTTCTCCAAGTCAAGCAAACAGTGCAGTGCAGGACGGGCAGGAGGTTGGCAGGGGAGGGGGAAGCGAAACTTGGTCAACCTCTTGAACAAAGTTGGGGGATCGTATCCTGTTGATCGAAAACAAGACGAGGTCGGAGGTAAGACCCCCAATGTAATTCCTTGGCCAAAGGGTGACTGGATGACAGAATGGCAGACAGCGATTAGCAACACTAGGATTAGGCAACGCAGTTGCGGATTGTTGCATGTCGACGGACAGAATAGACGCGGAGGAGGTATGTCTGAAGTGAGGGGCACGGTCCGTGATGGGACCTGGAAATAGGATTCGGGTCGGAGGTGCCTAGTGGTGGGGGAGTGGGTCGTGGGAGGGAGTGGCACGTGCACCGTTTGGCGATACCTTAAATCTCGAGCTGTCATGCACTAAGCATGTAGGTAGCCACTGTCTAGAAGCCGTCATGGCAGAGACCCAAGCAACCTTAACCAAGGGCACAGATGGTCTCATATCTTCACTTGTCTAATGGACATATGAGAAAAGCTCGGAAGCTCTGTTCCATTCAGCACGAAGCCGTCACGAACGGTTTTCCAACACCAAGAATTGGCGAGCGGATGCATGCATCGTGACATGTTGTAGCGTAGTAGGTAGGCATGAGTTTATCACATAGTATCCGTACCGAGGGACTGGCTCCGCAGATGAACGACAACCTCCACGGCGCGGAGCTGAGCCTGCTTCCTCTACCTTTTCCCGTCTCTGCGCCTCAATTTGTCACAAGAAGAAGGATACACCGAGACACCTTTGCAGCTTACCTCAGTGAGGTGAGGTAAGTTGAGGTTGGGTCGCTCGCTGTGACAAAGTGCAAAACTCGTTGCCGCACCCCCACCCCCACCTTAGTACCTAGATACGGTATGTACTTGCCCGCACTGCGGCAAATGGCAAGGTTGTTCCCTCCCTGCCGGCTCTTCTCCCAATTCGTGCAACGACGGGCCGCGGAGGTATTCTAGTCGGTCTCCAGTTGACGGGACACAGAATTTTGGCACGACGAGGGACCCAACCAACCAACGAACCCGTTCCAAGTTTTTCACTCTCTCCTTCCGTTCTGTTTTCGGTGCAAGGACGCAAAAAGGCAAAGGACATACACGCCTTCTAAGCAAACTAGCTACGGACGCTAATACACACAGCAGCCCAACGTACAGTGCCTCGAGCCGAGTAACTGGTTGCTCCCATTCAGACTCGTGGGTACGGATGCCACCGCTCCCCCCGGTCCTCGAACAGGAGTCGTAGTAACAAGCTTCGGCAACACCAGCAGCACGTTTCCTTCCCGACTCTGCACTTCTACAGGCTGCTTCACGTCATTTGGTGTCGGCGTAAGTACTCCATCGTCGCTCATCAAAATACCCTTCGCCAGTACATACCGCAGGGTGCCTTGACTCCCATCTTCCTCTCTCCCAAAACCAAGACGAACCGCTTCCGCCGACTGTTCGGGTCGCCCCAGATCGGCCGGTTGACGGGTATCGGAAGCCACAATTGTCGCCCGCGCAGTCCTTTCCCATCCCACACGCCCGGCACATCCGTCAACAAGTCAGACGTCTTGGATTTCTCATCCCGCATCTACCGAGAGACGGACAACCTGCAACAAACGCAGCTAAAAAAGTAACGTCCCACAACCCTCTAGCCACACCCAGCTCTACAGAGTTCATTCAACATTGCGATTCATTGCATTACATTCCATTTCACGTCAAGCCACCGCACTGCACCGCATCGCATCGCCCGGCGCCACAGCCCTACCTGTTTTTCAGCAGCAGAGCAGCAGGAGCTTTGCCTCCCGCGTGCCGCCTGCCACCACCCACCCTCCCTTCCCATTCCTCATACGCGCGCCGCGCCGCCTTGGCCCCGAAACCGTCCCTTTTCTTGTACGTAAATTATGTAAGTATCCCAAACCAACACATGCGATATCGCTCTAGTCCCTCTTGCCCCGCGACCGCAAGAAAAGAAAAAGAAGAAGAAATAAACGGGACGGCGTCCCCTACCGGAAGTACTCCCCCCAAAAACGACTTACTCACTTTATGGCTTGGCGTCCCAGTCGATCGGTCTCGTCTCAGTCAATTTTTCCCCCTCATGAGGCCATATGTTCTGATGCTCTTCTTTCCATCCAGAACATTTCTCGAAAGGGGATTTCTTATTCCATCCGTTGCCACGTATACACGCAAATCCCAGCCGCCACCGAAGCAGCCGCTTTTGTAAGAGCACATAGGCGAGCAACTCGACTCACTCACACGCGAGGGATCGGCAGCAGCTCACCAGTCTTTAAATCTCCATCGCCGAAAGGGACAAGCTACCTTGCCTGCCTTGCCCATCTCCCGCATCGTTATCAGACGTCGGCGCCAGCCTGCATCCCCCTGCGCGCCCAATCGCTGGCCGCGTCTTTATCTCGACGACAGGGAACACTCATCGACCGGCGACCCGAGGGTACCTAAGTGAGGCAGACGCCCGCAGCGCACTTTGTATAACCCCTCTCCGCCTCCGCCGCACGTTGCTTCTCAACCCATCGATTCGGTCTGGACCCCTCACCGGCAACGCGGGGCATCCCCATTCAACTCACCCTCACAGTGTACCTGTACCTGTACGCAACACTAGGTAACTCTTGTGTTTGATCCGGTGGGGCGCCTGTTGTTCACCCAGCTGCCGCCGCCGCGTCCACCCCGTTCGCTCCCCGGGATTCTGTCTCCATCCAGATTCCCACATCTCCGTGCACCGCGTCAAATTTGGCCCCAGCATCTCCGGTGTCTCCCCTGGTTCTTCAACGTCCATCCTATTAGTCGACAAAAAGCAGAAACGGGGAACGACAAGGAAAAGAGGCTTTTTGTCTCGTCTCATCATGGATGACCAAGACCTACTGCTACCCTCTACCTCTGTCGGCTCACTCACCCACCCTCCCGAGAACTCCTCTTCCTCCTCTGCGCCGCAACCCAGCAACAGGAAGAAGTCGTCGCGGAGAGGCGGCGATGCGGCGTCACAGAAGCGACGCTGTGTATCCACAGCCTGCATCGCCTGCCGCCGAAGGAAATCGAAATGCGACGGCGCCGTGCCCAGCTGTGCCGCCTGTGCCAGCGTCTACGGCACCGAGTGCGTCTATGACCCCAACTCGGACCACCGCCGGAAGGGCGTCTACCGGGAAAAGATTGACAGCATGAAGGCCCGGAACTCGACTCTGCAGATCCTCATCGAGGCCATCCTAAACGCCAACGAGGACGAGGTCCCCGACATCGTCAAGAGGATCCGCACCTGCGACAGCCTCGACACCGTCGCCGAGCAGATTCTCAAACATGAGGCCATGCTCCAGGAGGCCGAGGACAATGACAACGGCGACGACGGCTACACGGCCGACATGCCCATTGAGGGTGAGAGGGAGCTCGCCCGCAAAATGGGTGAGCTGCGCCTCGAGAACGGCTCAGTACGCTTCATCGGCGGCACCTCTCATCTCATCTACCTTGGCGACCCCGCCGACGCCGACGCCAACGAGCCAGAGTCTGACGCAAACCTCGCCAACGAGGACCCCATCACCAGTTGGACCCGTGTCACCAAGGACAAGGAACTCATCGCCCACCTCATGAACATGTACTTCAACTGGCACTATACCTACTTTACGACACTATCCAAGACTCTGTTCTACCGGGACTTCTTCAGGGGGAAGCATGGCTCACAGCACAAGGGCACTGTGTATTGCTCGTCGCTGCTCGTCAACGCTATGCTGGCTCTCGGATGCCACTTCACGAGCGTGCCGGGGGCCTACGGTACTCCGGGCGACAGCCGGACCAAGGGCGACCACTTCTTCGCCGAGGCGAAGCGCCTCATCGTCGAAAACGACGAGTATGAGCGGCCCCGCCTCACGACCGTCCAGGCCCTGGCCCTCATGTCCGTCCGCGAGGCCGGCTGCGGACGGGAGGCCAAGGGCTGGGTGTACTCGGGCATGGCCTTCCGCATGGCCCAGGACATCGGTCTCAACTTTGACGACGGCGGCATGTCTCCGGACAAGGAGAACCTCGGCGAGCACGCCGTCGACGCGCGGCGGATGACGTTTTGGGGCTGTTTCCTCTTCGACAAGGCCTGGTCCAACTACCTTGGGAGACTGCCGCAGATACCCAAGAACTCGTACAACGTACCAAAGTATGACGTCTTCCCCAGCGAGGACGCCGAGCTGTGGTCGCCGTACACCGACACCGGGTTCGACCAGACCTCAAAGCAGCCGTCGAGGACGCGTGCTGTGGGGCTGCAGCTGTCCAAACTGTGCGAGATTAGCAGCGACCTGCTGTTATTCTTCTACCATCCTAACCACATCGGTCGTTCGAGCGGCAAGTCTGTTGAGCTGAAGAAGCTGAGCGAGCTGCACCGGAGGCTGGAAGATTGGCGAAAGGAGCTACCAAAGGAGCTGGAACCAAAGGAGGGCCAACTTCCCAACGTGATCCTCGTACAGTAAGTCATTCATATTGCTCGCCTGAATCTCTCCCTGGCTAATTTGCTCACAGCATGTTCTTCCACCTCCAATACATTCACCTCTTCCGCCCCTTTCTGAAGTACACCCCCGCCGCCTCCCCACTGCCCTCACATGTCTCACCGCGACGCATCTGCACCGCCAATGCTGGCGCCATCTCTAAGCTGATGCGCCTCTACAAGAAGACGTGGAACCTGCGGCAGATCTGCAACATCGCCGTCTACATGATCCACAGCGCCTGCACCATTCACATGCTCAACCTGCCCGAGAAGACGGCCAAGCGCGACATCATCCACGGTGTGAAGCACCTCGAGGAAATTGCCGAGGACTGGCTCTGCGCGCGCCGCACGCTGAGCATCATCAGCGTCCTCGCGCGCAAGTGGAACGTCGAGCTCCCCGAGGAGGCCTCGGCCGTGCTGCAGCGGACGGACGAGAAATACGGCACCTTTAGCACGTCCGACGTGCCCTCGCCCCATTCTAACGTGGCGACGTCGCCCTCACCGCCGCAGCATCAGCCCCTTTCGCCGGCGACGGGGGCAGGGAAGCACGAGGAACAGTACAGCCCGCTGGACCAGTTCGTCCAATCACACGCGGGTGAAGCCGACGTGACGCCGAACCAGACCGACCTACTCATGGCGAGTGCGTCGCTGGCACAAATTAGCGGCACAAGACTGCCGTCGCAGCAGCACCTCGGCGCCGGCGGGGGCGGGTCTAGCGGTATGGGCGGCATGGGGCAGGGTTCGTTCAGCGGGTGGTCGCAGGCGGGGCTGGCACAGTCAATCCCGACATACCAAAACCAACAGCAGCATCAGCAGCATCAGCAGCAACGATACAGCGCAATGAACAGCAATTCCCACAGCAACCTCGCGCCGTCAGGGAGCAGCCGCCCTGGCGCACCAAACGGACGACAGGTCTCACCCGGCCAGGTCTTCCAGGGGCTCGACCAGGACTGGTTCCTCAACGACGGCGCAAAGTGGCATCAAAACTTTGAGGCGTGGAACATGGCCAGTGCCGCCGCCACCAGCGGGCCCGGGGACCAGATGTTTATGTTTTCCGGCGGTGGCGGCGGCGGAGGGATGCCGCAGCCGCAAAGGCAGCCGGAAGAGGATACCCACAGTCCCAACTTTGACGGGCTGAGCTCGTTGAACATCAACGGGTGGCTTCCGGGTCTGGATTAAGAGCAGAGAGGGCTTTGCTTCACTTATGATATCTTGGCGCTCCGGGGAAAAGGGAGGAAACTGGTCTCAATGTAAGCGTATATGAAAGGGGATTGGCATGCTGTGTCGTGTTTATCTACACGGAATCGTTGCCGCCGTGTTGTTTGCGGCAAGCTCTGTTGAAATTATGTGTGCCTGACAGGGGGGGCTACCCGGCTTGCATTTCCGCCAATATATGTATATCCTATGTTTGGTGCAGGGCAGAAAGGAGGGGCAAATGAAAACCCCCAAACATGACGATTCCTTGGATACCATGGATTTGGTCGAGCATCTACAAAACAAAAAGCGTACCATCTGGCAAACGGCTCTGGCCACATGGACCCTGAGGCATTCACGTAACTTAAATGCCAGCAGTACGAACTCGGTGTGACACGGACGCGGGATCTCATTTGATCCATCCCATCAAACGTCGCTATGTACATGAATCCCATTCCATCCCATCAGGTCATCGGTTCGTTCTACCCGTCAACCGTTCCGCCCGTTCGTCCGCCCGTCAAAACACCAAGAGCCAAGGTGATAGAAAAAAAACCAGATACCCTCCCTCCCTCAACCCCCCCCTATCAAAAGAACAAACCCAAGGTATATAAAGCCACACAAGCCATGATATCGTTTCTTTGAAGCCCGAAGTAGAAACTAGCCCCCTTTTTTGCCCTACGACCCTCGGTTTCCCCTCCTCCACTCCCCAATTGAGTGGGATTTTCCGTCTGTAAGCCCGCGTACCCGCCAACCTGATTGCACATAATTCCTGCATTATGGTCCCATGTCCCATAGCCCAGGCTGCCCTGTGAGGGCGGCGTGATGAACACCCTTTTATCCGTATTCCGTCCCCGCGTTCTTTCATCGAGTCCCTCTTGACGCCAATCGCGTCTGCATCGCTCTATGGACACTCGCGTCACCTTGGAAATTCGGGCATAGGACTGACTCAGAGTGCCAGTCCGGTGCCGTCGCCAGTCCAGCGGTACAGAGCCAGCAGCTCCCGCCGGCGCTGGTGCTGCTCGTGAAGATCCTCGGGTACCCGTCCCCGGACCTGCGCCAGAGCACTTCGCATAACCTTGCTAAAGTTGCGCTGCTCAACGAGTTAGCACCAGCCAGCAAAAAGGGTTGCACAAACCACTGGAGGACTCACCTGGTATTCTGTGTTGAGCGTCACGACGCAGGCTTCGTGGGCTCGTACAATCGTCTCACATGCCTTGACAACGCTGGGAGACGCCTCGAGCTGGAGTTTGTCGGCGATCAACAGCAGGAGGAAGGATCCCTGCAAAAGATAGATGCCAAAGAAGAAGGGCATGAACTCCAGGCCGGGGTCGAACTCGAGAATGTTGTTGATGGCCTCGGCGGCCGACACGGCGTGGCCCGTGGCGGTGATGAAGCCCTGGGACGAGATCCACAGGTCGTTGTCGTCGATGAGGTTGATGGGGTCCCATTTGCCGGCAAGCAGGATGTGCAGGACGTGCATGACGTGCGTGCCGTAGGCCATTACGATCTTGGTCTGGATGTCGCTCTCCGTCATGCGGTTCGAGGCGTTTGTGTGCACCGAGTGGACGGACGGGGTGCCAATGTCTGCAATCGGGCCGTGCTCCACGCCCTCCGGGTTGGTCACGTCGCCCTTGTCGTCCAAGCTGAGGTTGATCCGCGTGAGGTGTTGTTGTTCGAACCGCTTGAGGCTCTTCTCGTAGGCCTCGAGGTGGCGCGTGATTTCGCTGGCCTGGTCGTCCCACTCGCGGGCAGAGCGGAAACCGACGCCAAACCTCGGGTGGTTCCGAGCATGGTGGAGGTCGACGATCTCGCCAAGGATGGTCATCAAGGGAAGGAAATACCCGAATATGCCGTGCCCGGTACATTCAAAGTGCGGGCCACGTACACGGCTGTGCTGGCCGGGCGCAGGGTCTCCGAGGCTGGGGTCGGTCGCGACATGAGTAGGGCGGAACTCCCCATTCTGCCACGCATTGTCGTCCATCGGCTGCAAGAGACCGGCGCACTCGAGATCGAGCAGGAACAGGGGCCGGTTGTAGCAAAGAGCCAGATGCCGGTCAACAATGTATGTAAGCCACCATATCCGACGGCGTTCCTCGCGTTCTTCCTCCATGATGACGCCCGGGTGGCTGGCGCCGCCCATTTCATCTTCACCATCCGCGTCGCCATCCGCTTCATGGCCGTTGGTCTGGCTTATGGAGAGGGGCGTCGGTGGTAGTTCGCGGCCGAGCTTGAGCTCACGAGCCAGAGACCACGCCGCGTTCCACCATCGGAGACTGGCGCCCTTGTACTCGCTTGCGGAAACCACGGTGGCAAGATGGATGTAGGTAATGACGTCGTCCAGAGTCCCGGCAGCACCGAACGGCCCGGATTCACCCGTCAACGCATCCATGCTGATGGATCCGGGAAGTGCGACTCCCAGCCCGCCAAGCGCGACGCCGTCAATGACAGGGCTGGTGACGGGAGACGTGTCGCCGGATGGCGTGTGGATAAGTGGCTTAAGCAAACTGACGGTCAGCTCCAGCAGTCTCTGGCAGATCTTGCCACGTGCCGATGGCACGCTGGTCAGGAAAGGAGCGTCGCTGGTCTGCGCCGCAACCCAGAGAATGCTGGCCAGAAGAGCAGGCTGACAGCGTCTCGGCTTGGTCGGGTGAAGGAAGGATCTCTTGCGGAAGACGAAACCCAAGACGTAAGGTGACATTGGGTGCATCTGCGCCGACGACGACGATGCAAAATAGAGGTCAATCAGGTCGCAGGCCAAGGAGAGCGGGATGAGGTTCCCTAGATGAGGGACCAGTGGCTTCAACACGGGATATCGCAGCTGTTGGGTGGCATGGCCGTAGCTGCTCGAGGGCATGTGGGACTGGTACTGTGCCGGCGGAGGTGACATGGATATCCATTCTGGGGATGTCGCTTCACCCCCCAAGGGATATGCGCTGATGGGACTGGCGGCGATCCGGAACGGCGCGCTGTTGGCGTACGCTGTCGGGCTCTGGGTCTGCATGGCATACGGAATATCGGGATACGCTGACATCCCGCCCTGAGTGGGAGCGTAACCTGCGTGGGCTGGCCCCGGCATCATGTGTGCACCTAGGTTTTGTCTGTCGTATCCCCCATGAACGCCGCCGTAGCTGTTGAGATCCATTGCTGTCGGACTTTCCATATGGTCTCCGTGGTGAGTTGATAAGTGAGCTGGATGGCCGGTCAAGTCTCCTAGGCTGTCGAGCGAGCCTGTCCTCTGACTGTGTTGCATGGCATCGTCGCTGAGGTCGTCTATACCCTTTCCGCCATGGTTTTGTTGCGGGTCGCTGCCCAAGGGCTGGCCGTTCTTGCCACCGACAGACTCGGATTGCTCTGACGCGTGGCCGTTGTCGTCGGAGGGTGATTGTTGACCCTGTCCCGGGCCTCCGGCCGCAGCTTGTGCAGCGGCTTGCGCCGCAAGGTCCTTCCGAGACGCCTTGCCTCTCTTCTTTCTTTCGCGGACGTACTCGCAGCCCAACCCAAATTCTGCGCATCTAAGTCAGACAAGCTCCAATGGCTCGACGGCCCATCACACCATATACTTACCTACGCAGTGGGCGCAGGGGTGCTGCCCATCGCATTTTGTGCGAAGCTGGTTGCATTGATCGCAGGCTCGGCTGATTCTCCTTCGAATGGGCCCCGATGTGCTGGACGACCGAGTTGTGGGGCCGTACGGGTGTTGGCGATGCTTCGATTGAGGTGTCCCTCGAGCCAGATGAGGGTTGTTGTGTGCTCCTACATGCTGTTGGAGTTGTTGCAACGCATAATGTGAGTTCGGCGCGAGCGGGTCAAGGCCGTTCGCGTGAGAATGGCCGTTCGGCACGTGGGTATTGGAGAAGAGAGTGCCCGACTGCATGCCGTGATACGGCGAGAATCGATGGAGCGGGTTGGACAACATCTTGTCTTCCTCGTGCTGGGACCAAGCCCGTTGGCGTTGGCGTATTGGCTGAATGGTGAAGACGTTACTCGAACCGCGAGTATCTAGTTGTGTTTTCTCATGTAAATTCAAGAGACGTGGATCCCGATCTTGCCCGGATACTTGAAAGGAGTTATAGGTAATGGACCAGAGATGAAACTGGGGGTTGACAGGATCGGCTACCCAAACTAGGGGTCGGTGATGGGTATATATCTAAGAATGCTCTCCCGTGGCACTGGTTGTTACGGTTGTCCACAGTAATGCGATAGTACACCTGCTTCGGTTGGTTAGCGGTGCTGGGGTGGGCTGAGATGGAGAAAGCGGGAACGAGCGGAGTCAAGAAAGTGGTCGGGCGTGGTCCATTACAATATGAGTCGAACTAAGAAGCAAACATGACATTGACATGGTCTGCCTTGTTGTTGGAGACCGTCTCAGTTCAACACCATGCAATGGCGGAACTGATGCAGACGGCCTGGAGGCTAGGAAAGACGGGACAGGTGATAGGGAACCGAAGAAGCCCAACGGCTTGGCTCGAAGGAAAGGACCGAGCAACGGAAGCTCCAGAAAAGAAAAATCATGAGATGCTGGGTGAAGGGGACCAACCTAAGCCCTAGAGTTTCTCTCGTATTTCTTCGAGGCTCTCTGCCAACAGCTCTTGTTGCAAAGAAGCTTCTAAAGAGAGGAACCGTTTACTATCGTCCTCCTTCTTTCGCCCTGAGCTGGACGTGGGCCAAATGCGCTCTGCTCTTGCGTGGTTGACAAAAGTCCGACTGTGGCCTCGAGGTAGCTCGGAAGCTCTAGGACGGTGACTGCGTCCCCAACTCGATCGATGGAATTGGTACTGAGACAATCCTCGTTGTGACGGCTGACTTTGGGTTCCTCTTTCGAATCTACTTCTCCTACTTCTCTTCTACGCAGTCTGGAACAGAAGCTTGGCGTGCATGTATAACAGAGCTCCCGCGAGAAGGTGTTGATGGTTAGATTGGTCGTCGGTTAGAAAGCTCGGTTGATCCGCGTGTCGTTAGGTAAGGTAGCACATATCATGTCATTTAGATTGATGAACCCAATACACGGAGAGACGAAGGGGTGAGAGATGAGGGGAAATGGGTGGTGACAGGCGGCGAAGGGAGCTGATGTAGGTACGAGTATGCGCGAACGATTCAAGACGGCGAAATAACGACAAGTCCGGCAATGTATGTACAGGCGTACAGACGTACCGACGGCGCGTCAGGTTCTCGAAGGGGGGAAGAAGCGAAATGGTGCCTTTGTGATTCCTCGGGCTTAGCTGTTATATGGGTCGCTTGTACACAATAAGATGTGAAGACGGGGTAGGGTTGCAATGAGGGGGACAGGGGTCTAGCTGTCGATGAGCGATGGTAAGGTGAGGAGCAACGAACAGCAATCCGAGAAAAACTGGCAACGGGCGGGCCATTCACGGATGAAAGGGTGGAGACAAGCGGCATCTTGGGCGAAGAACGGGACCACATGCTCAAGTCAAGATGCTGCGCCGGTCTAGAACCATGGGCGCATCCCCCTCTCCTTGCTGGGGTGATGATCTTGCCATGGAAGTGAGAAGAGAGCCGAGCCGGTCCGGTGAGGTGAAGACTACGAACGGGATTCCAGCCGCCCAGAGGACCAAAAGCAAAACCCGGCGGTGGACAAGACGACGTGGGCTGTCACTAAACCTTTTCCCACCCACCGGGACAGGCTCCTCCCCCCACTGTTCCCTTGGTCTCCCGGCTCCTCTCTTTGGTCTGCCTCGGGACATCCGTCACGAAACTCGCTTGACTTGTTGCTTGGGTCAGGACTGCGCCCAAAGGTAGCGTACAGGTAGATGGATGGTGTGAGGCATGATGATTCAGTGCGGGCAGGGGGGTTGGTGCGGCGCAAGTCGGGGAAGGGAGTGAAAGTTGGGGAATCGGCCTTCCGCGTCTCGGTTCCCTTCGTCTTTCTCCAGTCTTCAGACTCGTCTCCATACCTCCACCAGGGCGGCACCAAGTGGGCTGGCTGGCAGTAACAGGTGTGCGTGCCTCGTTGGACTGTGCCATCCTGGCCAATAATACCGTCCGGCCTGGCGGAAGGCGTCTTGGCTTATTTCTTGTTCGGTCAGGGTGCCGCCGAGCACACATCACCGCGGTTAGGATCCCATACTTCTTGGCCCGCTGTCCGATCTTGTTGGCTCTTCACAGTGGCGGTCACGCAACCTCTTTCTGGCCCATGGCTTTTTGTGCCGTCCGGCGCCCGCCAGTGTTAGCGGCAATCCTGTGCCTTCTATCGAGACGTTCGATGTACCTATGTGCATGCCGGGCTCTGGCGTTCCTTGCCACGATGCAGGCGACAGGCATGGCTAGAGCCGGTCATTTCGGAACGGCATGGCGCGCTGGAGCGCTATATGTGCCTGCAATTATGACTTTCCCTTCTTTTTCCCTTTATTTTTCTATTAAATAGATTCAAGAAAATGGTGATGATGACGGAAGCGAGCTTCCATGCGACACGGCTAGGCCGGCCTGAGGCAGGGCCACGTCCCCTCGACGTAGTTTGTCCGACGTGGTTCAAGCCGCATCGCCCAGGGCGAACAAGGCCGACAGGCTCAGGCCCCATGTCATAGGGGCGGGCGGGAGGCGTCCGACGTTGGAGATTTGGTAGCCAGTCGAACAGCACACAATGGCCATGCGCGCGCCGTCGGTGCATTTCATTCATGGGGTGTGAGAGCAGATACAGCGGTCAAGGGGACGGACGGCTTAAGAGGAGGCGAGGGCGTGCCTGCACGAACCCCAGATTCTCATCAACTGCGTTGCTAGAATGTTCCCAAACGGGAGCCAAGGACATGGGGGGAGGGGACCCTTTGGGCTGGATTGAGTCTTGGCCAGAGTGACGATGGACGGCACGGCATCTCGTCCTGGAGCTGACGCCAAGGTAAACGGGCGGCGGACCTAATCTGATCTGTGGGAGGAGGGACGGCGTCTGATGGCATCCATGGATGGCGTCTCGTTGCCGTCCTTCTGTCTGCGACCTCGCTGCTGCATGTCGCCCTCCACCACGAATGCACCAAGAAAATGAGTTGTCTCGTTTACCCCAACCTGCACTCTCCAGGTTTTTGATGCAGGTGTTGGGTGCGGCGTCGGTACATGGTAAGACAACCTCCGTCTGAACGATGGCGGCGACAGGGGTCCCGTGTGGTAGGAGAAAATGCGGAGAGGAGACAAGGACGGGAGGTGTGCAGGCGATGCCCATGGTGAGGATGCGTTTGAATGGGACGGGACGGATGGGATGGATGATCCTGAAAGGTTCTAGGCAGGTTGATGGCACCGAGTTAATCTTATTGCTGTACGTGTGTGTTCCAGTCACGCGGAAGATCCACTCCGAGGTCCAGGCATTTGAGTCCCGTCCCTGCTCGTCCTTGCTCGTCCTCAAAAGTTGGCTCCTCTGAGTCGGCTCCTCTTCGAGGTTGCTCTCGAGGCTGGATTGGGTTGCCCACCCGACATTGCCCAACGCCTCGTTCCCAGCAGCCCAGTTCTGCCCTCGGACATCCAGACTTGGGCCCCATTTAGCATTTGACTCTGCTGTAACGATGTACGCGAGAGATGGCCACAGGGAGCTCTATTGCCTCGAAACGTGCTGTTAGTTTAGATTGGCTTCTGCCTCCGAACCCGAGCCCGGCATTACTGAGTAAAATGACCGACGCGACCAATACGCACAGAGATAGAGCCAGGGTGATGACTCTGCCTCCCCACAGACGGCGCAGACATGGGCAAACTTTCAGGGTCCTCCTTTCCACCCATCAATCTTGATGTTGAACATTCGTCAGGCACCGTAGACAACCTGGTCCAGAACCCGAGGTACATCGATCAGAGTTAGAGGGAACTTCCCTCTGTGACGGGCCGTCCGGTCAGTCTCTTGACCACCAGTCCGTCCTGCTGATCAACATTCATCTTTGTTGCAACATCAACAAACAGTCAGTGCCCGAACTCCAGCCTTCTCAGTCGCCCCACACCGAATCGATCGTCACGCTCTTCTGAAGAGAGGCGGCAACGCCATACCTACCCTCGCAACGATGCTGTGGATCCTGATGCCAAAGATACCATAGTACTGACCATGCTCTATGCTAGACAACTCCATAACCAACCGTCGAATCATGCTTCCACACACATCGCATCGGCCTTACCAAAACCTATTCAGACCACTGGCTTGGACACGAGACACGGGTCAGGACGGCTGGGAAATCTTCACCTCCGGTTCCGCAGGTCGAGTGCCGATGGCCTCCAGGGCATCCCTACACTATTGACCTACCTTCAACGAATACCACGACAGCGTGAGAAGCTCCGGTATTCCGCCCAAACTCAGAGCCCCATCGACCCTGGCAAATAAACGAACCCCCCGGGACCCAGAGTCGGCATCCAGCTCTTCGTTGGTGGTGTTGACTTAATCTAAGCCAAGGTACCTGTAAGGGGTACGCTGGCTCTAAGTTCTGCACGAGGTCTGAATAGGAGACACACGCGTTTTGCCTCTATTCCCAACCATAGCGCCACTCGTATCGTTTCGCGTGGCTTTGGGGACCACTCCCACTATAAACCATCCGAAGTAGCTTCACACACCAGTCTCTGGAAATCTGCCGATGATTCAAGACCCGATCGGTCCCGAGACTTTTCTCTCCTGTGATGAGTC